ACACTGGAATGCGGATTGGAGGAATCCACTCCCGGCTCACACGACCTATATTAGCCGCTTTATGGGAGGGGAGCTGAAACATGAAAAAGCAACGCTGGTGGCGGTCAAGCAGACCTTTGCCGTGGATTTACCGGTCCATCACTTGCTGGCTGTCTAGCGTAGTGGTTTATTTTCCCTTATCGTGGCCTCCATTTCTTGCTAATCAACAGGCAGAGAGCCACAGAAACAGTCCCAATACTTTCAATAGCTCCAAATCAATGATTGCGGAGAGAAAGCGAAACCCAGCCATGAGTTCATCCGACTGATCGCCGCACGCAAAGCCTGAAACGAGCATAGGGCTCGAGCCCATGTGGCGAAAACAATCGACATGCGAAAGCTCGTCAGCAGCACCATAGCCTAAAAGCCCCAACGTGTCTTCTTGACCACCTCGATGCGGTTCGGTGTATTGCGTTTCATATATACCGAATTTGGATGAGAAATCCACATTCTTGCATAGAGATAGTCTGTTGCGATTGGAAATGGTCCAACCATGATGCCTGACAATACTTTGTGAATTCCTTGATGGAGTGAACTGCTGTCGCAGTTATTCCCTATCATAAGGATTACGGTTGCTTTTGGACTTCCAAAGCATGCTTCCATGGTTTGCCGTCACTGCAAATCTTTTCAAGGTACATTGTCTCGCAGCAACAGATATGCATCATGCTTGCTTCGTGCATCGCAAGCACTGAGCATCGCTCATAACACTAATATCCAACAAGAGCATCAGCGCAGGAACTGGTCGACCACATACTATGCTCTGGACTCTCCTAGTCGATCGAGCATGGACAGAAAATATCGCAAAGTCAAGGGGAGAGCTGAACGTAAATCCATCATTTTTTCTGACAACCAGCAAGAAGAACCGAATCATTTGTCTCCATGGCTTTCTCTCCAAGCGCAACAACACGACCGAAGGCAACCCGCAATGCCTCACATCGAAGACAAGCCCATCGACTCAAGGGAACAACTGCTGGAGTTGATGATAGGATTCACCTCTGCTATTGACTGCTCCAAACAACTAGAGTTATCCTCGTACTGCGCCCACATCTGGACCTCGATCAGGAACAACTGTATTCTCTATCTTCAATTCCTCAAAATGCCATCCCCGGCTAGCCCAGCGCAGCATCTTATCACACAGTCCGTGTTTTATACGACAGGTACCCATTGACTTAACTGGATCCATCAGTAACCCCATGGCACCAGCTCAATCCGTTCCGATCAACCACCATATCATTGCTCGATGCCATCCTACTGCCCGTCAATAAGCAAAGCTTGACCATCAATCTTGCTACAAATCGTCGATTGAAAGAATTTTGGAATAGTTCCTGATTCGATTCACCTAAGTAGATTGCATCCAAAAGATAGCGAGGTAGGAAATGTAGAAACCCATATAAAGAAACAATAGATAAGCAACAACACCACCATGACATGAGGTTAAGCAATGCTACATCGATGCCAAGTTGACAAGAGAAATTTAGGTTACCTTGGCAAAGCCAATTGTTTAGGCTCAACCATGTTTCTTGGATACTATGAGCCAAGGTCTTGGTATAAACAAAATGGAGTATGATCCTCATGCTATGTTTCAGGATGTTATATGATCAGGGATGAAGAAGTGAAGAGGCCGAGTCTGGAATCGGTATATCGAGAAGAGAGGTTCGGACAGATTCTCCATTTCTGCTCTGATAGGAGCCATGGGCGAGAGAACTATATTCATGGCGTCTTTTGAATTGGACATGGCTTCCCAATATCTTTCCAGATTCACTCTGCAAGTACTTCTAATATACTGTGCTTTCTATGCCACTATACATCCGAACTTGCTTGAACTCCCCTTCGCAAGCACTGAGGCCCTATGCTAAATAATTGTCGTTTCTCATTGTAATCACCTATTTAGTCTTAGATCCTGCTCTGCTTCACTACAGACAAGCATCACACCTGTTTCATTGTGTATACCACCTCTTCCTGAGCGACATGGGTTCTTTGCAATATCACCATCCTCATCATCACCTACATCCTTCTATTGTCCCAACTCTCTTTACGTTTTCTGGATTACCACACCAGAGGGTTACTGCACCACTACGTTATTCACAACCGCAATGTACCGTAGCCATTTATGCTTTTCTATTAACATGGCCAACCCATAACCAAGACCCCCGATAATTCTCCTGGAAAAAATAAGAATTCTCGCTTTCTAGAACCATGCCCAATTCTTAAGAATCTCCATACTTCACTTCTACTCTACCCTGGTTACCTTGATAAATTGATACACTGCAACTTCGGGAAGAATATAGTACTTCACTTGATAACTGGGACGGAGACTTTCACGAAGAAGAGAATATCAATCGTGCTTGATACCATGTAAATATGTACAAAGGTGGACAGGAGTCCATGTTGGGCAATTGGTTCATTTCACTAGTAGTTGGTTTATATAGATGACATGGCTTTGATGTTGATGCAGGAATTAGTTCCACGGTGTTAGGTCGATAAATGATGGTTTAATGATTATCTCTTTTCTACACATGCTAAAACCTACCGATCTTTGAAGTGGTCATCCAGAAGATGTTCTCAGTATGTTGATGTTATTATTCCTGTTAGATCGTATCCTCCATAAAGAATGATCCTTAGCAAAGAGAATACACATCTATACAGGAAAGATACTACGATTTTTTGATTGAAGGCAGATATACACATAGTACAATACCCAGTTATGAATATAATCTCACCGATGGTACGCATACTGTAATGAAGTATATCCAGCAGTTATACCTATTCACTGTAACTCTAGAAGATGAGTGCTTAATTTATTCTAGTACAATACTGCATTACATTTCCCCGATCTCATGGTCATATAACTACTTATACGGTGTACCACTTGGGTACAAGTGGAAGCGCGTCACTACTGTGCGCTTCGTGCTTTAGAAGAATTTATGATGAGTCCTTGGCTGATTTGTCGATGGAAACGTATGTTTAGTTTGTGACATTGTCTGTTGAGGAAAATTCCGTATATCGGATTGCGTTGTAGATTATCTACTCCGTCGTCTGATAAATAAAGCTTGCATCGTTCAAGCTCCCCGGTAGGAGGGTGATTAAATTTGTAGGATTATTTATGTATGTGAAGACCACATTAGATCGCTTGGACTACAGAATAAATTTAGTACCTCTGCTGGCTAAATCTAGCATTGCGCTTCCGATTTTATCTTCTATTAACATTCCAGTAAAATTTGGTACCTCATCCAGAGCGATAGGAAAGATGATACCTCACAGATATCCTCTCCTGCTGAGCTGAAACCCCTATCATCAGCACAAAATCCAAGAATCACAGCATCCATCACCATATCAAACCATTCAAAGCATACAAGCCTTTCACGTCCCACCCGAATCCCTTGCCAAGTGCTGACCAACCCCGCCTATCCCACCTCAGCCACTAAAAAATCGTACGTATGCTCTGAGGGGTCGTCAACTGTATTACTTCAAACCCCGCAAATATCTGACCAGTCACCAGAGCCCTGCAGAATTACTCCGTCCGCCGCGGATGAGCAATGGACGAATCGATCGATCGGCAGCGATCAGGTGGGGATGGACCAGGGTCTGATTGATCACTTTTTGCCGTTGACTTCGCTTCCGACCTGTCTGATGGATCGGATCGAGTGCTTGGTAAGAACTTAATGCGTATTTTTGGAGTGGTGTTGATGTTTATGGTTTCGTCAGGCTGTTAGGCGGCCAGGCTGGGTTGGGTGTGATGAGTACGGGGGTATCGGTGTATGTTAAGAAGTGGCTGGAGTTTAACTTGAATCCTATGTTTATGAGGGGAGGTTTGTGATGAGATCTGTTCGGGTGGGGATACACTGAGGCAGAGTACTCTGTAGCTTCAGCAGAGCTCGACCATGACACACGGGGTAACCCATAAAGATGTTAGTTCAACATGATTCCGCATCTGTTTCCTCTATATAAGACCTTCGACTGCTATTTCGCATAACATGGCATCATAATCAAGTGATATTAACTATTCCATTAATCAACTGGTTAGTTTCAGTACTGCGGTAACGTAAGTTCCCGTAATAACCATGTAAAACAACGCAGCACAGCCCTGCTGACGGTGGATATTCAGGGTTCAGCCGGGAAAAGCCAGCTGGCCAGTCAGACTGTCCCGGTCGGTGGGACGTTTGAGATAGACTCGGTGGCGGTGGATCGTCTCCCGATTCGAGACGGCATGGGATCGCCTTGCTTGTCTGCCACCGTCAATGTCACCATGTCTGACAGCGCTGGTCGCAATAGCCTGCATTTAACTGGACGAGAGCAAGAGGATTCTCCTGTCAGTCGTGGATTATGTTTCTTCACGGAGAAACTAAGCACATCATTGCAATGGCCTAATGCATGTGTAGTATACTTGGACCCTGCCTATAATGTGATTGTCGCACGGAGCCCGACGGATTATTTTACTGGAGGGGCGATCGGCGGTGGATGGGAAAGGACAAAAAAGGGTTTTAGAACACACCCATATGATGTGAGGGGCCACTGACTCAGGGAAATTGTAGTTCTTTGTAGTTTGTGTTTGGTTTACATCTAAAACTCGAGGAGGTATGTGCTTTGACTGCGTTAGGATCGAAACTGGATGAGGCCGAGATTAATGCTCAATCCACCGACAAAGCTTGATCCTTCGCTTGAGTCTAGAAGCGACGGGGGGCTATTTATACCGACGTGTCTGAAACATGTTTTTCCCAGACTCCATAACAATCTCGCATTCTGACTCTGGCTGTAGGCTGCCATGTAATTTGTGCTGATACATACCGTATGCCCTGTAAGTACGCCTAGTATTTCGACTGTGATACCGTATGGGAGTAATCCCTGCTGATCCCGCCGGAAACCCACCAATCGGCGCCAAGCATTCGGGGGTGATAAGCCTCAGGCGGCGGCCGTCAGCGCAGCGACGCCCGCCGTTAATTATTTCCATTTTCTGTGTTTGGGACCTTCCTCCGTACCTGGTAACGAAGCCCGGTGTGTTAATTTGACCAACCAACCAACTAAACCCCTTCGTCGGATCTTTCTTCCCACGTTGCCTGTTTCTGTCTCTGTCTCCCTTTCGCTTCTCCCTCTTTCTCACACACTCGCTCGTCCTCTCTTTCTCCCTTCTCTCCCCCCCTTCCACTCCCAATTCGGTGTCTCAGCCTGGTCCCCGGCAGGCACGTTATGAAATGAGACTATCCTACCGGATTGGTGCGGCCGCACTTATCATCCTCGCCATCATCCTCATCAAACGCCACCTCGACCTCGTCCAGGATGATGCGCGCGTCCAGTCTGGCTGGAGCTTCAGCTCTTTCTCTGCTGAATCGGTTGCCGACACTAGCAGCAACAGCAACGGCAACGGCAACGTTAACATCAACAATGTGAACCCCGATAGTGCCACCGACCCCAACACCGACCGGGTATCAACTCCGAAGAGCTCGAAACCGAAACTCACTGGCAGCGACATGACCAACAGCAAAGACTCCGATTCAGTTTCGCGTCCGGTGTACGAAACCACCCCAATCATCGTCCCCAATGATCGCGTTATCGTTATGGCAAGATTATCCACCGAGGACACCAGCTGGGTGAGCACCGATTTGAACGAGTACGTCCACACCCACCATGCAAGCCCCCGACAAACATCCACTAACATAAGAACCCAGATGGCGCAACGTAATCTACACCGTCGACGACATCAACGCATCCCGTCACACCCCCAAGAACAAGGGCCGCGAAGCCCTCGCCTACCTCCAATACATCGTCGACCATTACCACGATCTCCCCAGCACCATCATCTTCATCCACAGCCACAAAGACGGCTGGCCCGGCGCCTGGCACACCGACACCATGGCCTACAGCAACGTGGATTCCATCCGTGCACTTCAAACCGACTTCGTCCAACGCAATGGCTACGTCAACCTTCGCTGCCAGCAGAGCCCCGGTTGTCCGGATGAGATTCGTCCGTTCCGTGACCCCCCGCAGTTTGGACGCACGACGGAGCGCGTCTACGCGCAGTCGTGGATCGAATTATTCAACAATACCGATGTACCGGAGGTGGTTGGTGTTGCGTGTTGTTCGCAATTTGCGGTGTCCAAGGAGCAGGTGCTCAAACGGCCGTTGGACCATTACCAGTGGTTTTACGATTGGGTGTTGAATACGGGGTTGTCGGATGATTTGGCCGCTCATGTGATGGAGTATAGTTGGCATATTATTTTTGGTCAGGAGGCAGTTTAGTGAGTCCCCCCCCCCCTGTCCCCTCTAGTTTTTCTTTCCCCTGAAATATGGCATGAATATCAAACTAACAAGAGAAACTCTAGCTGCCCCGACGCCTACCAATGCTACCAGGATGTCTACGGAAATCCTTATTTCTGGTGATTCTTCTGTACAGAATACCCCTTTTGTTCTACTCTTTTTTTCTTTTTCTTGTTTCTCTACCCTTCTATCTTGTAATCTCTTGCTCAATCTGGTTTTGCATCTGACGACTCACGTACGTAAACCTTGGTTGATCTGCTTTTCTTTTCTCCGGCTTCGAGGTGTTGACTGTACATGATTGGGAATTTGGTTAAAAGTCGTCATTGAGCAACAATATATACTTATGAAAGAAATTTATTCTATTTACCTTTTTTTGGGTACTGAGCTGATGCAGGGTTTAGATCATATACGGAAGGAATTTTGTAGTGGAGAAGGTCATATGTCAACTGTGATGTGATATTCATGAAACTTGACTGCATGATATGATTAACTAGCTAGCCACTTCACTGTATTCCCATCTACGTATATGCATTTCCAACCCATTACACATTACTCTTAACCCAACCCATCCATCCATTCAACCAATTCAACCCCGATCACCAAGCCAACCTACTCAACACACCCCCCGGCCACCTCCTCACTCCAGCCTTCCTCAGCTCATCCAAGACCAAAATCCCCAACCCAAAAGCAGCCGGCAGAAAATAATGCTCTACAGGAACACTACTCGTGCCCAATACACGCTGCAACGGCGGGATATATAACCAGAAGACTGCCATCCCAAGGGCAAACAAGATCGCGGGAAAAAGGAGCAAGTTCTGAGTGTGTTTGTTGAAGGCGGGCGGGTGCGAGAAGATGGATAAATGTCGGGTGCGGATGGCCATTAGGTTGAACCATTGCCTAGAGAAGATTAGTATGGGGGTGGGGATGTTTGAGTTTGTTCGTTTGAAGGGGAAAGGATGGGAAGGGAGGAGGGGGGATTACATGACGACAAGATTGATAAAGTAAACGGAGCTTGCTTCGTTGAGACGGGCAGTGAGCCACTCCGGGTCGATGTTATCTGGGTTGGCGCCGAATTTGAACCATAGGGCGGAAAAGGGGATCCCGTTGCGTTCGAGGTACCAGAAGGCCATGGCGAAAGAGGTGGCGGTTTCGATGAGGCCGAGGACGCCGTAGGCGTGCAGGATGAGTTTCCAGTTTACGAGGCGGTTGTGGTTCGGTTTGCGGGGTGGGCGGAGGAGGACGTCGGCTTCGGGGGCTTCGTAGGCGAAGACGGTGGCTGCGGCGCAGTCGGTGAAACAGCTGGAGGTGGTGTATGAGAGAGACGGGTTGAAGGGGGTGAGGAGGGTAGGGTTGGGTTGTGCTTACCAGATGATGATCATGAGGAAGGAGGATAGTACCTGGGGAAGGCCGAACACGACGCTGGTGAACACGGGCCAGAATTCGGAGAATGAGCCGGCTGGGAGGAGGTAGATGATGGTTTTCTTTAGGTTGTCGAAGACTACGCGGCCGTATTGTACCGCTTCGACGATGGCCGAGAACGATTCCATCAGTACCATGTCTGCTGCCTCGATGGCAATATCAGAGCCGCTTCCAAGGGCAATTCCAATGTCTGCTGCTTTGAGGGATGGGGCGTCGTTGACTCCGTCGCCTGTCATGCCGACGATTTCGTCGCGAGCGCGGAATTCACGGACAATGCGCAGCTTTTGCTCTGGAGTCGTTCGCCAGAAGACGATTTCCTGGTATTGGCAGAGCTGTTCCCATTGATAGTCGTTCAAGCTCATGAGTTCGGATCCGCTCAGGGTGATTGCAACGGAGCATGGAGTTCCAGGGGGCTTTTCGTCGTCGGAGTCTAGTCTTTGGAGACATGAGGCATCGTCAACTGGTCCCTGAGTGCTGACTATACCGCATTGCCGGGCAATGGCGACAGCAGTGAGCCCAAAATCACCAGTCACCTGTTGAAATGGTTAGGGGAAATTCTCGACTCCAGATGTGGGATCTAACCATGAAGATGCGGACTCCTGCGCGCCTCAGTGTCCTGACCACATCAGGAATCTCCTCTCTTGGGGGATCAACAATACCGACCAGGCCAACGAGGATTAGGCCGGTCTTTGCATGATTCATGGCCTCGGATTCGAACTCTCGAGATGAAGGAGGAAACATAATATCGGACGCTGGAATGACTTTCCGCGCAAGGAGAATCACGCGTTTGCCTTCACCGGACCATTGATCTTTGACGTTTTTGATATGAGCCAGTATCCGTCCATCCAGAGCTTGCACACTTCCGTCAGTGTCAACAGTCTGGGTGCATCGCTCGATCAGAAAGTCAGGTGCGCCCTTTATTGTGAGTAGACTGCAAAGCTTAGTATGGGAGCTATCAGAAGAGCGGGCCCAACTAACGTATCATTCAGCTTGAATTGTGCTGACTCTGCCGTGGACATTGCAAAGCTTAGCCCTCCGGATCCTGCCGGACTAAAAGTACGGATCATGAACTTATTCTTGCTGTTGAATGCCAGCTCGTATGTCTTTCGCCAGGCATGCCTCAGCTCGGCAACTGATCCAAGGCCTTCGGAAAATCTCAGGATAGCCTGATCGGTTGCATCACCATAGATCTCCCTCTCGTGAAGGGGCTGGCTCATAGAAGAGGCATCGAACTCGGCCGCATTGCAGAGACCAGCAATACCACGGAGCTGATGTATCCCGGTTCTCCTTCCCTTCACGACCATTTCGTCTCTGGCTAGGTCTGTGCTAAAGCAGGATGTTGAGAGGGCGCAGTCGGTCACAAACATCTTGTTCTATAGTAATAATCTTCATTAGAAAAGACATAGACCGGCCAACATGGGGCATACCATTGTTAGTGTCCCAGTTTTGTCAGAGCATATCACCGAAACAGCCCCCAACGTCTCAACAGTCTTCAAAGATTTGCACAAAATTTTGTTCTTGCTCATGAGGTTGGCGGTTATGGTTAGGTTGGCAGTCAAGGCGATCGGCAAGCCCTCTGGAATAAACGCGATTGCAACACTGACACAGTCGACGATCAATGTCGGTACGTTAATCCACCCAGGGTGGTCGACTCGAAGCCATGTAGCCCTGTAGAGGTCAGTAAGCGAGCATGGTGCCTTCGAAAACAGCATACCAGACAACGATCACGATGATAATCATCGCCAGCATGATCAGAACGATTAACAGGACAAATCGCAAGACCTCCTTCTCAAGGGTGCTTAGGCCTGTCTTCGGTTCGCTTGTTAGTTTGGCAATCCGACCAAAGACAGTTGAGTCTCCAGTGGAGACAACTACACCAATTGCACTTCCAGCGACGCAGTGAGTGCCTTGAAGCCCGATGCAGTGCGTTTCGAGATAGTTGTCATCCGTTGAATCCACAGTCCCATTGACAGGCAAGGACTCGCCTAAGGAACAATGAGCTCATGTCTGCGTGCTCTCTGGAAGAACATACCAGTCAGGATGGACCGATCAAAGGTCACGTCATTCGAGACCCCAACTAAGCGCACATCTGCAGGTAGCTTGTTTCCCGCTTTGAGATGAACCACGTCCCCGGGGACAATGTCCGGGGCGGAGACCACATTCAGAGAGCCGTTTCGGAGAACAAGACAGCTCTCAGGCAGCATGGCTGTAATAGAAGCCATAACCCTAGAGGATGACCAGTCCTGCCATGCATTGAAGGCCGCCTGGATGAAGAACACCGCGAGGAGGACAATGGCCAGGGCAAGATTTGCCGCAGCAGGAGGCTGTCCTAAGGGTTTCCACGAGATGAAGACGAGCACACAGCCAATCAATAGAATCGCCCCAAAGCCCTTGAAGAAATAGCCAAAGATCTGCCAAAACCAGTGGTGTGGTAGCGGAGACAGTGCGTTTTTGCCAAATTCCCGGACCCGTTGCTGGATCTGATCGCTCGATAGCCCTTGAGAGATGTCAACCCGCCATCGTTTCTGTACTTCTTCCGGGGATATTTTGTGCCAATTGAGGTTAGAAAGGTCTAGGAAGACATTTATTAGCAAAGATGCCTTGAGGTATGGGTTAGCAACTGAATGGAGTCGCTACCGGTTGCAACATTGTTCTTGGTCGTGGTGGCCTCAGCTCGTTCACGATCTCTCACTTCATCAATATCGAACGAACTATTCAAACTTGTGTCAGGACGCATAAATGGAGGTTGTTAATGATAGTAGTACTGACACGGTACGATAATGGATTGGCAAGGAAAGTGAGGGGTCAACGGTCGCTCTTCTCGCGCGACTGCGAGCAGAGCTATTTGATGCCGCCGAGATAGTGCGAGACAGTGGCGGGGGATCTCTTCTGGACTGCAGGCCTGTTTCTTCATCAACTGGCTGCCATCGGAGACGAGTTGCCTCTGCATTGGGCGCTCCAGTTGGCTTCTCATCCATGGTGAAGTCGGAAATCTTGCTGTTCCGCCGCTATGAGAAAGAAGCAGACGTCGCGCGAGAAAAGAGAAAGCAGGAGAAAGGCAATGAACGGAGTAGAGAGCAGCCTGGAAGCCCACCGTCACCAGCCTTTATAGTGGGAAGCGAAAGCTCGGACTGTCAACCACGCGCAACGTCCGTGCAGATGCCATGCGAGATTTAGCTGGTGACAGGAAGGAATTCCAGGTCAGCGAGGCATGCGGGTTTATCAAGAGCCACTGGTTGCGGGACCTTGGTTCAGAGGATGGGGGGTGGTTGAGATCAGTGGCTTGGGTAAATCCCTCAGGCGTGCTAATGGCCGCCGCATTCAATCCCCCCGACCCGACAAGAACAAAAAAAAGCCCTCAGCCTAAGTCGCTTAACTGCCCCAGATCGCGCTTGGGGCTTAGACTACAGAATACAGCTGCCTATTGATTTCCAAAAGTCACTTTCTCGGCTGATGCAAAGACAGGTAGGTAATAATGACCTTCTATCATTCCTAGGAACCGACCAGGCTAGGCCGATCGAGTTGATTCACCGTCTACATCCCCACGGCATGCAGGACATAGAAGACCAAGCTAACAGTTGCGGTCAGGGGAAGTGTGGATAGTTGTATGTTCCACTCAGGCTCCTGCTCTTTGTCTCTCTGGATTCGCTCCACACCCTTGCGCGATGGTAAAGGAAGGTAGTCTACTCGTGCCGTACGAGAGGTAATATCCGTGAGCAAACCAATCCCCGTGACATGGATCAACCCAAGAAACGTTTGAAGCAGCCTGAGTACCCAGCTAGTCGTAGCCTCTATGCGGACGGCGCATTGCGACACAATGAAGAGGGACTTCGTTCTGCGCTTACGCGAGTCTTCCCATGTCTTCAGGGTTGAACCGAGTCTTTCTTGTGTGTATAAGGCTGTCGACCCCCTGGTAAAAGAAGACAGATAATTCGCAAGGGATGCTGCGGATTCCATACCGCAATTTGCTCCCTCGGCTAGGTTGGGTGTCATCTGTAGGTGATGTCAGTCATCTAGCCATGACGCACTTCGGTGCGGAGAGTGTCTACCTTGTGTACCGCATCTCCTATGCCTACAAACCGGCCCCAGGACCATTTTGCTTGAAACGACTCTTCAAGTGGGACGAGAATACATGATTCTGCATGATTAAAAACCTCGCCAAATTTGACATGGAAGGTGACGTGTTTCTCGAGGAGAGGTTCGATGATGCCGGCCACGCAAACTCTGTCGGAACTACGGTGTGGCATCGCCTGGTCTGTCCCTGTGCGTGCAATCGCAATGAACCAGAAGACTTTGGAGTCTGCCCCTATCATGATGATTATTGACCAGCCACGTCCATATGTTCGGTGGACGTTTCCTCTTTCCAGGCCAGGGATTGACTGGGAGATGCCAAAGACACCGCCGAAGGCATCAGTCAAGGGGACCTCCGATAACCGATGGGAGCGTGTGGAAGCATCTTCAACATTTTTGATATGGTGCCACATTTGCGTACGTACTGTGCTGTACACTCCGTCAGCACCAACCACCAAATCACCCGAGACACTGGAACCGTCCGCGGTGTAAACCATGACATCCTGCGTGGATGAGACGATCCGGGAAACTCTTTTGTTGAAGGACACGCAACTCCTCCTCTGAAGACGTGTATACAGGATACCTAGGAGCGCCCGTCGTGAGATAATGATAAAAGGATAATTGGTTCTCGTTGCAGTCAGTCAAAATCCCCTATGAAAGCGATTGGGACATACCGTCCGATAGATCGGAGATGTCGGGCATCAACTCGTCGCAGCAGACGCCCGTCTTCAAGCCAAGTGCTGTGCGATACCATACATTGACCCTGATCCAACACATCTTGATACAGTCCCAGCTGATCCAGAATACGGGCGCCATTCGGAAGGATTGCGAGCCCAGCGCCATCTGAGAACGAATCGGACCTTGCCTCCAGAATGGTGAATTCGATGCTAGTGCTGGACAGACAGTGGGCGAGAGTCAAACCGGCGACAGAAGCACCCACGATGACAACGTGAAATGGCCTTTGGCTGTCTGTCTTGGACATTGCCGCAGCACGGAGGCGCGCATGATCAAGAATATTCTTGTCATGGAGATGGCTATAAGGACATGTTGACGCGGGATACTTTATAATGATAGTCGAGTTAATGATGTTATGCGTAGTCAGGCGGACCTGTCGTGTCAGGAGGGAAAAGCCAGAAATAATGAGCTTGGTTGAGCCATTTGACCTGCAGCGTCTCTGGTGACGGGCCACGAGATGGCAGGTACGACCGAAGAAAGGGTCATGGCAAGCCCACATCTGATCCCTTGTACTACTCGGCTACCGGCATCATGTCCTCTAGCCAGGAGTAGCCGGGCACAGTTGCAACGGTCAAGCTCAGGCGTTCCTGCACGTGTTCTGGTTAGTGTGACGTTCCGTATGTTTGTACAGTGTGATGCAAAACCAGCTTCACCGATCCCAACTCTTCCCTTGATTCTGGGCTGAGTGCCAAGGCGCTAGTCAGAAAACTGAGTGCGGTTCAGTTGGGGACTTCGCCACCAATGGGAGCATAAAAGGCTTGGCAAGCATCTCGATTAATAAGCTCTGAGGCACAATTTCTTGAGGCTTGAGGAAACATGTAGCATGTTCTAGAAAAGAAATAAACATAAATAAATTCACTGCCTCTCCCAGGCCCTCCTTTTGCAAAGAGATTAGAAAATAGAAATATAGAAGAGAACTTGAATTAACCAATACTATTATACCCGAAATCCTATAAAGGAAACTCGACCTGACGCATGTCCCAGGGCAAGGGTATTTGCTTTGATTGCTGAACATGAAGGCCTGGCCTCAGGAGGAAGCCATAATACTTCTCTACCATTTACAGATATCCAGTCCGGGCCATTAATAAGTATATCAGAATGCACTTTTGGGGAACTGGAAAGATTATGACCACACCTGGATTGAATATTGAGCGATCCCAGGTTAGTGCTGATATATGAACCATCTTGGGAGAATTGGAGTTCAGTGACTGTTCCCTTGATAATCAAGGTCTGCTGCAGGCTGCCCGTCGCCGGGTCCCAGAGCCGCACTGTCTTATCACTTGAGCCGGACGCCAGTAGCCGGCCGTTGGGCGAGAAGGCCACTGACTGAACCCAGCTTGAATGGTCTTCGAGCGTCTGTTGTAGAACGCCTGTCACCGAGTCCCAGAGCCGCACTGTCTTATCAATCGAGCCGGACGCCAGTAACCGGCCGTCGGGCGAGAAGGCCACTGACCAAACCAAGTCTGAATGGCCTTCGAGCGTCTGTTGTAGAACGCCTGTCACCGGGTCCCAGAGCCGCACTGTCTTATCACCTGAGCCGGACGCCAGTAGCCGGCCGTCAGGCGAGAAGGCCACTGACCGAACCCAGCTTGAATGGCCTTCGAGCGTCTGTTGTAGAATGCCTGTCACCGGGTCCCAGAGCCGCACTGTCTTATCACCTGAGCCGGACGCCAGTAGCCGGCCGTCAGGCGAGAAGGCCACTGACCGAACCGAGTCTGAATGGCCTTCGAGCGTCTGTTGTAGAACGCCTGTCACCGGGTCCCAGAGCCGCACTGTCTTATCAATTGAGCCAGACGCCAGTAGCCGGCCGTCAGGCGAGAAGGCCACTGACCGAACCGAGTCTGAATGGCCTTCGAGCGTCTGTTGTAGAACGCCTGTCACCGGGTCCCAGAGCCGCACTGTCTTATCAATCGAGCTGGACGCCAGTAACCGACCGTCAGGCGAGAAGGCCACTGACCAAACCGAGTCTGAATGGCCTTCGAGCGTCTGTAATTCTGCACCCCACTTCTCATTAACTTTTGGCAACTGGCATATCCAACTTGGAAGGTCTTCACTGAAATCTGAACGAATTAATGCTGTTTGGGGTGCAAACACCAATCCTGCACAATAAATCTGAAGTGGTGCTTCATCAGCAACCTGGCAATTCTTCAGAACAAAGCGCTTTGCATCATGGAGAAAATCAGCCAATAAAGAATCATTATTGCCCTGCTTCTATTAGCATAATCCAGAATTAGGTGTCTACTATATTACTTACTAGTATATCCGTATGGAGGAGATCAAGCATACCCACCACCTCTGATATAAGACCTAGCAAGCACATTGCTTCCACCCAGTGCAGAAAATGCTTCTGGAGGAATACTCGCACATCCTCTATCTCAGAAGATGAAACCTGACTCTCGTTGAGATGGTGTATCCAGTAGCGACAAGAATATTGCAATTCTGGTGGTAGGTACTGGCGAATATCCTGAGGGTTGATGTCTGCCCTACGCGTTCCAGGGCTTTCTAGATTGCAGATATCTTTCTGTAGGTGACTCTGCATAGTTTTAAGACAGCACTTAGCAATGTCTTTATGCTTTTTTGGCGCACCCACAAGGAATTTGGTTCTGGACTGGACCAAAAAATCCCGAAACGATAAATGTAGAATCCTGACAGGCTGATCTCGGCTGCTGGGAATGCTTAACACCGATCGGAATGTATCTAATCGATTGCTGATCTGGTCTGCTCCTATCCCAAGAAACAGCGATAGCGCGTTTATAGACAGTGGAACAGCAAGGAGAATAATAACGCCGACTATGGCCTGGAACTCTTGCAGAAGCTGCTGCTCCTCGAACTCATCACTCTCTTGATCATCGAGTAATCGTGTCAGAATTGGCAGGTATGTCTTGTCCATTCTTGATACATATTTGGCTTGGTCCTTTAGGAGCTCTGCGAGGCGCAATTTAGGTTCCATTTTTGAACTTTCAATATAACGGCATACGGTGGCAGCAGAGATGAACAGTGGAGCGGACATCTCGACCAGTTTCTGGATAACTTCATCCCCGGGCCAGTCCTCGGAGATATTTTTATCCCGTTTGATCTTCACGAACCGGTCTTGTAGGAATAAATGTATGTCGAGTGCCGTCACTTCTTCAGGTATCTCATGTAAAGCCAGGTCCTGATATTCATGACCTGTAATCTCCGAGAAGCCGAGGTGGATTGGAAGTTCTGGCCTGCTAGTCACGAAGATTCGGATGCTAACTCCATTTGCCTTCTGTAGAGAAGGAAGTAATCGGATTATAGCTCGGATATCTTGATCATGTTCACATTCGTCTAGAGCATCAATCACTATCACAGCGGTCTGAGGTTGTCGGCCTAGTTGGTCAAGAGTGACTAGTGGCTGAAGGAGTAGTTTCTCAAACTGCTCCCTGAGTGATTTTGACGCGATGTCAGGGTTATCATGAAGTACCATTTGCACACCAGACCTTAACCCAGGAATCCTGAGCATTAGCTGCCGTATTAATGTTGGAAAAAACTTCTTCGCGTTCCCTCGGTCTCCTTCACCCCTCTTGAAGAAGAAGCTGGCACCTAGATGGTTGATGTTCTTGAGCGACTCCGCCACCGTCCGAGATATTGTAGATTTTCCTGTTCCGGCCATTCCTTTCAACCAAAAAATACTCTTCCGAGATGGAAGCAGAGCCCAATCCATTATCTGTTGAAGGAGCACAGTCCTAGTGCCTTGGAGACATTGGACTTCGTCTCGGTCAGAGAATGACTCAAACGCTGCTTCCATTACACCTTCTAACTTTTCGAAATCCATGTCCTGGGCCCTACCGACCATCAGAGAACTATGCAGTTCTTTTAGTAATTGTAAAGAGCGACAGGATTAGGTTCCAACCTACCTCTGATCTACTTGTAGAGACAAGAGGAATGAAGTTTTATATCTCTCGAGGTTCTGGATAACTTCCTCTACCTCGGTGCGTTTCAAAGGCCACTTTAAGGCTCGCCATCCCACTTTTCTCATCAGCTTCTTTCTCTTCCCCGGGTCAAGTCTCGTTTCTAAGCCACGTAGGTCAGAGAGGCAATCCGTGATATTGCCGACTAGTCGTGACGAGGTAGGTAGAGTGTTTCCGTTGTTAGTTTGGACGAGGTTCTGCAAGTCTTGGAGTGTCCCCTGGAGCCCTACAATTGCCCGTTGTAGTGTCAGAATTTCGTCTCTTGCATGTTTCACCTGCTTAATATAGCCCCCACAAAGCTCCACGAGGCTTCCCGTTAGCTGAATGACCGCGATAACGCTCGCCGCTGAGGATAAACCATCCATGTTGGAAACACTGCATAGATGCCGATTCCTCCGTAGAGAGATATAGCGACTCGTTGCAGATTAAGAATTAGAGGTCGAGCTTGTCTGGTGAGATGAAGCGGGGTAAAATAAGCGCCAAGAGCGAGGCTGCGAACCAGACTGCATCTCATACGCGACAAGCCACAATAAGTCATCCTGCTTTTCCAGGCAAGGAGATAGAACTACAAATATAGATATATTGGCTCACATAAAATATGGACTGTTGACTATATTTTCAAGGTGAATACCATGACCCAATATTATCATGCCCGAAAGAACTCAAGATAAAATCTGTCGAGTGGATGCTGGTTGTTGGCTTGATATCGGCTCTATGGTCGGCTCGTACTGACCCAGACTTGGCTTCTGCCCAGTGCCTCTGAATTACCTCACGAACCTTCTTCGGCTCACAGAGTGACAAAGGCCGTCATGGCGCCCCGACTTGCGCCCTCCCAGCTTATAATGATCCGCGATATGATTACCAGTAATTCACTGACTACTTCTCAGATGGCCGAAGCGGCTGGCTGCAGCAAACGTTCGATTATAGCCATCAGTGCCAACCTCCGAATGTTTGGCGATGTCCGAGCGCCCTTAATTCCTGGCGGCCGTCCTCGAGTGATTACTCCTCTCATTCTGGAAGCGCTATGCGACCACTTGCTAGAGAAACCAGATCTACATTTGGATGAGATGGCAGAGTTTCTATATGATGAATTTGATGTGTCCGTATCCATCTACACTATCAGCCGGGCCCTTCGATCGCATGGTTGGAGCAAGAAAGTAGCTCGACGGATAGCACGAGAAAGGAATGCAGATTTAAGGGATAACTATTTGTATCAGCTGTCAGAGTTCTGCTCGTATCACCTAGTCTACATCGATGAATCAGGCTGTGATAAGCGGGCTGGCTTTAGGAGGACAGGCTGGTCTCCCCGTGGGGTGGCGCCTGTCCAAGTTTCCCGTTTTCAGCGGGGTCAACGGTACCAGATTCTCCCCGCGTATTGCCAGGATGGCATCTTGATGTCGCGAGTCTTCGAAGGATCGACTGATGCTAGTTTGTTCGAGGACTTTATTGAACAGCTTCTCCATCATTGTGGTAGATGGCCAGAGCCAAAGTCCGTCCTGATTATGGACAATGCGTCTTTCCATCATACGGAGCGAATAACCGAGCTATGCTCAAGGGCCGGTGTCAAGCTGTTGTACTTACCACCGTACTCCCCTGATTTAAACCCGATCGAAGAGTTCTTTGCAGAGCTCAAAGCGTTTGTGAGACGTAACTGGCAGAAGCACACTGGTGAAGATTTTAAAGATTTTCTTGAATGGAGCCTAGATGTCGTGGGGGCTAGAGTAGAAAGTGCACAAGGTCATTTTCGACATGCGAACGTCGAGGTTGAAGAGCAACGATAATAGATGTATTATATATTGCCAAGTATGGCGAGCTTTTGACCAGTTTTGTATAAGATCACTTGAAGCTTTTCTATCCCAGCGTTGTTTATGATCTAGGATAATGGTAGGCCAACATGGAGTCAAGAATTCAAGCTTAGAGATAGTTTGCTGTCAGATTCTGGTGAGAATGAGGAATTTAATTTTGTCTATACTGAACTGGATGCCACTGCTGTGCAACAATCCATGGTCATGTGAAGCAGACTGCTCATGACGTAATGCGCAAAGGTCGTTTAAATGTACCCATTTTTTTTGCCTAGCGTCTTGGCGGGTGGGCCCAGAATGAAGAGAAGAGTATGAAGTGGTGAAGCTGGTTTTGCACCACCCTGTATAGCGCAGTTGCTCTTTAGTGCCGGACCGGATCTCCTGACAGATGAACATGACCAGAAAGTCTGGAATGATTCATTCCTCGATCCATGATCTCTACCGACATATAACATGCCATGAATTGCAGGCCATCCATCCATCAGAAACTGGCTCATCCACAGTCTCCAACGAGAGGTCACTTAGCTATTCCTTGAACACCGAAGAGCTCTGGGAGTGATGCGAGACGAATGCCGACGACCCGATCGGTGGGTAGAGAAGACCTTCTGTGTATGTAGAATGCTGTGCTATCGTTTGCAATCAATGATGCTGACCCGACCCCGACTTTAGCTCGGACCTAGTCAGAGATTAAGGCCAGCGTATCTTATTCTTAGTAGGTTAAGGTTAGCTCAGGAGCGGCTGAGGCCTGGATTTAGATTAACGTTAAAGACCCCTGCACGGACTGACTGCCTCGGGTAGCTGGTGGGGGACAATCCAGTGATTTCATCCTCAGACTTGGTCAAACACAGAGGAGGGGTCGTGGCCATGAGGTCGGTGCTTCGGTGAAACCATCTGAGGTGTCGAGTCCATCGACACCCTTCCGTCCTGCCTAGACCACGGTGTTGTGAATCCATTACGGAGATGGTCGGCATCGATCTGGCTTATCATCGAACAATCTACACCGGACAGTCTTCAATGTTCGACCTCCCGCCGGATACCCCATATAAGCTGCAGGAGGATAAATCAAGGAGGGGAGTCGAAGAGATTCATACCAATCAACCCCGCGAACCGATCCACCGTCGCCAACCACAAGCGACGGCCATTGGAGGGGGATATGACATCTTGTGTGCCACAACACTAATTGCTCCGACCCGGCCACGGCTGTCAATCCCTCCTGGATTAGCACTGATCTGGGCCGTAGTGGCGGGGCCGGCCAGGACTAAACTCCAGGCTAGACCTCGCCAGAGCGACCGATGGGCCAATCAGCCCCGGCCATCGACGGGGATGTCAGATTGCCAGCCAGACTGCGGCGTATCCGTCTGCTCCGGCTGTACCAGAGTGGAGCCCGAGGGATGAAGCCCGGTACGGTACCGTCACGATAAGTCAAGGGTTCCCTTCCCAATTGGGCCACACTGCCTGCAGCCACTAATAGCAGTAGCCTAGTAGCACTACTCCAGGGCAGCCGGCGGGAAGGCAACCAACCGCTCGTACTAACAAAGGGACCCGTGTCGGAGAATGCACTGACAGTTGAACGTTATGTACGCATTGTGAACTATGTAGACAAATGCTGATGGAAAGTATACCGACGTGAAAAAGACCAGCACAACAAACGCCCCAGCCAACACCACGCACTTAAACAATGATCGCGCTTATAGATCAAATCGAACCGACAGGATTTTCATGGAAATGCAGCTTCAGGAAGACAGCGAACGGGAAGCAGAAAGAAGTATGCTAGTGGTATCATCGCTTTGGAAAGAAATCAGATCAATGCTTCCACATTCATGCGAAAAGAGTGCGCCCATAATGCCGTATGCAAGAACCGCCAGTGCTCGTCTACCGACGACGGCGGTTGGCGCGGAAAGCTGTCAAGTCAATAGACTCCACCGACTCTGTACCATCATCCACCTCGATGATGTCAATCTTCGAAAGGGACTGCCTGTCGGCCTCGATGGTGGTACCCGTGGGGGTCATGGTTGGAGTTTCTTCCTGAACCACAGGGACCTCCGGCTGTTCCGCCTTCAAACGGCGAACCTCGTTGGTAGCCAAGTCTAGCAAGCCCTTGAACTTGCCTTCTACGCTGGCTAAATCTGCCGAGCAGTCACCTGATCGGAGAAAGTGATACGCAGCCGTTTCGCACACCTCATGGACTAGTTCCAATTGCTTCTCTGCTGCATCAAACGGTGAGTGTTCCCGAGCGCGAGGTCCTGGAGGGCCCTGGTTCCGGGCTTTGCGGATGCTGGATAGCACATCATCTTCACTTGACTCCGAGCTGGTAAGAGAACCGGCCAGACTATTGAGCCTCGCGCTTCTGTCTAGCATTTTGTTGCGGTATCCTGATACCGGGAGCGAAGCCATTCTGCCTTTCCGGATGTTGTTTCGAGCCGTCCCAATGTTTCGCACCATCTCCTCCAAGACCTTCTGTGTATGGCCGTCATAGTGGATAATGAGGTTATTGCGTGTACTGACGAATGGACCCTGGTCGCTGCCATCCAGGGTGGGCGCTTCTTCTGCGCCGCGTTTCCGGGGATTCACATTCGCCTGGTGCTGGGAAGTATTCGGGGTGGTAACGGTCGTACGTGTTTCGGCGGCGGATGACTGAGGCCGGGTTTCGGTATCGGGGGCCGACGAGCGTAGGTCCTCGGTTCGGATGGAGCAGATCGAGCTGTTCTTGCGACGACGCGGTCTTACCGCGACATGTCGCTTGTAGGCCTCGGCATATTCTGCATTTTTGGCAGTTGTATGAGTAGAGAGTTCAGAAAGTCGACCGAGCCAGGCTGGTATGTTGTCCGACAGGTAGGTGAACGCCGCCAGGGCGTCTATTTGTTGGCCAGCAGGCATGGTTTGGAACCAGTTCAGTGAAGGAAGGGGGAGGACATGTGCTTCGTAGTAGTTCGGGTCCGGATTTGTACTTCCGGGTGGAAAAACAACTCTGTGGGTTCGTCCAATGGCTTACCCCAGAGAGTTTCGCAGTCGTCCAGATAGTTGGAAAGAAGAGAGAATCGAATGATAGATTGATGAGCGGCGAAGCTGCCAATTCGTGTCGTCGTCGAGTCGTCGAGGGCCGATGGGCGGTGGTTGAAGGGGTAAATACGAAGCGAATCAGGAAGCTACAGCTGTTCCATGGGTCAGGGACTGCGCACGAGAGCGGTGTCGAAATACTAGTGGGCGGGATGAGGCACGCAAGGCTCCAAGGCAAAGAATGGTGAAAGCACAGAGAGCATAGGCACACTCAGGAAGAGGAAGAAGAAGGGGAGTGGAAAGAAAAGAGAAGAGAAAAGAAGACAAGAAGACAAGAGAAGAGCGAAGCGAGCAAGGAGAACCAAGTTCACTCGCTGGTGGTGGACGAGCTGACAGGGCCGAACAATACCATAGAGGGTGACGTCCCCGAAAGTGAAGCCCGAGACGTGGGTCTGAGCCATGCAGCAGGATGCATTACGGTAATCTTTCAGCCCGTTCTTCACATGACGGTGGACCAGGGGGGGTCCCTTCCATGACGGGCATTAACTATTAAGATTCTCGATACCCTTCCATGAACAGGGGTCCCCTGCAAGCGTCGGCCACTCGGGCAATCCCATGGCCGGTTCCACTCCATCTTTCCCTCTGGTTCGGGCGCCCGGATTGGCTTCAGCCTGGCATCTTACGAAGGAACGACAGCGATTGCGACGCACGCTGCCGAGCCTAGGGCGTGCGACGTCCAAAGTACATTCACAGGAGGGAATTCTGGACAAGCGGTGAGCATTTCTAGGTATCAATCGCACCATCGTGAGGGGAAACCGTGGGTATTGTCATGAGATGATTGTTGCGGAGGGCTCGGAGGAACCCCTGAAGATGAGACTCTGACAGTACAAGGCTGTTTAGAAATGAGGTCCCCGTGGTGGATATTCTGGAAGCTTTCTCCCCATATATTCCAAACACGCCCACTGTAGTTTCACCGCGAAGGACGGGCAGTCCGATACAGTACGGAGTAGTGCCTGCCTACGGACACGTGCTCCAAACCAAACCAAACACTCAACAATGAACAAATATCCCAGCCCATCCAGCCATCACATCAATCGAATCATTTCACCAGGATGGGTCTGTGTTCCGCATGGTCCAATGCCACGACTGCAAGAAATGAACATGACATCGCCGCTCAAGGCCGAAGCCATCTCAATCTCACTAACGGCGACTTTACCCAAGAGAGTCATGACACGTAACGGCCTGCGCCAAATGCTAGACAGGGTTCTCCAGGCGAGTCAAAGGACTCGGAACCGACCAGGATTATTTTTCCCTTGGCTGACAGAAGAGCCCTTGACCACCATGAGATGGGCGACCGGCCTTGCTCTCCTGGTGGGATTGGGCTGCGGCAACGCCGATCCGCCCGCGCTGAGCCGTGGGGGTCAGAAGTCATCCAATATGGTTGGCCCGGCTCTGCAGCATGTTATGCTGTGATCCAGGAAAATCCATGAGCCTGTCCTGGGCGCGAATGACTTGTTCGTCGATGATTCCTGGGTTCCATGGTACAGAGGACTCGACCATCAGGTCATTCCTCCGCCTGGGGTTTGCACTGCAGATCGGATTACGACGTCTCGCTACGGTCCAGCCAACTGCCATAGGAGCCATGCACGCCATACGACCATCCGCCCGAGGAGACGTCGGACAATATGTACATACAATTCAATTGTTATCCTTTCCGGGAATTCCTCCCGGAACTAAGATGATTGGGTGATTCTATCTAACACATACAACCCGAATTTACCCTCGAGCTGCGCGGTTTGACGGCGGAATACAACTCAACGAGGCCATGGTATCGTATGTACAAGTGGTGTGCCTGTACTCGGCTGCCTTCCCTAACGCCGCTAAACTATCCGAAGGCATTGACAAACACAAAACAAACCATATATACTATGTTAAACACTGGCAAGCGACCGGCGATGGACCAACACCTCCTTGCCATTACAAAGCTTACAAAGCAGACCAACGAACGAAGTGTTTCCGTATCATTTTACACCGGCTCTCCCCCGTTCCCACTGGCACACCCAAGAATCCAGCATCTGTTTGGCATCCCGAAGAGCGTCCATGGCCGCCTGCCACTTACCCTCGCAATCTTCTAGCTTCGCGTGTAGATTTCGACTGAATACCACGTGCGGTGCCAATTTACTTGCACCTTGCAACGGATCCTCGAGGAGCGAGGGAAGCGCAAGAGCAACGGAGACGGAAGCGTCTTGGAGACTCGCCTGATCGTCATCTCCGGTCGGTGTGCCTCGTCTCGCTCGCTTCCGTGGAACAGCTTCCTCCTCTTCCTCCTCTTCCTCCTCTTCCTCCTCTTCCTCCTGTTCCTCCTGTTCCTCCGTAGCAGGAGCAGCCGGCGCTCCGGCCTTGATAGGTGAGACCTTGCGCGGCCTCCCCCTTTTTCTCTTCTGCGGGGCCGGCTCTGGCTCGGCCGGACGGGTTGGAGATGTCTCAGTAGAGTCACCCTGGACATTCTTGATCCGGATCTTTATGCCCGTCTTAGAAGCATCGTCATTGTCATCATCATCGCCAATGCTATTGTCATTGTCCGTTTTGGTCCTTTTGGATGACGGACCTGGCTTTTTCTTTGGCCCAGCAGTCTGTTTGCGAGTGCTGGTTGAAGGAGGAGGAAGGGTCCTTTGTTCTTCCACTGTGAAATGTTAGGAGCGGAGCAGTAATAGGATATAACGACCTCGCAAGGAATCTTACCATCTCGATGCACACACCGTTTCTTCGACCTTCTACAGTCGTCACACGCTGACTTCTTCGGTTGTCGCTTTCTAGACGAGCCAGCAGGACTCTTGGCTTTGCCCCTGGCCTTGGAAACCTTTGCGGAAGCCCGAGGGGCGGTTTTGGATGCAGCTTGGGGTTCATTCTGCAAGATGATCGGTTAGATGGATGTGCGCACTGATTCCATGGATAACAAGACCAACCTCAAGCCTAAGATCTTTTTTGGCAGGCACAGCCTGCTTTGCAGTCGCGTTGTACTCGGACTCATGCATCTCGATCGACTCGGGAATCTCTATCGTGTCGGGAGTCGCTATCGACTCAGGTATCACTATCGACTCAGGTATCATCATCACCGGCTCAGGTAGCATCATCGGCTCGGAGATCGCTATCGATCCAGGCATCACTACCGACTCAAGTATCGCTATCGACTCGGGTACTTCGATCGACTCCATGATGGCCACAGCAATGGCAGCCTCATCGTCTGAAGGCAGCGGCTCTGTTTTGATCTCGACAAGCTCGTCGTCCGAGTCGTAGTCCTCGGACTTGACCTGCGTGCCATCACAGTGGATGCATATATCCGAGTTGTCGGCGAAGTCCATCCTGCAATTGACGCAGATGGGTCGCAAGTCCAGATCAGGGGACACCGGCTTGGTCTGTGGACGTTGTGCCGACATGGGATCGATTTCTTGGGGCCTGTTTGTTCTTGATCCTCACCACGCGGTGTTGATCCGATTAGGGAGTTTAGTAAACTGATCATCCGATGTATTGGAGATTTTTGGTTCGGATGAGAGTGACCGGCGATGACTTTGCGAAAATTTATAGGCCGGGTCCTGACGAGATGCACGCAGGAGCACAAGGGTCAGCTTTAACTTTGACTGGATCGAGTTGCAAGGGTTGATGCCTTTGTGCTTATTGTGTGTTTCAGAGAACACAACGGCTGTCATCAAGGTCTGCTTCATCGACACATAAAGATACTATTCCAACAAGTCAAGGCAACAAAGACACCGGACAAACAAATGTGGAAGACAGGCTATTATCCGGGTCGCATTTGTACCCTGCTGAAAGGATTTGGGCCCAGACTCTTTATGTCATACATGGGGATTTTGCGTCGGATTGTTCCCTCTCTTGCAACGGACATCACCTTTTATTCTCAACCTCGACAGGTTCCGCCTGAAATCCTAATCTACAACGGCAACATCCCAACAAAGCCCATCAAAGCACTTTGCCATTGGTTGCACCCAAAATAGCAACCCTCTACTCCGGGTGACAGCCTTCTTTTCTCCGAGAGTCGAGATCAAGGCCACAACTCTACCTCTTCCCACTCCTCCCCATCGCGCACTGCCGTCCACCTCGTCCGCGTCACATTCGCTGGATCCTGCAAATCCAGTCTCTCGACCTCCTCCGGCCGAATTACCAGCACCCGAAAGTTCGCTCGCGCAACTTCATCCCGGAGATCTTCCACCTTCTGTCCAAGCTTCAATTGAGGCTTTCCGGGGTCCTGAGACCGTGGTGTTCCAGGGGGCGGATTCTTGAACGTGCCTACTCATACACACCCACAAATTAGCACCCATCCATATCATCCCCCCAACCTCCCCAACCTTCCCCCCGACCTCCAAGCAAGAAAGAAAGATACTACTCCGTACTCACCTCTCATAGCAGGCGAATGATTCGCAAAATACATATCCACCTGCCTCTCCCACGTCCACTCCCCATCCCCCTCCTTACCACCCTCATCCTCCTTCCTCCTCAACCCCCTCCCCACAACCTCCCTCTCCCCAGTATCCCTCCCATCCTCACCCCCCAAAACAAACCCCTTCCCCCTAACCCTCCACTGCTCCCCACCTCCCCCAACCAAAACATCCCCTCCATCACCCCACCCGAAGCCCCCAACTCCCCCACCTTCTCCATCCTCACATCCGTAGTCACCGCAATCATCTCACTCTCATATATATCCGGATTCAGACCGATATTCTGCTCCTTGAGGGATTTGATTGCTGACGGGTGCAGACTGAGCGAGGGGAAGAAGCCCCGGAGTTCGACGGTGCGGGCGCGCGGGACCGCGTGCCCGCCGTGCAATGACTTCCCGATTGTGGTCAGTGTGAAAGACGTGGTGGCGGAGGGGGAGGTGAGGTGGGATTTTAAGGCGGGGAGCCACGGGGCGAGGGGTCGGGAGGGCATGTTGTTGTTGATGGTAGGTGGTGGGATTTCGGAGGGGAGGTTGTTTGGTTGGTTGGATCGTGGTGGAGGAATTGGTGGGGAATTGAAGGTTTGAGTAGATTGTAGATGGTTTGTAGGGTGTAGCTTGTTGGTTGGATTGTATGGAGTAGAAGAGAGTGAGTCTCTTTGGATGAATGTGAATGTGGAGGGGAGATGAGGGGAGGTAGATCAGGCCATGACGTTTCGTGACGCTCGCGCGGCACGTGCTGTTATCTTATCTGATTGTCATTGGTTGTGAATTGAACCCATTGAATGGATTTCAAGATTATATCATTTTGCTATGCGATATTTCGGTTCTAACTGTTTGTCAGTGCTGAGTTGTATGGGGACTAACTGGCCTTTGGAGATTTATTGGTGGCTGCGTCTTATTGCATTGCCCAGTCTTATTGCAAAGCAGTTCCAATTCCAGCGATTTAAATCTGCCCCTAGGGCAGGAGCCATCTCAAACCAAAGATCATCCAAATATTTTATTCGACCAAACACCGAACATGCACTGCTACTCAAACACAACCAGCAGCAGCAGCAGCAACAGCACAACCAGATAATATGACACATAACATATAAAAGTAGCCCCGAAGCCAAACCAACCCCATAATGAAACAAGTCGACAGCTCCTCATGACTGCATCTTATCCTCATCATCCGTATCCTCCGCATAACCCAACGCTCCACCGGGTATCCGACCCTCATTCAACTCCTTCTCCAGTCGCGAAATCTCCTGCAAGCTCTTCGCCTCCCGGATCATCTTCTCCACTCGCTTCCTCTCCTTATCCGTCAACTGCACCCGCACGGCCTTATCGGCGGGCGCCCGGTCCGCACCTCCCGAGGGAACGTCGAACGTGCGAGATTTGATTCCCATGATCTTGGACGCAAGAGCCGATGGCTCCTCGGCGGTTCCGAACAACTCGGTGGCTTTTTCGCGCTCGGCGTCTTTCACTTTCTGGTAGTCGAGGAAGCGGACGCTAGGAATGCGCCAGATAACGTAGTAGCGGTAGTGCTGGTGTCGTTAGAGTCGTCCGACCGTAAGACACAGGTAAAGTGGAATGGAATGGATGAAAACTCACCTCCTTCCTCGTGACGGGGTTCTCAATCAACACCAAATGCGTCAAGCTGGACAGGTTGCGAAGGGGGTCCAGATCCGCCAGCTCGCTCATGTTATTCGCTGCCAGGACCAGCGCACTCAGGTTCGGAATGGCGGAGGCTATCGTCGGCTGGATTTGCTTGACTCGATTACGCGCGAGGAGGAGGGTACGGAGACGAGGGAATAGGGGGAAGTTTCCGAAGGAGGTGATATCGTTATCTGTCAGGTCGATGGCATCTTGGTCCTGGTTTGGAGGGGTCGGTTAGACCATGCAACGAACGGAGTTGTGGTGGAGGTGAGATGAGAACTCACCTTGGCGATACCCAAGTTCTCGATGGCGGGTATCTTGTGCCCTAGACGACGCAAAACACAAACCGATATCAATCAAGCTCATCTCAAATGTGTAGTATCTGTTCTTTTCAGGTCTAGTGTGTGGAACGCACCTCGGAGATCTAGCTCGCGATCCTTGAGCGGGTTGATGTAGGAAAGGGAATTTTGGATCAGTTCGACGGTCAATCGCATGGTGGCGGTGGAGGTTCGATGGAGGCTCTATTGGGGTATCATGCAATGAATAAATGAAGCGGGACAGAAGCGACAGCGTATAATAAAGACTGAAGAAGAAGACGTCAATTGAGACAAGCGGGGGCGATGGAGATTGAAGCTGGAGCTCTGTTGCGTATACCCCCAGCGACGAGGGCGCCGATGATTTTGCCCGGGCGGTGAGCCGCTCAGTCAGCATGGCACGTGAGCATATATTCCACGCCTCCAAGACACGCCCCTGACGAGGGCGGCTGTTATCAAGCATTATGTACCCTACCTTTGCTCTGCACTGCATTCGCGGGGTACTGAATACTACTATGAGTCGATACAATCAAACGGAATCACATGAAGACTCGCTCAGGCAGGCTGTATCGACTTATCGAACCGTTCTAGGTGCACCTTCTGCATGTGTACTGAACTCTAATGACATTCATCTTGAACAAATAATGGTCATACAAATTATGCGTCGCTAGTTTTCCTTTCTCCGCACTCAGTCACGGAAGCGGAGGAATCCTTTGATACCCCGACCAAGGTCGGGGTAGCTGTCCCATGAGCCATCATAGACCAATCCCCAATCTGCTCATCAAAGAACTTAGTCTGATCGAGTCCAAGCATTTCATCCTCGTCATTCACCCGGAATTCCATCCCGGGGATGTATCTGAGAATGAGAAGCATAATGTAGGACACGACAAAGGAGTATGAAGCGATAGCGCAGATCTCCGCCAGCTGCTTTCCAACCTGGACGCCATTTCCATCAATGGCTCCAGGGGACAGGCTGCTTCCATCCAGCGCCGAGATCTTTTCACTCGCAAATAATCCCGTTAGGAAAGCGCCCACCATACCACCGAGGCCATGGAGCTTGAAGACATCCATGCCCTCATCAACGTGGATCCACTCGTTCACGTTCTGGAGGGAGGCGCATACAACGCTGGTAATGAAGCCAATACACGCCGCGAGCCACAGAGATACGCAGCCAGCCGCTGGCGTGATCCCGACAAGGCCAGCAATTGCACCTTCACAAGCACCAACCATGGTGAACTTTCCCTTATACTTGATCATGTCAACCAGCACCCACCCGAGGATGCCCATACATCCGGCCGTGTTTGTGTTGAAGACGGCAACCATGGCGCGCATGCTAGCATTGAGACTTGAGCCTCCCTTGATCGTATGGCGGTTAGTCGAAACCAGCAGGTCGGGATGAGATCTCAACGTACATTGAACCCCAACCATCCAGTCCAAATCAGGACAGTGCCGAGGAAAACCAGAGTGGTATTATGTGGTTTGCGGAGCGAAGGCTCCCCATAGTCTCTACGCTTCCCCAAAACCAAGGCGTACGCCAAGGCTGTACAGCCGGAAGCGATGTGCACCGGACCTCCTCCAGCAAAATCAATCGCTGGTAAGTTGTATAACCATCCGTTGCTGCTCCATGTCCACCGGGCCAATGGGCAGTAGACGATGGTTGCCCAGAAGAAGCTGAAGATCAACGACGGTATGATACCCCCTCTTTCGAAGGCACCGCCAACGACGATCATTACCTGCCGGTGTTAGTACATTGCCTTTGCATTGTTGGGAGCGACTCACAGTGCATGCGCAAAACAGGAGCTGGAATAGACAGAAGACGACTTCTGGCAATACAGCGGAGCCAGGCGAAGGTGCCACCAGGACATCCATCAACCCAAAGTTCTTCAGGGTACCAATGAACGGTCCCCCATCTCTGGAGTAGGCAAGCGAATAGCCCCAGAATAACCACTGGAATGTAGATCTACATCAGAGTCAGTTATTACGCCGAATTTTCGATAGATCACAGCGACCCTGCAGACTTACACCGCAAGAACCATGAAGGACTGGAAGAGCAGCGCCAGCGCAGATTTCCTCCGTGTTAGACCGCTGTAAAGCATGCCAATACCAGGTAGAATGAAGAAGACGATGAATGTACATGTGACGATATAAACGTAATTGTACTCATATCCGGCGTATTGTGCGTTCACATCGACCTTGGTCGGGTCCCCGCCCTCCGGCGTCGAAGCGTTGTAGACTGGCTATCGCTCCATCGCATTGTTAGTTAAACATTGTTCGACAACGTTCACAGACAGCTTTGAAAACCTCAAAACATACCTCAGCCATGGTGAACCAGGATGACAGCCGCTATAGGTTTGTGCTGCTTTTGGGCGTATCCCTTGACCAGCTCGGGATTTGCTGGCCTTTAAAGACCACGAAAGCAATGAGCGGCGATAAGACGTTGGTCTTCTTTGAAATTTATCCTCCTCCCTTGCACCTCAACTGCATGGTTGTCTTGGCCGGACCCATTTTGAAATGGGGCATCGATTCTAGATACCCAGCTGCTTGCGACTAGTTACTCCGAACCGTAGTCATTATCTCTCAGCCAAGAGGCCACCCGAATACAAATAGTCAGCTTCATCGCGCTCAAGACTCTTGGTCCGTTGGAACTTGGGTCGCCATTTGCTGGTGTCAAGGAGAATGATATCAAATGCCAAGATGGGCGATCACAAAGAAGGGGGTCCATGTTGATAAGATAGAAAGATGACTGTCATCATCCACGACTGATTGGCTCTATCGTCCACCCCGGATCGTACATCCTCCTGGGGTTTAGGGCGGCACAGGACGATTGAGCTGGTGGTGATAAAATGATGCAGCCCATCGTGCGAGCCCGTGCTGTGATTGGTGAGAGATAACAGCCCGACCAGCCATCCTGGTCGATGCTTTCACCCCTCGAATGCTGGCACGAAAAGTAGATATCTAGGGAGTCCGATCTCTCATGGCCCGCATCAACACGCTAGGCTGACATGGCGTCAGAAACTCAAAGATCTTGGCTGGGAGCTGAAGCTTCGTGTTATACGACCTCGTGGCTGAACGATCAGGTGATGGGGAGGATAGCCAAGCCCCCCTGCGTTCTGTTGCATACCGACTGTGCACTATCGCTAGAGTCTAGACACGCTAGTCATGGCCATTAATAGGGGCATCCTGTCAGAAATAGTAACCAGAATGAAGAATTGGGGCCGGATATGAGACAATCCGGTAGTCCCCAGTTAGCCTGCAACCCTGGTGATCTAACCGCACCAAATATTTCAGCCCTGTTGATGCTATCCAAACACCCACAGCTCCCCTGAATTTTTATGTATAGAGCGATTACTGCCTCTGTTGGGCTTAGCAGAACCACAACTGGTGTGCTTATCTTCTCTTATAGGAATCAATAGGGCTGGGTCTAGGTCGGCTGCAAAGCCATCGTTCCCCACCAGCAGATGACGATCGTCACAATTGATTATCACGGGAGACTCGGGGGGCGAAAAAGCGACGAAACGTAGATCTGAAACTCGGATTGGCGTTAGATTCCGATGTCCACGCGATGAGCTTCGTACCTGAGTGCAGAAACCTACGCTCCGCAGCAAGGGGAGGGAGGCGAAGGATCACAACACGAGGGGAAGGATTGGCCAAACTCACTAGTGGAAGTTCGTCAGCAGCAATTAATATGGAATGCTCTGTGCTTGGGTACCCGGGAGGCCTCCTCTCCGTGCCGGTCGGGGTTCCTAGGGAGTGCGCCTTGGGACGATCGAGAGTTCATCAAATGGCAGTGCCGCGACCGATGCACATGCCTCGTGGTTCCTAGATCCAGATTACTCCCACTACTGTTTAGTAGACGGTAGTACTCCGTAGTAGTGAAAGGACTAGTGGAGGGCATCCACTCTGAGCTGAGACCATCTCATCTTACCCGGAAAGCTCGGAGAGTTACAGGGCCGGGCGCCCCTCTTTTCTCCCCACAGCAGGAGCATGGCAACGATGAGATGATGGAATGATGGAAGATGAACGAGGATTCGAAGGAGGACGACTCGTCTTTCGCTGGCGGAGGCATCCAATCAGGCAGATTGGCCCCCAACGCCCGGGGCTGACTAACGCGAGGAGGAAGCCTTAGTGCCTTGCTCACACAGCCTCATCCTTGTCCCCCCCATTTTTCTCCAACGCCCGGCCATGTGTCTCCTGATTCTCGCTGGCTGGATTGCCAGACCACATATATAGGCCGCAAAAGCTTGGCCTTGGTCCAGTATGAAATCATCAACCATGGGTGTTCAGGGAACTGCGCCGAAGAAGCGGACTCGGGTCAGTCACACCAAGGTGCGTACTGGGTGTCGGACATGCAGGTACAAACTCACCTTGATGGCTACTGTATAAGGACCCCGTTTGTTAACCTGGTCCGTGTAGGATACGCCATAAGAAATGTGATGAGACCCGGCCCATCTGTCTCATGTGCAGCAGCACTGGACGTATCTGCGATGGATACCAGCAGACTATCGACAGAAGAACCCGTGCCTCCCGGCTCCGCCTCTTGTCCACATCACCGTCATCAGTTAGCGACACATCATCCACCGTGAGCATGCCGTCCCTAGCGTCGGATCTGATCCTGCACACCAATCAGATCGACCTGACCCGGCAGGAACGTTGGTATCTTGACTTCTTCCGTCGGAGTACTGCTTTCCAATGTTCCGGTTACTTCGATGATGATTTCTGGCTGCGTCTAGTACACCAGGTCACAGAGGCTGAGCCGGCAGTCAGGCATGCTGCCATCGCACTAAGTGCTCTGCACTGCAACTTCGAGCGGACCAGCACCGGGCAGGGTACCGTGGACAGCCGCCTTCCTCTCCAGCAATGTGTCAAAGCCATCTCCTCCCTGCGACAGCAGCTAGCTGGGGGAGGACTTCCATCGCGTATCAACATGGAAATTACTCTAGTGACCTGCGTGCTTTTTGTCTCGTTTATGTTCCTCCAAGGGGACACCCATTCAGCCTGTTGTCATTTGCGTGGCGGCCTTAAGCTTCTGAAGGAATGGAAAGGCACCGACCTAGCCGGGTATTCCACTACTGGTGCGGTATTGATGAAGGTATTTGCTCGTCTGCAACTACAATGGTCGACCTTTGCGGACGACGTATTTATCGAAACGGAGAATGACCGCTTTGACGTTCCATACATGGAAATCAACGACCTCAGCCTGGAGGAACCCACCGACAACTTAGAAAAAGCAGGTAACCTGCTCGTCAGTCTAGGTCGGCTCGTTCTAGCCCCTCGTCCTTCGGGCGTAACCCCGCCAGGTTACTGTACAGTCCTAGACACCAAACGAATGGTCATCCTCAACAAACTTCAACATTGGACCGCCGAACTCGACACCTCAATCACATCTCGCGGAAGCACCCTGCTGCTACGAGATAATACTGTTCTCACAGTACTCAAGCTGTGGAGCGAAATCATCTACATCATGGCGGCAACCGAGAACCGGCTAGGGGGGAGCGAGACGCGATTTGACGCCTTTCACATCAACTTCGGAAGAGCAGTCGCGCTTGCTAAAATTCTCCTGTTAGCCACACCTGATCAATCAGTCATGCCGAGTTTCTCTATCGGAATGGGCATCATCCCTCCCCTTTTCTTCTGCGCCTTCAAGTGCCGAGACTGGTACATCCGCCGGGAATCGTTACAGTTGCTACGCAGCTGTCAAAGACAAGAAGGTCTCTGGACGACACCCGGAGCCGTGCTCGTTCTAGAAAGGATCATCGAGATCGAATCGAAGGAACTCATGCCGGGAGACCTTGTGCCCGAATCCCGACGTATCGACTCCATCCACGTGAACATCCTTCCGGATGACAACAAGATCGGGCTATGGTACCGCCGATCAGGCATGAGCCTGCACAATGGACGCGTGGATGCCACCTCCGGGGTCTGGGAGAAGGCCTTGCTAGACTACCAAGTTGGGTGACACCGGCTCTCAGGTTTGGGTTGACAACAACCACTGGGCGGAATATTATAATATACCTTGTACTAGATACCAATTTGATTTTTGCGTTTGTTCTTATCTTGCTCCAAATTACTGGCTTCCTATTTAGATAAATATCACATCTAATCATTCACCAACGTTCCGTCCAAGCCAACACTACGAACTCTAAATGATACCATCCCAGGGCCCTCGCAATACCCTAACGATGGAACAACAAAACCTAGACTCCTAGAAATACAATACTATTTATATCCTATAAATCCTCCTTTCTCCCACCCCAACCCCATCCAAAAAACAATCCCTCCACAAATCACCACCGACACCAAACCTTAGGGTTATACATATCCACCGTCACGGTCTCATAACAATCCAACACCTTATTAACCGGATACTCCACACACTGAACCGTCTTCCCCAGATCGGGACAGGTGAACGTCCCCGGCTTCTTCTCCGTCCCCTCATACACACAATCCTTCATCCCATGGACCTTGAAATCCAACTTCTTCGTACCATCCGGATACGGCGGATCCGCGACCTTAATGGATCCGCTGGCTTCGATCTCGCCGATGGAGCCATCGCAGACGTTGAAGTCCGAGCCTATGTCGGGTGTGAAGAACGCCCAGTAGCTGTAGAAGTTGGTGAGGTAGGAGATGACGAGTTGGGCGGTGGGGGATGCAGTTGCGGCGGTGGTTGTGGTGGTGTGGGTGCCGGTTTTGATGGCTGTGGTGGAGCCGGCGCATTTGGTGTAGGTGTAGGTTGTGGTTGAGTATTGGAAGTAGCTGAGGGTGGAGCTGGCGCAGACGATGACGTCGCCGTCGATGTAGGAGGTTGTGAAGGGGGCGTGGGTGGTGGGTTTTTTGGTGGTGGGTTTGGTGGAGGTGCTGGTGGTGATCGGAGGTGGGAGGGTGGTGTAGTCGCAGACACTGTTGGAAGTGGTGATGACGGGCATGGTCGTTGTGTGGCCGTCTTGGGTGCATATGCAGTAGTCGCCGGCGTTGTTGTCGGGGTCGGCGCTAGAGGGAAGGGGGAAGGGGGTTAGGGGTGGGTATGGAGGGGGTGAGAAGGGGAGAGGGTCACGTACTAGTTGTAGCATAGGGGTTTGGAGGCGCTGGCGGTAGTGTAGGAGGTGATTAGGGTGGTGGCTGTTTGGTTTCGCGATGGGGAGGCGGTGATTGTGGATGGGTGGTGCGTCGTGCTGGTTGCTCCGCTGAGGGTGTGGACGATGATGGTTGAGGTTGTCTCGGTTGCCGTGGAAGAATTGCTCTCTGTCCTGGTGTATGTTGTGTTCGTCATAGAGGTGCTGAGATTGCTGATGTGGGAGGAGGATGCAGAGAGCGACCTGGAAGTTGAGCTAGAAGTCGACTCTGTGGAGGACGAAGACAAAGTCTCAGACTTGATCGCTGCAGTGGATGATACTGGCTTTGAAGACGCCAAATCGGTTGAGGTTCTTGGGATTGACGAGGACTCGGACGTGCTTGTCGAGGATGGACTCGTGGACAAGGTAGATGTGCTGGACGAGTGACTTTTGCTAGAGGAAGTAGACACGGCAGAGCTAGACTGGGAGGTTGAAGTGGCGGACGAGTCAGCCTTGGAAGACTTAGAAGCCGTGTCCAATGTGGTGGTGGTTGTCGAGCCTGTATTAGTCGCAGCAGAGCCAGTTGCTGTGATTCCTACAGCACTCAAGGAGCTTCCCTCAGTCTGAAAAGCCTCGAAAAAAGAGGATACACTGGAAATGTATGAGGAATCGTCGTCACCCGACGAAGGAACCTTGTCAAGGACGGTCACCATGTCATCTGCAGTACTGGCGATGCAGCTCACAATCCCGACAACATCTCCCAGGAGGCCTCCACCACTGCTGCAGCCATCCGAGCCCCCACCCGAGCTAGACTCCAGGACACTTGGAGCGTTGAGTGAGTCAAGTATGTCATCAGCTACAGGAATCACACGCTTCACAATATTAGCCACATCGGATGCCTTCACCGAGTCCTTGTCCTTCATCCATTTCTTGACCACCGGATATGATTCCTTCACTAGTTTGTAGAGATGCTTTATCAAGGAATAGACATCGAGCGAGGAAGAAGTCGTGGTACTGGCGCTTGTCGTTGTCGGGGTCCCTGTCGTGGTGGGGGCGGACGTGATGTTATCGGTTCGACTAGATTGGGCTGTTGTAGTGGTGTCTGAACTGGAACTCGACTGGGTAGATGTAGAAGGGGAGGTAGTGCTTGAAGAGCTACTTTCAGAACGAGTATGATATGTGTGTGTCTTGGTCGTAGAGCTGGTGGCTGACTTGGAAACAAGCGGCGTTGGTATCGTGGAAGACTGAGACTGGACGTGAGTCGATGAGCTCGTGGAAGACTCGAGCTGAGTCGATGTCGACGAACTCGTTGGAGCTTTTGACGAAGACAGGGGAGATGTGGACGTGTAAGTTTGTGTATGTTTCGACGTAGTCACTGAGCTGACTGGCGTTGAAGACTCAGAGGGAACATGGCCTGAGCTTCTGGAATAATTAGAAATGATATGGATTGAGCTCTTAGATGAGCTTGTTCGAGCTTCAGTGGAAGAGTCAGACAGAGAAGAAGTGAACAAGCTAGTAGAAGGACTAGTGGAAGTTTCTGTAGAAAGATGAGAGTGTGATGGGGTGGGCGAGGTAGTGTAATGCTGGGCGAAAAGTCCGGCAGAAGAGCTTGGCAACGTCGTGTGGGCAATGGAAGGAGTAAATATACTGGCAGACGATCCAAATACACTGTTGTCGTTTAACTTAGCCAATTAAACATGCCATTGGATAGCATCACAAGGTGTAAGGTGGTCGATTAGAGACTGACCTATGAAGGGAGTCTACGGGTGCGCTTGAGTGTGCAGTCTTAGTGGTACCGGAGGAGTGAATGAGTGAATGTGATGTTGCAGGCTCGGTCAAAGTATCCTGGGTAGAGCTAAAGGGGTGCGTTGTCCACGAAGGAAAGTACAGTGGAACACTTGAGGTAGTAATGGTAGATGCTGAGTCTGGCTCAGAGGACCACGGGTGAGGACTTTCGGAAGAGGCTCGACTTGAGTAGCTCGCAATGACGGATGAACTGGGATAGGAAGACTGAGGAAGGCCTAAAGACGGTGAAATGGTACTAATAGCCCAGAGTCCTGCCAGTAGGGTTTTCGTAGTAAAGAGTGACATTGTCTAAAGGACGACAGCTAAAGAGCGACTAGAATAGGAGCATAAAGAAGGAATGACTGATGGCGTATGCTTGGCGCATACCAAATAGCTGAGGGGATGCTTTTCTTTAGTATTTCCTAGTATTGTCAAGCATTGAGAGCCTTTCTTATTTTTGATCTTCTGGGGGCCAATGGGCAGCCGCCTCAACCAGCCCCATATATCCCGTGCCCACAGTTGCCAGGAACAACGTGTGTAGCCAGTGAGGCGTGACGATGAGATCCTGCTGCAATTCCCGATGCTTTGTTCGCCTACTACAGGAAATATTTGGCAGCCGCATCAAGTGTTAAGCTATTGCAGTTACTTCCTCAGAAGCATGATCTAGATCCTCCGGCCCCCAAACACGGACTGGACGGGGCGAAAACTCCGCCAGCATTTGAATTTCCCCTTCTAGATGGGTGCAATCGCTGCACAGCCGGCTATCTAGTGCTTACCGTCTCCTTGCTCGAGGCGAGATGCTAGGACTTGCCACTATCCCAGCTGAGCATTCGCATATTTGTATTGGGATCAGCACCTCAGTAAAGGCCTGCAGGTAGCGTACACGCAACGGTCAGCCTGGAGTATTGGGGGCAATTTGAGCGACCTAACGCACCGAGAAGCACCAGAACCTTCACCAGAATGGGCTGCTAATCCTCTCTGAGAGTGGATCTCACAAGTTCATTCTGGATGGTGAATGACGCTTTCAGGCTAGTAAGCCCGCTTCCAACCCAGATATGATATGAGAAGGTTCAGAGCGATGGATCGAACATAGCAATAATGCGATTATCAATCCAGCTTCAGGCGCAATCGAAAACTGCTCCACTAAGCAAATAGACATATGAATAGAAAGGGAGTATACTGGTGTGGAGACTACTGGATAATGAGAACAGAGGCGCGGATGCCGGTGCTCGCCAAAAAATTTCGTTTGTCCTGTTTGCTTTACCCCTGACGATCCGGCCAAATGATGCAACCTCCACGCCAGTTCCCCGCATCTTGACAAGTATTACGGATTAACATGGCTGTACGACAAACAAAAGAAATACACCACAAGCATATGGCATAAACGCATAATCCTGCCAGTCCTATGATCCTAGCCCCTTAGCCCCGGTCGCTGCCATCAGACCAAACACCTCCATGATTGACCGCTTACACCTGCTCTGCCCCATGAGGGATGTTGGGCACATTATTCTGCGGCTGCGAGCTACTCGGAGTGTGGTTCCTCCTTCCAGCCGTTGGTGACTGTGCCCGATCTACCGTAGTAGCATCAGAATAATATGACGGACGGTGTGTCGAGTCGTTCCACGACCCTGGTCCCATTTTTGCTTCCCATTCGTTGAAGTCCTGACCTGGGTTCACGGTGGTGTACTGGAACATCTTGAGGAATGAGAAAAAGCCGCACGCCAAAAGGCTCCCGAGCAGTGGGCCAACCCAGTAGATCCAGTGATACCCTGGAAAACTGCGGTTGATCACGTCGGGGCCGAGGGATCGGGCAGGGTTGAGTGAGCCTCCGGTATAGTAATCGCCTATGATGGGACAGCCAGGTCAATTTGGGTTCAAGGCAACAGAGCTAGATCAGAACAACTTACCAACCATCTCAGTCACGAAGAACACCAAGCCAATTCCCACTGGAGCCAGGAACGTCGATTTGTGCTTCACAACGGCCAGCATGATGATAATAAACACCAGCTGAGCTGTCAGGAAGACTTCGATGAATAGGCCCTGGGAGATTGATGCACCACCACCCAAACGAGTACCGACATTCAAGGCCCCTGGGAACAAAGCACTGACGACACCAGCAGATGCAATCCCTGCTACAATTTGGGCCGCAAAGACAAGCACCCCGCGAAGAGGGGTCAGCCCGCCGACCAGACACAGAGCCAGTGTGACCTGAAAGCCAATTAGTCCTACTCGTACATTGGAATGACTTGACATACCGAAGGGTTGAACAAGCCTCCAGTCACCCGATAGAATGCCCACACGTTGACCATCAAGGAGAATCCGAAGCACAATGCCGAGTACAGCAGGTTTTGTGTATTTGGATCAGCCCCTTCAGCTGGTTTCGGGGTATTAGACACCTGGGTTCCAGCGAAGGAAAAGAAGAGGAACAAAAAAGTGCCTACAAACTCCCCCACCACGGCAATGAAATTGTTCCGGACTGTGTCAGGGAGATGCAGCATTGGAAGCTGGCTATGCGAGGAGTTATACATGGGGACCGTCTGGCCATTGGCACTGCGTTTGCGGAACCATTCCTGCGGCTTCATTTTGAGATAAGTACTATGCCAGGGGAAGAAACTATTACAGATGAGAATGATTGGAATGAAAGTAAGACTCCATCCAGAGTTCAACGGAGTGCTCTGGCTGCTTTTATACTCAGAGGCACGGCAGCTCCGGCGAGTCAACTGCAATCAACGTCATGACCATCTCTGCAGGCAAACATCTAGACAGAGTTGTCACGGTCCCGAGAATACTCCATCTAGAAAGGAAATACCCCGGAATTGGGAGAGCAAACACAAAGGATGAGCTAGACGACTTGCCCGTGACCATGGTTGATCGGGACGTTGGGGAACCCCGGGGTTCTGGGCCTTGTCCAGTGGTGTCGAGTGGCGTCGAGCGAACCAAACAATAGCAGGGGTCCTGAAGAGAATATTCCGGTATGCGACAGTTGTATGAAGCTACTTTTAACAGCACTACTGTTCATCGAGCAAGATTTTGCACTCGAGTTGCTTTGATTAGGAAGACGAACCTAGGTTACAATGCCGATAGAGTCGTGCCCTCCTTGGGATGGGGAGTGAATCAGGTGCAATTCTGGACATGCTGCATCCTACATAATCGGGCAACTCTCCGGGTGAGCCCAACTGTCATACAGTCAGCATTGCAGCGTTTGTTAAGCGCCTCCGATATGCATATTATTCAATGTGGCGCGGACAGTATATCTCGCGATATCCTTCAATTATCACGAGGAGATCGAGAGGAAACACGTGTCTACCGGTCGGGTCTTGGCTTGTGTCACGTTGACGCCCAGACCCGAACGGCGCGGGCGGACACACATTTTTCCGATGGAGTCACGTGCCGGGATGGCGGGAGGATGCAGGTCTCCCCACTTCTCCCTTCGCAACTCCTCCTGTCGCACTCTGTACAACCCCCGTTCATCCCTCGCTATCTCTTTCCTGTGCTCCAACGCCAGCATCAGCATCGTGCAATCCGTGACTAACCGCAGATCTATGACTGGCCGAGCTGGGACGATGCCTCCGAACAGTTCGAGGCTTCTCTGGATCACCCCACGGCCGAGACTCGGTCCGTTCGGACTCCTAAAAGTTCCGGTCGGGCACCGGGATTTGGTGGGCTGATCACAAGCCTTAATTAATAATTTCAGCGAGTCATTTGCTTAGCTCGCTCATCATCCCATACTTGAGCTAACTAACGGCTATCGACATGCCAGAGCCGCGCGAGAGAAATGCTTCAGGGGATGGCTGTGACTGACGTGCAGTCATGATAAAACGATCTGCTCTATCATACAGGACTGACAGGTGCAGGAACCAATCGAGGGAGCCTCAATTATCTCTCGCACTCAAATTCCACTCAGTCCAATCACCGATCGACGGCCTTAGCATCACCTGGAACCTGATTTGACCTCGAGTCTGGCACTTCCCCAGTTTCTCCGCGGAGATGCTGAGTGGATCACGTCTTGACCGTAGTAGACAGCAAAAAAAAGTGGGAGCAAGAAAAAACTTCACCCGCCACAGCATGCCGTCCACCCGACCCAGCGGCCTTACACCACTTAAAATCACTCACCGGGATATAAATATCAAGTTGAACTGACTCGAGCAGGAAGCATCTCTCAACCTCCCTCACATACCAAGATCATCACATCGCTCATTCTTCCCTTCTTCGTTCGCATAGACTTTGCCACCCCTACTCTAATTCTCAATTGCACATACACACACCATGGGTCTCACCCAAGAGCAAACCGATATCATCAAGGCCACCGTGCCTGTTATCAAAGAGCATGGCAACACTGTCACATCGATCTTCTACAAGAACATGCTGGCCGCACACCCCGAGCTGAATGCCATCTTCAACTCCTCCAACCAAACCAATGGCCACCAACCCCGTGCCCTCGCCGGCGCCGTCTTCGCCTACGCTGCCAACATTGACAACCTTGGTGCCCTCGGTCCCGCCGTCGAGCTCATCTGCAACAAGCATGCCTCCCTCTACATCCAGCCCGAGCACTACAACATCGTGGGCAAGTTCTTGCTCGAAGCCATGGGCGAGGTCCTAGGCGACGCCTTCACCCCCGCCATCAAGGACGCTTGGGCCGCCGCGTACTTCCAGCTCGCCGATATCATGATTGGTCGCGAAGCCGCCCTTTACAAGGAAAGCGAGGGATGGACTGAGTTCCGTGAATTCCGCATTGCCAAGAAGGTCCCCGAGTCCTCGGAGATCACCTCCTTCTACCTGGAGCCCGTTGACGGAAAGCCTCTCCCCTCCTTCCGTCCCGGACAGTACATTTCGGTGCAGCTCTTCGTTCCCCAGCTCAACCACCCCCAGGTCAGACAATACTCTCTGAGCGACAAGCCCCGCCCTGAGTACTATCGTATCTCGGTGAAGAAGGAGGCCGGTCTCAATGCCACCGAACCTGGTGCCGAGGCTCACCCCGGCCTCGTGTCGAACATCCTGCACGACCTGAAGAAGGAGGGCGACGTTATCAAGGTGTCCCACCCTTACGGTGACTTCTTCCTCTCGGATGCGGAGAAGCAGAGCTCCAGCCCCATCGTTCTCTTGGCAGCGGGTGTGGGTCTGACCCCGCTCACCTCCATCCTGAACACCGTTCTTGAGACCGAGGCGGTGACACAGCGCAAGATCTCCTTCGTGCACGGTGCCCGCACCTCGGGCGCGCGCGCCTTCAAGCCCCAGATCCGCGAGCTGGTCTCCAAGGTGCCTAACCTTCAGGCCTTCTTCTTCACCAGCCACCCGGATGCCGAGGACAAGCAGGGCACGGACTACGACTTCGCCGGCCGCCTGGACCTCGGCAAGCTGGACGCCAAGACCGCTCTGTTCCTGGACGACGCGACGACGCAGTACTATGTGTGCGGTCCCGAGTCGTTCATGCTGGATGTGAGGGGCAAGTTGGCCGCCGAGGGTGTAGCCGCCGACCGCATCAAGATGGAGCTATTCGGCACCGGTGGCATTCCCGCTTGATTTCATAGACATTTCATATATCTGCTACCGATACAGATAGACTAGTTTTTCTTTACGGGTTACGACTGCATCGTTGATTGGCCTTTCCATCCACCCGATGGATGTTAATATACACTTTTGTGTTTTTGATATATATAATACCCACCTCCACTCAATACACTTACTTCATTCCACAATACCTCTCATTCCGTGAGAAATAAACAATCAAAATCAAAATAAATAAACAAAAAGTAGAAAATTTTTTCCACAAATGCAATCAATGCACATCCATTCATATTCACGAAAATTAGGTGGTATCTTCTCAACCTCAAAATAAATAAAGACAGGATCATGATAGTAGTATCCACATCAAATCAAATATTCACAAGAAAAAAATCACTCCGAGCCCTCATTCCCATTCCCACCACTCCCATCGACATCCACGTCAATCTCCACATCAACCTCCAACGCCACCCCCTTCAACTTCTCAAAATCCGGCGTCCCCAACCCCGTCACAGGATCCCACCCAGGGGTCGCATTCCAGCTCGCCCACGGCACAACAGGACTTCCATTAGGCGTTCCCCCGAACCGATTCCGTCCATCACAACCTAAACTCCCTCCGGAGACAATATCATTCAACGCGTCCTGGCCAACACCGTACAAAAACGGGTTTAGGAATCCGAGAACGGGTTGTCCGGCTCGTAATCTTGCGTCGTTGAGTAGTCCGACGATGCCGCTGAAGGTCGGTGCCGAACAAGAGGTTCCGTCGAATTGGCCGAGAACGCCCTTGTCGTAGACAGCGTAGTTCATGCCTTGGGCGGCGACGTCGGGGAAGGCGCGGCCGGAGGCGTTGAAGAGGCCGGAGAATTTGGAGCCGATGGAGTTGAGGTACGTTTCTACGGCGGTGTCTTGGTAGGAGGGGCGGGCCCAGTAGTCGGAGAAGCCGCCGGAGGAGAAATAGACGGCTTCTTCGGGGGTGGTTTTGCTCGTTGCGCCGACGGAGGTTACCCAGGGGCAGGAGGCCGGGAATTGAGGTGGGAAGTGCGTGCGGTTGGTCCCGTCGTTGGTCATGCAGGCGGCGCCGACGCCGGAGTCGCCGGAGGAGACGAGTACGGAGATGCCTCGGCTGCCCAGTTGGGCGTAGAGGTTGCAGACGGTGCGGGCGTAGGTTTCGGGAATGGTCTGGGGGCGATGATATTAGTGGGCGGTTGGGTGGGTGTGAATGGGGGGATGGGGGGGAGGGGTGTACCTGTTCGTCTTCACCGTAGGAAGTAGAGATCACTTGTGGGAGATCGTCATTGTCGAGCTTGAGTACGTTTTGGAGGAATTCTAGGTAGGGCTCGTTGCTATTGTCGTTCGGGTCGGGGGAGCTCAGGTCCGGGATCAATTGGCCTCGACCACCGGTGCTGTACTCGGTGATTGGGAGCGGAGAGCTCACGCCCAGGATGTATTGGAGGTCGAGGTTGGCTTCGCCACTGTCGCTGCTGGCGGATTGGTCGTTGAGACCGCCGTTGAATTGAACGACGGTGAAGTTCTGACCGATGGCGTAAGGGGCGAGGTGCTGCTCGAACTGGGTGAGATCGGCATAACGGGCGTATTCCTCGAGGAAGCTGGTGAAGGAGACCTTGCTTCCGGAGTCAGCGTCGGCCTGGTAGTCGCCGATGTTGTACAGCTCCTTCAGACACTGCGGCGTGATGATGGAGTCACAGTGGGAGGTGTTCTGGGCACGCGTGGCGGCGGTGAGGAAGAGCTCGTCGAATTGCTTTGGCTTGCTGCGCATGGTGGCGCGGTTGGGCTTCATCTGGCCGAAACGAGTGGTTGGCTGGATCATGTTGATGTGGGAGACCAGGGCGTCGGGGATGGAGTACTGAAGGGTGCGTAGGCGACGGTGGTGTCCGGCGTCGCTGATGTACCACTTGAAGTCGGCGTGCAGCAGGGAATTGGCCTGGTCGACAGTGGTATGGAATTTGATCCAATCGGCGTCCACCTGGATGTTGTCGATACCGGAGGACTCGAGCCAGTCGCGGACGGAATCAACAGCCGTGTCGCTGGGGAGCAGCATGCGTTTCATCTCGTCATGGGTGCGGAAATGTTTTCCGTAGTCGACGTGACCCGGAGTGGACATGTCCATCACGGCTTGTTCGAATCCGGCGACATCGTGCTGCTGGAGGGCGATTTGCAGGCGAATGGGCTCGTTGCCCTCCGGGGTGTTGGCGTATCTCCAGCCTGGGCGCGTCCATGGGGTTAGTGTGACTTCATAGTGGGACAATTGGCGCGTAACTTACCATTGGGGACAGCGGACAGCTTCTCGAATACTTCTGCAACGGCGGAAGAAGGGAGAAGCGACAGAATGGCGAGGGATACGGCTGCTCCCTGGTGAAGGAGGGAGGACAACATGGTGGAAAGGCGCCGAAGGGACGGGAGAGAAAACAAACGAAGGGGATGGGACGAAGGAGGGCCAGTGGAAGTATTTATTGTTTGTTGTTGTGGGACATTGCACAAGAGCGGCAGCGCATCATTACTCCTTCGGCAGCAGGCGACAAGACTGCGATGTGCATGCCGTTACCCCATCGGGGGTTGGAAAGGGTGTGCAGCCGACCTGCCGAGGAGAGGGGTGATACCACCAAGGCCCTTCAGTCCGGCTGATCGACAGGGATGGCCCCGCATTCCGCCAGTTGCAGAAGGCTGCTCACCGTCTTGTTTGGCTGCTCGTCATCCCCGCCAAGGCTGGGCCAGGGCCGGAGCGGCTTTCATTGGCTGGGCGGGAGGTCGGGCCTCCTCCCTCGGAGTAACCTCAGGAACCGCCCAGCCCGACCGGCTCCACCCGCAATCCTTCTTCGGGACATTTGTGCTTGTCTCCAGACCTTGGCACGGCTAGCAGAGGAATAGTCACCAGCTAGCCACCTGAAAGAGGCAGGTCACAGGCACACAATGTATTCTGCACTATATTTAGGCCCAATGACAATCCAGGTTCCACTGGTTCTTGTTTGGAGTCTGGGGTTTCTGCCGTTTGTAGATCCCCATCCGAATCCAGCTCAGCGACCGATACCCAAGGATGCCATCAACTGGTTTTCTCCATACATTTGTACTGACGCTAACAATCCTCAAGGTAATCCCCTCCCAATAATCAACTCATCAAAAGCGCAAGCACCCAACACGTCCATTTTCTCCCGGACCAGATCCCAATACCTCACATTAGAGACAGTTAATTCCGTATAACTATCGCCATCTCTACACAGAAGAATATTATATCTGTTATAATATCCGTCGTAAGAGAAGTCACCATAGGCCAAAACCTTCAGACCCAAAAGCCCTTCCGGCCCGAAAGCCCATTGGGCCACTTTATACAAACCGCCATCTGCAGATGAAGGTGGCTGGGAGGTTCCTTGTTCGCTTATCATGGGACCGCTTGCTCTGAGGTGAATTATCTTCAGATTTGGACTTTGTCTGACACTGTCAAATCCCACGTAACCGGCCTGTCTCGGAGAAAAGAAAGTAAGCCTTGGGCGGAGTGCCATGTTGACATCGGAGATATCGAGGAGTGGCAAGGGGGGGCCTCATACTAAATGCTCGAGCGATATCGAGGCTCCGAAGAATTCCAAACCTGGGGTTTGAGCCGGACTGGGATGATCATAGGTCGACGAAAACAGTTCTCCGTCTTCGTAACCTCCATATTCGGTTCTCTCGAGACTGTGCGTGATAAGACGCCTGAGTGTGGCGCTGTGATGCGTTATACTCCCACGGATGGAGTCCCACACGATTGATGGGAGCATTAGATAGAGGTCTGTTAAACCGGAGAAAGCTTCAAGGAAGGTTTTCACCGTTCCGGCGATGTTGTCCTGTGTCTCGTCGGTGATCTGATTTAGCTTTTCCGGGTTGAATGTCAATTCGAGCAGTTTCAGCTTTAGAGGCACGCCTGCACGGACAATCTGCCGAAGAAAGCGAAATGTTCCGGGGCAGTTGGTAAGTTGCAAGGCCTGGAGTTTCCCCACGTTTAAAGCATCGACCAATTCTATCTCCATGGGGCTGAAGGATACTTGGGAGAGACATAATCGCTGAAGAGCTGGTAGAGGGGTACGTAGCTCTTCATGCCGAAGACCCAACACACATTGCGCAAAGAAGTTCTCTGGCAACCCCGTATCTGGGGGAGACTTTTGCCGAAAGCCTCGAGTCCAGGCCAGTCTAGCACTGTCCCAGCCGATAAGATCGAGATGTAACGTCCTCAACCGAGCGCCGTGAGCTGCGATAAACCCTCGAACTGATTCGAAATCATCATATCGTTTTAGTCCTTTCCAGGATAGAGATCGGAGCTTCGAAAGCTGAACGAGATTTATACTGCACGACCTGTGTTTGTTCACCTTGCAGTCGCTATCTGTGATAAGAGAGATTGAGGTAATTTGATTCTGGTGCTTAAAAATGGAATTGATCCTGTGAGCGAGTTGGCCGGGGAGACACGTCCCTAAATCCCACCTATAGCATATTAGTGTCGAGTCGGCATAATGCATCAGAGATAAAGCCCCGTACTTGAGGGTCCGAAGCTGGTTTTGGGGGATCCCTGAGACCACGAGATGCAGGTTATTCACCATTTCCAAAAAGGATTTAAATGCATTGAACTATTGAGATAAGCAGGGTAATCATCAATCAGATGTGGATATATCAACCTCCGATCCAGGGTACTCGTTCCCGAAATTCGAGGGATCATGGAAAGAACAGCTGTTATCAGAGTGCGCCTCATGAAATGAGCCACACAGGCTGAGATCCCTTGTATGAACTAACTGTGCTTGGTTGAACTTTGTAATTGCACAATCTATGATCTGACCGGTTGATTTTGTGGCTTGTATGACAATGGATCTATATAGGTAAGGGGTAGTAAAGATATGGATGTCCTTGGAGACTTCACAAAGGCTTTTGAGATCGGCTCGAGTTATCTGGGGAGGAGTTAGTCTGGTTCAGGTGGGAAAAGGGAACTGCATACATTGTTGAGCACCATGGCCAGTAGTTCGGGGGGTAAATCGCTTAGCATGGTGATATTCTTTGACACGCGAGCTAGATGCGGATAGATGTTGTTGTTATGTGAGAGACGCAGGTATCATAGAGGGATGGTACTTGATCTACTAATATATCCTCGAGGTGGGACCCCAATGCAAGTTACTTGCATATTTATCAGCACTAGTTCCACTTCCGGGGGCTTGATTCGTACGATGTTGGCCAACGATGTCGTGATAAGAAATTGGCGCGGAAGCTGCGTCGGACTCCCGCGGGGTCACTTGTCGTTAGTCTAATTAACCTCTTTTTGAGGTCCTGGAAAATGCCAAAATTCTGGCTTTTCTCTTTCCTCTTTTCTCTGTTATCCCTGAGTATCAGCAATCATCGTCTCGACTGACTGCTGCAAAAGATCTACACCAGTAGCATCACCAACAACTTCAGATCTAGATCAATGACTTAATAGATAACAACGCGCGTCACAACAAGAGAAATCATGGTAATAAGAGGGCCATGTCCCTGCGAGATAGATAGAGAGATAGATGGGATGACAGAATGGCAAGGCAGCTAAGGCAGGATCACCCTCTGGATGCCTGGTTGCCTTGGTGCCTTACTGCCTGACACTGGCCACGTGACCTCCCCCTTGACGCCCATTTATTGATGGTCGCTTCTTTGCGCATCAATCAATGTCACCTCAACCCCCAACTATGCTGCGCAAGGCTATCTCTTCCTTACAAACTCAAGGTCGAAAATCCCTTAGCGCAACAGGCCAACGGAGGACCCACCATGGCCAACCATCCCACCCCGGTTGGGACGCCAACAATAACTCGTATGACTATACCAGAGGTCGTTTCCTCTCAAAGGAAGCTCATGAGATGAAGATACGCCGCGTAAGATTTAACATGAAAGAGCTGGCAAAGTCTGCTGCGGAATCAATCGGCTTCACATATTCACAATGCGTTCGTATCGAGCAACTCCCAGATGGAATGTCCAATAAAGCATTCCTGTTCACGATGCAAGACGGTACACAAGTTGTAGGCAAAGTGCCGAATCCAAATGCTGGACGGCCACATTATACTACTGCTAGTGAAGTGGCCACGATGGATTTTGTAAGGAAGCTTGAGAACCTTCATAACGATCATCAGTCCTTTGTCTAATTCTCTACTTCCAGATGAGGAATGAGCTGAGCACGCCTGTTCCCAGGGTGTTGGCCTGGAGCTCCAAGGCGGATGAAAATCCAGTTGGTGCGGAGTATATCATAATGGAAAAGGTTGAAGGGGTCCAGCTTGATTCAGTATGGCCCAAGATGGACATCAAAAAAAGATTTGAACTCGTCAAGACCATTTCGGGATATCAAAAGGCTTGGATCTCGAGGTCTTTTACCCAATATGGGAGTCTGTATTATTCATCGGATCTGGAAAACTCTGATGGATGTGTTATTGTTAAAGAAGATGGGTATGAGCTCAAAGAGCATCGCTTTGCGGTCGGTCCAACAACAGGACGAGAATTTCATGATGATGGTAGGATTGAAGTTGACTTTGATCGAGGCCCTTGTAAGGTATCTCATCAGAATTGTCGGAACAACTGCTAATATGTCCCTCCAGGGGATACTGTGCACCAATACAAGTCAGCAGTTGGCTTTCGAGAACTTGCATGTGTACAGAATATGACCCGACTTCCGCGCTCACTCTTGGGATTATATGGCCCCAGCACGTATACTCCTTCTCGTTCTAAGGAGATAGCCGCTCTTCGAGACTATCTTGCCCTGCTGCCATTTTTCCTTCCGACGGACGAGTCAATCTCTTCCGCATACTTGTGGCACCCTGACCTCCATACAGAGAACATCTTTGTTCACCCCGAAAGGCCATCAGAAGTCCTAGGCATCATAGATTGGCAATCCAGTGAGGTGTTGCCACTCTTTGACCACGCGCGTCAACCATACTTTCTTGATTACGATGGTCCCCCGGCAACTGGTCTCGATCCACCCGAATTCCCCAAAAATTATGATCAGCTTGATCCGACCGAGCAAAGAAAAGCCCAGACCTTATATCTCAATGTGTCACTCGCGACCCTGTATAGAAAACTCACTTCTATGACTAAAAAGAGGCTGTTCAAAGCTATGGAGTTTGGCCAGACATCAAGTTTTGATATGATGTTATTTGCACAGAATTTGCTCATTGATGGGGAAGCTTTGTATCGGGCTAGGATGCTTGATATTGAGCAAAAATGGTCCAGTCTTCCGGGTGTGCAAGGATCTGGAAAAGAATTTTCTCTGAAACTTTCTGCGGAAGAGGTCAGCACTATTGAGAAAGATGCAAATGGGGCGACTGAAGGCATGGAACTTATGCAGAGTGTGAAGGAGACTTTGGGTGAACTCTGGCCCGAAAAAGGTATCGTTCAGCCTGACCGGTATGATGAAGCCAAAAGGCTTCTAAAAGAGGTCAAGACAGAGTTGATTGCTCAACTCGCACATTCAGAGGTAGAGAAAAAGGCATGGGAAGAGTCATGGCCGTTTGATGACTGACTTGGTGAACATTTTCCCCTCAAGTCTCTCTCTAGCATACGCTATCAAATATGGTTAGCAGTACACTGCCGCTAAGCAGAAATTGGGGTGGTACACAATTCACTTTGTTCAAGTCGTTGAAATCTCTGCTCACCATCTGAGTCCTTTGTTTATATTGCCTTATTTTGGACAACACCATCTTACCCACCTACACTTATGTAGACATGGTCAACCACGTCTCTCTGACCCTCCACTTTGTTTAGTCAAACTGGGAGAAAAGCCAGAATGACAACTCCAGAGTATGTCTGTGCTAACTGGCACCCTGACCACACTGACTGCAAGAAGGTGGGCAAGTACACTTGCAGAAGCTGCCATCTTGTCAATGTGGGTTCATCCTTCACCATGCACGAGTCTCAGGCTAATGTATCTACCGTGTAGTACTGTGGACCGGCATGCCAACAGTCACACTGGCCTGAACACAGACTGGAATGCAGATCGCCTCTTAGCAAAGAAACCTGGCAGCCGGCCTGGGTTCTTGAGCGTCGAGAGCCGGAATTTATTGGAGAAGGAATAGCATATCATGGAGTGAGGAAATACCTCTGGGGTAACATCCCTGCCATCGATGTTCTTCAACTAGGATTGAATGAAGGGAATGACTGCGGGCAAGACCTGCGCATATTATTTGCTGGTACGTGTTTGACTTTTCTTGATGTTCCTCTGAATCTAGGTCTATAGGATACTCAAAACTGACGATGCATGCTTCTACGTACAGCTTCGGGGGATCTTCGAAATCTTGTCGAAACAATTGCTCGGCTTTCGAACAGTTACAGCCACTCTCTGGAGGCTACAATAAATGACCAAGACTTCGATGTCGTCGCTCGGAATATCATTATACTTTTTCTTGCTCTGACCATGGAGAACGTCGATGAAGCAATCGACTGCATCATCCATCTCTGGTATTCAGCTTTTGTACGCGAGTCAGACATTTACATTCTTCAGCATCGGGTTCGTCCCTTAATCGAAGACGTTGGTGCAAAGACCAAAGGCAAGGCACCAGAATCTCTCTTGGCAAAGACATGGGCATTTGGGCAGCGCTCCCTCAGGATTGTTCTTAAGAAGTCATCATGGGACCGCCTCTTGTCTTTTATTGAAGTGCCGGCTGGCTTGACAGTCGAAGACGCACAAAGTATTCGCGCAGCCAACACTCTAGCTAAATCGCGGCAAGACTACCGTGATCGACACATGTGTTACTTGTCACCTTCGCGCAGAATGGCTTTCCAGAAGTTCCGGGAAGATGGCCTTCTTCTTCCTTTTGGATACCCGCGGCATGAGTTTCAAGTGCCAAACCCGTAAGTCGGTAGAGGACATTGAGTTCTTACCACAACGCTGACTATACCAGGACATTCTTCCAGCTTGACAATATCTGGCCTATGAAAGACGATGCTGATCCTCTTGCGGGATGGTCGCCTAAAGAGGTTTCCGATACGTCAAGTGGGCCTGCATCTGCTGATATGTACGGAAAGCTCTTTTTCCACATTCGCGGAATACTTCAGTCCTTTCTGAGCCGACTTTCAAATCTGAATATCTCTATCACAATGTACCAAGTTGACGCCCGTAAGCTACCTGGTCATCTGAAGGGCGGCTCTTTCGATCGAATTGAGGTAAGGACATTCTCGATCGGATACAGAATCTAAAATATTCAGACACTCGGACCTTCTGCACGTGAAGACGCCTATCGTCTCAGACGGGCTTTTGGTCAAAATGTACCTTCAAGTGAGTCGCTAACCATTCTGTATAGGTGTCTAACATCTCGGATTCTGGTTGGTTGGGAATACATTCTACGCTACGCTTCATGATACCCTTGCTTCAAAGCCCTCTCGATAATCCGCACGCGACCTTGATTACTCTCTTCATAAACGCAGTGCCAGAGAACTTAGCTCACCGAGAGGAACAGCAAGATTGGGATGCGCATATCTCAACAACAAAGCTCCTCTTGAAATATCTACCCTTTAAAGGCGCACCAACCTCCCCTTACGATCCCCAGATTATCAAGAGGTTTGTTGGCCGGGATATTGTGAGAACCTATGACCACATCTTTGATCGGTAAGTATAATCAATTGAGCAAGATCCTTGAAGTATTAAGTACCGTTTTAATCTTCGCACTAGATACTCGGAAGACAAGAAGTTCCGTGAGACTGCTGATATGCTGGGGGCGGAAATGAAGGAAAGGCACACTATCGTCGACAAATGGCCGCTCAGATTGAAGCTCAAGCCTGGTCAGCCAGGAGCACAAGACGAGTTTGATCGTCTCATTAGTGGAGGACTAACTGGGAAGGAACGATATGTAGAGTGGAAAAGAATCCATCGGGATATGCTTTGAAGAAAGCGGTTCCCGTGTCTAGGATGCCGTTGGACTTGGGCAGAGCTTATGTTCCATCTCGGTCATTGTCTCTGATGCTTGTCACTAGCACCCACAGACAGTGATAATGCCGAGTTGGAACAGCAATTTGGAAGCTATCTACGTTTTCTTACTGGGTCGATGTCCGGATGCTAATTGGATACGGTGGTATCTATGCAGGGCTTATATGCCAACCACAACTGATGTTATGATATTTTGCACAGATAATACGCTCATCTGAACTGCACTTGATATTAAGTGCTATTTTACTACTATGGAGTCTGTAATTCAATGCAATCAGCCTCATACTAAGGACGTAACCAGTGAACATGGCCCTATTCAACAACCCACAGCATCTACCATGAATACCAAATATTGAAGCCATCACTTATTATCTACATCAAGATTCACAATACATTCCTAGGTAATATAGTCAGTGAAGATCCCCAAACCCTACAAATACATCCATCTCCCACTCCACCTCCCCTACATCTTCGAATCCTCCCCAACTCTACATCAAAAATCTACATGACATACACGTACTACTACAATCAGTCTCCCACCTTCCACAATTCAAAATCAGACAAATACCCATTTAGAGCCTCATTTCTACAAATATTAAGAGACCTAAACCCGCACTTAAAACCCAATGAACCCGTTTACAGCATCACTCCCACGAATCAACTTACGCTCCTCTTCTAAACCCGAGCCTCCCGTCCGACACTTACAGCCCTTCTATGCCAGCCTGCAGCTGCTAGCCATAGTTACCAAAGTTCAGTTTTTCTACCCAGATTAGAGGGTCATATTTGATTTCTTTCGAATATCCAACATCACTCACTACCAGCGATACCTTATTCCCGAAACAGAATCTCTACTAAATGCGGCGGGACAATCGAGTCAATTGACACGAACCCCGATGGTACATACTCGAGACACCGTCTTCAGGAATAGATATGATAAATCTAGCCATATGCAAACCGGATGCAGAGCTTCAATGATTCATGATGAAGAATATTTACAGAGCCCTACAAGACTTTCTACCCAAGTGGGGATTTATCCTGCGGTGGGGAATATGATGCACCGTTTATATAATCAAGCTAGATCACTCTATCTCAATGGATAATATCAAGATTCGGGCTAGATTAAACCATACCAGGAAAGAGTTGAGGGTTGGGGTCGATATTTCGGATTCATGGATTTTTTAATATGGCAGGTATGGAGGATCTGGCAACTAACGTTCTTCGGGATGTGGTTTGTGGGTAGTTGGGCTGGGAAATCTTCAGAGGTGTTTATTAAGAGTATCTCTATCTGGATGTCTCTTTCTTGATCTTCTCGCTATTCTGTTGGACTTATCGAGATTCTCATTCAAATGGATCTCTGAAAATGCAGCTATACGCACAGATATGGTGTGGTTGATACCAACCATACAGCGAACAGCTTATCATACTGGACTCTTATCGGTGTTATATCCATGACTGAGAACCCGATCATCTTCCTCTATAAACGATACGATCACATCCAGACGTGCGAAGAATACTGGCCTATACTCGCCAAGAGATACGCACTGTTAGCACAAGCTACAGTACAATTATCCAATTCCAAATCGGCGATCAATGGGCGTTATATTCCTCAAACAAATCGTCGCATTTCGTCGAAATAGTCGTACACTCTATCGTCGTTTGAAGCATTCAATATCTTAATATACATGCGGTTGCTGGATATCGAGCCATGTATTGTTGGATGACCTCGAACCTGATGGACAATGATTTGTCTTGAGCCAAGTACAGCAAAGATACCGCTTCCATTGCTTTAGACTTTACAATGTCATCATTCTTTTCGGGTCGACACAGTGGTCGTCCAAGCCTCGTGGCCGCTCTGGCCACCCGGATGACCTACCGTCTAGTACGCTCCTCAGTGATGCGTGGGTTTATGTGGTTGTATACTGTACCTGCTGCTACACGCGGACAAACATTGCTGCATGATTTTAAGATATAATTTGGTGTTCAACCTCGGGATGGGGTTGATCAATCATGCTGAGATCGCAGACCTTTCAGCGAGAGAAGTCATCCGAGATATTGGGTTTATTGAGATATCTATTCTTCTCGCGACAGGATAAAGCCTATTGGTGATTCCATCTACGCTGTTCTTATATCGTGATGGAGAAATGAATCATTGCTCGGATTCCCTCAACACGGTCAACTCAGTGGCGATATGGCATACAGAATGGTTAACATCGATCGCCTCAATACTAGACTCAATTCAGTTTTTATAAACTAAGATCGTAACTAAATAACTCTAAGTTCATCCTTTCTCTAGAGTACTCCACTTATTTCCTGACATCCCCACTATCAAATACTAAATACCTTCTCCCATCCTAGTACCCATTCAACCCATCAAAGAAACCACATATACTTTCCCCTTCAAAACCACCACAACCAACATCATCCCATCCCATCCCATCCATCCCAGTAAACAACAAAGATAATGTATCTATCGGACCTCGGAGACCGCCGCTCCCCGAAAGCGGCGAATATCCAATTCCCTCACCAGCCCCAGGTTCCGATGTATTCCGTTCGTTCTTTGATAAGGTTCCGAGATGACGTCGTCTCACCTAGACCCGTGTTCGTTAAACGGTACTTTTTCATAAAGTATATTGATTATCATTTACTTTTCCTTTTTAAGACAAAGATGGTGGGTAGACTTAAGGTTTAACTAATTCATTTTCTTTCTTTGTTTGTTTGCTTGGTACTTGGGGTAGTGGATGGGTGGATGTAACGGTAGATTCTCCGTGCAACGTACTTGTCTACAATAATACGTACAGTACCTCGGATGTTCAGATGGAAGGGAGGGAGGGAGGGATACATGTGATGATTATTCTTGAAGTGGATGGGATAATGTGTTTTACTTGGGTAGGAATTATAGTGAGAATCATAAGGGTTCCATTTCTATCGAATCTAAATCCGAGTATCTGTTACCCTGTTATGTCCTGGTGCGTACATAACATATAATTCTTAATTATCACCTACTTCTCTCTTCAACCCCCAGTAACAACTTCATTAGCCTCCTCCTCCTCCTCCTCCTCCTCCTCCTCCTCCTCCCCGGACTACTATTAGCACGATAGAAGGATGGCTAAGTGGGGTAGTGGAACGCGGGACGCGGAACGGGAATCAAGATATTCCTCCTAGTTCCTGGATACCTACCTACCTACCTACTGCATACATTCTCTGAAGTAAAATAAAGAAGAGGTTATTGATCCTCCGCCCATATACATTCCCAATTCCATTCCATCCCATCCCATCTCATCTCATCTCATCTCATCCATAAACAAAAATTCCTCCCCCAACTACATAATACATCCTACATAGTAATGAGCGTCTATTTACATCAACACCTTAACATACCATCCATGACGACAACACGGACCATCCTCGGCCCATCAAAAAAATTATCGGCCGGTCTGGATCGATCGGGGCAGCGGCCAGGAAGTTCTAGAATCGTCGGTTGGATTGGCGACAGGGTTGGGTTGGGTTGGGAGGACTGGTATTCCTCTATTGCCTAGTTCCAGTTACATTCTCAGTTCCGGTCAGTAGGTACCGAGGGAGAAAGTACCAAGGGAACTGAACTGGTAGAATGGTGGGTAGGACGGGCTGGGTGAGGTGTCGAGGCCAGGGTGCGGCGCAGGGCTGGCGAACGGGGCGGGGTTGGGTTAGGTTGGGCTGGGGACGGGACCTGGTCGGTGTAACGGATGGGTGGCATGGGATGGGATGGGATGGGTCAGGGACGGGCGGAGCCGGCCTATGCTTTTTTTTTTTCTTTCCTTATTTATTGATTTATTTGTAGCTGGGTTTGTTTATTTGGGGTTTATTGGTATTGTTTGGTGGTTGTATAGGTCAGGTAGATTATAGTAGAGTGTGGTGATTAACTTTTATCCGGGTATATCAACAAAATTCCAGCCCATATTCGCCGCCCGACAGGAGAGGGCCATATACCCCTGGTAAAACACCATTGTAAGACAAAGGAAAGCTCATAATATTATACAGTAAACGTGACGGTCATGACAGGAAGAGATGCATCACGCTCATGCGTGGTACACATCGCTCCCCTTGTTGTGTCGCCACATCCCATTCGGCACCATGCTCTGCTTCATGATGGCAAGCTCCTTCTGTAAAGCCTTGTTCTCCTCTTGCAGTTCCTGCATGAACGTGATGGCATTCGTCAGGATCTCCGACTTCTTCAGCGATGCCGATCCGCCCTTGCTTGGCTTCTGCACTCCTCCGCACATGGCCTTCTCCAATGCAACAAACTTGGCATTCATGTTCGTGCGGTACCGCTTCTCGATGATGTTGTGCGCTGCCCGCTTGGCGGCATTGCGACCGGTAGTGGTCTGAGCTCCGGTGCTGGCGTTCGAGTCGCTAGAGAGACTGCGGGTGGTCTTGCGGTTGGCAGCAGGAGAGGCGGGAGCGGGAGGGGGAGAAACGCTGGCAGCGGGGTAGTCCTGAGGGGTGATTTCAGGGCTCGACGACCACCGAGTAGCAGGCTCGCGCTTCGGTTGTGCCGGCTTGCGACGAGTGGATGTCTTGACGGATCGGGAAGCGGGCTTGGGAAGCTCCATGTGGATAGGCTCGAGGGGGGAGATCCGAGTGGGAGACCACGACTGATCGTCACTTTCCAGATCCTAAATAAATTAGCTGTGATATTTTATGATGTAGATGCATGACATACCGATGAGAGGGAACCGCAAGAGGCAGCATCTTCACCCGAGTGGTTGGAGATGGTGAACCCACTGATATCTGGGGGTGGGGCGAAGAAATCGGTGGGAAAATCCTTGGGGTCCAAGTTCATCATCTCGTTGGGCATCTCCAAGGGAAACGTCTCGGGGATCATGGTGTTCAAAGAGAACAGATCAATGGCACTGTCGTAGTTCCAATTGGCCGATAGAGGATCAGGACCCTTCGTATAGGTATCATTAGGGCGTGTGAGCGGACTGGGATGATTCATGTACATCCGCTCGTCATCCGCTAATGTAAAAGCGTCAGGCCTGGAGTATGCCATGCTAGTGATTGTTTTGTTGGTGGATGGTGGAAGTGTGTGTGTGGATAGACTGGCGATCAACCGATGATAATATATCAAGGTCAAGTGGCAAGTGTTGGCAGATGTGGAAGTAATAAAGAAGCTGTTGATATTGAACCGTGGATCTGAAGGATGCTGGGCAGAGGAGCCATCGGGGGATGGTCTATATAAAGCCTGAAGGTTTCAGGAGAAGCCGGTGCTAGAACCCGATGGCTCGCCAACCGAGAGAATGATGTAATGAGTTGCAACATGGAAAAGCCACAGCCAGAAAGGAAGTAAAAGCCCTGACCATTGTCGAAACGATAATTGCACAGGCCGGTGAAGGGGGGCCGAGATCACCCCAGCCGGATGCAGGGTATCCAGCCCTCGGTCGGCTCCGATGAGAGCCGTCGGATGGCCATTGAGGAGCAGGGGAAAGCTCAGCAGGGGAGAAACAGAGCTGAGGCAAACAAAGTCACTGGGTCAGTGGCTACGGGCTAAGCAAGAGTACGTAGGAGAGGCGGATTGGAGAGCCGTGGAGGGCGGGAATCGGTGGATCGATCGATGCACAACCGTTGGACCTGCCCAGCTTGGGGAAGGCGTCCCCGCCAAGCCCCGTGACGGCCGAGTCTCGGCTCCGACCTCTTCGGCCGGACTGTTCAGTAGTCGGTACTCAAGGTTGCACATTTGGCGCTGCTCTGCTGCTGCCACTGCTGCTGCCACTCCTGCGTGGCGGATTTAATCTTATCCCTTTTGGTTGCAATGCTGCAACGCTGCAAAGTCTGTTGCCGTTTAGGGAGATTTCTTCCGTGCCTCAGGTACGGTGCACACTCTAATTCATCACAAGTACTCTGTATCAAAAAAGTATTCTGTAAAAAGGAGGAAAGAGATTGACAGCTGTCCGGTACTTGTCCGTCCTTTCATGCCTTAGGCGCTGGTTCAGGTTCAGGTACCTCTCCCAAGTGGGTCCATGTTTACATTTTCTCTTGTGTTCCCTCCTGAGTCGAGGATGAATATTATTATTATTATTATGGCCATTGTTGATTCGCTTGTGCCAAATAATGGGGGATAGTCCTACCCAGGACTATCTAGGACTAGATACTACCATCTAGTATGCCACTGTAGCACCTCCTAAAGGTACCAATCCAGGGTGTGTGGCTTCCACCAATCACCGCCCCGTCATTGGCAATGGTCCGTCCAGCCGGCCCGGCCAGTCAGATGCCCAACCGTCAACAGTCATCCTCCATTTTTCCATCCTCCTGCATCTGCCATCTGCCATCCTCACATTTCGAAACAATAATCCCAGTCCACTCCGGTACTTACTTTCCTCTCTTCAGCTCTGCTCCGTCCCTTTTGCATTGCCCGCGGGTACTCCGAAGCACACAGACCAGGCCAGTGGGCCATTCCCCCGTCCAGGTGGGGGGAGTCCGTCCAGTGTGCGGCATCCTCCCATTTCTCGCAGCCGACCGGTGGTCTGGCCAGACTTTGGGAGTCCCAGCAACCCCTCCTATTCAGCTAGTTTTCGACCTCTCACCTAATGATAATCACGCTGATGTGGAATCCGCCCAAGTTCCTGGCTGGTGTTACCCGCGATGACGTCTCGGGACTCCGGGAGGCCCATTCTTGACCCCTCCTGACCCAAACACTGGCTTGCACTATCGACGGAACCCATCCACGGTAAGTCGTCCTCGGAACCACCAACCCGGTGGGCGCTATAGTCAGCGGCCTAAGAATAAATCTCCTTCCTAGGTAGATACTCCTAGGCACTAGACTGAGTGACATACATAAAATCTCCGACGGCGCTACCACTGGCCCAGCGCGGACGCTAGTAAATTTCCCGGCTCAGGCGTGGAGAAAATAGCCTCGTCCAGCAAGTCCTCAATGGTCTCGCCTGGCGGGCCGGAAGCCGGGTTCCCAGGGTCTGCTGCAATGCCACCAGTGGTGTGATCCGGCATCTTCAGGACCCCTCCGTTAGTGCATCGTTCCTCCGCCGCCCTGTGGCTTGAGATCTCCCAGGATCGAGGAATCATTCTCGTCGGTCGTATGCTGTTTCGGGTGACAGACGGCCACCTTGTCCCGATCATCTCGTCCGAGACACTGAACTGCGCCGTCCTCATGACTGGTGATTTATCTGGCAGCTGACCAGGTAACATGTTTCCCGGTTAGGTCGTTTCCGACACACGAGACTTTGGGTTACTATGGGATCCCAGATATGTATACACAAGACTCTGGGCGATGGTGGACGGCATCTGACTGATGATCGCGCATGAGGCATGCCTGTCAGCCCTACCTGAATGCTCGAGATTATGCTCAGTATTATTAAGAATGATTTTCACTCGTCCCTGGCTGATACAACAAGATTAGGCTTTAGCCTCACGCACCAGCCCAGAATAGTAACCCCACCACCACCATCGATCTACTTTCTGCTAATCATTTCATTGGGTTGGGACGATGCCACTGGAGAAAATAACATGCAAAGACAAGAAACGAAAAAGGGACTCAGGTATGTGGTTGGACATGCACGGTGATGATGAACCAGACTCGATGACAGCGGCATTCTTCAGATGCATCTACCAGTGGATGGATCAACATGGTAGAGTTGACAGATTAGATCGCATCCAGCCTCATCTCACTCTTCAACGGCGTCATCCGTCATCGAGATCCACAAGCTCTGACCACCGCAAGATTGGATTGCTGCGGGGTCCGGCCTTGCCGATTCCCAAATCCAGCTGGGAGCGAGGTCAGCACACCCCGGCTCTCATTCGCCCGGCGGGTGCACTACTGTGGGATGCCGTCGAGGTGCCGGTCTGTCACCTCTGCCTCGACGCGGATGAGATTATTCCCGCACCACGGCAGCCACTTCGGTTGTTCCCCCGTGGCCAGCTTCCCGATGCCCATCCCGCTGCTAAAGTGTGTATCGGAATTTATCCTCTGGTCAGGGATGAATGCCGACCACCTCGAAGTCGGCAGATGGCGAACCGTCACCCCGCTTCCAGATCTACGACGTAGGCGAGTGACCTCACAGGGTACCCCGCGACCAGGCGGGACGTTTTATTGACAGGTGAATCATGGTAAGCTACCTATTTGCTCACGGCCAAAGCATTAACTGTTGTTTCAAAGCTTTCCGGTTCTCGTCCCAGAATTTCCCTCAGGAGCGGCGACACCACCGCTGTCTCACCGAGACGGATAGCATCCCACGCAGACGCCCACGCTCGCGACAAGTCAATTCCGTGGTAGGTGTGTTTTGTCCCATGTTGCGGCAAGGCCACGTACTCGTCGACCGAGATCTCTCGAATGCGAAGAGGCTTTCCAACCGCCTGACCGAGAATTTCGACCGTCTCCTTCAACGAGACCTCACGTGGGCCTGAGAACAGCAGCACGCGGTTCAGGTAGGGGAACCCCTCCAAATGCTTGGCATAGTCCGCGACCAGCTTGGCCGTGGCCTCGCCCAGCTCGTCACGTTTCACCCATGCCACGCCGGGCCCGTCCCCGGAATGAGGGATCGCGATCTCGTCTGCGGGGTTGTGGATATCGAACCAGCTGGTGTAGATCGGGTAGGACTCGGAGTACAGACCCTCCCGGATAGCGGTGTAGCTGATGTCCGGCAGTCGGCCCAGATACTCTTCGGTCCGCAGATGCGCTCCCATCACGTGCGCCACGCTAGTCTGGCCTAAATCCCCCGCGAAGCCCAGAGACGAATAGAAGATGTGCTTCACCCCGCTGTTGCGGGCGGCATCGATGGCGCGTTGGTGTGCCTGTCTGGGTTAACTGGTGCAATTGATGCGAGCGATGGGTGTCCCTGCTACCTACCTCGACCCGATACTCGATCTCGAACGAGGCATACGAGATCAACATCAAGACGTCAACGCCATCAAAGGCGCCCGTTAGCGTGTTGGGGTCGTCATAGTCGGCCCGTCGGACGGTGGCTCCGGCCTGGGCGAATTCCGCAAGACTTTCTGGCTTGCGGGCGATGAGGATCAAATCGGAGGTCAGGTTCAGCTTGTGGAGGTGGTTGATGATGCTGGTTCCCAGTCCACCTGCAGCAGGGAAGACGCCGATTTTGGTCATTGTGCGTTGTGATGATGTAATACGCGTCACCCACTAGTCTCGTAGCGACAGGTAATGTCTAGACTGTAGACTTTCAATCGCGATACTACCAACAACATAAACAATTGAATGGTGATACGTCAATTATATGCAATCAACTGGTCTCGATTGTCTGTAGAAGTTCTCAGAATGGTGGACGATGGATTAGTCCTATCGGGGTCCGATTGACGCGGCTTACAAATCGGTGACGTTGAGTTCAATCATGGTTCACGTTCATGGTTCATGATCGACAAGTTCACCTAGAAGAAGTTTATTACATATTAAGCAGTATTCTAGACGTTCCTACCGAGCACTACTGTGTACTCTTCAAGAATCACACTTTTGTTTAGTAACCCAGATATGACCGTTCAAAGGTATAGAATCCACTTGGATATGGATACCACGCTGAGTGGAATACTACCTACCTACCTACCTACCACCTTTACCGTTTCTCAACGTAGCAATCAATAGTAACCATTACCAGCTCTATCAGATATCATTGTTCAATTTTGTGATAATATGATCCCTAGTAGTAGTATGTGGAAATCAGATTTCTGCAATTTATATACTACTAGTCGTTACTGCACCTACAGAAATATATATTTACCGTCAGCGGATAAACGTACCATCACCACTTTGCCTACTATTACCCTTCAATTCTGCTAAAACCTGATCATGAGTATGAGTGTATGAGTTTGATCGCAGAAGACAAATCATAATAATAATAATCAAGGTATCATACACTCCGATCTAATTTTCCCAACTGAAAACAAAGACATTCTAACTCCGTACATATCTAGGTAAATGTTTACGAGTACGAGGGTACATCAACCCGTCGCACTAACCCCAAATAAGCTAGTCGGTGAATTGGTTGAACCACCCCCCGCTACCCCCTTCCTTTCCCTTCTCCTTTTTACGAGTACAATCACCATCAACATCAACTCACATTATCAAAGCCAACCTGAATACTCAATTCTATTCTCAGATAGGAAATACTTATTTAGCATGAATATCACCAATCTCATGATGAATGAACCAGCGATCGAATTCTCTCGAATTATATGCGAACTTTCATGCCTGGAACACTATCTTTATTGCGTTCTGAAGTGGTGAAGAAGTGCGCTCAATATACCTATATATGTGTGTGTGACCATGGGGAATGAATGCGAGATCATCTAATAGATATATGAATATGGATGATGTGGTTGGAAAAATATCAATAAAGAAGGTCGGTGGATGGATGGATGTGGAAGAGATTGCGATTCTTGTGGTTGTTGAGATAGATATAGTGTATTATGTCGGGGTTTAGATGTTAGGAGGGAGGGGGTTATTCTATGAGTTGGTGAAGGGGGAAGGAGGAGGATCTTGGGGTTTTTAATTGGGGTAGGATGGATGTCATAACTTATATGGTTGCATTTTTTGTAGTTGTAGGGAGGGGGTTGACGTGGCGAGGGGGGATTAATGGGTGTTGAATTTTGTGAGTACAGATGCTAAGCTCTCATTGACGTTAGGTATGAAATTCTGATATCAGGGTTGTTGGGACTAGCTGACAGCAAGAAAAGCCAGGGACTTGTCGCATAGCCCACTGCTTGCAGAAGATGCTACTTTTTATCAACACGCCATTTGATTTCAGTAGAATAACAATGCCCCCAGTGCAACAAGCCAGCTCGTATCAAGAGTAGTCATCTCGGGAGCGCTATTCGCGGACAAAGTCTGAATGGCACTCGTGCTTGCGGTTTCAGTGTTCCTGGAGATGGATGTCGCTGATGCAGATGAGCTTGATGGGTTGGTGGTAGAAGAAGAAGCAGAGGTTGATGAGGTAGATGATGTAGATACGGACATGTCAGATGAAGTGGTAAGCCCAGTCTCACTTGAAGACACAGCTGTCCGTGATGCACTTGACGAGCTCGAAGTTATAATCTCTGGCTCAGACGTCGTAATGGCTGGGACAGTCACACTGCCAGTGGTCTCGGCAACCGTGATATATGGCGTGTGGATAGTAATCCGGGTTGCTTCGCCAGTGCAACCACTGCAAGTAATTAGTCCATGTCAAGGAAGCCCGGAAAACCGTAGCAATTAAACGAACCCGACAAAGTTGTCACAACAGCCGATGAAGACATTTCCATCATATTCGCACCTTTCGGCGAGTCCACATCCCACAATTACGTGTTAGTCAACATATTGAGGGTCGGGACGTAAGTCTCCTGACACACCCCCTCCCTGATCTAGAGCGCAACAGTTATAAGCGCAACCGTCACCACAGCAGTGCCCTACGATGCACCGAGACCCATCCGAGCATGTGTCTCTCTTTTCGAGTACGCCTCCTTCTAGTGGTGAGACCCGTTGGACGAGGGCAGGTGATTTATTAGACGTGGCGGTACATTGTCCGTAGAGTGTAGCTGTCGCCAAAATGAGAGAAACAGGGCGCTTGAGTAGCATTTTGTCGACAAGGTCGAGAAACAGAAACAGAATCAGATGTAGAGATGGAACGAAAAGATGTCTCTGGAGGCGACACATATATGAATGGACCTGCTGCCGCTCTCGTGTTCAGGCAGCGAGATGCCGTCTCGTATTCAGTCTTGGCATTGTTGATCGATATATCAACTTGATGATATATTGCGATTTCGAGGATAGACTGAAGTCTATCTATCGTATTGTTGGACATTCCCGTTGGCGCATGCGCTGTTACGGTGAGGATTCATTGTCCAAGTGAGAGTGACAATGGATATAAAACATGATTGGATCTGAGGGTCCAGCCGCAGTCGTGTCGACATACTTCATGCTGAGGATTCAGCTGCCACTGTCTTCATTGACTTGTACGTACATGGTCGGAGTGATCGGCTGTCCAGATGCTGTCAATTGCTAGGCTAAACAAGAAAGGTTAGTTCCAGCCTGTTAGCTCCAGCCTGCGCATTCGACTTGCTACAACATGAACGATAGCTGATTCAGGCCACTGTTTCGCATGGATATCATATCGTATATTGTTATGACCCGAAGCAAGTCTGCAGCCATTCATCGAGCCACGGAACGTTCCGATATTATCGGGATCAACATCTGTCAGGTAGTTTTATGGTTGCACGTTCTGTTATTGCACTTTTGGGCATGCCCCTATATGTAACCCAAGTCAATGGCATATTGCAATTTTCAAAAGGATTCAGCTGGCCACATGCGGTTAATGCTTTTGCGTTGGTTTGTCAGACGCTAAAGGACACCTTATCAGCAGCTATCATGCATCTCGGTGCTGTTGGCCTATCACACCAACACCCAAGTGTGCTTCGGCGCATGCTACCATCCAGAACACACTTCCGTTGTCGGCTATTCGCCACGGCTGCCTATCCATCCAATGTATGACACTTCGATCGGCAGCCAGCCGCCGGCTGCTGACCCCGCATTCCGTCCCTGCCTTGGATCGGATGTCGGCTGAGACAAGGTTTGGGTTAGTCCGCTGCACAGAACGCCAGGCTGAGCTGTAACTGTCTCTCGCCCTTGCATTTCTGGGCGTGATGCTGGACTCTGGGGGCGAGGGGCTGCAGTGATGAGACCATCCTCAGTAAACACTATCAAAAGCCAGGATCTTCCAAAATCGCCACATCCTGTATCTTGGGCTAATCACGGGGTGCGATAATGGTTCGGATCGATCGACAATCAATGCCCCGGACAGACTTATCGCCTCCGCATAGACCTGCCGGATTGGGAATGATGACGGAAGAATCAAGATGTTCTCGGATCGGATTTCATGCCAGCTATCACGACCTGACGGATACTTTAGTGCAGCCAGCCGATTGATAGTTGCAGCTGACAGTACAAAAGCAGAGGAAAAAGATGGTGTAACCATTATGAAGGGATTGTGTCCGGTACGACGGTTGGAATGCGTCAAGGGTCTGGTAGCAGTGCAAGTGGCACCTGCAATTGGCATTGTAGCAGTGCAATGGGTATATGAGGAGAAAGTGTGGATGGACATGACTTGGGAGCGAGACGATGCATGCGAACGGCGATGGGAGCGTGAACGTGTTGCCATCCCCACTTGGGAAGTCCTGCCGAGCCTAAAAAAACCCAGCCCCCGCAAAAGCCAACGTCCAAGGGAAAAAATTTCACTTATCGCCAACTTATCTATCTCTGTCACTCATGGGGATCTGTTCCATGACCAATTGATCGCGGCCTTGATTATTCCTCTTGATAACCATCTTGCCTTTCGGAACTAAGCATGCAGGTCTGGTGAGGGGAAGCCGAATAGCTTGGTCATATATGAACCCTCCCCTACGCACTTAAACGCAGTTAGACGAATCTGCAGAAAATGGGCAATTGGGTGCACGACTTGCCCCTCGACCTCGTTGCTCTCCCGCTTGGCTGAATTGTCCCTTGTCACTCAATCTCTCCGGATGCCGATGGACGTGGAACATAACGGGCCGATCAAACCGATCGAATCGGTCGACCAGAGCGTCCAAGATGCTCACGATCTGGCGGCCATGGGCCATGACCAGGCCATGACTCGCAAATTTGACGTCTGGAGTATGCTGTCTCTTGCGTTCTGTGTCTTAGGTTAGTTTTCCCGATCGCCGGATTTTTCGTGCTCTGTGCGTTGCATCCACCCGCGGCGCCAAGACGGGCAGCTAACGTGTGCGCCCCAGGCACATACTCAACTTTTGCCCAGGATCTCGACAGTGGCCTCACCAATGGCGGCTCCGTGGCCATCCTCTGGGGTCTCGTGCTGGTGACCGTCTGCAACCTGTGCGTGGCCGTTTCCCTGGGAGAGCTCACCAGCAGTATGCCGACCGCGCTCGGTCAGGCGTACTGGGTGTTTCGACTCTGGGACACCCCGCTGGGTCGCTTCTGCTCATATATGTGTGCCTGGATTAATATGTTCGGCTGGTGGACCTTGACCGCGTCCCAAGTCGCTTTTATGGCCGAGTTCCTGCTGGGAATGAAAGTCATGTTCAACAACTCATGGGGCGGCGCTGGAACCGGATGGCTGGAATTCGTCGTCTACATCGGCACCGTTCTGGTGTTGACGGTCGTCAATCTGATCGGCTGTCGGAAGGAAAAGATTCTCCCATGGCTGAACAACTTTGTCGGAATTTGGTTCACCGGCTTGTTCGTCATCCTGTCCCTCGCCCTGCTCATCTCCGTTGGGGTAAAGAAAGACCTCTCCTTCCAACCCGCGTCGTTTGTCTTCGGAGCCTGGATGAATGAGACCGGCTGGGATAATGGAGTGGTGTGGTTCACAGGCCTCGTTCAGGCCGCTTACGGTCTTACGGCCTTTGACGCAGTTATTCATATGGTCGAGGAAATCCCCGCCCCGCGACGTAACGCGCCCAGAGTCATGTGGCTGTCTGTTCTCATGGGTGCGATTACTGGATTCATCTTCATGGTGGTGTGCCTGTTCTGCATCCAGGATGTCAACGAGGTCATCAACTCACCAACCGGGCTGCCATTCATGGAGTTGATGGTGGAGACGGTCGGTCTGGAAGGGGGTGCCACACTGATTGCGTTGTTCATCTTCAACGGCCTGGGGCAGGGAATCAGTATCTTGACCACCGCCTCCCGACTCACCTGGGGGTTTGCGCGAGATGGCGGTCTCCCCTGGAGCGGATATCTCATGCACATTGACCCCGTGTGGAAGGTTCCGGCGCGCGCGTTGTGGTTCCAGGGCTTTTGGATCGCTTTGGTTGGAATTCTCTACCTTTTCGCGAACACGGTGCTCGATGCGATCTTGAGCGTCAGCACTATTGCTTTGACCATCTCGTATGGTATTCCGATTGCCGCCCTCCTTGTAGTTGGGCGCGATAAGCTGCCACCGAGTCAGTTCAATCTGGGACGATGGGGGGCGCCTATCAACTGGATCAGTATCATCTACTGTGCCATCACAACGGTGTTCTTCCTTTTCCCCGGCTCGCCGAATCCGTCGCCTAGCGACATGAACTATGCCATTGCGGTGTTTGGGGTGATGCTGGTGGTGGCCGTTGGATTCTGGTTCTTCCAGGGGAAGAGCACGTATCTGCAAACACAGGATGCGATCGACCAGATGATCCAGGCCCAGAGGCTTGAGGTGGATACGGCAGCACAGGCGGAAGAAAAGAAGAAATAGAAATAGATAATGTATATAACATCTTCAAGTGGAAATTGATAGAAGCGACCTTCACTATTGTGCAAGCCAGTATTAAAGTTGTAGATAACATCTAGGTAGACTAAGAGCGAGAGCGCAGCCGGGATTAATAGGCGGAGACCCGTGACCGGAGTGGGCGACGCGACCCCACGTGTCCCCTCGCCATCTCCCCCTCGATGGCACCACCTCTCATCCAGCTGGCCTGAAGACAGTTCAATCCCCAGGTAATCCTCCAACAAAGAGCCCTCCTGCTACGTGAATATCATCTGCTAACGAGCGACTGATACTAGCTATTCAGATTGTCTATGCTTCCTGATCGAGCCACGATCTCCTCATCGGACTTCCATGCATACTGATACCCAACCCAGTCGAGCTGAATTGTTGAGAGTCTCTGGATATACGGGACCTGGATTCCGAAGATTCGGTGTAGGGGATTGCTCAGCAGGTACACCGTGGTCAGCAGCATTGCCATGTTCGCAGTTCCAAGATAGGAAATATTCTCGTGAGGCATCGGATTTATCACCTTGCACCGGATGTCTGAACGTGGAAGGGACGGATAATCGCTGATCGGTTATAGGGGGATGGGTTCCATCAAGAACAGAGGTATTCTTGATCAATATACACTCCGATGGATGCTGTTGGGAGAGGATGTCGTCATACCCTGCCAACAGACATACTGGCTCATCCATGCCAATCATGGCATCGTCAAGGCTCTTAGAACCTGAGACACCAAAATGGAACCCTGGAGACTGACGCAGCCTTGAAACGCAGAATAGGATCGCCCAAAGAGTCCAGACCGGCTTTGATTAGTAGGGCGGATTCAATGTGTTCCACTTCCACAGCTTGAATCAATGCCGAAAGTACCCACCTTAGCTGGCTATATCCGAGTCTTAGATAGGCTGTGCCTGAGCCTTGCCCAGATAGCTTATCTGCCGAATGATTGTGATGCAACGTACCCATTACCGCCGATCAGCTTTAGGACATGCTTTTAGAGACTTCATCTGTATAGGAATGAGCTGCGATACTCGCACAGAATGGAGATAGACGCGAGGTAGACAGCGGGAACGCCACATGGTTTGATCCGCCGAGAGTCCCGGATTAAGGCTCGAACAGGAATACAGACTATGGAGCCCCGAGGGGTCATTATCAAGCTAGATCAGGGTCACCTTAAGTCATCACGAACAATCTTTCCAGGCACGATGCAGAACGATCCGCTATTGACGTGGATGCTGCACTTCTATATCCGAGGGCTTCAACGAATCTCCTACAGTGGATTCAACCTGACATCTCAGCGAATAAAAAGCCATGCTGAGTCTGACAGTGGAGCATGTCGGATTTACGGGTCAAAGCTTTGACGGGTATACGGATTTACGGAGGGCGCGTTTTCAGACACTCACGGGAATATTAGACATCTCAGGGAGGAAAATGGCAATATAACAGATTGAGCGCCCATGGTTCTTGACGATCTTGTAGCTGAGTGTCTGAGCTTATTCCATCGCGTGGAATCTGATAGTTCTTGGACTGGTTCATAGGTATGTTATCTAGGGCCTCAGGTCTATGCCGGATATACTAATTGCCCCATGATGCAGTTACGACAAGTGGGATCCTTGCTCACAATGGACAACTCGTCCTCAGAGACTATGGACATCGAGTCCGGGGACTCTTCCATTCAGAAGCGCTTGACACTCACATGGCGCAATGTGAGCATCAATGTCACTGCCCCCGATGCCGCTCTGGGCGATACACTGTTGTCGGTGGCCGATCCACGGCAGGCTCTGGGGTGGTTCAAGAAGAGCCAGCGACCAAAGAGGGTAAGCGTGAATGGTAGTAGCGTTCGAAACCAATACTAACAATTTCAAAGACGATCATCAAGGACGTCACGGGCCAGCTCCGACCAGGCGAGATGGTAGGAAAACCAAATGAATGGGAACCATTGGCAATTAGCTGACTTTATCTAGCTGCTCGTTCTGGGACGCCCAGGATCAGGGTGTACTTCTTTTCTCCGCGTGATTTCCAATGATCGTGAAGCTTTCGATGAAGTTGTTGGCGAGACTATGTATGGAAGCATGGACCACAAACAGGCAAAAAAGTACCGGCAGCAGATCATGTTCAACAATGAAGACGACGTGCACTTCCCGACATTGACAGTTAACCGGACGATGAAATTTGCCCTACGAAACAAGGTTCCGAGAGAGCGACCCGAGCATCTTCAGGACAGGAAGGATTACGTTCAGGAGAAGAGAGATGGCATTTTGGATTCACTGGGCATCGGCCACACGAAGAAGACATTGGTTGGAAATGAGTATATCCGCGGTGTATCCGGTGGTGAGCGGAAGCGTGTGTCTTTGGCGGAAGTTATGGCTGGTCAGGTATGATCCCATTCCTTCATATGCCGACAACTAACTCACCATTGAGCGTTAGAGTCCCGTTCAATTCTGGGATAACCCGACTCGCGGTCTGGATTCCAAAACTGCTGTGGAATTTGCCCGTATGCTCCGACGTGAGGCGAATGAGAACCAGAAGACGATGGTGGCGACAATGTACCAGGCCGGAAATGGCATCTACGATGAGTTCGACAAGATCCTAGTCCTCGCAGACGGCCTCGTCACCTACTATGGCCCGCGTGCGTTGGCTCGCGCTTACTTTGAAGACATGGGATTCGTATGCCCCAAAGGAGCCAACATTGCCGACTTCCTCACTTCGGTGACGGTGATCACGGAACGAACTGTCGCACCAGGCATGGAGGAGAAAGTGCCAAACACACCGGCCGAGTTCGAGGCTCGTTACAACCAGAGTGTGATCCACTCCCAGATGATGGATGACATTGTTCCGCCGGAGAAGCTCGTTAGCGAAGAGGAAAACCTGGCGCTTGCGGTGGCAATGGAAAAGAGAAAGCAACATATCCCTCGGAGTCAGAGTGTCTACACTGCTGGTCTCTGGGATCAGATTGTCAGCTGCACTATTCGGTAAGTTGTTTGAAACTGGACCTGTGCGAACCTCCTGACATCTCTCTAGTCAATTCCAGATCTTGGCTGGTGATAAGCTCTCCATCATCATCAAGGTGGTGTCTGCTATTTTGCAGGCTCTTGTCTGCGGTAGTTTGTTCTACAACCTCAAATTAGACAGCAGTTCTATTTTCTTACGACCTGGGGCCCTCTTCTTTGCTGTTCTGTACTTCCTTCTCGAGACGATGTCCGAAACGACCGCATCATTCATGGGTCGTCCTATTCTTTCCCGGCAAAAAAGATTTGGCTTCTACCGACCTACGGCTTTTGCCATCGCCAATGCGATCACTGATGTTCCCATTGTCTTGGTTCAGGTATCATGTTTCTCATTGATCCTATATTTCATGGCTGGGATGCAGATGGACGCGGGCCGGTTCTTCACTTACTGGATTATTGTCATTGTGCAGACATTATGCTTCATGCAGATGTTCCGAGCCATTGGTGCGATGTGCAAAAACTTTGGTAATGCGTCCAAGATGACTGGCTTTCTCTCAACTGTCTTTTTTGTCTATGGAGGTACGTTGCCCCAATTTAGCCACCCTGGAACATACTGATGAAGTTACAGGGTATTTGATTCCCTTCGAGAAGATGCATGTGTGGTTCCGTTGGATCTTTTACCTGAACCCCGGTGCGTACGCCTTTGAGGCCCTGATGGCCAACGAGTTTGTGGGCTTGGAACTGGAATGTATTGCGCCCGACTACATTCCATACGGATCTGGATACCCCAGCGGCTCCTCTCCTCACCGTGGTTGCACTGTCAAGGGAAGTAATGCGGAAGGCATCATTGATGGCGCCACCTACATCAAGGAGCAGTTTCATTACTCTTATCACCATATCTGGCGAAGCTTCGGTATCATCATCGGCTTTTGGTCATTCTTCGTCTTTTTGACTGCAATTGGTTTTGAACTGCGCAACTGCCAATCCGGATCATCGGTTCTTCTCTACAAGCGGGGTGCCAAAACCAAGAAGGCGGACGAGGAGAGCAGCGTTTCTCCCAAGTCCGATGCCCTTGCGCAGACGGGCAAGCAGTCCACGTTCACATGGAACCATCTTGACTACCACGTTCCTTTCCACGGCGAAAAGAAGCAGTTGCTCGACCAGGTGTTTGGCTATGTGAAACCAGGTAACCTGGTCGCGTTGATGGGGTGCTCTGGCGCAGGAAAGACTACGTGAGTGTTCATTCCCAGGGCGGCGCAGGGATGCAAGCTGATCAATATCGCAGGTTGCTCGATGTATTAGCTCAGCGAAAGGACAGCGGTGAGATTTATGGGTCCATTCTGATCGATGGTCGCCCGCAAGGTATTAGCTTCCAGCGTACTACCGGCTACTGCGAGCAGATGGATGTTCATGAAGGCACGGCGACCGTGAGAGAAGCCTTGGTATTTTCTGCTCTCCTTCGTCAGCCCGCCAGCGTGCCACGCGAAGAGAAGATTGCCTATGTGGACCACATCATTGATCTCTTGGAGCTGAGTGACATCAGAGATGCCCTGATCGGAGGTATGTGCTGGTTCAGAAGTAACAGGGCGCCATACTGACCAAGACAGTACCCGGAGCTGGTTTGAGCATCGAACAGCGAAAGAGAGTGACACTGGGTGTCGAGTTGGTCGCCAAACCAACTCTGCTCTTCCTGGACGAACCGACGTCGGGCCTGGACGGTCAATCCGCTTACAACATTATTCGGTTCCTGAGAAAGCTCGTCGATAGTGGGCAGGCTGTGCTGGTAAGTGATGCCCTGTAGCCCTTGATGATATAATCTCATGTATCCTAGTGCACTATCCACCAGCCTTCTGCCGTTTTGTTTGATGCCTTCGACGCGCTGGTCCTGCTTGCCAGGGGCGGCAAGATGACCTACTTTGGAGAAAGTGAGTTTCACATCTGGCTGTACCGACTGATCTAACCCCATTCATTAGCTGGCGAGGAATCCCACAAGGTTCTGGAATATTTTGCGAAAAATGGTGCCCCCTGCCCTCCCGACGTTAACCCCGCTGAACACATTGTCGAAGTCATCCAAGGCAACACCGAGAAGCCTATTGACTGGGTCGATGTGTGGAGCCGATCTGAGGAGCGTGCACGCGCTATTGAAGAGCTTGAAGCCTTGAACAAGGAGGGTCAAGCGAACTCGGATCATGTGGAAGACCAGAACAACTTTGCAACCCCAACTTGGTTTCAATTCAAAACGGTGCTGCAACGCCTCATGACACAGATATGGCGATCACCGGTAGGTCTCAAAGCCCATTGCAAAAGGCATTGCTGACCCAGTCAGGATTACATGTGGAACAAGATCATCTTGCACGTTTTTGCGGCCTTGTTTAGTGGATTCACCTTCTGGAAGATGGGAGATGGGACGTACGCGCTTCAGCTTCGGTTGTTTGCCATCTTCAACTTCATCTTCGTGGCCCCTGGATGTATCAACCAGATGCAGCCGTTCTTCTTGCACAATCGCGATATCTTTGAGACCCGAGAGAAGAAGGTGAGCATCACGAGCAAACCCCTCTTCAAACAGATGCTAACTAAACCTAGTCCAAAACTTACCACTGGATTGCTTTCATCGGAGCTCAAGCAGTCTCGGAAATTCCATACCTGATCATCTGTGCTACGCTCTACTTTGCGTGCTGGTATTTTACCTCTGGACTGCCCGTTGACGCGTACATCTCCGGCCATATGTACTTGCAGATGATCTGTGAGTTTCCTACCCTCTGAATACCAAACAAAGCTGACCAGAACAAGTCTACGAGTTCCTGTACACTTCCATCGGACAGGCCATCGCCGCCTACGCCCCTAACGAGTACTTTGCCGCCATTATGAACCCCATCCTCATCGGCGCCGGCATGATCAGTTTCTGTGGTGTCGTGGTGCCGTACTCTAGCATCCAGCCCTTCTGGCGTTACTGGATGTACTACCTCGACCCGTTCACCTACCTGGTCGGTGGTCTTCTGGGCGAGGTCCTCTGGGACGTCAAGGTGAAATGCGAGGCCTCGGAGTTTGTTCAATTCAGTCCCCCGTCCGGCCAGACCTGCGGCCAGTACATGTCCGAGTTTATCTCGGAACAAACTGGCTACCTGCTGAATGCGAATGCCACCGACAGCTGTTCGTTCTGCCAATACTCGACGGGCGCAGACTACGCAAAGACCTTTAACCTGAACGCGAAGTACTATTCCTGGAGAGACGTGAGTGACCACTTTTCCGAACTGATTGATCAAATGCTAACCTCCATCAGACCGGTATCACCGCGCTATTCTGCATCACATCATACGGACTGGTGTTTTTGATGATGAAGCTGCGCAGCAAGAAGACCAAGAGTGCGAGGTCGGAGTAAGCTCCTCAGTCAACTTCAACCTCAATCTAAATCGCACCGCACCGCAATACGCTAGAAATAGCGACAGAAAGTCAAGCCCTTCACAGAAGGGAACAAGGTATATAGTTTGCTTCTCAGTTAACAGTAGATAGATAGACCGATACACCGACTGATTGCCAGTCATAGTATATAGACCCCTTGATTATACATACGTTCTTTAATACAACACCACAGTACTACCCTTCTACAACCTTTACAGGATTACTAGTATGATGGTTTCGAGTCCATCAAATCAGGTGACTAGGCTAGCTGCGCCATCTCACGTGTGTCCTCTTTCATGCAAGGAGAAAAAATACCTACTATCTTAGTATAACAACCAAGTCATTTCATCCATCAACACTTCCAAATACGTCCTCACATTTCTCTCCTTTCCTTTACATAGCCAACTTTCAAATCTACGCCTATGGCCCAGCCCCTAAACACGGAAGAATTACCACCCTACGACATCCTCGACTTCTCCCACGGCACTAACACCACTACCTCATTGACAATACTATGTTACGGCCTACGATTTCACATCACAGTCTCCACAACCAACATCCAAGATGATCCCCAAGCCACAGAGCAATACCTATCTCTTTTACAAAAGCTGGACTCCGAGGACTACGCTGAAGAGGAGAATGATAAAGAATCTACCGAGGGCGGTGATCCAATGGAAAACATCTGCTTCTGGATCGCAATCAAATGCCACCCCGTCATGAAACTCCTATTTTCAAAGGAGGAGGAAATCCCCCGAGTGCAAACTCTTCATGATTGGTTCAATATCAAAACCTATTCCCTTATTCCGAAGGCGCACGTGGATGGGGAGTTCTATGTTGAGTCGTCGCAGCCCATAGGAGGGTTATTCGCACCGAAGGCGTATTTATCGGCTGCTGTTTTAGCACTCAGGATTCCATATGTCGAAGATTCGAAAATCATGTTGATACAGGATGAAGCAGATGGCGATGGGGATGTTCTTCTTTCTCGACGGCCAAAGAAAGTCTCCCTGGTTGAATCCGGAGCCATCCGATTCTATAAACCCACTTATTGTAGCGAGCAAGCCGATCGTGAGATACTTGCTTTGGATCGGATTAAATCCATGGGGTTATCGGATGTACGTGTCCCGAGGGTTTATGAGTTGGTGAAAGGTCAGGAAGATCACACTGATAGTACTAATATTTCGGGCATTTTGCTTGAATATATAGAGCATCGTGGTACTTTGGCGGATATAGATATGGATGATACTCCTTGGCATGTTCGGGAGAAGTGGATAGAGCAGTTTCAGAGTATGATAGGGAGGTTACATGCCGCGGGGATTGTTTGGGGTGATGCGAAGCCAGATAATGTTTTAGTTGATGCGAATGGTGAGGATCTTTGGGTGGTTGATTTTGAGGGAGGGGTTACTGAGGGTTGGGTTGATGCGGATAAAGCTGAGTCGCGGGAGGGGGATCTTCAAGGGGTATTGAGGATTATGGGATTTCTTGGGGGAAGTGATGGTTCTAAGGGTGTTGCGGTGTAAATTGGACGGATTGTAGTTTTCTCTAGGATTAATCTTCACACCATCTTCAATAGGCGGGTTGATGAAACCAAATGACTATATACATCTAAGACTAGAATCTAATCGATCTATCTATCTATTAATATTATACAACAAGAAAGAAACAAAAATATGGGTATCAACTCAAAACCGAAACCTGGGAGTCTCCGATTGCGTCCTAATATACGCGACATCCACCAACCTGCCCAAAATCACATACTCGAGCTTCAACTTAATACTATAAACCAACGCCTTGAAGGTAACCTGAAAGGTAAAATACCCCGCATACTGAATAGCCACGACCGACAAATCCAGTAAAATGATCAATATATTCACCAACAACAACTGCACCAGCAAACTCCTCGACAACCCCCCGGAGTCCATGCGCAACATCTTGACAGTCTCATGGATATATATCCCCGAGAGGAGAAGTTCCTGAATGCAAAACCAAACGAGTTGAATGCGTTCGATGACCCCGAAGCCCAGATTCACGGTGAGGGAATCCGGGAGGGCGTTGACGGCAAGTTCGAGGGCTGTGCTGGAGGTGTGGAGAAGGGCGGCGTCGATGATGATGAGGTAGAGGAGAGCGCGGAGGAGTTTCTTATGCCGGAGGACGAGATGTAGACGGGACCAGAGGACGAGAGATTGGCCGGTGACCATGCCGGCCCAGCCGATGTCGACGATGACGATCTCCAGGAAGTAGTGGGTGAAGGTGATGGCGAACATTTTGAGGAGGTAGCCTAGGCCGAAAGGGATGATGGAGATGGAGGCGATCAGGAGACTCCAGAAGTAGAGGCCCGTGTAGCGGCGGAAGGTGTTGAAGCAGAGGATGACCAGCTCGATGGCATTGCACCATGCCAGGGCGATGAGGATGGGGAAGACATATTCTTCGACGGTGGTGTCCAGGTGCCGTGTTAAGCCGGTGGGATAGTTGGACGAGTCGTGGTCAAGGGTGAAATAGGGCATGAACAGAGGGCATGGATGGATGGGAGAGGGGAGGGATTGAGTATACTTCTGTGTATGTAGTTAGTATAGTGGAGAGAGATGGATCGCAGCACGAGATGAGGCGAAGGCGACTGAAGGAGCCGTCGCAAAAGTTGGCCGTCGAGATTGGCCGATTCGAGCCATGCGCTGATTGATCGAAGCCGGCCAATTGCGTCATGAATCTGCGTACTTGACTGGTTGGGGGGTGTTCATTGGTCGGAGATAGCAGGCGGCGGATGCTGGGGCCAATGAGGGACCGGCCAGACTGCTAATCTATCCCTCTTCCGTCCAGTCCCCTCGGCTGGTGCGCGCATGCTGATTGGTGACCGTTTGCCGGTATGGTTGCGTCTGGTAAGGAGACCCCTGATACGGGACGGTATTTACCGGGGGGCTGTTTGGCCTGTTTGTCTGGGCAACACGTCGCGTGGGCTGCTTTGGTTCCTCTTGGATAGCTTCACCTGCTCACCCCTCCATGCAGACATGATGCAATGGCTGTGACGCAGCGTGCTCGAGTTTGACCATCGCCTGCAGCTCATCGGAGGTCTTGCAGCTTACAGCAGCTAAACATCGGATCGGAGCCATTCCCCGCCACTAGCCCAATGGAGCCGGCCAGGAACATTTTTCATCGATCCTGCTGCCTTTGAATTTTCCGAGCTGGGCGTGCTAGAACGCTGGGCAATCATGATTCCCCGCGCGACTATGGATTTGACCGGGAAGAAGCCCCTCTATCGGCTTTCTTCAGCCTCCGTGCCCTTTCCTAATTACACCCAACCTCGCTATGGAGCGGCCTCCGCCCCTGCGGGTGGCACGCAAAGCCCCCAGACTCCCAACCCGATGCCCATGACACAAACACCCACTCGTCCTATGGTACCGCAGCAAAGCCCTGTTCACACACCTCAGTTGCGACAAGCCCCGCTGCGACAACCCCCGACCCCTCAGTTTCAATCCTCTCACCCGCAACCGAACCAGGCCCAATCCCCGCAGGTCCTCACCCCATACAAGGAGAATGGCGAGGGGTCGGAGTTCGTCGACGGGAACCCACATGTTGCTAGGCGTCGGGGGAGGATGCTGTTCGACCATGAACTGATCATACTCTTCAAGGGCTGTGTCGAGCGCAAGGACATGTACTTGAACGATCCCAACCGGGGGCTGTTCTGGGACAACGTGGCCGCGTATATGAACCAGCTAACCGGTCGGAACTTCTCGTCGTCGTCCTATCAGCAGATCGTGACGGACCGGAGCATTGAGCGTCGGAAGCGTCGCCGCGATGTTGCCAACGGGAAAGGCAAGGCGGAGCCCACCAGCGCCCTGACTGCCGCAATCGATCAATGGATTGCCATGGAAGACCAGCTCCTGAGGATGCAGACAAACGAGAATACGCCCAACATGCAGAAACGGCCTGCCTCGGATATCCCCAATATGCAAGATGCCGACCGGCTCAAACGGCCCAGACAGCAGTCGACGGCTGGTCCCCTCATAAACCCGTCCGTGACGCATTACGAGGTCAATACCAACGATATCACGCAAGCGCTGGCGCAAGAGGTACGGGATTTACGACGGGAGATGGGAGAGATGCACCGGAAAATGGATCTGGCTTTGCAGGCTCTCAAGGAGTTGAAAGACAAATAAGGCCATGGTTATGGACGGATAATTGATCGCAAGGACGGCTCCAATCAGCAGTGCGAATCTTCGCAGCCGGCTTCGGGCAAAATTGCCTGTTTGATGAAGCAAACGATGCTTCAAGCTGCAAAGTGCAAAGTTCGGTCGTTACGAATGGCCGACGTCGCTGCAACCCCTCAGTTCCCCACATTTACCCCCGACATAAAATGTCAATGTTCGGCCTCTCTCCTGCACCAGGCCTCCGATCCATGTAAACCTGTATTGTGAATCAAGATCCGCGCACCTCATCCCATCATGGCTCCCGTCTTTCGTGCTGAACAAATTGGTTCTCTTCTCCGGCCCGAGGAGTTGTTGGCTGCCCGCGACGCCGCTGGACTGACACATGTCTATACGAGGACCACCGTGTCGCAAACCCTCCAGCAGGTGACGGAGCAGGCGATCGCCAGAGTGGTCGAGCAGCAGCAGGCTCACAACGTACGTCCTATTATGACCCGAGAGTATGAGCGACTGATCTTCTACGCCGGTTTTTTTCGAGAACCTCCATGGACTCCAAATGATTCAGGTGCCCATTCCCGAGGGATATCGCAGCGGGCTCCCGACCACCTCCACCCTCGTCAAATTGGGGATTCAGAGTCGGGATGCGACGGTTGCTGTGGGCAAGATCCAGCATGTCCGCAGTCCCTATCTGGCTGACTGGGAGTATCTGCGTAGCCTTGTGCCGCGAGAACAGTGGAAAGAGTGTAAGCTGAGCATGCCTTCCATCACCTGGCACCATCAGCATCTGCGGGCCGGTACCGTATTCACGGCCTCTAGTCCGTATACCACCGACAAGGAGTACTTTGCGGATCTTGCAAAAGCGTTTGCAAAGGAGTACCGGATCCTGTACGATGCCGGGCTGCGCTCGATTCAAGTGGATGATCCTGCCATGACCTTCTTTGTCATGGACGAGATGCGATCGGGGTGTTTGGCGGACGGCATCGATCCGGACGAGCTTCTGGACCTGTATATCTGGGCGCACAATGAGAGTCTCAAGGACCGGCCTGCGGACCTACACATCGGAGTGCACCTCTGCCGGGGCAATATGCCTGGGTCCACACATATTCTTAGTGGATCGTATGAGCGCATTGCAAAACGCATGTTCACAGGGCTAGACTATGACACATTCTATCTCGAATATGACACGGAGCGGGCAGGCGACTTCCACCCGCTGCGGCATTTGCCGGTAGGCAAGGACGTGGTGCTGGGAGTGGTTTCGACGAAGGAGACAGCGATGGAGAATGTGGATGAGTTGGAGGCCCGGGTGTATGAAGCCGCCGACGTGATTGCGCACGGTCAGGGACGGAGCCGACAGGAGGTGCTGGACAGCACGCTAGGGGTGAGCCCGCAGTGTGGCTTCTCGAGTGCGAGCCGAGGCCGGGGAATTGGAATGACAGAGGCGTGCATGTGGGAGAAGCTGCAACTGGTGCAGAAAGTAGCTGAGCGGGTGTGGACAAGCAGCAGCAGCAGCAGCAGCAGCTAGAGATGTTACCAGTACGACTAAGGGATCGGTTAGGGGGTTGCGTGTCAGAATAATGAAGATGATCAAAGCGGACATGATGTCCGGCTGCCAGGCACGCCAGTTGCATGATGCAGTGCGCTAAGAAGACTGGTTGTTCCTGCCAAAGTTACTAATGGCTGGCGTCCTGCAGGACGGCCCGCACGTGGCCGACTTGTTGGACTCCGACGGTCCCCGTCAACACCCTCTGAGTGACAATGGACCCTCGGCTTCGGCACATTCCCCTTCCAAGCGATGCTTGTTCTTTCTGCACAACTCCTGATGGACTAGCTATATAGCCTGCCTGTCGCACGGGCAATTAGTCTGATCATCCTCCCTCCCATCCACCAATAATTCGTTGCACATCCACCATGCACTTCCGTCTGGCACTTTCGCTTCTCCCGCTCACCACCCACGCCATCAACATCATCTCCTCCAATGATGATGGCTGGGCTGAAATCAATATCCGCACCTTGTATGACTCCCTCACCGCCGCCGGCCACTCGGTTGTGATCTCCGCCCCAGCGGAGAACAAGAGCGGAACTGGTATTTCCTCCATCTCCACCGCCAACTGGCCAACCACTGATTCTACCAGGCTCCGATGATGCCACTCCCTCCAACCTCACTGAAGCCTGCGAGTTCGACAGCTGCCCCTCTGGTAGCCCTGCGTACGGCTACAACGCCTCCCAGCCGCGGTGGAACTACGTCAATTCGTACCCCGTCACCTCCATCAAGTACGGCATCGACACTTTGTCCGAGGAATTCTTCAGCGGCTCCCCCGACCTCGCTGTCAGCGGTCCCAACGTGGGTGCCAATCTTGGCCTGGAGGTCTTCTTCTCCGGCACTGCCGGAGCTGCAACCTACGCGGCGAAACAGGGCATTCCTGCCATCGCCTTCTCCGGTAACACGGGCTCTCAGACAGCTTGGGACGTGAGCGTGCCCAACTACAGCACCGTGTACGCCGAGTTGTCAACCAAGCTGGCCGATGCGCTGATTGCGTCGGGCACGCCCTACCTGCCAGACGAAATCTGGCTGAACGTGAACTTTGGCGCCGTGAGCGACTCGAGCTGCACCAGCGCAGACGACTTCAAGTTTGTGCTTTCGCGCATCTTCACCGCGATCCCGCTCGTCTCGGGCGACGATGTTGAGACGTGCGACAACGACAAGCGGTTGCCGACGGAGACCAAGGTGGTGGACTCGGACGGGTGCTACGCCAGTGTCTCGGTGGGGGTGGCGAGCGACAAGCTCGACGCGAATGCGACAATTCAGGGGGTCGTTCTAGAGAAGCTGTCGGGGCTGTTGACGTGCTTGGACTGAGCTGTAGCAGGCAGCACCCTGGCGCCTGCCTATCTCCCAACCCTCGAGGGTTCTCCTTTTTCTGACACCAGCATGTATCAAACTACAAAATGCCAAACAACGCTGTTTCCATCATTTAGTTCCTGGATAGACGTTAGACCCCTGACCGCGGCATGAGCTGCCAACAGCTTCCACGCCGATCACCTTGTACATACATGCAGCCATGCCTTGTTTAGGTGAACCCCGCCAGCCCTAAATCCTGAAGTCAATCCGTGTGGTCCAAGCACCCTTCATCATTGGCTGCGTTCTGGAATTCTCAGACCATCCCATTAATGTCTTGCCGTTATTAATCTAACCTCGCAACCTGTCCGACACCCCTCCAATGGGCGCCATCCCACCCTGTTCCTGACCACCAGGTTGTCCGCAGATTACCGAACACGGGCGTATACACGGGAGGATGGAATCCTGCAGCAACAGTACGAGGATGAGGTGAGGAATCCCTCCGAGCTGCAGTGCCCCACCAGTCAGCTCCTTATCCTGCCGATCCTGAAGATACCTCCTCAGAGCGGACATAAAAGGAGCGATCACCCAGAGCTTGTTTCTTTTCCACCAACTCAATTCTCCCTCAACCCTGCACCAATACAAATCATAATCCTCCATTGACCATGTCCCTTCGCACTCTTCTCCTCGCTGCCTCGACGGTCTGTCTGGCGCAGGCCGACACCCGTCTTCACGCCCGCGACTGGATTGCCAGCTCCGCGATCGTCGGCCTCGACCAGACTGTTCCTGATGATGCCACCGGCGATCTCTACCTGGGCTACCAGCCATACCTGAAGGTGGTGAATGGATGTGTTCCATTCCCTGGTGTTGATGCCGAGGGAAATACCGAGTGAGTCTATCCCTTCTACCTTCTACTAGACGGGACCCTTTATCAGGGTCTATTTAATCTATTTAGCGGATCTTCCACCAATCACATCCCCTCATTCCCTATCTTTCCCTTTCTTTCTTTTCCCCTCACCCTAACTCCAACCCAACCCAACCACCCCAATGATCACACCACACCACCACACACACAACTCCCAAACTAACAAAACAAAACCAACAGTGCCGGCCTCTCCCCCACCGGCTCCACCAACGGCCACTGCAGTTCCTCCACCGGCCAAATCTACGTCCGCTCCAACATCACCTCCACCTCCAGCACCTCCGACTACCCCACCGCCCTGCTTTACAGCTGGTACATGCCCAAAGACGAGCCGTCGACTGGCATCGGCCACCGCCACGACTGGGAAGGCGTGATCATCTACCTCAAAGACTCGACCACCATTTCCGCGGACAACATCATCGCCGTGTGTCCCTCTGCTCACGGCGGCTGGGACTGCACCACGGACAGCTACTCGCTGTCTGGCACCAAGCCCCTGATTAAGTATGAGAGTGTCTGGCCGTTGGATCATAGTTGTGGGTTGACGGATGAGGTGGGCGGTACGCAGCCGTTGGTTGCATGGGAGAGTATGCCCTCTGCTGCGCAGGATGCGCTTCAGACGGCGGATTTCGATAAGGCGATTGTGCCGTTTAAGGATAGTACTTTTGAGGAGAATTTGGGGAAGGCTACTTATTAGTTTGCTTTGCTAGCTGGGTAGGTAGGTAGGTAGGTAGGTAGGTAGGTAGGTAGTTGGTTTGGGTTGTTGAGTAGGGGGTGGTTGGTTACTGAATGGTTGGGTAATGTTGGCTGTATATCTATTACAACTTGAATAGTATAATATAACCTTTGTCTTTGGAATTGATGATTGTTTTGTAGTGCTCGGATGGACCTAGATTGGGTTTTGAAATATGAATAAGATTTTAATGTTAATGGATAGGTAGTAATGGTGATGGTATGGGCGATCTTTCTTCTTTGGGGGAAAGACAGTGGTTGTGGGGCGGAGGAAGGGTAGTAAGTGCTGTTCATGGGATTAGGGACTATGGATTATGGATTGAGGAAGTTAGCATGTATGGATCGGATAAATGGATAGATGTGTTAGTGGATTGCATCGAGGGCTTGTATCTCTCGGGAGGGGGGCTGGGTCGATTATGAATATGTTTTTTTTTTTTAAAGGTAGGGTATAACTTGTTAAGTAGATCTAGGGTTGGAGTGGTAATATTTGGTCGTTGTCTTATGATGATGTTTCAGGGGATAGGGGAGTACGTATTGGCTAGATTAATTTCATCTAGTAGGTGTTTGCATTTTGTCTATGGATGTACCGTCCTATGTCCTGAGATGACTACGCTGCAATGATGGTAGGTATATCACAAGTCGATTGCTATATAGTGGTAAGGTGGGTAAGTAAGTAGTACACTAAGTAATCTAAGCACTAGCAATGCACTGGTAGTAGTAAGGGTTGTAGGAGTGGCAGCTAGAACCGGAAGCACACTGGGTAGCACCGGTCCAGTTGATACCACCGCACTGGCCGTACATGGACTGGGAGCCGCTAGAGCCGGCAGCAGCAGAGGTGACAGCCGGGGCGGAGGTGATGGTGGGCTGCTCGGGCTCAACCGAGGTCGTGGCGGCAGCCTCGGGGGTGATGGTCACGAGGGTGGTCCAGGAAGAGGGAACCTGCACGGGGATCTGGGTGTAGCTGGAGCTGGCGACAGGGGTGCTGCTGCTGGACATGGCCATGGCAGTGTCAGCGGGAACGCTGGTGACATCGGCGGCGCTGGTAGATTCAGCAGCAGTGGTGGCAGCAGCAACGCTGGAGGAGGCAGTCGCCACAGCGGCGGCGCTGGCGCTGCCAGTGACGGCAGTACCGGTCGAGGTGATGGCCGAGGTGGTCTGGCTGACGGAGACGGCACCGCTGTACTGGGAAGGACCGGGCACGGTGTAGGTGCTCATGGTCGAGTAGATGTTGACCAGGATGCCGTTCTCGGTGGCCGTGTAGAGCTCAGTACCGAGGACACCGGAGGGGGTGGCAGTGCCAGTACCGGTGACCTGCAGGTTGAAGCACTGGGGGTAGTTCTGAGCACCATCCTCCTCCTCAGCACTGTGGAGAGCGATCAGCTCGTGACGGAGGACGTAGTTGCCCGGCGCGATGGACGGGGGGATCTCGACCAGCCAGCTGTTGTTGTTGTTGATCAGCTGGTCGGTACCCCAGGTACCGGGAACCTCGGTGTCACTGATCAGACCGACGCCGTCAATCTTGAAGAACTTGAGAGTGGTCTTGTCGACCGTCTCACAGCTGTCACCGCAGTTCGCCAGGTAGTCGAGCACGGGACCGTGGTGGGAGTCGGGCCAAGCGGTCCACTGGATGTTGACCTTCTCACCAGCACCGACGACGACGTGGGCCTGAGCGTTGGTGGCGTTCTCGTGGCAGATGATGTTGGGGTTGCGGTACTCATCGGGCGAGATGAAGCCGTTGCCAGTGTTGGGGGTGGTCCAGGCAGCCACCTTCGGGGGGTCAGACTCGTAAGGGAAGCTGTTGATGTCGAAGCCCTCGTAGTAGACACCGTCGACGACGATGTTGGTGACGTGACCGTGGGCAGCAACCTGGGTGGCCGACAGCAGGGCCGTCAGGAGAGAGGCAGACTGAGCGTGACGCATTTTGATGCTAGTGGTAGTAATGGAAAGAAAGAAAGGTAGAGAATGTAGTGGATTGTAGGTAAAGAGCGAGCGATCCTGCGCAAGGAATGTGGAAGGCTTCAGTCAATGAAGCGAAGAGTAATGAAGGGAATGATAAAAGAGAAGACTTGCTTGAGGAGGAAAGAATCAACAGCGAGTCGAGGTGCGGACATGGCCTTTTAAATCCTCATGGCGCCCTGTCAATATCGCCGGATGCTCCCAGTGTGTCACATTCCAAACCGCTGCTGGAGCCATGGAACCCACCTAGGAGTCGGGTCTGACCACGGCGGCGGGCCAGTCTGGGCCCTTCAGAAGCGCCGAAGCAATTAAGGTGAGGGCTCAACGGTGGTAGGGCAGGGGCAAGTGTTCCAGGTGGCGCCGATCCGTCTGGTATTGAAGCTATCGCCGGGCTAGGGTCTTGGCTGTCGGAGGTTTTCACGCCATTGCCCCGACGGTCGTCTAACTTCTGTCACTTTTCAGCGAGCTTATTTATTCTCTTGTCGGTTTCACTCCAAAGAAGCTTTCTTCTAGTGAAGATTCGCAAAGAACATGTTCGCCCACGCCGACCGCGCTCTGGCATCGGGGATAAAAATAGCCGGCGAGGTAGGCGCTTGTAGTGGATCCGGGCGCACTAGCCACTCGATAGCTCATCGGAAAAATGCTGGGCCAGACTCACATAGATTAAGCCCTGCCCTGGCTGGTCTGGCCCACCAATCAGGTCCCCCGAGGCTGGACAGCCGCCGTTCCTGCAGCATGGCAGTCCCTGGCAATTTTCCTCCACAGCCGACCCCTTGAAGACCTCCAATGACACCCAACATGGTGGATCATCCAGGTACCTGCATTGGAGCGATAATACTGTATAGCTGAAGCACATGCCATCCACCGATCGTTAGTGGACCAATTCTGCTGACCGAAGACCGGCGTTGGCTTGCTCGCACAACGCCTTGGTCCAGGGGTCCACGCCGCCTCCTGAGAATAGTTGAAAAGCCTGCCGGAATGCCCTTAGATGAATGACCGGTTGTTAGCCACCGGCGTCATCGGTTCGACTATAACAATTATTGCGATACCAATCTCTACACAACGAGCAATATACGCAAAGACCGTGCGATAACCAAGCAACATTAAGATTCTTGAACAATTAACCTTATCCGAGACATCATTAACGGCAGCAAGCCGGATGACCGGCGAGTCGGCAACGGTAGTCGGGTGTTGGCGGGACTGGGGCGAGTGGGTAAACCTGAAACGGCCTCCTTATTAGCCCACCACACTGTCACGACTCACGACTCACGATACATCACCCGCACGGCCGGTTTGCCTGATATAGCTCCTGATCGGGATAGCCGTCGTCTGCTTGAGTAAGCGGAATACCCGGATTAAGTCGGTGCGAGCAGTGCCACGGTGGGGGAGACTCATCTGGAACTTGCCATCCTTTCGATCGTACAGGTAAAGACGATATTGCAGGGGCTCCTTGAAGTGTCAAAAAAGCAGGATTTGAAATGACCGTCACAAATCATCCGCAGATGCACCTTGCCAGCCAACCTACTTGGGCCACACCAGTGTGTAGGCGCCGTGATATCTCAGCTGGTCCTATCACAACAATCCACGACTTGTGGGCCAGCCAAGGATGGGACACCGCTAGTGATGTCACTAAATGCAGCATGCTTTGGGACCCGTACACGGCTTTGCCATTAGGGGCTCAATTTATCCGGCGTGATGGTCGTTTGGCATGCACCACCTTGGACGTGGCGCTGCAATGGGCACCCACAAATGGCTGTCATGCATCTGATCCGGGCACCCAGACAGCGGCAATTCAAAGGACCACGCATGACATGGCTGGAGACCAACGGTTGCTCGGGCCTGACTCGTTTGTTGCCGTCGATGTAGGGTTCCCAGCTGGGTATTTCCCTTCATTCGGTCAAGGGGTCAACATGACAGGCTACCATGTTACAGTCCGCGGGAGTAAAGAATTGTCGCGTTCGTCGATATTCATGCAGCAGACTTCTCTTGGTCTGACGACAGCAAGGCCCCGTGCTCTCTCAGATGACTCAAGATCGACAGTCGCTGCCTTGGGATATGCTGTGCTCTTCCGTTCGCATCGATTTCTGATTTGGCCGACCGTGGTGCTCGTTCTTGGCCGGAGTGGTGCATTCTGGGCGCCAAGATACCCCGAGTCATCCCAGCCAGCGGGACACTTGGCATCTCTCCGCCGAGAGCGGGGTTGGGAGCCTCTTCTCGTGGCTGATAATAGAATCCTGCCCCTGCTTGGTAGTGTATATTTGTCGACTGAACGTATATGCAATATGAAGGCGTCCCGCCTCATATCTGTCCCAAGCCATGTGCATCTGCATTGAAATATCAGGCCGACAGACCAATCATATTATTTCCTCCCCAGCCCTATGGTGTCAGCTTGCAGTGCCCCGGTCTTGGCCAGAGTCTCACAAAGTTTAATAAACCAGCCAGAAAGCAACCTCTTCGGGAGTGCTGTAGGAATGGCTCACTAAATCCCAAGCCCTCGGCATCTGCGCCCAAGACCACCACGGTTGCGTCTCTTTGAACTCCAAGGGTCTTGGGCTACAGTCGGATGGCCATTACCTGGAGAACGGAGACGCAGTTGGCTTTCCGGGTCGACGGATACGGGAAATATACTCTGGCGCAGAACAAACTTCTGTTCTCCAAATGGATGATGAAGGGACCCTTGAGTGGCACCGGTGCTTAAAAGGCCTTGTGTTCCCACAGAGGCTCTGGTCGTCCATGACACACCTGTGTATCATCCGAACAATTTCTGTCCTATAACTGGTCGACAATTGTATCTTTCATCAGCAGGTTCCTTCCAGTCACGATGAGTGGCAAAGATAATGACCCCGAGGCACCGACCTCGACATATCACCATCTGGAATCTCCCATCTCCACACAAAAGCAAGATGCAAAGGTGGCTCAAGACTGGACTCGCGATGTAGCCGAGAGCAAGAGTGCCACTACATCCACGAGGCTGAAGAATCCACTCGCTAGCCTGACGCGGGATGAGCTCTTCAGAGACGTTGAGTTATTTGCGCGTGAGAAGGACTTGGAGCACATAGTGGATGAGCTAAAAAGAGGTGCTCTTGTAGCTCAAGATCCAAAGTCGTTTGAAGAGCTCCAAGAATTGTCTGAGAGTGAGAAGGAGTTCCTCCGTCGCGAAAAGACCCATCGATGGAGCCAGCCGTTCATGATGTACTTTATGACCAGTAAGTCCTGGCCAATATAAGGCGATTCGGAAGACTGACCGTTTAGTTCTCTGCGCTGGGTCGGCAATTGTCCAGGGTATGGACCAGACAGCGGTCAATGGTGCGCAGGAGTAAGTCATATCTGTGAAGGATCTTTGCTGTAAGCTGAGTATGGCAGATTCTACTTTGCAGAGTTCAACCTCACCAACACATGGCAGCAAGGACTCCTAAATGGCGCCCCATACCTATGCTCAGCACTCATAGGATGCTGGACAACCGCGCCATTAAATCGCTGGTTTGGCCGTCGTGGGTGCATCTTCATCTCCTGCTTCATCTCGTTTGCATCGTCCTTCTGGATGGCGGTGGCACACACTTGGTGGAATCTCCTTCTAGCCCGGTTCCTCCTTGGTTTCGCGGTAGGTGCCAAATCAACCACGACCCCAGTCTACGGAGCTGAGTGTGCACCTGCCACCATCCGCGGGGCGTTGGTCATGATGTGGCAGATGTGGACGGCGTTTGGAATCATGCTTGGTTATATTGCCTCGGTCGCATTTATGGATGTAACACATCCCACCATCCCAGGCTTCAACTGGAGATTGATGCTAGGGTCTACTGCCATTCCGTAAGTCTACGCAACCTACCTCTTCTCGTCTATACTGTGTAGCTAACGGCTATGAGTCCGTTCTTTGTCTGCATGCAGGTGTACTTCTGTCCCGAGTCGCCCAGGTGGTACATGGTCCGGAATCGCTACCAAGACGCATACGACGCACTCTGTAAGCTGCGGCCATCCACCTTTCAGGCTGCTCGGGATCTGTACTACATCCATGCAGCCCTGAAGGTGGAGGAAAGGCTTCGCGAAGGCAAGCAGCTCTGGCGTGAGATGTTCACTGTCCCTCGTAATCGACGCGCGACGCAGTCATCATTCTTCGTCATGTTCATGCAGCAATTCTGCGGAGTGAACGCCCTCATGTACTACAGCTCCGCCATTTTTCGAGATGCGGGATTTGATCGACGGATGGCCCTGGTCACCTCTCTGGGATGCGGCATCACCAATTGGATCTTTGCCCTTCCAGCCGTGTACACAATCGATACCTTCGGTCGGCGTAATCTCCTGCTGACCACATTCCCACTTATGAGTCTGTTCTTGCTTTTCACCGGGTTCTCATTCTATATCCCTGATGACACCTCGCGGACGGCGTGCGTGGCAACGGGTATATATCTCTTCATGGTGGTGTATTCCCCGGGGGAGGGACCGGTACCGTTCACGTACTCTGCGGAGGCATTTGTAAGTTACCTGCAATAATGAGGGGGGAAAATACTAATAAGCGCACAGCCGTTATACATCCGCGACGTGGGCATGTCCTTTGCGACTGCAACGACCTGGGGCTTCAACTTCATTGTCTCGCTGACGTGGCTGCCACTGCGGGACGCGTTCAGCCCACAGGGAGCATTTGGCTGGTATGCAGCCTGGAATATCTTTGGCTGGATCTTTTGCTATTTCTGTTTGCCTGAGACAAAGGCGCTGTCACTGGAAGAGTTGGATCAGGTTTTCTCGATACCCACGACCAAACACATCAATCACTATGCGAGTATGTTGCCGTGGTACGTCAAGAAGTATATCCTCCGCGGAGATGTGCCACCTCAGAAACAGCTTTATGATTATGAGTAGTCAAAGAGGAGTGAAGAGAGTGAGGACAAGTGGATGAGAGAATGAGAGGGGAAGATGGCGAGGGACAAAGGATGGTGCTAGGCCAGTTTGGGAACGCGGGGATGCCTGGCTAGGCACACCCCGGTTTACCTAAATTCATGCTACTGAGATTCTGTGTCGTTCATTTGATTTCATTTCCATTCTTTTCACTGTCCAATGCATGAATAGTTATATCTCCACATTGATTCCTGGCGACCCACACCAGGAACCCCGTAGTGTCAGTTGGTCAAATGAGAGTTACCTTGGTTCTCGACTTTTTCGCGAGACTGTATCCCAATATCAAACCATCGAAGTAAGCTATAATAAGCTCGGGCTTGTTGAATGGAGTGTGTCTCCAATGACTTTTGTGACTTGGACCTCCCTATATGATATTAGTTACTATCACTTTGTCCCCACATGACACAATAATATATTTTTAAGTTATAATGAAGGCAACAATAGGATTACTAGATAGACTACAAGCTGGCGGACAAGCTTTTGACAATTCCGTTGGCTTTTCGAGGAGCTGTTCCATGTCTGGCATTGAGGCAGCGATAAGGAGGCCGAGTTCGTCTTATACAGTAATAAGGGGTGGTCTTTGTACTGTCAAAGTTGCATCGGTTTCCACCCGTGCATTGTTTTGGCTTGTTTTTCTATCATCTTGAGACTCGGGATATAATGAGTCTGGTGAGCCATCCTATATATATTTTGAATCAAGCCCGAAGCGTGGGAGCTAAAGCTGATGAACTTGGTAGAGATTGCGCACTCGACTAATTTGGGTCGTCAACATCTTGGGTAGACTTGTAGAGAAGGCATGCAACCTAGATTAGTGATAACGTTGGGAACTAGCCAGGGGGTCACTGGAGAAATATATTGGAAAATAGCATTTCATGATTAGATATTTCGGAGAAAATAACGCAACAGTCTGATTAATGTATTGAACCTTTCAAATTGGATGAATCCAGCCGGGCAATAGAGTTCAAGATGGCACCACCCTCACCTGTGGAGCATGATGCTTGTGTGCATGACTGCAAGTATCAGGCAGATCATTGCCGCTATGGAGAATGATACCGGCAACGGGCGATCCCGCCATAGAGAACTCTCACTAAGTCTATGAACGAATCGCAGGGTGAATAATTGATTTGGATCCCTTCTCCGACCTGCAATGATGCTAATCAGTCTCTGATATTCGGCTGCCCTTTTCTAGAAGAATTCTGGTTGAGAGCCGTCATCGGCGTGATCATCCAATGGCGACCCCCAACCGGGCGTTCCTTCTTCATGTAGACAAGCGCCAGGTCCGTTCTCACTCATCGCCGGCTTGGCTTGATGTTGATTGGCCAGGAACAGAGGCGCGGAGCGGAGAACCCCACCTCTTTGGCTCGCGAATTAGGTAATGGGATCTGGAGCGGGTGCAACGCTGGATCCACCCACACAGGACAGCAGCAGGCAAATTTGCCATGATGTTAAGACTTAAGACTCCGGTTCGGAGGGTGAGTCAGACCAGACTCATTTGTCAGGTTGCTATCTTCCCGGACAACTGACCTTTGAACCGTTGACAAGTTCGTGTTAGGTTCCCTGTGTGTGTCCATGTAGATAGACCTGGTAGGGCTGTTGTCCATACCTCAGGAATCAAGACCTTGCCGCCGCCAGATTCTGCGCCGTCCCCACTCCTCGTCAGGTCGCATCCGGTCTCATCCATCCCGTGGCAAGGCCAGTTGGGATTTTCACCTCCCATCTCCGCGCAGTCATGGCCCATCCCACTGGCGACAAGGCTGCGCCCAACCTCAATGTGCAGTCCGGGCAATTCTTCCAAGATGCTCGTGATGAGTCTGGCCTGCAGGACGAAGAGAAGCAGGACGACAAGAAGGGGGACTCGGTCTATCATGACACCTTTGGCGATGAAGAGTATGCCGAGGTCAAGTACAAGGTTCTGAGCTGGTGGTATGTTTACCTCCAATGGCACCGGTTGGGACAGCTGACTGACATCTCTTAGGCAGTGCGGCTTTCGTGAGTGATATCTGTGTCTGCACCTGCGATGTTTACTGATTAGCCAGTCATGGTTGCCGAGACCGTCTCTCTGGGTATCTTGTCCTTACCCGCCGTTGTCGCAGCGCTGGGTCTGGTTCCGTATGTCCTCGTAATTAGTCTTCAGTCATATTCGTTTTCTAATGCGATGCAGCGCTGTCATCCTTCTACTTGGCCTGGGTCTGCTGGCCACTTACACCGGTTACGTCATCGGCCAGTTCAGATGGCGCTATCCCCATATCCAAAGTCTGGCGGATGCTGGTGAGATCCTCCTTGGGCCAATCGGCCGCGAGGTCTTTGGGACTGGCCAACTCCTACTTGTTGTCTTCATCATGGCGAGTCATCTCCTGACCTTCTCGGTCGCCATGAACACAATAACCGCCCACGGAACGTGCACCATCGTTTTCGGCATCGTTGGCCTGGTGATCTGCTACATCTTGTGTTTACCTAGGACGTCTGCGAAGATGTCCTATCTTTCCGTTGGCTGTAAGTTGCGAACTGTTGACAGCCATCCGTAAATTCTAACGCTGCACAGCATTCATCAGCGTATTCTCTGCTGTGATGATCGTGATGATTGCCGTTGGCATTCAGCGTCCATGGAAGGGAGCCGTGGACGCGACGGTGGATACTAGCTTGTACAAAGCCTTCCTCGCTGTCTGCAATATTGTGTTTTCCTTCTGTAGGTTCATTGTTCTATCTCGTTGAGGCACAGCTGACATATAATAGCGGGCCACGTTGCGTTCTTCGGGTTCATGTCCGAACTGAAAGATCATCGGGAATACCCCAAGGCCCTGTGTCTTCTCCAAAGCATCGATACGATTCTCTACATTGTCACCTCGGTGGTGATCTACATCTATGCGGGACCCAATGTCACGTCCCCTGCACTAGGCTCCGCCAGTCCCCTGGTAGCCAAGATCGCCTACGGGATTGCTCTTCCGACGGTAGGTGCATTTCCTGTCTCGCTTGTGCGCCATTAACTTTGATAGATCATCATCGGCGGTGTTGTGAATGGCCATGTCGCCTGTAAATACGTCTATGTTCGCATCTTCCGCAACGGGGACCGCATGCACAGCCGGGATCTCGTGGCGACGGGATCTTGGGTGGGGATCATGCTGGCATTATGGATCCTTGCCTGGATTATCGCAGAGGCTATTCCTGTGTTTAGTGATCTGCTGAGTCTGATCGTATGTCTCCCGTCTTTGCTGATTGACTCGACTGACCGAAACCTAGGCATCTCTCTTCGCCAGTTGGTCTACATGTAAGCGATGCTCTTCCTTTTGTATAGCTACATACTGACATTGCATAGTCGGCTTCAGCGGTGTTTTCTGGCTCCACCTTAACAAAGGTCGCCTCTTTTCGTCTCCCCTGAAAATTGCGTTGACAATTCTCAATGTGCTTTGCATTGGAATTGCCGCCTGCATCGTAAGTACTCGTCCCAGGGTACTTTGTTCCTTCTAACCACTGGCAGTGCGGTCTTGGACTCTATGTATCGGGACGATCTCTCCACGATGACGCCAATAGCTCCAGTTTCTCCTGCGCAAATAACGCCTAATGGATTAGACACCAGTATATAGTGCATATAGCGACCGTTAAAGTAATAGAAAAGATGCATTTGGGCATATGACAACCCCCGCATATCCCGATTACCCGAAATTGAGATTCCTTCGGCTCCGACGCCAAGACTCGCCAAGATCACCGCCGCCCGACAGTCTTGGCGAGGCCGTGGGCAGTCACGCAGCGACCGGGATCCGGTTTTTCTGTGGCGGTCAGGCAAAGGAGGTAGACTTGGTTCATACGAGCAGAGAAATAGCCATCCGAGATATGATGCTTGATTACGTAGAGATGTAGGCGCTGGAGTGCATATGGTGCTGCTGACAAGTATTTATATGGGATCAGGGTCTTCTGGGGAAATGGTGGAGTCCCTGCACAACCGAGCCGAACACGTGCTTTTCCGGGGTACCGTTTGGCCCCTCATTTCTTCCTGCATCATCTCATGTCCTCCACATCTGTGAACAGCGACAACACTGCCATAAGGTAGGACAATGTTGTTTTCGTCCACACGACAAGGATCCCGTAGCCTCCTCACAGCCATGATATCAGCAGCAGCCGATCTTGTCTGTGCGAGCGTCTGAGTCCGACCGCAAGCGCCGACAAGCCTCCAAAGCACTGGCGACTGAAATTTCCTAGCGCCACGTACCTCATGCCACACGTGGAGCGACGCCCACATGCTATCGCAGAGCTGTTCGCCATGATGCAATGTTGCTTCGGCTAGTTGACCTGACCACCTCTACAGCCACTAATTGGCGAGGGAAGAAATGATCAGCGTGAGGTGTCTTGGCTGCAGTCACCGTATGCAACCGGGAGATTACCTCTGCTGGTCCGTCTGACGGAGAAAGTTTGGAAGGGGAACCCGCCATTGACGCGGTGCGGCATTTCTGTCCCAACGGCTTGGCACCTGACGAGCAAAATCAGGGATTCCGACCACTTGCAGCGTACGAAGGCAGTCAAACAAAGGGTTACAGCAGGTATCACTCGCGTGGAGTTGTGGAGGTAGCAGTGGCATCGAATCTGAGACTTCGACAGTGGTGCAGCCCCGATAAACAGCACCCGTCATACAACCACCCCATCACCCGCAATTACCCCGACATCTCGGGATACTACCCCCATTCAGACATTGACTTCAGGTCAGACGGAATGACCGTCCTCAACTCGGGTATCCTTCCCCCAAGCTGGGGTGTGTTTGGGCTTCCGTGGGACCAAGATCTCGGCGTTGGGCGCCCAGATCTTGGCCGGGAGCCAAGGAGGGCGGCTGCCCGCGCACGGCGCATCTCCGCGTTCTCTCCTCGAATCCCAGCCTCTCAATTCTGCCGAAACCACCCGATGGATTCAAGCCAGAGCTCCAGTAGAGTTTTCATTATCCCGGGGATCCTGGACGTCGAAGCAAGCAATACTGCCCCCGCAGGAGCCTCGGTTTTTCCGGGGTACGGCATGATATAAGAGACCGTCTCTCCCTTGGGCCCGAGTGTTTGATGCATCATCTTGAAAATAATCAAATTATCTCACCATGTCCTCGGTGCCTACATTCGCCGGCCTGTCCGGTCGAAAGTTGATGTGGTCGGTGACCTCATGTGCAACCTTGGGCTTCTTACTCTTTGGTTATGATCGTAAGCCTTTCCTTCAATTCCTTGCCGTACGAGAAGCCGGCTAATTGTTTTCAGAGGGTGTTATGAGTAGCATCATTGATGCTGACCCGTTTAATGATGTCTTCACCGCTACGAGAGACAACTCGACCATGCAGGGTGTGGTGACTGCAATCTATGAGCTTGGTATGTACGGATCCATGCGTTACAGCGTATTCTAACATGACCAGGCTGCCTTGGCGGTGCACTCTTTATCCTTGGCTGCGGTGACTGGCTCGGCCGCAGATATTCTATCATGCTGGGAGCTTCCATCATGATCATCGGAGTCATTCTCCAGATCACGTCTTTCTCGGGACATGTTCCGCTGGCCCAATTCTGTATCGGACGCGTGGTTACTGGCATTGGGAACGGTATGAACACGTCCACGATTCCTACTTACCAGGCCGAATGCTCGAGAACCTCCAACCGCGGTCTGCTCATCTGCATTGAGGGTAGTACTGTCGCAATCGGAACCCTGATCTCCTACTGGATCGATTTTGGTGCCTCCTACGGGCCCCCAGATCTCACCTGGAGATTCCCTATTGCCTTCCAAATCTTCTTCGGTCTTCTTATCATCATCGGCCTCCTTTTCCTGCCCGAATCCCCTCGTTGGCTATTCACCCAGGAACGCTATGAAGAAGGCGAGCGAGTCATTGCCGCGTTGCAGGGCAAGGAGATTAGCCACCATGATGTTCAATTGCAAAAGACCATCATTCTGGATTCTCTGCGAGCGTATGTCATACTATACCCTAAAAAATGCTTTCGCTAACCGCATTAGTTCTGGCATGGCCACCAAATCCACCCCCATGTCGGCCGTTTTCACCGGTGGCAAGACCCAGCACTGTCGCCGCATGTTACTGGGCTGCTCGTCGCAATTCTTTCAGCAGATCGGTGGATGCAACGCCGTCATCTACTACCTTCCGGTGCTCTTCCAACAATCGCTTAATCAAACCGAGTTCATGGCCATGGTCCTCGGAGGTGTCAATATGATTGTGTACTCCATCTTCGCCTGCATGTCGTGGCTTCTAATCCAAAAGGTCAGCCGTCGCAAGCTCTTCCTTGCCGGCTCGTTTGGTCAAAGCGCATCTATGATCATAACCTTCGCCTGCTTGATTCCGGGCGATGCGCAAGCGGCTAAAGGTGCAGCCGTCGGGTTGTTTACCTTTATCGCGACATTCGGAGCGACCTGGCTTCCGCTTCCGTGGCTCTATCCCGCCGAAATCTCCCCGATTAAAACGAGAGCCAAAGCCAACGCCATTTCCACCTGCACGAACTGGCTCTTCAATTTCCTCATTGTGATGGTTACGCCGATCATGATCCGGAACATCAAATGGGGAACATATCTCTTCTTTGCGGTTATCAATGCCTTGTTCATCCCGGTGATATACCTATTCTATCCGGAAACGTCCGGGAGGTCGCTCGAGGAGATTGATCTGATCTTTGCGAAGGGGTATCTGGAAAATATGAATTATGTGCGGGCTTCCAAGGAACTCCCGCATCTGTCCGACGAGGAGGTGGAACAGGTGGCCGTCCAGTATGGGTTCGGGCCGGCGGAACAGCCACCCAGTGGGGACAGCGATAGCACCGAGCTTAGGGGGACGAAGACCGAGATTGATCCGGAGAAGAATTGATGGTGCTACGGATAGTGGTGGGTGAGAAATGGCGTGCAGTTGTTTTATACCCTTGATCATAGATGTCTGGTATATTCTAGATAGAACAACATGGTTGTACTTTCTTCAGTCAGTGAGTCAATGTATGTAGAGTAAAGGCTAACCTCATTAGCAGTGACATGCCATTGCGACTTCACTGCTGCAGACACGGCAGATAGAGTGCCATTGCCGAGGATTCGCGCTAAAAGACTAGCCAGCGCTAAACCGTTGCAGACTGCCAGACACAGGGATCAAGCCAGCTCGGTGCTACTCCATCCAGCATCTGGCCGGGACGATTATTGCATGATGCAGCAGGCCCGATAAGATTTCTCCTTCCGGTAGATATGATGCATGATCAGGCCAATCTAATCAATCCCAATGCCAATCCCACTTCTGCACGCCGACGGACCAATCATACTGCCTGAAGACTATCGCGGCCGGCCCCTGATAAGAAATGCGGAGAAAGACAGATAAGAAGCAGCCCCGTCGGTCTTCTCCCCTCACTCCATCCCCAACAATGCCTTCGCCTGCGAGTACCGCTCGTGCTGGCACTTCCTGTCGTCGCTGCCACCGACGGAAGAAGCGCTGCGATCGGACGCTTCCACAATGCGAGACCTGTCTGCACGCCCAGGTGGCCTGCAGCTTTCTGGACGATGATCGGCAGGTCGGCACATACCCGATTGCGTAAGTCACTCCGTCTGGTAGCACGCCTTGGCTGACTTGTAATATCGCAGCTACGTCCAAGGCCTCGAGTCTCGCGTACGAGACCTCGAGAAGCAATTAACTGCTGCCCTGGCATCAACCGGGCTTCCAGATGGCCCACGGGGCGAGCTTGCATTCGATCAGCCTATTGTGAATTTCGCAACACCTCCCGACACAGACAATTTTGATAATCTTCCTCTTCTTTCTCCCCCGGCTCATGCACGATCGGACTTTTTGGCCGAAGAACTCAAGCGGCTCTCTCTGGAAGCTACAGCAGAGCGACACCTGGGTTCTTCATCGGGTCTGTCTTTTGCAAAGCTGACCCAGGCAGTCCTGCGACGGCTGTCTCCCGACAAGGCAGAGTTCGTGTTCGATGATATGCCAGAGGATACACAGGACCAGCCTGATGGACCTCTTCCGGAACCATTCCAAGACGCAGCGGCCTCGCTGCTGGATCTCCACAACGCCTACTCCTCCCCGTGTTTGTTCAACCAGCTCTCTCTTTCTCATGTCATGGAAGATGAGACGGTGCTTGCGGACCTACAACTACCCGACAGGGGGCACATCAGCTATCTGATGGAATTCTATTTCGCACACTCACACACTCTGTATCCGATCATTCGACGTGGCGAGTTTACGTCGGTCATATGGCGAGTGTATAGCCAGCCGCAGGAACCGCTGGCAGGGTCAGCGTTGTGGATGTTTCGTATCTGGATGGTTCTCGCCATTGGATCGACGACGCACTGTTCCGTGTCTTTGGTCGAGGAGTCGGAATCGGTTCTGTACTATAACAAGGCGATGGTGTATTTTGAGGAGGCATTCGGACTGGGTGATATGGTATGTCTATTCCGTGAGTAAAAGCACCTGACTGATCAACTAGGCTGCATTGGAGGTATTGATGCTGCAAGTGTCCTACTCGTTCTTCAACCAGATCGGGCCAAGTATGTTTCTTGATTTTATTGACGTGCCCTGCTAATTGCCAGATACATTTTTTTTGGTCGGCGTGGCTGCTCGCATGGCAATCGGAATGGGTCTGCATACCTCCTCGAGCTATCTCAACCTCCCAGCCGACGTGGTCGAGTACCGAAAGCGGATCTTCTTTTCTCTGTATATGATGGATAGGTGGGTCTCACAAACAACAAATCATCACACTCTAACAACAAACAGGGTTGTATCCATGACCCTCGGCCGACCGTTTGCCATGCACGACGACGACATCGACATCCAGGTATTATTCCCAGCCTCTACCAACAAGCAAGCTAACAACCGCCAGCCCTTCACCGACGTCGAAGACGAGAACCTCACTCCCACCGGCTATCCAGCAACACTCGACCCACTGCACCCGTCTAGCATGTCCGTCCCTCTGCACATTCTTTCCCTCCGCCGAATCGCCAGCGAAATCGCCACAAAAGTGTACTCTCCCCGCACCGCCCACCTATCCCCCTTCCAACGCGAATCCCTACTTCAAAGTCTCCACAAGAAACTCATCGCTTGGCGCCGCGCCATGCCCTTCCCCTTACCCTCCACCAACTCCCCGGTCCCCCACCTGAGCAGCAGCTGGTTCGACCTAAACTACTACACGCACGTGGCGATGCTATACCGTCCCTCACCATTGTTCCCGGCCCTCGACGAAACCAAAGTCAAGGTACTCGCAATGGCGGCAGCCATGTCCATCCGCCAAGCCATGAACATGCATCGCCAGAAACGGTTTGCGTATAACTGGCTCAATCTGCTGGGGGTGTTTCAATCGGCATTGGCATTGATGTATGCCACGACGGCGCAGCCAGATCAGCTCGGGGTCGTGGTACGGGAGAGTAAGGCGGTCGAGGATCTGGAGTTGGCGGTGGAATTATTGGATGCGTTTGGGAGGAAGTTTGGGGCAGCGAGGAGGTTGGCGAGGATGGTGAGGGAGGTGGTGGTGAGACTGAGGGGGTATGAGTGTGAGTAGATCTGCAACAGTTTACCTTGGCTTCGAGGGGAATGTCCTCAGAGATAAAGCGTATAGCTGCGCAAAAGGAATATGAGGAAGATGTCTACATCCTTAGGCACCCTACATTTGATACATAGTCACCTTCCGATCAAATCGGGAGACCCCGCTTACATTCCCACGTATAACAGCCATTCCAGCTTGCCCTTTCACTTTACCTCCTCTTCAACCATCCCAGAATTCGAAATGAAAACTCTGAAAGTCATGTGCACCACCACAATACCATTCACGAACCATACACATCTGCCTTTGCAATATCAGCAAGCCTTCCATTCCCAACAGACCCAATGAATTCAATTCTATATATAACACATGACCTACTAAAGAGTGAAATCACCACACATGACATGACATGACCCACTAAAGCCACAGTTACAGTTACAGTTACAGGCACAGGTGCACTCAGCCAAAGAACCAAACACACAGCCCCCATTATCACTATAACTACCAGTGAATCCCCTCACTACATCCCATGACCATAGTCCGGTAAACGAGCATCAAGTGGGCAGTCACACAACCCCACCTTGTTTGATTGTCACCATTCTGCTCTGTTTCATGAGTTATATTGGTAACTTTGACATGTTGGTGGTTTTACATGCACAGCAGACTCATCTCTTCATAAGCTTTGTCTATGCACAGTTACGAACCTGTTCTCTATACAAGCTGAACACGAACGCAACAATAAACGATGCTTTACACAGATCCCCTAAAGGAAGGATCTGATTCCGACTCCGATGAAAGAAAGGCACAGCTAAACCTCCCATATCATGAATAAATACATCCTGAATAACAACACATATCAAGCAAGTGAACACAAAACGAGGGAATTAACCCATGCCCCGCTTGAATTCACACCGGGATGGATCTCTACCGACAAATAGAGAACAGTTCCTCGGTTGGTTGCTAACGATGCGATATCATCCCAACAATAATGTGTGTCGCCGTTCACTTAGTACATGGGATTGTGAATCCCAGCTGGTCCTCGGTAGGGTTATAAAGGACACATGGGTTCCTCCTTTCTGGGGAGTTTCCTTGCAGCAGCAGATTCCACTCCCCTATACTCGGTCGTCTCTCAGGTTTTCCTCTGCACCTTTTCTTATTTTCTTAGCAATAGTTACCCAACCCTCAACTGCTACGAGAATATGGATCGACCAGCGGAGATGAACAACAAGCCCACCATCATAGGGATCTACGGCGTCCCGGGTTCGGGAAAGACTTCTCTTCTGAGGCTGCTGGAAACGGAGCTTCCGGGGGGGTCGTTCAGCTTTTACGAGGGTTCTACGGTTATTGACAAGGTCTCGCCGGGGGGTCTGGCTGCCTTTAAGAAGATGGAGCTGCCGGATAAGGAGATCTGTCGTCAGGAAGCTATGAAGTTGATTAAAGATGAGTGTGTTGCCTCCGGCCGGATTGGGATTGTAACTGGCCACTATATGTTCTGGGATGTGCCGACCCAGGACGCTGAGATTGCCATCACGTCGGTTGATCTCAAGACCTATACCCATGTTGTGTACCTGAATCAGCCTGCTTTTGTTGTTTCTCAACGGCGTGAACATGACACGGAGCGCCATCGTGACAGCCTCGCGATCCCACACCTCCGAGAATGGATTGATACTGAGGTCTCTGAGATGACTACCCTCTGTCTCAATCATTCCATTATGTTCACCTTGTTACTGCCATACTCTATTGGGAAGATCGCCGCTCTGATTCAGGATTTTGTGCGCCATAACGAACACTACAACCAGACTGTGGCCGATGAGCGCATCGATAATGCCCTCGCCTCTCACCAGACGTATCTCGAGAAGGTGCTGGTGTTTGATGCTGATCGCACTCTCGCTCCCATCGACACCGGAAAGCAGTTCTGGAAACAGACCCCCGGAAGAAAATGGAGCGTCTTGAAGGGAGTGTTCGGCAGCCAGCTCGGATATTCTTACTCCTCCTTCAGACAAGCCGCCTTGCTATATGAGCAGGATGCCGATGATGTGGAGTACGATGGAATCTGCGACCAGGTTGCTGCCGAGGTCAACCTCTACCCGGAGATTGCGAACCTTCTGCACTGTGCCTCGGCGAAGGAGCACATTGGAATCGTCGTCGTCACCTGTGGGCTGCGCCTGGTCTGGGAGAAGGTTCTGGAGCGAGAAGGCCTCTCCGATACGGTCAAGGTTATCGGTGGAGGGAGAATCTCTGACGGCTATGTCGTGACTCCTAGGGTCAAGGGGGCCCTGGTCCGGCGGTTGAGAGATCGCCATGGTTTGAAGGTGTGGGCGTTCGGGGACAGTCCTGTCGACATCGAGATGCTCAGGGGTGCGGACTACGCCACTGTCATTGTCGGAGATGAGAACAACAGGAGCCGGACCATGGACGCTGCATTAATCACCGCCATTGAGCAGGGCCTCCAGGCACACCAAGTCCTGCTTCCCGAGTCTGCACCACCACGTCTCGACACGATAGTTCTCCCCGCTATCAAACTCGACGATCCTACCTTCCTCCAACCGCTCCTCGCATCCAATTTCCACCTCGTCCACGCGACCTCAAAACCGGCAGCCAAGCTGCTGCAGACTCCCATGCGGGACGCCCAAGTGGTTGGTCCGGCTTTGCGCAAGGTCCACAAACGAGCAGGACTATACCTTGCCATCGAACACCTCAGCGAGGTGATCGGCCTCGAAGAATACAACATCGCCCACGTCCAGGGCAACATGACAACCGGTCACCAGCTAGCCGACGAAGCCCGCACCATCATCATAGCCTTGATGCGAGGCGGGCTGCCCATGGCGGATGGGATCAACAAAGCCTTCAAAAAGGCGAGCATGCTTCATGCCTTTAAGGCCGAGGACATCAAGGCCCGTCACGTCTTGGGGAAATCCACCGTTTTGCTCGTGGACTCGGTCATCAACAACGGTACCACTGTGATTGAATTCGTCAATCATATTCGGGCCTTGAACAAGGATATCCGGATTGTGGTGGTTGCTGGGGTCGTCCAGGCGAAAGCCGTTGCTCCTGATGGTCCGTTGCGGAGGATTGCTCGGAATGGGACTCTGACGGTGGTTGCGTTGCGGCTTTCGGAGAATAAGTATAAGGGAACTAGGGGGACGGATACTGGAAATCGATTGTTTAATACGGTGAATCTGGATTAGGTTTATTGTCGGATAGACCTGGAGAAGATTTGTGGATGAATTGAGGGGCTTGTTGCACTGCGTTTGGAGTTTGTTCTTGTTCTTGGCTTTCCTGTTCTTGATCGTGTTGCTTTGGTAATTTTCTCTTTTTGGTAAATTTACTCTTGAATCTCTCAGATTACGTTGCAGATGATTTCAGTTTAGCTTCAGGTCTTTCTTCTTTTAGCTTTATAGTGCAATGGAGAATATGGTCCCGTCGATACTTATGCTTGCATACAAGATCCGAAATCCCTGATTGTATCCAAAATTGGTTGGTTTCTTCAAACTCTCCAGGTTATCCACACACGAAATTTCTCTATCCAGAGCAATATTCGACGAGACTGCAACAATTTGGAGGAAAATAGGAAGATATCCGATCCCTCGAGAACGGCTTTTGCAACCAATACTGGAAGGGGGGTAACTGGCGAGTTCAGGTTTTGAACTAAGCAAGAGGGTGTATCAATAGATTCCACTTGCATGTCCAGTAGCTGACTTGGAGTTGATGATAGGAGTCGTTTTTCTAAGACTGTTCTGCGGGCTGAGAGGATCGACAGGGGTGGTAGATACATCCACAAATAAACGTTGATGCCTACGTGCATGAGACTTCCGTCGGAGATTATGTGGCTGATTTAGCTGATATGCCACCTAAAATCGTCCAGAGTTGTAACACAACTCATGCCGCACCTCGTATCTTGAACAGGGGATGCTCTGACCCTAATTGGACTACGCCTTGCTGGCTGACGTGGCCTGCACATTGGTTCTTTTTCTCGTACGCTGTGCTAGGCTGACATTCTAACATGACAAGTGAGCCTGATGTGTACATACACAGGTCTGGAACAAGGCTTGGCCACTGTCAGCCCGGCCTCTTCTTAATACATTTCCTGCCCCGGGCTTACCAACTCCTGGGGAGACTTCTACAGCAAATCAATGGCTCTAATTGAACGTGAGAGATGGCAGCAGGCTGTGGCTACGACTGTTCTCACCCACCTACCGAAGTCCTGCCTGACTCTGACATAATTGGAACAGGTGTATGTAGCCCACATGATAGACACTGGGTTGTCTGACAATGACAGGTCCTTGTCGGATATCTGACTCCCGCTGGCCTGACAATCTTGAGCATCGTTCTTCACTATTTCATTGCCTTCCAGCCCGACCTGGACCCCTTCCGGCCACATGATGAAACCATTGATTTCCGCCCAAACCCAGTGGATGTTATGATCCTCGGGCCTTTACGAAGGAAACTAAAAATCTCCACGAAATACTGGGCCCGTTTCGATGCACCACTGACCAAGGCGAGTCCGGCATTTTTCAAGGTAGTTGAGATATCTAACCTGCCGATAGTATGTACTAGCCATGAGCGATCTTCAGATTGCCACTGGAATCGCCATCTTGATCAGCGGATACGCACAGCTCCGCTGCGGTATCTCATGCTATCATTGGCAGTTTATGGGTCGTCTTGCGTGGTTTTCATGTCTGACCCATCTTTCATGCTTGACGTTGCTGCGCAATTATCTGCACAACCACCCATCCGAGCGACACTGGCGACTAGTCCTCATGTTTGCGTTGGTGGTCATGCTGATCGTGGCCATTTTCCCATCGGGAAATTACGAGTGGATTTGGGGGTATCCGGTGTTTCATCCATCCCCAAGCGACCACGCCATCTGCTACTTCTTGCAGCGTCCCTCAATCAAAACGACCGCCGGGATCTCCATGTCCATCTACATCTTGACAACGGGTTTTGGGTTTCTTTTCCGCATCGTCAAGCTCCACAAAATCCTTTCCGTCTACATGGTTCGCAGACCCCGCAAATCACTTAGCAAGTGGGGGAGAAAAGGGTTGTGGAAGATATTCATGTGGCGCACTGCCCCCAATTTGAGCAAACGACTATTGGGGAATTTACTGTATTTGCCTCTGTTGTCAGTATTCCTTGTTGCACGGGTTGCCTTGGATCATTGGTCTTCCATGTATTTCGAGGTATACTCCCTCCACGTTGGATCTGACCCACGCTAATGGCCCTAGATATACTGGCTTGTGATGTGTTTCCTCTTCGCCATAGTGCAGTTGATCCCGACTTTGGAACTATCAGACCCAACCCTTCATTATTACTTGGACATATATATCACTCACATAGGCGACAAACTGGGTGATTTGAGCATTAGAGTCAATTCTACGGCTCATAATATCACTATCCCGGAGCCGGATCTTGATAATATTGCTGGTAATCGCTGGGGCTTCGGGCAGATAATGCCGGTTGTTCTTCTAGCCCTACCACTTCTACCGATCGTCGAAATCTTCTACCCCGGTAGGACTGCCCGATCCATCGAGAACATTCCACTAACTGGTATATAGACAAAGAAGATTCCGGTCCCAGTACAAACGACACATCTTCCCAACCCACCACTCCCTCCTCAAGGGAAGACAGCACGCTAGAACCCCCCAACGCCCAACCCTCATCTCCACGACTCGACCCCGACCAGAATTACTACCACCATTCCACCTGCTTAAAAGTAGCCAACATCTATATCATGTTAGTCGAAGGTATCGGCGGCGTCCTGGCTCTGATACGTGCTCGCAATATGGTACAATGGATCCGATTCGTCCAGGTTCTTCTCTCCCTTTCGGAATCCGTATTTGGTGTTTCGCATATGTTTATGACTGGTCTGGGATTGTGTGGTATTACCTTGGGTTCTCTGACTACTGATTGGATCTGGGGGGAGTGGGGGTCGAGTAAGGTTGTTTGGAGGCGTTGGGTATTTGTGAGTCTTCAGGGGGTGAATTTCTTGGGTTTTATGGGATTGGTTTCTGTTTTGGTTTTTAGGTCGGTGATTGAGAGTAGATAGTTGGGGGAGGCGGGATGTTCAACAAGATATCTAGGAGATAGACGGGTGGTAGTACCGGTGACCATCACTACTGAGGGCTGTGGATGTTTCCAGATATGTGAACCATTCGGTGCATTCCATCCTGGCCCTGCTCTTATCCTAATCATGGCTGATGAATATTAATGGGTAACATCAGCATACGACGTAACCCCTCACCAATCAACCCGCGTGGTTGCTATGTCACTCGGATCAGCCCTACCTCGTCCAGCCACACCAGATACATAGTTCCATCCCCACTCTTTAATGCCCATCACTGCCACCAAGAACCTAGCCAACTACCGAAATAGCAGCAGTCAGGCAACCGTGTTTCAGCCGGCTGATCCCGATGACGTCATCCCCAGCCACACTTTACTCCACTTCTCCTGAGTCTCGCCCTCCCATCCCATAAATAACCCCTACCCCGCCTTGTCATATCCAGGGTCCATCCCCACCAACCCTACCTCCATCTCTACCCTCCATCTCTGTACAGTGTATACATCACCACCATGCCCGGACATTTTGGCCAAAAGATCCTCAACTCCTTTGGTCTCGATCACCACCATGGCCAGCACCCCTACCAACAACCCCCTCCACCCAGCGAGGACAACCGCCTAACCGGCAACCGCATCATCCACCCGGACGAACGCCTCCTCTCCAACCACCCCTCAGGCACCTACCCGCGTCTCGCCCGTCTCAGCGACGGCCGAATCCTCGCCTCCTTCACGCGCTTCTACGGCGGCGGGGAACGCGCCCTCCTCGTCTCCATCAGCACCGACAACGGCCACACCTTCACCGACCACGGCGAAGTGACGCGCGGCCACGGCGACGTCGACAACATGTTCCTGCTGGAAGTCTCCCCCGGCACCGTCCTCGCCGCATTCCGCAACCACGACATCGGACCCTCGGGCCCCACGCACTTCCGCATCACCGTATGCCGATCCTTCGACAGCGGCCAAACATGGTCGTTTGCGTCCCAGGCCGCGGAGAAACCCGCCCCGATGGGAATCTGGGAACCGTTCATGAGAGTTGGGCGTCGACCGGGCGAAATCCAACTGACGTACTCGCAGGAGTTCGCGCATGATAATCAGTGTACGATGCTGGTGCGGTCGTATGATCAGGGAAGTACCTGGTCGGAACCGATATGTCTGCACGGGGCGGAAGATGCGCGTCGCGACGGGATGAATGGGATTGCGCGCACGTGGGATAATGGTCGGGAGGTGTTGGTTATGGTGTTTGAGACGACGAGTTATGGGACGTTTGATGTGGAGATGTTGCTTAGTTATGATGATGGGGAGAGTTGGGGGTGGAGGCAGACGGTGTATGTGCCGCCGAGGGGACATAATGCGGGGGCGCCGCAGATTGCGAGTCTAGGGGATGGGTCTCTGGCGGTGGTGTTTATGACGGATGAGGATTGTGGGGAGGTTAGTTGGACGGGGAATGCCTGTGTGAAGGTGGTGTTTGCGGGGATGCCGTGTGAGGGACGGGTGATGTGGACGAGGCCGACCACGGTGTGTGCGGAGATGAGTCATTGGCCGGGGGTTTTTGCGTTGGATGAGAGGAGGTTGTTGGCTTTGTATGAGTGTGGGGGGCCCAAGGGGAGGGTTATTTCTTTGGAGATGTAGATTCCCCCCCCCCCCGGGGATGGGGGGGGCGGTTGATGATATGGATGTTTTGGTGGATATTTAGGGTTGGATAGTAGTAACAACATAACATAACATGACATAAATGTGGGATTGAATGTCAAAAGCATCATTGGTGTATGTTTATATATGAAAGAACACTAAGGATCGGTGGTATATTTATCTCTACTAGATAGAATTGGATAGATAGATAGGTAGTACTTAGGCTCGAAGATAAGAGCCCGGACCACGGACTGCACACCCCCCGAGGGCAGCGGGCCCGGATAGGGCTCTTCCGGTCAGCACAGTGCACACCAACAATACAATCATTAAACTACTAACCACCTAGGCCTAGCTTGCATCCTTCCCCGAATCCCTCGAAAACATGACAAATCAAGTCTAAACATATAACCGCTTCTCTACCATACATCCCACCTTCCTTACACATTTCTCTTAACCAACCCAAACCCTAAACATGTCCTCCCAAACCACCTTCACCCACCGCACCACCATCATCACCGGCGCAAACACAGGCATCGGTCTCGCCACAGCCCGCCACCTCCTCCGTCTACAAAACGGTACGGGCACCCTAATCCTAGCGTGTCGAAACCCCACCTCTGCTGCTTCGGCCCGGGAGGCCCTCCTCGCGGAATTCCCCTCCACCAAGACAAATATCCGGATTGAACATCTCGATCTGTCTTCCTACGGTAGTGTACGGTCTTTCGCGAACGAGATTCGTAAAGAGGTGGATGTTCTGGACTTGCTTGTTTTGAATGCTGGGAGTGCGTTCTTCGCGGGGTTTGAAAGGGGGGTGGAGGGGCATGAAAGGACGGTGCAGAATATGTTTCTTTCGAATGTGTTATTACTCTTGGAGTTGTTGGGGTTGTTGGAGAGGAGTGCGGGGAGGGTGACGTGGGTGGGAAGTCGGAAGGCGTATGAGGTTATTGATATTCAACGAGGAGATCAGATGCTGAAGGATGTGGGATCGGGTAGGGCCGGGGGGATTTTGGGGTGTTGGATGAGGAAGAGAGGTATGATATGATGAAGCGGTATGGGGAGGTGAAGTTGCTATGTTTGGGGTTTTTTTATGAGTTGGGTAAGAGATTGGAGGATGGAAAGGTGGTCGTGAATATGGTTTGTCCGGGGGCGGTGCGGACAGGTCTGGCGAGGAATTTGCCTGTGTGGTATGTCCCGCTGGTTTGGGTGTATCAGAAACTGATGAGTAAGAGTGCGGAGGAGGCGGCGGGGTTGGTGGTGAATGCCGGGGTTGTGGTGGGGAGGGATAGTCATGGGGTGTTTTTTGGGGATGAGGAGGTTGAGAGGTGAGTTTGATTCTTTCTTTTCGTTGGGGGTGTGGTGGTGTGCTGATTGACATAGGATGCATCCGTTTTTTGAATCCGAGGAGGGGAAACGGTTTCGAGAGGGGGTTTGGGAGGAGACCATGGCGGAGATGAAGAGGGTGGTGGTCGTTCCGGAGTATCTTTTGGCGGGGTCTGGGTGATTGGAAGATCTATTGCATTTATGTTGGTTGATTGGGGGGCATAGGTTTGGATTGCTGGGCGGTGACTGTTTATATGTCTGTAGGGCTCAGTAGTGTGGGATTAGCCAAGCTAGTCCTGAACAAGGATACCATGCATTATGAGGATAGAATGCGCTTATCATTCACTAGGTATATCATTAAACACCACGTCGGATCGAATCATCACTCAGCCATGGATCCTCAATCAGTCCTTTTGCTGTCTTCCTGTCATCGGGAAGCCACTGAAGCATTTTTCTCGCAAACGACAGGAACTGATCCTTTTGCTCTCCATCCAGTGCTTTGACTGTATCCTCAATTTTCAATGTGTGTGGGATCAAGTGATTATGCATGAATTCCCCTAAGATCATTAGCGAAACTGTGGATAGGAGAAAAACCAGATTGTATACCATTCTCATCGAAGAACGGACCCCCAAACCAGTCTGACGCAGTCGAACAAAGCTTGCCCTCATCATTGTGAACAGCTGGAGCCCAGTTCCAGTTGAGACCGTCCCTTTCTCGACGCTTCAGCTCTGCAGGCGGTGGGCCAAGTAATGCGATCATCTCCGCGAGATGTGCAGCAGGGGACTATGTGCCCTGACTGGTGATACTGGAGAGTAGATCTCGATGCTCAAGCAAGTTCCACATCTGCGAGTGTTAGCAGAGAACTACATTTCACAGGGGTCTCACTAACAAGGAGCCCCAGGTTCCATATATCAGCACTATATGTCCAGCCAGCACCGAGGATGACTTCCGGGGCCCGGTATTCATCAGGTTGAATTGGATGTCTATTCAGCACCGAGGAAGTTCCTTGGTGGTGTGCGAGCCCAAAGTCAGTGATTTTGGGCAGTATGTAAAAAGACCTCAGAGGTCCAAAGTCATTGTGGGACAAGTATATGGTGCGCCTATTCTTGACTTTTCGTGGCATTGGATTGGACGGCTGAGCCTGCACGAAATCCTGCAGTACGCTAGAATTCTCAAATGTTACTAGCATATTATCTACTTTCAAATCTACGGACAGTCAGTAAGGTAGACCGCAGTCGGGGTGTTAAGAGCGAGACTTGCCTGTATGAATAACATTACATTCCGAGTGTAGATAATCTAAACCCTTCAGAAGAAGCTTTACGTAACCCTTGAGGAGGCCCAGAGGAAGACGCTGGTTTCGGCAGCGGTTTTGGAACAGGCCCAGTGGCTCTCGCATCGGCTCATAAGCTAAGAAGATATGCGTACCATGTGCGCTTTGTTCCTCGAATCTCTCCGTCCAGGTTCGGACGTAGTTGCAACCATCGTGATGAGGATTGGCATGGGCAATATGGTCCTCAATCCGGGCCTCATGCGATGCCGCCTCTTTGTCTTTGAAGTCGCAATTCCCGACCTTCAAGGTCAAATAACGTTCGGATTGAAACCTCCAGCTATGTCGCGACGGGATTAGTGGAAGTAACAGGAACACATGGCCGCCGCCACTTACCGATGAAGATCACGGACAAGCCAGACCGTGGAGCCGCTCCCCCAACCTAGCTTGGATAATGCTTCGAATCGTTGATTGAAGACGTAGCCCGGTTCTACGGGGAAATACGACCTTGGGTCATAGCCAGGGATGACTTCTTCTTCGATGGGAGTGTCGGACGGGAGTTCCAAGCTCACCCCTCGAAAGGTTGTGCGAGGCTTGTACAGAAGAGAAAATGTGCGGAGCTGTGGTCGAAAAGGAAGTTTGGCCATACTCCCTGGCATGGTGTTGTTGGTGGGCAAGGGACATGCAGTCAGTAGATCAATCATGGGCATCGGCATTTCTATTCATCCCCTCCGAAGCAAATCCGCATGCCTTATCCCTCAGGCAGCAACATCCTTCTTCATCTCCAACTCATCTATTGCAGTATCTCCACAGAAGTCCACCGAGCGAGAAACCGATCACATCACTCCACAAGTCCTGCGCCATAAGCCCTTCTACCACTATTTTTTCCTTCAAGCCTTGGCCTCATATCCCGAAGATGACAGCTGCTTCATCGTCGCGGCATCCGTCAGGCCTTGTGTGACAGCAGCCCGGTCCTCGCGCTTGCGCTGCTCCTCGGCCAGCTTGGCTGCTGCGATCCCCGCGGCCGCCTTCTTTTGCGTGTCGTCTTCTCGAGGCATGGTTTGATCCGTGTCTCTGTCAACCACTCTGGTGCAACACCGGATGTATGTTTCCCACCTTCAGAGATGGAACGTTTACACACGGCTCGGTGAGTGAATATTTTGATGGGGATGATATTTCTAAACAGATCAAATTGCTTCTGATTAAATTGCTTCTGATCAGAAATGTCAACGAATCCTTACAAGAGGTATCGGTCAGAGTGCTACAGCAAGGTCCGCGCAACATGTTGAGGGGCAGGGCCGGAGCCTTATGGGAAGCGCTAGGTTCTTCTGCATCGGAAAAAGAGGAACAGGATTGGCCAGATACCCCTGGCCAGGCTTTACCCCGCAAGAGACGTGGTTTGCTACGATTCGATATCATGTCTGGCACTGCTAGACCGATTATTACCCTCAAATCCATGTGCTGCTGTTGTCCGGTCACCATGCACTCATGCCTCTGACTCGTTAGCTTTCCCAAGATTGTCTGCACTGAAATCGGCGGCCCCCTCGAATCGCTGTCCCAGCTTCTTCTCATACTCCTCCTTGTCTCTGAGCTTCTCGCAATGACTGCCTCCACATCGGCAGCCCAATAGTCCGATACAATCCGTGAAAAGTGCGAACCAACACTGGTATTAGATGCGAATATGGGATGAATGTGCTGTTCAAAGAGGTTATATAACCCCTTTGGGCTGTCCAAGGCCTGAAAGTACCAGAAGTTTCCAATCTGCCAACCCCTTCTCATGAGATTGGTCCGGTACGAATGGTCGTCGTTGATTGGGGGGACTAATTTCTCTTCTTCCTCGAAAACCTCCACAAACTCATGTGCCCGGGCAAATTCTTCCAGATGTTCGTCTGTTAGATCGTCCACAGAACGACCGGTCAACCAATACGGAGGTCGTAGGGTTTCCGCCGGGAGGGAACATGCCCATTCCAGGTCAATCACACATTTGATATTCCAGTCGGTGTCCACGAAGATATTACTGGGATGAAGATCCGTCAGTCTGTAGAAGAATGGGCCTTCCCGAAACTCTCGGTTACTGAAGTGCGGTAAAAGCGCCCGCATGATGGTCAGCCTGGCCATCCTCATGATCCATCAAGGAGTTTGGTTGATAACGGATGCGACTGTCGTGACAGGACAAGCTATCCAGATAGTATGCATCGGCGGTCGCATAAGTCAACCTTCGATTGATATTCGTAGGGATCCCGCCATTTTCCAGCTGATGCAGTCGAAGACCTAAAGGTCGGTTGGACAGCTGCAAAACCCCGTGCGAATCCATTGTCCAGGATCCGATCCGGGGCAGAGGTGTCTGACTCATTGAAAGCATGATCCGAGAGAGACCCCGGAAGAGATTCTTTCTTTTCTCTTGATGATGGCGATCTCGATCCCATGTCTCGGACAGCATTTGAAGATCAGGCCCACCAACATAGTCCATGACCAAGTAACCATTCTCCAGCATGGTCGAACGGCGATGATCAACATAGCGACAGGACAGCGGGCGACCCAGAAGCCATGATATACACCGCTTGAGCGACCAGAGGAACCTCTTTCCCAGAGGGACATTCTCCGGTACTGAAAACTGATGCATATTAATAGGTGGTTCGTTCAAAGCCTAATCAAAGGATCATGCATACACTCTGACCCCGTACCAGTCCAAACCCCCATAATCGAGGAATCGGAATCTCCGGGCAATGCTCCCGCATCCAAATGAAAGTTGCCGCTTCGCAACGAAGTTTTTCATCCACGTTGCCTGGATTCTTGATCTCGCCTACTTTGTACGGCAGGGGAAATCGAACGACGGCCCGGGGCCGAGTTTCGTCGCTGACATAGATTGGAATGCAGACGTTGAAGCTGCCATGTATCCATTCATTGACGGCTCCAAGCCGGCAGGAACGCAGCCCGAGATGCCCAGCTGCAATCTTTTCAATATCGGTGCGGCGACTGTAAAGGGAGACGAAAAAGTCGATCCGTTGCTCGGGGTAGTCGAGATCCAGGAGCATGTCTTCTTCTTCTTCCAGGGCTGACTCTAAAGTCGTGGTACCCCGAAGGAGGGGCAGAGAGGGACGCGACATGACGGGATCGCGCAACCCGAATTCACAGGACTTTTCTATCCGAAAAGCATGACCGAGGTATGGGGCCTTTTGATCTGGATGATACAGTTGATACCGTTGATTGAAGTTGATTGCTCAAGCTGAGTGCGTCCAGCCTCCTGATTATCCCCCTCACCGCCTGCAGGGGGTTGCTGTGTTCTGATTGGTCATTTATAGGTAGAAAGCAATGGAGTAGACAAAAACTTGTTTATCAACATCAAATAATGCCAATGATACTACCAGGTAATGAAAGAGATACATCCTGCCTAGTTACTAGTAAAGTAGTTAGAGTTTACTGACAAAGAACTCATGGGATCCTACGGATGATCCATTATGCTGATGTCTACAACAGACATGAGTACTTAATTAAGTATACATTGATCATTTTAGAACCAGGACTTTTATTATAAATGCTTGGTCGAATTTGCTGGGTGTAATTACTGCATTTTCATATAGGATCAGATCGGACTGATTACAATCATAGTTGTTATTAATATCAATTCGCCGTGTGTGCTCCCAAGGCAGATGTCTCATGAGAACTCCTAAGCAACCCAGCAATAGATCAAAGTTGTTTGCCACAAAACAAGCAGGCAAGCAAGTACCCTGCAGTAATGTAGAAACCGTTCTATGCCCAAATTAGTCCATCGATTATGTAGTTTAATTGCGAGAATGAAGAAACATACTTGTCTGAACTCTTGCATGCGAATCGGTGATCGAAGACTCTAAGAATGGTAGATAGGGCCTGCTTTTTTTCAGAAGACCTGAAGTAGATTCCAGCCTTGCAACGATCAAGAATGTTCCAGTTGGTCAGCAAATGTCACAGTGTATCTCCTGATGCCAGCATCGGAGAGACATCCCAAGCCAAGTACATGATCCCAAGCTGCCTCACGAGACAAAAAGTTCATCAGATATGCTCAAGATATCGATACTGTCGGCAAAGTTTCCAATTCTTGTTTCGGGACGAGTTCTCGTATATCAGCCCGAAGCAGAAAGTCTCTGGTGGGATGATAGCTCGTCTTAATGCTAGTCAAGTACTAGACCCATTCTGACTGGCATGCCGACGTCTGCGTCTCCTGCGCGAACCATGGGAGCTCTGACTCGACGTCCACGAATACACCGAGAAGAAATCACTGCCCGTGTACGACCCGCTCTGCGACGCAGCGCTATGTCGACCACTCCTGCGACGATGCGAATGGCGTCTTGGATCTGTCTCTCCAGCAGAAGCTACCGTGGAAGCCCGATCCAAATCATCAGCTTCTTCATAGATATACTCCTCCCCACTGAGTTCATACTCCTCCGCTGGCATCCCACGCTGCTGCTCCGACTGTTCCTTAGTTTTATCCTCTCCATTCCCCTCCTTCCCCACCGACTCATCCTTCTTCTCAGCATCAATCCCCAACACCCTCGGCACATCCTCTTTCCCAGACCCAAACCCAAACCCTACCACCACAACCATTAGCAAACCACCCTCTCTCCTCCCCCGAGGAATACTCACATTGTTCCCAAAACCCTTTCTGCGGGACATACAACCCCACATTCCCCACTTCCCCCTCCTTCACCCCCGGCAAATACATCCTCACCATGGGACTCCCATTCAACACATCACAATAAATATCCCAAGGCCCAATATCCTCCGGAAACTTTAACGCCGTGGCCACCGTAATAGAATAATACGCCGGAATCAACACCCTAAAATGCGGCCTCCCCATCCCCATCCCCCTTTCCCCCCCTCTGCACCCTCCTCATAGCCTGCATATAAACCACCACCGCATCCAAACTCTGAAACAACCCAATAAACCTCTCCCCCAACACCCCCCTCTTCAAAATCAACTCCTCAAACCCATGTCTCCAGATCGTATCCGGATGATACACCAAATACCACGTATCCTCACTCTCGGACTTGATTTTATGCGAGAGCATGTTGTAAACGAGGGTGGGGAATTCCGAGGCCACGCGGAGGGCGTTATCGCTAGCTAACGTCGTGTTGAGGGTCTCCAGGTGCGTGTTTATTTGGCGCAGTTGGGAGGTGGTTTCGATGGCTTGGTAGATGGCGATGGCGGCGGCGGCGGGGGGAGGGTGGAGGCTAGGCTGAGGGCGTAGCTGGTATAGAGGGGGTGGTCGCCGTGAGAGTTTTGGGCGATGAGGGTGCTGGAGAGGAGGGAGTGCCCGATTTCGGTGAGTTCGTCGAGCGTGTTGAGGAGGTGGGTTAGGGTTTTGAAGATCATTTTTGTAGATTTTTTGTTGGTGTGGTGTGGTGTGGTGGTTTGGAGTTGGTGGAAATGGGTGGGAGGGGGTGAGGGTGTTGGTTTGAGGTTAGGACATGTCTTTAGATGTTTGTCTGTTGTTGGAGGTAAGAGGTGGGAGTTGGAGATGTGAAGCTGTCCACGTCTTGATGGTGGTGGGGCTGGGCGGGGCGAATAGGATCGGGGATCCGGGATAGACAACACATCGGGGTTGGAGGTATTCACCAATAGCTGCATCGCCTCACTTTGGGTAGCAGGCCAATTATATCAGATTTGATTTGTTGAATGAATGATGGAAGATACTAATGATTTTGTGGATTACTGCTGTGTAGAGTAAGCTCCATACAGTGTTGATGCAGGGTGATGGTTTACAGGTTTATAGTTTATCTAATTGGGTTACACTTCCTCTATTCTATACTTAGTATCATTATGATCTTGGCCATGTTGGATACAACTAATACTCAGAATAAATGAACCAGGTACCCTTCGAGGTCATGTTTAATGCAACACAATATGCTTGGAATTTACTGACATCACTATGGAATATACTAGCAATAAACATAATCACAACTCAGCTCAAATGCAAACGGCACTTGCCAACTGTTGGTTGTATCTAAGTCATATCAAAGAGCTCATTATTGGCTTTCTCATCCCAAAGATCCGATTCCTCGTCTGTACCAAAGAGCTCTCTGTTTTCTTCCTCGTTCCAAAGATCCTCCCCCTGCTCCACCGTACCAAATATTTCCACATCAGTCATTTCGTTCCAAGTCTCATCCTCCGACGGTGGCTCCTGTGATGACTCGACTTCATCATCTGCCTCATACATTTCCTCGGTTGTATAGCCATAGTTCGTGTCTGTTCCCACATCTGTCTCATCCCTCACAGATTCTGCCCCAGAAACCCCACTGTCTGGCGACTTGACTACAGGCCGGCCTTCGTTTGCCGGGTGCAACTTGCAAGTACACCATTCCAGCTCTTGAGCCTTTTTCGGCTGCACGTTCCTTTGTTTCTGATGGTACATTTTCCCAGAGAGAAGCTTCCATGCATGGAGAAGGTCATACGGGTCTAGTTCAGTGACCGTGCCTGTGTCAGTAACCCTGGACCGGGGAAAGAGGTCTCGCTTTCCCTTGACGAGCTGGTAAATATACCAGAGGGTACCTAGTGATACAATGTTGGTACGGTTCACCAAATTCTCCGAAGTCTTTTCCACTCTGGCGGGATATATGTTATTGAGAAGTGGCTTGAACTGGGGATCCTGGTAGTGTTTGAACAAGTCAATGCCATGAATATTAGGTGGTCGCGCGAGGTTGAATAGCTTTTTCAAATAGGCGCGATACTTCAACCACTTATCAAACTGGGGCTTGGTGACTGGATCCTCATGATAGAGCGCGTATACGTCGGTGGTCCACTTCAAACCCAGACAACTGGCCAAGAAAGCATCGCTCTTTTGGATATTCAGAACGCATCTGTTGGTGTAGCCAATGCCCGGGTAGTTGTGTTGGTTGCAAACTTCTGTTCTGTCGGATGGAGCTTCCTGGTCTCTAGGGTTGTCTAATGACCAAGTTAGTATGTATCCACCCTAGCATTGAGACAGCTATAAAAACCCTTAAATGAAAAGTAGGGTCAAACTTACCACTTGGCTCAGCGTTTGGTGGCATGTTAATATTTATGTCTTGAGAAGGCAATAGACACAGTATCAAGAAAGGTCAAAGTCTGTTCAAGTTTCTCACCGTTGCATTGAATGAGAGAAATAAGCGTCGGGTATCTATGGGCAAAGAGAAAAGAGGAGGAATACAACAAGCAGAAGGAATCTGTCAGAGGAAGATGACGAGGAAGATGACGATGAACGGGTGAATCGCCTCATCAGTAGGTTCACTTCAGCTGGAACCGGAGTATGTATGGTGAATATCGCTCTGTTCCATTTCCTGCCAATAGCAAGTCTGTGTAACATTATCATGATCGGCAGTTGACTATCTATCAATCTGCTTCATCCGTGGATACAATGAGCTAATGTCCATAACGTTGACTATAAATCCCGAGTGAATTGAGTGTTTTATGTATCGGCGATGCAAAGGACGGAGATCCATGTCGATCACCTGACTGCGTGCAGATCAGCAAGAGCACAGCAGCACAGCACTTTCCCGCAACTGACAACTGCAGTGATTGATGATCCTAAGTTATTCATCACGATGCATCCCACCACTAAGCCAATCATGGCAGAAAAGCGCATGAGGTACGATGAGGTCGCGTGGAAGAAAAGTGACGAAACATTTGCAGCCTGGAGGAAAAGGCTGTTCAATGAAAAGGTCTTTCGAGACATTGGCGCGCTGATTATCAGGCACCGTGGAGGACCGGCCGAGGAGCTGTTCCCTCCAAGAAAAGGATCATTCAATGTCATTCTCCGAATGAAATTCCTCGATGGTGGATCAGCAGTCATCCGCTTCCCGGCTGCGGGCTTTTCGATGTTTCCAGAGGAGAAGTTGCTCAGAGAGGTCTCTGTGATGCGATTCATCGAATACAACACATCAATTCGGGTTCCGCATGTTCTGTATCATGGAAAGTCTGAGGAAATCCCGGCCGGACTGGGGCCGTTTATCATTATGGAATATTTGGAAAACGACTCCGATATCATCGATGCCCTAAACATTCCAGGTCGCGCGGATGAGGACCGACCTATCCTGGATCCTAATATCTCCGACGAAAGGCTCAGGTTCGCTTACAGTCAAATGGCAGAGATTTTGCTTCAGCTGGGCAGGCCTTCTTTCAGCAAGATTGGCTGCTTAACAAGCAATGGAGATGAGGACTTTGAGGAATGGGACGTCACACACCGTCCTCTGACCATCAACATGAACGAGCTCGTCCAGCTTGGTTGTGTTCCCGAGCATCTCCTCCCACAGCAACCATTCGAAACCGCGTCTTCCTATTTTCTGGCGCTTGCAGAGCTACATATGACCCATCTCTCCTCGCAGCGTAACGACGCGTTTGACTCTGAAGAGGAATGCAGGACCAAATATATTGCAAGATGCTTATTCCGGAAACTTGCACGAGAGAATCGACTTTGTTCACATGACAATGGTCCCTTCAAGCTTTTCTGTGATGATCTGCGCCCTGCCAATGTTCTCGCGAACTCAGAGTACAACTACGCCGTTGTTGGGGCGATTGACTGGGAGTTTACCTATGCTGCTCCAACTGAATTTGTGCACAGTCCTCCGTCATGGCTGCTGCTCGAGCGTCCAGAATACTGGGAAGCTGGTCTGAATGACTGGACACGAGCTTACCAAGAACGCCTACCAGTATTTCTAGAAGAGCTCCAGGTGCGGGAAGATGTGGCTATCCAGCGGGGAATCATGTCCGAGAAAGATCGACTGTCTCAGCACATGAAAACGAGCTGGGAGAGTGGTGATTTCTGGGTCAGCTATGCAGCGAGGAGGAGCTGGGCTTTTGACATGATCTACTGGGCGAGAATTGATCGTCGATTCTTTGGAACAGGCGATTTACAGGACCGCCTAAGCCTGTTGACTCGGGAAGAAAGACAGGAGATGGAAGGGTTTGTGCAGAGAAAGATGGCGGAGAATGTTGGTCTTTAATTGTTCACATCGAGCTTCATCACCATCCTTACACTATCATGTCCCACTAGCAAACCATAACCTTGTGTTATTTATGAACCGTCAAGTTACCATTTGGTCGTACCAGCCTAGCATGTTCATGTAGCTTAATCTGCATATATTCTCCACTCAATCACAAACAAATTAAGCATCATCTCATCCACGCCCTAACTCTCCCAAAATAATCCACCCCAAACACAACCCCACATTAAAGACGACATAAACCCAAAGCAGCCCAAAATTCCTCCACCGCTGATCATAGAAAATATCCATGCCTTGAAAAAATTGATCCGCCGAGGAGAGTGTACAATACTTGCATAGGGAATCTCTTTTAACTCTGCCCATCGATAGAGAAGGTCATTTGACGGGAATATCCTCGGAACGGTATTTACCCGGAGCATGTTATTAAAACCCCCTTTTACGTACAGCTAGTACTATATAGGTGTAGTGACTCCGGTGTCATTAGATCACGCTGTGGATATCAAAAGAACAACTTCTCCGGCTTGAGAGCCCTCTCAATGATACCAGTCATCTCTGCATTCCGAAAAGACCAACAAAAGTGTCATTGTATCTAGATTCGTACGTACCCAATTTCCCCATGTATACTGTCTATACCATTTCAAGCTAGCGTGCGGTATCAGTAACATCCCGGGAGGTCGGGCTAATATCTTCTCCGCATGTGCATCCCTCCGACAGCAGGGATGACCAGCTTCATCTACGATCATTCCGTCCCTTAACTCGATACAGCCCTTAGCCCATAGGAGTACGCAACAAACTACAAAACTCGCTGACATGCCATCCGATCAAAAGCCTCGTGTATTCGGGTATGCAGCATCCGATATCGACGCCCTGTGTCGGACTGCAAGCAGTCTGCGACAGGACATTGCATGCACCTGTAACCTCAATCAACACCCCGCAAGTGGGTGCTTCAACTGGGCCGTCTTTCTCACCTTTGAAGATGGCGTCCAATGGGTTATGCGGTCCCCACACACCGGCTATGCTGCGATACCAATGGAACTCATTGCAAAAATGTTGGAAAGTGAAGCGGCCACTTTAAAGAAGCTTTACCCCAAACGACATCGGGATCCCATTCATCTTGATGAGCAAAGCGCCTGGCTGGCAACTAGCACAAGCCTGGAAAGAACCAGGGTTTGGAAAGCCTGAGCTGGCGGCACATCTAAAAGCCAAAGTCGTTCGTCAGCTGGGAGCCATGACCTACAAACTCTCCCAATTACGCTTCGCTCAAATAGGATCGCTCTTGGAACGGGATGGAGTTTTCCGAGTGGGTGAATGTCTCTCGTGCGGCCACATCCTGCACGATCGGCACTCTCTTGAAGATGTCACGCGAGGACCATTTACCACGGAGACGCCGTTCTTCGACAGCCTCATCGCGGCGTTGAAAGAACATGCCGAAGTCCTACCACTGTCTCCCCACTGTTTCGTCGCCCCAATCCCTAGCCGTGGGGATTATGAGTCGATTGAGCAGTACCATAAGGCACGCAATCTGTGGAATGACTTTGTCACTATTGGAAACAAGATTGATTCATCCGACAATAGGCTCGACTATATTGTGGTTGCAGATGCCCTCAGAAATCTCATCTCAGTATGGCGATCACAATTGCCAAAGACTGATACGCAGTCTTTTCCGCTATGTCATGCTGACCTGAGCATCAATAATATCTATGTTGACGACGATTACAACATTACATGCATCATTGACTGGGGATTCTCCTCAACTGTCCCGGAAGCTATGATGTTGATTCCCCCAGGTCTGCCACAGTCTCGTGATGAGCTAAATGAATCTCTTGTTGCTGCTTTCAGGAACGGGTTCGTTTCTGCCGTCTCCAAAAGCACGAATCTAGAACGGAGCGAGATTCGTGATAATGCAGCCAGCATCCTACAGCAGAGATGCTCCTGGTTGTTAACGCGGCTTCTCAATTTTGACTCTCTCAATGACTACAGCCTCTTTGCAGCAGCGTGGAAACATACATACGGCCACGAGGGAGATATCAGAGCAAAGATCGTCGCCTCACTATGTACAGTTGTACAGCGAAATTAAAATAGACGACGAGCCGTTAGAGAAGACCAAAAAGGCAGAGCGTGGTTACTTTCGAGATAGGATATTCAAAGAAACCATCGCAAGAAAGTTGACGTTGGTATCACAGTGGAAGATCCAATACACGTCATCCCATCAGGGTCTGCGAAAAGAGGGCGAGCTGTTTGTCACTGATTCCAGGCTATGGAAATGGATCTTGGAATTTATGCAACAGTGGGAGGAGATTACTGATACGAGGTTTCTATAGCAACATTTGCCTTGACCACACACTGAATATCATAGTTCTATGCCTAATAGCTTGCTCGGATTATCATCCAGTCTCTAGGAATGCTCATAGCAGAAACTAACCATACAAGCAACCACCTTCTATCACAAACCATCACTTTTCACAGCTTCCTCAAAAACAAACCAACCGCTCATCCCATACCATAAATCCACCCATCACCCTACAAACACCCCTCAACCACTCCCCCAACGCCATAATAGCCATCGCCTGCCCATACGGCATGGCCGTCAACGGAATCCTCTTATAAAAATCCAAACAATCACCCATCCCCGTCCCAAAACTCGTCTGCTGCAACTCCCCCGTCTCATCCACCGCCCCCAACACAGCCCGAATAGCCTTCTCCGCCACCCCCCGATACCTCACAGGCAGATACCTCTTCCTCACAGCCTTCAGAATCCCATACGCGAACCCCGCCGTCGCCGACGCCTCAACATACGAATCCGGATGATCCAGCAAAGTATGCCAAAACCCATCATCCTCCTGCACCCTCTGCAGGGCCTCACACTGTGCCTCCAACGTATCCAGCAAATGCACCCGAATCGGATCCCCCTCCTTCAACTCCAACAACTCCACAAACTCCGGAATCACCATCGTCACCCAACTATTCCCTCTCGCCCACCTCGCCCCGCAAAATTATGCCCTCCATCCTCAAACGTCCACCCATGAAACCACAACCCCGTCTTCGTATCAAACAAATACTGAATATGCAACAATACCTGCCGCTTCGCCTCGGCAATATACTCGGGCCGATTCAACAACTTCCCGATCTTGGCCAGCGGCATCACAGTCATCATCAACGTATCATCCCACAGCTGTTGGTAGTTCTCCGTCACGTACGTGACATGTTGCATCCCGCCGTATTTCGTCCGCGGGAGCTCGTACATGGCCCATTCGGCCCAGGCATCCAGCCAGGGGAGATATGTCACGTTGCCGGTTTTCTCGTACACGTAGGCCAGGGTTAGGAAGACCGCCATGGTGTTGATGTTCTTGGTGGTGCCGCCCTCGGCGAAGCGAGCGGCGAACCAGTCCTCGATGATTTGGAGTAGATGTGAGGATCCAGTCATCTCGTAGTATTTCCAGATGCCGTAGAGGCCGATTCCGTGGGTCCATTCCCAGCCATCCCAGGATTTGGTGTCGATGATGCGGCCGTCCGAGAGAGGGAGGAGGAATGTACCCGTGGTGTCTTTGATGTTGATTAGGTTGGTGATGAGGAGGTTGATTTTGGAGTGGATGGGGGTGGGGGAGGGCATTTTGTTCGATATTTGTGGTGTTGTGATTGCTGTGGTGGTGCGTGGTGTGGTGATATACAGACGATGCGGGGAGGGTCTCGGGGTAGTTTCACCCGAGCCACCACGCCAATAGTCTGGGCATCTCGTCTATGCCCATCCCATCAATTAAGCGAGCCAGCTCGGGCCCATTTCCCCCGCGCTCAGGCGGGCCCTGCCGCCCCCGGATTCCACCCCAGATACAGACCGGGGTAGCATCTTATCTTTCTCATCGACTGCATGTCTCTCATTGGAGTGAAAATGCGGCTGCCGAGGAGCCGCGGGCTCGTCCCAGGACAGATAAAAGGGGGTTTCTGCCCGGTGTTGACTCACTCAGCAGACATCCACCATGTCGATGGAGAATATTTCCTCGGTGCCTGTGGGCGGGACTACTGCCGTGGATGATAAACCCACTCAGGATCTCGCTCATGTGGAGCGGGTCTTGTCGTCTGCTGATAAGCTCAAGGGTGAAGATGTCCGGGTCGATACCGAGGTGTTGGAGTATGCTGCTCGCGGGCAGATCGAGGTCGACGATGAGGATAGTCGTCGTCTGCGTCGGATGATTGATCGACGGGTGTTGGTGATCATGATCGTGACGTATTTCTTGCAGGCTTTGGATAAGGGCACCATGTCGTTTGCGTCGATTATGGGGATTAAGACGGATACTAATCTGAAGGGACAGGAGGTATCCACCTATCTCTATTCCTTTCTCCAATTATGAATATAGCTGATATTTGCAGTACTCCTGGCTCACAACATGTATCTACATCGCCGTCCTGGTAGTCGAATACCCCACCAACTGGATTATCCAGCGTGTTCGCATCGCCAAATACCTCGGCTTCAACATCGTCTGCTGGGGAACCATCCTGGCGCTACACGCAGCATGTCACAACTTTGCTGGTCTAGTCACCGTACGCACTCTACTAGGTATCTTCGAAGCAGCCTGCCAACCCTCATTTGTGGTCCTCTCCGGCATGTGGTACAAACGTGAAGAACAAGCCTCCACCGTAACCTACTGGTACCCTCCCCCCCCAATACCAATAATTCCCCACTAAGGTAGAACCAGGTACATGATGAACGGCGGACAACAAATCGTCGGCGGCCTCCTCGCCTACTGCTTCAGTCTGATCCCCTCCCACCGTGCCCTAAAATCCTGGCAAGCCCTCTTCCTCACCTACGGCTGCATCTCCGTCCTCTGGGGCTTATTCGTAATCTACTGGATGCCCGACTCCCCCATGCGCGCCAAATGCTTCACCGAATCCGACAAACACAAAATGGTGGAGCGCGTCCGAGCGAACCAAACCGGTCTGCAGAATAAAACCTTCCGAGCGTATCAAATGTGGGAGGCGTTTCGCGATCCACAAATGTGGTGTTACTGCGCCATTCAGGTGTTCACCACCCTGCCGACGAGTGGGCTGGGCGCGTTCGCCAATATTATTATCAGTGGGTTTGATTTCACCGAGTTGCAGACGCAGTTGTTGGCGATGGTGTTGGGAGTGTATATCATTGGGGTGTTGTTGGCCAGTGCGTGGTTGGTGAAACAGTATGAGCAGAATTTGTTGGTTATGTTGGGGTTTATTATTCCGTGAGTCATTCTTTCTTATACCTGTTGGGGATTGGGAATGCTGATGGTGTAGGTCGTTTGTTGGGACTATCGTCCTCATGACGGTGGAAAATACCAGTCTGAGCACCAAGGTCGGGTTGCTGATTAGTTACTATATCACGTTGTCGTTCTGGTCGGCTCAGAATCTGGGGTTGTCGATGGTGACGAGGAATATTGCGGGGGCGACGAAGAAATCGACTGTCGTGGCGGCGACGTTTGTGTCGTGGGCGGTGGGGAATGCAATCGGTATGCCCTTACCCTTATTTATGCCAGTGTTGATGCTGATGGATGATGCAGGCCCCCAAGTCTTCCTCGATCGTGACGCCCCCCGGTACTTCATCGCCTTTGGGGTCCATCTAGGCTGTTACTCGGCCATGACTCTCTCGGTGATCTTCCTCCGGTTCTATCTCATCCGGGAGAACAAGCGGAAAGATCGAGCAATGGCCGAGATGGGAATTGCCCTAGAGGGCGAGGATCATCTGGCCCGGGCATTTGAGGATCGGACAGATCGAGAGAATGTGTATTTTCGGTATATTTACTAGCTTACCTACTACCTATACCTGCCCAATGGATGAATTACACTTTGTTCAAGTTGATACATACATACATACATACATACATACTCCGTAGTGAATTAGGGCTATGAACAAGAATTCCTCTAGTGATCAGTATTTACAACCCCCTCCCCCCTCCTGCACCAAGCTCACTTCTGTAGATCTTCAACCAACTCCTCCACATCCTTCATCCTCTTCCCATTATTCTCCCCCACATCCAACGCCACCAACACCCGACTCACACAATTATACCCCGCAATCCCGGTCGTCAACTCCACCACCTCCCGATCCGACAACCCCGCCCCCGCCTCTTCACTCTGCAACGCCCGAAACGTCTCCTCCTTCACCTTCACCGTCCTCGTCATCTCATCCGTATACCGCACCACCGCCCTCTGCAATCCCGTCAACGCAGAACCCTCCAACAACCCCTCCACCTCCTCCCCAACACCCTCCCCAGCAAGACAAGGCAACGTCCGCACAACCTGCAATTCCTCCGGTTTAATCCCCCCCTTCAACGCAAGCGGTGCATGCGCATTCCATTCGTATATAGCGTTCGTGAGAACAGCGACTCGACAAACGGCTAGTTCTAACAGGCCCTGGTCGATGATAGTTTGGGTGCGGATTGCGCCTAGGAAGGAGTTCCAGCCGTCGGCGACGGGGGGAGAGTGCAGGAGGGAGAGGTCGAGGGGGATGAGGGGGCGGGGGTGGCGGCGGGAGGCGATTCGGGCGTAGATTTCGGGGGTGCTGGGGGAGGGATCGGATGGGGGGGGTGTGTTGGGGGCGTAGGGGAGGCGCATTTTTCGTATTCCTATACTTGTACTTTTGGGGATGGGTGTTAGTATTTGTGGTAGGTGGGGGGATAGGGGGGTGAGGTGGTGGTTGACTTACGGGTGGGAGAATGAGGGGAGTTTGGGTCTGCGGAGCATAGATAGTAGATAGTAGGTAGATAGTGTGGGTGGGATGGATGGGGTATTAAAGATTAAAGCGGGTAGTAGTGTCTGGGGGTGCGTTTATCCGCCCGACCCGAGATTGGTTGCCGGGCGGGCGGTCGGCAGATACAATGCCGATGGTTTGGTTCTGGTGTAGGAGTAGCCCTATTTTGATACCTACTATGGAGTATATATGGAGTATGGGGATGGGAATGAGCCTGGGGGCGGGGCATCCCTTGAGTATACATTCCGGTGCTGCAGGGGTATTTACTGCAGTGTGGAGGTTACAAGTATCTATTTTATTGTCTGTGTTCGGTTTTATATTTGTACTATTGGATAGAGCTACTTACTAGAGAGTATATCTATGTGTGTCTGGTGATGTTAGTAATAATAGAGCATTCAATGACTCCTACCACATTATAATAATATCAACAGTATCTACTCTGTGTATACTATTCCATGATGATCATACCATCCCTGCAAGGGTCCCACCCTCGCGCATCCCTCGCCTCGTGCTGTCTACCCCTGCCATTAACACCAGGTTTGATCATACAACTAACATGTTACAACTGTAGCCATGACGGATGACATATCATGGCATTTGTTTCGACGGATGAATCTGCAAGGGGATGCAAGGGTTCAACGGTTGCTATCAGGAAACACTACCTCTACCTCTGTAACATTAATATCTATAACTGACCGCTAACCTACCTACCTATATAGGGTTCATCCTACCCCGATCACCACAGACCATCAAGAACTACCACCACCACCACTACCACAATGAAGTGGCTCACCTTCCTCCTCACCACCCTGAGCAATTTGGGGATAGGTACCACCCCCCCTCTCCCCCCTCACAAACCCCCAACACTAACCACTACACAACCACAGTAACCAGCTCCATAATCTCCTTCTCCCCGCCAACCACCCTCACCACCAACTCAACCTCCCCAAACCCCAACCCAAACATAACCTACAGCCTCACCATCCCCAACACCACCACCCCCACCCACCCCGGCCCAATCTACATCCAAATCACCGCCCCAACCACCATCCAATGGATCGGACTCGGCCAAGGCTCCCAAATGACCGACTCCAACATGTTCATCCTGTACACCTCCTCATCCTCAAAAATCACCCTCTCCCCCCGGTCTGGCCTCGGCCACTTCGAACCCCAATACACCTCAGCTACCCAAATCACCCTCCTCCCAGGGACCGGCATCACCACCAACCAAGCCAACATCACAACCATGACAGCAAACTTCCGCTGCGACAACTGTCTCACCTGGCAAGACGGAACCGGAAGAATGAGTCCCCTGGACCCTAACTTCCCATTCATCTGGGCGTATAAAATCGGGGTGCCGATTGATTCGGCGGCTTTGGACGCAGATATTTCCATTCATGATTATATGGGGCAGATACGTGTCGATTTAACCAAGGCTTCCCTACCGGAGAGATTCTACTCCGGGTCGAATTCGACAACGGGGAATTTAAACGATACTACGAATCCATTCCTAGATTATAACCCCCTTACGGATTCTCTACGTGTGGGGACGGATACTCCCGATACAGACACAGGGTCGATGATGGGTTCGCACATACCCAAGAACATGAAACAAGTGTTGATAGCGCATGCTACGCTAATGGGCCTTGCTTTCGGGATTTTGTTTCCCTTGGGGGCTGTTCTTATGCCGATTCCTATTTCGTCACTGCCGGTGAGGAAAATCTTCCTTCATGCGGGTATACAATTGTTTGCGTTGGGAGTTACGTTGGCGGGGTTCGGAGCGGGAGTGTATATTGCTCATGCGGCGGGTCAATTATCTAACCCGCATCCTATTATCGGGATTGTGGTTGTGGGGGTGTTGGTGTTGGTGCAGCCTGTTTTGGGGATTGTTCAACATCGCGAGTATAAAAAGACCGGAAACCCTGGGGGAAAGGTTGGGGTGCTGCATCGGTGGGTTGGTAGGGGGGTGGTTGTGTTAGGCATGATTAATGGGGGCTTGGGGTTTCGGTTGGCCGGGGTGGGAGGGGGGTTTGCGCCGAAGGGAGCGGTGGTGGGGTATTCGGTTGTGGTTGGGGTGGTTGGGGTGGGGTATCTGTTGGTGCTGATTTGGGGGATATCTAGGAAGAGGAGAGATGGTGGAGAGGTGGAGAGAAATGGGGAGGGATTGGGAGATGGGGGAGAGATGAAGGTAGAGGGGAAGGGGAGGATACGAGGTTGGATGGGGAGAAAGCGGGTGTGGTTATGGAGGAGAGGTAGTGTTAAGGCGGGGAAGGTATTATTGCTGGGCAGAATGGGTTAAGGAATTGGTAATCGGAAATACGAGACATGTGGGGTGGGGCTGTCAGCACCTTATTATAGTCATCTAATTATTATCTCTATACATCTATGTATGCACTATGCATCACCTAAAACTTCAACACAGCCTTACCCAAGTTCTTGCCGTGGAATATTCCCAACAATCCCTCAGGAGCATTCTCAATTCCCTCCGTCTCGTGAATCAACGACTTGAAGGATCCCTCCTTGATCAACTTCTGCACCCGTTCCTGGTGCTCCTGCGTGTACTTGTCACCCATTCCCTTGTCACCCACAATGAATCCCCGCATGTCCAGACGCTTGGTCAACACGTAGGTGATGTTCTTGATCGGGTAGCCACTGCCGTTGTACTGTGAGATCATACCGCAAACAACAATCCGACCAAAGTCGTTCATGGCGTTCAAGGCCGCCTCGAGGTGCTCACCACCCACGTTCTCGTAGTAGATGTCGATACCCTGAGGAGCCAGACGGGCCAAAGCATCGCCCGGCTTCTCAGTCTTGTAGTTGAAACCACCGTCGAAGCCCAGCTCCTTGGTGATAAATTCGAGCTTCTCGTCGGAGCCAACGGATCCGATAACCTTGAGACCCTCGTGCTTGGCCAGCTGACCGACGAGCTGACCGACGGCACCGCTGGCCGCCGACACGAAGATCGTCTCGCCCTTCTTGGGCTTGCCGATCTCGTAAAGAGAAGAGTAGGCCGTCAGACCGGGCATGCCGAGGGCTCCGAGGAACACACGCACATCCTCAATGCCGAGGGGGTTGGCGAGAGCACGCACCCGGACGAGCTGCTCGGCCGAGACGGAAATGTATTGCTGAATGGGAAGGTAGCCGATGATCAGGTCGCCCTCCTTGTAGGCGGCAACGTTGGAGCGGAGGACCTTGGCAATGACGGCATTCTCAATAGGGGCGTCCAGAGCGAAAGCGGGGGAATAAGACTTGATGTGGGCGGGGCGCATGCGGCCGCGAAGGTAGGGGTCGAAGCTGGCATACACCGACTGGACGAAGATGCCGTTCTCCGGAGCGGGGGCATTGCCATCGTACGAGACCGGCTCGACGGTGACGTCCTGGCCAGGGACAAAGTAGCCGGTGGGGATTTGCTTGAAGATGAGGGCGGAGTTAGACATGATGATATTGATATTGTGTGTTGTTATGATTGCCAAAAGTCCGTTCAACGTCCGCTTTATATCCTGGGTGGCGATTACAAAGCATCTTCATCCCCTAGCAAGAAGCTTCTCGAGGACTACCTAGGCTTTGCCGGAAACGGCTGGTGTGGGTGGACTCGTCTCGAACCAGTGGATAGATTGGCGCAGCGTTCCTCAACCACGGCTCGAGTGGATCTGCAGAATTGAGGCAATCGGCGGATATGCTTGTTCAGGGCAGAAGAACCGGCCGTGGACCCATCGTCTGGGCCGGTTATGCCAGACACAGCGGGATAGTGCACAATAAAGTGCGGATTGACTGATTAATTAAGATGGAGTGATTATCAAGCAGAAATACCGCAGAAATATCTTTCGTTGTGATCTGTTCATGCCTCGGTATATTGATGTTTAGTCGGATCGGAGATGATGCCATTTTTAGTCAGCCCCGTTTCCATTTTTTCCGGAAATGCCTCGGGGCCCGACGGAGGCAACTCCAATTCAACCACGCAATTCCGAAACTGCCGACTGGGAATTCCCCTCTCAAACAACACGTCCAGTTCCTCAAAGGTCCTCCCTCTGGTCTCCGGTAGCCACCAGAAACAATACCCCGTGCATAGCGCACTCGTCCCTGCAAACAAGAATCCGAGTTTGCCCCGCCAGTTCCCCTCGTCTTCGTTCATCGCGTACGGAATCGCCACCGCGAACACCACCGACCAGACATAGCAGCTCATCGTGGCTAACGCAATGGTCAACCCCCGCAGTCGCGCCGAGGACACCTCGGCCAGTAGGACATAGCAGATTGGCCCGAGACTGAGATCGTACACAAGCGTGCAGACCAGCATGAGCCCGCACTGTCCCCATACTGTGGTCGAGGTTTGCGGGACAACATCTAGTACTCCGATGAGACACAGCACCACTGCCAACGCGGAGCAGCCAGAAAGGTACATTGACCGACGGCCCACGTACGGCAGCAACAACCACGACAAACACGTCCCGAGTAACCCCAGTCCGGTCAGCCCGATGTTCATCGAAAATGCATGCGACGAGTCCAGCCCGGCCAGTTCCATAAAGTGCACGGCATAGTTGATGAAGAAGACATTCCCGGTAAAGGCCTGCATGCTGTAGGCCATCACACAGATCACAAGGCGACGGCGGTTCGGTCCCCGGAGACACTCCAGGTACGGAGGTCGATTGTCTTGAAAGCTGGCCTCCAGATGTAGTGTCTCTTGGATGTGGGCTAGCTGGCGGGATACATCTACAGCTGGAGTGGCGAGCCGGCGCAGCGATGCCATGGCCGCTTCGTGACGGCCCTTGCGGCATAACCAGTATGGTGGATCGGGGCAGAAGAAGATCAGCGCGAGCATGATGCACGGCAGTGCCCACTGTGTTGCAATGGGAATTTGGTACGATAGAGTGTTGTCCATCGATGATGTGCCCTTGAGAACGCCCGAAGCGATCAGCGAGCCAATCGAGAAAGCCAGATTGGTCATGGTAGCGGCGAACCCACGGAGCGCCAAAGGTGTCACCTCTCCGACATATGCGGAGGCGCAGATGGGGTAGAATGCAATGACGCAACCGTTGATCAGCTCGCCCACGAAAAGCTGGGCCGGCGTGTGACTGAAAAACTGAACGAAGATGAAGCCGATGGACAGACAGGAACACACGGCGATCATCACTCGCGGACCAAAGCGGTCGTACGCCACGCCGGAGCAAAGCGCACCCACGATGGCACCCAGCAAGTTGGCGTAGTTGAAGGCCGAGATCCACTGGGCGGCCAGGATGTAGCTCCCATGGTAGTTGTAGCCGTAGGTTTCTTTGAAGACGTCGAGTCCGACCAGTCCTTTGACAATGCCACCATCCTAAACTGTTAGCTGCATCTCACTTGACCCGGGTAACCTACAATGCCTTTGAGGATAGTCGCCTAATTCTCAACATGTCAATGTCAATGTCAAGTTGTCTCGAGTCGGTCTTACCAGATTCATAAACGAGGCCCATGCCACCGCCGGCCAGTGCCGTCGCATGGCCTGCCAGAACCCCAGCGCGTGTTCATCTTGAACAAACTGCAAGGACTCGGGCTCCCCTACACCCGCCGGAAGGGCCAACACCACCGTTTGTTCTGAAATATTCCCCATAGCTGATCAAACTTTGAAGTGAGGGAATTTCTCAGGCTTTATGTGGACGCCTGCTCTTGGCTTCTTGGCTCGGCTGGTAGCGCCATCTCATAACAGTCGATTGTGCCTACCTCTGTCTATTGTACAATCCTGTGGAGTCCATTTACATTCGCCGTACACCGTAACGCCATGCCACACGCTAAACTTGATTGACCGGAGACTCGGGCTCGGGGGTCATTGGAAGACCTGCCAGAGGACCTTCGGGTTTTTCTCGTGGAGGCCAGTTCGGAGCCGGGTAACTGAGCAGTTTGCACACGTCCTGCTACCGTCAGTCTATGCAAAAAGTGGACTGCAAGGAACAGCAGGAACAAACCCGTCGTTTCCGTCGGAAATCATCGTAGAGTTTCTTCCAAATCTCCCGATCCTTGCACCCGCTCTCATGCACCGTGCCCGGCTTGACCTTGCACTTGGGCAGCATGTCGGCAATCAGTTCCTGCGGCCACATCACCCATGGCTTCGGCAATGGCCAGTCGGAGAAATGGACCAGCTTCGCCTCTGCCAGCACCTTCTCCGGATCCCACTCCTCATATTCATTGCCCAAGAAGGCCCGGTGGTCATCCTTGCGGAACTCACCCGAGACCAGTCCGTACTGTCGATGCGGCAGAACCAGCGCCGAGTCCCCGTACCGTTCATTCATCAGTTCCATATCGTATTTGACCCGTGAGCTGACATTCGACTCGACCTGACCGTAGGTGATGGCATGGGCTGCATCCATCAACGCATACCACTCTTTGAACGACGGTTCCAGCACAATCAACAGCGACGAGAGTTGTTTCGTATCGGGCAGTTGCCAGTAGGCGCGGGGCATGGCGACCTGGGAGGGAGGAAGGAAGAACAGTTCATCCATGTTCTGTAGAACGCTGACGTCGGAGTCGATATGGATGACACGATCGAATTCGGTCTCGCCAAAGGCAAGAAGCTTGGAGATGCTCTTATCCCAAGACTCGTTCGGCCCTGTACTGTTAGCTCAGTTGTCTAGCAGCGAGCGTGTCACCAACCTGCACCAGCTTTGACCATCTGCACGTCAATCGGCACCAACAACACATTATACTTCTCCGCCGCTATGGCCAGCAACTGACTATCCCGGTCGCGGTCGTCATCCACCAGCACGTCCCAGTTCTCGGGGTAGAACAGCACCCGCTGCGCCCGGCTGCCGAGGCGTTGTAATGTGTCGAACACGATGAGCGCATTGCACAAGTATGGGCTGGAGGTTGCATACTGGCTGTAGGCATACAGTGACCAGTCCACTCGGTCGTAGTCGATATGTGGAAGAGGGGGCGGCGGGGGTTTCTCGCGTCGTAGGAAGAGGACGAACAGGACGAAGACGAAGAAGGCGAGCCAGACCCGCGGGCTCTTGAGGTGACGGACCTGACGCTTGACGATGGACCAGCAGGGCTCGTCGGGGATGTCGAAGAAGTCAGCTTCGGAGGAATCCGAGCCCCTCCGATACGGGAGGATGGGAACTTTTTTAACTGCCATGGTTAGCTGATGGCAAGCATCTTGGTCGATTACTCCATGTCAGGGAGGCAATCGGTGATGGATAACGTTATGCAGGAATAAGGGATGAGTCAGGAGCCGGGGATAAAAATACTGTCCAATCAGATCGCAGAGAGCCGTGCAATGGATCAACAGATACCATAGATAGTAGGTAGAGAGATCTATCCTAGAATGATAATCGCATTTAATGTGAGCTGGACTGATCTGTGCTCTCAAATATACCCAGGCTAGTCCCAGTCTACTGATGCACGGTATCAACAATATGGACAGCCGACCATCCCAGCAATGCAGTAGTAGTATAAACCTTCATCCTGACATGCGAAAGCATCAAGCCGCTCCCACAGCGGTACTCAACGGTAGACACGATAAGCTGTTGTCTTCAATCGCATCTTCCAGTGGATGACACTGTTGCTGAACCCCCGGTAATATGTTTCTCCGCCCGGACATTAGTCATCCTCTCGTGAGATGAATCGCGACAGATAAGAAAGAGCAATTGAAGTCGGTGATCCTTGAATTGTGGCTTCTTACTCACTGGATTACATCTGTGCTTGCAATCGGGAGAACTTTACGAGTATTGCGTGATTGTTGCCTGTCAGCCGCAGCCGAGGGAATAGATACTCCGGACCAGAACTCACTCCCCCCACTCTTCCATTTGTCTTGTCGCATTATGGAGCTTTCCCGCATTCTCCTCGCCATCGCCGTTTACCTTGGTAAGTTCTTGCATGCGACCAGTCGTTCATTCTAACTGTCACAGTCATCCGCCTCGTTCGCAGTCACTTCTCCAGCAACAACACCGGTTCCACCATGTCTCACGGAAAGGTTATCGAGGTTGACAAGTAGGTGTTGTGGTATCCCCTGCAGATCGTTCACTAACTGTCCAGCCCTGTCATCTTCAAGGCCCTCACCTCCTCCGGCCCCGTGGTCGTCGACTTCTTCGCCACCTGGTGCGGTCCCTGCAAGGCCGTCGCTCCCGTGGTCGGCAAGCTCAGCGAAACCTACACCAACGTGCGCTTCATCCAGGTCGACGTCGATAAGGTTCGGTCGGTGGCACAAGAACTGGAAGTCCGGGCGATGCCGACGTTTGTGCTGTTCAAGGATGGTCAGCTACAGGAGAAGCGCGTGGTGGGCGGAAACATGAAGGAGTTGGAGGCAGCCATCAAGGATATCACGGCGTGAGAGATTATGTGAGATGTCTGAGCGTGCAAGATTGAAGAAGCAATTAGTAGCAACATCATTTGACGGCCTCAACCGGGCCTGTTCTAGCCTGGCCAGACTCCAATTCTGACAAGGCTGCCACGGAGAACGCCGCCTCAGGCAACCGTCGGCGCCAGCTGAGCCAAATTCCCGACTGCCGCTTGTGTCACTGTAGATAGCAACACACTTTTCCATTGTCCGCCCGTGTGGCTCGGATCCATGCAGCGCCCGCGGTGATTGGAAGTGGGCCGCCCAGGCAGTGCGATCAACCTGTCCACCACCTGCAGGCGGCAAACCGTCTCACTGTGCGGGGATGACAGCTGTATCTCTGACTAGGAGGGGTACGCCTCTTATAGCTAGCTTGCCCACCGTTTGTCTACTACTTGATTCCTCACTCGAATAATTACATTCATCATGGCTATAGATTTCACGGTAAGCTTCATCTTACACCTAGCTCATCCTCGATACTGAATCTAACCGACAGACCTTCTACAATGTCATCGACAACGAATTGACGTCGACAGCGCAAACCCGTCATGGAATTAACCCGGCCACCGGGCAGCCCAACCCTCAGGTGCCTCTCACTCCGGACGAGGATATTGACCGTGCAGTGGCAGCAGCCGGTCGGGCGTTCCGCACATGGTCCCGGACCTCGTTTTACGAGCGCCGCGCTGCCATCCATGCCTTTGCCGATCTCATTGAGACACACACGGAACCATTCGCGGCCTTACTAACCCAGGAGCAAGGCAAGCCACTGAGCCAAGCAACAACCGAAGTATCCATGGCCCTGCAATGGGCGCGAGGGCTCAGCAATCTCACCCTTCCGGAGACTATCCTGGAGGAGACCGAGGATCTGCAGGTCATCCAGCGGTATACCCCAATCGGGGTCTGCGCCGCCATCGTACCCTGGAACTACCCCCTGCTATTAGCCGTCGGCAAGATCGTGCAGGCTGTCTACACGGGCAACACCGTCATTGTCAAGCCATCCCCATACACCCCGTACTGTGACCTCAAGCTTGCCGAACTCGCCACCCAATGCTTCCCTCCGGGCGTGGTGCAGGCGCTCAGCGGGGACGACGAGCTAGGCCCGGTGCTCACTGGACACCCCGACATCCAAAAGATCAGCTTCACGGGATCAGCAGCCACCGGCCAGCTGGTCATGGCGACTTGCGCCAGAACGCTGAAAAAGCTCACGTTGGAGCTAGGCGGGAATGACCCTGCGATTATCTGCGAAGACGTGGACATTGATGCCGTGGTTCCCAAGGTATTTCACCTCTTGTCTTTAGGACATCAGTTTAGGGCATCAGCTGACTCTGCAGGTGGCCGTTCTCTGCTTCCTCTGCTGCAGTCAAATCTGCATGATGATAAAACGTCTCTATGTGCATGAGAAGATCTATGACGAATTTCGCGACAAGCTTGTCCAGTTCGTCCAAGCCCTCAAAATGGGCGAAGGCACGGAACCCGACGTTTTCTTCGGACCCGTGCAAAACAGCATGCAGTTCAACAAAGCCAACAACTTTCTCAGGGACATTAAGAACAGCGGTCTAACTGCCATCTCCAGCCATGTCCCCAACCCATCCGGCTTCTTCATCCCGCCCACCATCGTCGATAACCCACCTGACAGCTCCCCGGTGGTGTGGCAGGAGCAGTTTGCCCCGATTCTGCCCATTCTCAAATGGTCGGATGAAGCGGACGTGCTGGCGCGCGCCAACGACTCGGTGTATGGACTAGCGGCATCGGTGTGGTCTCGCGATTTGCAACGCGCACGACGCATGGCCGACCAGCTGGAGGCGGGTTCGGTGTTTGTGAACACACACTTTGAATGTGCCCCATATGCGCCATTTGGGGGATACAAGCAAAGCGGCATGGGGACAGAACTAGGGGTGAATGGATTGATCGGATATTGCAATTCGCAGACGCTGTGGTTGCGAAAGGCCTAGCTAGCATACCTACCAGAAACCATTTCACTCATCTACACCCTAGCAAATCCTCCAACCACAACCCCTCTGTATCTACTCAACCGGCCACCTAGCACCCACCTTCCCCCCCAACCCCGCCCTCTCCACCACTTCGCGACTCCTCCTCTCCGCCTCCCTCACCACCTCCTCCACATCCATCGTCAACACCTCTCCCCCCTTCACCACCACTTTCCCATCCACCACCACCAAATCCACATCCCGTCCCGTAGCCGTATACACCACCGCACTAACAGGATTAAACCACGGCTGCATCGCCACTCCCCTGGCATCAATCGCCACGAAATCCGCCTTCTTCCCCACCTCCAAGCTCCCAATACAATGATCCAATCCCAACGCCTTGGCCCCGTTGATCGTAGCCATCTCCAACACCTCCTCCGCTGTCACAACCGTCGGATCCCCATTCACCCCCTTGTGGATGATCCCAGCTAGCTTCATCTCCTGCAACATATCGCAGGAATTGTTGCACGGGGCGCCATCCGTCCCAAGTCCGATGTTCACCCCGGCGCGCTGTAAATCGGGGACTCGACATGTACCGGACGCCAACTTGGCATTGGAGGTGGGACAATGCGCAACATGCGTCCCGGACTTGGCCACTTGCGCGATATCCCCATCATCCAAGTGAACCATATGTACCAGCACCGTCGACGGGGAGAGTAACCCTACACTATCACAGTACGACATGGGGGTGTGTCCGACAGAGGCAAAATAATCCCGATCTGCAGCTACCTCCGCACAATGCATGGTAATAGGAATACCATGTTTCTTAGACAAGGCGGTCATTTCTTTGTATAGATCGGACGATACCCTGTTTTGGTTTCATTCATTAGCCCTCCCTCCACCCACCAGAATCCAAGATAGAAAAGAAAGAATCGGATACATACCCCCCGGGCGTCCTCGCCCCAAACCAAACCCTAATCCGATCATCCGCCTTCCCATTCCACTTCTCCCACATTTTCAACGTACCCCCTAGGGAGGTTTCCCGATCCTCAATAAGTCCCGGATGCATCGCCCACGCATCATCCTTAGCGTATCGTCCCGTATCCATCACGATTTTGCCCAAACATCCCCGAATCCCACTCTCCTCGACTGCGCGACAGAGACCATCGAAGCCGTATCGATCGGCGAACTACATCCCATCATCATTATCAGCACATCCCCCCTCAACCCATTAAAATGAAAAAGAAAGGGAGAGGATAATACCATACTCTCCAAAAAACACGTCGTCCCACTCCCCAACATCTCCGCAATACTCAACCTCGCAGCCGCATATCCATCCTCTTCAGTAAAACACCCCTGTAACACCCAGATGCGTTCACAAAGCCAAGAAACTAATTCCAGGTCGTCAGCGCATCCGCGCAGTAGGGTTTGAGCTGTGTGCATGTGCGTGGAGATTAACCCCGGGATTAGGATTCGGCCGCTGAGATCGAGGATTTCCTCATTGGGGTATTTGGTGAGTAGGAGGGGGGTTTTGTCGATGTCGGTTATTAGGGATTTGTGGGTGCGGAGGGAGGCGTTGGTTAGGATGCGGCGGGTTGGGTCGAGGGTTAGGATTGTGGTGTTGGTGAAGAGCATTTTTATTTTCTTTTCTTTCTTTCTTTTTGGTTGGGTTTGGGGGGGATGGGCGGTGGTTTGAGGGGATTGAGAGGTGGGGGGTGGAAGTGAGGTATGTATATAGTATAGATAGTAGTAGTACTATGGTATGGTTTGGGTCGGTGGACGGAGACCTCCGATGGGGAGTGTGGGGGAGAAGATAGATAAGGTGGTGGGTGGTTATCGGGATGCGGGGGAAGGTAGGTATTAATTACTAAGAGGGGAGATATCTAGGTTTTGTTTACGCAGCATTTAGGGTATGGGTAGAAGTAGATAGAGGTTGGTTAAGCAGGCATTGGTCAATTATCTATCTATGCCAGTGGTAGAAGTAATCTACCGTAGGCAATGAGGACGCTATGTGAGTGTACCTCACACTTAAAAATATCTTACATATCAAATCTAGTCTCGCGATCAACTATTCTCAAAGAAAGGATGAGCGATTAAGTGACGATATTTGCTCGAATGGAGGAGCAAGTCATAAACAGAGTCTTGTGATAAGGGTCAAAATTGGGTCGAGAATCGATGATTACAGTGTCCAATTAGAGGACAGCATAGAACTGTGGGCACCACACTCAATAGTTAGCCATATCCAGATATCAGTTAAGAAGGCCTACAGAAAGGTTGACTTACAAGCAGAACACATGATACTAGCAACTGTTCGAAGATGTTTTGTTTGTTGAGCCACGCCAAAATTGTGCTAAAATTTATATAGTTTAAAGTGAGATATTTCCCCATCGTATTTCCAGATGCTCTATGTGGACCCACCTTGGTTAATTTACACCAAAAGCAACCGAGGGAGCTTGTAGTATGCGTAGTATGAGTAGGGAAACTTATAAGTATAGAGTCTGCTCTGTACTCTCAATAGGCATGCCTGTTCATAGTGAATGGATATTCCCTTCTCGTAATAGATTCATCAGATTAACTTAATGCTATACTGGCAAGATTAACAGAATTTTCTGTGGCGTGCTTATCGTCACTAACACAGGACAGTTTAGTAATTCCCTTTGCAAGAGTCTGATATATTGTTCCATTCCGAGACATGTGCATGTCTATAGATCTAGTTCTTCACTTCTACTCATCACTAAAACTACCAAAACTCAGCACACATATCAACTGCAATACAAACCTTCTTCCTCATACTAGTCCCCTTCCCACCCCCCAAAATGTTCCGCACTACCTCTCACCACTTCTCACACCTACACATAACCAGAACCCCCCCCTCCCTGCGGTTCATCCATCTAGTCCCAATCAAATTCATCACCAAAGACATCCAAAAAAAGTTGAACATCCAAAAAACAACAGCCTATATAGGCAAACCAGGAGAGGTCTTTATCCTAATCGACCCAGAACTCAGCAATGCTATCCATGCCGCTAGTCTCCTGTCTACTTCTACAATCACCGAAACCAAATGCAAACTTACCTTTTTTCACAAATCGCGGTACTTTGGATTCGGTGAGTAGAGAACAACAGAAGTTTGAGAACAGGTACTGATAGTCATAGAATCAACAGATTATCCCCGGCCTTAAATTCCAGATGAGCTTCTGCGGTCAACGGAATTAGACACGAGTCCTGCTACGTTGCGCCTAGAGGGAGAAATGCATGGGATTTACCTGGATGGAACTCCTAGTGGTAAAGGCTCTTTTCTTAGGCTTTTGTCTGAATGGTAAGGGGACTGATTTCCATGTTAGCTGCGTTTGCTGAGGTTGCGGCTGCTTCTGCACGACACCTGAAGCCTGTTCTTGATGCGTTGAAGGATTTGTGATATTGGAGTTAATGGGTCAGGGGTATGGTGGGTAGGGTGAGATGATTGGTTGAGTAGGATGTGCTGGATGTGTTATTATTTATTGCTTAAGGGTCTATTGTAGATATTGATGTTACTAAACTCATACTCAGCACAGTGTTGACACACGGTGGTTAGTTGCGATTGTGCATATGTATTTGAATGTGTTTGACTGATACGGATACATCTCGATCAAAACAGAGAGTAAGTAAGTGTCAAGGCCATTCATGATGGCAGCGTAGTCTCTCTGTTCCCTTTGCAGACTAAAAGAAAAAGTGGAATGTAACAACAATGGAAATGACAGGCATACTACAAAGCTCTGGTCAACGGCAAAGATCCACGGCTTTCATCGTGTGAAAAAAAGTACTTGATGATGTCTCTCTAGTACTAGATTTCTGACAGCTTATAGCTCAGAAATTCTGGAGTATACTCTTTCAGCGGTGATGCAATGGACTTCAATAGACACCCTGTCGCTCAAATGTCCATTCGTTTCTGGCAATGAAGAAAAGAGAGAGTAGAGGATTCCTATTGATCCACCTCACTTCACGATGAGTATTCTGTAATGCAACAGTGAGGCTGAGGAACAACCATCCCAAGCCATTTGTGAGTTACAAAACATACCAGACGAGAAGACGTAGCCTCCTTACAATCAGTCCATGTATCCCACACATCACATGAATCCTCATCTTCATCCTTCACACACCTTCCCATGCGTCTCCTTCACCTCCCCCATCCGTTCCACCAACGACTCCAACCACTTTCTCAACGAAGTCCTCTCCTCCCTCCTCTCAATCCCCAGTTCCGGTAACGGCAACCGAAACGGCCCCTTAGCAATCACCACCAGATCACACCGTTTCAACTGCCTCCTAGCGACCTCCTTCCCACACTCCAAATGCCCCCGCGAACCTCTTCCCCGCCCAGGCGGCCTGCACACGCAATCCGTCCAAAAAACAGGACAATCTATCGCCGGCAACAAAAACCCGTCCGACACTGGCCCTTCCAGATCCTTCATCCGAATGAATTTCCCCCCCGGCTGGAAGACCGTCTCGGTGAAAGCCACTCTTTGAGTCCCGTTGTGATGAGTTTCAACGACACCGACTCGCAGAGCGGGGGGCTGTTGGAGGAGCATTTCTCGCCAGCTGGCCTCAGGGCGGCAGAAGGTGTAGCCTCGATCAGATTGGATTTGTGAGTAGGTTTGGCATTTCGGCGGTTGTGGTAGGGGGTGTTGTTTTCGGAGGAAGTATTTGAGGAGGGGTTTGGTGAGGAAAGGGTTGAGAGTGCGGTTTGTGAGCGGGGTTAAGGGGACAGTGGACGGTTTGAAGAAGAGGGCGATTTGGCAGCGCGTGGACTTTTTGATAAGGGCGTGCCAAAAGGTGCAGACTCTCTGGGAGAGCAGGAGAGTGGTAGCGTCGAGATGGAGGAGGATTTCTTCGAGGATTTCGAACAGAAAGAGGATGTGATGGGGTTGTTTCATTTTGCTTGAGGGGTGGGGATGTTGTTCTGTCGATTATGCGGGGTTGGGCGTTATAAGTTGGGGGGAGCGGCTGTGCTCATGACGGTGTCATCAGGATGATAGTCGATTGCCGTAGGACGGAGAAGTATGTTTTGCATTCTCGTGGTGACTGCTCTGTCAAAGTCTGGCTAGAAAGTCAGTAGCCGAGATGATAAAGGTGAGGAAGTGAGAAGAACACTTGCAGGGGCGCCATCAGACGTTGCCTGTCATGCATCAGGGGAATTGTGTAGCTGCTTGGCAATGCAACATTAACTGGATCCAGTGACAACACTGGAAATTGGATGGCTTGTTCCGTCCCTTTATCATTAGGTTATTGTGATAGGGCGATGGAAATAGACAGGAATTCATTGGTCAAGGCGGCCACCAGCCTCTGGGCCCAGAAGAGTTGGCTGCAGCCACATCTCTCACTTCTGGGAGACTCGGGATCACCTGACATACTATGAAACTGTCTACAGTCGCGCTGGTTGGAGCCCGTCCAGGCCATACTCCGCTGCCAGCGCATCTCCACACGTCACCCCCGTCACATACGCCGTCGCCTGCGTGTGGTTGTTGGTCAACACTGGCACCACGCTCATGTCGGCCACCCGCAGATTCCCAATGCCAAACACCCGGAACCGATTGTCCACGACTGCATCAACATCCCCTGCCTTCCCCATCTTGGCCGTCCCGGTCATATGCCAGCTCGATCCCAGCGTGTTCTTCCAGAACTCCAAGATATCCTCGTCGGACTCAGATGGTGGGGCAATCAAGGTCGACACGGTGTCTTTCTGGAATGATTCATGCTTCGTCACCTCGAGCGCATGGCGATAGATCTCGATGCACGCCCGCCGGTCAAATGGATGGGACAGAAACTTCGGGTCAAACAACAGAGGATCTTCAGGGTTAGCCGACTGCAGCCGCACTTCGCCGCTCGACTGCTCGTTCATCAGGAACACCAGCATACAGATGTAGCTGTAGTCCTGGGTAGCCTCGGGCGAAATGAGGTGCAGGGGAAAGTGCGTCATAAACTCGTAATGCGGCACCGTGTCACGCTGCAGAAACTCCTGCACCGTAGAAGGCAGCGCTTTGAACTCGGCAGACTCGACCAAACGGTCCGACTTGAGCCAGCCGGCGGCGATTTGGCACGAGTGCCGAGCCCACGGCCCGGTGCCATCTTTGCTCCATTGCTCCAGAGCTGATGCCATGGCCGCCTGGTCGCCAAAGAAAGCATTGCGATCGTTCGTCGTCGGGTTACGTTGGAAGCACAGCGGGGCGAAGAAGTGGTCCCGAAGACCCTGTCCAACTGCAGGAACGTCTTTGACGATGGGAATCTGGAATTTTCGCAGCTGTTCTGCCGGTCCAATCCCGGAGTGCATGAGGATCTTGGGCGTATCCAGCGACCCGGGTGTCAAGATCACTTCTTTGGATGCAAGGTCTGCAGCACTGGTTAGCCTTGTTATTGGGGCATGTATAACTGCTTACATGTTTTCTCCTTGGTAACCACACCAACAGCCTTGGTGCCTTGAAGTAGCACCTTCAGCACCGGCGCCTCTGTGATGACAGTCAGATTCGACGGCGCACCCTTCAAGAGGTCAGTCGCGGTCACCCTTTGGCCTTGATGAGACGAGTTAATAACCAAGGCCATGCCAATGGGGTCACCCGAGTTGTGATCAGGGTTCCGTGCAAGGCCAGCCTGCTCAAACACATCCATCATGAGAGGGAGATCCTGCTCCCATTCAGCAGCGTAGCCGACCTTCAGTCCGCCTTGGGACCCGTGGTCGGAGGCCTTCGGGGTCGCATACTTAGTGTGCGTCGGGTCAACAATAGCACCGTCAAACGTCTCCAACCCCCTGAACCGAGCCTTCATGCGTTCCCAGCAATACAAGTCATCTCCAACAAGAGCTGCCCACTCGTTATAGTCGTCTCGCGCACCAACAGTGTAGACACCAAAGTTGATAGCACTGCTGCCACCCAGCACCTTTCCCCGAGAGTAGTCGATCTGCCGGTCATTGCAATGTTCTTGTGGCGTGGTTTTGTATCCCCAGTTCAGGTCTCCATTCATAAAGGTCTGCCACCGTTGACCATCCACGCGCAGTGACGGATCATCGTTGCGAGGGCCAGCTTCCAGCAGCAGAACTCGAGGGTGTCTTGCCGATCGTGCGAGCCTTGACGCAAGGGCGCAGCCCGCTGGGCCACCTATATTGCCATCAGTGAGCGGTCCATGATCAGATTGTCAGGGGTCCACACTGACCACCTACAACGATGAAATCCCACGTCTGGTCGATTGAAGACATGGTGAACTGGGGGTCTCACGATGAGAGAAGAACCGAATCCCAAACAGCAGACTTCCACCTTAAATGGTTGGCAGGAGCTTGGCGGGTGGACCTCCCATACCACCCGCTAGGATCGACAGTGAGACGGCCATGACTGTGAGAGCCAGAGATGGATCCCGCACGCCCGCAATGGATCCATCCCTGGCCCGACCTAACACGAAAAAGAGGCGTTTTCGGCGGTCACCTGCCGTGTCTGGGTCGCATCAGCCGTCGGTACGCATTTTGGGATGTGTCCGGCCCACTGATGGAAAGCTAAGTGAGTTGGAGTTCACTAGATCGTTGAAGTGGTCCACTGCGTGGAGTCGGAGCGAAGATCTTTCCTCATGATTTCCAGAAGGCAGGGCGTTGTGCTCTCGGTTGCCTCCGCCAGCAACCCCTCATCCATAGTCAAGCAACCTAAGATATTACACAGCCGAGGCCTTTGGCACCGGCCTCAGCTCGACAGGGATCCTCTCCCGATCGGCCTGTCCAGACAGGCCCCTTGCACCAATCACCGATCGATTTCTTGGCGCTGGGGCGGGATGAAGGGTCGAAGTGGGGGGATGACAACGCTCGGGGCACGCGAGAACTGCGATGGGGAAGGCCGTGAAGAACTGCAGAGATGCGAGGTCAGAAATCATCCGAAACGGATTGCAGGAGTTGCAGATGCTTATTCCCCACCAACCTCAATCCTCCAGTCCACAATGCCATTTTCGAAGGTATCCCACATCGATGGCTCGCAGAATCCTCCTCTGCGAGAGTGATGACATATTCAGATGTCGGGATAATGTTCTCGTCATCGAATGCGAAGGCCACGAGCTCGTTGTCCAGCGCGACGATCAAAGGCAGATTGTGCGACATCACCAGTCGAAGACACGTTGTCCGTCGGGATGGGATTCAAGTGAGGATAAATAGCCCATCAGAGGAGCTGCAGGGCCTTGGTTCGATGGCAGTTCGGAGTCCGGAGAAAAAGATGAATGGCTGGGGTGGTTGCAGGAGCACCGAGTTGCCAATCGGGCCGCCAAAGACACTCGCCACACGCAATTCCACATGCTCCAATGTATACTGTTACTTCTATTTTAAGTGACCGAAGGACTAGACCCGACTGTGGCTTTTGCGATATCAAGTCTACGTACACCGGTAGAACATATAGATATGAACTAGCATTCAGTATTTTACTTGGATTACCGTCCCAGAGATATATGGTCCATTTCGAACGAGCTGTCTCTTACTGTTCTATATCCCCGAGTAAGGCATTAAAGTCTGCGTGAATCCCTCTGTACCACCGTCCACTATGCCGAAGTCGGCGGGCTCACTCGTCTTCACGTAATTCCCCACCAGCTACTAGTCAAGGCCAGTAGGTGTCACAGTCCTCTTACCATCCCTGATCGACCTGCTATGGTTTTGCCGACGGCAAGAGCAGCCCCCCTGAACACACCGGTGCCCCGCGAATGCTTCACGTATCGAAAGGTGTGGTTGCTAGCTACCTCTGCGCAATATCACTCGGCTCCATCAATCGCGGATCAACCATGCTGGAAACTGCGATCATGATCTTGGAGTACGGCCCTTGTCAGTGGTAGCGTAAATGTCGGTGCCAACCGAGCAAGGCTTCCTGGCCCTTGGAACAGGACTGGACAGCCCTGAATGACTCCATCAACGGTCATTTAGTTCCAATCCGCCCGATCGGCTTCTTCCATGACCCTTCTATGACCGTCCTGCAACGAGCTCGGTCGCCTGCAATACGACTCCCAACTGGCGCGCATCGCAGCCAGGCATAAAGAAAGTCAAGAACATCGCCTGCATTAATCAGCCCTTATTAACCAGGATCACGAGCAAATCCAGAACCACTGCCAAGCTTCAACTGGGAGAATTGGTCCCAAGAGCACGAAGGCTGCATCATCCAGACCAATCCAAACTCGGCTTGCGATCAGGGGCACATACCATGGTACTCTGCAGTGGTCCATTCGGTGGAAGAAACCCAGGAAGCAGTCAGTTTGCCAAGCGAAGGAATATCCGGTTGCTCATTAATAATACAGGTCATGGCGCTAGTTCCATGCTCTCCAGATTCAGACAAATCGCCTCACGGCGACTTTGTTGCCTTTTGGGGGAACTCTAGATTGGACACCCTACCACAGCTAGGGCCCAAGTTGTCATGATAGGGGCTGGAATCATGGTAGGTGAGCCTTATGCCGCGGCGGCCTCTCAGGACTATATTGTTGTAGCAGGAGAATATACCACGGTGGGACCTCCAGCGAGGAGTGTCAACTGTGCTTGGTCCGCTTGGCAGCAGACCATGAACTAGAAATAGAGGTGATAATTGCACAGGTATGCCAGCCGCCAGAGGCTTTCATAGCGCTGATACAACTAGAGACGTGATCATTACGAATGAGTACCAACACCAGCTTCTGTTCTGGGCCCTCGAGAGAGGTGGAGGCACCTACGGCATTGTCACCCGAGCCACAATGCGAGTATTCCCGGATATGCCATCGTTATATCGACCCTATATTACACATCCACGCAGACAGATGATAAGACGGTAACACAGGTCTTGGAACTGACTCGCTTGGTGTCTGTCAATTGGAATTCCAGGCAGTACATAGTAGGTCGCCTGTCGAACTTTCACTGGTTATAACTGGACCATGTTTGTTCTGTGTTAGGCCAATTCGAGATGACGCGATAGCCAAGCTGCGCCATTGTTAAGCCTTTCCCATTTGTTTGAAGTCCAATACCAATATCTCTCTACCAAGTAAATCAAATTAGCACCTTCCTGGAAAACCCCAAACAGGTAGACATTGGCAGACTTGGATACCTGCATAGCCAGTAAAGTGGTGGACAACAGCAGCTCTTCAACCCTGGTGACATCCCTCTCAGGGCTCAATCTGGACCCGGTTCGCTCGTCACGGTCATTGTGCTTGGCGGAAGGGTCAACATTAACGCCAGCGGCGTGTACTCCTCGGTAAATTCCCACTGGCGGTCATCTGCCTTCCTTGAGTGCTGATGCAACCCACGTCCCAAGCACGAGCTGCTGCACTTGACAAGCTTACCCGAAACAATACGCTGGTTCTGGCATCGACCCAGGAAGTACCGGGGTCTAATTCAACGGAGCACGACCACCGCCAGACCGCTGTTTGGGGTCACCAGTATGAGCGGCTACGTCGCATCAAGAATCAGTTGGATATGGAAAGGGTATTCATGGTCCGGAATGGCGCCGGCAGCGAAAATTGGGATGTGGAGAGTCTGTGCCGGAAAACACGACGGCACGGTCCTCAACGCCAAACTATCGGGCAGATGCCTTGCCACCGTAGGCTGGTGGTTTCATCCGAGACGAAGGATAGCAATGTCTAAAGTATTTCAGAGGATACCGGATGTTAGCAATTGGTTTGAGCGTTGTAATTCCGCAACTCTAGTCTCCTTCTGAAAGCGGAAGTGTTTTTGAGTCGAATATCCCAAAACAGTCCGTACAGAGGGAAAAGACAGTGACCCAAAGACGCTTAGTGCATGGGTTAAGGTTAAAAGTGCGTTAATCCGCTGTTGGTACCACTGGAAGGGACTTTGGGGGGCAAGAAAGAGGCTTTCTGGAAGGGGGTAAAGTTGGAGGTCGGGTGCGAAGAACGTATACTTTGGGACGGAGTACTTTTGGGATTGGTTTCGGACGAGAGGGGGTTCATGTGACCATGAATGGGCTCAGCCCCGTGCACCAGCCACAGCCAATGCTGGACTTCCCCGCCAAGACTTGCCGAGTTCGTCTTGTACCGGCAGTCCTGGTCCCGGCTAGACCCCACCGGGTCTAGTGCCGCCCGGCGAGCCAAGCAGAGCGCGCGCAGAAAGCCAGAACCCGAGCCGGTTGGTTTCAACCCCAGACTTTCCTCTCCCTCTGCCTCTCTTCCTCCCTCTCTCGTTTGCCTCCCCGCTCCTTTTCCTCTTCCAACGTCTTCATCTTCGTTCCACGCCGGTCGAGTGCGTCCCCTTATCCCTCTCCCTCTTCACTCTCTCCCCTCTCGTTTCTTTTCCTGGCTCTCGTTTCGCTTTCTTCTCTCGGCAGCCTCCAACTATACTTTAAATAGACCTTCAGTGGCGCCATCCATAAACCTTCCGACCCTCTCTCCCCTATCGCGCTACAGGGTCCCCTCCCTTCGGTCGGTACGAACGGTACGAACGTCCACCCTGATCGCCACCGGTGGCTCTCTTACCACTAGCGCCTTACCCTCGCTGCAGAAATAGAACGTCGGCGCTGGCTTGCGCTCCATGGCTGATCTCTGAAGACGGAAGCCGCGCGATAACTCAAGGAGCCTCGTCTGGACCTACCTAGGCGTTAGGGACCCCTTGCGATCGATTTGCCAGTCCTCTATCGGGTTTGCGAACATAAGGATGCAAAATAAAGCGTGGTTTGGTTTCAAGTCTCCCGTTCTGTCTCGTCATTCGATTGCCAGGAATCATGACTCGATTCACCGGATTTTAAGACCAACTTGACATGGCGCTCCGCTCTCCATCCTCGTTGCAATTGGATTCTACACCCGATCTCCTGCCCATACTCTCTGACTTGCAAAGTCTGGGAGGGTAGGGCCTGCTCTCTCAATAACTCAACGGCACACGCACTGCTTAGCATGTGGGACTCTCTCTCCAGTCCACCCGAGGGCCTCATTGGAGGCTATCAGGGGGGCAGCATCGTGATCAAGATTCTCATGGCAGTTTTCAGTGCAATCGCGCTCTACAATGCTGTCGAACTTGTTATCCTCATTTTTCTCACCTTCACTCGCTATAGTGGTTTGTATTTCTGGACCATGCTGCTCTCCGACGTGTTTGGCGTCATCCCTCATGCCGTCGGCTATCTGCTCGAGTTCTTCGCCATTGGACCGCTCTGGTTTGCGGTCACCTTTTCCACCATCGGCTTCTATTTCATGGTCCCCGGCCAATCCATCGTCCTCTATTCCCGACTCCACTTGGTTGTCCAGAGCCAAACGCTGCTCCGCCGGATTCTCTACCTGATCATCTTTGACACCATCATCTTGTTGATTCCCACCACTATTCTCACCTATTCGACCATTTACATCGGCACCATTCCGATCATCAAGGGATACAATGTGATGGAGCGGATGCAGCTGGCTTGGTTTTGCGCGCAGGAGATCCTGATTTCGATCATCTACATCTTCGAGACCCTCAAAATTCTTCGTCTGCGGCCGGAAAAGGACCCAGAGCGGCATAAGACAATGTATGAATTGATCGCCATTAATTTGGTAATCATCCTTATGGACATTGCACTCCTGGTTCTCGAGTACGTCGGTCTGTACACGCTCCAGACCACCCTTAAGGCCGCTGTCTACAGTATCAAGCTCAAACTCGAGTTTGGTGTCCTGAGAAAGCTGGTCTCGCTCGTCCATACTCGCCACTCGGATTCAAGTTCCTCGGATCAGGAAGATTTCCCAACTTTTGTCGATCCTGACCAGATCACTGGGGATGTGACACATGCTGCCCCTGCCAACAGTCGAAGACAGTCGCGGTACCCGTGGACAGCAATCTCCATGGACAGTCTGGTCTTACCCGAACGAAGAAGTCAACACGTCACTTCGTCAGAAATACCCCGATCTCCATTATAGCAACCCTACCCGCGCAGTCAGCCTGCTACATCCATTCCAAGAATGAGGCCTAACTTATCTCCCATGCCGCCATTGCGGTCGACTTGTCCCACGACCTCCGTCCTCTCCATGGACCTCCCGGTCGCTTATCTGGCCAGCATATAATCTCTGTTGTTTCTCGACCGTCACTCGGTTTCGAATTTCTGCGATCGTGTATATAAGCATCTTTAGATCTCTCTGTAGTATCATTGTACATAAATGTGTGGTTGTATATATTTCTTCTAAAACGGTCTTTCTTGGGGGCGGGATGCGAAGAAGGCGACCATGATATAGGTGACGTAGACAAGATAGTGTAGTCATTGGTATAGTAGTAGGTTACTATGGGGAAGTGGCAGCGACCGAGTGGCCCCGGTGGGTCGGGACGAGCCCGATGGCCATCTCGGAAATATCGTCACCAGTCACCAGTGACCAGCTGCATGGGCCGGAATGGGGCCTTATCTAATAATTTGGATCCGTGCATGAGACAGGTGCGGTGACTCGGCAAGCGAGTGGACATCCAGTGGACCAGTCCTGGCTCCTCGGGGAGAAGAGGAGCCCTTAATGAGGTCTCATATAGCCTAGTAGTCTCGGGAGTCGGGGGCGGCGTCCAGGGCGGCCCAACTATAGAGAAGCTACATAATAGACCTGCCCGCATCTTGTTTCTTGCAGATTTCAAGGCAGAACTAGCGATCAATCCACGAATCATGCAGGATGATGACCAGGCTAGTAGCCTAGGACTAGGAGACAGGGCAGATCGTTCGATCGTATCCGGAAGGGCCACGGAGTTAACCTTACATGCATCCTGGTCATCCCTGGCGGAACGAATAGAGATGCGCGACCCAGTACCTGATTCCTGGGGATCCCAGTACTACTAGTCATGGATGTGGTAACTGATTACTGGTACGTGGCCCTACCGGTACCATTTGATAACCTGCGACTGGAAGGTTCATCATAACCATTCGCATTATACGGCAGATTCTGGCAGGGAGTTGGTGACTAACGGGCCCCTACCCCGGCAGAAACCCATGATGTCATCATCATGGCCAGCGGAACACTAACTTTCACTCCGTCAGTACTTCAGAACCTTTTCGCTCGCTACTCTTATATATCCCTACAACTGTGATAGTATATACAATTGACGGTCTAAGGAATTATCCGGCGGCCCAGCAAAGAAGACCGGGGTTTTGAATCATGTCGGCCTGGGAAAGGAAAGGTAGTATTGCCTGCACCGGCCTAGTCGGGGCCTTTGCAGTGGAGTCTCGATACGACCTAGGCGGAATAACGGTAGACAGGCGGAAATCCGACCCCTGATTGGCAGGAACCAGGTCCGATCGCTGGGGATGGCGTATGGTAAATTACCAGCGACCACTCGGGCGGGATGGCCGGTGGGGGGCCTTGGGGCCTGATGATTGGGCGGTGCCAAGTTTTGCCCACCCGCGACCGCTGACTTACCCGCACCATCTGGCCGTCAACCCATGGGGACGGAGCACCGACCTCATGAGACTGAATCTTTTTCCTCTGCCCTCTGACTGCACCGCCGCTGCTGTCGTCGCTGGAACGGGCGCCCAGGGGTGTTTAGATTCCCGATCGCTTGTCTCTCCTTGGCTTGGTAACTATCCGCCCTCCTTTCCTGGCCATTGATCCACGAACTATATCACCATCGTTGTCGCTATATCGCTGCCCGGTCACCATCCCACCTTCACCCCTCACCGGTAAGTATCAATCTCCCTCTCGCTGCCACCGGTATGTGTCGGGCTGCCCAGCCCTTCCGTTAGGTCTCCTTGCCCACTGGCTCCCGCATTCCAGGTCACCGCTAATCAATTCCTCGCTATACTCCAGAGACCTCCCCATATTACCCGTTTCTCCGTATCCCGCGCCACATTCCCGGGTTGAATATTTTCGTGCGGTCGGTTCTATCTATCGAGCGGTCTTTCTCGAGCGCCACCTCGGCCGAATCGAACAACTGGTACTTTTCTTCTCTATAGTCAACCGGGAAGAATTGTCCTCGCATCGTTGATGTTACCGTGCCGTTACCACGCCTCAATGCGCCCTTAACCATCCGTCAAGAGAACCCAATCTCCTACAGGACCACCGCCCCCTTGTCCTAAAATGGATTCGAACAATGCCCCCGCCTCCTTGACGGGCCGGGGCAGCGATGATGACAATCCGCCCGCCGCTGTTTCGGAGGCACCGAACGAAGAAACCCCGCTTACGCCCCAAGAACACATCGTGCACAGAGAGGGTGCGACTGTGGGCGGTACAGATCGAGTGTACCCTATTCGATCGATCATTTCATTCAACCCTCCTCCCACGGCTGTGATCCAACCCAACGCCACGGCCGAGATACGTTCGCCTCGGAGCGGTGCTCGCTCATATTCGATCATTGATGCAGAGACCTGGGATCAACTTAATTCACAGCCCAGCACTTCCCCGCAGACCGATGCCTCTCTCAGCCAACCCAATAACAGTCCTGACCCAACTGGACCGCTCTCGCAGCAGTCGCCTGAGGTCTACACACCTGGCTCGAATTCAGTAGATCGAGGTCTCGTCAAGGACGCAAATCCTGGACCGGAAAAATTAGGACTAGTAGATGGTGATGTGGGCCTCGTTACTGCGCGATTCCAGCATGTGGTTACAGAGGGTGGCCATGCTGTCATAACTGGCAAAACCCCCGATTCTTTTCGCGCCTGTGAAGATGAACCGATTCACATCCCAGGCGCAGTACAGACCTTTGGTGTCATGGTAGTTCTGCGCGAACAGCCTGAAGATGCACTGACAGTTCATGTGGCCAGTGAGAATTCAGAGGCCATTCTGGGTCACTCTCCAAGTAGCCTTTTTGCGCTAGAGAGCTTCTCGGACATACTGCAGGAGGACCAAACCGACATCCTTCTGGACCATATTGATTTCATCCGCGACGAAGCATATGATCCTGCCGCGGACGGTCCGGAGGTTTTCATCCTGGCTGTCAATGATCGATTTGGGCGGCCTCGGCGGTTTTGGTGTGCTATTCACGTTAATATAGCCCACCGAGATGTGATCATCTGCGAGTTCGAATTGGAGGATGACCGCATCAATCCTCTGAACGCTGCTGGACGCACAACACCCACTTCGCCCACGGATACTTTGGGTTTTCAGCCGACGCCAGACCAGCTAGCAAGTAGCACTGTTAATATAAGCCAGCCCCTACGAGTGCTGCGAAATGCGCGCAGAAGAAGGGGCGAAGCGGCTGCTATGGAGGTGTTCAGCATTGTTAGCCAGATCCAGGATCAGCTTGGTGATGCCCAAAACCTCGATACATTGCTTAACATCACCATTGGAATAGTTAAGGAATTGACCGGATTTCACCGCGTGATGATCTATCAGTTCGACACCGAGGCCAATGGAACCGTGGTGGCCGAGTTAGTCGACATGAGAACAACCAAGGACCTGTACAAAGGATTGCACTTCCCATCGACGGATATTCCGAAGCAAGCCCGCGACCTGTATCGGCTCAATAAAGTTCGTATCCTCTACGACCGTGAACAAATGAGCTCCCGGCTGGTTTGTCGCAGCATAGATGATCTCAAGACGCCGCTGGATATGACACATGCCTACTTGCGTGCGATGTCCCCGATTCACATCAAGTATTTAGCCAACATGGGAGTTCGTTCCTCCATGTCAATCAGCATCAACAACACTCATGATCTCTGGGGTTTGATTTCATGCCACACCCATGGGGACTCGGTAATGAGAGTGCCTTTCCCAATCCGTAAGATGTGTCGGTTGATCGGCGACACGCTCTCGCGAAATATCGAGCGTCTCTCTTACGCGTCGCGCCTTCAGGCACGCAAGCTCATCAACACCATCCCGACTGATGCCAACCCGTCGGGATACATAATTGCTTCATCAGATGACCTGCTAAAGCTATTTGATGCAGACTACGGCGCACTGTCGATCCGAGGGGAGACCAAAATTCTCGGTAAATCTACCGAGTCACAGGAGATGCTGGCCTTGCTGGAATTTCTCAAGATGCGTCAGCTCAATTCCGTGGTTGCATCACATCATGTGAAGAAGGACTTTCCGGATCTGCACTACCCTCCTGGATTCAAGGAAATCTCGGGGATGCTCTACGTGCCTCTCTCTGCAGATGGCAAGGATTTCATCGTTTTCTTCCGGCGAGGCGAGCTGACCGAGATCAAATGGGGTGGCAATCCATATGACAAGACCATACGAGATAACCACCTCGAGCCCCGTGCAAGTTTCCAGGCCTGGACGGAGACGGTTATTGACCGGGCTCGCGAATGGACCGAGTCGGAAGTGGAAACTGCTGCCGTCTTATGCTTGGTGTATGGCAAATTCATCAAAGTGTGGCGACAGCAGGAGGCTGCGTTGGAAGGTTCGCAATTGACGAAGCTTCTTCTGGCCAACTCCGCCCATGAAGTCCGAACCCCTTTGAATGCCATCGTCAATTATCTGGAGATCGCCCTGGAGGGGGCCCTTGACACTGAAACTCGCGACAATCTTACCAAGTCCTACTCGGCGTCCAAGTCCCTGATCTACGTCATCAATGACCTGCTGGATTTGACCAATACTGAAAAGGGACACAATCTCATCAAAGACGAGCCCTTCGACTTGCCGTTGTGCTTCAAGGAAGCGACCAGTATGTTCGACGGCGAGGCACGACGTAAGGGGATTGACTATATCGTCCGCGCTCACCCGGGAATTCCAAAAACCGTGGTCGGTGATGAACGGCGCGTTCGGCAGGCAGTCAGTAACCTGATTTCGAATGCTGTTCAACATACGTCTACGGGCGGTGTCACGGTGGACATGTGGCGGGCCCCTGGCAATGCGGAGCCCGGGGTTGCAAATATCCACATGACCGTTCTCGATACGGGCACGGGAATGTCCCCCGCTATGCTGGAAACCCTGTTTCAGGAACTGGAGCAGGTTTCCTCGGAGGACGACAGCTACTTCTTCGACCGAGATGCGAATGGCGCTTTGCAGGATAGTGCGGATGGACGCGAGAGAGGCGTTCTAGGCTTGGGACTCGCTCTGGTCTCCCGGATGGTGCGCAATACTCACGGTCAGCTCACCGTGCGGTCCGAGGAGGGCAAGGGCAGCCGCTTCCAGATATCGCTCCAGTTCGCTACTCCAGATGATGTCCCTGCCGATGCACCTGAAGGCCCAAGCACTCCGATCCAGGCTGATGATTCTATTCCGTTCGAGGCAAAGGAAGAGTTCGTTCTAGTCGATAATAGTTCCCCTGCTCCAAGTGAGGGATGGCGACGGAGTGGCAGCCATCGCGATGAGACTAATCAGTCCGACGGTGAGGTTGATGCTGCCGTTATGCCAGGCGCTTCCGTCGATCGCGCTATAGACGAAGCTGCTGGTCTGCTTCCATCTTCTGACCTTCGCAAAGTTGTGACCTTGCCCTCAACTCCCAAACCATCAGAGATTGGCGCGCAAGAGAAGCTTTTGACATCCGGTCAACCTCCACCCCCCGAAACCGGCCTTGCAGAGCCCACTAGAACAAGCGCTCCCCCTCCGGACCCGGACCCTAGCACTCCGCCTGGCAAGTACAGTGTTCTTGTTGCCGAGGATGACCCTATCAATGGCAAGATCTTACAAAAGAGGCTTGGCAAATCAGGTCACACTGTTCATCTAACTGTCAACGGTGAAGAATGCGCGGCTTCCTACCGCGCCGATTCCACGCGGTTTGATGTCGTGTTGATGGACATCCAGGTAAGATTCCTACCTAGGAAGTGCTAGGAGTGTGCTAATACGAGTCAGATGCCGATCGTGGATGGGATCAACTCGACTAAGATGATCCGCCAGTTTGAAGCCACATTGCCAGACAACACAGCGCTCTCGCCGGTCGCGAAGTTGAACAATCGAATCCCCATATTTGCAGTTTCAGCCTCACTCTTGGAGAAAGACATGTCGTTATACGTTGATGCCGGCTTCGACGGATGGATCATGAAGCCTATTAACTTCAACCGTCTGAATGTGCTCTTCGACGGCCTCCAACATGAAGGTACTAGAAACAACGCCACCTATCATCCTGGCTATGACTGGGAACAGGGCGGCTGGTTCATGCCCACTCCCGGAGACGAGAAGTAGTACACGCCTTTTGCGCTCTTACCTAGTACCGACCTACAAAAGCTCGACGTGAGGCAATCATGCCTTTTATCCTTTATTGACATTTCCACCCCATGCTTCTTGCATTCGACTTGCAAAAGCGATCCAGCAAATTCCACGGCAGCCATGATGACGAAAAAAACGAGTGATTGACAGTATATGCGATTGTTTTCACCAATTGGGCCCTCGTCTTCCACATTTTGAATTTCTGTTCCATGTATACCCCATTAGTTGACTTGTCACGGCTCTTACATCTTTTGTGTTCACCTCATGGGATCTGAGCCTGCTCATCTATCATGGTTTGATTTGTGCATGTTATGTCTAATGGTCAATGAGCACACGTACAGCCAGATAGCAAACATGATCTGTTTTTATTCATCCTATCTATTCATCATATGTACTTGGATCTTATTTCCTTTGATTATATTCTGGCACCATATCCCTATGCATGGTACTGGTCTGCACAGTACCTACCCATCACATCATCTCCCGACTTCTGAAACTGCATCATGAAGCAACTACCACCTACCTACCTACCTACCTACCGAATTTTCTATCTCTCTACACCCCCGGGTACTTTTATTCCAGACCAGGCCTTTCTATCCCCTAACACAGAATGTACCGTCCCAAACAACAAACCCTCATACCTATCACCCTACCAATCCTCTCTCCACGAACCAAGTTGGTTATGAGAATATGTATATACACATATCATATCTACGAGACATACCTCTCACACTATACAATCCATCCTGGATAAATATAACCACTAACCATATGAGAACCCTTCTCGATCCCATTGCATTTGAATTCAATTCTTACAATTTAGATTCCTCCATTGGAAATATTATCTGGTGAAGTAGTAAGTACAGTTCCATTTAATTGAACTATCATAAGCACGATAGTAGTAAGTACTATGTGAGTGAGCGGGTGGATTCAAATCAGACTTGAAAACTAGTATATAACTGCTCCTTCTGTGTTGACATACAAATACAAGGACTACCGACCCAGCTAGCACCTAGCTACTATGGGTTTTTTTTTAGTACTAATCGACTTGGTAAGAGTCGTGAGACTTTCCTTTCCTTTGTCCTCTCGGCATTTGGTGCACCATTTTGGTTGAGGTGGGGGGTGGGGGTACATCATGATCTCGTTTTCTCTCACCATATGCGATATCCTTTTATTCTTTCCTTTTTTTTGGTTGTTGTTCAGTTTTTATTCTTGGGGGGGTTAGAATGATACTATAGCTTTTTTTATTCAAAGTCCAAGATATGTACTAGGTGGGTTGGGTTGGGGAAAGGGGCTGGGTTTACTCTACATGGGTAGATATAGGTTGTGACTTTAAGGTGTTTTATGTAATCTAACGAAAAGTGAGTGAATGTGTTGGTATATGATGGATAGATGGATTTGATTGGGGAGGTAACCGAGACTATATATCGATATGAATACTGTGTAACGGGGTATGGGCATGAGTGTGGGCTTGGATATGGATGGGTATGGATGGGTATGGGGTGTCAGGTCATGGGGGATATGAAAAGTGGAACTAGGTGTGGTTTGTCACAGGGTAGTATATAAAGGGGAAAATGTATGAGATAGGAGAGATGGGATAGGAGAGTAATAGTAGAGGGGAGAGCGAAAGGAGTCATCTAGGAAGAAGATGACTCCCCTGAATGAGTCCCAGCCTCCAAATCTGGTAGCTCGCGAACCAAGTGCTCTGCGGAGTGGATTTGGGGTGGTGTGGGAAGCTCGGCACACTCCGATCCGTCGATGGATGGGAGATCGCGTGTGTGGGTACGGTGGTGATTGTACCCCGGGCTCTGCTGCTGATCGCTGCTGCGGCTGCGTTTGGTTTCCAGTACAACGCCGTCGGGCGTGGTGAGTGGCTGGCTCGAAAGGAAGGAAGGACGGCGGGCATGCTGTTGATGCTCCGAGTTATCCCCTGTCGAGGTGGAGTAACTGCACTCCCCATTTGAGTTACGGGGCACGAAGCGAATCAACTTGTTGAGGGCCGCAAACTTGACCAGTAACTTGGTACTGATGATGAATGGGACAAATGCTGCCACGATGGCGCTCGGGACGGTGAAATCCATCACCATGTTGGCTGTATCCAGGATAACTGAGACAATACCCGCGAAGATGAGGGCCGCGATCAGTTGACTGCCCTTGCGGCCGCGGAGAAAAATCAAAGGCCGCAGGTTGCGGATCGTTGCCCAGGCGTAGAACCCTAGGATGATCATCTCACGCACGCAGTAGCCGACCACGGAGTTTTTCTCGAGAATATCCACGGCTTGCACCCAATGGCCGGCACCGTGAGTAGCGGCCGCGGCGATGAGAGTGTCGGCATCGCCAAATATAAAAAGTATGCAGAAGACGCAGGCGATGACAGTACCCACACTCGTGACCAGCAAACTCCAGAAGTACAGCCCGCGGCGCCGTTTGAAGAAGTCAAAGATAAGATAGACTAGGCCCAAGGCACGGAAGGCGGAAATGGAAACGAAAGCCACGACGGTATAACCGTCTGAGATGGGCATAGAATGCGAAACATTTGCGGCTTCACCCATGTTGACTCATTCTCTTTGAGTGTTGCTTCTTGGGATCGAGGGATTCCACGAAAGCCCCTGACAGACACCGAGGAGCGTGAGTATATAAGGGAGAGGGCATAACAAAGGGCCTGATCAAGACCGTGGGGGTCCAAGGAGGATTCCCATCATCCACCACGCACGGTTCGCAGTAGAGGCGCAGCGATAGCCGGACCGGAGATGGGGGCCGTCAAGGAGAACGACACGAAGGGTTAGTAGGACCATTGCAAGAGCCATGGCGACTCAAGACTGGCTCTAGTACCCCCCCATGCACCGAATAGGATTTGCTTCCTGACCAGGGTAAGATAAGGTTCTGATATGTTCGGACGGGGAGACATGGAACCAACAGGTGAGCCGTGCACCGGATATCTCTGGCACACATCCGGTGGGCTGGATGAGAAGGCTTACGCGCCGATCTCAGGTATCCTACACCTCTCCAGGAGACACGCGACTGTGAGACAGCGTACGATGGACAATGGCAACAACCTTCCAGCATTGCTATCCCCATACTCAACGATGACCCGGTGCTATTCACAGGAGGAAGCTCACCCCGAGCATCACCAGTCGAGGGGATCGACCTCAGTACCTTGGTTTGTGGCGGAAACGCAAGAGTCTGGAACCGGCGCTGCGCTCAGACCCGGAGCGGCTGAAGCTGCGAACAAAGAAACTGAGTCAGGCCCATGGATGATGTCGTGTAGAGTGCGCGGTCGACAAATTGGATAGCAATACTATCTAGCCTTGATGGGCAGCTCCAGGTTGGACGCTATTGGAGGTAGTCACTCACCCCTTAATGCCAGTAAGGCCAGTCACCGGACCAGTTTTCTCCACCCTGAGCGCGTGAAGCCAGGTTGGGCTGAAGCCAAGAAGGCTATAGGAAACTATTGTTATGGATTGGCATTCGAATCATGGTGAATTGTTACACAAAGTGTGAAGATTAGTTTCAAAGGTGGATGATGGAGAAGCTTCAATATGTGGCCAAGTGAGGAGCCCCCTGAGGCTGCGCAAAGCCCGAGTCTGATTGAACCAGCGGATGGACAAGGCGCTCGGACGAACCACTGCAGTTCCCCGGATTAGTCGGATCCGGTGACAATGTGCGAGGTGCGATGTGGTCATCGCCAGGATCTGGGCGTCGTCCAGGACGTGCTAGACCTGGTCTTGGTTATGGATCGCGTGCTCGTCCACGGCGATTCAATGCGTTATTCACTTGGGGTACTGTTCTCATGCCATGGCGGTAACTCGACTGGATCGATTCGAGAGACGGTGTGGCGGAGGGAAGTGAGGAAGAAGGCGGCGATGAAGGAAGAAAGAGAAGGAAGAAAGAGAAAGAGAGACTGAGGCAGCAAGGCCGCAAGCCCCCGAGCCAAGGCCGTCCCGGGGTTCCCAAGGCTATTCTCGTAGCCAGTCTTAAAGGCGCCGCCCCCATACTATGTAGATTCTCTGTTCTCCAGGCCATTCTAGGCGCATGGCCATGATGAGAGCATTACGCGAGCAGGGCTACCGATGCACAGGAGAATTATGCTCAAATTAGTCAACATTCAAATCCCGAAATAATTACATCACATCCCTCATTAGGATCAAACCCTTCCCAACCGACCATCAGCAAGCACTAGACATTAACCCCATCCCCCAAGAGTCTATCTAGACATCCTTCAAACAGTGCACTGAACAACCGCCGCGCTCAAATCCACGGGCACCGCCGCGTTCGGGTTCCCGTCCAAGTCCGCAAACGTCTTCTGGGCAGTCAGGGTGGCCAGAACCGATCCGTATTTCTTGATCACGCAGTTCGTCGTCTGCTGGAAGTTCGTCAACTGCGCCGACGAGGCCTTGACAACGCCGCTGGTGCCGACTCCGGTGTTGCCGTAGAGGTTTTGGATGCTCTGCTCGCTGCCGTCGGCGGGGATGGCCGCACTGCCTTGGGCGCCTGTCTGGTCGTTGGCCAGGGCAATGGTCACCGTGGTGACGACGGGGCCAGCCGCGACCGAGGTCGCCAGGAGGGAGACGAGAATGGCAGAGATGGACTTCATCGTGAAGGTGGAACAAAGGTTGTTTGGTTTGGAGGAAGGCAGAGGTGGATTTGGAGATGGATGTTTATCGAGGAGGATCAACAGAGTGGAATTGAGATGCTGTGGATGCTTGGATGATGCTCCAGATGTCGAGGGAAATGGCCCGCTTTATAGCTTTGCCCTCCATATACAGTACTGGATGTCATGGATGCCTTTGGCGAGGCTCGGGGTCATGCGATGCGCAGTCTTCGTATCTGTCTTACTTCTGAGCCCGTACGGATCCCAACACGGCTTCAGGCGTTCCATGAGTTCAATAGTTCATCGATTGGATTGCCCTGTTCGTATACCAGAGTACGTAAATAGTTCCAGGCCGACGTCATGAGGCGCAGTATCGTCGATGCTCGAATAGGAGCCGACCAGATGGTGGACATGCCAAGTCGGCGACGAGATGAGATGACATCGCACGGGGGCACATGAGAGCCGGTCGGATGCAGGTCTCAAACCTTCAGCCGCCGAGTCGATGCAGCAGTGAGACTCGAGATCCTCAACGCTCCAATGGTGAAAACCGCTCGGTGGAGAGCTCGTGTTGTTGCGAGAACACGAGCACGACATGTTGCGGGAGGTTGTTGGACAGCTGCCGATTGCGGCCATTTTGTGCCGGGATAACCTGGGGTCCTGATGTCAGGGAATTTTAATTGATCAGGTCCGATCGGATTGTTCGCCCGCCGGACGGCGGGCTCGAGGTGGAGCAGCAATACGAGCTGCAAATTAAGCTGTCGGGTAGGGTCGATTTACTCCCCACGATGCAACGTCCCCACCCATCGCTCGTTCCCCAGATCCCCAGCTTTTGATTGGGGAAATCAATGCCGAGTCCAATAGTCAGATCTGATGGGTTTGCATTTGCAACCGGTCCGGAGGTGCCGGTGCTACCCTGACATGAAAAGTGGATATGAAAAGACGACCGAACCCCCGGGAGGCAAAACGAACCCTTGCAGAAGCCGATCCCTTGCCAGCTTTCCTTCACTGCACCACTCTTGCAGCATGCATCCCACAACGACCTCTTCTGCTGTCAGTGGGCCTAGACCGGATTGCAGACTCATCAGTCGGACAATTAGATGCGCCGTCCGGGGTTCTTGGCTTTGCAGATCAGAGCATAGCCGGGAATAAATCTAAGACAGTGGAGGCTATGAAAGTCAAACCAACCGCGGCCTCGGGAATGCGCACGGGTACCCTGGACGACGTGAGTCCGGGGTAACTAGGATCCGATCATGTCTCTCAAGGAGATCCCATCAACGTAACCTTTGCGTGGCTGGAGTCCTCGTCATCAGTCAAGGCCGCGGCTGTATGGATTGCCCAGAGAAAGAGGTACAGGGATTATCATGGTGTTCAAGATGACAATCAGGCTCGTGATGTCAATGATGCGGAGATAGGTCCAGAACTACAGGACCGGGAAGCAGCTACCAGCCTGGATGCTGGTCCAGAAGACCAGGAAGGCTATGAAATATGGATGTCACCGCCGAGAAAGAACCTAGCGAATAGCCAGGTATGAGACATCTGGAGACTCCATCGTCTAGACTTTACCTGATCATGCAACGGGCATATTACGCAGCAAAACGGAGAGCTGCGGAACCGACAGCTAAGTTTATGGCGCTCTGTGAGCGAAGTGAAAGTTATCGGGGTATTGCCTGGGGGTTCATTTTCCAGGACACGATGTGATAGGCATGGGTCTTCTGCAGATTGGGGGAGGGCTCCTCTGACTCCTAGTCTGACAACCTGCTGTGGGTATCTGCTTGGGCAGTCCAGTGGTAGTCCCTTTCAGAATCCGGATGGAATCCTTGGGCCATAGGATGGGAAACAACACATTGGGTGTTGCCAAGTGCAGCGTGACTAGATGTCGGGGGGAGTTATGGGATCCCAGGACAGGTATAAAGAAAATCTGATCGCTGTGCAGGAGCTCACAGAATGGTGTCCGTTAGAGTGAACAGTATGGTAGTCAAGGCTTCAGTTCCTTCATGAGGCCATGGAGACATCATTTGGGTGTTGGGTCCGATTCGGGGTACTAAAAATAGCATAGACTCATACCAACGCAGCAACGTTGGCTGCTTCAAGGGATACTGAAGGAATGACATGGCATGAACCCTCGGTGGTAATTTGAGTGGGAATAGCGATAAATGGCAGCGGTGGATGGCAGCGGTGAGGAGGAAAGTGAGAGAAAGAGGAAGAGAAAGAGCCGGTCAGGTGGCTGGCACGTGGTCTGTGCGGGAGCTGCTGACGTTGACGTCGTCGGCAACCTCCTCCAGCATCATCCACTCCAGCCGGCTTTTACCTCATACTCTCTTTTCTTTTTCCTTCCCACTCACCCCCATCCCTTCTTTTACCATTTCACTTTCAGAAACAATGTCCCACATCTAGCGCGACTGACTTTTTCTATTGATAACCCCAATCCAACCCCCTAAACATCCCCGCCATGGTGTCCCTGTGGCCCTTCAAGGTACGTCCAGATTTCCACCACCCGTCCGCAACCAACCACCACAACTCACTCTTTCAAGGCCGAGGACACCTCTCCAGCATCCTTCGAAAAGGCTCTCGCCGCTCTCTCGGCCAAAATCACGCGCGCCACTACCCGCCTTGACCTCCACCGCCAACATGCCCGTCGCTTCAAAGCCCTCTGGACCCTCTACACCACCTTCGCCTACCTTCTCTACTCCATCATCCTCGCTCTTGTTCTCGGATGGCAGAACTGGGGTGTTACAGAATATGCCGCGATCATCGGCGGCCCCATGCTGTATGTGCTTACCCAACCCCTCACCTCGAGCCCCACCCCGCCATGCCCCTTTTCCGACGTCATGCATGCATCTCCAGTCTGACCATCCAACCTGCATACAGGATCTACCTCATCCGCACCATCTCCACCCGTTACTACGACTACCGCATCACGAAATCACAATCCTACATCGACGACCTTCAAAAACAACGCGAGAAAACCATCGAGGATCTCAAGACCGCCACGCGCTGGAACTCCACCCAACAACTCCTCGAGAAATACGGCGGGGAGTCGCCAAAGCCTACGCGCTCGAATTCCATCAAATCCGGCGACGTGAAGCGCAAGTCTGAAGGGGCCGGAAAGCGCAAGCAGCAGCAGCAGCAGCAGCAGATCCAGCGCACAGGGTTACCTCCGCCGCCAACCGCTAATATCAGAAGACCTACAGCACAACAATTCTCCACGCCTCAACATCCGCCCACCCCGCCCGTGAGCTTCCAGCTCCAGCAGCAGCAGCAGCAGCCGTCTCCGTACCAGATCCCAGGCCAACAGGGTACTTCGAACGTGGGGATCGAGGAGCCCGGGTTTGCGCCGAATGCATTTTCGAGTTCCCCGCAATATGTCGAGCATTCGCAGTGGTATGACCGGCTTTTGGATGTGTTGTTGGGTGAGGATGAGACGCAGCCGAAGAATCGGATCGTGTTGATCTGCTCGACGTGTCGCTTGGTCAATGGACAGGCTCCGCCGGGGGTGAAGACATTGGAGGAATTAGGCCGGTGGAGATGTGGGAGCTGTGGGGCGTGGAATGGGGTGGAAAGCGAGGCGAAGAAGGTGCTGGCAGGCATTCGGAAAGAGCCGCAGTCACCCGAGGCTACGTGGGAGCCGGTGTCCAGCGTTGATGGAGAGACTCGGTCATCCGTGGGCGATGTGACGGATGAGGGGGTGATGGTGGCTGCCAGCGATGACCAACTCGAGTTGCACAGCTCGGGGGGTGAAACCCCGGAAGAGCCGGAGGCAGAGGAGGCAGAGGAGGAAGCAGAAGAGGAGGAAGAAGAAGAAGAACCCCAACCCGAGCCAAGCAAGCGAATGACTCGTGCGCGTGCTAAGAGTGGACGGAGGAAGGGATGAGATGTATAGTCTGTAGTTTTATCAGGTAGGGTACATTATCAATAACCAGTCATGATATCCTACGAAGTGTCCATATACATAGTACCTATCGCGGAACCCCCCCCCCCCCCCATCTCGGCAGCTTTTCTACATCTAATCTACGCACTTATTCCCTTCCTTCCATTTCCATTTCCATTTCCACTTCATAAATCATTCCCATACCTCATACCCCAAACTTACCCCCCCGCCCCCCCAAATCCCCAATCTAGTAACATACTATACCTAGTCAGTAAACTAAACACTACCTCATCTTTCCTTACCGATCGATCAGCTTTGGGATTCTTCGAAAATAACTAAATATCTATCTACTACTACGATCATAACATCCAAATCCAAATCCCATCCAACCCAACCCCCTTCTTCCTTCATATACATACATACATAAATAAATAAATCCAACCCCCCAAGAAATCCAAAACAAACGACATAACCATCAACGCCCAAATCCCAAAGCAGGCTATCCTCTCCCACGAAATACTATACCTCAAAAACCCAACGCAGAGGCCACTTAACCCTAATCCACGAACATAATGTCCATGTAGAAGGTGGTGAAAAAAATACATATAGTATATCAGGGGATCTATTTTCTATGCGCCGGTGGTATAAAACTAAACTAAGGGACGGCGGCCAAACAGGCCGGGGGATTGATTATCCCGGAGATGGTATTTAATCCCTGCTTAGGATCCCTGTCTGGTTCCATTGAACTGGATCCACCAAGTACTTACCTAAGAGTGATGAATGAAAAAGAAGAAGAAGAAGAAGCCTCGGGTGGCTGACGGGGCCCGGCCGGTATCCCTGTCTGTCTATGTATGCACTGCACCACCCCGCCCGAGGGTGTGTTTGATAACATGTACATCCTCCATCCATCCTTCATATAACCACAACATTTATATCTTCGCCCCCCTCTCCCTTAGCTTCCTCCTCTCCCCCTCCCTCAACACCCTCCTCAAAATCTTCCCACTCGGACTCTTCGGAATCACCTCCACAAACTCCACCCCACCCACCAACCACTTATGTCTCGCCTTCCCATCCCTCACATGTTTCACAATCGTCTCCCTCATCACTTCATCCCCCGCATCTCCATCTCCATCCCTAACCACAAACGCCTTCGGCACCTCCCCCTTCTCCCCATGTCCCACCGGAATCACCGCACAATCCACCACGCCCTCCAACGCCAATAAATGCGCTTCCAGTTCCGCCGGTGCCACCTGCAGCCCTTTCACCTTAATCAACTCCTTAATCCGATCGATGATGAACAGATGTTCGTTGCCGCTTGGACTCTGACGAATCACCCCCACGTCGCCGGTATGATACCATCCGTCCGGGTGGAAGGATTCGGCGGTGGCGGAGGGGTTATTGAGATATCCGTTTGTGATTTGTGGGCCGGAGACGAGTAACTCGCCGGGGGTGTCGTAGGTGGTGATTTCTGTGCCTGAGGGGGAGAGGAGTTTCCATTTGGAGTTGGGCATGGCGCAGCCGACGGAGCCGGTGATTTGGTCGCGGGTGGGGGCTAGGGAGACGATGGTGGTTGCTTCGGTTAGGCCTGTGCGGTATTGTTATTTATGGGTTTCTTGGAAGTTTTGGTTTGGGTTTGGTCTGGGTTGTATGGGTTGTATGGGTTGTTGGGGGGGGCATACCATATCCCTGTCCGATCCAAACACCAGGAAACTGGTCTCGCATGGCGGCCTCGACTTCTTCTCCTAGTGGCGCTGCGCCGGTGATGCAGCCTCGGAGACTAGTCAGGTCGTACTTCTGGCATAACTCTCTGTTTTTGACGATTCGAATGGCGATCGGTGGAACGAGGTAAAGGTCCGTGATTCGGTACTGCTGGATAGCATGCAGGAGGGACTCGAGCTGAAAGCCCGTGAATACGACGGTCGAGTCGCCTCGGTAGGTGGCGTACTGGCAGATGTAGTTCAATCCGTAGGCGTGGCTCATGGGGAGGATGCAGCTGGTGATGGCGGGTTGGTGTGGGGTGCGGGCCCCGGAGGCTTCGTCGTATTGTTTGAATTGGAGGATGTTGGCGATGGTGCTGTAGTGGGTGATGAGGACGCCTTTCTTTAGTTCATTTCTTGTTGTTAGTGGATGGTGGGTATGTGGAGGGGGTTGTTAGGGTTAGGCGATGTACCGGTACTCCTGATGTTCCGCTCGAATAGCACAGATAGGCAGGTTGGCGACGGCCCTGGCCAGGTTGCCAGTTCAGGGCTGGTAGAGCGGGGAGGTTCCGTCCCGTGGTGATGAGCTGCTCGAGGGTCTGGAACTGTGATGCTGTTTCTGGTAAAGGCGTTGGGTCGTCGGGTGTTTCCAGCAGGAAGACGCGCTGACGCGCAATCCCGACTTTATCGGCTGCCTGCAATGCGGTGTCTAGTAGGGATGAGCAGGTGAAAAGCGCTGTCGCTTTGGAGTCGCTCAGCTGGTAGGCTAATTCGCCCGCCGAGAATGATGCGTTGGCGGGGGAGACGATGCCTGATAGTCGATGGACGGCCCATGATAGTGGGAGAGTGTTGATCTAGATGTCGTGTCAGCGTTGCAGGGAGTGAGTGGGAGGTTTGAGGTACCGTGTTCACGCTGAATATGCCTAGGACTTTCTCTTCGGCAGCCCCGGTGTTGGGTTCCCAGTCAAGTTTGTGGGATAGAGCGCGGGCGATGGCATCGATGCGCTTGGTGACTTCGGTCGGGGGGTAGCTTTTGCCGGTGACGTTGCAGATGAACGGGGCCGGGGAGGAGGCAATAGGAGCACGTCCGTATCTCTCGTCGAGGATGAAGTCGCAGATGGGGAGAGTGTCGGGGATAGGGGGTAATTGCCCGGCCCATTTGGGGGGATAGAAGACCATAGTGAAAATAATAGGTTGTAATAGAATGTATGAATGGGCGAGGAATTTAATTGTTTATAAGACGAGTCTGCTGACGGGAGGGTGAGCTGTCATCATCTCGAGGTAGGCAGTAAGTAGTATGGATCTTCTGTCTCGGGAACTAATTCCATCGGGTCGGGGAGAAAGTAATTCAAGACGAGCGGGCCTATAAGAGGATGGAGGCGGACTGAGAAGTGGTCCAGTGGATCTGCCTTGGCACTATAGTTGTGACTGTAGTGAGTAGGGTTATAGAATAGATAGATAGTAGATGGCACATTGATTGGTTCCAATCCATTCGTATTCTTTACTCCGCACAGCCCTGAGTAGGGTTGATCCTGGCCCACTACCAACTGAGACTCTTAATCAATTCTTTGATTTCTCTTCATGTGACTTAATCTACGTATAGCTAGCTGTTCAGGACATACCCACTCACATGGAATACTTCACTCTCTTGGACATGCTATTGGAAAGTACACACAAATTAGACTAGACAGATCATGGGCTGCAAGATGCAAGCATAATTCATCACATCATCACTCATCCAAACAAAACCAGCCATTCTTATCTCCATCCACCTCGCTAAATTCAATACAGTAGATTTCAAAGCGCAATTCCCACATCACATGCATCCTCACAATGAATACCCCCTCTGGGTGAGAATCTCCACCGCCTGATTGGAAGCTGTAATCTCCGCCTCCTCGCTCGTCAAACAGCCTTCCACCAGCACAGCTACTCCCTCCACCCCCGCCATCTTCACCGCACACCGATACGTCGCCCCATCGTCTTGTTCATTGGGCACACGCTTGGCCTCGAATTGAATATCCCCCTTGGCCATCTGCTGGGCAGTATTGCGGGGATGTATGACGTTTACCCCGTCCGTGAGGATCCGACGGAGGTACCAGAGGAGTCCGATTCGCTCGACAAACTTGATGCATTCGGCGAGGTTGCCGCGAGAGTCGATGAAGATGGCCCCCAGGATGCTTTCAATCAGGTCGGAGAAGAATTTGTCGGCGCTGAGCTGCGATAGTGTCTGCCAGGGGTAGATCGGGGAGTGTTCGAGGTCGTGGATGATGGAGGCGCGGAGGGCGCGGTGGCGGGTGATGGTGAGGTCGCGGGCGGTGGTCAGGTGCTGGCCTTGGTATCGCATGAAGCGCCAGAGTTCGACCTGCTCCGAGGACGATTCGAGGGTGATGCCGCCAGTGGAGGCAATCCCGATATTGGTGCGTTCCTCCACCAGGGTGAATTCCATGCAGAAAAAGGCCAGGAGGTTTGCGTTGACGACGGCATGCTTGATCTTGGTCATGTCCCCTTGGGTGATCTCGGTGGGGTGATCGAGCAGGGTAGACATGATGACCATGTCCAGGACAGCATCGCCGAGGAATTCGAGACGCTGATAGGACTGTGTTGTTGCGTCGAATTGACAGGATGGGTGGGTGAGCGCTTCGACGAGGAAGGATGGGTCCGTGAATGTGTATCCGATCCGCTCCATCAGCTTTTCATCATTCAAAGTGTGATTGGTAACATCGCCTTTGGGAACTAGGTTCTCGGTCTTGTGGATGTGCTCGAGATTCACTTCTGGCAAGAAGCGACAAATGCACTCGTGTGCCGCAGCAAAGCCACCGTCAATGTAGGCAGCTCCTATGAGCGCCTCCACGACATCTGCCAACACCTTCATTGACATCATCCGTCGACGGGGGGTAACGCTAATCTTCTCAGATATCAGCGGTGCATTCCATTTTCGGGGTGTGAACATTTTCGTCATGATAAATGCATCCAACCCAGCGTCAAGAGCGGCTCGGGCAAGGCGAGGGTTCTGGACGATCTCGTCTCTTCCTTCAGAAAGATACCCCTCGTGCCAGTTCGGGTGCTGGAAGAAGAGCTGACAGGAGACTGTAAATTTGAGAACCGAATCCCCAAAGAATTCGTATCGTTGGTAGTTGGTAGGGGATTGCGCAGATGGCGCAGTAATAGCGGTAATAACATGGCGAATCGTTGAGAACTTGATATTCTTCAGAATTGTCTCGCATAATCGGGTGGCAACCAACGTTGCTTCTAGTCTATCGATGATAGCCGATATGAAGCGGCCGAAAATGGTCTCGGAGTATGAAAGCCTGTCTATGGTACACCTGTCTGCAAGAATGACACGCATTTTTGAGGATGGTTCAGAAGCCTCGGCATCTGCCTGCTTGGTAGCCAACGTTTGCCGCTGCAAAAGGTTGCGTCGACGAGGAACGGGATCGCATTCCAACTCGACTACAGCCGTATCTTCCTCTCCCGATACCACCCACCGTCGGAAGAGCATCGGCTCGCTATAACGCGAGCGATCGCGCACTATCCCCATGATCGCAGGAAAGTCTTTGCGGGTGTAGACGTCTAGCGCTGAATCGTATCCCGCGTATTGGTCAAGCCATCCGGATAGTTCAAGGTGAGGAAGGTCGGGTGCGAATAGGGTCACATAATCTTGATCAGAGCCCACTTGTCGAGAACTGGTCGCCTGAAGATACAGCGCGGTGGCCAGTCTCATGTGGTCAATACTCTCAGCTGCGATCCCCGTCACTCGTTCCGCTGTGTCAAAGGCCAGTGTGAATATTGTCTCGCTATCCCAAAACAAGGTCATGGGTTCAACAGGCGGCAGGCCCACTGGAGTGGTCAGCCTCATGAACATGCGAGTGTTTCCATTGAGCTGTACAGCAAGCCTTGTTTGATGGACATCGGGCGACGACCACGAACAAGCCCAATCGACCCAGGGATCATATTGTTCCCATACTTCTATCAGTGCCGGTAGACTGCTAAAATCGCTGGCCTTGAGCTCTATGTTTCTCTTGAACGGGAGAAGATGATCACTCAAAAGACCAAACTCGTACAGCGCCTTGTACGTCTGGAAAGCTGCTTCTTTCCTGGCTGCTCGCTCGGTTTTCCACCATCGTTGGCCCTGGGTACGACGGACTGCAGGATGTACGCAGGACGGTAGCATGACAGTTCCTCTCAGAAGATCTGCGTCATCCTTCTCGAAGGAGTATTCAGCGTCATTCTCCACATACGGTTGACAGGGCAGAATAGCGCAAAAATGGTTCAGGTGGGCGACCGCGGTGTCTGCGGTCAAGACAGCACTAGAAGTATGTCAGCCTAATACATGGGTACAACATGTACTCTGGTGTCATACCCAGTAGACTCTACCTCAAACCGGTCTGCCACCTCTTCATTGAGTGATTCCAGGGCCCACGCCTCACGCAGCCGCCTTTCATCGTCCTCATAGGCCTCAATCATGGCCTTTTCCAAGTCCTGCCACTTGCTAAGCTCCGAAGATTCATCATCCGCAGCAAACATAATAGCATAAGTGGACTCCCTATGTCGCGCTCGCCCTCTTCGTTGCACAAACGACTTCAAGTTCGGCGGCTTGTCATAGCAAACCACCACACTGCAAGCACTAATATCGATACCCTCCTCCAACACATCAGTCGCAACTATCAAGTTTTTTTGACCCGTCCGGAACTCGCTCAGCGTATCACGTTGCATTCGGGCATCCAGAAGCTCCCCCAAAACATCTTTGCTGCCACCCCCGGACCAGCCAACGTAGGCAGCGCATCGAAATCGGTTCCTCGTCAAAGGATGGACTGAGAGCAACTTTTCCATTACACTCACCGTGGCCCTCTGTTTAGCAAAAATCAGACCCGAAAACTGCGGCTCTCCCTTTGCATCCAGAAAGGCCAGCAGGGACTCGAATTTCGCAGATACCCGGAAATCACTTGGATTCGAGGAAGTAAGATTGATGTTCGGAGCAGGTAACCTAGACACAATATCCAATAGATAGGCCTTTTCCTCGTCGGTCCAGCCGGACGTATTCACAGAATCTTTGGCTCTGGCTTTGAGTTGCTCAGCAGATGCCTGGATAAAATAGTCTGCAGCCCATTCACCGAGCTCTTCGAAAATGTGTATGCTCCTGGAGACAAATCGTTTCAACTGCTCATTGCAGTAGGTCTTTTCCGATGAAAGCGCTCTCTGCAACGCCCTTCCATCCAGGGGACTTCTTCTCAACTTTTTGATATAAGGATCGTCTTCAATACTTAGAGAATTCCACGCCCTCACAAGCGCTCTCAGCGTCTCACTCCCCGCTTGCGGGTCATCCAGCTGGACTGAGGTAAACACAATCTGCTGCAAATGCGGTCGATGGGTATGCGTAAGCAACTCCGACCGATGCACCCGAGGCGTCTTGCATACTGCATCAAGATTGGATTCGATCTTCCTGCTCTGATCAGCATCACCCCCTTCACCCTCCCCACACGAAAACACTTACAGCAACTCCTGCCGAGTCGACCTCACCACCGGACTCGCTGTAAGACCTAAGATCTTAGGAACCGCCTCCGAGCCATACCTCTCCAGCGCCGGATGATAAAAGTCCTGCATGATTTTGTTTGCCGGGTGCCGTCGCATGCAATGATGGGCTACCACCCACATCAGCCCCTCCCAACATTCCAAGATCGCATCACATCACTAACCTTCATCAAAAATCATCAACCCCAACTGCGTAATCTTCACAAACCCATGACTCATCGCATCCGCAAGCACTGCATGCGTTGACACCACCACCTGCATATCCTTCAAAATGGCATCCCAAATCGCCTTCTCCCTCCATAACTCAACCTTATCTAAACTTGTAAGCGTCCTAGATCTTACCGCCGGGATCCCCTCCGAGATGATCTTGAACTGTTGCAAACATAGTGCGACAGTTGGCGTTAAGAACCATATTAACTGCACATTCTCACATAAGCCATCAAATCAAACTCACCAGCACGTCACCTCACCTCACCAACAGAATCAAAATCACCACTCACTCACCTTATTCGGATTCCCTTCCAACTCCCTCATTATCCTCAACAACGCACTAAACAACACCGAACCCGTTACTTAACACTCAAACCAAACCCCAGTCCCAAAAACAAGAAATAAGAAAATCACATACATATGCGTCTTCCCACTTCCTGTCCCCATCTACCCAAATCAGCATCAACTCACTCCCCCTAAATACCACTCACCCCAAGAATCATCCAACACATACCGTAACAATAATATTCTCCTTCAAACTCGCCTCGAACATCTCAACCTGGTAACTGCGCGGGCGGTACGCGTCGCCAGCGGGAATAGTGACTGCCATCCTGTTGTCATCGGGAACACCACAATAACAAGTAGAAGCAGTGAAGTTGAGTAAGGAATGCAATCAATATCTTTGGAAGGGTTTGGAGAATGAAGGTCGGTGTCTAGTAGGTAGCAGCAAAGGTGGGTATCAACATTGCCAGTGGTTTACTCCCGAGAGTGGGGTAAACAAACTTGACAAACTCGGTGCGCTGAGATAATTGTTAGATAGTCGATAATGATGATGGATGGGGAGCCTGGGGCAGCCGTGCGTCTAGTATTATCTAGGCAGTATCAACCCCTGGTACTAGGTAGTAATGGGTGCTGCCTATTTACAGGGATTATAAGGGAGCTTGGAAAGAAGGTTTAAGAGTTTGTGTTAAGATTGGTGTAACCGATTTCTTCTATGGCATGAAAATAGCACTGAATGTACCCTAAAACTAATACAATATGCAGTGATAGAAGAACAGTCCCAATCGTCAGAGTATGGACTTGAGACCAGAAGCTGAGGTCGATCAGAACAGTTCATTACAACGCTTTCTCCAGGAATCCCCGACTATCTCTCTGAGGGGATGGATAATCCCATGGATAGACAGATTGATTCTGACCTGATTCGAGCAATCTGTTCTCGACCCCCCTATTCCTGTTAGACACAAGGTAACATCGCAGCAGTTGGACAACGAATCCACTGGCCAGTACCAATTATCTGGCGACTAATGGCAAAACCCCAAGCACATTGACAATGACATGGCTATTGTTTCTTCCTTCGGACTCCGGACTGAATGCATGAATCAAGTCCGAATGAAAACACAAAACACCGCTCCTTCCGAGGCCAGAATTGATACCTAGTTACATCACGCCATACACCAGAGAAGATACGGACAACGGAAAAATATCGAAAAACGAGGTGATGATATATCTGAGCGTTCAAAGTCGACAGGTACAGAAATGGCAGCGCGATAAATTAGATCTGGTTACTCATGACACCACGGGCATCCCGTGAGGAGGCTCCGGTTTCGTTACTTCGGACCCATCGGGCTGGCCGTCATCATTGCGCGTACGACGAGTCTGGAAGTTGTTGCCGAGGAAATTCGCCTCTTCGTTGGGGTGCTTACGCATGCCCAGGCCAGCAACTGCTATGCGATTTAGCGAGTTCATATCTTCGTTCGACGCACCCGGGTTCGGAACCTGCATTTGCTGAGGAGCACCACCAGGGCCTGCCGCCGACCCCGTGGCCGACGCAGCACCCGGAGGTGGAACAGGGATGTCATTCCGTGGCTGGCTCAGATCGATGTTGCTAGGCAGCTCGGGAACTTCGCCTTGAGAGTCCAACAACCGCGACTGGAGGTTGATGATGTATTCACGCAGCTGGTAGTTCTCCGATTGCAGTTGCTTCAGAGCCTCGTTGGTGGCCTCGAACTCCTTGACCTGCTCCTCTAGTTTGCGAATATAGCTCTCCTTGCGCTGACGAAAGGCTCTCTGTTTGGGTCAGTCACAGCGCTTGATCCCGACGGATATCCACTTTACCTGAGCGGCACGGTTTTGGGCGGCGCGCTTCGATGTCGACAGCGGTCGCTTGCCGTAGGTCTTGGGGGATTCCTGGCTTGTGGGCTCCGGCTGGGGAGGAGTCTGTGGGGGACCGCTGAGCATAGCAGCGCCTGAGATGGCAGGATCAATGTTGTTCTGGTCTCGCGGGCTGGTTGTGTTGGGTTGCATGTGTGGGGGCTGCGCGGTCGGAGCTTGCGGGCGCGCCTGCTGTGGGTGCGACAGATGTTGATGGGCAGCTAACAGCTGGTCATGCAGCACTAGTGATCAAACACGCGTGTTAGCATTCTGTATAAACATCGGTAAACCGAGGGGCCGGAAGGCAGGACGATATCAGCGGACGCGATAACGCGATCGTTGTAGGGGTATTTTCGTCCCCTTCGCTTCGCTTTTTTTTGCCTTCCTCCCTTCGCTGCGAAAAGGTGTTCCGCTTACCCTGATCCGCATGATCCTATAGGGAAACCCCACTGTTAGCATCACTATTCACGACTATCAGATCGACACGACCGGTGAGAAGCTCGAGGCCTCAGGTCGTGAAAAAATGGCGGTTATCCGGCATCGCTCTTCCGGCAGACAGGGCGACAGCCGTCACGATCACGACCAAAGACCGAGCTCCCGAGCCGGGCATGAGATGGGCGAATCTGGGGAACGGGGTAGATGGGACAACGCGATCTGATGACAAACCGTGACAAGCATAGGCTGCTTACCTGAGCAGAAGTTTGCATACTTGGATGCGGCGCTGGGGCTAGTGTGGGCTGCATCGAGGATATAGGCTTAAGGACAACAGGGACGCGCCGGGAAAAAGACACGATACCACCAATTCAGATTGAGCAAAGGGGCGGTCGACGAGCTAGGCCAGTATACAAGCACGTTCCCTTGGGGGTCGAGGAGAGGAAGTAAGTACTAGAGCGCGATGAGGACAAACGGGGGAGGACGATGAGGTAAGCAGAGGATAAGTCGGAGATGGCTCGTTCGCTAGTCCCTGACGCGGAGGCCTTAGCTAAGACGGTTCGAGATGTTCTGATGCTGACTATTATTGGCGATAACGGGGGTTGGGAGTGGGCAGATTGGGAGGATTGATCTCGTAAGCAAGACTGACGGAGTTGTGAAGAGGGGGGAGGAGGGAAGATTAGTTAAAGTATCAGTCAGAAAGTGACGTGGGGGATGGGTCGGTCTGTCACTGGGCCAGGGAAGGTGAGGAAGTGGGAAATTGGTCGAGGGAGCAGCTGGCCGGGGGGGTTGGTTGGTTCAATGGCACTGGGCAGGCTGGCAGGCGGGCAGGCTGGCACGGGCGGGCGAAGAAAAGGGCAAGCCGGTGAATCAGTGAGGATCGCCCGGCTACGACGGTAGTACTTGCCTGCCTCCTCAGGCCTCCACGCTCCCGGGTCGGATCTTCTCTCCTTCCCAACCAATGGTTCGAGTTTGGCTCTCTACATAATACTAACACTTAGAATGTAAAATATTTTTAACTATCCTCTGTTTTCATCTATATTCACCATCAACAATCCGGTTCTCTTTGTTTCCCCCAACCCTCCCACGGCTGATGACTGATCCGGCATGTTTGCTGACTCATCCCTGGCCCCCCGAGCCTTGGTCCGAGCGTCCGAACCCCTCCGCGGACTCTGCCGGCGGCTTTCCAGCATCATTTTACGGCTTCCACTTGATTCTCCGGGCAGTTCTCACTCCATCCTGCATAATTCGCAGTGAATCGTGGATTACTCCCCGCCGGGCTACTTGTACAGGCATCCTCGGTATCATCGCCTGTTATCTCCGATCGCTTTCTCCGCCGGCATCCGAGCGACGCTTGGTTGGAATGTCGGGTTCTCGGCGTCACCAGCCCGAGGATGCCAGTGGGTTCTGACTCAGCCAGGGATTGGTTCATTCACCGGGCGCTCCTCGGGACGGTCCTCCTATTGGTGCATCCATCCCACCAGGTGTCGGCATGGTAGTCCAGAAGGGATCCATGTTGGAGATGGCTTCATGCTCGTCATGAGTCTTGAGTAACCTGGCCTTAACACAGTACTCTCACAGGGATGGCTACGGTTGTTCAGCATGACCATCGTATACTATATTCAGCATGATATTGAACAGATTGGCATGGACGCATCAAACCACGCTCCAGTTCATACAAACGTCCCGGGCATATATGGACATCAGGGAAGTTCCTTATTCACTCATGATCTATATACTTCTGTGATACCGGTCATCGGTGTCACATGGCGGAAACATCATCAAGGACGGACAAGACACATCATCAGTTAGGCAATCAGACTCAGTCAGGCGGATCATTGCTCTTTCTTCGAGGTAGGCTCGGTCACCAGCGTCTTGATGATGGTCGCCCCGACATGAGCGGATTCTTTCCACCCCTTCTGTCGCATCCAGAACCTCTCCGCGGGGTCGGTATCATGAGTCGACCACTCACGAGCATCCTCTTCCAGCGACTTCCGAGTAATGTCCGTGACCTCCATCGAATGATCTTGCTCGTTGTCATCCCCTTCATCATCACTGCTGTGGGCACCGACAGTCGACTCCAAATACTTCTTACGCATCATGTACCGCTCCGTCCGCTCCTTCTTGACGTTCGGAGGCTCCAGCTTGGCTATGGCAGCTCGTACAGCATAACGCACCATTAGATAAATGTGCTCAGAGAAGAAAATCGTCAGCAGCAGCACCCACCCTCGGATCGCAGTCGGCTCGCCGTTCGGACCCTCATGGCCATTACTGAACATGTACAGAAGGGCGGTACTGGTGATGCTTCCGACCCACGACAGGAACCCTAGACTTTCCAGCCAGGGCCCAATGGTGTCAGCACGTTGTGGCCAGGGCCTCTTGCACTCCATGCAGATCTTGAAGAAATCGGACCGAAGCTCAATCCAGTTGTTGACCAGAAAAGAGACGGGGACTAGCGGCCAGACAGGCGAAAACAGGGCCAGGTATCCGAACTGGATACACATCTCGCGCAAGTCATCGGTCACATCGTAGTCCTCCATGTCTGCCTCGTTCCGCACCCGGGTAAGGAACTTGGTTTCGTCCGGATGATCATCGAACAGAGCCTCTCTCTTGGCCTCCGAGCCATTCTCGGACTCGACCTTGCCGTTCTTTCTCCGGTTGTACTCCTTGTATTCACGGGTGAGGCGCTGCTTCAACATGGGGACAATAGTCTCCATGGCAAAGTTGACTGCCTGGGCCGTGACGGTAAAGTAGATGACCTGCTTTCGCAAGCGGTCCGGGTCAATGTTGAAATCCGTGCGCAAGGAGGTCGCGTCCTCCTTCGAGACGAATGGCCGAACAGTCACGTGGAAGACATCGAGATACGGCACGATCAGACTCGCAAAGGGTACGTAGACGAAGGCCGTCAGGAAAATTGGTAGGTATGAGGTGACAAAGTTGATAATAAAGATCTTCTGCGTCAATGCCACGTCGTATGCAGGCTGAGTCTCGTAGTTCTCGTAGTCATTGAGCCTAGTAGCAATAGACGCTAAGACCGTGCTCATCGTCGGAATCAGAGCCGAAAGCAAGATGGTCGGGATAAAAACCTGGCCCTGTCAGCAAATCTTATCAACTTAACGACGACTTCACTCACCAAGTATGTCTTGAGCGGGCCATTGTATATCTCTGAGATAAAGATCTCAATGGCAAAGCACGTGGCGATAATTACACCCAAGGCAACCGCAGAGACCAAGGCAAATGGGACAATCAGCAGTTGCCTATACATCCGCCTGGTCGCAGGGAATACCCCTCTGGTTTCCCCAGTGCTTTCATCGTGAACCTCCCTTTCAGGCTTGAACTCTCGTCTCTTAGGTCTGACAGCTGAGACGCCCTTGGTTTGCCAGCGGCAGCTCAGATCCTCCTCTTGACGCTTCCAGTATTCGATAAAGAAAATACACCACAGACAATTGACCACCGCGTAGATTATCGAAAAAGACCCAAGCAACAGCCAGCAAGAGAATCCAAACACGGCGGGGAAGAGGAGGAACCTAAAGTACGACTGCAGAAAAGCGAAGTAAAAGCCGACCTGTAGCGCTCCGGTTAGCAGCAGGTTACGCATGCAAGGGTTGTGTGATGCGTACACTTTCTCCGAATGTGTTCCGTATCTGATCCAGATCCTCGGGGGAGAGAAAAGTCTTTCGGCTCCAATCCCTCATACACTGCCTATTCATGTCCTCGTCATGCAATGGAAAGATCGCATCGACACATTTCCACTCGCCATGTTTCGGGGTGATGCCAGCGCCGCCTGCTTCTTTGGGGACGGTAATCATATGGTAGATGATGCGCAGACGCTCCGATTCCGACTGAGGCTCGGCGGAGGATTCCGATTCAGGCTCGGTATTGCGGACGCCATAGAGCCAATCGCGAATACTAGAAGGGTGGAATTGCTCAGTCGGAGGCGTGGTTGATGGAATCCGACCGGGCAGGGAGTGAACACTCACCGGGATTGATAAAGGGCGCGCTTCAGGCTCTTTTTCCGCGACGCTCGGACAAATACCAGCAGGGAGGACTCGTCTCCTTGCCTCACTTCCGTCTGCAGTCCAACCTCGAATAGTTTCCGCAGCAGTCGATCGAGTTGCTCTGTGGCGTGGGAGGAGTCTGGAGTGGTCAGGACGGAGCGGCACGGGGGATTGCTTGCTTGGGGCACACCGCCATCTTACCGGTCTCACCAGCAAAGTTGTAGCGAATCACGTAGTCCACATAGTGGTTGCTATGCACGGGGTCCCGAGGGATGGTGGAAGCCATTGAATGAGGAATTGGCGAGCGGATTCAAGGGATCATGGATGCGATCACAACAGCTGTCGATGAATCGTCCCAGGGGGGTGTAGTTTTAGTAGCAGCAGCAGCTTTCCAGGGGATCGGCGGCGCCATGACGACGTCACCACCGATCCGATCTGGTGCTAGGGTTAGCCCTGATCGTGGCTGGCGCCGATCGTCGCCCCATCGTCACCATGCGTTATTATTCTTAGTGATGATTATTATTATTGCATCTAATTGCTCTATGTACAAGGACATGCCCCCAGACTGGCTTTTGTTTCCCCTTGCTGCTCTTCATCGGGATATCGAGCGGTGAGAATATACCCGGTATACCAGTAGGTCTCCAGGTTAATCAGCTCCTCCTGTGATGCTCGAACCGTATGCGCAGAGCGTCATCGAACCGTTCGGGCTCTACCCTGGCTGGAGAACGGGCTCAACCCTCCAATTGCTTGTTGGCAACACCCTTTGGATCATCACAGCCCCTCCGCCAGCTTGTTCAATGCCGGGCCCTCCATCATCATCTTCGTCCACTCGTCCATGGCCTTAGCCCCGACCTGCTCATAGAACTTGATACTGGGCTCATTCCACTTCAGGACACTCCACTCGAGCCGTCTTCCCTTGATTTCCAAAACCTTGGCGGCCAAATACTTGAGCAACTTGAAGCCGTAACCGTTGCCCCGTGCACTTGGCTGAACGTAGAGATCCTCGAGGTAGATCCCTGGAGCTGCCCGCCAGGTCGAGTAGTTGTAGAAGAAGAGGGCCATGCCTACTGGCTTGGGGGTGGGGTTTTCGGGCGTCGCCGGAGGACTGATGAGTGCGGTGTAGACCGAGCCGCGTTTGGGCGGAGTGTCGGGGAAGGACAGTGTTGCAAGGAGAGACTCATGAGTGGCCTCGACTTCGTGGAGGGCCTTCTCGTAGTCGGCGAGCTCCTGGATGAACTGGAGAATGGTAGGAACATCTGCAAATCGCGCACCAGAGATGGTAGTTAGCCAAGATGCGGGGCACAGGTGGCATGCGCCGTTGGAAGAGGAAGTACTTGCCCTCAGGGGTCGCGAGTCGAATGGTAGGCTGGCCAGACATGGTGCAGAGATGCTCAAACTACAAGATGTGGAAGAAAGATAGAATGATAGGCTGGTATGGAAGTGAAGAAGATGGTTGAGAAAGATAGCCGGGGGTATAAATACAAGCATGCGGGGCCCGCTTGGCTTCCCCACCGCGTGTTCTGGACCGGCGCTGCGGTTCTACTGAAGGGTGACTAGTCCACGCCCTGTGGTTGACAGCGCGCCAATGGAACCGACGCAGGGACTTCATTCGGGCCCACGGTGGGCTTCAAAAGAGTTCAGAATGGTATGGAACAAGTGAATAAAGAATACTATGTACCAGGTAGGATTACAGTGGCCGGCATGAGCCCGAAACCTACCGCGATGTAATGGCCGCCATCCACTTTTGCTCATCGGTCCTGTGTCGGTCAGCAACGTCTACAATGCAGAGGGAATAGCAAAGGGAATGAGGGGGAAATCTCACCGGTCGAAATGTAGCAGCATCCCCAGGACAGGAACCAGCTGCTTCTGGTAGTTCTTATCCTTCTGCTCCAGGAACTGAAGGAGAACATTCTTCAGATAGATGTAATCGATGGCAGGACCGGTGGGCGTTTCACTTCTCCGAGTCGACGGGCTGCGGTCCTTCGCGACCGGAGATGCAACCGCTTTCCGCGAGCCAGAATCAATGGATGATCGGGACGACTGTGGGTGGTGCCCAAACCGACTTTCCTCTGGCAGGATCTTGGTGGACTTGCGAGCCTTTTCTAATCGAGCGTTGGTCTCCTCCACTGACCGGCGCAGCTCGGCCTTCTCCTTCTCCAGGTCACGGACTTGCTTCTCACTCTCATCCAGCGCATCTCGCAGCCGTGCCATAGCCTGTCGTAGATCATTGAGTTCGTGTGTCGTCTTCTCGGACTCGGCCTCGAGTTGATCCCGTCTACGCTTCCAATCCTTCTGGGAATGCTCCAACTCTTCCTTGTCTTCCTCCACTGTGCGCAAGGCTCGCTCCGCCTCACGCAGCTTACTCTTCAGGTCTTCCAACTCACGCGCCCGCCGGCGGCCCTGAGCACTTGCTTCATCCTCGGCCCTGTCTCGTTCTTCGATGGCAGCCTCCATGCGTTCCTTAAAGTCTCGAACTTTAGCTTCCGCGCGGCCGTCGATATCATTGAGGAGGCGTCGCATTGTCTCGCCCTCCCGTGTCCGCTCGCTCAGCAGACGATGAGCATCCGCTAGTTCTTCCTCCAAGCTCTCACATCGCTCCCGGGCTTCCTTCATTTGCATCCCCAGCTCCCCAGCCTGGTCGCGCATGCTATTCATCAAACTTTGAGCGCTGGAATGCTGTGCAGTCTTCAGCTGGATCTCTTCTCGTAGGCCTGCGAGGTCCTTGTTCAACTGTGTAGCCTGGCTTTCGGCTTCGCGTAGTCGGGTTCGGGCTGCCTTTAATTCGTCCTGGGCCTTGGAAAGGTCCGTTGCTAGCTTCTCCTTCGCCTCCACGGCTTCTTGCTTTTTGCTCTCTGAGTATCGCAGGTCAGATTGAGCAACTGTCAATTTCTCCTCGGCCTTCAGACGGCTCTCCGTCTCCTGTCTGATCTTCTGGTTGAGGGTCTTGACTTCGGTGTCTCTCTCCGAAATAGTAGACTTGAGGGACTTCAACTCCGCACGCAGGTCGTCGTGTTTGCCCTCCAGGTTCCTCAGTTCGGTCGTCTTACCTGTCAACGTCTCTTTTGTGGACTTGAGCTCCGAGGACTCGGCCCGCAGCTTCTTCAATTCCGGCTGTAATTTCTGCAGTGTCTCCCGCAAATCCGTCATATCCTTGAACCGCGTGGCAGCCAGTTGCTGGGCAGCAGAGAGCTCAGTCTCCAGGGTGGTGGATTTGATCTTGAGATTCTCGTATTCGTCCTTCAAGTCGCTATGCGCTTTCTCAGAGTCGGCGTTTCTGGATTCGGCACTCGTCCGTAAATCCACCAGTTCCTTCTCTAACTTGGAAATCGTTTCCTCCAACGCGCTCTTCTCGGCAGCAAGCTCCTTCACCTTGTCCTTTGCCTCGACATGACCCTGGCCAATACTGAGTAGGTCGTCACGAAGACTTTCAATCTCCTCTCTCAAGTCCTCCTCTCCCTTGAGCTTCGAATGCAGGCGATCAATGGCAGCATCCTTCTCTTCCAGGTCCTTTTTCAGCGACTCAATAGTCTGTTCCAGCTCAGCCAGTTTCAAATCTGATTGATCAGCTTGTTCTGCTGGCTGTGGCTTAACCTCAGGGGCAGCATTCTCCGTTGCCTTATTAACATCCTCGCTCGCCTTGCCTCCTTTTTTCTTCTTTTTGTTCTTCTTCTTACCTGCCCCACCACTGCCTGCAGGATTAGCCGCTGGTGTGCTTGGCCCGGGTGAATCTTCTTTTGTTTCCGAAGCTTGCGGTGTAGGAACCAGGCTGTCGCGCAGTTCACTGAAAACTGCTTCCTTCCCACTCGCAATCTGATCTTTGGTCTGTTGCCATTTTTCGTTGTCTTTGAGATTGGCATCAAGGAACCCGACGACGTTCTGCAAGTTACCTAGATCTTCGGTCTTCTGTCCTAATTCAACCTTGATGTTGGTCACAGTTTCTTCCGTCTCCTTGAGCTGAGACCGAAGGCTGTCAACTAATCCTTGTAGGACCCCCAAACGCTTTTCATTAGCTTCCTTCTCCTTCTTCAGCTTTTCCAGTATGGAGTCGAATTCTGCTTGCTGGTCAGCGCTCTTGACCGGAGCAGCCTGAGCCTGAAGTTGCTCAATTTCGTCGGTTCGTTGCTTCAGCTCGAATTTCAGGTTCTCAATCTCGGCGCTAGTCTTTGAAACGGCATCTTCCGACTCTCCAAGCTTGACTTTAAGCTCATCGACTTCCTCTTGCTTCGAAGTCCTGAGCTTCTCCAGCTCCGTATCCTGTTTATCCTTGATATCGCGTAACTCAACAAGCTCCCGAGTTGCAGATTCCAGATTATGGACCATACCCTCCGTCGACTCGCGTGCCACCGATAGATCGCGCTTGAGCGACTCTTCCTGCGACTTCAAAGTCACAATCTCATCCTGCTTCTCTTTCAACTCCGATTCCAATCGCGGGATTTCGCTGTCGAAAGAGAAGAATTCCTCACTGTCAGCCTGCGGCCCAGAGGGTTTCTGAGATTCTTCGGCGGTGTCTTTTGCGCCAGCAACAGTGGACGCCTTCCCTGCCGGTGCAGAACCATCGGTTGTAGATCCATCCGCAACAGTACCGACAGCTGATCCATCGCCTCCCTTTTCTTGGACCTTGTTGTCCTCCTTGAGTTTCGCAACTTCGTCCCAGGCGGCTTTGGTGGCCTTCTGGGCCTCTTCGAACTTTTTCTTGTAGTCGTCCCTCTCAGCCGTTACACGTTTCAGTTCTTCCACCACTAGATCTCCTTTCAGCGAGATCTGGTTCAAGTACTCTGTCAAAGCCTTGGGTTCGCCAATTGACGTCAGAGGGGTATTTTCCCGTAGGGCCGCTTCAAAGGGTTCGATCGACAGGACGCGCGAATGGGCCATTCGGTAGGCTTTGAGGAGATCTGAAGTGTGGTGTACAGTTAGTCAGGTTACTGAACGATCGTTTCACGGCGCTCCTTGCCTTGATAGCGGGATTCTAGTTTGCCCAATCGGCGCAATTTCACCCTTATCTCTGGCGGCAGCTCGGACGGCGACTGGTTCTCCGTCACGGGCTGGGCCTCCGGCTTCTTGGTGGTGGATTCCTCGGCAGTCGCCTTGCCCTCCCCGCCATTTTCCTCCGGGGCAACTTCGGAGCCGCCCGCCGGCTCTAGACGCGGAGTGGCTGATCTACTGGAACCTTCATCATCTCCGATGGCGAATTCAGGCTCGAATTCATTGGGGTCTGGGCCGCGGACGGGGGTTCCAGTGTTCCGTCGCGGACGAGAAGTCCGCCTGGTAGGAGAGAGGTTGCGGCTCGTGGGATGACGAGCGGAGTTGGAGCGCGAGAGAGAGTTCTGAGCGGAGCGTTGACGAGCTTGTTCCTCTGCAATCCGAGAATCGATTGCGTCGCGCAGGCGCTATATTATGAACAGGGCGAAATCAGCCATAAGCAGGGGCACGGGGACAGATGGCACGGGGGAGGTGGAACGGGGAATGGACAAGATCCGAGTCGGGTAAATAGTAATCGACAGGTCGTCAAGGTAAGATCGGTGGGCGGACACGTACCTGAAACATGACCGTGGCGGGCCTGTGAGCCAAGGCCACAGCTACACTGAAGAACGAAAGACAGACGAAGAAAAGATGACCGCAAACAAGGACTAGGAAAAGCAGGCGATAGAAAGGGAAGAAGGGGAGCATATGAAATGCAGCCTGGAGCGGTTGCAGCTCATCCACGGGGCGTTGGCTGGCCGTTGGGCGGCCAAGCGTCGGCACGCGGCAGAAAGGCGGAGCCGGTCCCAGGCGGTGAACATCTGATGCCTCTTATCTACCGAGTGCAACTAGATACTAGATAGACTACTAGATAGTACTACTCTCTCGCAGGTTGGAAGGAAGACCTCGCTCATCCATTCCTCTTTGCAACCCTGGGAGCCTTGCTCTATCCTGTCTATATGTCACACGATACTATGATCTCTCTCTGGTGTGATATCCCATAGACGAACTACCAGGTCCTATATATAGAAGCGGGTCATGGACGATGGTCACAATCTCTCTACTCTCAGTAGTCCAAATAGATGATAGCACTGACACATAAAGGGGAGGCACGAGAAAAGAAAAGTATAGTTTAAGAAAGAAAGGGTTTACGAAAAGGAAATGGAATTGATGCAAACCGACTCTATCAACCCCGGTTTAGAGCACAGAAGCATGATACTATGTACGACTGGTATATATTTCTAGTAACTTCGACAGTAGTACTCTGTACGACTATCTGTATAGCCTCCAATTCAGTATAAAATACCACGTAATCTAGCAACTATCATTATGATTTTTTTGCATTTATCCTTGGTTGATATGCCTAATCCTCCGATCATCAAGCATCAGTACGGAACCCTCCTGCTGATGCCTGCATGCCAAGGAAGCACTGGCACCGCCCGGGTTTCTGCCCGAGTCCGCCTTTTGCTCCTGCGTCTGACAACCAGCCACAGGCATTCCTGGATGCACGTTCTCCCCTGCGTTAACGATGCTGGCTCTGACTAGGCTAGCTGCTGTCTACCAACCATCATCTGGATTAATCCGCGAGTACGAGGGTGAATGAAAGAGTGGAGCGGAACGAAAAAGGAGAAGCACGAGCTCTGGGGTGGCGCTGCCTTGGTTATCAGTAGCTGGTCCTTAGCGGCTGGTCTCCATCGACTTGGTGGAAGCTCAGGGAATCATGGCCTATGACGGAATAATCGCCGCGCCCTCACTTGAATCTTCAAGTCTGGGCTCTGGCCTTGTACCTCTCGCATCCTCCTCGACTTCCGCACGATCACTTGCAACCTCACATCCCGCCTTAACCGCCAGCTTTTCTGTCGTGTCCGGCTTCTCTTCCCATCTTCCACCCCCGCCCTTACCCCCTCCAGCACCCTCAACCATGGTGGGGTGGATCGGTTGGGTATTTACCTTCGTTTTCCAGGTCATTCCAAGTATCCTATACTGGATAGTTACCTTTTCAACCATCACCTTGCCCACATGGCTGTTCACGCTCTTTTCGATGAGTCTAACATTCACTATGAATTTCACAACCCTGTGAGTCCCTGGCCGTACCCAATTGGGAACTGGAGAAACATTTCTCGTGCCGATTGATGCTAACCATGACTGTTCGGATCGGCAGGCTTTTGATCGCGCTGGCCGTGGTCTCGACAATCAGCTGGTTCATTCGTTACCGTTTCCTCAATATGTACAGTCGTCTGCCCCCGGAGCCCCAGCGCAAGGAACCCCAGATCGACCTCTTCCCCGACGTACCAGAGGGTGACACCAAACCGGGCCTAGCCAACTACCTAGACGAGTTTCTGAGCGCTATCAAGGTCTTTGGGTACCTAGAAAGACCAGTGTTCCACGAGTTGACTCGTACGATGCAAACGAGGAAGTTGATCGCGGGCGAGACCCTCCTCTTGGAGGAAGAGAAAGGGTTTTGCTTGGTTGTCGATGGCTTGGTTCAGATCTTCGTCAAGTCCGTGCGGGACAGAAAGTCGGGCACAGAAGAAGACTTTACCCGCATGGCAGGCGAATCTTCCGATGACGACGATCATCGGATGGATGGGAGGCAAGGATATCAGTTGCTTACCGAAGTCAAGAACGGAGCTTCGATGTCGTCCCTATTTTCTATCCTATCGCTGTTTACCGAGGATATCCAGTTGCGATATGCAGACAGCTCAGCTTCTAGTACCTCCAGCATAGGCCTGGGTCCTGCCCGTGCACCAGACTCATTTCCGGCCAGCCCTGAGGGTATGGCGGATTTCCCGCATGCACTTCCAAGGGATGATGTTGACCCAATGTCTAACATAGGCAGTAGTACAGATGATCTTCCAGCTGTGCCTCCATTACACCTGGGGGAAAGTCAGGTCCCGCCTGCCGACTCTTCTCGTTCTGAAAATGAAAGGCACTCAGGCAAAACACGTCGGAAATCGGTACATCCGGATATAGTTGCACGAGCAATGGTGGATACGACCATCGCTATTATCCCTGCAAGCGCATTTCGTCGCTTGACACGAGTGTATCCGAAAGCGACCGCTCATATCGTTCAGGTAATTCTTACGCGTTTACAGAGAGTCACTTTTGCTACGGCGCATTCTTATTTGGGCCTTAACAATGAGGTGCTGGGGATAGAGAAGCAGATGACAAAGTTCACAACCTACGATTTGCCAAACGATCTGCGTGGGGCAGCTTTGGACCGTCTCAAGGATAAGTTTATCAAAGAGCGGGACCGTCTAGGCCACGAGGAAGTTACCAAAGGGATTGCACTACATAATCCATATGCCGGGAGAAGACCCAGGTCGAGCAGCTTTCGAAGGAAAGAAGCTGTTCTTCAGGCAAGGATGGCAGCCTCGAAACGACCGGTCTCTATGGTTGCTCATGACAATGCTCTGAGCGATCGGGAGAATGCTGGAGTGAGTCCGGGGGATCTCCTATCTACCATTCAGCTTTCGCGGTTTGGCCCTAGGTACGAGCACCTTGCTCCGAGGTTACTGAGTCCCCTTACCGAGAAAGAGCATTCTCCTCTACGGTCCCCATCTCCTATGCTTCCAGGACGCGGCTCTCCTTTTCATCGCAAAGAATCCATTGATGAGGATGCTCTCTTTCGTGAATCGATATTGGAATGTATTATGAAAGGCATAGGCTTGACTGGAAGCACCAATGATTTCCTCCGCAAGAGTAGCCATGCTTCGGGCGACGCCTCCCCGAAGCTCCTCTCCTACGACTCTCGCCGCCAGAAAGCGGTGTTTAGCAATAATGCATTTGGGTTTATTGACCCCTACGAAGGTTCCGCAGATGGTGAAACCGAATCTGTCATGTCTATGTCTGTTACCAGTGCCGGTGGCACCTCCCCAATTGTCAGTTTGCGGGAAGAATTGCGAAACGATATCGAGATTGTCTACTTCCCCCAGGGCTCGGTTCTGGTCGAGCAGGGCGAGCGTCATCCGGGTCTGTACTACGTCGTTGACGGTTTCCTGGACGTCGGTATTCCCGTCAATGACAAAGAAGAAGATCTTGTGGGATCCTCTAGACCTGCGCAGGAGGAGATTTTCCCTATGCTGAGGCGTACTAATACGAGTTCCTCTCGGGTCTCAGGTTCAGGGGCAGCAGCAAACGATCCTCGACGGAAGAAACAGTCACGAAAGTCACTTTATCTCATCAAACCTGGCGGAATTCAAGGCTATGTGGGCGCTGTTGCATCTTACCGCTCGTATACTGACGTTGTTGCGAAGACGGATGTATACGTAGGATTCCTTCCGCGGGCGTCACTGGAGAGAATAGCGGAGCGATATCCCCTTGCCCTGTTGACATTGGCAAAGCGATTGACAAGCCTGCTACCACGGTTACTTCTCCACATCGACTTTGCCCTTGAATGGGTGCAAGTGAGTGCCGGCCAGGTGATATACCACCAGGGCGACGAAAGCGACGCTATCTATCTCGCCTTGAATGGGCGACTCCGCTCTGTTCTGGAAGGCCCAGATGGCAAAATGACGGTTGTTGCCGAGTATGGCCAGGGAGAAAGTGTCGGCGAATTGGAGGTGATGACCGAATCGACCCGCCCGGCGACTCTTCACGCCATCCGCGACACTGAACTTGCCAAGTTTCCCCGGACGCTTTTCAATAGTCTGGCACAGGAGCACCCGGGAATTACCATCCAGGTCTCTAAACTCATCGCCCAACGGATGAGAGATCTGGTTGAAAATCCGATGACCGAGAAGGGAATTGAACCGAGCGGTTCTGGCATGGTGAAGACCGCCAGGTCTACCCTTAACCTTCGTACCGTTGGCATTCTTCCTGTGACGGCTGGGGTGCCTGTCGTTGAATTCGGCAATCGGCTGCTCCAGGCGCTCCACCAGATTGGGGTGACGAACGGCGCCACGTCTCTTAATCAAGCGGCCATCCTAAATCATCTAGGCCGACACGCCTTCAGCAAGATGGGAAAGTTGAAATTGTCCCAGTATCTAGCAGATCTCGAGGAAAAGTATGGCATGGTCCTCTATATTGCAGATACCACAGTGAACTCTCCCTGGACGCAAACATGCATTACCCAGGCCGACTGTATTCTGCTGGTCGGCCTTGCCGAGTCATCGCCCAGCATTGGTGAATACGAGAGGTTTCTGCTTGGTATGAAGACGACAGCTCGGAAAGAACTGGTCTTACTGCACGGGGAGCGGTACTGTCCTCCTGGGCTGACCCGTCAGTGGCTGAAGAATCGTGTCTGGATCAACGGAGGCCATCATCATATCCAAATGGCCTTCCGCCTAACGGCCGAGCCCTCTCACCCTCAGGCGAAGCGCTTCGGGACCGTCTTGAAGCAGAGAGTCCAAGTTCTCCAAGCTGAGATTCAAAAGTATACCTCACGCCGGATTCGCCAATCGCCGCTATACTCTGCACAAACACCATTTAAGGGCGACTTCCATCGGTTGGCGCGTCGGTTGTGTGGCCGGTCGGTCGGGTTGGTGCTCGGTGGAGGAGGAGCCAGAGGCATTGCCCAGGTTGGCGTAATCAAGGCTCTTGAAGAAGCCGGGATCCCCATTGATATAATCGGGGGCACTTCCATTGGCTCATTCATTGGTGCTCTCTATGCGCGGGACGCAGACGTTGTGCCAATGTATGGTCGCGCCAAGAAATTTGCTGGCCGGATGGGAAGCATTTGGCGGTTTGCCCTGGACCTAACATACCCGACCGTGTCCTATACCACCGGTCATGAATTCAATCGTGGCATCTTCAAGACGTTTGGGGACAGTCAGATTGAAGACTTCTGGCTGGAATTCTACTGCAACACTACCAACATTAGCCGGTCGCGTGCTGAATACCACTCCTCCGGTTACACATGGCGGTACGTTCGTGCGTCCATGTCACTGGCCGGTCTGATCCCGCCGATTTGCGATGAAGGTAGCATGCTCCTCGATGGTGGCTACATTGACAATCTTACCGTCGACCATATGAAGGGCCTGGGTGCCGATGTGATCTTTGCTGTCGACGTGGGCTCCCTGGACGACAACACTCCGCAAGGGTACGGGGACTCCCTTTCCGGAATCTGGGCGGTGGTGAATCGGTGGAATCCCTTCTCCTCGTGCCCCAACCCCCCTACCCTGTCTGAGATTCAAGCGCGCTTGGCGTATGTGTCATCGATTGAGAACCTTGAACGGGCCAAGAACACGCCCGGATGCTTGTACATGCGACCGCCGATCGATCGGTATGGAACCCTGGAGTTTGGCAAGTTCGACGAGATCTACCAGTTGGGGTACGCCTACGGCAAGGAATATCTGGACAAGCTTAAGCGAGAGGGGTCTCTGCCGCTGCCCGAAGAGACGGAGGAGAAGAAGAAGCTTCAGCGGACCCTGGCGCCACGTCGGGCGAGTATCTGATTGATTCTCTTGTCTTTTTACGAAGCCATGTCACCAGCGGAGCTGGTATCCTGTCTTTCAGCGTTGATCTTGTGCTGTATACCCGAGATTATCTGCACGGCTTTCAACCCGGATGTGTACATAGACGCGTAGACCGCGAACCCGATCAATTCCGCCTTTGCAGATCGGTTATTATTAGTGGAGTGTAGTGTACGGAGTAGTGCTGGATAGTTGGAGGGTGAGCGGGCTGGGCTGGGAGGGGAGGGGGTCCGTCCCCAATTTTCCCTCGGATGATTCGCGGCCCAGCAGAGTCTAGACCGCATCCCGTCCATCAACGAAGAATCCCTGCCACTGGATGGACGGCCCGGATCGTGCGGAAAGCCGCTCTTGCTTCCATCTCACTTCCTTCATCCCATCCTCCCATCATCCCTTTGGCCATCGCATCACCCCGCGGAGGTATTACCAAGAGACCTGCCAGTCGCGCTGCTGCTGAACCTGCCGGTGAATTGTGGTGAGTGGCGGCAGGGACCCCTCCAGCCCATTCAGTGAATGCCACTAGGTAACTAACCACCCACATGCGGGATACATTATTAGCCAAGTTGGCCCTCTCCAGTGTGCCCCAGAAAATCATCTACCAGCCCGATTGAACCGGATGTCAACTGCTTGCGCGCCCTGTCTTACTAACCCCCAAAGCCACCTGTCGAGCCGAAGCTGCAGGATCCCAAACTCTAATACAACTCATCATGCAAGGCTGAGCCCATCTCTCGACCTCCCACTTCCATCATCCTCGGTCTGGAGGAAGACCCATCCAGGAACCTATCCAGGTTAATTCACCCCCTCCATCACTAGGAGCTACTGGAAATGGTCCAATCAGCAAGGCCAGCCCTATGTTCGAGAGCGCTGTGTACATGGTGCTCTGTCATACTTTGCTTCGGTCTACTGGGCCTGTTGTACATGAGACTGCTGAAAGACGATTTCACTCTAATCCTTAGTGAGTTCCAGACCTGCCAAGTCGACATAATGCGGTCGCTGATGCCATGCAGATCGAGTCGAGAAATATCCAGCTAAGCACCGACCGAATGCACTGGTTCTGGCCAAAACCCGCTCGGAAGATGTTTCCTGGGCATACACCCTCGAGCCCCAGTAAGTGTCCCCGACCCACTCCTGGTCTCGACCAAGTAGAAGCACGGGACACTTATTAGTCTGGTAGCTGGAAACCCTTCATCTACACGTCCGATCAAGAGCCCGGGTACTATGCCATCCCGGCAAACAAGGCCGGCGAGGGTATGGCGTACCTGACGCACATCATCGACTTCTACGACCGTCTGGCAGATGTCACGGCATTCATGCATGCTTCCGCCACCCAGTGGCATAATGATGTCGGCGACATGGTGTCATCGTCCCTGCTTCTAAAACTCAGCCTGGATGCAGTGAAACGGGCTGGATATGCGAACCTCCGCTGTCAGCACCGCCCCGGGTGTCCGGTGGCTGTGCGCCCGTTCGATCCTGCTATGGCTTCAAACCATAACGTTGTGTATCGCAACTTCACTTCGATCTATATGGATCTATTTGCCGTGCCACGTGAGCAAGTGCCCACCGAGGTCGGCGGGGTCTGCTGTGGCCAATTCGTGGTCACGAGGGACCGGATCCGAGGACGGCCAAGAGAAGATTATGTGCGATTGCGCGACTGGGCTCTAGCAACTGATATGGACTCATTTGCTGCAGGGTCTGTGTTTGAGATGTTGTGGCATATTATCTTTCTCGAGCAACCCATCTCGTACGTTATGCATTTCTATACGAGTCCGGATCCAGTGGGATTGAATGCTAACTTGATCAACAGGTGTCCTGATGCCCAGCAGTGTTATTGTGAGCTTTATAATTTATGTCCCGATAATAATGACCACACTTGAACCATTAATCTTATTTCACTCCGTGAGGTTAAACATTGACCGTAAACTAAAGCATACGTCGGTTCGCTGACCTGAAAGCGTATAATGCTCCCTTGGATAGCTTATCACCAGACCGCGTGGGATCCCAGTTGATGCCCTGACTGGATCGGCTCCGGCAGTCAGCCTCGAAGGATTTGATCCCCGAGCCCAAGTGGCGCTGCGCACAGCATCAGGCCCTGTTTTAGGATGAAGCGCCGCTCCTTCATGCAGGATCCCTGACAAGCCTCGTATCCCGATAATCCAAGAATGCATCTGGTAGGTTCCTCATCCCGTGTTCTTCCTGGCCGCGCTGCATCTAAAATCGCCGGGTCTCCACTCGTCCGACTAGGATTGGGCCTAGCCAGTCTTTCCGTCCACTGAGCGAGGCTTGTCAAGCCAAGAATGCAGGTGGTCCTGCCTCATGAATGATGCTCTCGTTTTTACCCTCGGCGATATCGCAAACCGGTCACATCCCCGGTGCCCTTGGCTTTCACCCCATTCATTCGTCCTGCCTTAACAAACCCAGCAGCAACAGAATGAAGGGCTGTGATCTTCTAAAGAGCCTCTGGGCAGCGGTTGTACACCGTCACTTGGTGTCCTCGTCCGACGAGTTATAGTGCTCATCGGCTTCCATCCGCTTTCCTTCTTTTTGCGGCCCCAGTTCGTCAAAATGTCACCATCAGGGACGCAAATCAGTTTGGATGATCTGTCTCATCGCTCCTCACGTCCACGTCCCAGCCAGGAGGATAACCGGCAATTACTCCCCAGTAGCGCAAGTTCAACCTCATCACGTCGTGGCTCGTCTGATTCCACCAGTCGCGCATCGAATGCTGGCCTCCAACCTGATGCTAGCAACAATGGAGATCACAGTGACAGCGACAGTGGTGTGACTGCAGAATCCCACGATGATTCGGAGAGCGATGATAGCATACCGCTACGGACCACAGAGAAAAGGAAATGGCGGTGGAAACACCTCGTGATGGATTCTGGGACCGACGAACCCTACCAACTACACGATGACAGTGCCACATTGACTCGTCTTGTATTCTTAAGGCTGGTGGCTGTCACAATCATAATAGGGTCAGCCTGACTACCCCCGAACCGTGCTGAGGCGCTAACCATCAATCAATGCGCAGTGCCATCGTCCTTGGTGCGCGCGGCCAAAGCTTCGATCTCGCATCCCATACGGTCGAGAACGGAATCGTAGTCGACCAAGATGCGCAGCTGGCCATCATCGGTCTGGCTAACACTATCCTCCAGTTCCTGACGCAGGAAGCCCTTCTACACATTTCCGCGACACTGATCACAAAATGGATGACCGGCAAAGGCGAAAAGGGAGCCAGCTCAGTCGATTTTGACCTCCTTGACGAATTCAAGAAACCTTGGACAGCTGCCTCCAAATTGAAGGAACGATGCAAGATCGGCACTCGGAAATCGCGCGCCTGGTTGCAGTTCATCGGGGCCCTTGTCGTCGGCATCAGTATCCTTCTCCTCGGTGCGGCCATGAACACCATCGCGATACCCAAATCTCGCTGGTGGCCCGACACACGGTTCGAAGCACCACAGCCCCCAGACGATCGATTCTACTTTGTAAATCAGACATCCCGGGTCGCAAGCGTCAGCCGAATGCCACTCTGGGGCCAAGCATGGGAGATGATCCGGGAAGGAGGAACGGCTTCCTGGGAAATGGTACGGTACTCTGGCCCTACTACACCTCTGGCCTCCATCCTAATTGTCGTGCGAACCACAGGCTCACACCCTCGCCGCATACCGCAGCCTCAATGCATTGAGCAAATTATATGATACCTTCAACAACGAGGCCGGCTGGCAATCCATTGGTGATAATGATGCCCCAACCTTTAGCGCCATCGAGGTCACCAATGCCTCCACTCCCTCCATCCGCTCCATGGCCATGCACGGTGACCTCGCCATAGCCATGTACAATCAGCAAAAGGCGCAGAACTCACACAGCTGGGCCCGCGACTCAACAGGCTGGTATGCCAGGCTCTTCATGCCCGGCATCCTCCTGGACACCTCCTGCATCCCCAATAACGACACTCTTGCCACGGGCTCCTGGACAGCAACAACCTCATCCACCAATTCCACCATCACTGTCACCATCGGACCAGCTACAAATACATCCACTAGCACAGGCACTTTCAATGGCGCAATCTGTTACATCAACGTCTACCAGGCCCAAGTCGCCCTTCAGCAATGGTTCTATAGTGGCACCGGCAACTATGACTACAGCATCAACAACTACGGCGCAGACATGTACCCGGAGATTAGCTATCTGGACCCTCCAAGCACGACCGAAACCCTCGCCATTTCCACCGAGACGACCTCCTGGTTCGAGGCCATCATACCCAACCTTCAAGCTTTCTCAACCAATAAAGAAGTCCTCAATCTCACCTCGCTTGCCGTCCTCCTTGCCGATGACCTCGTCAGCTTCAACCGGGGATACTCGCAATTGGACGGCTTAGCAGCTGTGATATCCACCATCTTCACGGATATGGTCACATCGTTTGATTGGACGTATGCTGTATCTTCCGGGAACACGACGATGCAGGGACCTATCCGGTGGCAGATATACGGATCCGGGCCACGGTTACCCTGGGAATGGGTCATTGCGATTGTCCTGGGGGTTGGGATCGGGGTGCAGGTGTATGATCTTGTGCTTCTGGGATGGTGGAGGGGGCTGGCGAAGGGGCCATGGCTGAGCTTGGATGGGATGCTGGTTGCGGCGAACAAGGCCCCCATGATGAAGGTGCTGCAGAATGGAAAAGGGGGTGGGTATGTCTCGGATGAGGCCCGGCAGGCGAGGTTCTTCGTTCGTCAATTGGCGAGTGACCTGGAGGGGCAGAGGGAGGGGGATGCAGTGTTGGTTAGTGGAGAGGAACTGCAAGAAGAGGAAGGAATGTATGTGGAGTTACAGCCGGGGAAGGCATATAGGGAACAGGCCACAGCCGCCTGAACAGTATGTCCATCCATGCCTCCGCGACGGATGCATGTCCATGGGAATGAACCCACCCCCTTGATTCAACGGCATTTCTCGGCGATCTCGACGACGAACCAGCCTGCGCGCTCCTTACAACTCCCCCCTTCCCCAGGGACTCCAACCAAGGACACGGCGCGTCCATTGGCTTTGTCCGCGGAAATCCTATGTCCCCTCCACACGTCACAACATGCTCCCCCGAGTCATTCAAACTGCAGCAGTCCTGCTAACCCTGGCCCACCACCTCGCAGCCTTGCAACCAGATCCCGGGAGCTTCCGCACAGCCGCTGCAGTCAACGATGACGGGTTACCGATATCCCTTCAAACGTGTCTCGGTGACACCGGAGCCGAGGTCGTATACCCCACAGACTCCGAGTACGCCAATCTCACCCTGCCGGACAATAGCAACTACCATCCTCATCCCCAAGTTATTGGTATCCCCAAATCCACGCAAGAAGTCGCAGCGATCGTCCGCTGCGTGTCCGCCGAGCAGGGCCAGGTTACTCTCAGCCCTCGCGGCGGCGGACATGGCTATGCTGCGTACAGTTTCTCCGGCCAGGTTGTGATCGATTCTAGCCAGATGACCGACATTGTCCTAAATGAAACCGCACAAGAAGTTACCGTGCAGATGGGCCAGACCATTGGCACCCTCGCCCTGACTATCGGCCGCGCAGGATACGCCTTACCGCATGGCACCTGTCCAGGTGTCGGCATTGCAGGCCACAGCCTCGGTGGAGGATGGGGATATACCTCACGCCAATGGGGATGGCTAGTCGACCGACGTGAGTCCCCAACCCTCCCTACCCCGATCAACCACCCAGCTAACCACTAACCAAGTGGTCTCCGTCGAGCTCGTCGACGTAACCGGCAACATTCACACCCTTAGCCCGACAAGCAACACCACCGACCCAGACCTCTGGTGGGCCATTCGCGGCGCCGGCTCAAACAACTTCGGGATCATCACCTCCTTCACCTATCGCATGGAACCCGCCCCAACGGCCATCACCAACTACAACATTGACTTTGCCACGCAGTCCGACTGCGTGCAAGCCTTACTTACCCTTCAAGACCTGGGCTCCCAGCCCGACGGCCTCCCCACCTCCCTAGGCGGCGAACTCATCATAACAGGTGGCTACACAGCCCCAAACGCCTACTGCTCCTTCACAGGCCAATACTTCGGGACCCCATCATCCTACAACAGCACCATTCATCGCTTCCTCACCCCACTAGCCCAACAATCCATCCACCCCCAATCCACCACCTCCCCCTCCTTCACTGACTGGGTCTCCGCCCTGACCGACCTAATGGGCCCCCTCGACGCCCCCTCCATTCCTCAACCCTACTACGCCCAATCTCTCCTCGACTCCGGATCCCCAAACTACACCGCCACCACAGCCTCCGCCATCCTCAGCGCCGTCCAACCCGCCGGCCCCGCAGCCCACATCTCCTTCGATCTAAACGGCCCTTCCTCCGCTACCAACCAACCCCCGCAAAACGACGTCGGTCCCATGTCATTCCTCCACCGCAACAGTCTGTTCCTGGCGCAGATCTACGCGGCTGATTTTCCGGGCTTTGATGATCCCGGGAGAGATGAAGCGTTGGATAAGATCTGGGCGATCTCAGATGCAGTACGCAGCGCAGACCCGGATGGTGATTGGCACGCGTATCAGAATTACATCGATCCGAATTTGGATAACTGGGGACCGATGTATTACGGGGATAATTTGGACAGGTTGAAGGAGGTTAAGCAACGGGTGGATCCGAACCATGTGTTGGATTTTCCGCAGGGGTTGGGAAATGCTTGATGGGCGTGTCTGTTACGTAAGTGTTTTGGGTAGGTGGGTATAGACTTGATAGATTAGAATTCTACATATAGATGTGTGCGTGCGTGTGTGTGTGTGAGGGGAGGGGGGAGAGAGAGGGGGGGGGGGCGTTGCATCCTGTCCTGTCATAGCTATACTATAGCTATAGCCAAAGCCAGTCCTTAATGCATTCAACCAGCATCATTAAAACCATCTTCTTCTCCTTCCTAACAATCATCAGAAACGCACGACCATATCACCTCAAAGCAAGTAAGTACATGAGTAAGTAGTAGTAGTAGTAGTAGTAGTAGTAGTAGTAGTATTAGTAGTTCAGAGCCCTACATATCTTGTTCCCTCTAGGCTCTGGCTGAAAATGCATATATCTCCCCGGTCCTTCTGCCCATAACTCACATATGCAGTCTAGTAGTATAATCTCAACTTGACTAGTAATATATAACATGTCGTAGTATCATGGAGAAATAGGAACAGAACAGCCTTTTCACCCCTCTAGCACAGAGTTTCATAGTTCCAAAATACCAATTTATCTAACTCTGTAGATGATACTGTGAAACCTCCCACCACAGCGCCCTGACCGGTACTAAGAACGCCTCATCGGACCAGATGAACTGTCTCATACACTGATGTAATTCCGGCCACGACAAGTCAGGAGACGAGGCAAGGAGCAAGTTTAAATAACCAGAGCGGATTGGTCCGATGGGAGAAAATGCGCCGCCGATATAGAGTAGCCAGACGAGCAGATCGGCATCGATGTCGTCGTCGTCGTCGTCGTCGTCGCGCAGTTCTCGGATTTTGAAAAGGAGCTGGGATGAGATGTGGGGCTGTATACTCCCGAATATGATGAAGTTGGTATGAATTCTATGTGCAGCGAGAACTTGTACTTACCGGAATTACCAACTCACACCAAATCTTACAACACAAAGTTATGGAACACAAATACGCGGCAAGACGACAGCACTCCTGCGAGCGAGATAGGCCCGATAAGGCCATGAGTCGGGATTGGATCGACGCGATGTGGTTATTGATATGGAGCATGCCCAGTGCACCGGGTTGCGGCAGCGGTCGAGGAAGATTTCGAATGCATTGCAGTGCGTGCAGATCTTCAAGCACTGCACGGAACTCTCGATTGAGGATGTATGATCGACATTGGAAACCTGATGGGAGATGATAGAAGTTTGGCACGAATGCATCACGTGTCCAGAGGAGGGCAGCGAACGTGGTGTGGTTGACTATGCGTCTGGTGTTGGCGAGGAGGGAGGAATTTAGGTCTTGCCTGGGCATTTATATCATCATATGATATGATCAGTCCAGAGTACAGTACTAAGGATAGGAGCAGTCTCACTCACCAGAATATGGCTCGCTTGATTCCCGGAGTAAGATAGACGCGCTTTCTCTGGCAGATCTTCAAGAGCTGCTGCACTGCGCCCATGTGAAGTTCGACTTGACTGGTTAGTCCAAGGCAAGCCTATTATCATCAGTAATCAAACACTAGGATTAGTTTCACTAGCTCACTTTCATTGACATACCACTACACCCGCGATCAGCAATATAGCCCCGATAGTCGCTTCCGAAGCAGCATCATCCTCTGAATCCATCCGCTCACGGATATAGGTAATCGCTTGACCCTGATATCGCAGACACTCCTGATCAAGGCTACCGCCGGTGACGGCAAACGCCAGGGCCAGCATCACAGCATTCATCAAAGCGGGATCGTGGAAGCCCGTTCGGAAGACCGAGTGAAAGCTCTGGAAGGCAAGTTCCTCGGCCAGGCTGAAGACAGGCTCGGTCGCTTGCCTGGCCCTGTCTGGGAGTCAGTCAGTGGAAAAGAAGAAAAAGAAAAAGAATAGAAATTAACAAACAGGAAGTTCTACTTACAATCACCAAGTAACGCCTGTAGCCTCGATGAGTCCACTGCGAGGGCCTGGAACGGATCGAGGGACCCCGAGAGGTGGGTACATGGTTTTGCTATCTCGACTGGATGATCGAGATTGCAATTGCGATTGAGATTCAAGTCTTCACTTGTGGTTACAACGAAATTGGTCCGGGAAAGTTGCTGCTCTTTCCGTTTCCTTGCCAGCGCTTTCTTGACTGCGTGGGAGCGCGCCTGACGACGCTGCATCGTCTTATCCTTGACGTGCCCGTTGACTTGGATCGAGATGAACTGGAAATCTCCGGCCATTTTCTTCTTACTCTTAGCAACCAGTGCCGTCCTCATGAATAGTGTACAAGAAATGGGATATCACTTTGCTTGGTAATCCGATGGACGAAAAGAGGACTATTCCTAATTAGGAAGAATCTCATTTCCTGTTTGGGAATAATCTGGTTGCCCTAAACAGTTCAAGCTTGCATCATGCAAATTTGAAAGCCAGATATTATCATCAGCATTTCTGAAATAGAATAACCTTCTTACTTCATTTGGCCCTGCCCATGTCAGCCACGATGATAACGAAGGCAGCTGCAGGGAAGGAAGGATACTTAAACAAGGCCGGTTTTACCAATATCAATATCATGAACGTTCAGAATCCAAGACAGTCATACTCCCTACTCTGTAACAATGACAGAAACACGCCTCTTCAAGCCCCTCCAAATCGGCCCCATCCAAGTCCAGCACCGCATCGGAATGGCCCCTTTAACCCGCCGCCGCGCAACCCCAGACCGAATCCCGAACCCCATGATGAAAGAGTACTACACCCAACGAGCCTCCGTGCCCGGAACCCTCATCATCACCGAGGGGACCCTGATCTCCGCCGCCGCTGCCGGCGGATTCCCCAGCGCTCCCGGCATCTGGCGGGCCGACCAAATAGCCGCGTGGAAGGAGATCACCGACGCGGTTCATGAACGGGGTAGCTTTATCTACGTGCAGCTGTTCGGGATGGGTCGCGCGGCCGAGGCAGCGGTGGCCACGAGCGAGGGGATCGAGATCGTGGCCCCCAGCGCAGTCCCCATCCCATATGACGAAAACCCCGACGCGCCGACGCCGCGGGCCATGAGCCGTGCCGAGATCCAGCAGACGATTGTCGACTTTGTGACGGCGGCGCAGAACGCCCGCGCGGCGGGCTTCGATGGGGTCGAGATCCACGGCGCCAACGGCTACCTCCTAGACCAGTTTCTCCAGGACACGAGTAACCAACGGGACGACGAGTACGGGGGCAGCGTAGCGAACAGATCCCGACTGCTTCACGAGGTGCTGCAGGCCGTGGTGGAGGTGATGAGCGCGGACCGGGTCGGGCTGCGACTGAGTCCCTGGTCTCAGTTTCAGGGGATGCGCATGGAAGATCCGGTGCCGCAGTTCGCGGATATTGTTGACCGGGCCCGCGGCTTAGATCTCGCGTACCTTTCTCTCGTTGAGGCGCGAATATTCGGGGCATGGGTTGACGAGGGGAGTAGTGTGGAAGAGGAGGAGACGTTGGACTTTGCGTTCGAGCGCTGGAATGGGCCGATTCTGGTGGCGGGGGACTATGGGCTGGAAAAGGCGCGGAGGCTGGTCGATGAGCAGTACCCGAACAAGGAGATCGTGGTGTTGTTCGGACGGCATTTCATCTCGAATCCCGACCTGGTGTATCGGTTCAAGGAGGGGGTCGAGTTAACCAGGTACCAGCGCGAGACGTTCTATGAGATCGGCTCGGCGAGGGGTTATGTGGATTATCCATTTAGCGAGGAGTTCTCGTTGTATGGAACAGAGAAATATCTGGAATCCGGTTCTCAATAATTGGCTAGTTGGCAATGCCACCTGTTCTTGGTTAATCGAAGTACTGACGCTATCCTCACCGGTTAGAACTACCGAAATGGGTGGATTCCCCGCGTGGTAGATTGTATGAACAAAACATGAAGTCGAGTAGTGTGTTGGAAGTAGGAGAATCAACGATATTGCCACAGCCGTGGCCCTAAACGGCAGGCGCCCCTGCGCGTTGTCCCTTCCCCTTACGGAGGCAGATACCCACAGTACCGAGTATGAAAGATGGTTTATACCGGCGGGGATAATTTGGTATGGATTATAAATCATAATAAGTAGTAAATGTTACACAGAACATTTCAGTAGTACTGAAATATGCAGTAGAAGGGAAGATAAGAGCAGAGCACAGTATGTAAAGAAAGACATGGGATTATTGCAGTAATTAATAATGATAGTAATAGTAACCCTAACCACTTCACTTCACTCCATCTATTCACACCTTCCAACTACCTCCCCGGTATCTTCTTCTCATCTCGTCATTCAAACATAGCTCGCGCGTTCAGCTCATCGTAGGTACATAACGAAGGGATATTATAATGCGGGATATCGAATATTAACGTCGTCAGGGTGGATGTTCAATCATATCAAATATGGTATCATAGTTGGTCGTACGTATTATCATCTCGATGAGCAGGGTGGTGCCGCTGCAGACGGTCAGGCAAATCGATGTAACTCGCCAGTCGAGATGCACTGGTAGATTATATGTCTAGACCGTGGCCACCGGGGCATCGGCTGGACCGCCATGGGCTCCACCGGTGTTCTTCTCGCGGACCGGTGTGCTCTCGCGACGGTAGGCCCAGAGAGCCCCGACTTCAAGGAAGATAGCAAAGAAGGTGAAGATGCTGGTATGATATTAGTTATGGTTGTGGTGCTGTAAGGTGACTGGAGGACGTACAATGTCAGAAACATGAATGCTTCATTGGCCCTCTTCTTGGAGCAGCTGGCGCCCGGGGGAGCGTCAAAGTAGCAAGAATGCCAGTTGTAGTCTTGCGCAGCGAAGATGAATGCCGTGAGCCAGCTGTCATGCAGTTAGTATCAAGTGTGGATCCATGGTCGAGGATAACACGTACAGGTACGAGAAGACGACATCGACGCCCAGAACAAACTTGCTCAAGGCATTGGGCAGGAATGGCGAGACAAAGGCGGGCAGGAAGAAGACGACAGACATGGTTGACTATGCCAGCATTAGCAATAGCGGGGTTACACCCAGGATAGGACTTCCATACAATAATTTCCTGGTAGATGATGTGCTGGCCGCGAGGTCCTCGGTGGATGAAGTAGGAGGTGATACCCATCACGATGACTGCACTGGCCCATTGCATGAACCGAGTGACCAGCTGCAGTGGACGGGCCACGGTACTGGAGAACATGGCGGCGGTTGACTGGACTGGCGTATAGATGGAACTGAAATCAGAGTGCAAGGCAGATTATTGGGCGAGAGTTCCCGTGGCAGGCTGGTCGTCGGCTCTGATGAATGGATGATGGTGAAAAAAAAAACCACGCAGGAGGGACCCGGTCAAGGTTTCTTATATGTTGTCTGGCAGACATGGATGGAGCGGATGGAAGGGCGCATGGCAGCCCGGATGGACGGGGTGTATGCTTTACGTCAGAGGGCTTGATTGTGGTGATTGCTGGCCGTGGTGCTGCCGAAGGTTTTGGCAAAGGGGAGTTTTCCCCAGATGCGTCATAATTTCCTCTGCATGAAGTAAGTCGGTTCCGAGGGAGTCCAACCTTTGGTCGTTAGGGTTGTGTGATGGGACTTGCAGGTGTGCAGGCGAGACTAAGGTAGGGACAGCTTTATCGGTGCTAATAGCTAAGCTAAGGGAGGGAGGGGTGCCCAACTGTCATGGCCATCTCTGCAGGACAGGACTACCGACATGGCTAGTGGGAGGATCTGCAAGCGACATGGACTGATTGATGGTGACGAGAACGAGAGACACGGAACCGGAGCAGCAAGGGAGGGATGAGCAACTCATGATCCCGGGTTGCGTGACAGGCAAGGAGGATGATGATTGAAGGATGAAGCCGAACCACGCTGGAAAAGGAAGCCAGCTCGGGTGGGGCCCGTCCATGGGCCCGTCTGGATCTTTCCCTCACTCACTCACTCACTCCCCTCATTGTTTTCCCATCTACCTACCTACCATCTATCTTCCATCTTCCTCCTCCTCTCAGTCTCGACTTCATTCTTGATTTCTGACATTCAGAATCTTCAACCTACTAAATCCAATGTCATCCAATTCCTGACTCACCTCTTACTCAGCCATAGTCATCATCACCATCCATCCTCCAGCACAGACCAATCCCAACCACGCCACGTCCCTCCATCGTGCAACATCCCCCCGGGATTCAACGGGATCAATCACATCCATGGCTGTTCCCGACCATCCATCCCAGCAAAGAAGCTTCAAGCTAACTCGCTGTCGATCCCTTTCTGCTCGGAACAGTCGGCAAGGATGATCTCATTGTCGGTGTGAAGTCACCTGCTCGACCTGAACAATAGGCCTGTGAAAGCCGGACCCGGTCCCAGACCCACAAGGCTGAATGATTCATTCTTTTTTTCCCTTGCCTATGTCTTCCGACTCGATCCACTTGTCGACAGTAGAAAGTACTAGATGTGAGTGTCGTTGGTCGGTTTGTATGACGTCTGTAGGGTAGCCTGTACATCCTGCAGGGCCTTTTATCTGGCTGGTAGCTAGCGAGATAGTACTACAGTCAGTACCTGTCCCCAGAGGTAGTCTGGCTAAGTAAGACCCAAACCCAAATCCCAAGAAATAATATCGTAGTACCACATGACACACCCCCTCCAAACTCAACCACTCTTCTCTCCCTCGCTCCCTGGCTGGTCGGATTAGTTTCCCTGCCATTTTGACTTTGGTGTTGATCCGGGGATCGTATCCTATTGTCAGATGGCTATTGAACTTTTGGCAACCTCTTTAAACTCTCTAATGATTATATTTTCTGCCCTTTTATTAATTTTAAATTTTAAATTTTTACTTTTTTTTAGGTTACTGGTTTGGGTTGGATTGGGTCTTCTTGATGTTTCTGCAGGGTTTCACTCAGACAATATATAAGGGGTCTGATGGAACTGGTTGGCAATTTGGCTGTCTAGTCGGAATAGGATAGGTAAGGAGACTGACTCATTTTCGAGGCGGGATTGAGTTTGCGGTTGAATACGGAGGGTGGAATTAACCTCTGGCAATTGGGGGAAGAACACGGTGCATGCTGAATGTGTTGGTCGTGATGGTGATGGTGGTGGTGGTGTGGGACGGGCCAATAGTCCCCGCTGCAGATGGATCTACTGTACAACCGTTGGGAAGGAGGATTATGACAGAAAAAGCAAGGCCAAAATATAGTAACAATATCCATGCAATCTGCTCTATCGAATCATTGCTCGTAGATCCTGTGTCCGTCCGAGTTTCGCCTACGCCCACGCCCACGCCCGACTCCCTGATCCCTTCATCCGAGAAGCTGCTGCCACGCCTGTGGTATCTAGGCATCCGACAGCTCCGGTAGAGTACTGTTCTGGATCCCCGAGGGTCTACCACGTGGTGACATTGCCCAGATCATGTTCCTGATAACAACAGTCAGCCATTTCGTCCCGTGTCACTCGATTACAGCTCGCCCCGACTTACCTTGAGGTATTCGCTGCCCTTCTCCAGGTACTCCTGTCGTGTAATTGATGATTTCCGTAACTCCGACCCCGATGCCCACTGCGCCGCCCCCTTCCATGCGTCCAGGACGGGATCCGCGGCACGCCGCACATTCAGTTGCGAGTTCACCGGAAGGAACGCCCGGAACTCGTTGCGGAAGCGGTCGTCGAAGTTTTGGAACATCGTGTTGCCGCCGGTCAGGAACACATCTCGCAGTAGCTTCGCCTGTTCGTCTGGATTCGAGAACCGCTGGTTGACAATATCCGCCGCAACTTCCAGTAGCCCGGCCTGGTCAATGCCCGCAATCGACGGCTTGAACACCACCTCGGGAACCCGGATCCGCTCCACGTTCAGATGCAGCTGGTGAGCCTCACGCTGGCTTTCAGGATCAAAAGCCCAGGGGCCCCGCAGGAAGACGTGCACTAAGCTCTTGGTCCAGTCGGATTGCGCCGCAAGCGTGTGGTTCTCGGTGAAGTCGGGGTCATGCTCAAGCAACTCCTTTTCAACCGAGTCGAGCATGCCCCCAAGATCCTCCTCTTCCTCCTCGTCACTCTGTTCACCCGTAGCCACAGTTCGATACACACCCCAATCTTCATCGTTGGCGCCAAAGTTGTCGTCGTCCCCACCTCGCCTCCGCTTCTTGGGGCCATCCGCGGCGAGGTTGGCAAGGGTCTTCATGCGCATCTGACTGGCCAGGGACTTGCGGTTGCCGAGATCCGCCTTCATCCTATCACGTTCCTTGATCTTCTGTAGGATGCTCTGTAATGGAAAGTTAGATCTGTTAGAAGAGATGCCGTGGATGATCCTACCTGTCGCGATGCTCTTCGCTCAGCCAGCCAATTCTCGAAATCGTTCTCTCGCTTCTCACGGTCAAGTCTTTCTTCCTCCTCACGACGGGCCTTCTCTCGCTCCTTCTCCGCCTTGGCGCGCTGTCGGGCTTCGACGTTGGACTTCATGAGTCGCTGATGGCGCTTCTCCTTCAGACCGGCTTCGTCTAGCTCCTCATCTGGCACGTCCAATAACGGGAATGACATCTCCTCCTGGGGCTCTTCGGTTTCTTCGATCCCCAAGTCTCGGTTTCGAGACCGTTTGATGGAACGCTCAAGATCCCGAATCAATCGGTCCAGGTGCGCCTCGTCCTTCAGATCTTCGGCTTCGAGAATCCGCCGCGCTTCCTTCTTCGTTTCGGAGGCAAGTCCATGCTGTAGATCCTTGTAGTACTCCAGCTCTTGCTCCTTCTTCATCAGCTTTTCCAGTCGCATCTTTGCGGCCTGCTCTTGCAACCGACGCCCACTTTCCTTCTTCCTCTCCGCAATCCGTGCAAGTTCTTCTTCGGTCTTTTCGGGTACAACATGCTCAGTATAGGGGTACTGGACGATACGATCTCTGTCTTCAAGACCCGTCCAGTCCAGGTAGCGGCTCAGTTCCTGGTCGTAGTCCTTGGAGACGTAGCAATGTTTGTGTACAAGATCCTCCATCTGGCTCTCGGTCATTCTCGCAGGGAAGGTCGGGTATTTCAGGCGCATCAGCTTAAGCAAATACTCGGATGCGTGTAGTCCACCCCAATTTAGTCGCGAACAGTTGGATAGCAAAGCCTTGTTATTTAACACAGGAATCACATGGGTCGAAGTGTGGGAAGACGAGACGATAAGACCATCCTTTCCGCGATTGTATCGGTAAGAGAACAGAGAGTCGATACCGTAGGCGACCGACGGCGCAGAATAGCATTCGAACAAAATCTCGTTCATCACTATTAAGTGTCAGCAAAAACAACCATCGCTATGCAAGTAATGCGACTCACTCTTTCGGGGATAGCTGAGGTTCGCGATAGGCTCGGTCATGACAATCGGCCGGTCAACACCCCCGTTGGCTCCATCGACCCCAAGCTTGATGAACAGATAGTCCAGCACTCCCTCCATGACATCCCAGTTGCCCACCACACTCGTACCAGGGTCAAATGCATAGCGCAGCTGGCCGCGCGTCGTAGCATCCACGTAGGAATCGTATCCGATGAACTGACAGGCTTTGTTGAGTTTCCGATCGCGATAACGACTCATCACAGGGGGGATGACGAAACGAGGGGTTTTGTCGAACGACCAACCGGCCTTGACCAGGTTGGAGCCTTTACAGAGAATGCAGCCATCAGCATACCGTATACAACACAGTCTATGGTTCGGCTGTACTCACCATTGTCGATAACTATGGCGCTCGTGCCCTTGCTCTTGTTGTAGCCTTCGGGTTGGGGGGCATGGTAGCCTTTGAAAGGATGGTCCTGTGCGTTGTATGCCTTCGGAGGAGGCTTCGCGGCGCCTTTCTCGGACGAATTGATGGCAAACCGGGTTGGAAGAACCGGCTGGACCGACGTGATGGCCATGGTGAATTGTATGCAGGCGGTCTCAGCAGCAACTCAGGAGCTCCCGGCAAAGACTGATTCACTGCATTGCAGTGTGTCGCAACGGTTATCACACCACGTATCTGGTATAGAGAAGCAGTCGAAGGGAACAAGAAGCAGGTTGCGGTGGCGGAGGGATGGGGAGGGAGAAACTGGAGCTTGAAAGTCCCCAGCTTTGGTCGGGGCCGTGGAGGCCTCCGGCCACCGCCAGGCGCTTGTATGCCGCCAAGACCATCCCTCCAGGAGAACTATGGCTCGTTACGGCATCGCGTGGTTACATATTGGGCTAGCTATATCTACTCTGCTATGAATATCCAGTGATTCTTGGTGAATGGAAGCATTTGTACTAAAATATCATGTCCTCGTTAAAACTATCATAGAGTATCAATTACTGGAAGATGTTGATGGATCCTTCAAATTCTCCGTCGCTAAGACTGATCAGCTATGCCCAGCCAAATTGCCGAGTAAAGGGAGATTACCTTCCAAGTGGAATAGAACATTCGACTGGTAATTCTTGAACATTTGCGCGACGAGCTCGACGTTCATGTTCTGGATATTGACCTCCTAATAGAGCCATCAGCATCTGACGGTAGTGGAAGATAGAGCAAGCGTCTTACCTGGAGGCTTCTGTTCATGACCATGATTGACTCGTTCAATTTTTCCTAGAGGCCATCAGCCATTGTACCAAGATGCCCCTCCAGGTGACATACAATGTTGCCAATAATGCGAGAAAGCAGCAGGGCTTGCTGATGCTCATGTGGGCTCTCCTACATAACCTTTAGTTTACTCCACCACAGAGCTTGGATCAAGTAACGTGGTATACGCACCATTTTGACGTATAGCGTAGTTATGTCGATGGAACTGCTTGTTGTGGTGTTTGTTTGTTGCGTCTTGGATCACGGCAACCCAATGAACTCAGCCACGTGACCGCATGGGAATTGGTCGGTATGGCACGCCATTAAACCTACAAGATAGAGTCAGATTCCTAAAGCTGAATTGCTACGCTCATAACTGCATATCAAAGCTCTTTTGGCGCCAGCCCATCCCGCCATTGGTGCAATCAGCGTCCATCGTATCAGGTCAGGTGCCTACAACTCAACCCAGCTCCGGACAACGACGGCCTTCTAGACTCTCCAGCCGCATCAGCATCCGAACCTCCAAGTCCAACGAGCAGAGCGCACCCTCCTCCTCCGATCCAGATCCTCTCGCACATCTACTCTATACCATCATCATGGCTCCCCTTACCCCCGCCGAAGCAGAGAACCACCAAGCGCTTCTCGATCGTCTTGACATCGCGCATGTCCCCCGTCCCTTCCGCAACCCGAACTGGAGACCGTCTCAGCGTCGCAACAAGAACGTCAAGCAGCTCATTTCCGAGAGCACAAGAAAAGAGGCATCTGTCATGGCCACACAGTCAAATTCTGGCGCAACAACCCCCCTCCCCGCCACGTCCGTCAGCACCGATGGAAGCCAAACCCCTGCCGATGGCACCCCCCGAACCAACATCGCGCAGGCCGCGCAGAACCTCTCAACACTGGTCTTGGAGAAGAACGCACGAGCTGCATTTACATCAGGACCTGCTGTTACCTACACCAACATCGAGTCCGCGCCGTCATTGCACCCGTCGCAACAAACCCGCTACTGCGATATCACAGGGCTGCCTGCTCCATACACGGATCCCAAGACGAGACTGAGGTATCATGATAAGGAGGTCTTTAGCGTGATCAGGACACTGGGGCAGGGAGTGCCGGAAAGTTACCTGGAACTCAGGGCAGCTCATGTTGTGCTTAAATGAAGTTATGGAAGTATTTGTTCTACGTTGTAAGATATCAGGGTAAGTTGTGTTGTTATGGCAGGTATAATGCACTGAATTCTAATGAAGGCCATGCTAGATAGCAGCCTTTAATACACATTTTATGTTCGATCGACTAAGTCAAGCCCTTTCCACCCACCTGCCCCTTTCGAGACAGGTTCAAAGAAAGCGCTCCGGCTTATTCGCGACCTTAACAGAGTTGTTGTTAATCTTCGCCTTGTGCTAGTTGCACTCGACTAGTACCGATGCTCCAGGAACGAAACATCAGTTACAGCATCCGGGGATGCTGTTGCCGCGGCGTGGTATTCGAGCTGAGCCCAGGCTCGCCAGGGGTGTACAGAGAGGGTAGCTGCAGGAATAAGATAGACTAGTTAGGCTGTCTTGAAACCCTCGAGTCATCGTATTTACCCCTTTTGTAGGAGTTTGCTGGTTCAATGCGCCGGCTGCACTGATTGTAAACAGTGACAATAGCATGTCAGGAACATCTAAGCCCATCCCATCATAAGAGATGATAGTGTTCCACACTATACAATCACAATTGCAACCAGGTGGCGTTGTCGACAAGACCGAACCCGCAGACAAATCGGTTGAGGAGTTGGGAGAGCCAAAATGGCGGCTGTGCGAATGTTGTTGATCGCCCGACCGCCATCCCAACGTAGCCTAGCCCAGACCTAGCCAAGAAAGGACGTGGCAGAATTGGGAATTTTGCGCAGCAGCCGCAGTGCTTTAGTGTTTACTCGGTCTGCTGGAGCCTGTTGCGTCGAATGTTTCATGAATCAGACACGACGACAGCTTATCTATCGACGCGCGATACCTCCTCCTTTATAAACCCACTATTTTCGTCGGTATATCATCCCACCGTCCGCTCAACTCTATATACTGCCACGTGCACGCGACCTCCGCAGCCTCCGAATCCCGAAGACCCAACGCATCGCGACATTGGAACCGAGATTGGACCTGAATTCATTGGGTTCTCTTGTTTCATATAGTTTCCGGATTTTATCGGTGGTATAGTCCAGCGGACATCAATATGCCCACAATGTGGCTATCCGATAATCAGAGTAAGAATGCCTCCGTCTACATCTCACCTAACCTCCATAAGCCTATACAAGACATTCGCTAACACACTCTCAACCAGAGATCGGAGTCATCTTCTGCTCAGCCGGTACGTCAAACACCATACGCGCATCTCAGCGCGATCCTCATCACCAACGGCCCTTCTCACAAACATACTAATCACCCAACAAACAGGAGGATTATTCCTCTTCGGCGGAGTCCTCATGTTCTTCGATCGCTCTCTGTACGTCCATGACACTCCCCTCCCCAATCCAACCCAATCCTCAATCCTCAAGACAAATAAACTAATCTCCCTCCCACCAGCCTCGCAATGGGAAACGTACGCCATCACCAACCCTGAACCCCCACCCATCACCACAACCACTAACTCACCCCACTCCAGATCCTCTTCCTGATCGGCCTAACCCTAATAATCGGCTTCGAAAAGACCTTCGCCTTCTTCTCGCGCCGCCAAAAGCTCAAAGGCACGGCTGCCTTCGCAGCCGGCATTCTCCTAATCCTCCTCCGCTGGCCTCTAACAGGCTTCATAATCGAGCTCTACGGGCTGTTCATCCTCTTCGGCGATTTCCTGATCACGATTGGCCAGTTTGCGGGGAATATTCCTGTCGTGGGGCCATACATTCAAAAGGTTTTGGAGACGTTGGCAGGGGGGAGGAGGAATGCCGAGTTGCCGGTATAGATGGATGGATCTGTTTCCCCCCCTCCTCTGTGGGAGAGGAGGGCGGTGTGGTGTGGTGTGGTGTAGGATTCATGATGACAGGGAAAGGATAACGATGAGGATGAGAGAGGATTCTGGATCTGTTATGTTACGTGTATGACTATGCGACTGACCTCTTACGATACGATATTGTCATGATGAGATGGGTATGGATGGATGGTATGGTATGGACTGCGACTGACTGATTTGATGTTGGGTCTATACTTAGCGGGGTTGATGGTTTTTTTTTCTTGATGGGTATTATTATCCTACGTATTAGAGACTTTTAATTGTTAATATATATTTATGGGTGGGGTGGACATATTATACTGTATGTTTTTCCATAGTAGTAGGAATTGGTACAGTTCTTCCGCTCATAGAGAATACAATGGAGTTACTAAGTAACTTTCTTGAAGTAACATGCTCGATGATATCATCAGGAATGCGGGACGCTAGCTAGTGAATATTGAACAAGCTTATAAAGTATAAAGTATAAATAGATTATAACCACTGCTTCGCTGTGCAAGGACAACAAGTCCATCGAAACCGTTTTGTGGGGTGACCCGTTAGCACATATTGCACAGATCTACGTGTTATGATTGATGGAAAATAAACAAGACGAACAAACAAGGAGAGAGAAGACAATCGAGACCGAGACCACCATGATGATTTACACTCAAGTAACCGTTATGCTGATGTTCCATTGCTGTGAGGGGACAAGTATTTTTGATTCTGCTTTTACTCCCATTTACCGGGGGTTGTTGATGTAGTCAACGAGGTTCTCAACCACGGTGGCGGCGTTCGTGGTCTGGACGTTCTCCGCGTGGTGGGCGACCATAACGCAAGAGACAGCCTTGACGACGACAATGCCCTCCTTGCCCTAATTTTCCCGACGTCAGTAAGCGGATATGTTGGAAGGGGGAGGTGATTAATCCAGGGTCTCAAGCGTACCTTCTTGCCGTACAGACTGCGCTCGTCAGCCTTGATGGTGACAAACTTCTCACCACCAACGGTGATACCGTTGGCCCAGGCGTTGTCGCTCTTGGCGAAAGCAGAGGCAAGGCCCTGGAGTTCGGAGGGGGAGATCTATTATCGTCGTTAATGTTGGGTTCGTGCTGGCGGGCGGTTGTCTGGACGCCGACCAACGGGGGCTGTTGATCATACCGTGAAACCAGGAGAGCCAGCCTCGAGGTCAGAGAAGTCGTGGCTCAGGATACCGGCCTTGTCAAATTGACGAGATCCCATCAAGCTGAATAACCTCAGGTCAGAATTCCGCTACAGACATGGAGGGGCGGCAGTGGCCGAAGCGGGGTAAACATGGGTTGGGTTTTACGGTACCTGGAATCGACATATCCTACGCAGTAAGGAGACAGATGTCAGCTCAAGGGGTTCTTGGAGGTTCTAGGCAGATAAAGGGGATGCAGCAAGGGGGGTGTCATGGTCGTACCTTGCCAGATAGCAGAGTGCTGACCCATGGTGACGGTCGGATAAACAATCGACGGGACGGTCGGGAAAGGGGAACGGAGACGGCTAAGAAGAGGAGCAATTCCACAAGGAGGCTGAAAGCAGGTGTGGAACTGGGAATAAAAACTCCGGGCGAGAACTAGAAGTCGTCCAAGAAAAGGGCAGAAAATGCGCTGGGGAGGTAAGTAGTTGGGGTGTGTCTAGAAGAAAGTTGGTGGGAAAGGAGGGGAAGAGGCCAACGGAAGATGAGGTGAGTTACTAAGGCGGCCTTAAAGGGACAGTTACTATTTACTAGTTGGTGGGGTGGATTGCGGCCAGCTGAGCATCATCCGTCTCTCTTTCTTTCCCTCTCCCTCTCTCTCAAATGTGCCCCGCCATCCATTCCCGACTTTTCTCCTGTCGGTCACAATAAGGTATCTGCTATCAATAGTATCTTCCACTGCAAGCTCTCATTAGTTCATTGTACACTCCACAGGAGGTGCATCCGGCATCCTGACGTCTATTCCCTCTCCTCGTCACCTGTCACCAAAATTCGACCTTCTCTGGGGATACGCGGTGCTCCCTACGTCATCGCCTTGGGACAAAGAGCAGAGCTTCGATCTGGTCAGCAATATGAATCCTACCGAATTCTAGCTCACGAGCAACGCCTATCAAAGCTAAGGAAGATCCGAGAAAGGGTAGGTAGGTAGGTAGCAGCCGCCAACGACATAGGGAGGAGCCAGGCGGTGGAGAGGCCACCGGCAGGCCGACTCCGTAGTTCACCCACTTCTGTATAGGATTAGTCTCTACCGTTGCAGAACTAGACCCTGTTAGACACTCGCATGCCCACTTGCGGATCTCTTTTCACCGGTTCCTCCTTACCGCCTCTTCGATGGCATCCCCTAATCCTATCGTGGGCTCTGGTCCGTAACGAGTAGCTGCCAAATGCCTGGGATGCCTGAGATGCCTCAGATGCCTGAGTCGTGCGGGTGATGCCGGGCACGTGCCTGTCAGCGAGTCAGGTGCTGGGGATCATCTGCAGCCATCCGCTTCTCTTCTAGTCTTCATTCATGACAATTCCCTTGTCAATGCCTCGGTGCAAGGCGATGGCGTACCCCCGTCTATCATCATTTCGCCATGTATACTAGCTTCTCCCGAATCTTCTAGCCATGATCCACGATAGACACCGGTCCAGAATATTCGGGAGGAAGAGCATTCAGGAGATGAATGATGGTCCGTGACTTATCAGGTGAGGGCCGCGGGCCAGTTCCCTGGGCGCTTCATACTCTAATTTCCCCAGTGGGTTAACTCTTATCTAGCGGGCCTCGCGTCCGGATGGACTATCGCAATCGCATCCACCCCAAAACACTCGGAATTGCGACAGTCGGCTGGCGACCAAATGCAGGTGCGATGGCACGACGGTGAAACCCAAGGGGTCCTCTTGGGTCTGCGGCACGGCTATCGCAGAGATCCGTAACAGAGAGGCCCAGAGACTGAGTCTCAGGTCTCTGGGAATCTCCAGGCGATTCAGCGTTTTCTAATAATCTTATTGGTCGAGCGCTCGGAGGTTCAGAACAGCTGGAACCAATGAACCCAGCTGTGCTAACGCTCAGGTTTTCAGCTCCAAGTGAGACCGTCGGCGGAGCATTCTCTTTGGCCCCTCGCCCGCGGTCGTAATAATCACTTGCGCTTGCAACAGCCACGCTCATTTGTGGCTTCCAGAATAAGCACCTCCCGCCATTTCGATAGCGCTCACCCATGTCATAACCACCAGACCGTTGGGCTCCTGTGACTGGGCCATTATCCGTGTTTTGTGTTGGCCACGCGGGGGTTCCGTGCGGCCTCTCCTGAGCAATTTCTCTGGAAGTTTTTGTTGGCCGTTTCCGCTGTCGCGCTTCGTCAGATCTTATGTTAATCTAAGCCCTCACACTAGCCCGCCCCTGCCAACTCGTCTCACTTAGATGTAGCGTTCTGCCTCGTGCTCCACAATAACTGCCGCGACGTCTTATGTCTTAACTATGCTCCTCTGTCCCTCTATCGCCGAGTCTCCTTTTCTTCCCATCATGGACTGACTCTTCTCTTCCCCGCTTTCTTGTGTTCGCTTTTTGGCCTTCTGGAAGGCCGTCCATTCCTTTTTATCTTGACTTATGATCAACAGGGCTTGGTATTCCCTTTAACGTTCTCTACATCTATTTTCCACCCTCGTCTTTCTCTTAGCAAGTCTTCTCCGGATTCTCCCGCTCGCTTTCGTTTCAAGTACCGTATCGGATATTATCTCCACCACAGTCGTGAGGAATGGCTAGAGGAACGTTTCTTGGGAGGTCACGTACGATCCGGCAAGCAGAGGCCGTCTCGTCTACTACTTCGAAGCATTCAGATGCGCGACCACGGAAAGATCTCAAGTGTATCGAGGATGGCGCAAACCACGGCCGCCAGGTGCCTCATGCGCACCGGGATTTTCAGCGCCCTGAGACATCAGAGGGACGCCAACAAAAAAGATTACAAGCCCTGAGTCCTGTCAATACCCAGGCTCCTCCGCTTCCGTCTTCGCCAATGCTGTCCCCCACCGGCACGGATAACGGTGCAAACGGAAGTCTGATTGGGGTCGCTTTGGGCAGCCCGCGGATGATCGAGTCGCATGTTCCCATGTCGCAAACGCAGGAGACACCCCCGGCCAAACCTGCAGAAACCCAAACACGACCCGCTTTGCAGCGCAAGCCCAGTAAATGGAAGAAAATCGGCGGTCTTTTCAAAGCTAAAGCTGCCATGACAGCTGCGCCAAACCAGCCTTTCTATCAGGTCCGGCTTGAGGACGAGTGGCCAATGCAAGACTCCACCTATTCTTTCGAACAGCAGCCAAGAGTTCAACCCGAGAAACCTGCTAGTCCAACCTCTGGCACGGAAGCATGGCCGTCTTTGGAACCGGAAATTCAGCATCAGGCGCATGAGAAAGAGCGGTCCGAGGGAGATGTCAATTTCTCGCCAAAGGCTGACAAACAACCCCCTGCAACTGGACCATTGCTGCAAGTCGAGATCCCCGATATCCAGCTGGAGCGATACAGTGTCATGTTTGGAGGCGTTCTTAGTAAGAACAGGCCGCCCTCGTTGATTCGACGCAGCCAAACTTTGCAGGACGTCAGCGCGCCAGCTCCAGAGGTAGCGTGTCTTCACCATTTCACTCGTAGATACTTTTCCAACTAACTCCTGGTCAGGCCATTCCCCCCATGCCAGAATTAGAACCGCCTCGCCGAAGAGCCACATCCCCCACACGGTCGAAATCCCCGAGCTTCACCTTGTTCCCATCAACACAGGTCAGCAAGGCTTCAAAGGTTCTCGGTAGCCAGAACATTCCCCGCGGTCCCAGTCCATTACACAAAAGTCAAACATCGTTGGCAGAATCGCATCAAGAAAGTGTGTCGGAGAAAAACAGTTTGGTCCTCATGGTGCACCAGCCGTCACATAAACCGCAAAATTCGATGTCCTCATTCCTTTCCTCTACAACTATTGGTTCGGAGGATGAACAGCTCCTCGTGCAAAAGCTCGGTCCAGTCCGCTCCTATATCGACGCACGAGAGCCAGAGTGGGAGATCATCAACAAGAGACCAGCAAACGAAACCCCACAACCCGCGCCCCCGGCCCTCAGAATCGACACACAAATGACCTCGTCCGAAACGAACAGCTATGAATCAACATTGTCTCCAGCAAATAACACGCCTGTCAATGCTCCCAGATCAGAAAATGAGGCCCTTTCACCCGCAAGCAGGATGCTCTCCCCAACATCACCCAGGCGCATGTCCCCCGGGAAGGAAGAGGAAAAAATGAATCCAACCGAGCCAACAAACCCCGCCCCCGCCGTTGAAATTTCTATCGCACGGTCCGTGTCCGTCTCACGAGGTAGAAGACAGGTTCTTGTACCCATCAGACCGCGCCAGGACCGCCCTGATCCTAGCGAGCGCACGGACGACAGGGTGAAATCCCCCAGGGTCGTGACTGGTAATCGCAACCGCATCCCTCCACGATCGAAAGAGGCGCTCAATAACATGATCTGAGCACTCTTCTTACCTTCTTCCGAATTTGATATGATCATGATCATATGTCGTTCTTCTTTATTTCTTTCACCGACTTCCTTCTTCTCAACGGTCTTCTTTATAGCGCACATAGCGTTTTTACCACTTTCACGTTTCTCTTTTTCTATTCCACGCATGTGCGTCAGAGTTGCTGGTCTTTTATAGACGAATCCTTCCTCTCTGTTTTGTGATATGCTTTTCATCGAGTTGTTACTAGGCGATGTACGTCTGAGCACGAACTGCACCATGGCTTTCCTCTTTGTGTCCTGCCACATGTTTATTTATGCTCCTGTTGTATACTACACTACACTACACACCTGTCTTGACCACCCGTGACGTTTATCCCTGGGCTGGAACGGTCGAGCCTGACAGATACTGATTTTCTACATCTTGTTATTTGTCATATTCGATCTTAGATATCCAATGCATCTATACCTATAACTGAAGTCTATGTACAACGATTGTAGAATGCTTCCGTGGGGTTAATCCTAACCAGAAATACACCATCAACCCTTCTCAGGGAACGTGGACGACTCGGGCAAAGTCTGCGTCTCAGATACCGCACCCGTATCCGCATTCGCATTTATCACCACATCAGACAATATCCATTCCATGCCTGGATAGGAATCACTAATTACCTTCACGGTAACGCGTCTGCTCTGTCCGGCTTGGTTCTGGGGGAACTTGACAGATGAGCGAACGACAAGCGATCCAGACTTCTGGTTGTTGCTTCTGTCGTTGATTCTCCTGCTGGATCCGGCTCCAGATCCGAATCCATTGCGATTGGATGGCCAGGACACACGTTTCAGGGCGAGGAGCTCGGCGTCTTTGCCGTCGGGGGTGGCGCTGTAGACGAGCATGAAGTAGCCTTCTGTCTGGGGTTTGGGGAAACGCGGGGCGTAGATCCGGATTTCCTTGTCCTTGGGTGCGTTTTTGCGGGTCAGGGAGACGGTTATGCCGGTTGGGGATACGGTGGAAAGTGAGAGTGAGAGGTGGGGTAGGTAGGATGTAGCCTTTGTGAACTGCGCTGGGAGGTTGAGTTTTCGCTGAAGAGAGTCGACGGATTTTGCGGGTAGAGATAGGAATGCAGTGAGGGAGGTTGGGAGGGCGGATTGCTTGTCTCCTGGGTTGACGCCTGGGAGGATGGAGAGGGGCGACTCTTCGGGCCATCTGGCGGATTTGATGCATTGCAGGAGGGACATGAACATGTGACAGGCGTTGAGGTAGCCTAGCTCAGCCATGACGTCGATCGAGGCTTGGATGATACGGATTCCTTGGTCGAGGACGGAGGTTTGATCACCGACGTAATCGGTTATGGGGAGGTCGATCCGTGACATATAGGCCTGGAGTAATAAGAAGGCCTTGACATGGGGATCCCAGAGGGGAAGATCACCCATGGATTCGACTGAGAGCGGGAGGTTGCGAGCCAACTCTACATTGATCAAGTCTTCGTTGTGTCGGACAGGCAGCTCGTCAAACTCAGTGGCTGAGCACATCCAGCTCAACACATCCTGGAAGGTGGGGTTAGGCTTCGCGTGTGCCATGAGGTATCGAATCGTCTTGTGCGACAGATAGTAGTAACTCATGATCTTGCCGAAAGGTGTCGGGTCCACCTCACCAGTTGCGGAGTCGAGCACGATGCAGGATGACTCGGCTAGCTCGCCTAATGATTTATCCACCAATTCAATCATGAATTCCTGCGCAATTGCCTGGGCAGCCATGGTGTTGTGCTCCTCGGCGGAAATTTCCAGGCCGTAGTAGGAGGGATTCTTGTGCAGTCGCCGGAAGAAGAATGTCCAGGTCAAGTAGTCCAGAGCATCTTGCTTTGTGTTGATCGTTCCTGCAGAAACTTCGGCACCCAAATGGTTGTCGAGCACTTTGTGCAGTGTCGATTCGACCGGGAACCCGGTGTGCAAGAAGTGCTTGTAGAAGGCCTTCTTTGCATCTTGGGTAAAAATGCGCGCAATACCTGACGTGTCAAACTGAGGACGTCCTGCTCGACCCAGCATCTGCAGAACATCAGTCAGGTCCATATCCCTATAACCTTCGATCTTAGCATCAAAGAACTGTGTTCCCTTCACCACGACAAGATGTGCTGGAAGGTTGACACCCCAGGCGAGGGTGCTTGTTGCCACGAGGATTTGAATCTTGTTGTTTGCGAAAAGCTCCTCAGCTAGTTGTCTGTCCGACTCCACAAGACCGGCATGGTGCAGGCCAATACCGAAACTGAGTGCCTCGCGCAACGCCTCATCTTTCACTCTCTCAAGGTTCAGCTGCAGGTCCTCCTCGGACATGCGAACAAATCTGCGAGGGTTATCCTCCATTCCACAGTAGTTGATTAGATCCTTCGCGGTCAAACGAGTTTGCCGACGGGAGGCAACAAAGACAATCACTGGTTTATCAGGAGAATGGTTCTTGATTGCCAGGAAAGTCGGTCTGTTCATCGACTGCATCAGGGGGCAGAACCCACGCTGCTCAGGGAATCCGTCGATGTAGATCTCAAGCGGCACGGGACGCACGGAATGCCTGAAATTGTACAACCCTTCTTTCACGCCCAGCCAGTTGGCCAAATCACTGGCATTCGCACAAGCAGTTGACATACCCATCAGCCGAACAGATCCCTTGGACTGCGAGGCAATGTAGTTCATTCGAGACACGATGATCTCAAGAATAGGTCCTCGGTCGCCACCCAATAGGTGAATCTCGTCAATGATGACCAAGCTCACCTTACGCACGTAGTCCCTAGTCTGCCAACTACGGGAAATACCGTCCCACTTTTCAGGGGTAGTGATGATAATATCTGCGTCCCGAATCGTTCGCGTATCGGGGGTGTTATCACCAGTCAATTCAACCAATCTTAGGCCCATAGGCCCCGTGAGACGCTTCTTCCAGTCCTGAACTCGTTCGCGGACAAGGGCCTTCATTGGCGCGATGTACACAACTTTCGAGCCTGGTCTTTCTCTGAAGGCCCACCACATGGCCAGTTCTGCGGCGACAGTCTTTCCACTACCCGTTGGGGAACCCAACAGAACATTGGCCGGGGTGTGATAGAGTAGATGGAAAATCTGTGTCTGCATCGGATTGAAGAATTGGAAGCGCTGCCCGTAAAGCTCTTCCAATATCGGGTTCTTTAGTGCAGAGATGGGAAGAGGTTGAAGATTGAGAAGATCAGTGTATACACTTTCCGTGTCTGGACGAATCAGATGCTGGAAAGACACTGGCGTCACTGTCTCTGCACCCAGCCAGCGGTCGGATATTGCGCGGACATAGATCTGACTCGGCAGTGGATCAGAGAGCGGAATGGTGAAATTTAGCTCGTGTTCGTCATAAAGTTTCTTCCTGCTGAGGATGAAGTATTCATGGTGGTAGATTTCAGAAGTCTCCGAGTTCTCTACCCAAATCCAGTAGGATTCTGAAGCTCCATGATGTCTATCATTCCAGCTAAACTCTGGATAGAGGCTCAGACGAATTCGCAGAACATCACGGTTCAATGGCGCAATTTCAGCCTCCACACCAAGAGTAGGGAAGTTGTCCAACAACTTTGACAATGTTTTCCCCATCCGGGCATTATGGACCAATTGTCCGATCTCCGCTGTTTCCATATCCTTCATAGACTCAACGGACGATGTCGGAAGCTTGTCATCCAAGTTCCTGAGGATGGGTTGAGGAAGGTCGAACTGGTGGAATGGATGGTCAAAGGGCCACATCTGCTTCTCGATGGCCTTGCAGAGGGAGAGCAGAACCTGGCACTGGTAGCCCCAACGCCGGTTCAATGCAATCATGAACAGAGAGCGACAGATGCGAGCCGCATTCTGCGCCACGTACCCAGTATCCGACACCAGAGCAAAGTCTTCAATCCTAGCACGAGAGATATAGGACTGCAGGAGAATATTGGTCTTGGCATGTGGGGAGTCATTACCACCCTCTACCTCTGTCTGAATGACCTCATCACGCAGTCTGTTTAACTCTTTAGACTCACTCTCCCGGGCTTGGATGTTGTCGAATTCACCACTCATACTGATCATTCTCAACACATCGGCCTCGCTCGCTCGAGGACGCATCAAATTGTTGAAAATCTCTACGCTGGTTTGCAGAACGTAGTACTGGCTTGCAATACGGCCAACATCCTTCGCACGTAATTCCTCCGTCTTTTCGTTGAATATGATCATTTGGCTCTTTTGTAGAACAAGAGCGGCTTGAACGATCAGTTGACGACGTCTCTGGACCAACATGGGATCATCACGTATCTCCGCGAAATCAATTCCATAGTTTCGTGGCTCGCGTTTCATACGAACGAAGAGATAGGAATATCCCAGCCACTGCACGGCCTCTGAAACTGAAGTGACCGTACCAAGGGAAATCTCGGCATTCAAATTGTCCACCAGGCGACTCGAAAACCGGGATTCAATCGGCTGCTGCGACGTTACGGCAGAAATATAATGATGGAGTTTATCGTGGGTCGTGCAGATGAAACCGATACCTGTATCCTGGAATTGAGGACGACCGGCACGACCAAAGATCTGCAGCACATCCAGGATTCCTAAATCGACGAATTTACCCTCTTGCGGGTTGTACAACTGTGTACCTTTGATGACGACTGCTGCAGCAGGAAGGTTGACACCCCATGCAAGCGTGGCAGTACAGCAGAGCACCTTCAGGAGCCCCTCAGAGAACAGGCGCTCCATCAAGTTACGGTCGCTTCGACTCATTCCAGCATGGTGAGTTCCGAGTCCACTGGCGTAGAGCTCGCGCAGCTCGCGGGCACGGCTACGTTTCACGTCACTAAGACCATTCGAAAAGCCTTCGTGCTCCTGACAGCTGAATAGGTTTTCACACCCATCCTCTGTAGCCATCTGTCGCAGCATTCGAGCCGTCAAAACCGTGTCCTTCCGCGAGTGGACAAAAACCATGACTTGATGTCCTCGTTCAAGCATATCACGGACCTTCTCGAAAGACACGACATCGATGTTCTCGCGAGACTGCTTGGTGCCAGGTTTTCCCTTGACACCAATGAAATGCTGTTCAAGAGGAACAGGGCGGAAAGACTGGTCAAAGAAAAACAACCCAGCCATTTTGTTCACCTTGAGAAAATCGGCAACGTCGATATAGTTTGGAAGAGTGGCAGAAAGACCGACAATTCGAATGAGTGATTGTGTGCTTTCGACTTGACGCTGGGTACGGGCCACCAATGATTCAATGACGGCACCACGCTCGTCATGAAGCATGTGGACCTCATCAATGATCAACAGACGCACCTTCTGCACGAGCTCTGTATCTCCCGTGCTCTTTCGTGTTACCACATCCCATTTTTCAGGGGTGGTGACAATGACCTGGGTTTCCACAATCTCACGCTTCGTCAGTTGCATATCACCAGTGAGCTCTCGAACTTTGATCCCTAGCCAAGCGAGACGTTTCCCGAGCTTCTCGGTAACTTCAGCAGCGAGGGCCTTCATTGGAGCGACGTAGATGATTTTGAAATCATCCACCTGTACAGCAAACTCTGTAGCCTCTGGTTGCTCAATGGGGTTCGGGATAGTGTTCTTCCCAATGGCGTTCAAGATCGTCAGCATAGCTGCATCTGTTTTACCAGCACCAGTCGGGGCACAGATGAGCATGTTTTCACTGGTCTTGTAGGCTACCTCATACAGTAGACTTTGCATGCGGTTGAGTGTCTTGTAACCCTTGAAAGTGCCTTGACACAGTCCATCTAGCGATGCGATCTCCACAAGCTTATGCCCAGGTCTCAGGGTGCCGACCTTCGAGGCGGGAACCTCAACCTCGGTGTACTTCTTTTCATCGATCTGCTTGCTACCCATGGGCAGTCCGTATGCCTTCCCTCCAAATGCGAGAACATTTCTAGACTCATAGGCCTTGAACACATGAGGGTAATGCGGCTCCTGCCTGGTCTGTGCCGGTAACAACGATGCATGCTTGTGTTCGTAATCCGCCTGCCGCAAGGCTTGTTCTCTCTCCGCTCTTGTCTGTAGCTTTCCTGCCATGAGGCCATCTGTCTGAGCCTCTGGGCCCGTACGCAAGCTCGCGACAATATCCAGCCTGTGGGCGATCAGGTCAATTACGAAGTCGAGATCGTCGAATCCCACGATTTCGGCCAGAGACATTTGCAACTCATCGTCCCCGCTGTCTGTCGCAAGAGAAGCGTTAATTTGCTGTGCTAGCTCTCCGGCTTTAATGCCCGGCTTGCTGGCAGCGAGGCTTTCGCACTTCTGCTCAAGCCAGATCTGGTCGTAGGAAGATGATATCGGAGGAGAGGGGATATCGTCAAAGTCGTCAAGGCCCTCGCTGGACTCATCGTCAGAGCTGATGATATCCCAGATATCATCATCGGCAGTTCCAGGAGATGAGTAGTCTTCGTCGAAATCCAGATCCAGGTCGCTTCCGTAGCTTTGGTCTCTGGCGGGGTCTTTGGGGAGCTTCAAGTCCGCAATGGCCTGGCGCATGGCTGCCAGTTGAGCCAACCACTGGGACTCGGCAGATCCGTTCACAGCCATGATGAATGCTTCCAGTGACAGATGAATGTTTCTATGGGCTGACAATCAGTAAGAGGACGGAACAGCCAGACCTAGAGCTGACGAGCAAGTGGAGGACTGATATGATAATGAGCCAGAATGATTCACCCCGGCAGAACGGTGACCGCCTAGAGCCTGGCAGCAGCCTAACCCGGCGAGGTCTAGCCCCGTCCACTGGGACTATACACAGAGAGAGATGCAAGTGACTATACCTTTCGCGAAATCGCTATTCCAGGTAGCTACTATATATCTGAGTTCGAGGTGCTTGTGAGCAGTTGGTTGCAAAGCCTGACAAATGATTCTCAGTACAACAAAAGTGAGGAATTTTTGGAAGGTAAGACATATAAATCCCCGGTGATTGCAGATGTTCCTCTCAAATTCTCGTCAGTTAGCTTTCAACATAAGACTGGTAGGAAGCGTCATATGAAGTCCAGGTAATCTACGCCATAATTACTATCAGTCATCTGGGACTGCCTGCTTCGTGAGCTGCACTGTCGCTTCATCATCCCGTGGCCCAATAAGTCAGATAGTATTTACAGTTATTATCCTTAAACTTTCAGAGAACTCAGTTTTTGCTCTGAACAAAAATATGAATAAGCTTCGCTGGGGTTCATTGCACAATCGTCCGCAACTCTAAACTTCTCATGGCCATGCCCCTTCCTATTCCGAGCCTCAACCTACTTCCGGGGTCAATGATTCCCCGGTTGACCTTGAAACAATTATTGCGTAATAGCTCAAAGCCCACCAGGTGTTCCCGTTATGTACTCCAAGCAGTTTAACTGCTCCTCTGTATTAAAAACGTGGTCTGTCTCGATGTATTCGCAGTGAGAGATTCGAGCCTACAGCGATATGACGATATGTCCCCCTGAAATAGCGATTCACACCGGGCGAATTGCCTAAAGTGATCTCGCAGTAGCTGTTATTAAGAGGAGCCAATACTGCCTTTCCTGCCGGCCAGCCTGAACCGCAAGCGTTGGGTGACGTGATTATCTGATGGTTTCATAAGCATGCTGTGAACCGACTAGGTTTGAGTTGGCATTTGAAAGCTTGGGCCATGCCTTAGGATTTGTTGCGCGGATGTATCGAAGTAATATATTCCTCCAAATTAGTACCTATTCGGGCTGGGGTAGCATGAGAACGTATTCTCGGGAGCTCAAGCCAAACTGAAGAACATCTTTATCCCGCAGCTCAACATAACGTCCAGCAGGGATCGCATCCCCGTTCACTGACGTGCCATTGGCGCTTTCCAGGTCAATAAGGTAGGGCTTAACACGCCCGATCCGATCTCCAAATTCATTCCGCTTCTCAACAAAGCGGAATTGAAGCGCGGCATGCTGCTTAGAGCAACTCGGGTGTTCCAAGGGGAAATCAACCACCATTTGTTCTCTGCCTATGAGCCAGCAACTTCGTATGCCCAATTCCACCATCTCAAGGAGGTCCTTTCCTTTGAATACGTACAACCGCCAAGGTTCCTTTGCCGGGGGTTTGCGGGCCTCCGGAGGCTCGTGGTATTTGAGAACGATTGAGCTCCCATTCACGTTCACGGTGTTGCTCTCTGCAGCCAATCGCCCTGTTTGACCGAAATTGGGCTTTTCTTTCTCGGGAGGAGGGCCCGCCGACTCTCCCGTCCGCGTCACTTCGGATGAGGTATATGCGTCGTTTTGGGGAGGGAGGGGTTGTTTTGATCGTACTGGAGCCTGCGAGACCGGACTCTGCGAGCGTCTTGCGGGCGAGCGAGATCGCGAATCATGGCGGCGTCTTCGAGAAGACCTCTCTTTTCTGTCGTAAGAATCCCGGTCGCGATGACGACGGTGCGAAGAGTCTCGGTCGGAAGTGTGTCGACGTCTTCTCTTATCATCATCTGAGGCATCTTCCTGTTCCCTGCGTTCTCTGCGACGGCGGTCGTGATCTCTCCTGTGGCTTCCTCGATCGGTCGGACTGCGTGATGACCGTTTCCGAGAGCTGTCTCTTCGGGAACTTCGATAAGAGTTGCGGCGTCCTGAACCACTGCCACGGTCGTCGTCGTCACGTAGTCGCTGTCGTCGGTCACGGTCGGGAGCAGGCGATCCGGAAGGAGACCGATGTCGTCTCCGACCGTAATCGTCGCGTGATTCGGGCATTTTCTGTACAGCGAATGCCAGTCGGCGAGGGGGATGGAAGTTGGCTTTCATGCGGGAAGCCTTGAAGCCTTGGGAACCCGCACGTGATGACCTCATGTGGAGATCCGAGCTTCGGAAATACCGGCAGTATGCATCGAGCCATGGACAGGCAAAACAATCCCGGTCGCCTTCAAATCCCGGCGATACATGGTACCTGCCCCTCAGTCTGAAGCATACTGGGGGAAATCTTTCACATCCATCCATGTGAAATCATGCGGCCATGCTCAGGAAACCCAACATCCTTTGCTGTGGTGGACTGCAGTTACTGAACTCGCCATGCCCCTCATCGCCATGGTCTCGTGCTCTCCCCTCACAATCTCACCCTGCTGCCAGGCGCTACGCCACAGCTTCTGATTCTTCAGTCAAGGATCTATCATGGCCGGCAAATCCCATATTCACACCCTATGAGCTATTCAAACAAGATCGGACCGCGCCCTATTCGAAGACACGTTACTATGAAATGGTTAAAGTCTACCACCCGGATCGCCCATGTACCGGACATCCATCATGCAGAGATATCACTCCTGAAGTGAGGCTTCAGCGATATCATCTCTTAGTAGCCGCCCATGAAATCCTTTCCGATCCAAGCAGACGGGCAGCTTATGACCGGCATGGCACCGGGTGGAACCTGCACCCTTCAGTTGATGGTACTCCGACACCGTCTTGGGCGAAAACGGGTTCGAGTGACTACGGTCCGATATACGCGAACGCAACCTGGGAAGACTGGGAGAGGTGGCACAATCGCCATCAGGGAAAACAGGAAACGCTGGTTGACCATCGAACCTTTGCGACGTTTGTCATTCTTCTCACTTTGATGGGCGGGGCGGTCCAAGCGTCTTGGATTAGCAAGCTCAGCACTGGTTACGAAGATAAACTTCTGGAGATCAACGAAGAGTCCTCACGGCTCCTGAAAGGGCGGAGGGAGAGCACCCAGAAGCAGATGGGGTCGTCGGATGCCAGAGTTCAGCACTTTCTTATGCGAAGAGACCCATCGGGGTGTGGTTTAAAGGAGGAGGAACAGCCGATTTATAAAGAGGTGCTACGTTTCCAAAAGAGTTCTGACTCGTCTGCAGAGGTCGAGGATACTGGGAGCGAGGTTCGACAATCTAAAGAGGCCGAGAAACCGGATGCAACGGTCTCTGACAGCTTGGTTCAGACAGAACCCCGCAATTGATACCGAGCACATGCATAGCCATGCAGGCGCTGTAAATATCACCGGTCCGACGGAAGCCTGGAGTTGCCGTGGCCGAGCTGGAATTATCAATCGATACTCATGATAACATTCTCAGCAAGCAAACATAGAATCTTCCAGTCCCGTATTCCTCTTATGTTCTACAGTAGGCCATTCTGACAACAGTCTAGACCGCTACTGTTCCAGCTGCTTATCAATCCACGTTATCACGTGCGCCAGATCCTCGGGGAAATCCCACATTCTCGGCCAGTTCGCCAATTGCGTCAGAACCAGTTCTGATGGCCCAATAAAGAATAAGGATTCCAGACCAATTGCGCTTCAATTTCTAAGCTCCATCGCATAGTGGTGACAAATTGCCTACGGAGTAATCGCCTAGCATTCGGGTTCCCCGCCAGCTTTCTGCGTTGAGCCCCTCCACCCGCGTCTGACATCTTTTGCTCCCACGACCACCAACTCATTAGCTCCCCATGCTCTCCTGCCCCTCCTCCCCTCTCCGCCCTCTTCCCGCGCAGGCACTCAAGAACCGGCTCCGTCTTGTTCCAACATCCCTGGCCCGTTCCTCTCCCATTACCGCTACACCTTTGCGTCAGGGTAAAGGCATCGCTACCGCGTCACACTTGAACACTCTTCCCCGACGAAGCACCCTGGCTTTACGGTCCTCCTCGACTGCAGCAGTGTCTCGCCTCTCTTCTCTCTCTAGACAATTCTCATCCACGTCCCCAGTCTTCAACTCCAAAATGGCTCCCATCGAGGTAAAGGAGTATGAATACATCGTCATCGGCGGTGGCAGCGGTGGCAGCGGTAGCGGACGCAGAGCCGCGAGCTACGGCAAAAAGACATTGATTGTGGAAAGTGGCCGCGCAGGAGGCACCTGTGTCAACGTTGGGTAAGGGAAATCTTTTCTGTGCTGCTTGACGTGTGTGTGGTGGTTAACGAGAAAAAAAAAACTCTTCAGTTGCGTCCCCAAGAAAATGACCTGGAACTTCGCCTCCATCAACGAGAACCTCCACGCCGCCAAGCACTACGGATATGACGTCGACACCAACGTCGCAAAGAACTACCGCCACTTTAAGGACCTCCGGGACGCCACGGTCGAGCGGTTGAACGGTATCTATGAGCGCAACTGGGGCAAAGAGGGCATTGATCTCGTTCACGGCCGTGCCACCTTCGTTGATGGCCGGGTTATCGATGTGACCCTTGAGGATGGAAGCAAGGCGCGGTACACGGCGCCTCACATCCTCATTGCTGTTGGCGGACGGCCCGCCGTTCCCGATGTCAAGGGTGCGGAGCACGGTATCACCAGTGATGGGTTCTTTGAGATCGAGGAACTGCCTCCCAAGATTGCTGTCGTTGGTGCGGGTTACATCGCAGTTGAGTTGGCTGGTGTCATGGGTGCAGTGGGTGTTGAGACGCACATGTTCATCCGTGGCCAGGAGTTCCTGCGCAAGTTCGACCCCATGATTCAGAAGACCATGACGGAGCGGTACGAGTCCACTGGTATCCACATTCACAAGCAGCACTCCGGCTTCAAGGAGGTGCAGCTGCTGCGTGACGGTAAGGGCAAGGACAAGTTGCTTAAGCTTATCTCCCACGATGGATCGGAGATGGAAGTCAACGAGCTCCTCTGGGCCGTGGGCCGTCTGCCTGAGATTGAAGACCTGAATCTTCCCACCACTGGCATTCAAGCGACCGAATCTGGCCATATCGTTGTAGATGACTACCAGAACACCAGCGCGAAGGGCGTCTATGCCCTTGGTGATGTTACTGGTCGTGCTGAGTTGACTCCTGGTACGTTTCTTTCTATTCCCCGTTGATTTCCCTGCCCGACTAACAATATACGGTAGTTGCCATTGCTGCCGGACGCCTGCTCAGCAACCGCCTCTTCGGACCCAGTGAACACTCTGACGACAAGCTCTCCTATGAGAACATCCCCTCCGTCGTCTTCTCCCACCCAGAAGTCGGCACCATCGGTCTCACGGAACCTGAAGCTCGCGAGCGCTACGGCGACGAAAACATCAAAATCTACCACACCCGGTTCACGGCCATGTACTACAGCGTGTTCCCGGCCGAGGAGAAGGCTAAGAACCCAACGGAGTTCAAGCTGGTGTGCGCCGGACCGGAAGAGAAGGTCGTTGGCCTGCACATTTTGGGTCTCGGCGTTGGCGAGATGCTGCAGGGCTTCGGTGTGGCGATGAAGATGGGTGCCACCAAGGCCGATTTCGATAGCTGTGTTGCTATTCATCCGACCAGCGCGGAGGAGTTGGTCACGCTGCGATAGATGTATATAATATTTTAGATGTGTAGATCATACATATGTATTCCATTGGTTATACCCATTCTCTATGTCAGGACTGGCCTGTTCACGGTGTCTCATGATAAAGAGTGTCTTAATGCAGTCGCATTTTTGAGCTATAACGGACAGAGTAATTTGACATAAGAGATTCACTTTAGAGGAGTTTCTGGCTATACATGATTTTACTGGGTTATCTATATTGAGCATACGGTCAAGACTAATACGGAGATTGCAGGTGGTGGCACATTGCTCCTTCCCTGTTTGGTGAAGCTGCGTGTCCCTGACAACCATCTGGCTTTATGCTGTCACCTCATCCTCGGCTGAAACAGTCGGCCTCTCACCGAGCTAGCTGTCTATATTCCAGCGTAGAATCCAAGTTGAGGCTTTCACTTATTTCCGGTCGCCCAAGGATGTGGATCTGAGCATATTTTGACCACCGGAGAGGTAACGCAGCCACGCCTTCCCCATGAGACTATCTGACATGGTGAAGGTTCCCCCAGCATGGTGTCCCTGGGAACGATGACTTCATTATCAGACACTTGCACTGCTAGTGATGTTGGGAGTAGTATGCTTGACCAGGTATTGAAGGACATCAATCGTGCTTCAAAGGGTGTTTTGTGCCAGACATGCAAGGGTATCATTCGGGATTTGTCAAACAACGTCGACTCTGAAAAGCCAGTGAAGTTTAGGGGCCTCGAGAAGCTGCGCCATTGGAGTGATTGCCATCTTTGCAGATTGGTTCTTAGGACGATAAGTTTTGGCCACCAAAGCAGAAGGGAGATACGCCCGAACGGTGAAATCTACTATGCAGCGGTACACAAGATGACCACGGATCATGGAATTGACATTCTCGATGATGCGGGTCAACTAGGTACAAATCCTTCCGGGTTGAAGTAACCTTAGCATGTAGTAAACTGACTGATGTATCGATTGTAGGACGGTTGGAGCTTCATAACCCCGAATCAGCCAAGGAAAGGCCTGCTGTGCCGTACCAAATCGACGTACCTCTCGTCCGAAGTTGTATAAAAGACTGCCGGAAGAACCATAGGGATTGTGTGCAACGACATGCAAGCCCCCGTACAGAATCCGCTCGTATTGAAACTTGGCTGGTGGATACTCAAAACAAATGCCTCGCTAAGCACACCATCTCAGGAGGATACGGAGTTTCCTATGTAGCATTAAGCTATGTGTGGGGCCATACTGCAATGCTACAGACGGTTCATTCGAATTTGACCGAATTGCAGACTCCAGGAGCTCTGGACTCGGGCGAGCATTTGGTGGCACCTGTTATACAGGATGCGATGGTCTTAGCCAGGGCCCTTGGATATCAGTACCTTTTGGTAGATGCCCTGTGTATTGTGCAAGATGTTGCTGAAAAGGGTCAGCTGCTTGAGGTCATGGACTTGATATATATGATTGCAGACTTGACTATTTTTGCAATGGCGGGTGAAGACGCCAACTTCAGGCTTCCTGGAGTCCTGCCGGGGACTCGAGTCCAGCAGCCCGTTGCGATGATTGACGGTAACATGTTGAATGCCGCTCTACCCGAGTGGACAGACGAGCAACAAATGTCCTGCCATTTTACACGCGGCTGGACCTATGAAGAGATGATTTTGTCGCCCAGACGTCTATTTATATCGCCATACCAGGCCTATTTTCGCTGCAACACATCGCAATACTCCGAGAAACCACCGGTCCATACGACACTCGGTAACGACATTGGTTTATCAGAACTACATGTCCGTCGTATGCTCAATTATGAAAGGTTCGTCGAGGCATATACGAGTCGAATACTAGCGTACGATTCCGACATTCTAAACGCCTTCAGTGGGATTATTCAGTTTCTATCTGCTACCTATCTTGTTGAGTTCTATACAGCCATGCCTACCGGGGATGATACATTTCGTGCTTTATTCTGGACCTCTACATCGACCTGCCCATCAAGACGTTCCCGTGCCCGAGGCCTTAGTGCAAAATCTGACATCTATCTCCCTAGTTTGTCATGGACTGGTTGGAAGGGGGCAGTTAAGTATCCCGAACTTGGTCCAGCAGAGTTTCTCCGTCCAGCCTGTGGATTGCTTCTATCGGCAACATTACTGGCCAAATGCGCCGGGGATACTGAACTCAGGAAGACGGTACAAACACTGAAAGATGAATCTATAGAAGCGGGATATTGTGGACGTGGATGCTGTGTGTCTCTAGGGGATGATGACACGCTCGGCAACACACAGCTAGAGGCATCCGATGGTAGTGGACCTTCAACATCCAATGGCAGAAATGACATACGAAAATATGGCGCCCCGGCATTGAAATTTGATCGAGCAATGCCGCTTGCAGTTCTCCAAGTTCGGGTTTCTATGGTTATGGCTTGCAAATTTCGCTTCGGGAAGATTGAGTTACGCAGCATCCCCAGCAAGTATCTCGAAAACGTGAAATGGCTCCCACTATACGATGCAAGCAATGCGAAATGCGGTGGTCTATATAGTACCAATGCCATTAGATTCGACCGTCTTCAAAATCATCGTCTGATTGCATTGAGCCTTCATCGTCCGTTCAGGTATTTCGCCACGGGTGGATTCTATGACACTTTCTTTGAAATTGAAGAGCCAGCCATGCGCTGCAAGTGTCTTTTGCATATCATGTTAGTTGAGCAGATTGGATCGAGAGCTGAACGGATTGATATAGGCTGCATGTTACCCAAGGCTTGGGCAAATGCAAGCCCTACGCTGGAAACAATCAATCTTGCCTGAGTATCAGCAGCGGAGGGCTTCGCCTTTCCTCATTAAGAGACTACATTTCGGTAGATATAGTCATAGAAAAGAAGACCGTCAACTACCGTCTCAGATCAATCTGCCTGTATACAGTACTGGCCCTTCAAGCATTGAATATATACAAGCCGTGTCCGCCTGAACGTTGTAATTCCACTGCATCAGTGGTCTAATCCCATAGATATGTTGTAATATCAGTCTTTACCTCTCCACCCCTATGCGCCCATCTATTCAGTGAAAAGGGTTAGACCCTGTCAGCCATTCAGAACTGGAACATCCTATGTTCCAGCCTGTCTGGCCCTAAGGCTTACTCTGACAAGTTATAAGAAGAAAATAAAAATTAACAAAATAAAAGAACTGTCAAGGTATGGGCAGACAGGCAGGATTCACTCAATAAAACTCATATCCAGACTGTGACGGCAGGTTCACGTAGGTGGGACCCACGGGACTTAGCAAGCTTATAAAGGATGCACAGCTGAGCCTATTTAGTGGCTCAGAATCCTCGTCTTTTGCCAAATAGTGCAGTTAGCGGGAGGTTGGGTCTCTAGAAGCGCACCTAGAGGGTCGGCCTTGACAACCTACGCGCTGAGAAAATCAATGGGATCTTCTGAGATCTACCCCGTGAGAAGGCTTTTTATATGGAGTTGGTCTACCAACGCGTAGCTGTGTAGTCTTAGACATAGTAGTTAATCGTAAAACAGTGAGTAAGTACTCTGCAGGAAGATATAAAAAGAATGTGGCCCTATAAAAACGGGTAGTTTCTTATGCACACGACGTAAATGGTGTGGTTGTAGCAGCCCCCCCCAAAAGATATCATAGAGCTTCAGAGCTTTCATAAGTGATTAGATACAAGAAGAAAGTGGGTAAGATGAGAAATAGAGAAGATTGAAGATATTATATAAAAAAGATTTATCACTAGTGTAATTTGTGAGAAAGAACCTACATGAATGGAGCACGCCGTGGGATGAGATACGTGGAGATACACATGGCGATTGAGCAGACCTGAGGTGCCTAATCAAAATAGGATTATATCATGAACTATAACTTCGTTAGAAACAATACTATATTCCTTTTTTCTCCATCTTGCTCAAGGTTGAGTAGAGACAGGCTTCCCAATACTTCCTGGATAAATAACGAGCGAAAAATCATCTAACTCGGCGAGTGGACCACTCTCATCATGTCCAGACATGCATAATTCAAGTGGAGATGATTCGCGCCCAGGGCTTCGCTTATATCTAAAATCTTCCATCAAAGATCTCGCTCCCTGCTGGCTGACAGAATAATGCCAAGGACGAAATCGATCAGGGAACTCAACCTGTTCAAGATCAACAGCCATTACTTTACCAGACCCACAGTCTGTGCTGTCACAGAACAAAAAGTTATTGAGCTTCTGATCCCGATACAAAGCTCCATGCTTTAAAAACTGACTCAAGACTTCCTCCAGATAAGCTTTCAACGAACTCTCTGAAATGTCATAGTTGCTGAGAGCTAAGTCATCCAGGGGAATCCCATCAATATCTGATAATATGAGTGCAGGTAGTCCATCAAAATCACCCCGACCATAAAAGTATGGAATCACTTTTCCTTGAAGTACTTTTAATTTGTTGTAGGCTGTTTCCTCATCCTCAAACTCTTCTTCCCATCCATCTTTCTGTTGTTTGACGATAACCGATGTGGCTGTTTCTGGAATGATATGCCGGTAGGAGTCCGGTTTGAGTTTAACGCGATACACTGTCCGACGTTGATCCAATAGCTCAGCCTCAGTTGCAATAATCTCATGACCATCTAGCTTGAGAGTCTAAACATAATCAGCTTGATCTTTCAGACCAACACGTACAAGACATCCTATCCTACCTTGGGGGTTGTGGGCGTGGGAAATAAGACATGACTAGATGCGCGTACCGGGTGCTGAGGAAGAAAGAAAGGAAGAAAGGAAGAACCTTTGACAATAGGATGATGATAAGTCCAACGGTCATGTGATCTGTCAGATGCAAGGGAGAGATGGGACCTCTAGATCAGAGAATCATAGACAGATCCTGCGCTTTGATGCATGGTTGCATTAATTAGCACATACGGAGTACGGACCGTACAGAGTAAGTGGCCATTCACTTCAAAATCTGAGCATATCAACCCTCCAAGGCTCAATCTGTGGTGGGTAGAGAGTGCCGTGAATATTGGGTAACATTATTTCCTGAACTAGTGTGATCAGTGATCTTGTTGCCTGATAGTAATACTGGGCTTGTGAGTATATAAGAATTGCTATATCCTCTGGTAAGGTTAGGGATATCTTATATCTTATTTCCTAATCATTTACCTTTTTCTGCCATTCAATACTTCAAGTCTTGGCCCAGTGGAACAAAGTCAGCAATTTATCCTCAATGATTGATATAGCCCCAACGTCACATACTGTGGGTGAACTGATGAGGGTGTTCAGTCCTGAGCAACTAGACGTCAATACTTTGTCAACAGTATCTGAGAAAAAAAAGGACCCACGAGTATCCGGCTTTCAACAGGGGAAACGTGAGACTACTACTGGCTCCAACGAGACGAGGGCTTAGAGAGGTCCTGTACCTGGAGGACCTAAACTCTGGCCCCGAGCCCTAGTGGCGTCAAAGAATACAGCTCCATGTCAGCGGATTAATGGGAATAAATAATGTGACAAGATCATCTACCAGGTGTGGTATTATGCAGTGACTCAGTGACTGTATAATAACACACGGACTCGTACTTGACCTGATGGAAGGATAGAATGAATACCTTACCCTCTATCTCGAAGAATACTAACTCTATTTTTACTTTCTGACACAGACACAACACTCTTATGGGCGGTAGCACCACGTCCAGCCTCCCTTTTCTACATATGGAGTACTTGTGTTCAAATACAGAGGATGGGTATCTCTAATACAACATCGCGCGAGTGATTCTAGTGCGGGGTACGGAGTACTTACTAGGTGACAGACATTATTTTCATACTCGCTTGCTGCTCACCTAGAGAAAACTGTCCAAAGAATGGGGCGATTGGTAATGATCAGTTCGAGCATCAGTGTTATTCAAAGCCGAATGAGATTGCTCGTCGTCGTGTACATTCCGCGCCACAGTGACGGGCAAAAGGCTTCTCATTTGTGTCTAGAACATGGTTGGTTTAATGCAGTCATCCCCGTTGAAGAAAATACAAACGTCGTCTTGTGTGGCGTTGCAAGTGCTCTAACTTCCGAAATGTTCTCTGGCAGTACGTGCAACGGAATTCCCTCCCTCCATTGGCACTAGAGGCATGTGATGATCACATTAAGAGGATTGTTTGGAGATCTGTGTGTGCGATGTAAGACATTGGGATATTCAAGGCAAGGGATTGGAGAAATAGGACGGCGAGCCAGATGACTAAGCATCGAATTATGCTCATGATTCTCCCCAGCTCAGTTTGCTAGGGTTTGCTGGATGCCATTCCTAGCAGCAAACCGGCTAATAAATGTCTCAAATATGTGATGAGTAGGGTCTGCCCTCCGGATATCGAGGATGTTACTAGTATAATATCAAGTAGAAGATTTCGTATATTTTTACCCACAAGGGATAAGAGATAAGGACATCAAGAAGAAATCTAGTTCCATGGAAAAGTGCGATAAGAATGGAAACTGAAATTATTTGGAATAAACCGATCTCTATTGAATATACATGGAGAGAAACAATTTTAGCTGTTCTAGTATGCATATCTAAATCACAGTATCTAGGAGCCAAGGGACAAGAACCAGCATGATTCGAAGATACAGTAAAGACAAGATTCAGGATGGGTGAGGAGATCGAAGCTGGAGATATACAGGGAATTATGTGAAGATACTGGAGAGACCTGCCAATCGTCTTCATATGCCACTATTGAAGATTATTGTATATACCGTGAGTATAGGCCGCACAGGTCTAAAGCCATCAATCCATTACCCTCAATAACTGCGCGGTAGCTGTAGCACCTTCTCACTCACATAGTTTAGAATCATTTCGCGACTGACCGGCGCAATCCGCGGCACCAGACACTCACGTAGAAACCGCTCTACGTCGTATTCCATTGCGTATCCCATCCCCCCATGGCTCAGCACCGCACGTTCACACGCCGTAAACGCTGCCTCCGCAGCCACATATTTGGCACTATTACACGCCACCCCAACAGAGTGCAAGGGGATGCTCTCATCCTGCTTCGATGCATCATAGAGCCGTGCCGCATGATACGTCGCCAGCTTGGCCGCCTCCAGCTTCATGTATGCATCCGCCAGCGGGTGCGCTATCCCCTGGTTCTGCCCGATAGGCCGTCCAAAAACCACCCGATGCTTCGCGTACTGTGCTGCTCGCTCCAGCGCTGCATAGCCCAGGCCCAGTGCCTCGCCCGCCAGCAGACAGCGCTCCGCGTTCATGCCGTGCAAGATGATTCGAAATCCATCGTTTTCCCGACCAATAAGCGTCTGTGCGGGAACTTCGTACTGATCGAAGAACACCTCATTGGCATCCACTGCTCGTCCACCCATCTTCTTGATCTTGCGCATTTCCAGCCCCGGTTGGCTACGGTCCAGGTCAATGCAGAACATGGATAGTCCCTGCGTAGATTTGGTCACTTCCTCCAGCGGCGTCGTTCGCGCCAAGAGTATCATCTTCGATGCCACCTGGGCGCAGGTAATCCAGATCTTCTGTCCAGACACAGAGTAAGCATCGCGGGAAGGAATCTTGGTGGCTAGCGTCTTGAGCTTCAGTGTTTCCAGACCGGTGTTGGGCTCCGTTACACCAAAGCATGTGCGCCATGTGCCGTTGATGATGTTGGGAATCGTCTCTTCGAGTTGCTCACGCGTCCCGAATCGAGCCAGCGGTTGCGTGGCGTATACATTGGCATGAATGGCCTGGGCGCCGGCCATGCCTGCCCCCGACTGGGTGATGGTTTGCATCATCATTGTCGCTTCGGAGATTCCTGGATTCTGTCAGTGAGAGCTCTGTTCTTGAATGAAAAGAATATTTACCAAGACCCGCGCCTCCCAGCTCCTCGGGCAGGGCAATTCCCAGCCATCCATCCCTAGCTAGAGCGGCGTGAAACTCTTTGGGGTCACGCTCATTTTGGTCGCAATCTTGCCAATATGTGTTGGGAAAATTGGCGCAGACGGCCGACACAGCATCGCGGACTGTTAATTGCTCCTCACTGAAACCCGTCAATTCCATCAACGAGTGCGAAGCGCTGGTGGAGAAACCGCATCGGGTTAATGTTTGTAAGGCGAGAGGCCGCAGGGGAGCCCCTCGGGCGGGCCGAAGCGTCCGGCACAATCGGTACATACGAGACATGATAAATGTGATGAGGGGGTTCAGTCCGCTTCCCAGGTGGAAATCCCATGGAGAGTGGGTGGATGGAAGGGATGAAAGATAATATATATAAGGCCGGTCAAGAAGGCATGCGGTCATAGAATGCGGCCGAAGTTACTACCCGAGGCTTATATAGCCTTCTTCCCCCCAAATAGCCGCGAGCCGCAGATTAGCAACCAAAGTAAACACCGGCCGTCATTCAAAGCATTATAAAATGTTAGAAATCGAATTCACACGCCACAGATTAAATGATCCAAAGAATGAAAAATCAGCCATGCGTCCTCGCATTAACTCGTATATTTCACAGTAAAGGCCGAATCACTTTGCACGTCTACTTCCGTCAACACCTGGTTGCCCTGTTTGAGTTCGACAATGGACGCATCCTTCACCCCCCAAGTAGACCCTCCCCCCTCTGCTTGCGCACCCCAGAAGCTGACCTCGCTGAAGTCTGCCAGGGAAACCATTGAGTCCCCTGCTTGGAAGTCTTCAATGATCCAGTCGGCATTCTGACCGCCAAGCGTGGCCGTCGCAGCAGGCGCTGTGATTGTTTGCGTTGCCTTCTTCCCCGTTGAGAGATTTTCAATCGTAGCCACACCCTGACTAGGCGAGAGAGCTTGGACCTTGGCCACGATCGTGTCCCCAGTGTTGACTTCAAGACTGAAGTCATATGCATAATCCGGGTACCATTCGAACCAGGCGTCATTGTACGTCTGCCCGTTGTCCACATAAAAGTCAATCCCCGTCTGGAGAATTGCGGCGCTATATGTGTCTCCATCGATTCCGACCCAGGCGGATCCGGCCTGTGTGCCACTTTGACTTGTCCCCGTGGGTTCTGGAACCCGAAAGGTTGCTGTCACGGCAGAATATGTACCTTGTGGAGGTGGTTGCTCGCGCACGGCGCCCGCCCAGTTGCTGCTATATGTGACCTGGGTCGCATCTGAGGACCCTCCGGCCAGCCTGTACTCGGAGGTTGTATCACCTGGAACTGGTGCCAGAGGGTGCGACTGACGGGACAGTGACCGGGCACGAACTCTGTCCGCCAGACCACTGCGGGGGGCAGCCAGGACACTGCCAGCAAGGGAGGCGGTCGTTATAAGGTAATTTGTGAACTTCATGATGAGCGGCGAATTCAAAGAGAGAAGCACACCTCTGGTAGTGGGTATCTCGGAAATAGAAGGGCGAAAAATGGCAAATTCGTCCCGCAAGGGCGTAGACGCTCGGCTTTATTGTATCCCACTTATGGATCTGCGAGATCGCATGCGGATGACCTTCTCTGCTTGTCACTAGATTAGGAAGATTCTCAACAGCAGAGGCCATGATCTACTTATGCCCACAGGAACAAAACTTCATCAATGGCAGGTGGAGGCGACGTACGTCATGAACTGTATCACCAAGAGGATTCACGAGTGCTTGATTGGCTATTATACCAGCGATCAAGGAAGTTATTTTTACCAAGGTTTGCCCTGGCTGTGCCTGGGACCGTCCACTTCACTCAGATCAAAGCCGGAACAAGTCAGAGGAGTAAGCACCCTTTCCCGAATGGCACGCGGATTGCGTCAAATGAAGCCGCTCATATGACAGGGATAGATCGGCTTCAGATAGAGTAAGATAAAATCGGACGGAAGAGGATAGGATCAACGCTGTGAAGTCCTGATGATGGCGTTCATATTAGGTTTCCTTCAGACGAGTGCATCACCTGTCATAGGGTCAAGTCGTCTGCTGTTAAGATACAAACACAATGGAAACACCGGTCTTACTGTCCCAAATAAACAGTCGTCAGCTTTGAAGGCTAATTTAAAGTACGCGGACCCGACCCCTGGTACAACAGTGTTCGTGGTCTCAAAACCGACGCAAATCAGCGGATGACGAGTGCCGGAATGAGAAATCTCACATTCCAAGCAACGCAAGGGATTCCAGGTCGATGGCATGCCCGCGTGGTAGCTGAAAGCATCCGCCCAATTGTTTATTTATCCCTTTTTATTGACTGCTTCTGAGGACGGATGCTTTGCTTTTCATCTCATCAATTCCATGTGCGTACTTCCGACGATCTGTGGATCCCAGAGCCGGAGTAAGATACCAGCTAGCCATGTTGGCTTGGAAATTCCCTTATTAATAGTCTTCAGGCAGTAGTATTGAGATGGCACTCCATGTTTGCCTCTGCAGAGTCGCTTAGTGAGGGATAGTCTGGTACGTGCAGACGGCAACGATCCTGTGTATCATGTGCCTCCACCGCCACGAGTTTTTCGTATCACAAGGAGCTGCAATTGAAGCGTGACCTTTAGTGACTGTAGACATGATAATTGATCTTAGTTTGAAATGGGGGACAGGCTGTCGAGGATGCTGATAGGGTTGTTCATCCCGCTTAAGCTTGTGATGCTTTGGCTAGGGCTCCCACCGCCCATCCAATGAACATGGCTGGATCTTGACCTGGTGATTGAATCATGTAAAATTTCCCTGAAAATGCGATTCCAATAAATTCTAGTCTAGACTCTATCCTATCGTCGTGGGTATCATCAGATCCTCAATGTAGGACCAGGAAGTCGTTTATGTGTTCTATGTCAGTGCAAGAGTGCTTTCGTTGAATAACAGCCACACCATCCGTCGAAAAAGTCTGGACTATCGCTGAATGCCGCGACAGCATTGCTTGGCGTGACCAACTGACGGAAGCCTCGGCCTTTCCACTGTGATCTTGTGAGGTTACATTCAATGCTCGAATTTGTCAGAAGTCCCAGGAACCTCTTCTGTTCGACATGTCGAATGGAAAGGAGAGCCGGCTCTCTGCCTGTGTGTCCAGAAACAGTTGCTGCCCTGTGATTTTCGCCTTGCACGTCCATGATTTCCTAGGTTTCAAGATCATGGACTAGGCTGTGACGGAAATGCGAGCGGGAACATCACGATTCGCTCTTCGCGACATCAACTGTGGCAGTTTCCCCACGCTTGGTAAAATGTCCTTGAATCCAGCAGCGGTACATCTTGAGCTTGCGCTGACGGTTGACGATCAGCCGATAATCAACTCCCAGCTTATCAACCCCAAAGACACCCTTGCTATCGGTAGCTTGCTGCTCATCCGTGCCCTTAGCCTCCTCTGCTGTCGCACTGGCCGTGGGCAGACCCTTCTCCGGAGTCCATTGACTCCACATGTTCTCCAGTTCATCGCGATCAAAGAAGTACACCCGTGTTCCATCACCACGAACGTAGAAGTTCTCGCCCATATAACGGTTCTTCTTGAACCGAACCTGTGCCAAGTCGCCCCGACCGTAATCGCGGAACAGGACGTGTCCGCCCGGCTTCAACACGCGGTACACATTGCGGAGAGCTTGATCCCACTGCTCTGGTGCCAATGCAGAGAAAATGAAGATCAGAACGACGACATTGACCGACCCCTCAGTGAGACCCGGGGGAAGCCCATTACTCTCCTCATCCGGCTTCGCCGTGACATCCCACACATCAGCTGTGATATGCTTCGGGTTGTAATGCGGGCTCTCGCGCATGACCTTGACAGCGGTCTTTGAAAAATCGCAGGCATGAACCATGAGCTCCTCGTTCTCATTGTTTTCCAGCAATGGAAAGGCGGTGTTTCCGGCACCGGCACCAACCTCCAGGACGACCTGTTTGCCTGCGTTGGCCTGGCTTACTTCCGCAAGGACTGGGAACTCTTGGCGGAGCCACTTCCGGTTCTTGAAAAAGTTGGCGGTGTTGTTCTTGTAGAAGAGGTTCCACCATTTGGCCGGGTCGGCGTTGAAACGGTTTCTGTCGAAATCGGAAACGGGGGTTTCGCGTTGCTTCGAGTATTGTACCTCTGCGAAGGCTTTGAACTCATCGTCGGGCTCTACATGATCCCAGGCGTTGAACTCGAACACATCGTCTCCTTCTTCGAGATAGCGGGAGCCGAACTGGAAGGGATCACTCCGCTTTTGATTGTTGGAGGGGTCGTGAGAGCGATGCGGGGTGATCTGGGGGGGCGTGACCAGTTGTAGAACGGTCGCGATATCGTCGGAGGGGGATGCGATCGGAGCAGGAGCCATGGTGACAAACTCCGTAAGAGCCTGGGAAAACGTGAGACCGACTGGGTTGATGTTGAGGCGACTGGAAAGAATTCCCCCTCAGTCCGGAGTAGAACCCGATAAGAAAAATTACAAACTCTGCAAACACTAAGCGACAGTCATGTGATTCGCCGACCACGTGTGTTGAGATACCATCCATGGAAAGCTCTCGGTCATTACAAAGGGCAAATGTTATTTAACGGTATTATTTCTATATATGATCTTTGGTAGATACACTCGAGACCATTGGAAGGGGTCATAACAAGCAACACTTTTGGTTCGTTTGAATTCGCCTATACAAAATAGTAGCCACGCGTGGTCCCAGACTCAAATCGACCCAAACTCATCCCAGACAGAGAACCCGAAAAAAAGAACATTGATATAAGACATAGTTTACTTTCGAAGGAATTTATGGACGCAAGGGTACAGAATAACGGATGCCGCTTTACTCGAGAGAGTCGGTGATACAGCCGTGGCTAGCATCCTTGACGGTTCTATTAGAGGAAACGTTAGCGAGACCAGATTTGAAAAGCAACGTCGAAAACTTAGATAAAGTAGTGACACCAGAGGGTGATACGTACCTAGCATACTTGCCGAGAGTACCTCTCAGAGTCAGGCCAGTAGGGGGCAGCTTGCCAGCGTCTCTGGCGGCTTCCCACTCCTTTCTTCTTTGGGCGAGCTCAGTCTCGTCAACATCAAGGTCGAGAGCACGCTTTCCGGCGTCGATAGTGATAACATCACCATCCTTGACCAGGCCAATGGGGCCTCCAACGGCAGCTTCCGGAACAATATGTCCGATCAAGAAACCGTGGGAGCCACCGGAGAAACGTCCATCAGTGATCAGAGCACACGATTGTCCGAGACCGGCGCCCATAAGAGCCGAAGAGGGCTTCAGCATTTCTAATCGTCACAAAAGTATTAGCTAGTGCAAAAGGGAAGACACTTGATATGTGCGATAAGAAGGGAAAGGATTGGATGTGGAGACTTACCGGGCATACCAGGACCACCCTTGGGTCCAGTGTAGCGGATGACCACAACGGTCTTGTCCTCCTTCTTGATCTCGTTGCGCTCGAGAGCCTCAATGAAGTGATCTTCATCATCGAAGACACGGGCTTTTCCAGTGAAGACGAGACCTTCCTTACCGGTGATCTTTCCGACACTGCCACCAGGAGCCAACGAACCTCTCAGGATCTGGATGTGGCCAGTCTCCTTGATGGGGTTGGACAAGGGACGGATGATCTTCTGATCCTCGGGGAAGTCCGGCACGTTTTCCAGGTTCTTGGCCAGAGTCTGACCAGTGACAGTCATACCAGAGCCATCGATGAGACCTTCCTTGAGCAGGAACTTGAGCAGAGAGGGCGTACCACCAATGTTGTGAAGATCAGCCATGACGTATTTTCCGGAGGGCTTAAGATCCGCCAGGAAAGGCACGCGGTCAGAGACAGACTGGAAGTCTTCAATGTCCAGCTTGATGCCAACAGAGTCCGCGATGGCAATTAGGTGAAGAACCGCGTTGGTGGAGCCACCGGTGATGTTGACCACAACCATGGCGTTCTCGAAGGCCTGGCGAGTAAGGATGTCGGAGGGACGAATGTCCTCCTTCAGCAAGGTCTTGATCGCCTCACCGGCGGCAAGACATTCGAGGTTCTTCGCCTGAGACTCGGCAGGGTTGGAAGAGGAACCAGGGAGAGTCATACCCATGACCTCGATAGCTGTAGCCATGGTGTTGGCCGTGTACATACCACCGCAAGCACCACCTCCCGGGCAGGCGTTACGGATAATGTCGAATCTCTGAGGCTCGGTAATCTCCTTGCTCAAGAACTGACCATAGGCCTGGAAAGCGGAGACGATATCAATGTCCGCGTTGTTCTGCATGGAGGCACAGCCGGGCTTGATGGTACCACCGTACACCATCAAACTGGGACGGTTCACTCTTCCCATTGCCATCAACACACCAGGCATGTTCTTGTCACAGCCGGGAATGCTGATGTTGGCGTCATACCATTGACCGCCCATGACCGTCTCAATCGAGTCTGCAATCAGATCACGGCTCTGGAGGGAGAACCGCATCCCCTTGGTACCCATGCTGATAGCATCACTGACACCAACAGTGTTGAACTGGAATCCAACCAAGCCGGCCTTCTGGACACCCTCGCGGACGCGGTTGTTGAGATCGAGCAGATGCATGTTGCAGGGGTTACCATTATACCAGACAGAGGAAATGCCGACCTGGGCCTTGTTCATGTCTGCCTCGGAAAGACCAGCTGCGTACAGCATGGCCTGGGAGGCACCCTGGGAGATGGGCTGGGTGATGTGGCGGGAAACCCTGTTGAGACCGGTATACTCGTCATCGCTGGCGTTCTGCCTGGGCAGAGTCGTCGACAGAGAACGGCTGCCGTGGAGGAACAAACATCAGCATCGCGGGTTAGAGCAATTGCGAGGAGATTTGTCTCTGTGGCTGTTTTCCCTACCTGTTGAGCAAAGAGCGCTTGGCGACGCTCCGGAGAGCGGAGGGCATACGCCCCCGGGTCTGGGAAAGAAGCATTGCCGTCCTAGTACACGCGAGTCGCGGGACAATGGAGCAGAGCAGGGTGCAGCGGGGTTGATACCGTCCAGATAAACGGAGAGACCTTGTAACCCTTAGCCACAGCAAGAGGAAGAAATAAGTTGACTCCGGTAGTGTAGTGACTCCCGGTAGCAAAAAAGGGCCGGGGCCTCCGCAGCGAAGTCGGGGGCCGGAGTTGGACAGCGACTCCGCGTCGCCCAATGTACGCCAATGGATTGTCAGCAGCAGGCCAATCAGCATCGCGGCCCCGCTGAATAATGGGGGGCATTTCCCGTGACTTGCCTTGCTCCAGAGAGCTATCTCAAAGCGGTCTAGCTGGTCGCTGCTTGGTTCTTCCGTCCCGAAGGTTGCACTGAGTGCACCTTACCGGATTGGGGCACCTTCTATACAAGGGAATGGGTCATTTGTCGAATACTCACGTCTCACTCCCATCTCCCTTCCTCATGTCAAATTTCCAGATCGGCCAGTAAATACTATTCATATTGGTTCAAACACACCAGCGACGATGAGTTCCGAGTCAGCGCATGACAGACTCAGATTGACTGTGGTCAGGTGGTTAGGCAGTAGAGTGAATCGTTACACTGTGCTCCTTGATCCCGTTCACAATTTCAATATTGCCCGCGCTATCAACGCAATGCTACCAGAGCTTGTGAAAGCTATAACTGGCAGGATTTCCATGGCCTGTCGCTGTCCTGCTGCTCGCTCACTTGAGAGTTGTGCTGATACGCGATCGTGGGCACTCCCCCTTGATGCAAGGCACGCGATAAGAATGCAGACGGAATGCAGGCTTTACAGTGACTCGTGGAAAACCAAAAACATAACCCAGAACTGATAGTAAATTGGTGACTTCTCCTCGACAATCAATTACCGACGCGCCAATAGTATTGACCACCAGCACTGGATGTTGTTCAGCCTCCATGTGGGATGGCATCGACTTCGGATATGGCGTCCACTGCAGTAAGCAGTTTGGGCCTTGTTTTGATTGCGAGCTGTAGCTTCCCTGCACTGCTGCAGATAGCTTGCAGATTTATGCACAGCAAAACGACAACCCCGTCTCTATCACAAATATATGCTGTCGACAAACCTAGCTATGAGGATGAGGATGGGGAGGTTACCGACGGAGCTTTGGAAGAATTCTCAGACCTCTGGCAGGGATTCACCATAGCGGTTCTGTCAGTCATTGGGCTGGGAATATCTTTGGCACAGGCTATTCTGTCAATGACAACGGGTGAACACGACTGTGTTATTTCCTTCTGGCTGCAGATGGGAAGTTGGGTGAGTTTTGCAGACGAATATTCAACTGGGCCCCTATTCTAACGCGTAATATGATGTTAGGGAATGCTGTGTCTACAGACTGTTAGCTTCTTCGTTGAACCAACACCTACGAAGCGATACATCCTAGGAATATATGGGTTTGGGACCAGCACTATCGCCGCAATCATCCCCTGCTTGGAGGCTGCCTTAGCGTGGCACATTGGATACAACCTTAGATATGTGTCGATAGGTTTAACAATAGGCCAATCCGCGACCGCCTGCCTCCGGGCCGCGTTTTGCATTCTCATTCCCCGGCGGCCGGATGTGTACTACGATGGCAAGGTGGTCGACCGAGAACGTACCGTGAGTGTTTTGAAACGGGTCACCTTCAGCTGGGTCAATGATCTATTGAACTATGCCGTGGCGAATAAGGGCCTGAACATCGATGACCTCCCGAGATTACCGTTCGCTGCCCGTTCGCAAACACTTCATGCACGTCTAGAGCAGACACGAGGTTCACGAGAACTGTGGAAATCACTTGTGCTGGCCCACAAAAACTCACTTATAATCCAGGCATCGCTCAGTATCATTGCGTGCGCCCTGAACTTTGGCCCGCAAGTAGCCATGTACGGGATATTGAAATCGCTCGAGAGCCGCTCTTTCACTACCGATGAGGTGGACCAAGCGTGGGTCTGGGTGTGCGGACTAGCAATAGTACTGATTTTGGCTTCCAGCATCGAATCGTGGCTTTGGTGGATCATCTATGCAAAGCTCTGGATTCCGATTTATGAGGGACTTTCGGCACTCGTGTTTGCCAAATCGATGCGCTGCAAAGATATAAAACAGATGGTATCGTCTGACGAGCCCGAAGAAGAGGATGGCTGTGAGGAGGCAGATGAGAACCAAGGGAGCAGTCAAAGTACTATTAATCTCGCCTCGGTGGACTCGAAACGTATTGCGGATTTCGTCATGTTCAACTATCTGATCCCCTCATGTGTGATTCGACTGCTCATAGGAGCTGCCTTCCTAGTCCATCTCATCGGATGGCCGAGCCTGCTGGCAGGTGTCACCACAGCCCTTTTAGTGACTCCTATAAACGCCTATTTGACCAAGAACTACTCTGCAGCACAGGAGGATTACATGAAGGCAAGCGACAAACGAATGGGGGCTATAGCAGAAGTTCTACAGGGCATCCGCCAAATCAAGTTTGCAGCGTTGGAACAGCAGTGGCAGGACCGCATTGCGGAGAAGCGCCGCATTGAACTAGGACTCCTGTGGAAGACATCATTATACACTATTGGTATGGTTTCGGTGTGGATCATGGGCCCTCTGATGTTGTCCGCTGTCTCCCTGACGGTATATGCGTTGACCCACGGGGAGCTGTCTGCCTCTGTGGCATTTACAGCCCTTTCAGTATTTGGCTCTCTGGAATCAGCAATGGCGAGCTTGCCCGACTTGCTGTCTAAAGGGATGGAGGCCAAAATCAGCGCCGATCGTATTGACCGGTACTTGAATTCGGCTGAAAAGGCGCCTCATACGTCCGATGTTGACGGGATCTCCTTTCACAATGCCACAATTGCATGGCCAGGAGATGAGCATGAAGAGACCGGGAAGAGACAGGACACCGACCAGCGCTTCATTCTCCGGGATCTTACCTTGAAGTTTCCTCCCAAGAAGCTGAGCATTATTTCCGGAAAGACTGGGTCGGGAAAAAGCCTCCTCTTGGCCTCTATCCTAGGGGAAAGTGATATCTTGGCTGGGACCGTGGCAATTCCACATGCTCCTTCCGCAGCTGTACGATACGATGAGAGAGCCACACGCCACAATTGGATCATTGATTCAGCTGTGGCGTATGTCGCTCAAAACCCCTGGCTGGAGAACGCCACCATCAAGGACAATATCGTTTTTGGTCTTCCGTATGACCGGTATCGGTACCGCAAGGTGCTTTTTGCGGCGGGTTTGAGAAAAGACATCGCAATGTTGCCAGATGCCGATCTGACTGATATTGGTGCAAACGGGATCAATCTGAGCGGTGGTCAACGGTGGCGCATCTCCTTTGCACGCGCTCTTTACTCCCGGGCTGGAATTCTGGTCATGGACGATATATTCAGCGCACTTGACGCTGAAACGGGACGTCACGTCTATGAGAACGCTCTGACCGGAAAGCTCGGCCAAAATAGGACCAGGATCCTGGTCACACATCATCTTGGATTGTGTCTGTCTCGCACCGACTACTGTGTCCTCCTTTCAGATGGACTCATGATGCATGCCGGAACAGTAGATGAATTAGCGGGCGTTCACAACCTGGTAGACCTGTTAGGGCAGACTGCCGTTCCAACAGAGGCTCATAAGCGGGATATGGTAGAGGAGGATCCAACAACCCCGATGAAGCGTGTTTCTACTGGATCCGGTTTCTCAGTAGCAAGTGTCACCGAGCCACCAAGGAAATTTACTGAAGAGGAGAGACGTGAGAAGGGGGCCGTGTCCTTGAAAGTATATGCGACATATGTGACCAAAGGAAAGTGCCTACGCTTGTGGGTGTTAACCTTTCTCGCCTATACCGCATTTATGGCGCTTTTAGTTGGCCGAGTAAGTGTTCAGGTTCTGTCCCTTGGAGTTATAGCTGACCTTCCAGTCTTGGTGGGTAAGCGTATGGACAGGCTCGTCCAATTCTTCATCTCAGCCGACAGAATCGGAAACGATCCCAAAGCACTCAATGAAGCAAATTAGCATTAATGTTGTCGACAAGGATTTGATGTTCTATCTCAGCATCTATGTGTGCTTTTCGGTAGCTGCATGTGTGGTAGGGACGTTAAGGACCCTCGTTCTTGCCCTCGCTTCTGTCGAATCTTCACGACAGCTATTCAATGACTTATTGATCGCCGTGCTGCGGTCCCCGCTGCGATGGCTCGACACCGTGCCCCTTGGCCGAATTCTTAACCGGTTCACATCTGACATCTACATCCTGGACTGGAGACTCGGCTATGATATTGGGCATTTTGTGTACAAGGTGTTGGAGCTTGCCGGTATACTCGCAGCAGGTGTACTGGTGTCCCCGGCGCTGTTGGTCTTTGCCTGTGTCCTACTGGTCCTGTGCCTTCGACTTTCCAAGACATATCTAACCGGGATGCGCGAAATCAAGCGACTCGAGAGTACCGCCAAGAGCCCTGTCCTGGAGCGGTTTGGTTCCAGCCTTGTTGGGCTCACCACCATTCGAGCCTTCAGCAAGGCAGAGGTCTATATTCAAGATATGTATGGGCGGATCGACCGCCATGCGCAGGCCGCGTGGTACCTCTGGCTCTTGGATCGCTGGCTAGCATTTCGAATGAGTATCGCGGGCGCCGTGCTGTCTGCGATGACAGCAGCCCTGGTTGTATACGTTCCCAGCATCTCTCCAGCTTTGGCAGGCTTCGCAATGACCTTTGCTTTGCAGTACAACTACGCCGTGTCAATGGGCCTGCGATTCTACGCAAATGTGGAGACGGACATGAACGCCACTGAGCGAGTGCTAGAGTACTCTGCCATCAAGACGGAGGAGCAAGGGGGTCATAACCCTCCAGCCGCATGGCCGATGCGCGGGAAAGTCGAAGTCGAGGATTTGGTCGTGGGCTATGCACCCGATCTGCCGCCCGTGATTGACGGTCTCAGTTTCACCATGGAGAATAACCAACGAGTGGGCGTTGTCGGGCGCACAGGGGCTGGGAAATCCTCACTAACACTGGCATTGTTTCGCTTTCTTGAGGCCCGACAGGGTCGCATACTGGTTGACGGGTTGGACATTTCGCAGATCAAGCTCCAAGCACTACGCAGCCGCCTTGCTATCATCCCTCAAGACCCGGTGTTATTTTCAGGGACCCTGCGATCCAACTTGGATCCATTTCACGAGTATACCGACCTGGAACTCTACAACGCTCTGGAACGGGTGCATCTCATCTCGTTTGAGGATACATTGACACTAGGATCACAGTCGGGTAGCGAGCGGCTCAGCGACAGCAGCACCTTGCCATCATCATCGTCCTCCACCTCCTCGACTGCTGAGCCCATAAAGCCAATCAACTTTTTCTCCTCCCTGTCGTCAGTCATATCCCAAGGTGGACTCAATCTCTCCCAGGGGCAACGACAACTTCTTTGCCTTGCGCGAGCCATCGTCTCTCAGCCTAAGATCATGATTTTGGACGAGGCCACCTCTGCCGTGGACATGGAGACGGAAACTCTGATCCAGCGGTCTATCCGAGAAGAATTTGGACGCAATGCTACGTCGCTGCTCGTGATTGCACACCGACTCAGTACGGTTGCGGACTTTGATCGGATTCTTGTGATGGATGCCGGCAAGGCTGTGGAGTTTGGCACGCCCCAGGAGCTGTTGGAAATAGAGGGAGGTGTGTTTCGCAATCTGGTAGAAACCAGTGGGGAGAGAGCCCATCTAGAGAAGGTTATCAAGGGAGATGGAGATAACGAATCTTGAGCTATGATCTTTGTCTCGCTAAGCACGGCATTTGGGTGGATTTTGTGGACTATTAATATGTACAGTGGAGGTGGCTTTTGCTGGCCATCTTTGTCCCGGCGACACTGTACGAGAGTGCCTGGCGCCATATCCTTTTTTATAGAACAGTTAGCGACCCAGAATGTAATTGTGGTTCTTCTCAGAAGACCCTCGATCTGGCTGGTATCGTATGTATGTAATTACGAAACCATACCAGTCACATGCGACCGTTGGCGGCCTCCCGATTGGGGCAAGCGTGTGAAGGCCGAAACGGGTTCGACTTTGCCAGGGACTCGCCAGTCTAGGCCTCGACTTAAAAAGCTACCGTCTACCGTCTACCATCTACCTGGACTCCATCCGTGCTCCTTACCTTTCCTACTCCGTTATAGCTGTAATCACCTTATACTGTGATCACCTCATCTCAGCCTTATAGCCACCCATCCATCCATCCATCCACTCACAGTCACATGGGATCGGACCTGCAAGAGTCGCCGCCCCGTCCAGACCCCACCATTGCAGAGCCCGCGCGGCCCTCACGCTCCTCACCACCGACTCCCGAGGCCTCCGCCGCTGCAGCTCCAGTGGACGCCGAAGATGACTGGGCTGGCCTCTGCGACCGCAAAGAGCGTCGACGACGACAGAACCGGCTGAATCAGCGCGCATACCGTGAGCATCTCTTCCCTCTCTCACTATCATCCACAACCCAACTAACCAATTCCCCAGGAAAACGCAAACAAGCCGAACGCAACAATGTCCTAGTCCTCCGACCCTCCCAATCCAGCTCCCAACAAGCCGAGCGAAGCTCATCATCACCACCATCACCCAAACCCCCCTCCTCCCTCTCCCTAACCCCCACCCAATCCCGCTGCCTCCAAACCCTCAGCAATGGCAGTAATGGCAGCAATTCCCCCAACGACCCCACCATGCCCCTCGACATCCAACGCCTCTTCGAACACTTCACCCGCGTCGCCTACGAAAGCTACTTCCGTGGCTCCCCCTCGGCCGACCACCTCCTCACCCTCAGCAAAATGAATGTCTTCCGCGCCTTCATGGCCAACATGACCGTCCTGGGTCTAGGCCGCGACACAACCTGGTGCCAAGACGACGATGCTCTCTCTCTCTTCAACACCCTACCCCCAGCCACAATCGAGGAAAGCAATCTCCCCGTTGCATTACGTCCAACCAAACTCCAAATCAAAGTCCCGCATCACCCGTGGCTAGACTTCTTCCCGTTGCCACGCCTCCGCGATAATCTCGTCATGATGGCGGATAAATTCGACGACGAGGAACTGTGTCATGACGTCATGGGGTTCTGGGATAATGCGTCGGATACTTGCAGTATGTTGGTTTGGGGGGAGCCGTCGGATCCAGCCAGTTGGGAGGTCACAGAGGGGTTTTTGAGGAAGTGGCCGTGGGTGGTTAGGGGGTGTCCTGAGTTATTGCAGAGTACGAATCGATGGAGGCAGCAGAGGGGGGAGAAGATGATTATTAGGTATTTGTAGTTGGATACCTAGGCTGGGTTGGAGGGTTATGTGGAAATGAACGTGTATGTGAATGCGAATGCGAAAGTGACCATTCTCTCCTCTCTTTTTACCCAATACCAAACAACAATCTTATCAACCTCTACTTAATACCTACACACCCTCAAATACCTACCCTACAGCTATCTTCCCTCACAATCTCCCACTATCCATCCATCCCCAAAAAATACCCTAAAGGTAGATACCCTCGGTAGATACGCCGTAGATCCCATCCGGAGATAATCTCAAAAACCCAGACACTAATGCAACCTGCTGACGGTTGATCCACGTTGCGATCAGGTCAGGGACCAATCACAGCACAGGGATAGGGCGATCGGCTTGGCGGGGTCATAGATTTGTCAGCTTGGGTGGGTGGGGTGGTTTGTTTGGTGTGGTATTTACTGTCTTGTTACGGAGTATTTTTTACGGTGGTTGGGGCCTGAGGCGGGAATACAGGGTTGGGATTGTGGTGGGTTGGGAGGATGGGTTGGTGGGACTTGTCTGAGGAGGTTGAGGGGAGTGGTGTTGTTGGGTTGGTTCATTGATTCTTTTGAGGGAGGGGGATGTGCTGCTGGTATTGAATAGGAGTGGATGTTGGTATGACAGTGTGAATGGTCTGTTGTTGTCATCGTCGCTTATTATTATACGCAAGATGCTATACTATACTATACTACTGGACAATGTCCACGGGTAATGGCCAGCACTATCCCATGATGAAGATGGCAATCATGGGATCACGTTCTCTCGCTCCGCCTTTTCTACCATCGTCCCCAGGGCATCGGCTACGCCATATGAAAAGGCGTATCCGCCTCCTCCGAAACCATAGGCAGACAGGATAATGCGACTGCCCTGCTGCTCCGAGTCCAGACGGAACCCTCCCTGTCTTGACGGCCGGATGCCGACAATGTAGCTGAGCGCATCTTCGGATGGATGTTCGGGGACGACTTCCGGGGCGAGACGGTGGGCGCGGGCGATTTCGTCTCGAGCGATTTCCATGTCTGGTTCGGGTGATCTGTCAATGGCAGTTAGTTTTGGTCCCGGGGTAAGTATGGTATACATCAGCACGTACAGGTCGTCTGCTTGTTTCACGCCCCCAAGAACGACGCCGTGTGACATGGGACGAGGGATCACGTAGGTGTATTCTTGACCGTTTCGGAAGTACATCGTATGACAGTTGTCCGTCTTGTAGAACACGTTCTGGCCCCGCTCTGCGAAACATTTGTCGTCCTGCACGTCCTTGAGGGTCTTACTTCCTATCCCGCTGGCGTTCACGAAAAGACTCGATTCGGGGAACATGCGGTATAGATCCTCGAGGGATTCCACCCGTTTCCGGATGAACTGGCCGCCCAGAGCGGTAATCTTCTTCCCTAGATATGGCATATGGAGGGTGGGATCGGTGACCAGGGTTTTGTACGACCATCCACAACTAAACCCTGAAGGATATTCACCCGGTTGGAGGTCACGCCACTAGGCCTCGTGTCAGCTCCCTGCACCTGCTGCTTCAGGGGAGTGTTTACCTTAGCAGCCACGGTCTTGCCCCAGGCCGAGGAGTTCTCGGAGGGAGGTCGTTCGACATACTCGAGGGCGTCGACAATGCAGACACCAGATTCCGGCTCTTCCTGGGCCATTTTCAACAGGTGGCGATGGCTGATGGCCTGAAGATATCGCCATTCCGAACTGATCCCACCCGCGGGGTGCCATGCTGCTCCGGCCCAGGCGGATGCATACCGATAGTCCTGATCTCCAGGTAGGTATTCAGCGACCAGGATAACTGGGAATCCGCTCAGCAGGAGCTGACGTGCTGTTGCACACCCAATAATGCCAGCACCCAGAATGATGATTGGGCGTTGTGCAAAGGGGACATTGGGAGTGTCGGCTGAATGTTGGAGCTCGCCCATCTTTTCTAGAAGGATTCTATAGCCCACTACCCGTCAAAGTGGAGTTGGCAGAGACCGTAGAAGTAGTCGGGAGAAAAGAATGGTTCAAGACGAGAAGAGGAAAGGAAAAGCCTTATGAGAGGCGAATGATGCAAGAGCCCATAGCAGAGACTGTGGCCGAGCGCGGTACAGATTTACACCACGCGGGGCGAAATCGGAACCTTTGAAATAGACTCATGCTAGGCTCCCAACGTGATACCATTCCTGACCTTCAGAGTATATGACCCGAGCCGCTGGGCGACCATCTGAGCCAAGTGTAGTGGGTTGGGGGGCGCATTTTCGGATCGAAGCGCCCAGAAGCCAGATCCGCCAGGCGGTTCGAGCCGACCAGCGGGTCGAGCCGCTGCTGGTGAGAACTCCCATCTTTCGCCCTCATTTGGCACCGCCGACCTGATGCTCCTCCTTCGGGTTATCGTTGCTTTCTCCAGCCTGGCCAGTCCACGGGGACTCGTCAGCTCCAGGCAGCACCTGCAGCCCTAATAGGTTCTTGGTGGATGCCACTATCACCAACACGGCCTAAGGGGCGGGCCCTTCCGACAGGCAGATACTATATTCGCAAGCGGCGATTGACGTCGACGTGTCATGTCGTCGCATACAGAAGCACGGCATGCGGATAAACAATCCGGTCCAAATGAAGGTGGGATGGCATGTTGCACAAACAGACTTTATTCCATCTGGAGGGAAACAGCACACCTCCTTCCTCGTATACTGCGTCCCGCGACCCGTCCATCTGGTCTTAAGTTCTGCGAACGGACACATAGACAACTGGTGATCGCTGCCGATGCAAAGGGCTCGTATTCATCTTGATGGGGATTGGGCTCCACCTGGGCATAGCACGCCGTCGCAAGTCGCAACAAGCGATTGCTTTGTCTGCAGGCTGCGGGGCGTTGGCTGTCGCAGGCTCGCAGCTCAATCGGCTTTCCTCGTAATGAGGTGGATCTGTCCGGATGGACTGAATGCCCGCGTATGTCCGACGCTTAACCACCTCACCCCTGTCATAATTCAGTTGAGAGACCGGAAACAGGTTGTGTCATCGGCGTTCACCGGTTGGACAATCGAGATGGCTCGGGATTTCGGCATCGACATGGCATCGGTGAAACGCCCGAAATTTCCAGGATATCTTATCTGGTATAGCATGCTACCGATGCAGGGATGATGACTGCGGTGCTCATGAATTCTTCACGCATTTCGTTTCGCGGCTGGACTCTCGGCGCTGGTGAATGCATCGGTGGAGCACCTCAGGGAAGAGGCAGCCGTCTTCGATGCCTGCAATTGCCCTACTGGTGCAAGATTGACAAAGCGGCATAACGCGGAAAGGAGCGATTGGCAATGAATAAGTAGAAGAGCCACCTGAACTCTGGAGATGGTCCGATTCGGGGCCGAGAGGTGGTCCTGAACGATTAGCCGCTGTTGGTCCCGGTCACGTTATCGGGGTGACTGATCCCTGCAATAACATGACAATTATTGCCCAGCTCGGAGCTACAATCCTATTGACCCGGAAAGGTAGCCTCAATCATGAAACCCGGAACCGATCGCATCTCAGTTGAAGAAATTGATCTGGCAAGCTATACCGTGGCCATCGAAACAGTAATAGTACATAGCACATCTACTGTTTACGAATTGTTCACCATGGAGGTCGAATGGCAGCTGTAGGTCGCCCTTGCGTCGCAGGTTCTTTGTCCGGGACAAAGAACGCTGACAGGCTCCAAGAAGAGCAATCTCACCATATCCCATGCGATGGACCAATCCGGTCTGTTCCCGACATCGGTTGCTACTAAACAGCCGGTCCGAGCTTGCACCGAAGAATCTCTCTAACATACGAATGCCCCAGGCACCAGCGCTCTATCCGAAAAAAAAAAGACACATTGAGGTAAAAATGGATATCACAGATACCATGCGTATGTACGCTATATAACACTCTATTCACAGGAACACTCACATAACTTCATCATATATTATCACGTATCTGTCATCATAGTGCGGACTTCTCCCAGGTGATCTCCTTCCCATTGAGTCCCTCCACTGCCGGGATTTGGGCACGCAGAGCGTTGCCGTAATCTCCAGCATTCGGTGTACGCAACAGAGTGTGGATGTGGAACTTCTTCGGCTCCTCGTTGTTAAGGAAAACACCGGAGTGGTGGTCGAACTCGACCAGAACCACCGGGCTCTGGAGCCGATAGTAGAACGGATCACTATCACCATATCCACCGATCCAGCAAAAGTAAGTCTCCGACTCATACTGACGGATCTGATCCAGCTTCAACTGGCGCGCCCGAGCAGGGAGGTACAAAAGGTATTGCTCGAAAATGCCGTACATGTAGTTCTTCTGTTCCTCGGTGAACGAAGCAACCGTGATGCCCTCGTTAGGAACCACGCGGTTGTCTCGGTAAGCACCGCACAAGTGGCGCTGGTCGTCGCGGTTCCAGCGGCCTGGTGGCATGGCAGGATCATGCATCTCTGCGTATACGCGAGCCTGATGCTGAAGCTCGGGCGTAAGGGACTGCATCAGGCGCAGGCCAAGCTCTTCCTCCACCTGCATGATACGGGTGCCGGAGTACGGCCCGGAATCAATCTCGTTGGGCTCTGCACCGGTGAACCATGGGGAGGCGACAATCTGACCCTTGTATAGGAAGACGTTGAGACAGAGATGGTGGCCGTAGAAGGACCAGCCCCATGGCCGCGTGGTTGAGGGACGACCAAAAAGGACAAAGTTGTAGGAGAACTCGTTCATCACCTTGGTGGACTCGACCAGCTCGCCGAGGAAATGGTTGATCCGCATCGCCTTGATCGCCTTGTCATAGCCTTCGGGCGACAGGGTGGCCTTCAGTACGTTCAAAGTGGCATCACGCAGCTTGTTGTCAATCTCGTCGAGTCGCAGACCCTTATCAGCCAAGAGAAACTCGGGATTCGACCAAGTCCGCCATTCGGGGGAATCAATGTGGTAGGACAGCGCCTGGCGCTGCTTATCGTCGGCTAGGGACAGTACATTCTGGACGGCTTCCACGATGGCGCCAATTGGGACATCTTCGTCTTGGAGCGTGAACAGGCCGGGACGAACATTTCCTTTGGGAATTGATCAGCATTGGCGACAGATAGTTGGGTGGGAAGCAGATGGAAGAGAACATACCATCGGTGGTGACGCCCTTGAATGGTTCCTGCAACAAATCCACCCAGTGTGTGTACAGCGCATGCAGCCAGGGAGGGTTCTTCAGTGTCTTGAAAGAATGTGCGTATTCATGAGCATCCTGATCGCGCATCACCTGGAAGCGCTTCAGACTCAGATCGGGCAAGTATTGACGGTATTCGCCCGTAGGCTTTGCCAATTCATCGGCAGAGTGCGACATGATGGAGGAATGGCGACCAGGGGAAGACACCAGCGTTGCGGGGAGAAGAGGATATGGAGGGGGAGGGGCAATGAATGGAGGCAGCAGCGCGTAGTTATAGCTGAACGCGCAAGGGGATCGGCATCTGCTTTCCGCCGGTTACTGAGGAGCAGTTCTTCGCCGTGGCGTCACTCCCCACGCTTTTCTCCACGCTTTCTCCACGCGCGCCTGAGCCCCCACCGTGGGACGTGGAGAGCGGTTGTTTTCTTATCCGACTTGCTCTCCTCCACATAGTCCTTGGAATTGCCGGGGCGTCGTTTCTCTGGTTCGGTTTAATCGGATGCCATACATCCCAGGCTTATCATCAACACAGACGGTCATCTATTCTCTACCCGTCGGATACACCAACGATACCTACAGACAACAAGCAAAGCCTCCTCTCCTCCCCTCAGACGAGCATCAGGCCACCTTCCCAGACTTTCCGACGGCTCTGCACAACTCCGGTTGCCCGTCGGTGGCTCACTCATCCCACGCCAGATGCGCCCTCAATTCCCCCAGAACCCCACCAGCTTCCCCCGGATATTCGAATCGCGCTAGCACGTGTTGATCCGGTCGGACCAAAATGGCCTGGCCCTCCGCAAGTCTTGTCAGCGCCATCCATCTTCCGCCATCCCCCGGTTGAAGGTCAAAGGTGCCCCCGCGGGTCACCATCTCCATTTTCAACCCAGCACATTTGCTGGGCAGTTGCCGTATCACCTCCTCGAGAATTCGCCCCCAATGGTCTGCTGACTCTACGTCCACGATGAGGGTGAAGGCATCGAACGCGCACAAATCCAGTGTCGAGAACTGTTTCAGTTGAACCTCCTTGGGAGATAGCTCGGTCACATAGGAACAATCTATCGGGGGGAGTCGCGGATTATCCGAGGCCAACAGCCTGATCCATGCGTGAGGCAGACGAGCTCCTGGTACACAAACCGGCTCATAAGTGGACGCGCAGTTCGGTCGCCGGTGGTCGCCATAAACATAGCCCACATGGAGCCCAAGGTTATCAAAATGCTCCCGCTGGCCCTCAATGCCTTTGTGGATCTCTTTCATAATGTGCGGATCCTGAATGTTGCGATACAGATTCTGTCTCGCGACTTGAACGTCAGGATCGGTAGTTCCGAGCGTTTTCAACAATCCAAATATCTGCTTCCCATTCTTGACGCTTTGCTCTGCGTTGATACAGGCAATCGGTCGCCGATCAGCTTGATAGCTGTCAAGGAGTCCGTCGCCTCCCCATCCATGGTGCACAGCGGCCAGCTTATATGCGAGATTGTGGACGTCTCCCAGACCGCTGTTCAGGCCCAGTCCTCCAGTAGGCGGGAACGAATGGGCAGCATCGCCGGCTCTATACAAACGCGTTAATGCGATCCCGGTAAGGCGAAACATGGAACTAACAGGAATACACGGTTTTCTCGATAAGAATGCGCAACCTTCCTACTCAGTATCCACGGCCGATAGCTCAGCACATCGTATGGAATTTCGGTACCGATAGCCGCATCAACAGTCTTGCGACAAAGCACTTCATCCCATGTCTCGACTGGGTGCTTTTCCGACTATTGGGAAATTAGCTTAAGGAATGACTGTTGAGTCAACGAATGAAGAAAGACAGCTGCAGTTGTTGGGTAGAAGTTCGAGAACTCACATCAAAGTTGCAGATCAAAACTTGATTGCCTTCCAGGCTATATCCTATTATAAAGCCAGATACTTCGGGGTCCATCACCCAGTGCAGCATGCCCACACGCTCTTTAACCACTGGGTGCAGATTGGCATTGACATGGATTGTCATCATTGTCTCGTCTAAATGGTGGTTAGTTTGATATTCTCATGCCGGTTGTTTCGCTTACAGGAATCCTCGCCCTCGCTCTCGATTCCCAAGAACCTCCGCACTGTACTCTTGGCACCATCGCATGCGACGAGATGACTGCACTTCACAATGTACTCTTTCTTTGTCAAACGATCTTCGATAGTGGCTAGAACATAATCACCACGCTTAATCAGACATCAGCAGGAGCTCGGAGCCTATTTTGGCCGGCCTTAACTTACATCGACAAGTCGGACGAAGGAATGATTCTTGCGCATCTCCACAAAACTGCTTTTGGACAGCTTCTTCGCGACCAGTTCCTCGAAATCCGGCTGTGGGATATTGTGGATCATCTGCATCCGGGATGAGCAACTCCACCTTCTAGAGATCTGTATGGCCATACCGTCGGGGTGCTCTCCAGGACCTCCGGGTCCATTCGCTCGTACGGAAGCCTGCCTACCTGCTTGCCACTCAAATGGGTGATGAAATTAACCCAGAACGCCTCGCTCCGGCTGGTTCCAGCATTGCGGATCTCATTCACATCTAGGCCAAACTGACGGCATAGTTCGAGCGATCTGGGAGACAGCGCATGGGCTTTGGGCGCTTCTAGTCTGGTGGGGTAACGTTCACACAACAAGGACCGGACTGGGAGATTGACTGTTAGCTGTTGTGTTTTTCTCTGGACTTGGTTCCTCATTCCCCGTGCTCTGGTACTGGGATTCAAGGCTTTCTCGTACCTCCAAGTTGGGCGAGCAAGTATGCCAGGAGTAGGCCGCATGGGCCTCCCCCAACAATCAGGACATGGACATCGTCCTCGTAATCGGTCTCTTCCTTAGTGGGCGACATGCTCGTTGCTCTTGTGTTCAGCGTTGCGAGCCTGTTTTGCCTCTATGGTCAGTCTGCTGTAGCCTTTTATACCTACCTTTGATGAGGCTGGGAAGTGGGAAAGCCTGGCATCACTACGTAGAAACATGTGTTGTCCTCGAAGCTGACTCGTTCCCTGCTCCCCACTCTGGGTAGGAAACATGCGGAGAGCCCAGCCTTGCCCTGCGGGAATGTCTTCTACCTTACTCTATGTAAGTTATGATTCTGCTTGTCTCTTTATTGGTGATGTTATTTTGTTCGGTTTAGTTCGTATCATGTACGCCCCAGACTTCCCCACTTTGTTGCTTCTCCCCGGCCATTCCATCCCCACCGGCTATTTCCCACCTCATGGGGATCGAAGCCGATTTCCGACCGCCGACTCCCATTTTTCCGACGCGACAGCCACCTCTGCTCGCCTGAGAATGTAAAGGATCTAGCAGGTGGGTGTACAAGCTGGTTCTTAATTTTCTGTAGTTTCAGCCATATCGGCTTGCCGGTGTCTTCGGTTCACTCAATACCATGTTTAGTTGGGCTGGTAGATACGTCGAACTGAGAATTAGCCATTATAGCCATAAGTATACGATGCACAAGTATAGAGAATCCAATACATGAAACAAGCGCTTGTACCTGGCCTGGTGATTTCTCCCTCGGCGTATGCTCGGTAACGTAATCGGTAAGCGAGCCGCCATTGTAAGCGAGCCGCCACCTCCACCCGATTTCCATGACTAGGTGACATTCAAGTGCCTTTTTGCCAACAAAACAATTGCATTTCTATATAAAACTAGATACTAGGTGGATTAGGACATCTAACCCTAGTATGCCCCCGAATATGACAATTAGAACACTGCGGTGGCGCGCGTACGCGTGGTCCAACTGCAGGAAGCCCTGGATCTCTAGATACAGTATCTTGAGCTTCAAAGACCTGATTCTCCTGCTGAAATCGTTCCTGGCCCTCCTGAATAGAAAGACCCTCTGCAGCAGTAAGCTGTTTAGTAGACTTCTTTTTCATTTGAAGCTGATTCTCATTTGCAGCTCGTAAATCACGAATTTCCTGACGTGCAAGAACTGCCTCATTTAAAGCCAACCCGCTGCATTTGATAATCTTGTCTAATCGTACCTCTAAGGAAGAGGGAAGGCTTTGCGAGCGTTCTCCCTGTCGTACACGTCTTTGAAGAAGCTTTCTTTTCACTGTAGATGCCTGCTTTTCCAACTGCCTAGTGGTGTAGGGTGTTTTAGGCACTGAATTAGTTGACCGACTGCCAGGTGGTGTAGGTGTATTCAGTTGATTATTCAGCTGGCTAAGCACCGTCCCTGGGTTATATGGAACTAGCCCAGTAGCAGAGAAACCACTGCAGATATTACTAGTGGTATAGATCTCTGTACGCGCCTGAGGGAAAGCTTCAAGGAAGTCAAGCTTGTCAATATGATTAAACCCGAGGCGCATCTTGGTTTCCACTAAGCGTCCATATGCACGCTTTAATAGTGAAAAACAGCCAACATCCAAAGGCTGCAGGAGATGCGACGAATGAGCAGGCATACAGATAGGAATTATATCATTCTCACTGCATGTCTTGTCGAACTGAGGTGTTAAATGACTGCCATGGCCATCAAGAACTAGGAGACGGTATTTCCCAGTCATACGACCAGTAGTTGCAGGAATAAAGAGATTCTTAAGCCAGCGAAGGCTTATTTCATCACTAGTCCAGCCATTTGGACTAACTTCAATCCTCCAGTCGTGTGGTAGATCGCTCTGATACCAGCCCTCTATATGGACCTTCCCCTTGAAGATAAGGCATGGTGGAAGGGCCCATCCAGAAGCACTAACACACTCAATAGAAGTAACCCATTCCCGATTCCCTGGCTGTACGAGAGGTGTTCTGCTATAAAAATCAGCTCTAGTAACTACCCGAGCAGTAGCTACTAGGCCCATAGCAAAGCCAGTCTCATCAAAGTTATAGATATCTTCAGGTACAATCCCATGCTGCATTATAGTGATTTGTACACGATCAAACCACTCCTTTATAACTTTAGGGTCTTCACATTGAGCGCGTCGATAGTCATATCGACGAGAAAAGCATGTTTTTACTTCATTATGCCTTTGGATGAAGTTGTAGACCCATTTCTGTCCAACTGATTGAACGGGTGTAGTGTTGCGTGCAGCAAGAAGAAGATTAGCCATTTCTCGTACATAAGACGGTCGGGGAGGTGCTCCACGTTGAACAAGTGATAGTATCCATCGTATAAGCGATTCCTCTTCATTTTGAGTCATTTTATGGGAGTTGGCGCGTGTTTCCTTGCGATAATTACTTCCATGAAGACGGTCGCGTAGTGTTGAACGTGGGACATTATAGACCCTCGCAGCTTTGGTAATTTGAGCAATTTGCTTGCTTTTTATAGCAGTAATTGCTAGTAGGATCCTGCCTTCTTGCTCAGCTAGATCTCTAGCATTTTGACGCGCTTTTGGAGGCATGGTTGGGGGTTGAATAGAGTGAGCTTTTCGACTGCGGGCAAAACGCGGTCAAGTGGCGGCTCGCTTACAATGGCGGCTCGCTTACCGATTACGTTATACAAACCGCTTATGTAATCATCACCTAGACCGAATCTGTGCCGCGGCGGTCTTTTGATCTTGCTCCCTTGGATTCCCTATAGAGCTGCACCCCCAAAATGGCGTCCCTCAGATCCTCGGCCTTTCAGACCCTGCTCCGCAGTCGGAACATCTTCCTGCGCTCTCAGCAGAAGCGCTGGGCTCAGGTGCACGATGTCCGCTTCCTCGCCACGCACCACGATCCCAACCAAGTGCTGGACAGGTACAGCGCGAAGCTGAAGCAGAAAGCCCAGTCGTGAGTCGACCGCCGCCACAGCCATTGATCCAATCACTCACCATCAGCACTCCAGCGAGGGACACGAAAACATTGATTCCCTGAAAGAGGCCTACAAGGAGAAGATTGAAGACCTCCGCCAGAAAGCAACTACTCCTCTCACGCCCGAACCCCCCAAACCCTCCACCACCGCTCCGCCTCCGCCTCCACCCACTCCCCAAGCTCGTGCCGCGACCGCCGCCAAATCCAGCGGCATCAAGCCCCTCGACTCCTTCATTGACGTCGAGAAAGTCCGCAGCCTCCCGGCCAAGGAAATCGAAGCCATCTGGCGTCTCCGCCACGCCGGAAACTCCCACTCCATCTGCGCCGTCATCCCCGTCGAGACATACCAGCGCATCGTCTCCGCCGCTCGTCAGAACCCACAATTCATCCTGCCCCTGCCACGCACCCAGGCCGAGGGAGAGAATAGCGCAGATAACGCCAACACTGGTGCGGATATCCATTTCCTGCAATGGGCCTTCCACCCGCCGGCTTCGGCGCCGTCTACGACCGCCTCACCCGCTTCTTTGGCCAATGCGCATACTTCCACTATTATATTTACGCCGCTGGCTGCGTATAAGTTGCATGGAGCGTTCGCGCAGCCCCATACCACTATCACACATCATTTGGACTTGGCGGATGAGAAGGGTCTGGTTCTGATGCATGGACAGGTCATGCCGGATTCCGGGGTGTCGATTACCGAGGCTAGCTGGTTGGTGAGCTGTGTTCAGCGGTTCTATGACTTTGGTGGTCAGGCCAGTGGTCGTAAGGGAGAGTTGCTGCGTATGTTCACTGCTGGTGATGTGCAGGGATTCAAGATTGAGGAGTTGATGGCTGAGGCGGAGAAGTTGTAATGACTTGTTCTAGTATTGTGAATAGATTGTACTATATACGTTTGTGATGATCAACCTCTTTCTCCCAACTCCAGTCTCCTAACTGACTTTGTTTCTTAACCATTGTTTGGCCAATATATCGGACGAAGCCATTTCATTTCCCATCTCCCTCCCCTTTCCAGATTCCCATCTCGATCGAATGCCGCTATACGTAAACAGTTCCATGCCTTCCATCTCTTGCCAGCGTCTTCCCTTTCGCAGCTCACTTGTACGCTTAACTTGTATTACTCACTTGTTCCACGTGATCTGGAGAACCAACGACCCCTCCCCTTTCCCTTGGCCAAATCGACATTCCTTCCTCTCTGTCCTTAGGTACCCATCAGAAACTACTCTGCCTCATCTCACCTCTCGATGAACTCTCTTCCCACATTTATCAAGTCTATCCAGCAACAAAAGTACCATGCCCTTAATCCAAAAACAAGCAAATCAACATACATCTTCCTCAATCTCCAAGACAACACACTAAACGACATCGACAAATCCTATAACTCAAACACCCAAATAACCGTCAATCCCAATCATCCACACTACACCCTCGGAACCCTCTCAACCCTCCCCCTCGAAATCATCCACCTAACACTCCTCCACCTGGACATCAAATCCCCAATCACTTTCCAAACCCTCAACAAACACGCAAGACGAACAGCCCACTCTCTCCCCCAATACAAACGCATCCTCACCCATACCCCAGCATTAATCCGCGCAACCCTCAACATCCAAACTGCACAATACTTCACCCTCCAGGATCTCCACAACCAACTCACCACAACCAAATGCGACAGTTGTGGTGATTTCGCCGCCTACATATACCTACTCACCTGCCGTCGCGTCTGCTTTCTATGCTTCACCCAGAAAACAGCCTACCTTCCTTTATCACAGGAAGACGTAATCCGCAAATTCGGTCTCCAGTCTACCCATCTCGCCGGGTTACCTCACATGAAGAGCTTCCCTGGATGTTACTCGCCCCGGGGACTGGAACGTCGTCGGCGGAAGACTTTATATGATTATTCTGCTCGTCGGAAAACCGGCATTCGTGTTCATGGGACGGTTAAAGCGATGGAAAAGTTCTCAGCGGAGGTGCTGAGTGAGAAATTGAAGACTTACTTTCTTTGTATTAATCATAAAATGCGAGTTACGCGACCTATATGTAGGGATTCGTTTGATGACCGATCTTCGAATCCAAAGCGCTTTATGGGTATTATACGGGTGCCGTGCTTCCGAATTGAATTTAAACCAGGGGGATCGCTGGAATGGGGGTTTCATTGTCTTGCTTGCAAATCGTTGCATTGTGATCGTCCGCTGCATTGGGGGCGTATGTTTACCACTGAGAGTTTTCGGGCTCATTTGGCTGAGTGTGGGGCGGTGGTGAAGGGGAGATATGTTCGTTGAACTATACCTACAGGAATGTGTTGCTACTACTACTACTACTATTATCAGTTCCTAATGTATACCATAGTAACAGTGGAATTGAGCTACTATCAGGTGAGAATAGGTTACCCAGCCATCTATCTAAATGCATAGAAAGAAGGAAAGAAAGAAAGATAGCACGCCGGGTGCTTCTCTTCCTTCTATAATATACAGTCAAACTCCATGAATTGACGCTACACCTACCAACTACTGCAATCACCATTGCGAACATCGGACCTCTTCCCCGCCGAGCGTCGGTCCCCATCATAAACCAATAACCATACCGAACCCCGGAAAAGAAACCAGTCCGTTGTAACTTACACCACTCAATACAATACCATACCGACGTTCGAACTATCGACCACCCTAAACCAACCCTAGTTACGTTACCCGCAACGGTAAGACACGGAGCCACGTGACCGCCACGCGCCCATCATCCCCATGAATCATCGACAGCAAGCCCAAAGAGCTTGATTGGTATCGCTGTAGAACCCGGTCGGTCCAGACAAGCACAGTGACATGGATCTGTAGCATTCGTATTCCCCAACTGTGTGAGATGTTGGGGCCCCAACCGTTGTGCGCGGAGTAACTATCCCAAAGGATGTTAGTACCAACCGTTGGTGTTTCTCCGGGGGCAGCCGGGCCTAGCTGGAAATCGAACATCATCATCTTTTGTTCACTGGTTTTTTTTTTTTTTTTTTTTTTGCTTTTTGGTTTCTTTTACTTTTTATTTTTGTAAAGGAGAGTTGCGATCTTCGGGGATATATTCTCTGCTACGTGGGATTTTATCTGGCAGCTTCGCCCTCCGCGTCCATCCCCAATCCCTGGACCACGGTTAAGTGCCACACTCGCCAGGAAAGTGGGAGACGGTCTTATCTCTTGGTTGCGCGCGCCTCCGGGGTTTTGTTCGTTAACGCAACGCGCTGCGCTGCGCTGCCCCGTTGTTGTCGACACCTAATCTCTCACTCACTCAACTCTCTCCGCCTGTTGCCTCACGTCACTGGCACTGGAAACCCCGCGGTCATGAGTTGAGAACAACACACCGCAACTCATATTATTCCCCCCCCTTCTTTTTTCTTTTTGTGCTCTGATCGGGCACATTCCCCTCTTCTTTGCACTACTACCTAGATTAGTGAAATACAGACGCAGTCATGGCGCGCAGATATATGATTCCGTGGCTGTACGATCTCGGCGTGTGGATTTTCACCCTCTGCCTCGACATCTTCTTCCGCGAGGTCTATTCGCGCGGCGCATGGCGGATTCCCAAACGCGGCCCGGTCATTATTGTCGCCGCGCCTCACGCCAATCAGTTTGTAGATTCCATTCTGTTGATGCGCATCCTGAAGCACTATGCCGATCGGAGGACGTCATTTTTGATCGCCGAAAAGTCCATGCGCGAGCCGTACATCGGCACCATGGCCGGGTGCATGGGCGCCCTTCCCGTCGTCAGATCGATGGATCACGTCAAGCCTGCCAAGGGCCAAATCTACCTGCCGGATCCTGAGAACAACCCGACCCTCGTTCGTGGCATAGACACCGACTTCACTACCAATCAGTACATGGTGGGCGGCTCCGTTATTCTCCCGCGTGTCGGCAAAACCAGTCCGGAACAGCAGGCCATCGAGGAAATCCTGGGCCCCAATGAATTGCGACTGCGGAAACCGTTCAAGAACTTCGAGAAGGATCACCCTCTTTACGAGCCCTTGCGCAAGGGTACCGCGTTCAAGATCGCCCCCCACATTGATCAGAGCAAGATGTTTGCTTCGGTGTATCAGGAACTGATCGCGGGTGGTTGCATTGGTATCTTCCCGGAAGGTGGAAGTCATGATCGTCCCAGTCTGCTCCCGTTGAAGGCCGGTGTGGCCATTATTGCTCTGGGAACACTCGCGCAGGACCCCAATTGCGGCCTCTCCATTATTCCTTGCGGCATGAACTACTTCCACCCCAACAAATTCCGTTCTCGTGCGGTCGTTGAGTTCGGTAACCCTGTTCAAGTTCACCCGGATCAGATCGAGGCTTTTAAGGCTGGCGGCAATTCGAAGCGAAACGCCGTGGGATCTCTGTTGGAAACGATTCAGGAGGCACTCACTGCGGTAACTCAACAGGCCCCCGACCATGAAACGTTGATGGTTATCCAAGCGACACGCCGACTGTATAAGCCCCTGCGAATGAAGCTCCCTCTGCCCGTTGTGATCGAACTCAACCGTCGCCTTCTCAAAGGATACACACAGTTCAAGGACGAACCCAAGGTCCTCCAGTTGAAAAAGGCCATCTCCGACTATAACCGACGGCTGCGCGCCCTGGGAATCCGGGATCACCAGGTGGAATGGGGGGATGTGAAGCACCGGCCATGGTGGTTGGTTCTTGGGACTTTGCTCTACCGTGTCGGCGAACTGCTCACGGTAGCAATCGGAACTCTTCCATCCGTCGCTCTGTTCTGGCCGGTCTTTGTGACCGCCAAGGTGGTTTCTGTCAAGAAGCAGCGAAAGGCCCTTGCTGGTTCCGTCGTCAAGCTCGAGGGTCGCGATGTAGTTGGAACTTGGAAGATCCTGGTCGCCATGGGATTGGCGCCCGCCTTATACACCTGGTATACCGTGATTGTGACCATCTGGCTCCATTACTGCCGGCACGACGGGCACTACGCCTCCGTGGTGCCGTGGTGGATGAACGCCCGAACCTATATCTCTGACGCGATTCCTCTAACGCTGTTTTCGATCTTCTTCTTCGGCCTCATGATCTCTGTCTCGTTCGCGGGTCTTCGGATCGGCGAGATCGGTATCGACGTGTTGAAATCCCTACCTCCTCTTCTGGTCGCTCTCAACCCAAGATCCGCCAACTCACTCGCAAAGCTCCGTGCCGAACGCCAGGCTCTCTCCGCCCGGGTAGTCGACGTAATCGACACCTTCGCCCCGGAGATCTTCCCCGACTTCCAATCCGAGAAACTCATCTCGCATGAACACCCAGAAGACGACACCTACCAATCCCGCCTCAAGAGCATGCCGCCCAGCGAACCAGAGAGCCGCAACCGAAGCAAAGACCGAACCAGCCGAAGCCGATCCCGGAGCGCCGGGTTCCGCCTGTACGATACCATTCTCAAGCCCCTCTCCATCAAATCCAAGGACGACCTTGGCGAAGTCAACCGCCGAATCCGCGACTCGATGCAAGAACGCGGTCGTCAACGCGTACGAAACGAGATCGACCCAGACGAAGACGTGGTGTCTCTGGACGGTACCGCCAGCGTCGCCAGCGGGGAAATTTCCATCGAGGAGCAGAAAAAGACAAAATAGTCCTCTTTCACCTACTTCTCCTTCTTCCACTCCAATACACATCTCTCTGTGAACAAGACACAACCAAAATCCCACCCCCCCAATATCCTCCCCATTCTATGTCCCACAAACGGCCAGTTATATTTTCCTTTCTTGAGCGGGTTTCCGTAGCATGGCGTGGCCCTTTTGGCGTTTGCGAAAGCATTTCTTTTCCTCTCCCTGTATCTCTCTGTCTGCTTATTTTCCTGTTCTAGTTCTGTCCTGTTCTGTTTTTTTCTTATTAGTCTCTCTATCTTCTCTAGTGTACGAGAGTAGCCAGAATGAAGATACTTCTTTTTTCATGAATCAGTGAATTTTCGATTTTCCTTATCTTCCATAGAAGAAGATATCTGTGTAATGTGTCTGTGTGGGAGTAGTGAAGAAAACACAAAGATGTAGGACGTGGAAGATGGGGATGGGGAGGGGTGTTTGATGTTTCAGCTCAAATTTAGTTCCTCAGTTTAGCTCAGCCAGCCCAGACATGGCATGGCATGACGTGGGAATGCCTGAAAACCAGACCGGTCTAGAGAGATAGATACTCCGGGGCGGCGCCCGAGGTCCGAGACTAGACCTATGGGGGTGCACGTGCCGGACTGGGTTGGGGGACACAGGCGCGGGGTTGGGCTGTCGCTTGGTTCGCTGGTGGTGGTGGCGGCGGTGAAGGGACGGGTAAGGTGAGTGATGATCCATGATGTTTCTGATTTTCTATTCAAGGTGGTGTGGCATATTCGCTAGTCGATGTTCACATGCTAGCTACTGTTTATGGTTTCTTCGATATTTACGGCTACATTGATGGAAACGGTATTTATGATATGGTGATTGGTTTATTCTCTATCGATGGTGTATGAGTAACGCAAGGTCTACACCGTCGCTTGTGGGATGGTCTGTCTGTCTATGCGCTGATGTATATGCTGTCAAGGTCATTAATTAAGGTCGTCAGGAGCGGGTATCATGCCAGGTCGTCTGAATGAGGTGAGATGCTTGGGGAATATCTTCGAAGATTGGTCTGCGAAACCATCCGCGTTGGGGTGTCAACGGTCCGAATGGGGGGTGGCGAACGGAAGGGATGAGATGATTAGGAGCGCTTCTCGAGAAGCAAGCCTCCCGAAGGACTTTTCGTGCTGAATCCGTCCTCGCGACTGAAGATCTTCTCACCACGCAGCCAGGTCTCGCGGACCAGTCCACGAAGCTTGCGGCCCTGATAGGGGGAGCACTTGTTGCGGAAGAGCATGGAGCTGGGCTCGACGATCCATTCCGCGGTGTCGTCGAAGATACAGATATCAGCATCGTGGCCGGGGACCAGGTCACCCTTCTGGTGTTGCAGACCGACTTGAATGGCGGTGTTGGTGCAGCACAGGCGCACAACGTCCTGGAGGGCCTGTTGAGTGGTGGTTTCATCTGCAGTTTTCAGAGTTTGCCGACGACTAAGCTCTGTCCACAGGATGGGGAGGCCAAGGCCGACTGACGAGATACCGCCCCAAGCGGAAAGGAAGCTGCCCTCATTGTCAACTGGGGTGCCCTCTGCATTGGATGTGCAGCCGGGAACATGGGATGGCAGGAGCTTAAGATCAGGAGTGCAGGGGGAGTGGTCTGAAACAACCGTCTTGATCACACCGTCTTCCGCATGACGTTCCAGTTCCTCCCAAAGCGAGTCCTGATTCAGCTGAGAGCGGATAGGCGGGCAGCACTTGTGGCGGGTATCTCCGTCCCGGATCTCCTCGGCCGCCAGGGAGAGGTAGTGGTAACATGTTTCCGCAGTAATAGGAACTCCATCCGCACGGGCTTTGCGCAACAGAGGAATGGCCTCCATGGCAGACAAGTGGACAATGTGCAGAGGGAGCTTGGGAGCCAGGTGGGAGAGCGAGATGATCTCCTCTACGGCACAAGTCTCAAAGGACGACGGACGAGATGCCAGGAAGGTCGAATATGCCTCTGCGGGGCCTTCGAGCGCTTCATCTTTCTCCACAGACCCAGTGGAGGGTGGTAGCATTTCGGCGTGGAACATGAGGGTTGTAGGCTCATCAGCCAGTTCAGCCATGGCCTTTCGGATGTCTTCCGAGGACACGGCGGGGAATTCGTCAACCTAAAGCCGTCAGCACGCATTCACATCTTGACAGGGTGGGGAAAAACCTACCCCGCTATCTATGAGGAAGCCCTTGAACCCGCGAACGCCCTCCTGGACCAAGGCCTTCAGATCGCCGGCATTACCGGGAATGATGCCACCATAGAAGCCAACGTCAACCCAGCACTTCCCTTGGGCAGCACGGAGTTTCTCTTTGAAGTTGGCCACCGTGGTGGTGGGGGGAATAGCATTCAGGGGCATATCAATCACTGTGGTGACACCACCGAAGGCAGCAGCCTGGGTGCCGGTGTAAAAGCCTTCCCATTCGGTGCGGCCCGGCTCGTTCAGGTGGACGTGGGCATCCACCAGTCCAGGCAGCAGCACATGAGGGGTATAATCAGTATAGGGGGTGCCAGCAGGGAAGTCCGAAGCCGGGATGACCACATCGAAGACAGCGGTGATCTTGCCGGAAGTGCGAGAGATCACGATGGTGGCGGATGTCAAACGGCCGGAGATAACGGCGCGGGACGAGGCGATGACCGCGATTGAAGGTATTTGGGAAGCCTCCATGATGACAGGTCAAAAGGATTGGGCGCTAAAAGATCCGGGGAAGGGGATGAACGAAAGACAGAGGAGATGAACCCGGAGGTGGGCGAACAGAGCAGGCTGAGGATGGCCAAAGTTAAGAGGCGACAAGAGATAAGAAACCGACGGAACAGGAAAGGCTGCAGCACCTTGAGAGGCAAGGGATGTGATGTCTGATAAGGAGCGACGAGGCGAGAGGACGACGAGCCAGGCCGCGATAAGGACTTTAAATGTCCGCCCAGATAAGCCCGGCTTTGTTTTCGCGCCGCCGCCAGACCCACGGGGATCGAACCTAATAATCCCATCGAGTAACAAAAACCTGGCTCCACCCCATGGACGGATCCACCGGCTGGCCAGCCTGGCATCTCCTTTGTTGATGATTGACCCGGTGACTGGCCTGCAGGACCGGACCCTATGTTATCGCGATATCGATAACCGGGGCTTATAAGTGCCAGCATCCTCGCTCCGGCTGGGACAGGGTGCCTTTTCCACCGGAGGGCCTCACTTCTGTACACCCTCATCGTTGCCTCTTCGGGACGCTGGCTCCTCATGGGGCAAGTGAAGAAAATTCCGGTCTTATCTGCTGGACCACTCAGAACCATGGGTCGGAATCGGGCGCCTCCGGCATCCGCCATCGGGCCTCTCCTGCAGCGACTGATTGCTCTGCCTCACCGCTGTTACTCGATCAAAACTCCAATCCTGCCCCTTTTGGGCATTTCCTTTACTCGATGGAATCCGCTCGGCACAATGATCATGGGGCCTCGACTCTCCCGCCCCGGCTGTTTCACGCATCCTCCCCTCGGCAGGAGGGTTGTTGCGGTGGACATTAGCCGGGGTAGTCATCTTCGATTTGTGCGTGTCTGTTCCGACTCCTCACAACAACGGTCTAAGAGGGAAAAGTCAATTGCATGAATTGCTTCGCTTACGCGCCTGTCATCGCTGATCGTGCCAAGGATCGGGAGTTTCCGGGCCCTGCCGGCTCCGTTCAGACCCTGCAATGATGGACGGCGAGGTGGCTAGGTAGGTGGCTAGGTGGCTAGGTAACTAGGGAATTCCGGTCTGGTCGAGTCTATAGACAGGTCTTGTGATTCTTGGCTATCTTCAATCAGGGCACGCCGGTAGGAAAGTAGGCCAACAGTCAATCACGAGAGGAAAGGTGGGAGGATGACCATGCTCGGAAGAATGCCGATCCACAGTGGAGAGGCGAGAGGCAAGAGGCAAGAGACCAGAAGGAAAAAAAGAAGAGTGAAGAAGCCCCTGACATTGTGGGGAGCTGACTAACGCCCATGTGCCGTGGGGCGGCCTGCCATTCGTGTGACGCTTCAGCCTTCACCCCTCCAACCCCGCCTTTGTTTAACACGCCCTCTACTATCATCCAGGATGGCAACCCCATTGACTCCGGACATTCCAGAGGGCCGGGGGATTCTGACTTCATCGTGAATGGCTTCAACCAATGCATCCGATAAACTCCCAACTGACCAGGTCTGCCGAGTTCATGATGATGCAAGTGGTCGCACTCTGTCGTCCACCCGTCACCCCCCAATTTAGTGCTTGTAAGCGTCATCGGACGATGCTTGCCCGATTTGCAACGATTACTCTCCATGGCGTAAGATTGTACGCCATCCAGGTCGCCTGCGCATCCACCTTGTATCTCGCTGGCCAGTCGACCTGATAAGCACCATTAGAGTTATTCCTGTCACGTATTCCATAGTAAGGCAGGCGAATGCAGACATGATTCATTATGGAGTCCTCCATAATCAGCTACTGGTGAGTAACATCTTTCTGCGCTGACAATACATAGTAACAATGTCCCTGGTGTTGCTTTGCCCACCATGTTTGATTTGTTTGTTCTATCATTGATAAGCGGCGCATCACCTGACCCTCCGTTCTTTCCATGGATGGTCTGTGCCCGTGTCATCTCTGCAGTGCGCTACCCTGTAGGCCAGGGGATAGTGGCCTGTTCCAGTCCCTGACTCTCCAACGCCCCTGACTCGTGTCATATTCCTAGCATCGATTGCTCTGCTGTCAAACAGGCGCCACGCGCCGGCTAGGTAGCCCATGTGCGCCGGGGCCACCTTTCTTCCCAATGTGCCTCGGCAAGCCGATCCTCGGCCCGTTGCTTCCGCACCCACCTGTGGGATTAATAAGGTACGATGGGCCTGTGGACTGGAAGTCCTCACCAGCTCATGTTGTTGGAAGTTGAATACCTCCAGCCCACCGTCACGAGAAGGGCTCACGGGTTCTGCGGACTGCTGATCGCGGAGCATTGTTGCACATGTTCTGCAAGTAGCTTAGTTTTAGTAGTTCTTCCTCGTTGTCTCTATCCATTGGAAATCTTTGCTCAGCCTTGTCACATCGGTGCTCCGGTCATGTGTCCGGTGGCCCAGTTGGGCTTCCCCCGACGTTCCGAGATGAGGATGCCTTAAAGGAGATGTGGCAGGATCTTACTTGCCTCGAAAGGTCTGTTACACGACGTATACGAGTCCATCGGGCTTGAGCCCCGGACTTTCTACAAAGAGAAAAAGAAGCGACCAGGGGGGCGGAGAATTATCGCCCTAACCACCCTATGAGACTCTTCCACTGGTGTCGGGTTTTCCGAACCCTTGAGGTTTTCCTCGGAGGTCGATATACATAGAACAAGAAAAGTGGTGGACATTGAAGATGATCGACTTGGGGTGGACCTGGGCTCCGCTCCAGCTCGTGGAAGATACTGGATTGCGTATGGTTGACGAGCTCGGTCGTCGAGATTGCCCCCTTGTGATATCTACACGACCAGGCACTGCGGCTGCAACTGTATACCGGTCCGGAATACTCTCCGAACCATGGCCAAGCGGATTAATATCATTAGCTTAGCGACGATGTTGATGGCTTGAATCAGGCCCAACGACGAGCTCGCCGGTCGGCGGCACTCACGAGCTGCCTATTCGGGTAAGCATCGTCTAGTAGTAGTACTTGCCCCTTCACTCCATCTCCTCTTTTATCAGCTTGTCCTGGCAGCTTTTCACTTTCCTTCTTTCTTGCTCAACTCTTTCTCCTCCTTTGCTCCCTCCTCCCATCTTCTCCTCCTCCTCTTCTTCTTCCTCTATCTAACTTCTCCATTCGCCACCTGGGAGGTGCACGGATAATCCTGGCCGACGATTCGTGATCCGCAAACGATCGATCGATCGAACCGCCCAACCAATCAGCGCAGCATGGATCCGCTCGAGTCTCTTCGTCGCCTCGTCCAAACTCATCCTCTTATTGACAACCACGCCCATAATCTTCTCGCCCAGCCCGCGGCCAGCAACTACACGAAATACCCCTTCGAACAGATTACCTCGGAGGCTCAAGGCCCCGCCCTGCGGAATGCTCCGTCCTCTCTACCTCTCCAGCGCGCCGCCGCCCAGCTTGCGACTCTCTACGATTGCCCATCGGCCGATTGGGACCGCGTGAAGGCCGCTCGCGATGAATATGTCCAACGCGACTATGATGGCTTGATCCGGCGGTGTCTGGAAGGCACCCATAGTCTCCTCCTTGACGATTTACTTACGGACCAAGACATCGAGCCGTTCGGTTGGCATGACCGCTTCACCACAGCTCCAACTAAACGGATCGTGCGGATTGAAGTTGTGGCCGCCCAAGTCCTTTCCTCTATCCTATCCGATGGTCAAACCACGAACGACCTTGCCGTTCTTCGGCAGCATCTGGACCAGTTCCGCCAGGGATTTCTCCAGGAAATGGACAAGGCCATAAAAAACCCTGTGGTGGTAGGCTTCAAATCTGTCATCTGTTATCGCACTGGATTAAACGTTCAAGTGGCCGATGACAGCGACGACAGCGCCCTTCTCGAGTCTCTTGCTCGGACGAGATCACAAGGTTCCGGTTCCACATATCGTGTTGAGGACAAGCCGTTGAACGATTGGCTGGTCAGGCAGGCCCTCCATCAGCTTCAATCTGCTAGGGAGAATGACCCCTCGGGACCCAACAAACCACTGCAGCTACATACGGGGCTTGGTGATAATGATATAAATCTGATTTTATCGAACCCGGCCTATCTACAAGACTTGGTGGCCCGCTATCCCAAGGTGGACTTTGTGCTCTTGCATTCTTCCTATCCGTACACTCGGGAGGCTGGCTATCTCGCCTGCGTCTACCCCAATGTCTATCTGGATCTAGGAGAAGTGTTCCCCATGGTGAGTCGGGATGCCCAAGAATCCATCATCCGGGAGAGTCTGGAGATTGTGCCCACGACCCGCCTCCTGTGGAGCACCGACGGCCATTTCTTCCCCGAGACCTTCTGGTTGGCAAACAAGCAGTTTCGCGATGCATTGGAAAAGGTCAGTCTCATCCTCATATTTTTGGAGTTCGGAGATTGACTATTGACAGGTTCTTGTGGATTACGTTCTCCATGGTGACCACACTATCGAACAGGCGAGGCTGGCTGCTGCTGATATATTGTTTAACAACTCCAATCGCCTGTATAGCTTGAACGAAAAGGCTTCTTACGATGACAGGCTGGTTCCTGCCATCGGGACGCTATCTGAACCATCTTCAGCCGACGCCTTTGACATTTTCATGCAGAAGAACCCTGATATCAAGTACATCTGGATGCAGTTCTTTGACTACACTGCAACAACTCGTGTACGAATGTTCCCTGTCCGGGAATTTGCAAAGATTGCCCGCAAGCAACGCCGCATCGGCATCTGTCTTGCCACTTTCTTCATGCTTCAGGACGATCACGTTTGCCCCGAAGGTTCTACAACTGGGCAGTTCTACATGGAACCGGATCTCTCCAGCCTCCGCCGTAATGTGGGATTCGACTCGAAGAGCGCCACTGTGATGACATGGTGGCGTTCGGAGGAGGGCACGCAGCTGGAGGGATGTCCACGGACCACCCTGCACAATGTCACGACCGATCTACGGGTCAATCATGGAATCGAAGTGACTTGCGGGTTTGAAATTGAAGTGATACTGCTCAAAGGCATCACTAACCCGGATACCGGGGAGGAGGAGTTTGTTCCATGCGTCAAGAACCACTCATGGTCCCAAATGACCCAGGACACCAGACGCATGGTGCCGCTGCTCGAGGAGATTGTCGAGGCGCTTGAATCCATTGGCATTGATCTCGAACAGTTCCACGCCGAGTCGGCTCCCGGGCAGTTCGAGTTCATCTTGCCGCCGGGCTCACCCGTCGCTGCGGTTGATACCCTCCTAAAGGCACGACAGGTCGTGACCTGTGTGGCTGAACAACACGGGTTCCGTGCAACCCTTCACCCTCGACCATTTGCCCATGCTGCTGGCTCGGCTTCACATGCACATGTTTCCATTAGCCCCGCCACTCAAGAAGACAGCTTCTTGGCTGGTGTAATGCAGCACTTCCCGGCCTTAATAGCCTTCACCCTCTCTAGCGATGTCAGCTACGAGCGAGTCCACTCCGGCCTCTGGGCTGGCAGTGAGTGGGTTGCCTGGGGGACTCAGAACCGTGAAACCCCCATACGAAAGATCTCTGCAGGTCACTGGGAGATCAAGTCATTGGATGGTCTGGCCAATATGTACCTGGCGATGGCGGCATTCCTGGCTGCAGGGTCCTTGGGCGTCAAGGAGAACCTACCGCTGACCATCCACGATTGTTTATGTAAGAACCCTCAAGCAGACGTCTCTCTGCGATTATACTGACTGGTGTAGATGACGCAGCGACCCTCAGCGATGCTGACCGCAGTGCCCTTGGCATCACCACACAACTTCCCAAAACCCTCTCACAAAGTCTCGACCACCTGGCATCTGACCAGGCTCTCCGGGATGTGCTCGGTCACACCACGGCTGAGAGTTATATTACGGTCAAACGGGCAGAAAGCGAGATGCTGAATGCCATGGAGGCCGAAGCGCGACGGAAGTGGCTCGTCGAGCGATATTAATTAGACTTACCCTGTACATAGATAGAGTAATCCAGTGATACCACATACCAACCACCCGATGATCTCCTTCTACTGCAACAGAGATTTCCCCAACACAACCCGCCTGTCCAACCTTCCACACCGTAACTTGCACCTTAGTACTACCATTGACTCATTCCCCTCCGTAATCGGCCCACCCATGCAAACCACCCAAACCAATAGCACCTCTCACGTGACAGCATCCCCAAAGTATATTGAGTCATTTCCCCGAAGCTCCCAATACCTCCCCAATTCCATTCACTCATCACCATCCTCACTCCTCTCAATTCCCTCCCAACCATGCCATCTCCTCTCCGCATGGCCGCCGCCCGCTACGGGTCGGCCACCACCCGCCACGCCCTCCGCCGCTACACCACCCAAACCACAACCACCACCACGCCCATCTCCCCCTTCGCGCCTCGCCATCTCCTCTCCACAGCCGACCTAACCCCCACCGAATTCGCAACCCTCGTCCGCAACGCCTCCACCCACAAACATGCCCTCAAGTCCGGCTCCCCCCTCCCTCAATCCCTCCAAGGCTCACTGGCCGGCAAAACCGTCGCCCTGATGTTCAGCAAACGCAGCACCCGCACCCGCATCTCCACCGAAGGCGCCGTCGTCCAATTAGGCGGCCACCCCATGTTCCTCGGCAAAGACGACATCCAACTCGGCGTGAACGAATCCCTATACGATACCTCGGTTGTGGTCTCCTCCATGGTGGAGTGCATTGTTGCCCGGGTGGGAAAACACGCCGAGGTGGCGGATTTGGCCAAACATTCCACCGTCCCGGTGATTAATGCGCTATGTGATAGCTTTCATCCGTTGCAGGCGGTTGCGGACTTTCAGACGATTTATGAGCATTTTACTGGGGGTAAGGGAAGCAAGGATGGGAGTGGGTTGGGGATCGAGGGGTTGAAGGTTGCTTGGGTGGGAGATGCGAATAATGTGCTTTTTGATATGGCGATCAGTGCGGCGAAGATGGGGGTTGATGTGAATGTGGCTACGCCGAAGGGGTATGAGATCCCCCAGGAGATGTTGAGGATTATTGAGGCTGCTGGAGAGGGCGTTCAGAGGCCCGGGAAGTTGGTTCAGACGAATGTTCCTGAGGAGGCGGTTAAGGGCGCCGATGTGTTGGTTACGGATACGTGGGTGTCCATGGGACAGGAGGAGGAGACCGTCAAGAGGTTGAGGGATTTCGAAGGGTTTCAGATTACCCCTGAGTTGGCGAAACGGGGCGGTGCTAAGGAGGGTTGGAGATTCATGCATTGTCTTCCTAGGCATCCGGAGGAGGTTAGTGATGAGGTGTTTTATAGTCATCGGTCGTTGGTTTTCCCGGAGGCGGAGAATCGTCTGTGGGCGGCGCTTTCGGTCTTGGAGGGCTTTGTGGTTAATAAGGGGAAGATTGTTCGGTAGATTGATGAGGGATGGGATGGTCTTGTAGTATAGCATTATCTGTGTGTGTGTGTGATTAGCAATTGATCGATTGAAGGCTTGTATCGATAGCTCCCTCCCTGGGGTTCTTATATCATTTACATACTACCAAAATACCCCAACCCTCTACCTACTCTTCAACTTATCATTCATGAAACTCGGCTTATTAAACCACGACTATATCCATCCTCAATCCTCAGTCCCCAACACAGCAACACCCCTATAAACCCACAGGCCCATCATAACCTACCTACCTACTTACCTACCTAACCTACCATGAGCATCCTACACATCAACTTCGTCCCCATATTGCCATGCCATAAATTTAACTCATAATACTCAGTGGTAGTGGTAGTGATATCTCCACATTCGGCTTCCCGACCCCCGCACCCGAGATCCGATCCCGATGTGGAGATTCCGGGGTTGGGTTGTACGTAAGAATTACTCTATGTCTAATTACCTATATATCCTAGATATTATATCTCCTATCCTGGAGTCATGGACCGGTAGTCGTGTCGCTGGAAGCTACGAGACTTGTGAAATGTATGATCAGTTAAGATGATGTGAGTTGTGAGTGGGGTAACATGTGCTTAGTTAGAAAGAAGGCTGCTGCTGCTCTTTGTGTGGTGAGGCGAGGAGGGAAGGAAGGAGGGGGTTTCTGGATCTTTTGCAATAGGATGATTAGTTTGGTTGGTGGTGAGATGAGAAAGGTTCAGGGAAGTTGATTGATAGTGGTTGGTTGGGGGGAGGTCATCTTGAACTTTGGTTGGTGTTCAGGGAAGATCTTTCTATATAATAATACTGTACATCTATTTTAAAGCCCCCCAAATGAAGAAATTTGGGATGGTCTATAACCGCAATATCCCACCATCACGATCAATCCCACCCCGGAAATGATCCGTAATGATCCTGCCGCCCAAGATAGTCTCTTCCACGACCCCCTGTACATGCTTGGGCTCTGTACGTCCATACCAGATCCCCTTGCCGGCCAACGGATGCACGTTGGAAGAACCAGCTTCCTTCATGCCCGGGGGAATATATACAATCACATTGCCCGCGTACTTGTGTCCTCCGACATGGCTGATGAGTCCGATATGAGCATTTTCCGGACTATCGATGACACTGTTATCGCTACCCGCTGATGTATACCCCTTCGACAGCAAGACACGTTGGAATTCCTTCTCCAGGACCGGGGCCATTACGCCACATCGCATGTCACGCCCACCGTGGCCGCAGATCAACACGACGGGGGAATGTTGGAGGTCGACTGCATCTGGAAACTCGGAGGCAAGGCCATCTTCACGGGTTTTCCCACCATGTCTTGATTCGATGGGGAGAAGGAATGCGCGGACGAAGGTGGAGACGTCGGTCTTGACGTCAGTGGATTCGGGAAGGGTGACGGGGATGAAGGGGAAGTATTTGAAGCTGGGAAAGAGAAAAGCGGAGGCGGTTTGAGAGGTAGCTGTGGAGGTCGATGAGGAGGGTAGGAAGGAGGAGTTGGTGACTAGGATGTTGTTGAAAGGCTAGCAGCGATGTCAGGTGTCAGTGGCTTGTTTGTGGCGGAGTGAAACGGCACATACGTCGGCGTATTTTCCCCCACGGCCAAGGAGGCGCTTCAACCCTCGGACTAGCTCGCCCCAATTCGTATCCTGGCCGTCTTCCTCTATGCGACTTGTCCAGTCTGGTTGGCCGGTGCAGACGAGAAGCTGTTGCGCGTACGCCGCCATCGTTCCGTTCAGCGGCTGATCATAGTCGATGGGTGCGGGCATCGACGGGGTCGAGGGACATGAGCAGCTGGGCTCGGGGCATGTTTTGGTAACGGGGAACGGCGGAGGGATATCCAGAGGAATGCGCGCAGGCTGTGGGCGGAGGGAGGTAGTTGAGAGAAAGCGAGTCGCGGTTGTCGCGGCGGAGGTGCTGGGCCGTGAGATCGGTGGCAGGCATTGCACCGATGCTGCGCGCATTATTTTTTGTCGGCCGGTCATTTCCACAGATCTCCAACAATGCCAATATCTAAAGAAACGAATTCAGTGGAAAAGAGGTGGCTCCGTGGGGAAGAGCTCAATTTAAAAGCATGGATGATGAAAAGAGTAACCCCGAGGCCGCGGAGGATTCGGGCGGTCGGAGATAGCGGACTTCTGCCTCATAATCCGGCGGTGGTGATTGGACAATGCCACAGTATCAACCATGCACGTCATTGACCTTTCAGAGCGTCATAATCTCAGTATGGTATTTCGAGAGAAGTTAGATAGGCTTCGCTTTGCTTTGAATTTGTTGTAAGCGTATCGAAGCCGGAAATTGGACTATGAAACACATTGATGAAATCGTCTACGGGATTATATCCTACCGCTACCCAGCTGAAGCACTTCAAAATGCCATTGACTGCCGGCCATTTCCAGTTGTCTCCTGCGAGAAGTCATGACTGGTATGGGCATAGAAAATCAGACATGTCCATATTGTCACTCAACTAGCGTTAGCACTGAGCTGTGAGTGTAATTATGTAGAGATGCGGCAAGGAGTGATGTCTCTGATCAATCCAAGGTGCGACTGTTCGAAATAGCCGAAATATTATATTATTTCCTGGGTAACTGCTGAGTCCTAGCTCGACAGAATAGGAACCAGAACTGTCATAGAAGCAGATGTAGTTCCGCGCAAATTATGCCCCCTGCCAATAGCAAAATATGAAATAAAGCAATAATGAAGAAAAGACACAAAGGTGCCATCATTAGGTAATCGCAATCTCGCTTGGGTACCATAGCAGCAGACATATTCATGAAACAAAAGGTCATGTAAAGGTGAACATCAGACATAGAAAATATCGATTATGCGTCCGCTGGATGCTGTCCTAGACCTTGCCATGTTTATTTGGAAGGCCCGGAAAAGCTGGCCAACGCGTTGAATGAGTCTGTCAAAGGCCATAGCCCATAATAAAAGCCAACTGCCCCTCCAACAAGAAGAGCATAGTATGCGACGGTCCAGCTGAGTCCAAGCGGACCGTATGCCACGTCGGTGTTTTCTTTCCCTTTGACTAGCGGAGGCCCCAATGGCACGCCAGCTTCCACTCTTCCCCATAGCCGGGGCAGTCCGCACCAGTTGCAGAAGGTATGAGCGAGGATAACTGCCAGGAGAGAGCCGGTACGAAGATACACAAATGTGGCATACCAGCCGAAAATGGTAGTGTAGCCAAACTGGAAGACAGAACGTAGTAACGCTGCAACAATCGAAGTATCAGGATGAGTGAGGCGGAACTCATAGAAATGGTGCACATGAGCAATTCCGAAATAGAGAGGAGCCACGAAGACAATACGACCCGGATCGACCTTGGCGAGGAGGTGAAGAGGGATGATAGCGGAGCGGAACATAACCTCCTCAGTGATTGGACCCTGCATCACACAATTAATCCAAAGGCCAGGCATTGTCATCGCAGGTTAAACTTACAGCGACATAGTTTCTCCATCCAATCCAGCTGCGGAGTGCTGCGGTGACTCGATTTCCCCGAACCCATTCTCTCCACTCCCCCTCCGCAACACCACGTTCAAATAGTGGACCGGCGAACAGGATGGCCGTCAGGAGCAAGCTGCGGAAAATATCCACGAGGCTAATAGGCCACCAGCCCAGGAAGCGGAGGGCGTCGGAAATGGAAGCATTGTCTTTAGCGGTGAGGAGCCATAGGACAGCCAAGCTGCTAATGATGCATGACATGGTCACGGCTCGAATCCGGGCCCGAATCACCGACGGCGCATCTCTACTGAGGGTAGGGGATGGCCGGGTCGTTGGGTTTACATAGAAGGGAACCACATAGATCAGGGTTAGAAGAACCTAGAAGTCGAATTAGACATTGTTTGTAAGCCACGATATTGAATTAGAAGCCAGATGGGCCAATCGATGGCAGCCAATGGTCGGAAATGCATACCGAGAAAAATGCAGCCGTCTGCGCTGAAATGGCGGGTTCATCTAAAGAGAGATTAGACAGAGAAGAGATGACTTCACAGCCACTGGAACTACCGTAGTTCTTTGCAACCAGAGTCCTGAAACGAGCCAGGAGACCGATGGGAGCCATATCTGTTCAAATGCTGAGAATGCAAGATGCCGGCGAGCACTCGCTGTGACCGATCCGAAATGTGGGAAAACAAAAGCGGCTTCAACCACAAAGGCAAAAAATCATGTCAGGAGAAGCTGCGAGACGATGTTGATTATAATCCACCCAAGAACAATAGGCGATGAGCGCCCGGCGACGTTAACGCGGTGTTGGACAAAGAAAGCGAGGAGAACACGAGGTCGGCTGTGAATGCCGAGTTTTACAGGCATCTAGGCATTCAGGCAACGCCGGGATGCCTGTCACACAATGCCCAGAGGCCTGCAAATACCGCCACCCAGCAGCATTTCAAGCCCCTCACTCACTCAGGCTGCCATAGACTCAATGCAAAGACAGCATCAACAATAACAAAGCCAGTACGACCTATTTCCATGTCGCAATGAGCGGTTTCATTCAGTCACGTGGGGCATAGTACCAGTCACATGCGATGATGTCACCTGACAGCCCGATAAGGTTAAAGTAGGACAGCTGACACACGTGATATCGCGCCGCTCGCGTCGACAAGGTGGCGACGTCCCATTTTCTTGCATCGCGTTGGCATCGGAATTTGTGACCCTCTCCACCCATGATCTAGTAATTTACATATGATACGTGTGCAACCTGCCGTCGATCAAGGCCATTAGTCTGGAACTGCCAGAGCAGCATGGGTGTCCATGGGCTCTGGACGGTCGTACAGCCTTGTGCACGACCGATTAAGTTGGAAGCTCTCAATAAAAAGCGTCTGGCAGTGGATGCTTCGATATGGATATACCAATTTCTGAAAGCCGTACGCGATAAAGAAGGCAATGCGCTCCGAAACTCTCATATTGTTGGCTTCTTCCGTCGGATCTGCAAGCTCCTCTACTTCGGAATCAAGCCAGTCTTTGTGTTTGATGGTGGCGCACCAGTGCTCAAACGTCAAACTATAGCAAACAGAAAGAAGAGACGAGAGTGCCGACGAGATGATGCAGTACGGACCGCGGGGAAGCTGCTGGCGGTACAGCTGCAAAGGACTGCCGAAGAAGAGGCAGCTAACCGTCGAAGGGGTAGGATCGAGGAAGAGGTGGTCCCGGATAATCCTGTCTATGTCAATGATGTGTTCATGACCGAGAATGAAAAGCTCCAAACTCGGTCATTCAAAAAGAAGGATGCTTACCATCTACCTGATATGCAAGCCTCTCTGGAAGAGATGGGGGCACCCAATGATCCCCGTATCATGTCTCACGAAGACTTGGAGGAATACGCGAGACAGTTTCATCAAGGAGAAGATATCAATCTTTACGACTTCTCGAAGATCGATTTCGACAGCCCGTTCTTCGTTAGTCTTCCTGCAACGGACCGGTACAATATTCTTAATGCAGCCCGACTTAGAAGTCGTCTGCGGATGGGCTACTCAAAAGAGCAACTGGACACCATGTTCCCGGATAGAATGGCCTTCTCGAAGTTCCAGATAGAGCGAGTCAAGGAGCGAAATGATTTGACCCAACGCTTGATGAACATAAATGGTATGAATGGTGAGGATGCCATGTACGAATCCGGTCAGCGTATTGCCGGAGAACGCGGAAGAGAGTATGTTCTTGTCAAGGACGATACTATAGAAGGGGGCTGGGTTCTTGGTGTTGTGGGGAACAAGGAAGGCCACGAAGACAAACCTATTGACGTTGATCAGTACGGTCAGCAGAAGGTATTTGTTGAGAAGGAAGATCTATCTGATGACGATGACGGAGGGTTTGAAGATGTGCCTATTGAGGGTCTGAATCGGCTTCCTAAGCTTTCTTTCCTTCGGGAAGGTGTTCTTGATGAGTCAATGAGAAGCCAGATGCGACATAGGATGGGTAGAGGAAGCTCCGGGGAAGTTGATCAAGGAAGTATCGGACTGCAGCACGCCAATGATGATTCCCTCTTTGTCGAAGGTGATCAACACGGTTTCTCATGGAAGCATAACCACCATGAAAACGATGATCTGTTCAACGGCAGCGAGGATGACGAAGATGGGGCGCTTCAGCGAGCAATAGCGATGTCCCTGGAAAGCGGAACCCTCACCAATGATGATGATTTACCTGAGATCTCACTCAACCGAAATCATGCCCCCCAACCCACGCATGAGGCGAGCCCAAATTTTGCCGACCAGAGTGATGATGAGGAAATGGACTTTGCAGCCGCCTTGGCACAGTCCAAGAGAATAGCAAAAGTGCCGTCGAAGGCGGCAGGTAATCCTTTTGATGGTCCATTGCCCTTTGAGTCGCTCAGGTTTGGGAAGCCATCCAATAAAGAAAAGCAAGAGGGACAAGACGTCGGCACAGGTCCGTCTGAGAAGGAGCCTACGGACGTAACCAAGGATAGCCAGATACTACCGCCGTGGTTCTCGGGGCCAATTCAGAGTGCCAATGGCGCTGAATTCATTGCCGATGAGGTCGACGATCATGCAGTGAAAAAGCGGGCTAAAGCCACCCCTACACCGGACCATGTCTTTGTCAATGATGAAGATGCACATGATGTTGATGTTGCGGAGACGCCATTAGACTCGAAAGAGGTTATTGATTTGGAATCAACGCCGGAACGAGCGGCAGGCAAAGATCAGTATATCCAAGCCTCATACGAAGCCAGCCCCATCAAAGAGGCTACGCCCGTCGTAGCAAATGCGCCAGAATCTGAGAATACTGAAGCTTCGGCAATTCCTAAGGAAGATGTCATCCAAGAGGAAAAATACCAAGACTCCATGATGGGGGACACCACTTCTCACGTTGATGCCCAAGCAGACATGACACAATTTGAAGCGTCTCCCTCCCCCGAGTTTGAGGACGTCGCATTACAGCCAGAAATCATACCCGTGGAAGAACCGCCAGCAGCAGATGAAGTGGATTTGCCAGAGGAACTTTTCGACCAAGAGGGATTTTCAGACCCCGAAGACGAGGATCTAATTCAACAGCTTGCGGCTGAAGGCGAAGAACATGTTCGCTTCACAGCGATTCTAAACTCGGCATCTCATGTTGAGACACCATTTGACTACGAACAAGAGTTGAAACAACTACGTTCTCAGCAAAAGAAAGACCGCAGAGATGCAGACGAAGTGTCCCAGGTCATGATCACTGAATGCCAGCAACTGCTGACGCTATTTGGTCTCCCATATGTCACAGCACCCATGGAGGCCGAAGCACAGTGTGCAGAATTGGTGTCACTGGGCCTTGTGGATGGTATCATTACTGATGATAGTGACATTTTTCTGTTCGGAGGCACACGGGTGTACAAAAACATGTTCAACCAAAGCAAGTTCGTTGAATGCTACCTGACTACGGACCTTGAGAAAGAATATTCTCTTTTCCGTACCAAGCTCATCAGACTTGCCCACCTCTTGGGAAGCGATTATACGGAAGGGATACCCGGAATCGGACCGGTGACTGCCTTGGAGGTCCTCACTGAATTCGCGACCCTGGAAGAATTCCGTGACTGGTGGACCCAAGTGCAAACGAGTCTCAATATGGCTGATGACACTCATGCAGCCTTCTACAAGAAGTTTAAGAAGCACGCAGCGAAGATCTTCTTGCCACCGTCTTTTCCGGACCCTCGGGTCGATGTCGCATATCTGGAGCCTGAGGTGGATTCGGACCCATCCCCCTTCCAATGGGGCGTGCCCGACTTGCACGGTCTACGTAACTACCTCATGTCAACTATCGGCTGGAGCCAGGAACGTACCGATGAAGTCCTTGTACCTGTTATTCGCGACATGAATCGCAGAGAGCAGGAGGGTACTCAGTCAAACATCACCAGCTTTTTCAGTGGGCCGCTAGGAGCGGGTGCCTTTGCACCTCGTGTTCGCAGTGGAGGCCAGACAAGGATGGAGAAGGCATTTAGTCGACTCCGGCAGCAAGCTGGGCCTGTGGAACAGCCAGATTCACCCGATGTAGAGGGCAATCCTGTCGCAGTCAGTGCTTTGGAAAATGAAGCGCCGCTAAAAAACTCATCGGGCAAGGATACGGGCACGAAACGAGGGCGTCGTGGACCACGGAATGCAAAGGATGGAGTTGATGGCGCCGGAGACAATACTGCAAGCAACAAGAAAAGGCGGACCCGCCGAGGTGCGTAGTAGATAGATTGCGACAGCGTCGATCAGCATCACCGAAGCTTGATGGCCTTGCTGCCTGGGTGCCTGATGTTGTGTTGCCTGGACCGGCATTGTGTTAATGCGACCGGCCGGGTGTTGCCGTTTCGGGCGAGAGAGTTGGCAGATCTTCGGCCGTGAGGGGCATTCCAATCCCATCCATGGATGCACCCGCTATCAACAATGCCTTGGGTTTGGCAGGTCTTGCGATCATTGGCTTTGCTTATTATTGTGTACAAGAGATAAGCCCCCCCTCTCTATCTCGTCGCATCATTGCCGTCCGCAATGGTGTGATCTCGGCACCTCTTCAAGTTCCGTGGTCGGTTCTCAGGGCCACTCGTGAGGTCAGATATGGTGCAGATGGCGTGCATGCGGGCGGATGAGGGGTTAGACTTCGCCAAGTGTCAGGGACATCCTCAATCGTGCATCCCCCTCCACCAAATGTCCCCTTAAAAAGAGACGTGCCTGCCCCCGTTGCCTCCAACCATATGATATGTCCATAGAGCAAAGTGAATCAGCCATGGCAGCAGTGAAAGGACCTCAACTCATACAAAGTGATATTGTCTCCTTAAATGACCGTGAGCACCACCCCACGGTGTCTCTTGAGTCGCTCATCAATGAGACGTCATTGGCCGAGAAAACAAACGAGAAAGTCCGTCCAGCTTTCGAGATTGAAGAACATCCAATCGACCAGGTCCGTCCGATTAAAGTCGGTGTGATTGGAGCTGGTCTGGCCGGCATTACAGCAGGGATCTTGCTCCCAGCAAAACTGCCGGGTCTGGACCTGCGCATCTATGAGAAGAACTCCGACGTGGTATGTAATTGCTAGAGGATAAGGGCTATCAATTGCTAATATGAAACACAGGGAGGCACCTGGTAAGCCCATTACAGCCGTTCCTTGCGATCCCTGTTGCTGATCAACAGGTTTGAAAATACCTACCCCGGGGTCCGATGCGATATTCCTGCGCATGTCTATCAGTCCGGTTTCTCACCAAACACACAATGGACCGAAGAGTTTGCACAAGGGCACGAAATCCGCGAGTATTGGCAAGGTCTGGCGCGCAAATATGATGTTCACAAATACCTTCGACTACAACAGAAAGTCGAACAGGCTGTGTGGCTGCCCGAACTGGGTAAATGGCGTGTCACTCTGGAGGATCTAGGAGAGTCCAAACGGGTATGGCCTACTATTATCTCCAGGACTGTATGGAATGATAGCTAACGAATTAAAGCAATATGAGGAAGATCTCGACGTGGTCATCAATGCCATCGGCCACTTCAACGCCTGGCAGCTGCCCGACTACCCTGGGATAGATCAGTTCTCAGGTCCCCTTTTCCATTCCTCCAACTGGAATCACAACGTCGACCTAAGCGGCAAGCGCATTGCGCTAATCGGCAATGGGGCGTCTGGATTGCAGGTTCTGCCCTCAATCCAGCCAATTGCCCAGCACGTGGATCATTATGCGCGAAACAAGACCTGGATCGCCGACTCTTTTGGCACTTCTGGGGTGCGTCGACTCGAACCAAACCTATTCTCTGCCGACCAGCTCGAATCCTTCCGCGACCCTGATGCTTATCTCGCGTACCGCAAGAGCGTAGAGACAGGATACTTCTCTCGATTTGGCGCCATCTTCAAAGACTCTCCTGAAAATCGCAGTCTGCGCGAGAAGTGGACCGAATTAATGAAATCAAGAGTCGGCGAGGACCACGAACTAGCCGATAAGCTCATCCCAGACTTTCCTCCCAACTGTCGCCGTGCCACCCCAGGTCCGGGCTATCTCGAAGCCCTGACCAAAGATAACGTCAACTACATCCAAACTCCGATCCAGCGGTTCACCCCAACCGGCATCATAACCACAGATGGCATCGAACGGCCCGTCGACATCGTCATCTGCTCCACAGGAGCCAACGTGGACCACGCCCCACCCTTCTCCGTGATCGCCGATGGAATCGATCTCAAAAAGGCCTGGAAACACGACGGCCTCTACGGATTCCCCTACAACTACCTCGGCGTCGCCACCCCCGGATTCCCCAACCTCCTCTGGATCGGAGGCCCCCATTCCACCGGCCACGGCGGCAGCGTGCCCAACAGCCTGGAAAATCAAATCACATACATATCCAAGATTCTGCGGAAAATCCGCAGCCAGGGCATCAAATCCATAGCCCCCTCCAAACAAGCAGCAGATGACTTTGTCGAATACTGTGAAAAATTCTACCCGCGTACCGTCTGGACAGCGAATGACGATTCCACCCCGGGTAACAAAAACTGCCGGTCATGGTACAACGGCGGTCGTCCTGGTGGAAAAGTACATGGGTTATTCCCTGGTAGTGCTGCTACGTTGAACTACTTGAGACGAGACCCCCGATGGGAAGACTGGGATTATACCTATGTCAACCCGAGTGGAAACCGGTTCGCGTACTTTGGAAATGGGTGGACGACGAGAGAAACGCAGCCGGGTGCGGATCTGACGCCGCATTTGAAACGTCCTGATACTATTGATTTGAGGAGTTATTTGGAGGGGTGGTGGGATGTATAGAGTTCTTCTCTAAGAGTTAGTGTGAATATAGGAGGGATTACTCACTGTGTTGTGTTTATCTAGAATATACGCATATACCGAAGTTCGATATCTAGATTTACATCTGCGAATATAAAGGACGACTACTACTAGTCACTACTAGCTAATTAATAGAGTAATTTGGAATCAGATGAATGTGTCATTAAGAGATGCCAACAATCATAGACCTATGCCGTCATCTTATGATAATAAGAATACAGCATTGGATCATTTATCCCCAACGAAGCCTCATAACGCGCCCTGCAGTTTTCTCTCCGATAAAATATTCCAATATCCCTTTAGACAAAAAGGGTAGGTAAATGAACATTCCATGACGATAACTAGCACAGCACATCCGTGTTGCGAGAACCCTGGGTTGCAGGTATCAAAGGAGCCATGGGTGATTGAGGCGATGCACGCTAGTGTATGTTACCTGAAATGCAGATTTTTTCTGTTTTTTTCTCTTCCTCTTTCGTCATAGTCTACCAGAAAAGTCAAATGTAGATAAAGTAGGTGGAAGTCATGCCCGAGGGATAAAAGTTTTATGTGAGGTATTTTGCCTGGTGGCGAGGATAGCTCGATAGTGTTCCATTCTTTGGGATCCAAGGGAAATATAAGAAAAAGAAATATTAAGCGCATACCCATGCATGCCAGCACGCTTTGGGCAAGGTTTAGGGTACAGGATGTAAATCATCGGATGACTTTGAGTCCGTGGGACCGAGCGTAGGTAATCGCTTCCAGCGGGACATTATCGCAGTTTCGGACGTAAAGATGTTCGATTTGAGGGAGGTCGCTGTCAGATGAACGAGCGTCTGCAAGCATTTTGAGTGAACGACCTGTAACGTCGGTGCCGGAGATGTCCAAGGCTGTTAGGTTTGACATGCTCTCCACAAAGGATTTTACGGTCGTGTCGTTGAGGCCTGGAAGCTGGGAGACGCCGAGCTCGGTCAGGTTGATTGAATTCTCTACCAAAACAAAATGGAGTTTTTCGGGCATGAGTGCTGGACAACGGTCAAGCATGAGGCTTCGTAAGGGGGCTTTCGCATCGACTATAATGCTATGCAGCGTGTAAAATGTGACCCAAAGAAGATCGCGAAACCTGAGAGTATGGAGGTTAGGGAGGTGAGGGGGGTACTCTCCGTGAAAGGGAAATTCGTTCCCAGTCGGAGCGGCACCGGCGTGGATACTGAGATGTTCGAGGCTTGGAGGTAAGCTGAATAAGCCAATGTACACCCCCTTTAGATCGAGTCTGCGTAGTCGGGGGAATTGTATCGGGTCGAAGGAGAGGTAATATGGTGCCCAGACCCTGGGATACGAGTCCAGTCGTATCTCCTCAAGATTGGGCATCGAACAAGACATTCCTTCCTACAGAGAACCGATTAGTACAAGTATAAGAGACATGCACAAGCCACGTACCGAAGCCGGAGGAATATACAAAGCCGCTACGCGACCCGGCGGCGGAATAGATGCCTCAGTCAAGAGGGCGATACTCCGCAAATTGGGAAGATGTGATGGCCATTGCACTTTAGATTCAGCTGAAGGCTGCGCATTTTGAATCTCAATTCGTTCAAGTTGAGGTAAGCTTGTCAAAAACTTGGCGATGTATTCCTGAGCCACTGGTGTCTGTTTCCCAATAACCAGGGATTTCAGCTGTGTCGAGCCTCGGAACATATCATAGAGCCCGGCGGGTTGATTGATAGGATCGCGGATCTCCAGATGCTCCAGTTTCGGACATCTGCCCAGATACTCGAGAACCTTATCTTGAAAAGGGGTTGAGATATTGGTCATGACGGCGTGGGTTAGCATGGCGCGCGACCGTTGAACAAAGGCCCGGAATGAGCGCCATTGGACCTTGCGTCGGGCTTCAGTGAAATCTAGCTGCATCCAGAGATCTGGTTGTGAGAGCATGCGCTGCCATCCCTTCGAGACTCGGAGAAGGACCCTAATCACTCTAATTGTTAGACGCTTATTCCCACAACCGCCCGGGTTGGAGGCACACTCACGCCAGCTGTCTGAAAGTGAAATGCTGCAACACCATCATCGCCAATTCCAGAGGTAACACAGCGAAGGGATCGAGGCGCTTCACTGACGCTCGGTCTCTCACTTTGCAGAACATTTGTAGAACAGTCTAAGGCGGTTAGCGCCTTTTGAGTCAATTCACTCCAGCTGCAAGGCACTAACCTTACGACGGGGGTTCTCCATTGGCAATTTATTCAGACCCCATCCATAAGCCTTCTGAGCTCTTTTGTAATCCCCAGTTAGAAGCAATGTCTGACCGTATCGCAAAACGCCCTGACGCTCAATTAGCCTACGGAAAACTCAATCGACCACGATACCGGTGCAATCTACCCGTCCATCTAGATCTTTTTCATCTCGCTTGATCATCTGTCGCGAATCCGTGAGAGCACGGTCATACTGCTTGAGTTTGATGTACGTTGCGACTCGATTGTCGAGGATGCCCATGACATCGGCGCCTTTACAATGGAGAGCCTGTGGGCCAAGCCAAAGTCTTAGTAGCGTTTCCTTATCGGACGCGGTGGACCGGGCGACGTACCTCAGTAAACGCAGAGAGAGCGTCTTGGTAGTTGCCCTGTCTGAAGAGCAGCTGACCCCGCTGCTGCAGGGAGTCGCCTTCACCACGGATCACCCGCGCCATGATGGAGAAACGACGTCAATCACGAGGATGAGGCCGAGCAGAGGCAGATGAGGACGCGCGAGACGCGTGCGATAAGAAAAAGTGATTGATTGATTGATAGAATGAAGGCCGGCGAGGCGGGCTGACATAAGGCAAGTGTGGGGCGGGTGGCGGTCACCCGAAGAACCCCGGCTGTTTATGTTCTGCCTCTTTGGGAATCCCGACCCCCGTCGAAAAATAATCACACTTCTCCCGACAATTGAAAACCCCCCCGCGACACTCAACGACAGCCCCTCTCACGATAGAGAGGTCGGTGCCAGTGGAGCTTGCAGGCAAGCCATGGAGCCACAGAATTTGGAGGCAGCATCCACCTACATCAACAATGTCTTGCTGGCCAGGGGGCTGCTGAAAAGCGGCCGCCCCATTGAATTCGCCAACCCCGAGGATGAAGACGGCGGTTCGGCGGCCACAATGGGGCGCATCATCAACTTGGTCAATGATCTGGTGCTGCGCAGAGATGTACGGGCTAGGGATTCCTATAGCACAGGACGCACTGGCTGACAGCGACGCAGCGTGAAGCCGAACACCGAGAAAACCTCGCGACCACGATTCGGACCCTACGTGTAGAAGAATCACAGAAGACAGCTGAGCTGGTACGGCAGCGGAGCTAGAATGGTTTGCGACAAAGCGGGGGCTAATAAATGGATATAGGAGAAAGTGAAAACAAAGGCATCCGAATTGACTCGCTCGCTGGCTCTCGCCGAGGCGCAAGAACGAGCCTTGAAATCGAACGTTTCCAGCGCCGACGCGACCATCCGAGGATTGAAAGAGCAAGTGCAGCGCATGAAAACCACCATGCAACAAGTCCGAGCCCAATGCGCCAACGACATCCGCAAGCGCGACCTGGAAATGCAGAAGCTGAAATCGCACCTGGCGGAACGCCAGCGCGGAAGGCGGGAGGGCTTGGCCATGACCACTATCAATATCAATCCAGCAGCCACCCAATCATCCCGATCAAGGCTCGCGGCGGGTGGAGAGGGAATCAACGACCCAGGATACAGCTTGAAACAAGAGACAAACGACTTCCTCACCGAACTTTGTCAGACCCTTAGCGATGAGAACGACACTCTGATCTCACTGGCGCGAAACACCGTCGAAACCTTGAAAGACCTCCAGGGATTGTCGCAGGCTGAAGAGGACGATAAGTACTCGACAGGGGCGGCAAGCGTCGGGCCCAGCCGATCCGTACAAGGCTCGGTTACAGCACTCCCAACCTCCTGCGACGAGCTATCTACTCAGATGGACCATGTACTCGAGCACCTTCGGACCTTACTCACTAATCCGTCATTCGTACCGCTAGAGGAGGTGGAGATGCGGGACGAGGAAATTAAGCGACTGCGCGAAGGGTGGGAAAAGATGGAAGGCCGATGGAGCCAAGCCGTCACCATGATGGACGGGTGGCATAAACGTATAGCCGATGGAGGCCACTCGGTCCAGGCAGAAGAGCTCCGAAGAGGGATGGATCTAGACCTACATTTGGATATTGCTACGGCCCTATCCAAGGACGGAGAGCGGGAACCCACTATCCAGTCGCCCATTTTCGAGGACCAGCAAGCCGAAGAGGAAGAGGAAAAAGCGGCCGCAAAGATCACCACCGAAGATACCCGCCGGTCTCCAAGTCCCAAAAAGGCGCCACGGTCAACCAGGGAAACCAGAAGCAAGAGACTCAGCCAGGCTCTGAAAGAGCGCAGTGACAATATCATGACTGGGCGCTCGCCTCGGAAGGTCTCATTCACTACGGGCTTACAAGACTCGCCGTGTGTCTCTAGCGGCACCGACGAGACACTACAGGTAAAAGCACACCAGTCGGAAGCAGTGACACGTAGGTCATCCAGGAGAAAGCCCGAGTCCAAGTTTCTCTCCCGGCCAGGGGGCAGTGGTCGAAGCCCCCAGCCGAAAGAGTCTCGCCTGGCCACTGCTGCGCCGGTATCAACTAGCCAGGCTCGCTTAAGCGTTCCGCAGAAGCTGGCCGCTGTCGAGAGTGAGGCCCGGGCTGCGGAACAAGCTCGCAAGGAAAGCGAAAGCAGGAAACGTGGGCGGGCTCTCAAGGGATCCAGCAAAGGGCACCGTGACCGCCGCCGCAGTACACTGACCAGCGACGAGCTGGGAGAGCTGATGGGAATGCCCGCCAAGTGATGTTTTGTTCCATGATGATAGATGTTCCTGGGAGACAAGCTTCTTCGATACCCCCCCTCGTTCAATGTCTGAGTATATACCATGCCTGTTTTACTTGCATTCCTACCTTGGAGATGACACAATCATGACTTGCCTCTTTTTCCTTTCTTTTTCTCTCTCCCTCTCTCCTTTTCTCTCCCTCTTTCTCCCTATATGGTTATTAGCAACCCCGTCTTGGTAATAGTAATGTATTTTATGACGTAAACTGTCAAAAACTCGCCATTTCGACCATCGTCACCGTGCCGTTTAGGTCCAGGGGTCCTGTATCGGACTTTTTGGCAATGGTGGACTGTATAAATAACTGTCGGTGGCTGCCTGGTTTTCCGCCCTGGATCCATGAATCCATCCAAGCGGACCACCTAACCGAGCGTCCGGCTAGCCAAACCACGCTTTATAGACAGTCATGTATGCAGTCAACCCAAGGCCCCAACCCTCCAATAGCGATGCTAGGTCCGTAGCACTGCCCGTCTCTGACGTTCTGAACGGTCATTTTTTGAAGTCACTGAGGCCTATAACCATCGCCAATACCTCATAATGAGGGTATGGGGCTGGAATCTTTTATATATAGCGACGGCTCGTCTCCCAACAATTTATTTTTACGCCGATTCATTGTTCGAACCTGATTGAACTTTTTCTGCCTCTCGAGGTTTGTGTCCTGATCGCCATATCGATCTTTGCTTTGGCAACCTTTCCTACTGCAGAGAACGACCTAAACTGTGCTCATCAGTATTATTTTCTTGAGAAGTGCTCTTGGGGACGATAATTCATGTGGCATTCATACCCTCCTCCCCAACAGCAGTACATAGCGTCCAGCATCGAACAGGGGATGCAGACGCCCATTCCTGGTGCAACCTCATTTGCTTTCAATAACCCTGTCCCAAACATGCCGTATGGAGCCTGGTATACCGGCCAGTATGTGGCGAACCAGACATATCAGTCCCCCGTCGTTTCCTACACGTTTGTTGATCCCCAGCACATGTCGATGCCGTATGCCTTGTATACGCCACAGGAAGTGCCTCACATGATGCAACCTGTTTATCTGCAACCTACTTATCCGCAACCATCCGCGGTTTTCCGCATCGAAGAGAGGTGTCCTTACCAGCAGTATATGAGACCGTCGCAACGGGCATGCCCCAATAAAAGGATGAGAGGCCCATCTTGCTGGCATCAAGCACGTATACCCGAGCAAGTAGTAGACAGACCACCGCCGGAACATAGTACCAACACCACGCAGTGCAACAGCCCGCAGTTCACCACCCCGCAGGGCGTACGATGCACGGACGAAAACGCACAGGAGGTGCTTGATCCTCAAGCTTGTATCTTTGTCGCCAAGTAAGCCACCCCAACGTGTTTGACGCATATAATAAGATGAGCCTAACACGAACAAGTCTCCCAAGCTACTTATCATCTGGAGAAATCAAGAGAAGCGTGAGGGAGATCTTCGAGAAATGGGGAACCTGCTTCATCACGGTAACCAGGTCGTGGAGAAATCTGTATAGCGCATTTGTACAGTTCACGGTACGGGTGACGCTTCTCTTCCTGCAAGGTAGTAACTGATTGGAGTTAGGAGGTTGAGCATGCCATAAATGCCAGGGAGAGTGCAAAGAAAGCAGGAGTCTTCCTTTGCCATCGGCAGCTCAGATTGGAGATACCGGACAGAAAGAGTGAGTTCTTCTCAATCCATATATGTGCTATGCCCATTCATGCCCCTTCGGGTTCTCGTGACATTCGCTGACGATGATGCCCATGTAGAAAACCCTACCCATCAAGTCCCGGCGATCATGGAAGGTGATCAAGTCGATATCGCTTCTACGGAATCCAACGAAGACATGGGCTCGTCGAACTGCAATACCCTAGGACCGAGCATCAGTATTGAAATGCAAGAAGGGAACACGGCGGGAGAGAGTTCAGGGGGGGGATTGGGGCCTTCTGTGGAGGAAGATGATGAGATTGTGGTGCAGGCTGAACCGAAGACGCTTGACGAGGAACAGCAAGGTGATGAGGAACAGCAAAACGACGAGGAACAGCAAAACGACGAGGAAGAGCAAGGTGACCCCCGACGACCAACACAACTCCGTCGCTGCAAATCGCTCCCGATTTATCCCCCCCCTGAATAAACGACTCCGTACGTACCAGTATTATCTGGCCTCGCCGAGGAATCAGGCTGCTTTCTCATGTCATGTTTTATACTAATTAGTTAGTCTCATTTTGCTTGTGGTTTCCAGCCCAATATGACATTGCTTCCTTGCTTCCTGGTTGATTCTTTGTCTTCTCGTAGACTCTACATTCTCGATGCTGGCCTTTCCGCAACTGAACCGCGCCGTCGCAAACCCCGCCCGGGTGATGCTGCTGCGACGTAGTATATAAGTAAATGAGACGTAAGCTCCTTACAAGGCGAGATTGAAACTTGATGCTTGAGAGCAAGTGAGATGGATCATCATGGATGGGTTGGGAAGGGCCGCATTTGGGCCGAAAGATGGTCGTCGGCTTGAGGAAGGAACGTTCGCTGCCCGTGCCTTCCCAGATGGGCAGTCTCCATTTCTCCAAACGGAGTCAGAAAGTCATTGACGGATTGAAGACAGCAAACATATTTTGTACTTTCTCTTTGGCGGAGATGTGTGACAGACAGCACTTACAACTACCGGGTTTGAGAGTGTAGTCAATGCATGAATGATCTTGATAGATCACTAGTAGATCACTAAGTTACAGGTCCACAAATTCCCCGCGCTGCACCTCTCCCTTCTCCAGCTGTTCCAGGTAATCACCTACCTTAGCTGTCATGACCTTGGTCTCGTAGCCGAAGAACTTGTACGCTGCCTTGCCCGGCAGGCTATGGCCAAACCGCCGAATGGAGATGCCTGCGTCGGCATACCGCTCCCATCCATTGGGTGCATACGGCTCAATCACCACGGCCGGGATGCCCTGGTGGCGTCGCAGCACCCCCCGCTTATAGTCGAGGGATTGCTGCTCGAACAATCGCTGACACGGGAAACTGATGACCCGCGCCACAATTCCTCGGGTCTCTTTCAGCTGCTGGGCCACATCCAAAGCAAATGAAAGCTCCGCTCCGACCCCGATCAATGTCACTGCGACATGGGGGGCCTCTTCCAGCACGTATGCCCCCTGAGCTACACCGTCGCGGCGAGTCTGCTTCAACTGAGGCAGAGCGTGACGGGAGGTGGAGATGATGGTGGACGTCCTCTTGGCCTCCAGGGCCGCAATCCACGCCCCCGCCGTTTCCTCACTGTCTCCCGGACGAATGTACAGCAAGTTTGGCATGGCGCGGTACAATGCTGCAAGCTCAATTGGCTGATGTGTTGGACCATCCTCTCCCATCCCGATGGAGTCATGAGTGGCAGCGTGGATGACCTGGAGGTGTTGTAGGGCTCCCATGCGCACAGCAGGCGCAGCATAGAGATAGAACATAAAAAATGATGAGGTGATTGGGATGAATGTATTTGGGGCAAATGCTGCCAACCCGTTGGAAATGGCACACATGGCATGCTCACGCACGCCGAAGTGGATATAGCGGCCAGAATAATTACCATTGATATTGCAGGTAGTGCGCAGATCAGGCTGGACTTGGTAAGCGTGGCAATTTCAAGTGCATATGGCGATACTTACGTGCTGAAAATCGACCTTGCCCGGCCAAATCATATTAACTGACGGGCTTAGGTCTGCCGTTCCAACCATAAATGATTCGATCTCCTTTGCCATTGGGCTGAAAACCAGTCCAGAAGACGCTCTTGAGGCTGTTGGCTTTTCAGAAAAACTGGAGGGAATCAGATTCTTCCAGTATGGGGGCAGCTCTCCGCGCATGCGCTGCTGAAACTCCGCCCCAAGCTCAGGGTACTTTTCGCTATACTGCTCCACCAACCCATTCCACTGTTGTAGCAAAGTCTCTCCACGGGAGGGGAGATCCTGGAAAAATCTCCGGGTTACGTCGCTGATGACAAAGTGCTCATCCGGGTTAAATCCGTGCTTTTTCTTCATTTCTGATACGTCTGGGGCACCAAATGCAGCACCATGAGCAGCCGCCATGCCCTCTACCTTGCTGTCGAGGCCAATGACGGTTCGGACGTTGATGAATGTAGGTTTATCCTGAGCGGCACGAGCCTTTTCCAACGCCTGGGCGATCCCTTCAACATCATAACAACCGTCTTCAATGTCAATGACATCCCAGCCACAGGCGCGCATCTTGGCGTTGATATCTTCCGTGTTGGTCAGATCGACTGACCCATCGCAGGTAATTTGGTTGTTGTCGTAGATGACGGTCAGGTTGTTGAGTTTGAGGTGGCCAGCGAAAGAGATGGCTTCGAGCCCGACACCCTCCTGCAAACACGCATCGCCCACCATACACCAGGTATGGTTGGATACAACATCATATCCCGGGCGGTTGAACTTGGCCGCCAGGTTCTTTGTGGCCATAGCCAGACCCACGGCATTGGCGACGCCCTGGCCCAGGGGACCGGTCGTGACTTCGATACCCTCGTGCTCAATCTCCGGGTGTCCAGGACATAAGGCGTCAACGCGTTCGGAGTGGTAGGACTTGAGCTGGTCGAATGTCATGGCCTTGTAGCCAGTGAGATGCAAGAAGGTGTACTGGAAGAGGCAGGCGTGGCCGTTGGACAGGACGAAGCGATCGCGGTTGAAGTAGTCGGGGGAGTGTGGTGCGTATCGCATAACATATCGCCAGAGTGCAATACCGATAGCGGCCATGCCAATCGCCCCTCTGGCTAGGTCAGTTTGCTGTCTTCTGCTGGGCGCATGGTGACTGAAGTCCTACCCGGGATGACCTCCGCCGAACTGCTGGCATAGATCGGAAATAAGGAGGCGGAATGTTTTCAAGACATGGTCATGGTCTTTGGAGAGCTGGCGCACCAGCGGTAAGGCCGATGCGCCGTTGTTGTGTGAGACCGGACCAACAGCCATGACTGCAAGGGAGATTACAAGGATGAGGATGACGGCGATTCATTGTGCGGGAGAATCCAAGAGCCTTTATAAGCAGTAGAGAACATCAACCTAGGGAAGGGTAAAATAGGAACCGGTCATGTTCTGCTGCTTCGTGTAGTGGAGATGTCATGGCGAGCGATGTCAATATCTCCCGATCCGGCAGTGTTTAGCACCTTACCGAAACGGGTAAGGGGAGGCGCCGACTCCTGCAACGGGCAAATCCTGCAACGGGCAAATCCTGCAACGGGCAAATCCTGCATACGATACTATTACTAGCATCACTGGGCGGCTTCAATTTCCGCTTCCCTTATCGGACCCGCGGGCCCCAGTGCGGGGAAGTGGACGCCCCAGGCGATCCGTGGCTCCAGTTGCCTTTCCGACTCTGCCCTCGAAGGAACAACGTCCTCCATTCACGTCTATCATGCGCATCCTACCAAGAACAGGTCACAACCAGTCAGCATGAAAATACCAACTTAAACCCTGCTGCTCCCGTGCATAACCCATCCAACCTTTGCTCCGATATCACCACCATGGCCCCTTCAGCTCTCGTCCCTCGTCCGTCGTCTCCGACATCCAGCTCAAAGGCAGTGTTGACAGAATCACTGGTTCTGTCCCCTCCTTTCCCCAATCCCTCCCTTCATGTCACAGCAGATCATACCCTCAAGTTTGTTCCCGCTCCTGTTCATGCACCGCGACGAGGTGAGGTTCTTCTTCAGATTAAAGCCACCGGCATTTGTGGGTATGCATCGAATCGAAACTGACCCGGTCTTCGAGTGTTTACGCTGCTAACAGAACCAGGTCCGATATCCATTTCTGGAAGACAGGTCGGATCGGACAGCTGGTCTTCGAGGGAGACTGCATCATTGGCCATGAAGCGGCGGGCGTGGTGTTGAAGTGCGGAGACGGGGTTACACATCTCCAACTTGGTTAGTCTCACAGCGCACTGAAGCTGACTCATGTCAATAATTTATTGCTCACTGGAAGGGGTAGGTGACCGAGTTGCGATTGAACCTGGGGTCCCATGCGAACAGTGCTTTCTTTGTGACGACGGTCGCTACAATCTGTGCGAGGACGTCCAATTTGCGGGCGTCTATCCCTACGCAGGGACCATTCAACGGTACAAGGTCCATCCGGCGAAATGGTTGCACAAGTACGTCTGTTTCACTGTTGAGCGGGCGCAAAACATACTGACAGGGTACTACAGACTGCCCGACAATATCTCCTACCTTGAGGGAGCCCTCCTCGAGCCCCTTTCGGTCGTCATGCGTGGCATCCAGGTCGCCCATCTCCAACTGGGTCGTGGCGTGGTCGTTTGCGGTGCTGGGCCTATTGGACTGATTGCCCTCGCAGCGGCTCGAGCTTCAGGTGCTCATCCCGTCGTTATCACTGATATCGAGCCGAAGCGCCTGGCTTTTGCCAAGGAGTTCATCCCTACATGTATCACATACCAGGTTGACCCGACGCTGGATGCGGAGTCCAACGCCAAAGCGATCCGAGCACTTTTCGGACCGGACGAGTACAGCGCTCCTGAAAGGGTGCTCGAATGCACTGGCGTTGAGAGCAGTGTGTGTACTGCGGCATTCACGGCTCGACGAGGCGGCACGGTGGTGGTGATTGGTGTGGGAAAGTCAGTCATGAACAATCTCCCATTCATGCATATTTCCCTGGCAGAGGTAGGTGTTCTTTTCCGCAGTTCATTATGAATGAAAGGTCATCCATTAACCAGAACAGATCGATTTGCGGTTTATCAACCGGTATCGGGATACATGGCCACCAGCGATTGCGTGTGTCAGCGGGGGAATACTGGACTTGAAGAAGCTGGTGTCGCATGTCTTCCCGCTGGAAAAGGCAGTTGACGCGTTGAATCTGTGTGCAGACCCCAGAAACGGAAGCATTAAGGTGACCATCGTGGATGAGGTGGACGCGACATTGTAAATAGTCGACAGCCAATAGGCCAAGACAATATACGACCGTGCTGAATAGCAAACCTCGTAATAGTGGCCTGAGTCCGGGTGTAGTTCAGAAGGCGACATCGAGTGTAGGTAGGGCAGGCTGGCCCTCATCGTCCAACGCGCATTATTAACTTTATCTCTAATCCTCATGCAGCCAAGTCGATGGCAAATGTTACCACCATTAAGGCTTCCACTTTCGATCCTGCCTAGCTGATGCTCATATGAACGAACTGCGCGTCTCTGTTGATGACTGTCAGCAACCGGAGGGAAAGGGGTAAATAGAGTTCATTGGGTTTCAGATGCCTGCAGTCCAAGCGATTAGTGCCAATCCAGGTCTCATTTCATTTCCGACGATGAATAGGAAGACATGCGCCACTCACTGACCCAACTACTATTGTTCTCGGATACGAGTGAGTTCATTGGAGCGTTGTGGTAGGAGTGGTCATTGAAAGCTCCACTCAACAGAATACTAGGTTTTGAATAGAAAAATACACCTGTGTTACCTGGCAGGTCGTCCTCATCCTCCAGGAGGCTAGAATCTTACCATGACCAGAGAACCTTCTGGAGTGTTTGGATACACAGCACGGGTGTCATTTTGCTGTTTAATCTCGCGTAGACGAAGGGAATGAGATTAGTTGAGGATGGAACCTCCATTGAAACCAATCATAAATGCCCTGTGAGCCAACAGGAAGTGTTGGTAGTACGACGGGACATGTGAAGTGGGAGAGGGAGGATTTCGGCCTGTCAAAAGCCGCAACACATGCAACTGGACATGCTCCGGTGGCGGCAGTGGAGCATCGCACCCAAGCCACGCAGTGAGTGAATGCTGATTGACAGATTGCATGTCAAGGTACTATCCTACTAGTATAACTCTGTCTACTAGCCATTGACTCAATCTAATTTTGCAGGTCGGTATATATCCCCCACGCGAAGCCTCGCTCCTCCATCCTCCACCTCTCAGCACTGCTTCTCACGCTGGCAACAATGGCATGGCTATCGACCTCTACCCTCATCGTCGCCTTCGCTTGGATGGCCGGTGCAACCCCAGGACCAAGTCCGGGGATGCAGAACCTAGACGTCACCCTGGGAAGAGGCATCACGTATGGCCTGGGGAACATCACCTACTTTGCCAACACAAGATACCCAAGGAGCACAGTGGAATTGGAGCCCGCCAATAACATCAGTGTCGACTTCACTGGGTTTACACAGATTACAGTGATTATGGTCAACGAAAGTTCGGTTACTGGCAAGCTCCTAGAGTCGACAATTTCCAGCTACCTCGCGGAGGATGATGTTTTCTCAGAAAGCTTTCTCAGCCATCTCTACATCTCATCTCCTCTGGCCCACGTTACTCTCGACAAGACATCTCTCCATTACCTGAACAACATCAGTGTTGCCCATCTCTACCTGGAATCTACAGCATTCAGCCAAATCACAAATCGTGCCCTCCCAGTACACAGCAACGGCCAACACCTGCCATCTGGGCCCTACACTGCCTTGATATCAGACAAGACGATCAACTTCTTCGATACCTATAGGCTATATGAAGACACCTACCGCACCTTCATCACCGGAGCATATTCATCCAACGACGGCACGGACTCCTTCAACCCACTCCCCTCCATGCGCTCTCAAGTATGGGCGCCCCTAATACCAGTCCCGAGTCGAATCTACTCCTGGAACGACTCACGGCCATTGGCAGGCAAACGAGTAGCCATCAAAGACCTCATCGATATCAAAGGCCTGCAGACCTCGGCCGGCAGCCAAGCCTGGATCTAAATCACCCCCATTGCAACCTCCACAGCACCAGCCATCCAACGCCTTATCGACCTAGGGGCCGTCCTCGTAGGCAAATACAAGCTGGCCCAATTCGCCTCCAGAGCCAACCCATGGGACTGGACCGACGAACAATACCCCTTCAACCCCCGAGGCGACGGCTACTTGACCTGCGCCGGCTCTTCATCCGGAGGAGGCTGCTCAGTCGCCGCCTACGACTGGCTCGACAACGCCATTGGAACCGACACAGGCTCCTCCATGCGCCGCCCCGCCGCCGTCCCCGGCACATATGGCAACCGGCCCAGTCAAGGCATGATGACTCTCGACGGCGTCCTCCCCGTCAGCTGGGCCCAGGACACCATCGGCCTCTTTGGCCGCAACCCAACATCATGGTCCCAATTCGCCAAAGCCTGGTACACTCCATCCCTGCACCAGAACACCTCCATCACCGGCCTTTCTCCCCTCTCCATCCCCAACTCCACAGCCTTCCCCTCCCGCATCCTCTATCCAGACGAATACTTCCCCATGCGCAACCCAGCCGCCCAAGCCATCCTCAACTCTACCCTGACCCGCATCTCCACCCTCTTCAACATGACCATCCACCACTTCAACCTCACCGCAACCATCACCTCCGCATCCATCTTCCCCGACACAAACCTCAACTGAGACCGTCTCGCCAACACCTTCTCCCTCAACACCTGGCCCCAATACCTCACCATCGCCCAACCCCTCATCACCACCTGGTCCTCCCTCCACAACAACCGCTTCCCCCCAGTCGACCCCCAAATCCGCACCCAATGGTCAGCCATCGACCCCACCACCTTCACCAACCAAGACGCCTACAACCACGCCCTCAAATCCCGAGCCCACTCCATCACCTGGTTCGAACGCAGCATCCTCACCCAATCCAGCCACACCTGCTCAGACGCCCTCCTCATCTGCGACGAAAACACCGGCGGCCTCCCCAGCTACCGCGAACAACCCCTCAATAAACCCCCCAACGCTACCCTCTTATCCACTTACCCCGATGACGCAGTCATACCTTGTAACACTATCTGTCCTCTCTTCGGGTACGTCTAACCCCCATCCTTCTCTCCCTGCAATCAAAATAACAAAAACCACCAACCACACAGCTGCGCCGACTTCACCATCCCCCTCAACCAAGTCCCGTACTACTCACCAATCAGCAAAACCCTCGAACAATGGCCCATGAGCATAAATCTCATGGTCCGCAGGGGCTGCGATTTCATGTTATTTGATATGGTGGAGAAGATGGCTGACGCGGGGATAATCTCGGAGGTGAAGACGGGGAGGACGGCTTTTTGATTGATTTGGGGGCTTAGTAGTAGTGGTGTTACATTTATTCCTCGGGGGTTTGTTTGGTGGGTTTAGTGGGGTTGATCTGGTTCGGGAGTTCAGAGTGAATAAATGAATGGTTGGGCGGTTGGTTCTTGGGATGCGTTAGGTAGGGATCGTTATAGAAGGTCTATAAAGTTATGTGAGCTTGGAGTCGGGAGTGGGGACATCACGGTCCGGGATCGGAGTTGGGGCCGAGGCGACGGACACTACGGTATAAGTACATGCAAGTCAACAACACAAGGTCATATTAGCGAGTTGAGATACCCCGTCTACTATCTGTCACGCATATCCAGAAAAATAACCAGTGGTAATAATCATTAATCATAATCAACCATCCAACACCGTCTTTAGAACCCCGAAAACACTCCATGCCAATTCCAACCAAGTCACCCAAGTCAAGATCTACGACTTCGGCGGCGGCGGTGACACCCACTGTCCGTCCTGCAACCAGACTCCAGCCTTTCCGTATTTGCCGGCTTCTGCTCCCTTGAGAAAAGCAAACCGGAAGAAGAGGTCTTCCGGCGTCGAGTCATCTTCCTGGACGACTAACTCCATGTCTACCGGGTCGCTCTCGATGGTTGGTCGGTGCTGCAGTTCCAGCCCGTTGTGTCCATGCCGGTGCCAGATAAACTCGCCACTCTGATCTTCGTCCAAGTAGCCACGCCAGCGTTCAACGTCGTTGACCAAGACCGAAATACCATCCACCCCCAGATCGTCCATTCGTTGCCGTTCCCACAGGCTGAACGTGATGTTGCCATTTCCGTGATGCCTTTCAGGGGAATCCGGGCCGGGAAGAGAGATGGAGACGGAGGCATCGTTGACGTTAGGGTAGGTGCCGCCCCACCATCCGTGCGCTCCACCGGGACCCGGGGCTTGTTCTCCCAAGGCCGCAGGCGTTTCAATGATCGAGGCAAATCCCCACCGAGCTATCCCGTTGATGAAAAGACCTAGGAGTAACCCTTGGTAGATCAAAGAGGGTCGAGTCGGGAAGGCCGTTCCCGGCATGAGGAGGATCGCGAGAATGTAATGATGAATCCTCAGGCGGAGACCTGGGAGTGGGAGCAAGATCAGCAGGATAAGACCCATAGTGCAATAGATCTTAAGATAGCGAGGCATTAAGCCCCCCATGCGGATTTGCCAGGCCTGGCTGAGAATGATACAGACCACAGTCGGAATCACCAGGGCCAGCGCGACCTTCGCTCCGGGCTGTTTCTGGATATCGTGGGGGGTGAGACGCTCCAGAGGGATCAGCCTAGCGAAAGTGTAGTTGTTCAGGCCGCCAATGAACGCGGGCGGCAAGTAGAGCAACGTCTTGGTCAACTGGTACATTGGCTCCGAAAGCGGGGTCAGTTGCGGCCGTGCGCAATACTTATACAGGACGAAGGCCACGAACGACGCCGGCAACAGTCGCGAAAACATGGTCGAGAAAAGGTCGGCAAACTGGGGAATCGATGGCGGATCGGAGACCAACCCCACCTGACAGAACAGCATCACAAAGGTGCTGAAGAACAGAATCGGTGGGGATGCGCAGAAGAGCCAGAGGAGGGCCACTGCACCAATGGTGATGCCTAGCAACGGCCAGCGGGGATCTTGAGGGCACGTCGCCTGCGACGAAGACAGCTCGACGAAGCTGAAGGATTTGGGAAAGGTCGACGGGAATCCGACCGAACGGATTCCGTGCTGCTTCGACGCATGGAAGGAATGCGCGGCACCATCCAGCTTCACCACGCCACAACCACCGACTGCGTTCGTGATGATACCCGCATGGATGGCCGCCTGGCAAACGAAGCTATCGGCTCGATAAACACCCGGCTCATCAGATCCGGGTTGTGGTCCTCCCACCACTAGTTCCTGGTAGCTGTATGTCTGATTCCCAACCATGTGAGGCTCGAGCAACTTGGAGTCTCGGCAGTTGGCGGGACACCGGAAGGCGATATTTGAAGCAGAGAATGGGCGGCAGTCATTTCCGTTGAGGCCACACTCATTGCCATGTGCCCTAGGAGCCATAAGATTAGCGATGACCAGTCGGGGATATCCAACAACAGCACTCACCACAAACTCGTCGAACAAGCAAGCGTCTGTGGTCGGCCATATCCTTCAATATACCCACTCTGTCGCGAATGCAGCAGAATGATTGTCCAGGGCAGAAACCAGACAAAATATAGCAGGGCCAGCAACGCAATCTTTTGCTTGCGCTTGGGGAAAAACCGTTCCAAAAGCCGAACCGGGAGTTCCTGGTACCGGGGGAACAATGGCTTCAAGAGCATGGACTGCGGGGGATTCGGACCCTTGACCCAGTCGGCGACCGCCCAGCCGACCTTCCGCAGAGGTAACGGCACCCATCCCCAGCGAATCGATTTGGATGACTCTCGTAGCCAGACGGGCAGGTAGGGGAGGCCGGTTTCCTCATCCTGAGGTAGGTCGGAAGTGTCGGGATCGGCGGGGCGAGCTTCAGTGTCCAGCAATGGCGGAATATATGGCCGGGAGCCGTCCTCGGGCCCTTCACCAAGCATGCTGCAGATATCTCGGAGCGAACAAATCGAGCCAGCGACAGACGAATGCAGGGAATCAGGGCGACGGACGTATCTAAGTGGGGGGGGTGCGAACGGAGGAGGGAACCTTAGGCTCGGTGTTCTAGAACCTAGCCAGTGAGAGACCCTTCGCAGCCAGCGGAAGGGTATCGCGGTCTCGAAACCAGAGCACGGGGGACGCTGGGAAACCAGTATAGGTAGGAATAGGGGGATCAGAAGAATAGACCGTCTGGGGAAGAAAGAGGCAAAGGAAGAGACGAGAGACAACAGAGGCGCCTGTTAAGGTTTCCCAGGCAGAGCCGGGGATTCCAGGTCACCCGCCGAGTGGCCGAGTGGCGCCTGGCACCAATCACTGCCGCTTATGTCAGCCCTCCCTCCGCGTGGTTCCTGCGCGGATTTTCAGGGGACAAAGCCGACCGGTGGCGAGAGCGCCAGCAGTCGGGCCCCGAGGGGAGATGCCGTCCGCTGACTGGTGGCGGGGTGGTCAGGCATCGGTGAGATGGCGATCGGGAGAGAGCGCTGAGGGGATGGAAGGATGGGAGGAGGAAGAGAGGTGGGAGATGGGAAGGTGGGCAACTGCGGGCAATGGCCAGGTTCGCTAAGGCAGCTACTAGTACAACTCCAGTCAACCATGATACTGTACCGCTTCACAGCCCGTGGTGCCACCACATCCACCCTGTCCGTGAGGAATTTGGCTGGACTATTTATCGCTTATACCATTCTCATTTGCATTAAATCGAATACAGGATATCAAGATATCAAACACAGCGAACCTGACACGAACCCCAGGCAAACCAAACCAAACCAGGGGTGATCTAGATTATATACACACATTTCACAAAACTGTAGACCTATAGACAGACACACTGCGCCTTCCCGGAATCGCCCAGAACCCAATCCTGCAGGAGTCGCAAGCCATTAAACCGAATCATTTCCGACACAACCCTCGGACCACTGACTTAGCCCCCAATGACCATCCAGGCGATCATGCCTCCCCACATGCCCACGAACGCAATGGTCAGGATGGAGGCGCCCGCCTTGTCTCCCGTAGTGATCGCGGATAGGCTGTCTGAGTCGGACCCGGTATTATCGCCCGTGCCGGCGTTCGGGTCACTGGTACTGTTTCCTCCCGTACTCGAGGTCACGGGGGCGGTCTTCTTGGTGTTGACTAAAGCGGAGGACAGGACATTGGTGACGGCGATTTCCTCCTCCATTCCATTCCATCCATCCCACTTTTTCGGGTACCAGCGCACACCACAAGTGTTGTTGTTCATTCCGGTGCAGGAGGCTGCGGCGGCTACTGCAGACCCCTGCAGCTTCGGCAGAATGGTATCGTACGTCGACGGAACAACCAGAGCCACAAATCCAAGCCACCCGGTGACGAGACCCTTGAAGAGAATTTCATTGTCGTTACACACCTCGGCCGGTTCGCAGAGAACCTCCGACATGATGTTTCCACCGTATGACGCCGGGAAGAATGTGTCGAGTGTCACGTTCAGGAGGCCGTCCACCGCGGTCTTCCATTTCGCCTTTCCAGTCTGCGATTGACATTTGATCAGCTTCAGTGCCTACACCACGGATCCGAATTCCTTACATAGTTGTACATGTATGCGGCCCCCATCAAGAACGTGCCGTAGTTGTAAGACCACTGGTTGTTACCCTGAGTCGTGCAACCATTATCGACGTCGGTCGAGTCGGCAACATTCCATGTCTGGTTGTTCAGCAATGGAGTCGAGGCAGCCCAATCAAAGATTGTCTCCGCCCAGTCGGCGTAGGTGTCGTTAGATGTGTACCGGGCCAGGCGGGCTGCGAGCTGGAACAGGCCTCCGTTGGAGATGGAGTTCTTCATATCATAACCGGCTTCGTAGGGCCAGATCTGCCAGCGCAGACCACCGCCACAAGTCTTGGTGTCCCATCGATCGATTTGGGTGTTGTAGACGCCCTGGGCCAAGGCGAGCCAGGAATATCCGGAGGAGCTATCGGCGAATTCGATCTCGGCGGCGGTCATGGCAGCAAGACCCCAGAACATTTGATCATCGTTACCCTAGAAGAGGCCATATGGGTTAGGCAAATGCACACAGACCGCACCCCCTAGCTATGCATCACTTACCAAGTAACTACTGTAGTTGTTGGGCATGTAATCGCAATCACCGGCCTGCCATTGCATGCCTTGCCTGACCTCGGCATTGTAGGTACTGTCTCCGGTGTAATACCAGTAGAGGAGCAAACTCATGAACAGGGCACTACCCTCCCACCACTTAGTGGGGAAGGCGCCGGGAATTTGGCCGGTTTCGTTTCCATGATACCAGGTCATGGACCCGTAGGCTGACTGACTGGCGGCATCTTTGAGGGAACCTAGAAAGATAATGATCACGATTGATCAGTCCCTGGTATACAATACTCACTCCCGGCAAAAAATAATAGGAGAGAGACACAGCGTTAGGAAATCCAACAAGGTGTTTGGAATGGAGGGGGCAGGAATGTGGGAGGGGACGGCGGAGACAGGGACCGGAAAGCAAGGGAACGGCAGAGATAGGGGAAGGGAAGCATACTGGTACTGCTAATGTCGAGGTCGATGGCGCGGGAGAGCTGGGAAAAGAGAATGGTGTTAAGGAACAACCCCCCATGGAGAAAATCTCGAAATAGGCGCATGACGGAATATGGGGGGTGGGTGCAAAACGAGTGTGGAAGTGAGGGTCGGTCAAGACTGGCCAGCAGGAACAGATGGGGAAGAACGAGAGAAGTCAGGATGGCATGGAAACACTAAGCAGCAGCAGCAGGCCAGCAGCACAGCATCTGGACTGCAGAAATGGGCCGGGGATGGCTAATCCGGCCAGGCCGTCGCCTATTTTTATTGTCGTTTCCCACTTCTTCGGGCGGGAAATGAGCCAACCATCGGCTCCGGTGGAGCTGGCCCCGTCCACGTCAGCCTCGTGCAATCACTGGCCGCGAGCCCCCATTATTCTGCGCACCAACTTCGATGGTGCGACAGGGTCCCCCTCCGACCCAGGAGCTAGATATGTATCTACTCCCGCAGCTGTTGGTCCCTGAGTTATCATTGCATGGTGTAAGCAAGCCAAAAGCGCGGTGCTCCGCCTGATGGCGGCGGTACGAATACGGCGAGTCGGCGACAAACAAGATCTCCGTGCGGATTGTCCCTGGAACAAAGGTTTATTGAGAAGCGGGTACCATGGATGGACGGCATGGCGGCAGTTGTTTGACTTAGCCTCCTCCAGGTTGCAAGTTGCACGTCGATATGGACGACGCCATTCTATCTTAAGCTTTTCTGCCCAGCATTGCCAACCATCCCAAGCAATCATGGCATTCGGCCTGTCACACCGGGCCTTGATCTTGGCTAAAACAGATCAGCGGATCGATTCGGGGGCCCCCCTTGCGGGTGTCACTCCCCAGGTCCATGCGACGGACCAAGGTCATTCCGAAGCCACCTTCAGTCTGGACCAAAAGTTGTAAGTAAGACACTGCTTGCTTTCTATCGACCTGATGTCCCCTATTTCTCGCCCCCACCGGAAAGGGTTAAGCCAGAGTTAGACTGTGGATCGACAGCCGTCTCCCCCGCAAGGGTTACAAACTCCTGCTGCTGCCTGCTCGAACGGGAAGCATTGCGTACCATGGCCCCTGGAGCCGCAGGGTCCACCTGAGATGAGATTCTTTGACCAGTGTTGCTTAGAGTACACCGTTATCGGCCTGTCATCAAGGCAGTGTCTATGAAAGAACAACAAGATATCAAAATAAAAAGCGGGACAAGTATTTGAATGCGCTTTGACTCCATTATGTTGCGTAAGTGCGTCTCCGGTTCTTCCGATCAACCCCGGGATTCGTTGACGTGACGTAGGGATCGCTCCAGGTAACATAAACTTGCCAAAACCATGGCAGAGAGAGATAGATAAGGTCGTGGACAGATCAAGAGTGTCTATCTCCTACTATAGTAGGTGATGGCATATTGATCTTATGACGATTGCTGCTCATCTGACCATTTGTATAGAAGTTAGACCCTGTCAGTATTGCGGTGATCCAAGTTTCTACCTTGTCATGACCTATTAATAGCAACAGTTCCGAAAGAAAGTTTCTTGAGGGATGAGGCGTATCTAGTGCTTATGGCGACTCAACGAGTCAACTCAGCTTAGGAGGGTGACTAGTATCTGCAAAATAGTTCAGCGACAGGCAATAGCGCAAAAGATTCCCTCTGGCATGCCGTATTCTTGGCGGAGTGTGACTCCGGAAAGGCAGGAGAGCCACCCACGCACGTCCGCTCGGCCCAGATCACGTGGGTCCCCCGCGACGGGGCTAGCCGGGATTCCTCCGATTGCGGCGCCCGCTAAGCGGATGTTTTTCTCAAGCCAGCAGCAACTCTTTCTCTTTGCATCCCCTTCTGCACGATATTCACAATGGCTGCTGCTGCTAGAACGCTTCGCATAGGTCAATTGCTCCTCTCCCAATCCTTGGATTCTTCCCCTTGTTTTCCTAGCCACTGACATCTTCTCTCCTACAGGTCTCATCCCCGGTGACGGCATCGGCCGAGAGGTCATCCCGGTGAGTCAACCACTGAACAGCTCCCTGTCCAAGGTCAATTTCTAACCCAATCGCTATCCCAGGCCGGTCGGCGGGTTCTGGAGTCCCTCCCCTCTTCTCTGAACCTGAAGTTCAGCTTCGTCGACCTCGATGCCGGCTTCGACACCTTCAAGCGCACCGGTAGTGCCCTCCCCGACACCACCGTCGAGACCCTCAAGAAGGAGTGCGATGGTGCCCTGTTCGGAGCTGTCAGGTAAGCCAACCTCCTATCCCCCGATCCAATATGCCTTCTAACCCATCCCTCTCCAGCTCCCCCAGCACCAAGGTCGCCGGCTACTCCTCCCCCATCGTAGCCCTCCGCAAGAAGCTGGACCTCTACGCCAACGTCCGCCCGGTCAAGACCACCGCCGGCAGCGCCAACGGCAAGCCCATCGACCTGGTCATCGTCCGTGAGAACACCGAGGACCTCTACGTGAAGGAGGAGCAGACCAAGGACACTCCCAACGGCAAGGTCGCCGAAGCCATTAAGCGCATTTCCGAGAATGCCTCTTCTCGCATCTCCACCATCGCCGGTGAGATCGCTCTTCGCCGTCAGAAGATCCGCGATGTGGCTGCCGTTTCCGGTCTCCGCACCAAGCCCATGGTGACCATCACCCACAAGTCCAACGTTCTCTCCCAGACCGATGGTCTCTTCCGTGAGACCGCCCGCAAGGCCCTCTCTGCTGCCCGCTTCTCCTCCGTCGAGGTCGAGGAGCAGATCGTCGACTCCATGGTGTACAAGCTCTTCCGTCAGCCCGAGTACTACGACGTCATTGTCGCCCCCAACTTGTACGGTGACATTCTGTCCGACGGTGCTGCTGCTCTGGTTGGTAGCTTGGGCCTGGTGCCCAGCGCCAACGTCGGTGATGGCTTCGCCATCGGTGAGCCCTGCCACGGCAGTGCCCCCGATATCGAGGGCAAGGGCATCGCCAACCCCATCGCCACTCTGCGCAGTGTTGCCCTGATGCTGGAGTTCCTCGGCGAGGAGACTGCCGCTGCCAAGATCTACACCGCCGTCGATGCTAACCTCGACGAGGCCCGTTTCCTTTCCCCTGATATGGGTGGCAAGGCCACTACCCAGGAGGTTCTGGATGATGTCCTCAAGAGACTGTAAAGAGTTCTTCCTTTCTCTCCTAAACGAAAATGTATATGTATATGTACGGGGTGAATGCAAAAATAGACTCTAGAATGAGTTGCAAAATTATTACTACATAGTTCCAGTATCTTGTTTTTTCTTTCTTCCCCTTAGAAAGGCATATAGTCCCCTATAACCTCCAGCATCAAGATTGATAGTACCAAGAGTGCAACTGCCATCCCACTTCTCAGTCAATCAACATTGACTCACAACATAACCATACTAAGACAACTAGCACAGAAATCATAATGTGCCTGGATCACAAACCCGTTGGTAACAAGGAGAGAAAAACAAGGAAAAGGACGACCGAGTATATCTTCTTCACATACAAGGATTGACCAGCACCCAGCTGTAGGTTTTGGTCTAGTTGGCAAGTCATATGACTGCTTAGAAGGTTGATATATTAATTAGGGCCATTGTAATCGGCAGTTCTTTTAAGCGCTGCGTTTATTTTCGCCGTCAGTGAATTTTCCAACGCGATCTATCTATGAAGAATATACTTTTTTATATAACATAAGAAAGGGATTCCCAGGAGAGGAGGGAATAAACGAGTGACTGTCATCTAGGCATACCTCAACGGTTTTCCTCTATCACCTGATGAAAATCTCTCCGGACGGTGATAGCATTACCCGGCATGGTGTCCAGACGCACTATTTCTGTTCCCGTCTCCATGTCTACTACCTTCTGGACGGTGAAATCCGCCGAGCTCTTGCTAGAAAGATGGTTGTCATTCGACGAGTTCCCGTTCTGCAGTTGAATCCACTGCTCACTGCCGGTGTCGCTAAGGCGATGGCGACGAGGACGGGAGCGGGAGGCGAAGCTTTTGGACTCATGACCATACGGCAGACGGGGCGCGGGGCTTCCTCCCGTCCGACTGGTGACTTTCTGGGCGGCTTGTTAAAACAGGCGGTAGATGATGAGGAGGTTGGCGCAGAGAATTCCGCCGAGCGATTCGAAACCGGTTAGGACGCCGAGGTCGACACCGTCCCCTGGTGTTGTGAGGTTAGTTGATACGGATTTGGGATGGAGGAATAGAGTCGAACCTACAGGTGACGTCTGAGGATGTCTGGGCAAAGACGAAGGCTAGACGAGCAGCGCTGATTCCGCAGGTCCTATGGAGAATTTTGGTGTTAGGATTGGTCTGAGGAGAGAGAAAGGATGTGGAGAAAAGGCTCACACGAATCCAATTGAGAAGATAATGCAGAGCGCAATTTTGTTGCTTCGAGTTGTACGGAGTCGCACAATGACTCCAATTGGTAGGGCAAATATGACAATGTCGGTAACCATGTTGAAGGTGTTCACGTAGTATGACAGGGCACTGGAGTTGAAGCAATGGCCTTTGACACTGGCGTTCCAGAAAGCCTCCAGAGGCCGACAAAGTAGGCCCATGAAGATCTCAATGGTCGCAATCCAGAGGCAGACAAAAGCACCACAGTCGATTACCGTTTTGCGGAACCATGGGATGGCGAAAATGCGATAATACAAGGTGAGGATGCCGAGTTTGACACTGGCAAGGCCTACATTGTAGAGGTGACTGGCGATGTAATCAGCCTGCATCTGGGTCAGTTCTTGTGAGCGAGGTGAAGGGGTCTGTGGTCAAATTGTACCTTCAAAAAGGCCTCCTTCTCGCTAGTTGTGAGGGTCGAAGCATGTTTTCCAAAACCGTTTCCCACGCCTAGGCATATTAGCTGAATGTTAGTCAAAGACACAAGAAGATTCGACATACCGCCGGATAGCATAATGATGCTGTACGCTACCTCCAGCCCCTAACCAAGGACAACAAAGATCATCAGTACTAGGCGGGTCTAGTCAAGGATTGGAGGCAAACAGACCGTGGCCAGAGTGATAAGGTAGTCATCTACATGCAACCGATCTTCCGATAGACCGCGAGCTTTGACGACGAATCGTAAACCGGTGCTCAACACCATGCAGATGATGGGGACGGTGTATCCCGCAATCACCACAGGCACCCTCGAGGCTGTCTCCTCGAGCTCGTCATACCAGCTTACATACTATATAACGGACAGTGTACCGACAGAGATGGGAACCCGTCACGTTCTGGTCGGTCTAGGTCGGTTTATAGGGCCCTGCATCTTGGTTTGAGCTTGCAAACCCTTTACATCTGCCCCGGCCCCTAGATAGGGGTTATCTGGGAACCAGATCCTGCCAATAAACTAGTGGCGAGGCGTACCGAGTTGGGGCAGGGGGGGCACATGAAATCGAGTTACCGCCGGTGGCACGTAATAATGAATGGAGAGTGTTGTTCCAGGTGTTTCACCCATTTATCCAACTGACAGGAAGGGAGGAAGACTGTTGGCTGACAGATCGGCCCTGCCGGCCTTTAGGGCAACAGGGTAGCCTTCTTAGCGCCCAATTTGGACTCCCGTAGGACGCCCGTAGCGCTAAGAGATGGAGGGACCTTCGCCACAAGGAACCAGTACGGCGGGCATTAGCGGCCATCGGGCAATAATGATTTCTTGGTGTTTACTGCCGGCAGAATGAGTAGGAAGTCTGATTGGATCGCGCGTACCTTATCTAACATACCTATCTATAGTTAACTATAAAGCTGTACGTATATTATTAGATGACTTGCTTAGCTTTGCTATACAGATAGCTACTAGTCCCACAAAGAGGGCCTGTTAGGTCCCTGTCTTATACAGCAGAGTCTGTATTATCTATAAGTCCTGTTCAAACCTTATCCCGTACAGTATATAGAATCTCTGTATCAGAGAGACATCGCTTAAAGAATAACTTCTTAATCTGATTATATAGAGAAAAATCAGTAATAACTATATAATTACACTTGCTCACAGACTCGTACGTGGTATTTGGCTTTAATAGTAGATAGCCAGTTAGTTGGTAGGCGAGTGCATCACGTGTCTGATTATATTAACCGTTGTATTATTATTTTTTATCCAGATAGCTAGTTAGTCAGTAAGCAAGCGCGTTACGTGTTTTTATCCCGTGTAAATAGAAGCCCTTCTAGTTAGTTACTAATATCACTTGTTTTCTTCGGCTTCGTGTCTCTAATAAATAGTAGAAGTAATATTGCTTGTAGATTAATCCTGATAGAATACATTATTAACTTCAGCCTTATACGGCTCAAGGTCAATGGTTGGACATACTATGATCAACACCATGATTAACAAATAAAGCACTGTACGTAGAGTAATGATAAGCAGTATCTAGCGGTGAGGTCAGCGGTGAGCATACTTCAACACAAAAATTCATTATGGCCTGATGGCCGCTAATGCCCGCCGTAAGCCAGTCACCACTCCCCAAGCCTGTCGGGCCCACAACATTATACTCGACAATTAGCTTCCTTGCCATCGTTCAATAGCCCCATTTGGACAAACTAGGCATCCGTACGGAGTAGGTAGCTAGGTAGCTAGGTAATGGGAACGGGACGGAATCGCCGTGCCCCCATCCCTCCACTTCGGTGTCCCCCTCCATTCTCCCCCGAGGTCAGCTCAGCCCACTCGAGATTCCAAGTCTCTCCCCCTCGCTCCCTTCTCTCCAGAAGGAGCTATCCTGGCGGTGAGCAAAGCAGTAAAGACATGATTGATACTCAACATGTTCCTCTCGTGGTCGTTGAACCCTGACACTGACCCTGCCACTCCGTCCGAGTCAGATTCGTCGCCTCCGAAGGCGCCCCAACCCAGTCCTCGGTCCCGCAGCGGCTGTCTAACATGTCGTCGGAGACGGGTCAAATGCGACGGTGCGTCTTGTGCATTGCCTGTGTTGCTCTCCCTTCTCCCGAGATTGGAGGGCCCCCCCATACCCCTTTTCCGAGGTCGCACACGACAAGTTTTTGGCGATTGTAAAGCTCATTCATAGGGACATTCAGAAGCTCATCCAGTATGCATGCGCTGCCAACGGTCGCAGAATCACTGCAAATATGGACCCCGCTTTCAATGGCAGGATGGTTTGCGCGCAGCGGGGAAGTGCCGCGGACGAACCGGGATCGGCTCAAGAAAAAGTTCGCTGCAATGCAAGCAATCCGAAGAGGACAGCCTTTCACGTTCGACACGGGCCGAACAAAAAGATCGCCCTGATAACGATGGGGAATCCGCGTTGATCCTCACCCCACCCTCTTCGCACAGTCCACTGCGGGCCGCCACGTCAAACTACGTCTCCAATCCAACGGAAAACAGTTATCGGGGTCGCTATTATTATTGGAAAGAGAGTAAGGCTCAATCGCCCGGGACCTCGCTTCAGGTGCTGCCATGGAGCATCGGCGTACCCGACGTCGACAATGTATGTCTGTCATTCTATGAATCGGTGATGTGCAATGTTGCCGTCACCGTCGACGACGAGTACACCAATCCTCTCCGCAATACGGTGATGCGCATGATATTTCGGTCCGAACTGACCTATTACTCTGTTCTCATGGCCAGTGCGCAGTATCTGCGATCCTTTGAGAGCCGCTTCGATCTTCTAGAAATGCAGGTCCGGCAGAAGGTACTTGGGGGGTTGCGTCGAGCATTGACGAAAAGTTGCTTGGCTTTGGAGGATGTGTTGCTGCCAACTATATTTCTCTGCTCTTCAGCTGTATGTGTCTTTATGGTCAAGGTATCGTATCGTTAGTACTGACACGTGTCAGATCTCCCACAGCTGTGATGCCACATGGGTTCGCCATCTGACCTGCTTCCAACTAGTCATTAAGCAGAAAATCCGGGGACACACACCAACCTATGTCCCACAATTTTTCCTGAGCTACTTCTCTGCACACCTAGTGCTGGCCAAGTCGCTCTTTCCCATAGACAAGGCACTCGCTGATGTAGACGTGTGGGGCGACCCGTCATCGCCAGTATATGCAAAAGGAGCCCCCTGGACCTCCTCGCAGGTACTATCCAAGGTGATGAGGCCCGAAACGCTTCATGAAATCAACATGTGGAATGGCATGAGTAATCAGATGCTCCTGCTGATCAATGATATTCTAAGCCTCAAGAATGACGTTCAGGCATTGCAAGAGCAGGACACGTTGCTCGAAGGGAAGCGAACCGCTATCGAGGCCAAAATTATCACCTTGCACAGTAGCCTCCGAACCACCACACATCTGCTCCCGGAGTCTCTGCGTCAATTTCACGACTCCGCGGAGGGTTTGCATAGGTGTCGTCTTCTCGAATACACCAGCGAAGCATATCGTCTCGCCGCATGTCTGCTCCTGTCAGAGGCGTCAACTCCGGCTTTCCTCGGTTATACGAGCTCGCTCGAACTGGGGTTTGATTCAATGCGAAAGCAACGACACATAGATTCGACTTTGTCTCTGATAGAATCCATCGTCTACTCTCTGGACTATCTCCCAATCTCTTGGCCTTTATGGGCCCTCTTCATTGCCTCATGCTGCTGTACGTCTGAGCTCGAGAAAACACGGGCCCTGGCGTTGTTCCATGCGGCACAGGGAAAAGCTCCGTATGAGAATACGATACGGGCACAGACAGTAGTGAGCCTGCTGTGGCAGCGACGCGAGTTGCATGAGGAGAGGGAGAGAAAGCGGAACGGTCGGTTTGAGTGGGAGTCGGTGATGGAGTTTCTGGGGTGGCAGACGAGCTTCGCTTAAGGGGGGCGTCACCTGATTCACTCCCTCGCGGTTTCCAGCTGCACTAGTTTTATACCCAAAGGCATTATATTATGTATCCGACTTTTAATCCTGAAATGTGAAATATACTATCTTCCAGTAACCTTCGCCTATAAATAATGCCGTCTACAGGCAGTACCGGTAGTTCTCGTTCTGCCAATCCGACATGTCGCCTGTCCCACTCTGCTCCGAGTACGACCCAACGGCATCTTCCAGCTCGGGAGACTCGGGCTCAATCGTCCGGCCCTGCTTGCTATCTCTCCGCTTATTCTCCCACATCATGTACGCCTGCAGCGCGATCACATCGACGATTCCAATGCAGAAGCACGTGAGAATAGCTGCAAACGCAGTCTAGATATCCACCATCAGCCGCTTGATCACGACACACAGGAAAGCAAAGAAAAGGGCAAAGGAGAGAAACATACCTGATACCTTGGTGCCTCATTGGTCTTGAAGAGCTGCGGGCCAGCAATATTGCCCACACAGTACCCAATGAACAGAATGGCCGTGACAGCACTCTTCTTTGTGAACCCGGCAAAGTTACTCGAGATCAAACTCAGACTGAGTGGCCATCCTGCACCGAAGACACTGGCGAGCCAGACGCCAACCAAACGGCCCCATTTCTTATGCGTAGGAAGCTGTCGCATGAGCAGGATACCGAGTAAGCTGACCAAGAGCGTGATGATCATCCAGTAACAGCGGAGGCCGCGGAAACGGTTGCATGAGTACGCGCTGAGGAGGAGGAAAAAGAGGGCAACGACGGCCATGGGGATGGTGTAAAGAAGAGTATTGAAAGTGTCGAAGCCGAAGGATTCGATGACTAGGCTGGAGAACTACGTGGTCTGTTAGAGCTGATTTCTCTCTCTCTCTCTGTCTGTCTGTTGGAGGGTAGGGTTGGAGGGGCACTTACGTTGGTAATCCCTCCGTTTGGTAAGGAGACCATGAAGTTGTAGATGAACAGAAACCATGTCTTCGGGTCCAGCCATGCTTCGATGAATTGGTCTTTCTTCCATTCGCGGCTCTGATAGCTCTTTTGGCATGCTTGTGCGCGACGGTAGGCGGGTTCGCGCTGGTTTGGCTGGAGGAACTTGGCATTGCGGGGGGGAGTCGGGTAGAACAAAGAATAAAAAGATTGACCATGCTAGGGTAATCAAGCCGAAGATGATGAAGAGCCATTGCCATGGTCCCAATCTATCCTCGACGTGCCCAATGGCGTAAGCGAGGACACCGCCGAAAATTGCAGCCACGCCGTTGCCTGAGCATGGCAGGTTAAGACTATAGCCCAAAGGATCCTGGTCCGTCAATCGATTGTCATTTGGAGCGGAGAGGGTGGTCGCAGCGTACATAATAATAGAGAGGTATTTTCCGAGGGGAAATTTGACAAACCCCAGGGAGACGGGATAGGACGCGACTAGGTAGCCAAAGTAGAAGGCACTTGAGGTCCAGGAGTATAGGTCTGTGGTCATATGCTATAGTGCATGCGAAGGTCAGAAAGGGTCGAAGGGTCTGCAGGATCGCAACATACCGTGCCAGTCAAAAGGCCCAGAATAGATGCGTATGACAGTGTGGTCTTGTCAAGATATTGTAGCAAGTATGAGAAGAACATCAGTGGAAGGAGGCAAAGATCAATGCGGCGGATAATGGCTTTTTCTTCCATCTCCGACAGAGGTTGAACAGAGTCATTGGAGCCTTTGGAAAAGCTTCTCTCGTCCTCCGTCGGTAGAGTGGTGGTGGTATCTGAGGCGGCCATGTTGGGAGAATGCTTGTGAGGGACACCTTGCCAGGACGAGGGGAGGGGCAGCAGAAGAAGAACCGGGTCTCTCTTTAACTTCCGATCAAGAAGCCAACCATACTCCTGTGCTGCAGGGGAGCACGGTCTCGACCTGAGATTAATTTGCGAGCACCATCTGGCGCTGCGCCGTTAGGGCTATGGGGCCCCGCCGCTGCCGAGGCTTGTGTCGGCCGGTGCCTTGCCATCCCGGCTAGCCGCGTCCTTAGGCCCTCGACGGCGCGATACTAAAGTCATCGCCGAGGGCCGTATTCCAAGACCGACCATCTACGGCGCGCACAGCGCCATCAGCATGACAGCAGGCCACGGCGACGTTCACGGCGTGAATCTCGAGGGATTGCGAGACTTGTGTACGCATGGCCTGCCGTTGACCATCGCAGACGGGGTGCCGGAATGCCTGCAGGCCGTACGCAAACAGCTGCGACATGGTGCACGTGTCATCAAATTCTGCGCCAGCGGCGGCGTAGTGAGCGCTATAGACGACCCGCAGCATCAGGAGTTTTCTTTCGAGGAACTGAAAGCGATTGTTGACGAGGCGGCGCGGGCGAGACGTGTTGTGGCCGCCCATTGCCACGGAAAAGCCGGCATCATGAATGCTCTCCGTGCGGGATGCCGCACGATCGGGCATGGCAGCTACTTGGATGAGGAGGCGGTCGATCTGATGCTCGAAAAGGGCGCCATGTTGGTGGCAACACGCAGTGTCATTGAGAGCGGGCTGGCGATGCGTGATCTCTTTACGCCCGGATCTTACCAGAAGTTGCTGGAGGTGGCTGACACACATAAAAGGGCATATCAATTAGTGGTCAAACGCGGTGTGCCCATCGCTCTGGGAACCGATCAATTTATCAGTTCAGATAATCCGGCGCTGGGGTATGGACGCAATGGCAAGGAACTGGTATATGCGGTCGCGGCAGGCATGACACCCTTGGCTGCGATCGAAGCTGCTACCGCCAATGGACCATTAATAATTGGTGACCAGGCACCGAAGAGTGGTCAGCTGAGGGAAGGATTTGACGCGGATATTATTGCACTGTCGGCAAATCCGCTCGAGAATATAACGGTGGTTTCTGATGCGAAGAATGTCACGCACGTCTGGCGATGTGGCAAGCTAGTCAAATCATGATCCCACTGGGGATATAATAATGATGATGATAATTTTTAATCAAGACCTCGGGATTTAGCCTACTCCAGTTTGCTGTTCATCTCTAAATTGTAGAGGGAGCAACGGCATTTTTTCGTGCGACCAAGACCCATTCAAACTTCGATTGCAGGGAGAGGGGATATGCATGTTTTTTTTTTCCTTGTAGGGCACCAGGAACGCCTGACAGACTCGAGGTCTTGCCCCTTTCTGACACAGTATACCATAGGCTTCCCTTTCCACCCCGTATTGCCTCGGGGCGACAGGACCTTTCTATGTCAAGTTCAGCTTGCCCAGCCGTACCCAAGGTCTACACTATTGCACCAAGCTTTGAAATCAGACCATGTCAGAAGTATCATCAGAGGTTGGCTATCGAAGCCCGTCGGTGCGTACCATTGTCCCTTTATCTGATCCTGGGTTAGAAGTCGAGAGCTCTTCGAACAGCTCAGCCGTACGGAGCAGAAGCACTTACTTGGACATAGACATATATATAGGCGCTTGATGAGAGGATAAAAGGTACGAGTAAGACTCGACTTGGGGGGAATGAGATATTTTGTGGAGGGGAAGAGAAAGGAGGGTGAATGGAAAGGGAGGCTCCAACTCGACTCCGCCAGGAACTTTTCTTTCCCTCACTCCGGCCACTTCTTCCTTCATCCTCACCACCCTGGATCTCTCACCGACTCCTCAGCCCCTGTTCCATCCACTGGCAAATTATAGCCATCCAAGAGCCTCCCAAACTCGAGCAGCGTCCCTCCGGAATCAGAACTCTCGCCCCGTTAGATAATGGACACTGGGTCTACCTCGGTGGAAAGCAGATAACGCCGGGAGGAATCAAGAGTGTCTCGACTCTCGAGATCGCTTATGCAGGCCCAGTGTGTCATATCTATGTTTATCAGGGCACTTGTGGGCTAGCCAAGGTCATCGATGGTCTGGACGTCCTGAAAATATGGATCGCCTGGATGGCCGGATAAACCGGCAACGCTCCAGATGGGAGACGCCCGGCTATCCAGGCCGCAACATCAACCCTGAATTGGTCCTCCTCAACCTCGATTGTCTCACATGCATCAGCAGTCAATCTCAACAGATGTCTACGACTATGTGAGCCCCATCGCAGTCATGGGGTAGGGTCTACATGGTTTGTCTGTTGCATTCAGCTGACAGTGCATCCTCGCCACCGTTAATTCTCAAAAACCTATCATGGCAACTTCAATCTAATCGTCGCTGCGTCAGAGCAAAAGAAAAATAACACAATGATCCTCCCAAGGTTCCTAGAGGGTAGTCCCACTCAGCGAACGTGGATTCGGTGCCATCATCCCATCTACTATGAAACATTCAGTGGAGCAAATCACCGCTGCCAATGCGCGCTATATTGCCATTTCAGGAAGATGATGGTAGCCGATCATCCGTCCAGCCTAGGGAACAAGATGCGACACCTCGGTATTAGTGAACGGCTGATGGACGGTTCACATAGCCGCATAGTCTCTATTGCTGTCAAACTCCACTCACGGCTACTCGGCTCACCAAGAAATTGGGTTTTGACGTACAACATCACCAATCAATCGTTCGCTCTAGAAGCCCCTGAAGGGTCCATTAATCATATAAGGAGCTGTACCACGATCACAACTTGGGTCCTGTGTGATACAGATGGGGATTCTCTTCAGTCCTACCTGTCTCATTTAGCTATCTGGAATTTTTACCATGAAGTCTTCCGAGTTACCTAACCCAGAACGAAAGAGTCTCGATACCCTGAATGTCCCGCATACTATTGTCCGGGAGGCCACAAGTGCGGAAACCCTGACTGTTCCTCATGCAGGCATCGCCTCTCCTCCTGGCAAAGATGCGGAATGGAGCATGACCCCGCAGGTTATCCGAAGCCAGGAACGTGAGGTTGCGGCTGGCTTCAAGAGGCGAGAGCTAGGTGTGACCTGGGAGAACCTCAGCGTGGAGGTTCCCGCGGCGGAAGCGGCAGTCAACGAGAACTTGTTTTCCCAGTTCAACTTGCCCCAACGGATCCGAGGCATTGGTCGTAAACCGCCTTTGAAGTCAATTTTGACGGAAAGCCACGGTTGTGTTAAGCCGGGTGAAATGCTCCTCGTCTTGGGGCGCCCGGGTTCGGGATGCACGACTCTCCTCAATCTCCTCTCCAATCGCCGCCTTGGTTACCACACCATCCAGGGGAACGTCTGGTTTGGGGACATGACCCATGAAGAAGTGGCTCAATATCGGAGCCATATCGTGATGAACACCGAAGAGGAATTATTTTACCCCCGTTTAACCGTTGGCCAGACCATGGACTTCGCCACTCGACTGAAAGTTCCCGCTCACCTTCCAGATGGTGTCAAGTCAGTGGAAGAATACACCGCCAAAACCAAGAAGTTCCTCCTGGAGTCAATGGGTATTTCACATACCGCCGATACTAAGGTGGGAAACGAGTTTGTGCGGGGCGTGTCAGGAGGAGAACGAAAGCGAGTATCAATTATCGAATGCCTGGCAACAAGGGGATCAGTCTTCGCCTGGGATAATAGTACTCGCGGTCTTGATGCTAGTACGGCGTTGGAGTGGGCTAAAGCTTTACGAGCGATGACCAACGTTCTCGGACTCACCACAATAGTGACCCTGTATCAGGCGGGGAACGGAATTTACAACCTCTTTGACAAGGTTCTCGTCTTGGACGAGGGAAAGCAGATCTTCTATGGTCCTGCAGCTGCAGCGAAGCCATTCATGGAGAACCTAGGATTCGTCTATACAGATGGAGCTAATATCGGTTTGTATCCCTACTCCACTGTCTTCCGAACAGCGACTAATCCCGAGGGTTCTAGGCGACTTCCTGACAGGCGTGACCGTCCCTACTGAGAGGAAGATCAAGCCAGGCTATGAAAATAGGTTTCCTAGGAATGCCGATGCTATTTTGGCGGAGTATAAGAAATCGGCTGTTTACAGCAACATGATAGCCGCATATGATTATCCCACGACCACGGTTGCTCATGAACGGACGGGGGCGTTCAAGGAGTCTGTTGCGTTTGGAAAGACTACCCATCAGCCGAAGAATAGTCCGTTTACGACGAGCTTCGGGACTCAGGTCATAGCATGCACGCGGCGCCAATACCAGATCCTGTGGGGTGAGAAATCTACATTTTTGATCAAGCAGATTCTGTCCCTGGTTATGGCCTTGATCGCCGGCTCCTGTTTCTACAACGCCCCACAAACCTCCGCTGGCCTTTTCACCAAAGGAGGTGCTGTCTTCTTCTCGCTTCTGTATAGTACCATTGTTGCCATGTCTGAGGTTACGGAATCTTTCAAGGGGCGACCTGTGCTTGTGAAGCATAAATCATTTGCTTTCTACCACCCAGCTGCATTCTGCCTAGCCCAGATCACGGCAGACTTTCCGGTGCTGCTATTTCAGTGCACGATCTTTGCAGTCGTGATATACTGGATGGTTGGATTAAAGGCCACTGCTGCAGCCTTCTTTACCTTCTGGATCATCCTTTTTAGCACAATTTTGGTGAGTCACCATCAGGCCTACACGCCACTCTGTTCCCTCACTAATCTGATGCAGTGTATTACAGCATTGTTTAGATGCATCGGAGCGGCCTTTAGTACCTTTGAAGCTGCATCAAAAATCTCTGGCACTGCTATAAAGGGCATCGTGATGTATGCTGGCTACATGATCCCCAAGCCCAAAGTCAAGAACTGGTTCCTGGAGCTGTACTACACCAACCCTATGGCCTATGCTTTTCAAGCTGCCCTGTCTAATGAATTCCATGACCAGCACATTCCATGTGTTGGCAATAACTTGGTTCCGCATGGGCCTGGATATGAGGATGCTGACTCTGCCAACAAAGCGTGTACCGGTGTGGGTGGTAGTCTGCCAGGTGCAGACTACGTAACCGGCGATCAATACCTCTCATCGCTGCACTACAAGCATTCTCAACTATGGAGGAATTTTGGCGTTGTCTGGGGGTGGTGGGGCTTCTTCGCCGTGCTCACGATTATCTGCACTACGTTCTGGAAAGCTGGTGCTGGAGGGAGTGCTTCCTTGCTGATTCCACGCGAGAAGCTCAAGCAGCATCAAAACAGCATGGACGAAGAGTCACAGATCAAGGAGAAGGGGCAAGCCAAAGCTTCCACTGGTGACTCAACTGCAGAGGTGGATGGCAATCTCTCCCGGAATACATCCGTCTTTACATGGAAGAACCTTAAGTATACCGTCAAAACACCCTCCGGCGATCGGGTCCTGTTGGATAATATCCACGGCTGGGTCAAACCAGGAATGCTCGGGGCTTTGATGGGCTCTTCCGGAGCCGGCAAGACGACATTGCTTGATGTTCTTGCCCAGCGAAAGACCGAGGGCACTATCACTGGGTCTATCATGGTCGATGGCCGCCCACTACCTGTTTCTTTCCAAAGAATGGCCGGGTATTGCGAGCAACTGGACGTTCACGAACCCTACGCCACGGTGCGGGAAGCCCTGGAATTCTCTGCGCTGCTGCGTCAGCCCCGAACGACCCCCAAGGCCGAGAAGATCCAGTACGTCAACACAATCATTGACCTCCTCGAGCTCCACGATCTGGCAGACACCCTCATTGGCACAGTTGGCAATGGCCTTAGCGTAGAGCAAAGAAAACGTGTAACCATTGGAGTGGAACTTGTGTCCAAACCGAGTATCTTGATTTTCTTGGATGAGCCTACTTCTGGTTTGGACGGACAGTCTGCTTACAATACCGTTCGATTCCTCCGCAAACTGGCCGATGTTGGTCAGGCTATTCTTGTGACCATTCATCAACCCTCTGCCCAACTATTCGCCCAGTTCGATACCCTCCTCCTTCTTGCACGAGGCGGTAAAACCGTGTACTTTGGCGATATCGGGGATAATGGACACACCATCAAACAGTATTTCGGCAAGTACGGCGCGCAATGCCCTGTTGAGGCCAACCCAGCCGAGTTCATGATTGACGTGGTCACCGGAGGCATTGAGAGCGTTAAAGACAAGGATTGGCACCAGGTCTGGCTTGAATCGCCTGAGCATGGATACATGACCACCGAGCTTGATCGGCTGATTTCCGAGTCTGCCTCCAAGCCCTCCGGTGTGAATGACGACGGATGCGAGTTTTCGATGCCACTCTGGGAACAGACGAAGATCGTCACCCAGCGAATGAACGTCGCTCTATTCCGAAACACTAACTATGTCAACAACAAGTTCTCGTTGCATATTATTTCGGCTCTGCTGAACGGTTTCTCATTCTGGAGGGTCGGTCCTAGTGTGACAGCCTTACAGTTGAAAATGTTCACCATCTTCAACTTCGTGTTCGTCGCCCCAGGAGTGATCAACCAGCTTCAGCCTTTATTCATCCAGCGGCGCGATATCTACGATGCTCGAGAAAAGAAATCTAAGATGTACTCCTGGATCTCCTTCGTCATCGGCCTAATTGTATCCGAGTTCCCATACCTCTGCGTATGTGCAGTCTTATACTTCGTCTGCTGGTACTACTGCGTACGCCTACCTCACAATTCCAACAAGGCGGGAGCCACCTTCTTCATCATGCTCATCTACGAATTCATCTACACCGGAATTGGCCAGTTCATCGCCGCCTACGCACCCAACCCAACATTCGCAGCACTCGTGAACCCCATGATCATCAGCACCCTGGTACTCTTCTGCGGCATCTTCGTCCCATACACCCAGCTCAACGTGTTCTGGAAATACTGGCTCTACTACCTCAACCCATTCAACTACGTAGTTGCCGGCATGCTAACCTTCGACATGTGGGACGCCAAGGTCACCTGCAACGAGAACGAGTTCGCATTGTTCGACCCGACCAACGGCACCTGCGGCGACTACCTGAAAGACTACATGTCCGGCCAAGGCTGGCGCGTCAATCTGACCAACCCGGACGCCACCTCGAGCTGCCGGGTATGCGAATACCGCCACGGAAGCGATTTCTTGTCCACGCTGAACATCAACCATTACTACTACGGGTGGCGCGATGCCGGAATCACGGTCATCTTCGCGATCAGCGGGTATGCATTGGTGTTTGCCCTGATGAAACTTCGGACGAAGGCTTCCAAGAAGGCGGAATAGATGCTTGCCGTGTCGCTCCGTAGATGCCGGGTTGGTGTGTCTGGGTGCTAGGACCAGCTCTGACTGCATCTTGCACCGAATGAAGTTGGAGAAGTTGAAGGGACAGTACTCTGTCCCCTGTATGTATTGTACAGTTGTTTTGTTTGGCGTATAGAGGTTCAGTTTGATAGAATACACAATAGAGTATAGAACAATGGAAAAATAGAACGCGATCAATTTACTTTGGTTGCAAAGATCCCATCCCATTTAGATAGGCAATTCAGCAACATGAACTTCGCATTTAAATTGATACTGATCAAAGTCTCATGCTTCCTGTTCATCAGTCGTAATTCGTCTTTCTGAAAGAACTAAAAATCAACACTCATATACTATTTACATCGGTATATTTCACTCACTTACAACTCCATTACCACCTACTTCCAGAATCCACAAACAATTAACCAACTAACCAACTACTCCAACATAACCCTCCCCCTCCGACTCCCCCTCCTCCCCTCCCACCGCACCTTAACCCTCTCCACAACAGCCGGGATCTCAAACGCCCAATGACACAACAACCCCGCCACAAACCCAACAGCATCATTCTTGAACCCAACCAACAACCCCACCGTAACCATCATCACCGTCCACCGTTTCTTCCGCTCGTAGTCGCTCAACATGGGACCGATCTCGGGCGCCTCGTCACCGATGAGTCCGTTTCCGGCGGCCTTACGAATATCTCTTGCACCGGTGGTGTTTAGGCTCTCGCCTACACTGACTAGTTCTAGGCCTGCGGCGATGACCATCACGCCTAGGAGGGCGGTGGGGAAGCGTTTGAGGAGGCCGACGAGGGATTCTCCGAGGAAGAGGCCGATGAGGAGTTTGAAGAGGCCGAGGAAGATGATGCTAGCGCCGGAGCGGGCGCCGAAGCGGTATTGGGCTGCGAGGCCGCCGGAGCCGTGGCAGACGGGCATGGCGCCGAACCAGCAGCCGAGGAGGTTCATGGCTGCGACGCTGAGGCCGATGGAGGTGGTGGATGGGGTGGGGGTGTTGGGGAGGAGGTCGTGAGCGAGGTGGACGACGGCGACGACGGAGTTGAGGGTGGTGAGGGGGATTTGGCCAATGGCGGCGTCGAGGATGCCGAGGGACCATTCGTGCGGGGTGGGGAGGACGGTGTAGGGGTGCCAGATGGTGAGGGAGGGGAGGTCTGAGGCGAGGGTGGAGAGGATGATGGCGAAGAGGAGGCCGAGGAGGAAGATGATGAGGGCGTAGGGAGCGGTGCGGTAGACGTTGGTGGTGATGAGGAAGAGGAAGGCGGCGAGGGCCCAGAGACGGTTATCGGCCCATGAGGGGGAGAACCAGGTTAGGGAGGAGAGGAGGGAGTTGGCGGAGGCGATGATGAGGGATAGGCCGGCGCCGACTTGGATGCCTTTGATGATGGGGATGGGGATGGCGTTGGCGAAGCGGGTTAGGAGGCCGGTGACGCTGAAGAGGAGGATGAAGCCCGCGACGAAGAGGCCTGCGGCGGCGATGGTGCCGTTGGAGAAGTTGCGGGCGATGGCGACGGCGGCAATGGCTTTCATGGGCTGGACGGGGAGTGGAATGCCGAAGAAGAGACCGGTGAGAATATTGAAGAGGCCGGAGAAGATGAGGGTGCTTGAGAGGGAGACGGTGTTGTTCACCGCTAGGGCGATCGCGATGGGGAGAAAGGTGCCCAGGTCGCCCAGGGAGCCGGAGATCTCGGAGACATAGTGATGGCGGAAGGTGGAGAAATTGTGGGCGGTGATTTGACGGAGGTTCATGGTGAGCAATGCCTTGGTGGAAGAAAAATGGTTAGATGAGGGAGAGGAGGAAGAGAAGAAAAGAGAAGCGAGGGATGGATTGAAGCCAAAGAATCGCAGGCGGAAATGCGAGGAGATCCCCGCAGATAAGATCTGATCGATACGGACGTCATCCGATGCGGTCTGCGGTTGTTTCTTTATCCCGCGGAGAAGGCGTACTGACTCACCACTTTTACTCCCCCTGCCCGGATGGTCCAGAGGTTAAGATTCTCGCTTTGGGAGCCCCAATTCTTGAATGCGAGAGATCCCGCGTTCGAGTCGCGGTTCGGGCCTTTTTTTGTTTCATTCACAATCGGTTCCTTTTGCTTCTCAGAGGGAATAGACCGATGGCCAGCAAGTGGTGGATGTCGGGATTATGATACCAATGGTAGAGAAAGACCCAATGGAGGTTCATTATTCTGGGGGTAGTAGTATTGTATATCGTAGCATTCCATCAATCTTGTTAAAAATAGGTTGCATAGGTAGAGATGACACAATTCATTATCGTTCGCATTGCGATGATTCATAGTTGCTTAACTCGCATACAAGCGCGCGCTGTGATCTAGTTTCCTTGTTAAACAATCGCCAGTCACCTCAAACCAGGCCTGTTTCTTGGGAAATTGGCATGCTCAGCGCCCGCGGGATAGATCAATCATTGGCCAATTCGGTTGGACTGGAATCGACGCCCATGGATCAATCTGCGTCGCGTCACGGCGACGGCATCTTGAATGGCGTCATCGAACATCCCGACACCTGGACCCTTAAGGTCCGACAACAGATTGCTGCGGTCTTGTGCAACATCAAATGCACCATCCGTGGTGTCATAGACTATAGAGGGCATCCAGAACGCGGTCAACACGACGGTCAGTCCCACTGATCTGGTCGGCTGCTACCAGGGATGCACGAGGAGTGAATCGACTCTGTCCCGATCGCGGTGATAAGCCCACCCGGACAACCATCAGCCTCGGGAAGCTGTCCAATCATCGACTATTAGTCGAGATCAAGTGTATCGCCATTTGCGAATGCTGATGGATGAAGGGATAGGATGTATCGAATCATGTGCGCATCTTCGCGGTGCTCTGACGATGTCATGACCGAGACTGAGCAAGACACGCTCCAGCGCTCGATAACGAGGACATCCAATAGGCCTCGGTATCTTCTCCCCCCAAGCCCACGGCGCAAAAAAAACCCCCAATCACAAAAACTTCCCACTCGTAAATCTTGACCCAAAATCCGCCGCCTTATTCATCATCTCCCTTCTCTGCGCATTCGTGATCTTCGACGAAAGCGACATATCCTTCTCCTTATCAAAAGCCCTCGCGCTTGGATCATCCTCCTCTTCCTTCTTCTTCCCATTCTCAGCATCCCTGGCCGCCTGCTCGGCCTTCTCCCCCTTCCTCTTCTCCTCATTATACCGCAGAATCTTCTCCTGCATAGCACGGGAGGGTTGTGCTCCACGCGCACCCGAATCCCCCGTCCCCACAGCAGCACCAGGCCGGGTCTGCACACCCAGCACCTCATCCTGCAGACGCTTCATCTTCTGCTCTGGTGTTTCGGTCCAGGAAACGTCCACCCCGCCACCACCAGGCGTGGTGTTCGCCGCCCGTCCGGTTTGGAATTTCCGGTTTCGCAACTTGGTCGGGTCTACCCGGGAGGAGCGGTTCGAGCCGTCAATGGGTTCAAGCATCCAGGCGTCGCGCTGGGGAGCTTTCGGGGCGGTGGAGGTTTCGGATGACGGGGTTGGGGTGGGCTGGGAGCTGGTGGTGGAAGGTAAGCTGCCCTCGGGGGGAGGTAGACTGGGCCCGAAGTCGTCATCGTCGGAGCTGTCGGAGGAGGAGCTGTTATCTGCGGCGTCGGCCGGGGGTGGGAAAGCTGGTCCGATGACTCTGCGGCGTTTGCTGGCGTCTTCGCTGTCACTGGGGAGGGAGGGCCCAGCGGCGTATTTGCGCTTTTCGGATTCCATTTTGAAGATGGAGGGTGTGAGCGATTGGGTGGAATGCGGGGTATACGGCGGGTAGTGGGGTGTTGCAAGGCCGGCTTGCAGCTTAGTAGCTCGTAAGTGTAATGCGGATGAGTCTGGTAGTCGCCTGTACTTTGTTAAGGGACTGGCACTCAAGATGGAATTGAGCTCGAAGATGCAGGACTGCACATGGAGGAGGCAAACGTGGCAAACAGGTCAAATGGGACAAACAATATAGAGTCGGTCATGTGACTGCTGGAAACGGAAATGCTTCATATCCTACGGAGTAGTTCATTTATAACAATCCACTAAACCAGCTTATATCGGAAGAGCTTCCCATTTACTTATAACAGCCCTATTCCTACAATCATCTTCCATCACCCCGCTCAACCATCCAGCATGCTCCGCTCTGTTTGTGGATGCCTTGGTGCTAATCCCATCTCATTGGAAGAATTCCGGGACAGATTCCCCGACTGCACGGTGTACTCGATATGCTGCGCTATATCAGGACCACTATCCGTTCGCGCCACAGCAGTCAATTCACTACCCTGACTGGCAGTACGAGTCGTCACCCACGTCTCCGGCTTGGGGCTCGACGGGTCACGGCCACTCTGCTGCAATTGCTCCTGTGGTTTGATGATGCCCATCTCAACGTACCGGTTCATGTCATGCTCGTCCTGCTGCGAGGACCGGTGCCGGCGGTGGTCACTCAGTTCCCGAACAAACGTCTGGCCTTTCTTCCACCAGCTGGGCTTCCTCTGTCCGACTCCCACATCATCGGCAACTGCATTGTCGAATTCGTCCCGCTGGATGATCAAAGCCTGGTCGTCGTTGAGCTCACACAATCCACAAATGTTGAATAAAATGAGCAGAAGCAGCGGCGGCGTGTACCCTAGCCCGTAGAGCCAGCCCGAGTTAACCCCGTATTTCAAGGGTGACACTGTCCAGTCAAAAGAGGAAGCAATGGCGTATCCGATCTTCACCCCTAGCAGCGCAATGGCTATGAGAAACTGCGATGGGGCGGCATTCAGGTAGAACAGGAGCTGGCCCATTGTGCTGGTCGGCCGCATCCGGTAGCGGTAGATGCTATGCTCCAGGCTGTAGCAGATCACCAGAACTCCACCCATCGCTACGAAGCCGGCAGCACGCCACCGGGCATCTGTAGCGACCGGTTTCGCATCATTGATCTGTTGCTCCGGACTGCGCTGCATCTCAATGGGAGTCCACGAGCGCGGAACGGTCAAGAAGAAATTGGCGAAAGCGCATGCGTAGAAGAGGATGGGGAGCACGAACTCCTGGCGCTCTCGGCTGTTAGAAACTTGAAACGCATAAGGATCCCGGTCGTAGATCTGTCGTTCTTGCCACGAGCCCCTGGGACGAGTCAGATCAATTTCACAAGGTTAGGAGCGGGGCCCTAGTCATCACTTACCAATGCCGTACTCCTTCCCATACAGCTGCCATCATCCCTGGAGTAAGGAGAGTGTAGAAGACGCTCTGCAGGATCAACGGGACGCTCACGATATAGTCCCGGTCCACGTCGATGCTCATGAAACAGCTGATAGCCCCACAGGCGGCGACAAAGAGCATCCAGATCCACTTCCCCCGCCGGCCCATGACAGACCACCGGTGATCGACGGGCAGGTATCGTCGGCCATGTTTGCGCAGGTTGATCAAAGTGATGGCAATGGAGATGCAAAACATCAACGCAAACGCCAGACCGGCTGAGGCATGCTGACCCAGGTCTCTAATGGGTGCGTAGCAGGAGATTCCATGCACGAAAGACCCATTGGCGAACATTTGCGGTTGAAACTCATCAAAGGCGAGATAGCAGTCCGTCTCATTCGAAAGGGTCCCGTTGCTGAAGAGCGTGTAGTGGTAGTAGCTCAGTGCGGTACGATTGAAGTGAACTTGGTTGATCAGCACGTCGGTCGCATTGGCCCCGGCCTCAAAGGGGACTACAGCTCGCACGTATAACAGAGGCATGGCAAGGTGGTTCGTGTCAATGGGACACGCGAATCACCTCAACTGACCAGGCTTCTTGTCAACTTTTGGTGTCTCAATGCCGTGATGTTCATCGCGATAGAGCAACAAACAAAAGTTGAGGGATATCAGAGAATGAAAGAAAGCCGCATAGCACGACCACTACCGCTCGGATGTTGACGGAGCGATGACGCTAGGCCGCGACAAGGTTGTATCCAGGGCCAGTCGATGATGCGCGGAAAGCCCGCGGTCCAATAGGAGGGCCGGATGGCGCTCGCGATCCAGGCCATGATTGACTGCAAAAGACAATAGAGTCCATGACAGCGGGAACGCGCCTGTCAGCCAGGCATGGGTCCAGAATTAGGTTTGGGGAAGAGTGGTCTGGGTTGGTCGACCCGTGAGTGCTGGGAGCAGCTGGGGAGCAGGGAGCAACTGGGAGCAGCAGAAGGCGGTCAGAGCACTACTTCTCCATGGGATCCCTGGTAATAGAGGCAATTCGGGGGATATCGGATTTCCATCTGTTGTCATTTGTGTAACCTGTGTCGGTTCAGGCTGCCAGCATCAGCATTCCGCAAAAGCAATGTGCAAATGTGATAGGTGATGGATAGCAAACATGGCATGATTGGTCCAAGTCAGTCTTGTCACTTTAGTACTTCTGATACTATTCGGGGAGCTGAACCCAAGCCATCCAACCGGGATCAACGAACTTGCAGATGGTTGCAGATTAGTTCACTTGTTACCCTATTTGGGGCACCTGAGAAGCAATCCCACTGCACCAGATTACACTGAATCCGATTCGATGGCATCCCCTCACCTTTTCCTAGATGATTGGAGGGTCTCAGGGACATCATGTCCGTGGCTCATACTCTAAGCTCACATCCCCTAACTGGTAGATGTGGAAACAACCGTTCGGTGAGAATCCGTTTGCGGTTGTCGTCGTCGGTTGCCCTCATCCGACACTCACGTCACAGCACAGTTGTTACGCAAGGGAGAGCGCAGGACATCACCCACGACGAGGCAATCTATCGAGCATTTCTCATCTCACCCATATCATCCAGGTATTCGGAAGGGTATAACATGGCTGGTCCCGGGGATCTAGCGGCTACACGCTCTATGGAACCCAATTTCGTGGTTAGCCATGCTCCAGGCTTGATCCTGTCCATCTTCCTCTTCTATATCCTAACAGTAGGTCTCCAGTCATAGACTCGTGGAAAGGGGTGACTTACCCAGCGAACAACAGATTGTATATCGCGAACAAAGGAACTCGTTGTCTTCCGTTCCCGGTCCCTTCCTTTGCAAATGGACGGATATCGTTGTCCGATGCCATTCGGTCATCGGCAACCGACCGCGATATGTGCATCTTCTACATCAAAAATACGGTGGCTTTGACTCCTGCTGGCACAAAGCACTTTGGAGGCTAACTGCTTGCTTCTTATGTAGGCCCGGTCGTCCGAGTCGGCCCCGATGCTGTCGATGTCGCTGAGATCGCCAGCGCTCGAGAGATTCATCGCATCGGAGGAGGCTATCTGAAATCGCCGCGATATCGGTTATTGAAACACGAGGACGCGGAAAGCCTGTTCAATACTACGAATCCAAAGTTCCATAGTAAACATCGCAAGCTCCTTTCTTCACCTCTCTCGGATGCAAACTTGCTATCGGTGGAGCCATTGATAGAGGCCCGTGTTCGCTTGGCTATGCAGCGCATGGAAGAGGAGATGGCTGACCGTGGGGTGGCTGATGTCGAAAAGTGGTTCTTCTTCATGGCGACCGACATTATTGGGGAGTTGACCTTCGGGGAGTCATTCCACATGCTGGAACTAGGCAAAGTAACATACCCCGACGCAGGCCGGATCCATGACTGGGGGTTGATCAGTTGCACAGAAAAACCAGTACATCAAAGATCTCGAACTGACCGGCATGTTGGCTGGCATTCGGGCATCGTTTCCTATCGTGGCCACCCTTGCCGCATTCCTGCCGTTACCCTTCCTCAGAGAAGTCAACGACAGCCGGGCACGCACAGTCAAGTGTGCGATAGAGTTGATCAATCGGTACAAACAGTTACTGGCCGCCGATCCCATTAATGTCAAGCCCACCTTGTTCACCAAGCTGTACAATGCTGGCAAGGAAGGTTTGCCCGATTCTGAGATCCGCGATGATGCCGACGACTTCATCGTGGCTGGCAGTGACACCACTGCCATCACTTTAACTTACCTAACATGGGCAGTATGTAAGGCACCAGCAATCCGGCAAGCACTGGTGGCTGAACTGGCCGCACTTCCGGATCAATTTAGCGACAAGGATTTGCGGGACTTGCCCTATATGAACCAGGTCATCGACGAAACCCTGCGCCTCTATCCCGCAGTACCTTGTGACTTGCATCGCATTGTACCATCGCAAGGGGCAACGCTGGGTGGTCATTGGGTTCCTGGGGGTAGCAATGTCACCACACAGTTATGGAGTCTTCATCGAGATCCTGACGTATTTGCCCATCCCGAAAGGTACTCCAACATAGATCCTGTAGTTGAGACCGCCAATTTTATTGACTGTTCAAATAGGTTTGACCCCTCCCGATGGGCTTCACCCACCAAAGCGATGAAGGATGCGTTTATGCCCTTTGGGGCAGGAAGCCGCAGTGAGTGCGAGTCCCAACATTTAGGGCAACTAACCCTGACAGTGATAGACTGTATTGGAATGCACTTGGCTCGAATAGAGCTGCGCTTAGCTACAGCCCACTTTTTCCGCCAATTTCCGATCTCGGAGGTATCGATCAAAGAAGGGATGAGCGATGAAGACATGAAGGAGGTCTTGTACTTTCTGCTATCACCAAAGGGGAAACGGTGTCTGATGGAGCTCCGATAGGAGGTACCTCATTCCGGTTGCTGGAGCAGAAGTCTATCGTCTGATCACCGATGTCATACCAAGACGATAGATCTTTGCTGTCCATTGATGAGACATGCCATTCGTAGTTAGCTTTGGCCAGGGCAATTGACAAGAATTTGGCTTCAGCACCCTCGTCCTTTCAGAATAACAAACTGCGGAAACTCATTCCGGACATGGGTTGCGCGAATGCAAATTTTGTTAACAGTGGGTCAAGTTAGACTTCTGGTCAATCTCGCCCAGCATTTTAGCCTATATATAGGAGATTGATGTGATAGTACCAGCGCCAGGAGACTTTCTCTGAGAGCATCTATTAATGGCCCAAATGCCGTCGCGAGCCCACTTGAAGCTGAGAGAAGAACGAGCACGACAAGACGCTGCGCGGGGGGGCCAGAACGAGACCAGAGAGAAGACAGTGACACAAAGACCCGCATCCCATTTTATCAAAGGCTCATCGGGCAATGAGGGCGTGCGGGCTGGTCGCGTAGTCACAGACAGCAAGCCCGACAAGAAATAGCATGACAATGCTGTAGATCCACCAAACCGAGTACCGGGCAAGCAGCTTGCCAAAAAGAAGCTGAGTAGTGCTAACAACCATGGTGTCAACCCTGGAAACAAAGATCCCGGGCAGGATGACAAAGTAGAGCAAAGTAGAGCAAACTCTGAATAAGCCAACCTAGAGAGCAGAATACTACCTGGCACGGTTGGATTCGGCCGAACAATATTAGTGATTCGCTAATTCAAGGCTAATGCTCCTGCACAATTGCTGACCTCATCGGGGGACAGCATGTTCCTGGCTGTTGTATAAGCCGCAGCTGTTTCAAATGAATCCCACACAAATGGGTCATTCTAGACACGCCAGACCCCTCTTAAATACTCCTTTGCCTTTAGACATGGCCATGCCAGGTGAGATTCTGCTTCTGAAAGCAACTCAATCAAGATTTGTGTTTCAGTCGGGTCATCAAACAATTCACCACATATTGCAATGACCAGCGCAGCGCCAATCCGCGCGATCATAAACTCGGGATTGGACATAGAGATTCCACAGATTACCCGGACGCTGGATCGTATACTCTCATCATTACTTTGCCCCATTCTTGCTTGCTGAATCCGTGTAAGACAGCTCTGAGCGTTAGAGGCAAGCAGAAGAACACGCGCGAGTTCAATATGTTGACGTGCGGCAACATGGTAATCAATTGCATAGCACATATGCGGGAATGGATTCGCAGGGGAGATCCTATTTTGGGAGTAAATCGGCTGGAATGATTGCGGGCAAAGACGTTCCCAGTCGTCAATATACTGCATTAGAGACTGCCAGTTGTATTCAGACGCTGTAACGTCCCCATAAGCAAAATTGGTGGCCTTTGCAGCATGGGCTATTGCTCGAAGAGCCCACATCCTTTCAGAGGTGGGATCCAAAGATGTGTCGATATTGCAGTGGTCTTCCAAGTTCCCTATCGGGCGTCGGATGAGATTAGCTACGTAAATTTCTGATCGCAGCACCACCAGAAAAGCAGCATCTGTGAAACTTGAGCGATAGACATGCCCTTCTGTAATTCGAAGGAGAAGTTGAGCGGATAGCGTATGAGTCCGGAACGACTCTTCGGGGGTTTCTTTGTAGATATCAGCAATCCTTAATGTATTGAACGGGAATCCGAATCAGACAAGATACCTGTCATTTCCTCAAAAAAGCGGAGAATCACAGCCGAGGCCAATATTGTATCATTCAGGGTTCTTTCAGGGTCATCCAGCGCGGCTATTAGACTCCTGAGACACCGTTTCTGGTATTCATCGGCGATTCGGTTGTGCCGGTGCAAGGATGAGCTCTGGTGCCGGGCAGATACTGCCAGGACAGCATATAGTAGAGTTATATCAGTCGCCGCTTTGTTGCCGATATATGTGCGAAAGTGTTGCTGTGGATCACAGTAGTCGAACTATGTTAGCAATTATCGTTAGTAGTTGAAGGAATTAGCCACATCTTTGGACTCTTCCTACCCAAGGGGAAAGCGTCGTAAGAAAGTATTTTAGTAGCGACGCTTCAAATTTAGACTCCAGGGGCCACGGCAGCTTGTCCAAGTCGTCACGAGACATAAGCTCGTCTAGTGTTATTGCAGCCTGAGGGTCATCTCAACATTTCTGATGTTTTCTACCAAGGAAGCAGCCATACCTCTAACCTCTCCGGCGAACATGACGGATTGATTGGCACTTCAGCATAACTGGAAGAATTACTAAGACCCGAGGGTGAGCCTTGGGAGATTCCAATAACATCACTGCCCTTCACCTCTGCGCTGCATTCGGGTGCTGCATGGTCTTCGCTGGCTTCGATCTCAGGACTTGTATTCGGTGGTGAAGCCGGTCTACTTACGGCAGGAGGGTGTTGCGTCATATAAAATATCGTCTTTCTTTCACGAGTACATTGGAGGTTTGCATTGTTACAGGCGGTACAAGACTGGCTTCCTGCTCTTCGATCACCTGGACTTGCCTTAGCACAAGGGACGCGGCAAAGTGTGGACTTGCTCACATCGAATATGTCGAGTTCGGCAACGATCACTTCTATGGTTATTAGCATTGTGCTGTTTGATTGGGGCAGAGTGTCGCACCAGGCTTGATATCGCCCTAGTCGTGATATGTTCATGGTTGAATGCCTAGGTGGGATCAATCGCACCAGATGGCGCGGGGAGTTGGGGAAAGTTCACTTGATTGAATATGCGGGGATGGATTGTGGGATTCAGACATCCCCGGTCATGTGCCATCGTTGATCAGCTGACACAAGGTAATTATTTGCTCCGGCAAAGAAGGACCGGATCTACTCCACGGATATTTCTACTGTTCACTTTGATACTTCAGGTAGTGAGAAGAGAGACCACCTCTGGTAACTCTCCCTTTGACATTCGTTCTATCTTTAAACAGTCGTCTCACAACTGAGCTACGAAAGAGTGATATAGTTTGATACTTCAGGTTCATTGAACTCCTCTCATCCCAATCAATGTTAAACAATTACTATGCAATTCAAACAAAAGAGCCATTTCAAGATAAACAGGAAATGCCTGAAGTCTTCAATGCAGTCATTGCATCGACTCTATCAGTCACAACGCCGTCGTCTCACCTTCACGGGCAGTGGACCAGGATTCATGTTGAGGTGCTCATAAGAAGTCTGCTCCATCGATGGATCCACGAGCTCCAAATCATAACGATGGATGGTGGACGCAATGAGAATGGTCTGTTCCAGGTAGCTGATATTCCGGCCAATACAACCACGAGCACCGGCACTAAAGGTGATAAAGTATGGCTGCAGCTCCTTTCCTCGTTCTCCCAGCCAGCGCTCAGGACGGAATACCTCTGGATCTGAGAAGACTTTCTCATCACGATGGGCGACATATGAGGACATTGACACGGTAGTATTTCCCGGAACCCACTGGCTTAGAATCTCACAGCCTTCCGGGGGCGTCTTCCGAGGCAGGTTGAACGGTGTGGGTGGGAGAATTCTCATGCTCTCATCTAAGCATGCTCTCAGATACGGGAGATTCTTCACCTTGTCATAAGGGATTGACACTTCGTCATCATCCGCCACTATATCAACTTCCTCACGGAGCCGAGCAAGTACGCCAGGATGCTTCAGTAGCATATACATTGCGTTATTGATCGCAACGGCAGTAGAAATAGACCCGGCGTTGACTAGAACCAAACAAAGATCCTTTAGTCGCCGACGTTCTGGAAAATGATGATAACTTACGCATGATAGAAATCTCAGCCCCAATCTCGCCAAAGGGCAGATAATTGGGCGACCCATCTTTCGATTCCATCAATGCCTGAAAAAAGTCCTCCAGCCGTTTCCCTTCCTGATACTGTTGTAGCCGTTTCCGGACCTGATGAATCACAATCCCATCATACCCGTCACCTCTGGAGAAAAGTTCTCGATATCGAGTCGGCAATCTTCGAGACCATCTAACCAGTGATTTGTACCATCCATATGTCCATACGAGCTGAGACTGAGCCGTAATCTGACTATGGAGACAGTCCCGATAGCTGACAAGACGAGTGACGCCATCAAGAGACTCCGAGATTGTCATATCGTCTCCCTGTTCCAGGAATCCCAGCGAGGAGTTCAATCCAATATCTGCAATTGCATCCATCGTGAAGAAATTCGTCCAGGCACGCCAATCAATAATATCCCCATCCCCTCCGCCTTCTCCAGTCACAGGGCAACACCTATCAAACCTCCCACACAATTTACTCACCTTATCCACAATTTTATATTCCCACCCCTCGAGATTCTTCAAGGCATATGCACTCGACAAAATCTTTCTCTTTCGTTGATGTTCCTTTTTATCCACCACATCCGCAAGATGAGAATGACTTCCGGCTAACAATCGGTACATATCATCCTTGATGCACTTTGTCGAGTGACCGTAGATATCCTATCCACATCAACCTCATTTCCATACAACAAAAGAATACAGAACAAAGATATCTCACCTTAATCGCCCTCCCATCACCAAACGACAACGCATTCGGCCCAATTCTTAATACAGGATGACGTTTATGCAACTCAGCCAACCGCTTTGACCGCGACCCACCAGCACTGAGAATCATATAGGGGATGTTGGTCACTCCCGCGAGGAAACTGATCGTAGGATAGCGTCGTAGACCTTTCACATCTAGGAAATACACCACAATTGGATATAGAATAACCCAAGTGAGAAGTACCAACACCAAGCTAATCACAATAATTCCGTACATTGTTGTCTTGCGTTCTTTCTTCCTTCCTTCCTGAGAAGATATAACGAGATGTAGGATAGATTCTCAACAGGAATCTCGTTACGATATTTATATCATATTATTAAGCCATTTAGCAACCGTCTCAGAATATCCATAGACCGAGCAAAGCATGCGAGTAGCGATCCACCTGATACGCAACATATCCCCTCTCGATTAAGATCTCCGGAGTATGTATGGATGGATGTATCGGCCACCGGGCAATAATGCCAAATCAAGCAGGTATCCCCGCGTGACGGGTGCTTTACCCGATATGGGAATCAAGACCCACTATTTACTATTTACACTTCGTATGGCCCTGGGCCAATCATCCACTAGATGCGGGATTGTTACACAGTGCTTGCTTACGCCCCTTGCTTCATCGTCTAGATGGAACTTGCCAGGACTTCACGAGGTACCCATCTAGACTGTCAACTGAATTAGAATCTCTAATGGATGGGGATTGGCTCTTATCAAGTGGTAGCTGCTGTGCACTTCCGTATTATAGGTAGAGCTAAAAGAGAAGGAAGGAGAAACGAACATCCCCGAGAATTGATCCTACCAATAATGATCTGTGATAGACTGTATAAGGTTGTCTGGATACGGCCGGGCATGGTAGTCGATAAGCATATACTTTAACAAAGAATCAACACCGCAAACACCCTAATATTATTCAAAGAGAGTCATGTCAGTAGTGACTTTGTTAAAGGATTCATTGATGCAGCTGGCACATACCGTTAACAAGAAGTTAGGTATACTGGCCTGCATTACTTACTGATGGCGAAGTTCAACAAGTGACTACTTTCTTTATCTTCCGTTCATATAGCAAGGCAGGTAATATAGTGCATAGGGTAATTACTCCATCGAGTCTTGGTAGAGACCCATTGTAATAGCCGGAGAGGGGAGGGGTGGGAAGGGAACTAGGCCATTTGGTTGGAGTATATCCATCAGTCGAGAGAGGTAAGCACTACTAGGTAATGGCGGGAATATTTCCTCATGGCTGGCTGGCTGAAATACCTCTAACTGTCATGGGGTTGGTTCGCTCTTTCCTTAACGTCGCTACAGGTGTCATTCAAAGAGGTTTTTTCTTTTCCCTGGAAGGGAATCAATTACAAGCTTCATTGCTATCCATCATCTGATGGATGAAATGATATCCCATGTAAGAAATGATAAATAATTCAATGAATGCGTTAGTTGTATTCAAGTGAATATCTGGGGATGGGATCTGGGGTTGTATGCAAATAAGCAACTAAGCCTTTATGAAGTACATTTTCTACTAGGAGGGATAGTGGAGGTGTCTGGCATTGCAGTGGGTGGTTTAGGTAGATACATGGAGTCAGTTTATCCTGATGATCATCTATACGGATTCAAGCATACCTACCCGGGTTCGATAGACTGGGCCATCACAACTATTACACAAAGAGCAAGACGAATGTTATTACAAGTCTATCTAGAGTGGAGAACTATGCCATATTCACGTGGTATCTGTTGTGGTAGTATACATGCCATCTATATCGAACACTTTTCTCACAGGTCCAAGATGGGAAAAAAACATTATGAAATCTCGTTTCCGGGACCGGCCCTTGGACAAGCCGGTCTCGGGGATGTGCGTTTCGTTAGGGCGTTCAAGTCCCGAACAGGAGTGATTGTTTTCCGCGGAAGGGATCAATAGAAGTCGTCGTTGTAGCGATCGCGACGGTCGCGGCCCTCACGGCTGCCGCGGCTGCCACGGCCGCTCTCGCGCTTGAAGAGAGGGCGACCATCTCTGGTCTCCCAGGACGAACCGCCACGGTTCGAGGAGCGCTGGCCGCGGTCACCCCAGCTATCTCCAAAAGAACGGCCACCCGAACGGTAATCAGAGCGGCCACCTCCAGAACGGAAATCAGAACGACCACCCGAGCGGAAGTCTGAACGGCCACCCGAGCGTCCGCCGAAAGGTCCGGACCGGAAGCCACCACGCTGGGAACGCTGGGGCATAGCATCGCCTGATGACAGGGCCCTCATGACGATGGGCGAAACGTGCGGGGTTTGGGGCAGATCATATCCGTACTGTGAGAGTTCTTCCATGGAAGGAAGGGCCAGGCTGCCAGGGCGGAAACGTCCCATCAATGTGCCGATTTGAGACTTCCATGCCTCCACGCGGAGGTCCTGGGGAGTGTTCTGCACCGCGGCCTTGACTTGGCGCAGAGTCTCGGAAGAGGCGGATCCGTCTTGCTCGATCTCTTCGCGCATGTTCACGTGGGCCAGGGGGATCGAAGTGCTCTCTTCGATCGGGAGGTTAGAAAACATCTTCCGGAAGGAGCTCTTCTCGCCCTCGTGCAGGAAGATCCATCCTTCACCGCTCTTGTTGGCTCGTCCCGTACGTCCCAGTCGGTGGATGTAGGTCTGGTGGTCGCGGGGAAGTCCGTATTGGATGACGTGGGTGACGTCGGGGAAATCCAGGCCACGCGCCGTCACGTCGGAAGAGAAAAGAATGGCAGACTTGTCTTTACGGAATTGGTCGGCCGTTCTGGTTCTCTGAGCCTGAGTCAACCGCGAGTGAATCTCGTAGATCGGGAGACGGCCAAGAGGGTGTCCGGCCCTGGGGTTCTCGGGGTCGTTCTTGAGCCGTCTGAATACAGCGTTAGCCATGGTGACCATCATGGTCGAGTTCAAGTAGACAATGGCCTTGAAGGGCTTGGCGCGGAGGTCTTCGGTGTTTTGCTTCACCAGCTCCAGAATCGCAGGCAATGCATTCTGGAAGCCATCCATGTAGACAGCCTTCTGAGGAACACGCATGTGCGTGGGGGTCTCGTTAGCAGACACGGTCTTGATGATCCCGAAGCCGGGCTTCATGGTCTTCCGAACCAAGTCCATAACCTCGTCGGGCACCGTGGCGGAGAACATGAGAGTCTGACGCTCGACCTCAGCGCGGTCGGGCAGGAGCGCCGTGATCTCACCGATCTCCTTGGAGAAACCATCGTCAAGCAGACGGTCAGCCTCGTCAAAGACAAGGGCAGACAGCTTGGGAGCCTCAACACCGCTGTAGGGGTCATCCAGGAGATCCTTCAGACGACCGGGGGTACCGACCAAGATATGGCAGCCCTGTTCCCGAATCCTGATCAGACCCGACTTCTTGTGTGTGCCACCCACTGCCGTCTGCACCTTCAGACCCGTACCATACACCAAACGCGTCGCCTCATGGGCAATCTGCTCTGCCAACTCCCGAGTAGGGGAAATGATGATAGCCCGAATATCGGGGGGCACACGTGAAGTCCGGAATGAACGGCCGGTATTGCGCAAGGCAACCGATGGGTCGGTGAGAATCCGCTGGACGACGGGGATCAAGAACGCCAGAGTCTTTCCAGTTCCAGTCTTTGCCTGAGCCAAACTGCAAGGGAAGGGTCATGGTCAGCCACCATTACGAATCGACAAGGGGGAAGGGCCACTCACAGATCATTGCCATCCACGGTATGCCGGATAGTCTTCGATTGAACTTCAGTCATGGTTTCAATGCGCATGTTTTTCGTCACGGTCTGGATGATCTTAGGATCGACCAGGCCCTCGGTGGCCAAATCTTCGAAACGATCTAGTTGCTTGGGCTCGGCTTCTTCAGAGGCAGATTGCGGGATCTCGGCCTCAGCAGAGGCTGAAAGATGGGCAGGGGAGGGATGGTACAGCGATCTCGCAGTACGAGAGACCGCGGGGGCTGATGAGGCAAGCCATTGTGGCTGTTGAGTCGTCGATCTGACCAGCAGAGACCGGGAAGCACGCAGCGCATGGACGACGCCGGAGCGGCGGAAAGCGCCCAGCATGATGAGAGCTCGGAGGTTTCTGGTGGGTGAACAGTGGGATAGCAAGGAAGATATCACCGAGAATGAAGATGAAAAAGATGGAAGGGAAGGAAAAAAGGCGGGAGATGGATGGGAGATGGGAGGATGAAAGATGGCAATGGAAGCAGATAAAAACGCGACCAAAACTGATCGGCGGAAAAAATGGACGGCAGAAAACCAGGCACCCCGGGCGGTGACGCCACCCCCGGTTCTCGCCTGGTCGAGACTCATCTCATCTCATCGCTCATATCTTGGGGGTTTTTGGTGATTCTGTGTAATTGTATGGCCCTGTTCGTTGCCATCCATCATAGCCAGGCTCTGTTGGCGCCACAGTGGGTCTGACACGATGTCGATCAAGTCGCAGCCTATCCAAATATCCAAAGATCCGGAATCTAGATCTGGAACCAAAACATTGAACTTTCCAGAAGGATCGTCCATGACTGGCATTTAATTAGCATAGACAGCTCAGTCGAAGCAAAAGCAGCCTATAGCTTTCTGTAATCACAATGGGGCCACGTAATTGTCCTTGAGAGGAGGGAGTTGGGAATGAGGCGGGCGGGATGAGGATTTGAGGATGCGGAGCGATCGTGCTGGGGGAATTGGTGGGTTTTGCTTTGGTCCAGTCTTGGGGCTATAACTGCAAGTGCACCCATACTTGAACACTCCTATAGCTTGCTTGGTTGCTAGAACAGATGCATTGTGCTAGATAGAAGGGAAGACTTAATGGTTCAAATAAGACAGATCAGGTCATAGCTTCATTTCTATCTAGAATTCTAGATACCTTATACCAGCACATCCTCTACCATGAATAAACATTACGTACCCTAAAGAACAGTCAAACCTAGATAATACCCTTTTTTAACACCTCTAACCCATATTCCTTCCGTGCCAGCCCACCTCATCCGCTAGGACTCAATCTCCCCCTGAAACTCCCTCGTCAACGAATACACCGACAGATCCGAGAAACTCTGATGCGTGGCTGCTGGAAGCAGCTGTCTCTGTCTGCCGGTAGCCACCGTCGTCGGGGTAGCAGCCATGCCTGCCGGTGGCAAATGCACCGGAGACATGAGATCCCGCACATGGCCTGGGAACAACCCCTTGTCGAGATCGCTCTGCCAGAGACGACGGGAGGCATCAAAGGCCTTGTTGACGAGATCGCGGCGCAAGGACTCATATTCTTGGAATATGGTAGGGAGGGGGGCGTATAGGTTGCGGGAGAGGATTTGGGTGAATATGAGGGCGTCTTCGATGGAGTAGGCGGCGGATTCGTCGCGGGGTGGCATCTATTGTGAGATAAACGGGTTAGCCGTTGCTCTGAGTATAGTTGATATGGTGAGACTTACCGCATGAGCTGCATCTCCTAGGAGGAGAATTCGACCCTTGTGCCATTTCCCTCGTTGTCGGACCTGATACACCGGGTATAGGGCCCAGTCTTCGATGGTGTCGATGAGTTCACGGATGCTGGGAAGGGCGGATTTGGCGAATTGTGTGCGCACGAGATACCGGATGGACATCTTCATGCTGGCTTGTTCAGGGAAACCGAGTTTCGAGGTGGCTTGGTAGCGTTCAATGAGGTGTTCGTTAACGCGGAGGATAGCGGCGGAGAAGATCTTCTGGCGGGCGGGGTCGCAGTAGCTGGTGAGGAGGGAGCTGTGGCGAGTGAGGTGGACGGCGGTTTGGTCGAAGTGCATGGGGAGGGAGAGGGCGGAGGCGTCGGTGACGCTCTGGATGAAGGAGATGCCAGTGTATTCGGAGCGATTGTCGGGATCGACGATGCGCGTGCGTGTGATGGAGTGGACGCCGTCGCAGCCGAGCACGAGGTCGCCTGTGGCGACGGAGCCATCTTCGAAAGATAGGGTGACAGAAGAGTCGGCCGTGGTGCCGCCGACGACTTTCTTGTTGTAGTAGACCGAGACGGTGGAGGAGTGGGATTCGAGGACAGATAGCATGGCGCGAGAGAGGGCGTTTCGCATCACTCGCCGGCCCTTGTAGCCCCCGTATCCGAGGCCGTTTTCGTCGGTGAATTTGAGGGGCCCGAGTTTGCGTCCTGAGCGGAGGGAAAAGAGATCGATAAGGTCGACTTCAATGCCGGCTTCACTGCCCATGCGATTGAGTTCGGACAAGACGCCCAGCTTATCGAGATAGTTTTGCGCTGTCGGGGTGAGACTGATAGCGCCTCCAGAGACGGACAGGCCCGGGGCGCCTTCGAAGACGGAGATCTTGAGATCGGGGATGACGGAACCCAGTTCCTTGGAGAGAGAAATGGCGCTGGCAAGGCCCGCAATGCCGGCGCCAACAATGAGGATATCGCGAGGCATGGTTGGGGGCTGCATGGTGGTGTGTGGAGGGATTGCTCGTCCTTGTTGTGTCTATCTTCTGCTTCTCCCTGGCTCGTGACCGTCGCGGGGACTTGCAATCGACTATAAACCAACCCCTCCCGGGGGCCAACTCAGAGTGTTACACAGGCAATCAGTCAATCAAACCATGGTTAGCCCTGGAGAACCCGGGGGGCTGGCCAGAAGTACCAAAAAGATGAAAGATGAATGTTTGCTGGGGTCGAGACTAGTCAGGAGAAGCGAAGCGAGACTGAGAGAGGGGGAAACGAAGAATTCCCGACTAGACTAGACCAGACAGACCCTGGCCACCGTTGCCCAAACGTAACGGCTTGTGCAGCGCTTCTCCGCCGCCGGCCGAAACTAGGCGTCTGGGCCAATTAGCGGGCGGCCGATCGTCTGCAGGCCGCCCGAGCCAGGCCCGGCGGCGGCTGAGGCAAGCCGCCCGATTGGCGGGGCCGCCCATAAGCTTGGCCCGCGGCGGGTCTAGACGCCCGCCTGCGCCTCGGCTTTCTGGCGCTCTGCACGGCACTTGCGCTGACATGAACAACAGTCAAGCAGCATTGGTATTATGATTCAGGAGGCAGTTGGATTGTAAATCTCTGTTGTCAAGGAAACCAATAACATTCACATCAATATGTTGGGATCAAACCACATCGACAGTCACACGTACCACCCTTCCGCGCTAACTCGGTACGTACCTGTGTCCAACCGGAACCGGAATCTCCCCGTGACGTCAATCCCACGAGAGCCCAGCCAGCCAGCCAGTCTTTGCGGGGTATTCCTATCTATACGAACTGCGATCCATCAAACAAAGCCAGTGTAGGCATCATAACCCACTCGACGCCACCGTCCCCACCACCATCATCATCACCACCAAGATGAACGTCTTCAACGAACAACCCAGCTCCCTCACCCTCAGTACCCCCGAGGGTTCAACCACGGGGACCACCGTCGCCATCCTCCTCGAAGAACTCCGGTACGTAAACAAACACACCCATCCCATCAACACCATCCATCCCTAACCATCGCCACCACCACCAAAGCCTCCCCTACCACATCCACTTCCTCCCCCAGCCCACCACCACCACACCCTATACCTTTCTAGACCGGTTACTTCTCACGGACGTCCATCGCAACGGCCACACCACCGTCCTCAACGACTTCAGCTCCATCACATCCTATCTCCTCACCCAGTATGACGAGCACCATCGCTTCTCTTACCCCGACGGGTCCCCGGAATCTCTCGCCGTGGGGGACAGAGTACGTCAATTGCTGGGCCGGATGGAAGCGAAGGATTCAGAGGATGGAAAGCCATGCACCCCCATGGTGAGGATGATGTTGAGCTTGTATCTGCATATGGAGGAATATTTGCAGAAGACGAAACAGAGGTTTTTGGTGGGGGATAAGTGGTATGTATTTATTTGATCCCTTGGGTTGGGGTAGGTATGGGTTGTGAGTGTTGACGGGTAGATGATAGTACGCTGGCGGATCTAGTGCATTTCCCGTTTGTCGCGGCGGCGGGTGTGCATGGCTTGGATTTGGAGCGGTTCCCTGAGTTGACTTCCTGGTATGATCGGTTGGCGAGGCAGGGGGCCGTGAGGAAGGGGATGGAGGCTATTGGGTTTCGGGTGGAGGATAAGTAGGGGTGCAGGTTTCACCAAATGGTCATTGAACAGAAGCGCAGTTACGAAGACATGTCTAGCAGGTTTGGGGCATTAATTGATATCACTAAATGATTCGTTCATCCAACAATATCTTCATTAAGCGGCTTAGTCCCGTATATAACATCACGGCCGTGTGGCTGCGGACATGCCATCACCCCCAGGCAGTCCGGCCAGGAACATTACTCTCGCAACTCATAAATTAGAATTAAACAACATGAACATGCGTATTATCTCGGATCCAGACCGGGGTGGGAAACCCCGCCAGTCATCCGTGGGTATCAAGCACAAAAACATCCCCCAGAATCATACACCAAGGCCACAATTCTCATCCAAATGTCAGTGAGAAGTTTGTCTTCACCGGGTATATGCAATTATCTCTTAGTAGTAGATCTTCTCCGAAAAGATAGGAGGAACACCCTTGTCTTGGTCCCAGCGGATGTTGTTCTTCTCATCAAGCCAGGCATCCTCGTCGGTGATCTCGATCACACGGGAAGTGTGCTTGATCTCCTGGCGGCTCACGCCCAGCTCATCCCGAGGAATCCAGAGAAGAGGAGGCTGTGCCTTGATGGAAGGAGGGAAGTAGGCATCACGCTCCACCTCGGCAGAATAGGTGGCGGTCTCCTGGGCGCTGGGGACCAGGCGCCGCATCTGCACGTAGCCGTCGTACTTGTCCGGGCGCAGATACCGGAGGAGGAAGTTGGGCTTCTCCGTGGGGGTGTCGGTCACAGTCAGACCCTTCTCGGCGGAATCGACATTGGCCACCCCGCTGTCACGCGCCCCAGAGCCACCAGCAAGACCTTCATCCGATGCCTCCCCGGAGTGACTCAACTTGGTCTCTTCCCGAGACAGCAGGGCTTCTTCTTCCGCTTCCAGGTTCTTCGGTAGGTAATTGATGAGAGGCTCCAGTGCGCTGTTGAGGGCTACGTGGTAGAGGATACAGACAATCAGGAGGATGATGAGGAGAATCAAGGGACCAAGGGCAATTGTGTTGGCGGCAGTTGCGATAGCAAAGAGACCGATCAGGCAAACCATCAGGAGATAGCAGCCCACCGTCAGATGTTTCAGGGCTTGAACGTAGGCCCTGCCTTGAGTGTCGATATCGGCATTCGTCACATAGAGCATATTGTACCGGTAGGCGAAATAGAAGAGATAAAGACCGATGGCTGCGAACCCGAGCACGAGGGGTGCGATACACGAATAGACAATAGCTGCATGCGTGGACAATGGTCAGCCTGTTCAAACTCCACACATATACTTGGCTACCAGGTAATTCTTACCAATGACTGCGAGAAGAGTGAAAACGGGATACACGGTTCCCCAGCCGAGACCAGAAAGGCTGGACCAGCGAGTGTACATCTTCCGCGGCGTGCTATCCAGCAGCTTGCCCAGAATCTTCCCGAGGATCAAACCACTGATCTGCAGCAAGGCACCGGCGCTGAAAGACAAACCCTGCAGAATAATGTAGGAAATGTAGAAGTTGGAAGCAGTGGGGATATTTTGAGCCAGCAGGGACGCGGCTGAAGTGGGCTTGTTGATGATCTTGGTGACGACACTGGAGGCGGAGGATGCAAGGGTGACAACCAGGAAGACCTGGATCACTTCGAACGCAAAATAGAAGTTCTGTGTAGTCAACTCCACCGCGGCCGCGGTGGGAGCACCGCCGAGTTTTGCCGCCACTGCCAAAGATCAGAATGGGCCCGACTTGGGGAGACGTGGGGTTAGTTTTCGAACTTACATCGGAGGATAATGGGCAGCAACGCCATGAGCACGGACATCAAGACAGTAGGCAGTAGGGACGTGATGACACCCAGAATCCAGCTTGGAACGTCCTCAATGAAGCCAAGGAAAGGAACCTTGTCGACAATGTAGTTGATGTTCGAGATAGTACCGACAACGGCAGTTGGGATAGCCCAGAAAACAATCAATGCGATGACAAATGCGATGGTCGCAGAGTAGCGAATGAGCCGCTCCCACCACTTGATACGCAAGTTGGACCAGATGACCTGGGTGGGTTCCAGGCCGATGTAACGAGGCGCCATGCGCAGGGGGGAATTGTGGGCCACTGAGTGCAAGTTAGCATTGCAGGGATATGGAGGGGGAACGGGCATGCTAACCGGACTGGTAAGCCAACTGGGCATCGACCTGGTGGTGGAACTCAACAAAAACCGATGAAACAAGGTCTGCATCACCAGCCCGATGTCTGGCCTGGAGCTCCTCGATCTCCGGACTAAGACGTTCGATCTCAGACCTCGCCCAGTTGATCGTATCCACCTTCTTGCCGACAAGTATCGTGAGACGGTGCGTGGGACGGTCAGAGGGTCTGACCCAGCGGGCTGCAACCGAGCCAGACTCATCGTCAGAATCGTTGCAAAGAGTGTCGTCTGCAGTCTGGCCATCCTCCGTGTTTCCTTGCTTCTTCAGGGCCTTGAGCCGCGCGGCATTGGCTAGCTTGATGAGCTTCGTTTCCGCAGCCTCAAGCTTCATGGCAGCGTCATCGCGCGCAGCAACCTTGTCGTCCAGTTCGCTGGTGTTGGTCGTGAGCCACACAGTCTTCACTTTCTCGGGTCCGAACATCTGCCGAATCTTGTCGCGATTCAAATAATCTTCCGTGACAGCGGTGAAAAGCACGGTACGGGATGAGAGACGGCTGGCGTATGCCGGAGAGAGAGCATAGGCGTGGCGCAGGTTGATGTAGAAAATGCACTCGCGAGTGATGGTGAAGAAGACGAACCCTAGAAAGGCTGTTAGCGACGCGGTCGAAACCGGGTGTCAGGTGTACTCGCCGACAAACAGCCATGCGACAAACGCATGAGCAAAATAGCGTGCGTATTTATCGGAGGTGATGTTTGACATGCTCAGTTTATCCATCTGCTTTTTTCCACCGCCTCCAGTGGCATTGATCGGCCACAAGATGGGCCAGGTCATCAACGCGCCCACGAAGCAGATCATCGAGACGATTTTCAGAAAGCGCAATAGCAGGTACGCATCCATGGAGTGGTGTTGCAAAACATATTCATCGGGCAGCCGGTACATCTGCAGGATCCAATCCCACAGGCCGGTGGGCGAAGCAGGAGTCCGTTCCGAGGGTCGCAGAACTCCCAGGTAGGTTCGAGGCATGTACATCCGGAATTCCCTGCGTCGCAAGATAATGAAGCCGACGACCATGGCCACGGCCACGATCAAGGAGGGGACCAAAGTCGAGACGAGGCCTGAGGCCGAGTTGGAAGTGCCCTGCACATCTTCACTGCTGGTCTATGGCAGGGTCAGAGATGCGCTGCAGATAATATATGCGACCGAATCGATCATCGAGACTTACACGTCCGGCCAAGTGATGAAGGCCTTGCAGGCCGACATCATGGATAGCCATGATGCCAGTGAGTCAACCCTGTGGCAGCGCAGGCAGTGGATGAAGTCGAAGAGAGAGTAGTTATTACGTCAATGCATCAAAGGGTGTGCAGATGTTGCACGATCGACCGACCGCAAAAGAGGGGGAGGGGAGGATGCAGGCAAGGGAACAGCCAGGATCGAGATTGAGATTTGTGTGTCCAAACAGGAATTAGGAAAGGGTCAAAAAAAAAGGAGGGGAGGGAGGATTGTTTAAACGAAAAGAGAAAAAGTAAAGAATAGACTCAAGGGGCGCAAAGCTTAAGGAGAGAGAGAGGGGCCACCAGCGAGGAACCTTTTTTTGTGGTTGGGTTATGATCTGCCCACGTAAAAAAAAAGGAAGAAAAGAAAGGGAAACGAGATTGGGTGCAACCGTTCAAGGCATGCCAATTGGCTCCCCAGGAATGAAAATGGGTTCGGCGTGAAGGAAATCTCGGGTCACGACGACGACGAGAGGAGAAAAGACTGGAGAGAACTGAGAAGGGGAAGCAGATGAAGCTAGTGCCACCACGAGGGGATCCCAAGCACTCCACTTGGTGGCCCGGGGGTCTTTCACGACGAGTGAGAAGCGCAGCCAGCAGCGCGCCAAACATGGATCTCAGATGCGATCGTTGGGTCGCCGAGTCTGGGTGGGTGGGCAGTCGATGACGAGGGAAAGGCCTGCGTAAGGGGAATTCCGATCGCTTTCGCAAGCTAGATACCTACTTAGTTTTGTTTTGACTTTTGAGTTGATCAACAGCAAGTGACGATCGTGCTCCGTTTCAGCCACTGCTCGTCATAATGAGATGGCCATCATGCCAGACAGCAGCCATCATCATCATCATCATCATCATCATCATCATTATCATCTCCGCGAGAATTCTCGCGAGGTTTTCCATTGGGCCCGAACTGGGTTGCCCATCACACCCTGGCAGGAAAGCTTCCCCTCTTCTGACCTGGCCCGACATCCTGGACATGAACAATATTCCGAGGCGTCGGGAAATGTGGCTGGAGAGGATGATAAGGAGTGGATGACTTGTTCAATAGATCGGCCTAGCGCCACTAGCCTCTGACTCGCGCTCGCTTACCGTTTCCGTATTAATGCTGTAATTTTATGGTATGGGTCTCCTTTATTCTGCGGCAAACCTGCAGTGCTGGTGTGGAAATCCCCGTAATGTCGGTAATTACTACTATCTGCCCATGGCTTCTTGCAGGAGAGCGTCGTGTCCGGTAGCGAGGTGGCAAACCCGACCTTCAGCTTTGGGTCAGGAATTTGCAGGTACGAGCCCGTGTGGCTGGGACAGCGACGGGCTTCTCCGTGGCTCGCAAAGGGGCGCAGTTGCGACCGACGCAAACAGCAGCCATGAGATCACTGTTCCTGAGGTCACATCCTATCCATAGTACTAGACTGCTACACACATCATAGTACGGAGTATAGTAAGTCCCTAGGTCCTTAATCATCATAACAACCTGCACGGTTAATAAAAGTTTCTATTTTCAAGTTTGACAGTTAAGCCAAGGTCGGGGTCTGTCCGATGGTTGGCTTGCGACTTCGCCCATGGAGCCCAGCGTTTCACTACGAAGACTGACACGCTCCGACGGTTTCATTGCGCAGTTGCCAGGTCCTGTGATCTGATCCATCCAGCCATATTGCTTGCCGCGCTGCTTGCTGTTTGCTGTTTGCTGCCATGGGAGTGACGTGCCAAGTCGCCACCGGGCATTTGCCCAGGCTTCGCACCTATGGAACACAATCACCATTCGTATATCTTGTCCAATGTGTTCATCTATGATCAGTACATCCCCCGGTCCTGGTTCCTTCGAACCTTTCCTTGGGTCAGAGGTTCATCCTTAGTCCGTGGACCCGCAGCAATCAAACCAGTCTTCAGCCCCGTGCTAGGGCCATCCCGTACCAGATCTGAGGGCCTCCGGCAACCAGGCAACCCTTTTTCTCGCGCAAATTTTGACAAGCTAGACTGGCTTGAGGTTAGCTTGTCTAGTTCAACACGGCGGTGTACAGAGTTTAACAAAGGCTTGACAGCAGACAGCTTGCTGTCGAAGCTTGTCGCTCAGAGTCCGTCAAACATAACATGTCGATGAATTCCTTGAGATCTTGCAGGCGTGATGCTGTAATAGGTATCGTCGGCATCTTGACGCGCGTTGTCGCTGAGCAATTTTACGGCGGCTTGAGCTGAGATAGAGCGTTAACATGAGCTATATCTGATCACTTGCTCAACAGCGGTAATTGGATGTGCTGGTACTAGGTCCTGATAGGCAGGCTTGTCCAGACTGGCCCTACCAGATTACGTGTTGGTCACGTTAACATGAGCACTCGTGAATATCGGAAAAGACACCCACGTACTTGAAGATGCTGAGTGGCAAATGACTATATAGTAGTGATGTTAAGCCCACAAACTTACAAAGCATTGCGATTTAAAACATGCGAGCTCAGAATCAGGACGATGGATGTGTTGACACATCGAATGAATCCGTCTGGTATGATTCTATCAAGATGGAGCAAACAAGAACAGAGATGACACAGATCACCTGACATGAAAGATAATAATTCCAGAGTTACACTCTTAATCATACTATCGTGACCTCAAAATCCCACGCAGGCCATTTTTGAATCCGATCCACATAGTCGCCACGTTCTGGGCCATGCGACAACTCAATCTATATTTTCTCAATAATAAGGGAACCGTTCTCATGACAGTTTCAATTTCTCGAGAGTCAGGATACCCATGAGTATAAGTACTCTGAAATATGCCAGGGTACCTGGACTGAGAAACGAGAATCATCCTGCTCTACAAAACAAATATCCCAAGACGGCTATTTTATCCAGGAAACGAATCCAACCAGCATCACCCCTGTACCCGAATCACCAAGCCGAATTCCTCAGAGCGAGCGATCCAACCACCAACAACCTCCCTCCTCTCCTCTTTCCTACCTCCTCACCAGAGTACCAGCATCCCACCCTATCCCTCAAAGAAACCCACGACCAGCCCAAAGCAAATCCAAGTCCAACCCCCGGGATCTGCTTCACATAGATACCTCCCCATACCCAATTACCCATCCTCATCCTCATACCACGGGATTTGACACCCCACCCCATAAATCACAAGTCACATCCAAAACATGACACCCAGACCTAAAAACAAAAAATAATAGATTAAATTACTAACCCTCCAATACTTACTCCTGTCTCCTTCAGCTTCAACCAAACCAAACCCCGACCCCTCTCACATCCAAATAAGCTTAACCCAATCCAGCCCCTCGTACTTGTGTTTCCTACCTGACGAGCTGACTCGGCGAATACCCAAAACAGCAAGGTGCAGTAGCGTTGGTGCTGCATCCGTGCATAATGGGCAAAAAGTACCATGTTGCAGCATTATTATTGATTCTCGAGCCATTCTCTAATTCAAGTAAAGTCTAGTTCAGTTCACACTTGGTTGGTTGGTAATTAATTCACGCTAACTGGTGGCAATCAATACTACCACCACCAGCACCACCAGGTAGATAATCAATTCATCCAAAACTAACTTTATTCAAATAATAATACCTAGGTATGTATGTAGGGGAAAGAACAATCGGTGACGAAAAAAAAAAAAGATCCATCGCATGCACCAACACCAAGGAACGGGGTTGTTGTTGTTGCTGTTGTGGTGGGGACAAACCAATGCAATAGGTAAGTGGTTGTGGTAAAGCCGTGGGATGTGGACGGATACTATATCCGGTAGGTAGAAAAATTATGTGATGTGTTCTAGTATAATCCTACCTATGTGGTGCATGCTTGTGTATGCATACTTGGGTAGGTATGTTACATATGTTAAATGAGTGAATCTGGGCCTTTTTTTTTTCTGATTGTCGGTATGTGTCATTGGTGTTATCTATGTACTTATTGCTAGCTTATGCTTGGTGGTTTGAATGGGTACTAGTAGGTAGGTAGATAGAGGGAGGGATTGGATTGGTTGGCTTACGTGGCGAGGACTGAAGATTGTGTGTGAGGGTGAGAGAGAGGGAGAGAGAGAGAGAGAGGGTAGTACTAGCGGTGGAGAGATGCTACAGGTCATTCTAGAAGACCCCCCCGATCTCGGGTCACACCACACACAATGCGGGGTCATTGTCAGAGCACACAGGTAGCCACAATGACAATGTACGATGATGCTGCTAGCCGCAAAAACAATCACTTTCATTCGTACCTAAAGTACGGTACGCTCTGCCCGAAATGGTACATACTCGCGCTCGCAAACACTGGCTAACTATCGACGGGGAGGGCTGGGTATCTCGATTTTTTCCGTAGCCTCAAGGAGAAGCGAGTAATTCCTGCTCGAAAGCGTCGATCCCGCGGATCGGGGATGTAAGCATGAGTAGGCTGTATAGGATCTCGTTGTATTGGAACTGAAGGTCCGGTCGGAGCTGCTTGTGCATTTTCAGCAGTTCCCCCGTTGACCATCCCCGTTCGGGATCCTTCAAGTCCGAGGTATATCCTTCTTCCAAAAGCAACCAGATAAATGTCTCGCAGGCTGGATATCGGTCCAGCTTGTGGTCTCGTACTAGTCGGTGGAGATGGTTGAGGAACCGTCCAGTCTTGCTTGCGGATTCTTGGAGATCCCACAGTGCTGCGGTGATGTATATCAATGCGGCCGTTCGAGTGATCTCCTGGGTGGGCGCATTTTGCACAACATACATGCGCGCATCCTGCGGCACTTGGGATGGTCTCGGGCCACTGGAAAGCAAGGGAAACAAGGGACTATCCATTTGGAACGCCGTGCGTCGCTGGGGAACAGACATCAAGTAGGGGCCCGTGCTATGCTGGCGCATCAGCCCCTCAGCCGCACGGAGGAAGGTGACGAGCCATTGCTTTCCGTCTTCGCTCATTTCCATGGGCGGTGGCATCATGACATATCGCACATAATGCATGAAAACTTCGACCGTGCTCGGTGGCCCGGAGCGAGACCGGAGGATTTGAACGGCCTGGTCTTCGTATCGCCTGGCGAGTTGTTTGTCACCAAATCGATCCTCGTGTAGTGACATGCCACTGAGTGCTAATGCCAGGGTGTCTTCATCGACTCCTGAAGTTCCTTTTCTGGCTTCCTTGATGCCTTCGAGGGCCTTTCCCAGATGATGCTCGGCTTCCTTGGTATTTTTCAGGTCGTAGAGCTGGGCTTTCCAGCGTGCGCAGTACGTAAGGATGACCGTTTGAAAGCACAATGGGTGGTCCATAGCGGCTTTAAACACAAGATCTTTTATATACTTGTTCTGTCCGGACCAGTAAGTTAGCCGGTTAGTCCAGTAGTCGGCTAGCTCAAGGTCATCGCTCGAGCAGATCGCTGACAGGCTGTCGAATGGATCCTTTCTGGAGGCATCGAGAAGGGTGACGGGTGAAGGCGACTGGAGATCATCGACAGAAGGAGGAGGGGATTGCAGAGGAGGGAGACCAAAGGGGACCTATACAACCACCATGTCAGTCTGATAAAGGGGAGAGCGTTGTACACAATCCAACCGATCGGACAGCCGCCAAATAGGTTCGAAATGTCTACAAAAGCCATGAGACCTACCAGGGAATCACTATTCACTGGAGCCTCGCTGGGAACCTCCTGGGGAGTGAACGTTTCATAGTCATCATTACTGTCCACATCCGACCGTTTCTGAGGCCATGGGGAGTATCGAAGAGGCCGATTACTCTTCTTGTCCCCGTCATTTCGAGAGTGGGAAGGCTTTCGCTGCCTTCGTTTCTCCTGAACATGGTGACGCATCACATGAGCCCGTTTTTCCCGGGACGAGGAATTGGAGTCGACAAAATAGAAGATCTGATTCCTGGAGGATTGATCATCCGACATGGGCAAATGCCTTCGCCGTCTAATCCTCAAAGGAACATGAGGGGTGTCACTGGGGGTTCCTGGGGAGGATGTTGGTAAGCTCGTCGACTGCAGGGGCAAAACAGCAGAAAGACGGCAGTAAGAGACCCACGTTGTTGGTGTTCAGATTCAGAAGAGGAGGTACCCCGTACCCCCGAGCTGGAATCAAGAGTAGCTGGATCAGCCAAAGGAGGCATATCCGCCGACATGACGGGTTCCTTTGGCACCGGGGGAGGGATTGTGGCGGGCGGTTGACGGGGTGAAACGAGGGCGGAGCTCGTTAGGACTGCATGTCGGAGACGTGAGATGACAAAAAGCCTCCAGCGAATGGGGACGATTGGAGGATGCGACAATTCCTCAGGAGGGACAGGGAGGAAGCATGGCAGAATAGGCCAGAAGGGGACTAACCAACTCGGACCACCTGTCAGTCCGTCAAGCCATGGGAAGAGCGAGCAGTTTGCTGCTTATCTATCGGGCCTGGCATATATTATTATTATGGCATAAGAACGACCGCCCCCGACCTGTCCGCTTCTTATTAGGGATGGGAGGTAGTGGGGTCGACGACAACTAAGAGGCCCCGCTAGTCCGACTCCGAAAGTTTATTTGGTCTGACGCTTGCTGCGGATTGGCTGCCCGTCTGCGCAGGCTCCGGGAAAAGTGTCTCCGCCGCCGACCATTGGTTGCGGAACGAAGCCCTCTGCTTGCCCTTGGGACGGATCCGCTTGGTGCCAGGTTGGGCCGGTGTGGGCTCGAGGACCTTTGCCCGCAACCAGCTAGCCCGGTGGGGATGTCACCGGGTTCCGTGCGCGGCACGCAGCTGACATAAGCACTTTCCAGTTCTCTCCAGCTCTCTTCCCCTTGCAAAATCACTTAACGCGTCGGTCCCGCAACAACCTTTTCCCGACGCGTTCGTGTAGCATTCGCGTCCCACGCAAAGCTCGTCGAAAAAGAATTGAAACCCCAGCAACAACAACAACGCTGCCCCCCATCCATAATAAACTATCAACCACTATCCTCCCCCTCGAGGCTGGCCCTTTGGACCGACATTTTGGATCGGTGATACATTGAAGTCTTATACTGCCACTTACCTATCGCATCCAGCCAGTTCCTACCCCCCTCCCTCCTTCGCGGCCTTGCTCTGGCCCTCCGCCCTTCACCATGTCTTCCCTCTTCGATGCCGTCCTGCAGTCCGAACTGGGCTCCACGACAGGCAACCAACGCCTTCATTCCGACCAGATCCCCAGCTCACGACCACAGCCACCCTCGGAAAGCAATGGCCCCATGAGTGACATGCATGGCTTCCCTGATGACCAAGTCGCCGACTCCAATGCCTCCACCGTTACCCGACTACGCAATCCCTATCTGCCCGGTCCACCTCCGGTCACCGATGTCGCAGGCGAGAAAGTGCAGCAGGCCTTTGCAGAATTGCTCGAAACTTACCAGGAAGAGGCGCCCTCGTCGGCACAGGCCCCGCTGTCGTCACAAGTCCTAAGTGATAAATACTACATCGCCCAAATTATGGGCATGGCGAAATGGGAACTCTCCACACTCTATGTCGACTTCACCCATCTCACCTCCATGAGCAGCCCCATTCTGGCCGATGCCATTGCCAACCAATACTACCGATTCCAGCCCTTTTTAACCAAGGCTCTCCACGACCTGATCGCCAAGTATGAGCCGGAATACTTTGCCTCCCACCGTCAGGCTACCGCCACAGGTAGCGTTTCCTCCCAAGCCGGCACCTCGATGATCGCCGGCAACTCGAGCGTCTCCGACAACCCGGAATTGGAGCGCAACATTCGTGAGAAGACCAGACACCAACAGACAGATAAGCTGTTCTCGTTGGCTTTCTATAACCTGCCCCTTGTGTCCAGACTGCGCCAACTTCGCACCTCGCAAATCGGAAAGTTGGTCTCTGTTTCGGGCACAGTCACACGGACATCCGAAATCCGACCGGAGCTGTCACTCGGAACCTTCATTTGCGAGGAGTGCAAGGCCGTCGTCACCAACGTGGAACAGACCTTCCGTTACACTGAGCCTTCACAATGTCCCAACAGCACCTGCGGTAACCGCTCCGGTTGGCGGTTGGATATCGGCAAGAGCACGTTCGTGGATTGGCAAAAGCTGAAGCTACAGGAGTCGTCTCACGAAATCCCAACGGGCAGCATGCCCCGGACAATGGATGTCATTCTTCGTGGTGAGATGGTTGATCGTGCCAAGGCTGGTGAACGGTGCATCTTTACGGGTACTCTGATCGTGGTACCGGATGTCAGTCAATTAGGACTGCCTGGTGTGCGACCAGAGGCGGTCCGCGATGACGGTGCTTTCCGTGGCAGTGATATTGGGGGTGGTGGAGTTACTGGACTGAAGGCTCTCGGTATTAAAGACTTGACCTACCGACTGGCCTTCCTTTCTTGCATGGTTACCCCCGACACGACAACACCGGGCCAGCAGTCCAACCAGCAGCTTAATGGCCAATCGAACAACATCTTGGCTTCCCTGAACCAAAACCGGGACCCTGAATCCAATGAAGACCAGGCCCAGGAAGCTCTCCTCCAGAGTTTGACTCCGTACGAGGTCCAGGACTTGAAGAATCTTGTTCACTCCGAGTACATCTACTCTCGTTTGATCGACTCGATCGCCCCCATGATCTACGGTCACCGGCAGATCAAGAAGGGACTGCTGCTGCAGCTCATCGGTGGTGTCGGCAAGTCCACGGAGCAAGAGAACCTCCAGCTTCGTGGTGACATCAATATTTGCATTGTTGGCGATCCCTCGACGAGTAAGAGTCAGTTCTTGAAGTAAGTCCTCGCCTTTATCGCTTATTGGTTTGCCATGCCATTACTTACGCCATCATAGGTACATCTGCTCGTTACACCCTCGCGCGGTCTACACCAGTGGTAAAGCCTCGTCTGCTGCCGGTTTGACCGCATCCGTTGTCAAGGACGCCGAGACGGGTGAATTCACAATTGAAGCCGGTGCTTTGATGTTGGCTGTAGGTGACCTCGCTTCTTGATTGCTTCCCTGAAACTGACGCTCATGGTCTATTAGAACGGAGGTGGTATCTGCTGTATCGACGAATTCGACAAGATGGACATCAGCGACCAGGTCGCCATTCACGAAGCCATGGAACAGCAGACGATTTCCATCGCAAAGGCGGGCATTCATACCACTCTCAACGCACGCGCGTCGATTCTCGCCGCCGCCAATCCCATCGGCGGCCGATACAACCCTAAGTCTACGCTACGCGGAAACCTCAACTTCAGTGCCCCCATTATGAGTCGATTCGATTTGTTCTTCGTCATCCGGGATGACCCCAACGAAACGGTCGATCGCAATCTCGCTGATCACATTGTCAACGTTCACATGAACCGCGATGAGGCTGTTAACCCCGAGCTCAGCACCGAGCAATTGCTGCGCTACATCCGATTTGCCCGTACATTCAAGCCTGTCTTCACCGAGGAGGCCAAGGCTTATCTGGTTGAGAAGTACAAGGAGCTCCGTGCCAGCGATGCTCAAGGAGGCATGGGCCGCTCTTCGTACCGCATCACGGTCCGTCAGCTCGAGTCACTGATTCGTCTCTCGGAAGCCGTTGCCAAAGCCAATTGTGTGGAGGAGATCATCCCCAAGTTTGTCCGTGAGGCATACGATCTTCTTCGACAGAGTATCGTCACGGTCGAGAAGGACGACGTCGAGGTCGATGACGACGAAGCCGCAGCCGCAGATGGCGCTGCAGATGAAGAGGACCACGAAATGGGTGATCGTGATCGTGAAGGTGACAGTCCCATGCGTGAGGATGTCGAAACTTCACAGCCCAAACGTGTCCGGACCAAGATCACGTATGACAAGTACATGAAGATCCTGAACCTCATGGTCCGTCGTGTTAGGGATGATGAGGCCAACTCCGGCGAGGGTGTCGAGCAGGAGGATCTCCTCATCTGGTACCTGGAACAAATCGAGTCCGAGATCGACACGGAGGATGATTTGCAGAATGAGCGGTCTTTGGCCGAGAAGGTTGTTAAGCGAATGGTCAAGGTATGTTCTATTACTATCAAGTCTCCTTTGATGTTCTCCAACTAACATATAATCTACAGGACAACATCCTCATGCCTATTCGTGGACAAGGCTTGGTGGATGCAGACGAAATCCAGGATGAGCAATCCCAACGGACTGTCTATGTGATGCATCCCAACTGCGCTATTGATGAGATGTAATTTCGTTTTGTGTTTTCGGTTCGGGCAAGGTATAAGGTTTGATCTAGGAGCTGGTGGTTATGAGTGATGATATCCATCTTGATATTGATATTGCTATTGATATTGAATTCCACTTTATCTTCAGTGGAAATTGTGTTATAGACTGAGGTCTGGAGTGGAGTGTATAGGTTTTGATATATCTTCTAATCTCATTGGTAGTACAAATTATGAACTGCTGGTATCTTTTTTCCTTTCATTTCATGGGCAGCTTTGATTCGTACTGTTACTTGGGACAGAATGTGTTGCCAAACCTACACCCCTTTTTTTCTCCTATCTTCCGTTTTCCTCTTGGCTAGTTGTATCACAATCTAATGAGATTTTGCCCTTACTACCATAACCAAGACACAGGATATAACGAAGTGTGTTTGAGAACTAGGTCATTGTTCACTTTCTCGCTTCAGAAATATGAAATCTCGGAACCTTTTCATGTCATCAAGATAGAAGTACACCCACCCCCATAACTCCAGGCTAAATCACAGAACAGAATTAAACAGGAACCCCGATAACTCTAGCAAAGCAAAAGAACATATAAAATCAATCAGTCATGATCTCATCAGATACAACTCAACCGAATGCAGCGAGGCAACCCCCTCCAGAACAGCTCACAGCCGTCTCGTCCCCCGTCGTCCACGCCCAACACCAACACTCTGTGAGCCCTCACCCTCACCCTCACCCCCACCCCCAAGCACCTCACTCTGCATCAACGGATTCAATGAAACCTCAGTAACACCCAGCCCCCCACCACTACGCGAAGCAAGCTGCCCCCTCTGCCGTCTGAGACCAGAATACCTCCTCCTTCGCAACTGATCACCCAGAGCCTCATCCATAGGATCAACCTCCGTATCAGCATACTCCAGCTCCTCTTCCTCATCAACATCAACATCACCTAGATGACGACCCTCAACCTCATCAGCATAACAATAAACCCCAACGGGGGACCCAAACACATCCTCACCTTGAAGACCATCACCCCCTTCCATCTGCTGATGAGCATCAACCTGCGAAAAACTCTCAGTCTCAGTTTCGGTCCCATTCGGATTATCATCCCCCTCATCCACATTCTCCTTATTCTCATCCCAGTCCCGATAAACACGTACTTCATGATGATTCACACCCACGTCATATCCTTCCGTCACGGGATCCTCATAGATCGCAAACTCGGCTCTAGCACCAGCCCCAACCCCAGTAAGACACCCCTTCTTTCTACTCTTCGGCGTCACATCGTCCTGGATTTGGACGTGGTGGTGATGCGTCCGATGCACAGGTGATGAATTCACCGTCGCGCCAGCAGAACTAACCACCATTTCCTCACTCTCCTGCTCATCTTCACCCGCACACTCATACCCATCCCCAACCTCACCATCAACCTCAACATCAACATCAACATCAACATCAACATCAACGTCCATATCCCCATCCCCACCCTTGATCCTCTCCTCCCACCTCTGCAACTCATAACACCTCCTCAGCTGCGCATTATATTCCTCGTCCCTCGCCTGGTCGGGCAACATTGCAAGCCTGAACATCCGATCATGCGCTTCGTTCAAGACCCGTCGATTCAGCATCCTGTACCGATGCATGGTGATTTCATCTTCCTGGGCTTGGATCTCGCGGTTGAGGGCTTCTTCGAGGCGTTCGGCTTGCAGGGTGAAGGGGGAGGGGAGACGGGGTCGTTTGGCGTTATGGGGTTGGGTGCTGTTGGGGTCGGAGTCACTGTCGTTGGCATTGTCATAGGCTCGTTTTCTGTGGGTGCTTGCTATGGTTGTGGATGTTGTGGTGGAGGCGTAAGTGTTGGTGTTGAAGCTGGGGGTGGTGATGGGGTGGATGAGGTCCTGGGTGGAGGTGAGTGGGTTAATGAGTTTGGGTTGGACGTGGGGAGCTGTGAATGGGTGGAGCTGGGAGGGAGGGTTAAATGTTCTTGTACTCACTTCTTGGTCCATTTTGTCGATGATGTCGTTCATATTGTGCTGGTGGGTTGTGCTAAGGTAGTTGAGTTAGTGATTCAGTTGTGGGAGAGGAAGGGGGGAGATTCTTATCGAATAGTGATAGGTGTGCTTGACAGCAAGGAAAAGGGATTTGATGCTCTGGATGCATCGAATAACGGGCATCATCAGGATGTAAGGTATGACAGATGAGAGATGAAGCTAGACTTGCCTTGAGGGGGACGGAGAGATCACAACCGGGTCAAATGGAGAGCAACGCTGCAAGATCCACAGGGACTATGTCTCAGAGTATGGGTGAGAGTAAGATGCAGGAGGAAGTTGGGTGAGAGAGAAGGTGCTGGGACCAACAGCCAGCGGGCAGAAAATCACCAGTCATTCACTACGCATGTCAGAGCCTGAGGCATCTGGAGGCAAACCAGGCCTACGCAACTAGAACGAAATGGCACATCAATCCAAGCAATAGGTTTCATTGAAGTCATGACAAGCTAGGTACTCATGCTGCCATCATCATGACGGGAGATCAATATCCGGAGATCCTCGATCTGCCCATTGCTCTCCTTTATCCAATCCCCCGGGGTTGTTGTACATCCAGTTCCATTTCAACCTGGCTGTGATCCAGTCTCCTCAATCTGCCATAGCCACTGCCGATGGCCAGGCCTGTCCAGGAATTCATCAACCCTGCCTTTGTCATGCACCAAACAATCACGAGTAGATGAACCAGATACAAGAAGATTAGAAGGTGTATTGATCGGGCGTAACAAAGACATAAGTAGGAGAAGATCAAAGAATTATTTCATCTGCTGCTGCATTCTCCTCAGGTCGTCTTCTTTCCCAGGATCCTGTACTAACCACCCCGCACTGGCTCCCTCCCTACCGGAACTGTCCAGGCCCGATCATGCCGCCTCTGGCGTCACCGCCAACCTGGCCGAACATATCCAACAGGTGCCGGGAAGAAGGGGGAGGCACTTGTGGTCCGGGGTTGCCATCGAAGGGACCCTGTCCACGGTGAGCAAGCCCCATAAGAGCTTCTCCGTTGGGTGGCATGGGTGGGAAGCCAGATGGCGGAGGGCCGTTCATGTAGCCCGGAGGAGGCATCATGCCGGGAGGGGGAGGACGTGGGAAGGGTTCGCGCTCGCCGAGGGGTGGGGCAGTAGCATGCATGGGCATCATGTTCGACATATAGCTTGGGTTGACCCCGCGCGTAGGTGTCGGAATACCCGGGGGAGGAGCCAAAGGCCCCGGTCCAGCAGCTTGCTGTGGTGGAAGTTGGGGGCCTGGCCATCCGGGAGGAGGCATGTGCTCGAAGCCTGGAGGTCTCTGCATAGCCATGGCAGGGTGGGCTTGACCCTGAGGACCCCTGGTTCCGCCGGGCGTAATGGGGAGGTGGCTGCCCTGGGGAAACGGCATATCTTCGAAATATCCCATGGGCGGTCCATTTGCGGGCCTGCGACGAAGATGATCGGCGTCAGGTCTCTGCATGTTGGCAATCGCTGGGTCATCCAGGAAGTTGGGGCCCTTTTGAGCAGAGGGGATGCCTGGAGGGGGAGACAGCACTTCTGGCATGCTCAATAAACTGGGAGCCGGGCCAACAGGGCCAGCGCTCTGTGGCTGGCTTTGGATACCTGGGTTGGCAACAGGAGTAACTCGAACCTGCTGCATCAGTCGCAGGAGATGTTCCCTGTCTCGAGCCTGGGTTTCCTGAATGTACGGGTTTTCCTTGAAGGGAGGGCCGGCAGCGGTCCGGGAAACTGTCTCCTGCATGGCCAAGTACTCCTGCCGCTTGATTTGATCTCGGGCCGGGGATGACACGGCGCTCCGGATTTGTTCTGCTTGCACCTGAGAAGGAGGTCGGTTGGTTGGCATAGGATCATTGTGGGGCGTAGCGTTGCGCGACCTTCCTCCACCAAGCATCTGCAGGATACGTTGGAACCCTTCCTGATCCGCGTCGGTATTGACAGCGTGGATGGAAGGCGATGACTTCGTCTCCGGTTGATATTGATATTCCGGTTCCTTGGCAGGGCTTCCGGGGGGTGGTGAGAATAGACCAGCAAAGCGCGAGGACTTCCCAGGTTTTCCCGGAAGCTGTTCTTTCTTGATCGTCGGTTCCACCATAGGAGGAGCGCTGACCTCCTGGGGCACCTGGGGCACCTGAGGGGGCGGGGGTGGCTTGGAGTCCCCGAGCAATCCGAAGAAGCGCTCCATGGCAGAATCCGACGCAAACGGGGTGCCATTGCTGCTGAATATCTCACCATCGGTAGGCCGAGGCTCTGGCTTCTGCGCAGGTACAGCGGCTGTCTCCACGGGAACTTCCTTTTCCTCGGTCTGAGCCTGGGAAGAGCCAGCCTTCATTCTTTCTTTCCAGCGCTCAAAGTCTTCTTGTGTGTGCACCCGCCGGGGCTCATCTTTATCGGTCGAGTCCAACCACTCGGGATCCTGTTCAAACTTGGCTCCCCGAGTCCAGTCACGATCTGCACCGTGCCGATCTCGGCGCCATTCTCGGTTTCGTACCGGAGTCTTCTCCTCGTCCGCCTCAGGCGCATCGTGAACATTATCATCACGGAACCAACTTCCCTCATGTCTCGCACGTCCGGGTGTGCCATCCTTCCGCGGGAAGAATCGCGCATCCTTATCTCTCGCGCCCCGGTCATTGTTGTTGGGGTCACGCTGATCGCGGGTTGCTTCCCACCGATCGAACTCTCCGTTGCGTCTGGGCTTTCTTTCTTGCTCTTCTTGGCCGAAAGTGCGACGGGGGCGTCCGCTGTTCCAGTCTTCTCGGTCCCCACGCCGGTTGTTAAATGTTCCTAGCTTAGCATCTCGTCGGTCAAAGTCACGATCACCAGACTCCCGCTCTTTGAAGAACTTCTCCCGCAAGTTGAATCGGTCATTCTTCGAATCGTCCTGATCGTTTGGCCTGGACGATCGTTCTGTGGCATCTATCGATCCTTTACCGGGTATGCGAGAGGCCGAAGCAAAAGCGGTCTTGGGGGGTCCGAGAATGATGTCCTCTATATGAGATGAACAATTGCGTGCGTTAGCAATGCTCCTAATATTCCGTTTCGAGAACAGAATTGTAGAAATTAAACATCCGATGAAAGGCCATGTTATTTACCTGAAGCCGATCCACGGGATATATGACGAGTTTCGAAGATGCTGGGCCTTCTAGGCGTCGTCTCATGTGGGTTATTGGGGTCTCGAGGGTTGGTTGTTTTTCGTTGGGTAGCTGGGTCAGGGATTGGGCTAGCAAACCAAGTGCATCAGCTTCGGGACATCGCACTGATTCAAAGCTACAGGAGCAGGCAATTCGAACTTACCCCATCCATTCTTCATTTGCCGGTAGATTGGCAGGCCTTGTAGCCAGAGGCGATGAGCGCAGCCATAGCAGCTCATCGATCTGGTAACGTCGCGCCATGGGGATGGCTGGGGTGGGTGTGTGGGAGGCTATCGGGATGCCGTTACGTCGTTCTCATTGGTCGCTGCCAGTCCAAGGATGAGAAAAGGTGGAGTTAATCTATCGCGGGACAGGAAAGGAAGACAGAGAGAGGATCAGGACAGGCTGCGACAGGGGGGTAGGGATGAGAGGCAGGGAGCGAAACCACTTGCCAGTGGCAAGGCAAAAGGCGGAGGGAGCTTCGATCGGTCAAGATCCAGGAGCACTCGTTGGGGGAGCAGATGAGGGGCACCCAGCGGTGCAACAAGCCCTGCGACCTGGGTTGCTTCTGGATAGAATATCACAGTTGGTGCTGGGTGGGTAGCTAGTCAGAAGAGCGAGCAAGTGGAAGGGGGAGAAGCTGGTGAGACAGGGACAAAGGGGCAGTGGTGGGTGGGAGAGAGGTGGTGGTGGTGAAGGGGAGTGGAAGTTGCGGGCAAAGATCGAGCAGCACCGCCGGACCGCAGAGAAGTTCAAAACGTGTGCTCTACCCAATGGGGAAGGCCGCCGGCCAGCTTGTCTCCTGGTCGCTTTTCTCCTCCATCCTCCAACTTCATTCCTTCCAGTTCCCTGGATTTCTCCCAGCACCGTCAATTCCACCCCCAAATCTACAGGCTACGGATTTTTCCCCATTCATGGTTCCCCACGAACTCTTTCGTGTTCCCTGCGCAACCGCCTCTTTACCGCACCCGAGACGGTTTGAAATACATAGTACATACCTACTCACAGCATCGCTTGGGATATGTCATATAGGGATCATATGGGTCTCATTTCCTCAACGATGACACCGGAGCGTACAGATACAATTGCAAAATCAAATCAACCTATCATCTGCTATCCAGAACGGACCAAATCTATCGATACAGATTGCTCTAGATGCCCCAAATCAGACGCCAATTAATATACAGCCAAGACCCGTACAGCTCTTTTAGTGTCTAGCCCACAAGGTTCTCCACCGCTTGCAAGGCGGCGCCTCCACTCCATTTGGAAACCCGGTCACTGTCCGACGTTTCCTTCAAGGACTGAGCAATGGCCGTAAGAGTCTGCGTCTCTTTCGCCGTGACGGCCGGCATCTGACTTTGGATCCAGCTGAGGATGCCCGCTCTGGTGATCAGTGTCGTGCTTCCTCGTACTTGCGTCGAGCGATACACCAACTGCAAGACCTTTCTCTTGGCAGAGTAGCCTGCACTGGGCGACTCGTAGAATGAGAGTGCTCTCTCGAAAACGTTCGCGCGGCGGTAGATATCCATATCCTGTGATCAGTGAGCAATGTGGCCACAAATGAACAAGTAGACGGTAATTAACATACTGCCTCGGTGCGAAGGCCCTTGATAAGCAGGTCCAGAAGCCAGTTAATTTCGTCAAAATAACCGTCGTCAAGCTCGGGCTCATTCAGGAAGACCTTATCGATCCAGTACGATGGGATCTTCTCCGGCTCCCAGCAAGGAGCCTTCTGCAGGAACTTGTTGACCTTCCCATACATTTTATGCATCGGAGTCGTAAGAACAGAGAGGCAGTTAGAAGCGCATTCCCCTACTATCCATGGGATGGGAGCCTCAAGGCCAATCTGCTTGACGGTCTCTAGAAGCTCTCCGGTGAGGATGTAGACTGATCGCCATTCCACGTAATTAGACTCCTGTGGATGTGTTAGTTTGCACACACGGATACTGAGAAGGTTACCAAAGTCAACGGTCTACCTACCTTGAGCTTAGCCATGAAGCGAATTATGTTCGCAAATGCCTGCTTCCTGACTTCTTCATGTTCCGAGCACAAGCAGAGCAGCAAATCGGCTATCCGGCCTTGCTCCACGGCAACTTCAATATCATCCTTTTCCCATCGGCGCAGCCCATTATGGGTGGTACCCTCCGTTGGTAGGGTGCCGAAAACTTCGTCTAGATCTACCTCTTCCTTTCCAGCGGTAGTTTTAGCGTCTTGCGACGAATCGTTGGTGTCCATGTCATGGTCGCTGCCAGCATCTTCAGTATCTTTCAAGGCTTTCTTGAGCGTCGATTTCGACTTCTTATTCTCGGCGCTGTCCAATAGCTTGTCTCGGGCACTCTTCAGTGTCTTGCTGTCTTCTCCGGCGCGCTTCAAACTTCCAAGCGTTTTGGCGATCCAGGACACCACTGCACTCTCAGAATTCGCATCTCCAGACTTGACCACAAACGGCCACTGTTCGATGATAGCAGCCACAAGATGGCTGACCGGTTTCGAAGCACCCTGGAACAGGGAGTCAAGAAGGTCTTGGTAATGAACCGGCTTCTTCGCAATTCGACAAGCGCAGTTATCGAAGAAGGATAATTGACGCTGGTACCTCTCAGAATCCGAAGTGTCGAAGCTCGAAAGAAGCGCGGGGAACGAGGAAGGGTGCTGTAAGACAGAGCTCTCAGTGAGGACTGTCCGTAGTAGGCTGTCGATCTCGCTCAGAGAGTCTTTGGACGCTGCTTCGGCCAATACTTTCAAGATTGACGAGAAAGCAGAATATTGCATACTACCCGGTTGCTGCCACCAACGCATAGATGAGGACTGTTGTATAATCCTCAGAATATTTTGCAACTGGCTGAGCAGGGATACGGAATCATCCTCGTCAAGGGTCTGCTCATCTAGTCGTTTCAAAATGTCAACCAAGATCAGTGAAACATCAAGCCCCTCCTCGAATGCAGCGTCCGGCACCACTTCGTAAAACGAGGCAAGAAGATCTGAAACAGCATCTTGCTGCTGCAAGTCCTCCTTGTCCGTTCTCTTGAAAAGAAGTATGACTTCTTTTACCCCAGGGCACCGGCGACTGAACTCGGCAATTAGCTTGCTTGCCGCCTGCGTCCACAATGGTTGGGTAATTCCATGATCAGAGTTGAAAATCTTCAAAACAGCCCGCAGTTTGTTGAAAGCAATTGTCAGGATTCGAACCGCGAACAAAGTTACGATCTCGGCGTTCAAGTTCAGGCAGCGAGTAAGGATCTTCTGGGTCAGCGGGCGTGGAAGGACGTTTTCAATGACCACAGAGACCGGCGGCGGTGTCGGGGGCAACTTCTCTTTCCAACCACAGTTCGTAGGCACAGGCAATTGTACGGTAGAGAAAAGAAGCGCAGATACTGCCAGCCAGGATGGTGTTGGCTTGGGGTCTGAAATGAACATGGTCTTCTTTGTGAAGAAATCGGCCACAAGCTCCGGGGCCGCCTTGAATATTGCCACTAGCAGCTCAATCTGGAGACTATCGGCATCCGGACGAAGACTTTGGATCAAATAAGACAGATTTCCATTGCGGACAGGTACAGTCTGGCCGAACTTGTCGACATGGAGAGCAGAATCAAGTCCTAGATCGATCAACGCATCATCGTCTACAGGGAGTGACTCGGGATCACTTCCCTGTGGGTACCAACCATTTTCTGGGAGCAAAACCCCAAGTTCGGGATTCGTGCAAACGTTCATAAGGATCTTATGAATCTCATCTGCAGTGGAAATGTTCGTTGGGTTGGGCTCCTCCGATTCACGATCGTAACCATAGAGGGTAACAAGTCGCTCCAAATTCCATCGACTGAAGAATTTGCTCTTTGCCGTGCGAGAAAGCGAAGAATCTTGAATGATATCCTTGTCCACACACCTGATGATCTCCAAGACGATGTCCCTGGGGTCTTTTCGAACGTACTCGAGGAAAGCTCTAATGGCCTTGTTTTGCTCGATGACATCACTCTTCGAATTTGACTGCAGGAATTTCAGGCATGCAAGGACATACTTCTGAGCATTCCTACGTAGAGTGGGCTTGCCAGCCTCTGACACTTCTTCCAGTTGGGCTTTATTAGGGGTAAGGAAAACCTCGATCCGCTTGAACGTAATATACCGTGCGGCATGGACGTGGCGCGCAGCAGCTCCACCATCGAAGCTGATCATCTCCGTGAGAAGGCGGAGACAGGGAGAAATCAGATGCTCCTTTGACTTGGTGGCTGTCAAGCCACGGTTGAAAAGCCTCAGCTGTTCTTTTTGGGTGAGGTACTTGCATAGTGCCACTCCGAATTCCCGGAAGTCCAGATTGCTGGAGACCGTCTTGAAGAACTGGGCTAGGATGGATGGGACAACGGTCAACAACGACTCGTTGTTATTGCTGTCCGCGAAGCTCCAGGTCTGGATGAGATCGGTAAAGCAGACCGCATCATTCTCATTAGTCTTTGAGAATTGCGAATCGCAATACGCTTTGAGAATGCGGAACTTTTTGGCTTTTTCGCTCTCATCCTCAGTCTGTCCAATGGAAGTAAGGAAATCCTTGAACTTTCTTATACCTGTATTTTAAATTAGCATGAAACACGTGAGTGAGACCATGGCATATACTGTTAACTCACCTTGCTTGGATTCATTAACATTTTGTTGAAAAGCCAGGACGGCGCGGAGTTGCGTGTGAGAGGTTATGATAGCAGGAGCCTCGGCATCCTGGGAATTATCTAGCTTTCTCCTCTTGTTACGAGAAAACTGTTCCTCGTGGGAAGACATTCTGGGCTAAAACAGATGCTTTGATGGAGAGAAGGACCGGGGAACTGGGCCTGGAAAATAAAGATAGTAGGCCGGCAAGTCCTCGGCCGATGCAGACTTCAGAGTTTTGCGGCTTCTGATTGGGCCTCCGGTTAGTGCCACTACGGCGGAATTTTGCAAAAGATAGAATCTTCCACTTTCTAGTCATGTACGTCTTAGGTGCTATTGAATGAAATTATAGAATAAAAGCCAATGTAAGGGGGAGAATAGATATGCTGATTGCGACGAGGAAAAACGGCCGGACTTGGGAAAGTCCTGCACAGAATCGATCCACTACCGTCAAGAGAGCTCGCCTCCTATTGGCTGACATGCTGAGCATGGTTCAGACAGTGTTGTATTTTAGTGGAGATTATAGCACTTGGTGTCAATCGCAGAGGGATATTTCCGGACCTCAGTTGAATATCTCCGCGAGCTGGAACGGTCTTATGGATTATGGGGTGCAAATGGCCGAGTCGTTTCACAGGAAACCCCACCGGCATACAATTTGCTTCACAGGTCGAAACCATAAAGTTCAAACAATAATACACATAGCTGACCCTAGTTCTTCAACAAACCAGCTCCTATGGCTCAGTTGGTAGAGCGCATGACTAGTAATCATGAGGTCCGCGGTTCAAATCCGCGTGGGAGCATTTCTTTTTCTTTTTTTTTTACAAAACTCTCTATCCCATACAAACAAACAAGCCCTATGATGTTCATTTTTATTCAACATTCAGCCTGAAATGCTTTTTTTACAACCGAAAACCAACAATAACTCCAACATAACACACAGGAAATTTCATTGGCGGTTAGTCAACCGACCACCAGAACCAAGGAAAACAACCACCAATTCAAGAACTATGTATTCACACCACACCCACCCAATTGGCTCGCAACCAACATCCTTCACCATCAAACCTGTTTATACCATCCTCCGCCGAGACTCCCCAGATTTCTCCAAGATAACAATAAAACCTTCAATGTCCCGGTAACTATTACCTCAATCTCAAATGTCTACTACATATACCCTCACCCGCTGTATATATATCATTCCTACATGAATAAACTTCAACAACTTTTATACCCAAACCAACCGCCCAAACAACCCAACCAAATGGTCTCTTCCCCCTCCGACCTCGAACAAGAGGTGCTAGGCACTTGGGCCCTGCTCGAATATTCCTCCGAGCCGTTCGACGGCAAAGGTCCAACAATCCACCCGATGGGACCAGATGCGCGCGGAATTCTCACCTACACGTCGGACGGATACATGACCGTGAATGTGATGCCTACTGCGGGCAACAAGATCAAGCAGTCGATTCATGATGGGGTGATGTATGCGGGTCGGTACTGGATCGATAAAAAGCAGCCGGATGGGAGAGGAGCCGTGATGTGTCATGATGTGCAGATGGCTTGTCCGGCTGAGTTGGAGGGAACTGTTCTTAAGCGACAGATCATGGTATCGGAGGGTAGGTTGAGGTTGTCGTCATTGAAGTATGTGGATTTAGAGGTATGGATTCGTCTCTGGTTTTCGTTGCGTGTGTGTCTGTCTGTGATCATGGTTGACTGGTTGATTAGGGTCTGATGGCGAAGCCGGAGTTGGTGTGGGAGAGGATTAGTCGACCGTGATGGGATGTATATGGTGATTTGGCTTGGTGTTGTAGGGGGTTATTATTGGGATCTAGTATCAGTGCTGGGGTGGTTTACAAGGAAGTGCACATACAGAGACGAGAAAAGTGTAGTAGTGTAGCGTGGTCTCTAGATATTAAGCGATTCTTTTTCGCAAGGCAACACAATCAATCTCTATTTGATACAGTCACAGAATATTCTCATTAAAGTACATCTAGACCAATGTGAAGAAAAGGAAGCCCGTGGGCTTTGCATGGGATTTCGTAAGGATATGCTTAAGACTATCATATATATGCCCGAAGAATGTATGGGAGGGGAAAGAAGATAAAGCAAGAGTAGAAAGAAACAACAGCCAAATGAAAAATTAACCCCAGGTTCCACCGCCACCACCCCTGCCTTGCCGTCTCTGTGCAGATAGACGCCAATCATCCTCGCCTGCAAAGCGGTTGTGAAGAGGTTGAATCCGTTCGGCCTTCTTGCGTTTCGAAAGACGATCGGTAGGTGCTACCTTGAAGAACGTGGGAGCCGCTTCAACCAGCCACTTTGGCTCGATTGAGGTGGTGCAATGCATGTACTCCTTCGTCGTCAGGACCAGTGTATGGTAAATGACATGCTCCGACGGTTTGCCAAACAGTGCGGAACTGGGATGCATGTAAACCGGTGTTCCTTCCACAAGGGTCTTGTATCCTTCCTGAGGATCTTTACGAGCCGCGTTCCTGAAGAAACCCGTGCAAAGCGCCTGGCGTACTTTGGTAGTATTCCTTCCGCAAGAGACAATCCGGTGATGGTATCGATCCATGATACCAAGCAGCTGCTGACGAACATCCTGAGCACGACGTATCTGACGTGCCTGGATGAAGTTCTCAAAACACCAGGCATTATTGAACTTGGAGTTCTTCCACCCGTTGTAGACATTGAGAAGGGTCAAATGGTCCCCGTGGGGATCATGGAACTTGGCCTTCTTCTGGTCTGCCTGCTGCTGCTTTTCCTTGGGACGGTAGAACACCGATTGTATCGAAAGCATGGCAACAATGCTCAGCATTTCCTCCGAGCATCCCATATCAACCGAGGCGATAAGAACCTTGGCAAGGGCCGGCTCCATGGGGAAATCGGCCATCTTCCTACCCAAGCGAGTCAAGAGACCCTCGTCATCCAGCGCAGACAATGCATACAGTTCCTCCAATGCAGTAAGCATAGTGTTTGTTGGTGGGGGATCCATGAAATCAAAGTGCAAGAGATCGTTAATGCCCATGGCCTTGAGCATGAGAATAGTATGCGAGAGGTTCTGACGTTGAATTTCGGGAATCGTCGTTGGCAACATCTCCGATTGATAGGCTGCCTCGGTATACAACCGGAAGCACTTTCCGGGACCGGTTCTACCGGCACGACCAGCACGCTGCTTGGCTTGCGCCTGTGAAATGGGCGTCACCACCAACGAGTCCATACCGAGCTTGGGATCGTATGCGTTTTGCTTGACGAAACCCGGATCAATGACGTAGTAAATGTTGTCGATGGTAATGGACGTCTCGGCAATATTCGTGGCGATGACAACCTTTCTACCGCCTGGCGGCGCGGCCTCGAAGATCCTACTCTGCATTTCACTGGGAAGAGCAGAGTAAACAGGCAGGATAACCAACTCCGGTACCGTAGACCCTAAAGCCTTCATCCGCTCATATAGAATCTCACACGCAGTATCAATTTCCTCTTGACCTGTCAAGAAGAGTAGAATATCACCCGAGGGCTCCGTCAGGTGAATCTGCATAACTGTAATAAGAGCCGCATCAAGGTAGTCGGACTCGGGCTCCTTTGAGTACATGATCTCGACGGGGAACGTACGACCGGGAATCGAAAAGATAGGGCAGCCGTTGAAGTACTCCGAGAACTTTTCAGCGTCCAGAGTAGCCGAGGTAACAATGAGTCTGAGGTCTGGTCTGCGTTTGAGGGTCTTTTTGAGCAACCCGAAAAGAACATCGGTAGCAATGGTTCGTTCGTGAGCCTCGTCAAGCATGATAACAGAATACTTCTTCAAATCCGGGTCCAGAAGAACCTCTCTCTGAAGCATACCATCGGTCATGTACTTGATCTTGGTCTCCGGACTCGTGCAATCCTCGAAACGGATCGTGTATCCAACCTCTGCACCGAGTCTACAGCCGACTTCCTCCGCCACACGTTTCGCAACGGACATGGCGGCCACACGACGAGGTTGGGTACATCCAATGAGACCGTTGTTTGCATAGCCACCTTCAGCCAGATACTGCGTTACCTGGGTGGTCTTTCCAGACCCAGTATCTCCGACGACAATCAACAGCTGATTGTCACGTACGGCATCGAGGAGTTGCTTGCGGAATTTGAAGACCGGCAAACTTTCACGTTGTTGCTTGATGGACATACTTGTTCGCTTTCCGAACGACTGATTCTTGCCCATTGTGACCCGTTTCCACTCGGGTACCGACTCATCCGGCTTGGATTGCTGAGTTGTCCGGAGGTCCGCAGCGAATTTCCGCTCCTCAGGTGCGACCATGGGATCTTGCCATTGTGCATTAAGGTCGACTCCCGCCGCTTGTTCAGCTGCCTTGTCCTGAGCCTCTTGTTGCCGAATATCCCTCCGCTCCTTTGCGAGATTAGTACCTGCCATCGCAGCCCGGTTCATGGACCCATCAGGAGCCTTCACGACCCTGATCGGCGAGAGCTCCAGAGACATCTTAGTCTGACCAGCCAGGAAGGGCGGCTCCTCATCCTTGACCTCAATATCGACATCTTCCTCTTCCTCGAATGTGCCTTCGCCCGTCAAGGTGGCGTGGTATTCTTCATCAATGTCAGGATAATCGGCTGCCGAGACAGCGCCAGACGCAATCAATTGCTTGATTTCCCATCTCTCAGGCGACGTCATGCGCTTCCTGTTTTTCATTGGCTTTCCATTCGACTCCTCAATGACTGGCACTTCTGAACTAAGGTTGCCATATCTGTCATTGCCCGTCATGCCGTCAAGGCGCTCCATATTTGCCCCGGATGCCAAGCGCCGTTGAGGAATTAGATCGAGACCAGTGACCTGATCCACCTCCTTCATGGAAAGTCCAATACGAGAACCCTGGATGCTGATCACCTTGACCTTGACGGGTTGGCCTCGAGACACCAGGTCAGACGGATGGTTGACACGAGCCCCTTCCTGCATGGCCGAGACGTGTACTAGCCCATCCACCTTGCCTTTCACACCAAGCAAGTTCACAAAGGCGCCAAAATCCTTCACTCCTGTGACACGACCATCATAGACCTTGTATAGCGTCGGTTGATCATCCAGCTCAACTGGCGGCGGTTTCCGGAAATATTCGTCGTCATCCCGATCACGTCGACTCCTTCGCTCACTGTGGCCATTACGATATCCACCGTCCCTGCTGCTGTATTTGCTCTTTGACCGACCGAATTCATCCACCTCATCATCCCCCTTGCTGTAGCGGGGACTGTGTGATCGCGACCGGGAACGGTATCGGTCGTTGCGTCTGCGTCCACGACCATAGTCATCGTAATCGGGGCTTCTGCTGCGCTTCCTGCTCCCGCGGTCATTCCGGGACGAGGGCTTGTCCTCACGCGCCTTCCCTGCAAGCCCTTCCAGCATTGCAAATGTATCATCCATAGCATCAGCTTTCGCATCATTATCCTGCACATCCTTCCGCTGAATGTAATCCTCATCATCGTTCCACTGCTGAACCTTGTCTGGCACAGCCAGTCCCTTGAACACGCGCGCTTTCTTCTCCAGAGCATCCAGAACATCCATATCATCATCGCCATTCCCAGAGTTATTCGTTGTTTCCGCTTTCTTCGCCTTGTACTTCGGGTGCATCGTGAGCACCAGGCGATCGATACTCTCCAACAGACTCCGCGGGAATTCTGCGCCCATCTCCTCCATACTCTTGCTGAATTCCCCGAAGGAACCACACTTTAGGTGCTGATCGATCACGAATTCCGCTAATGTCTTGTCATTGACGCCCAAGTGGTTCTGGATCTCGCCTGTTATCCGCGAGACGAGCGAAAAGAGCTCCAGCGACTGGAGGTCATCCATGGCGGATGGAGAGAGGGATCGTGGTCGCAGTAGAAAATAAGATGGGTGGAGTAATTCGAAAGGCAGGGAGTTTGAGGTGGAGTCGCGAGAGAGTGCAAAACACTCCTCTGGTCGCAAAGTGAGAGGAGTACGTCTTCTCCGCGATTCTGCGAACCGGCAAAGCTCACTGTCGCGGAAAATCGTTGTGGCGTTTCGGGGCACCCGCCACCGATAAGATAAGCACTGTCTACTCCGTACTCCATTCTCCATATATGACGACGGACTGTTAGTATAAGTTGAAAAGATTTCTGCAAGATCTTGTACGGTTGAGTGTGAGATATATACTTCAATGACCTCAACATACAACTGAAGTAAATTTTCTCATACAGTTCCACTTCGAAGTATCTGTCGTATTATGGGATTAAGCGTGCACCAACTCGTACAGTTTTTAGAAGGAGAACAGGGTTCAAAAAAGTTATGCTTGGGGAGTTGCTGCTATCAGTTACTCTTCCAATTACTCTTTCTTAGTATAGAAATAGGAGAAGATATAAAAAATAAAAGTACTATATAGTATCTAAGTAAATGCAGCAGATCACGGATTCCAGCCGGAGAACTAACCGGAACAGGGCCATGGGCTACACCGCCTAGCCGATTGGGACATGGAGGTGGTAGTATCTCGTCGGCCCCGATGAATGAGGGTCCCGCAGAGGGTCGGTCTGTCTCAGTCTCGGGGATATCCTGAGCCTTGACTTACGTTTCAAAAAGAAAGACTGCCCGCATCGCTGGTGCCCTGCTCCTCCCCGGCTGCCCCTGATCATTGTTCTCCATTGCCCCCGTCGCTGGCTTTGACCGAGCCTTATCTTCTGTTCCCCCCTGCCGTTCCGCCTCTCCCCCTCCAGCATCGTGAGTCCAGAGTCTATGCCCCCGTGAGGGCTGCCGGTCAGCCACAATGAGCTCCTCAATCCTCAACATTCAGCATGATCGTAAGTGAAGTTACGGTTTCTTGCCCCGGACCTTGTAATATTGACACTCGCGTTCTAGTCATCCTGAACACGATCCGTTATGCGGCCGGTAATGAGGTGCGATTGCTTCCCCTCCATCCCTTTTCCTTACCGTCAACCCCCGCCCCGTTTCACCCCACGGCGGAACTAACATCGGATGCCTACAGTGGAAGGTCTTGGTCGTGGACGAGACCAGTCGGAAGCTAATCGACAATGCCGTCAGTGAGGATGACATTCTCAACCTCAATGTCACCAGTGAGTCTCTTGATCCTCACCGTCCCCGTGCCCCAGCGCTAATCGCCCCCCCCGCAAGATGTCGAGCAGATCGAGCATCGGCGCTCACCCAATCCCACCATGGATGCGTTGTACATCCTCTCGCCTCTTCCACACATAGTCGACTGTATCATGGCGGACTTTGAGAGGAAGAGATACCGGAAAGCGTGGTTGGTTTGGACATCATGTCGGGCACCTGCCTCCCCAGCGGCCGCTATCGGTGCTGACAATGTTCGCAGTCCTCGATCCACAGCAACGCGCTAGATTGGACCGGTCCGAGATGGCCCGCGAGCAGATCGCCAACTTTCAGATCATGAATGCCGACTACTTCCCGAGGGAGTCGCGGCTGGTGACCTTCCGAGACCCGTGGAGTTTCCCAGTGTTGTTCCACCCTGGTTGCAACCATCTGATCCGCACACACTTGGAGGGGCTTGCACAGAAGGTGAGACAGCAATCCGGGATGGTTGGATTGATATTGACATGGACTTGAGATTGTGTCGCTCTGCGCGAGCTTAGGAGAGTACCCCGTGATTCGATACTATCGGCCCCGAACCCCGACCCACGAGGCCAGCGTGTTGTGCTCGCACTTGGCGCGGTTCGTCCAGAATGAGCTGGATCAGTTTGCGCAATTCCAGCGCGACTTTCCTCCTCCATCGCCCAGACCGCGCGGAGTGCTTTTGGTCGTGGATCGTTCCATGGACCTGGTCGCACCTCTGCTCCATGAATTTACCTATCAAACCATGGTGCACGATCTGCTACCGATCAGCGATGGCGACAAGGTCACGTACAAAACCGTCATCAATGAGGGCAGCCCCAAGGAGGAAATTAAGGATATGGAGATCAACGAACAAGACAATGTGTGGGTCGAGTACCGGCATATGCATATGAAGGACGTGCTCGGCAAGCTAGGTGAAGACTTTGCCAAGTTCCGGGCGGCCAACCCTCAATTTGCGGAAGAGTAAGTGACATCGTGCCCTGTTCATCTGCCACACTAACGGCGCGTAGCAACGACAAGGCGAATGTGAACACCATCAAGGACATGCTGGCGGGCCTGACGGAGTTCCAACAGGGGAGAGATGCCTACACATTGCACCTCAACATGGCGCAAGAGTGTATGAAGTACTTTCAGGACCACAAGCTCCTTGAAGTCAGCGCGGTTGAACAATGCCTTGCCACTGGCCTGGACGAGAACTACAAGAAGGCAAAGAACCTGGCTTCCCAGATCGTGCAATTGTTGGACGACGACGCGATCAAGCAGCCGGAGCGACTGCGACTCCTGTTACTTTACATTATATACCGGGGAGGCATCCTCGCGGGTGACATCCGGAAGCTCATGGCGCATGCGCAACTCCCACCGCAGGACGGTGAAATTGTGTCCAACCTTGACCTGCTGGGTGCGCGCGTGGAGAAGCCCCTGAAGGATGATAAGCCGCCAGTGCAGCCGTTGTTCACCCGGAAGCCTCCGTCCGGGCCGATCGACGAAGAGGACGGATTGTCGCGCTACGACCTGAACCTCAAGTTGATCTTGGAGGAGTTGGTTCGCGGGACACTAGATGCGGGGGTTTTCCCGTTCACTCGCCCTCACGCGGATAACGATGCCCCGGGCCAACAAGACAGTGCGTCGCAGGCCTCGCTGCGCAGTGCCAAGCCGACATGGGCGCGAACCCGGACGACGGGCGAGCAGCCCCGACAGCGGATTATTGTGTTCATGGCGGGAGGTGCTACGTACGGAGAGGCGCGCACCTGCTACGAGATGTCGCAGACATATGGCAAGGACGTATTTCTGGCCACGTCCCACATGCTGTCTCCGGGTCTGTTCCTGCGCCAGGTGGGCGACCTCAGCGTGGACAAGCGACGACTCGACATCCCGGCAGAACGACCCAAGCCGACGGCGCCGGCACATTTGTTTGAGCGGGAGCCTCCACCGGCACCAGCGCCGGTGAAGAAGCCAAACCCGGTGCCGCATCTGAACCCGCCGGCGCCGGTATCCGCGCTGGCGGCGATGTCTTTGGGGCCGAATGGCAAAGCTAACGGAGCGCCAGTCAAGGAGAAGGATGAGAAGGAGAAGAAGAAGGAAAAGAAGGAGAAAGAGAAGAAAGAAAAGAAGCGACACCACTTCTTCCGGTGATTCAGGTTATGCCATATTTAACCTGGTCACCACGGCGAACATCTCCAATCGACGGGCAGGCAATGCTGCAACGCTGCAAATCGGCGACTGTGATACCCAGTCGTTTGTCGGCAAGCACTGCCAACAGTTCTAATCTAGGGTATCTGGTATCTGGTATCTTCTGTGTATGTAGTAACATGTACCATCGCAAGCACCATAATAACCAACATTTATCATTAACCGGGGTATCATAAAAAACCTCCTCCCATCCATACATACTAAACCAATCACTCCTCCCCAAAATACTTCAACACCTCCTCACTCCTAAAAAACATCTCCCTCATTTTCTCCCCCTTCCTCCTCTCTGCCATCTGCCTCTTCCTCACCTCCTTCGCATTCAACTTCTTCTCCACCCTCCCCTTCCCCATCCCCTTATCTTTAACATCCGGCACAACAGCCCCCAACCCCACCGTATCCTCTTTCACCTTCCCCTTCACCGGCTCCCGTATACCCTCCCGACCAGGCGCCCCAAGACCAACTCGTTTATCAGGATCCCAACCATAGGCAGCGAGATAGCGTAGTCCAGGGCGCGTGCGATCGAGATGTGAGGGGGGGTGGGAATGCGGGAGACTGAGTTGGTGGCTTAGGGTTGCTTCGTGGGGGTGGTTGTGGGGGGTTGTTCTTTCTTCTGTGGAGGAGTGGATCGGGAGGTTGCAGATGGGGCACATTTCTGTTTTTGTTTCTGGGGAGGTGCTTGGGGCTGGTTGGGTATGTTGTGATTGCGATTGCGACTCTGAGTCTCTCTGTGTCTGTGATTGTGGTTGTGGTTGTGGTGTCCCCGCCAAAACAATCGACAGGTACCGATCCGCTATACTTTTTCCAGCCGACGTAGACTCTGATCCAGATGATACCAGGGAGGTAGTGGTAGTGGTATTGGTAGTGGAGAGTTCATGTTCAGAGGACCGCACGAAGGGAACGCGCTTGCGACGGATCCCGGCGCCGAAGACGCGCTGGTCTTGTAAGGGGAGGAAGTACTCGTCTTCGTCTTCGAGTTCGTTTTCATTATGTTCTTGGGGTGGTCGGTAGGGAGTTGTGGGGGGCATGGTGCACAACGCTATCCCAGGCGCGAGGCGATAGAATTATAATTAGAGAAAGAGGAGAAGGAGGGAAAGCATTGAAGTGGCGGGAGATCGGCGACTAAGACAAGACAGACAGACACCTCCGGGACGGAAGTTGGCGTACGTAATTACGTACCTAACTCCTTCTCCGTCTTCTTCTCCCCGTCATTCATCCATCCATTCCTTTCTTTCTTTCCTCTGTTTATTACTCGCTTCACTCAATACACTCCTTCATTCAAAATGCCCATCCCCATCCTTACCCAAGGCATAACTGAGGGCTTCTCCTCCATCCCCTACCTATGGACAATCCTCAAAGTCGTCCCCTGGGCAATACTCCTCGCGGCCCTGAAGTATTATTTCGGGGGTGCTCGTAACACCTCCGAGCGAGTGATGCATTCCAAAGTCGTGATGGTTACTGTACTTCCCCCCTCCCCCATAATCCTCCCCATGAACTAAAACAATAATTCCCAGGGCGGCACATCCGGCATCGGCGCCAGCGTCGTGCACTCCCTCGCCTCGCGCGGCGCCCAAATCATCCTTCTCACCCAACACTCCCCCTCCGACATCTTCCTAGTCGAATACATCGACGACCTACGCCAAAAAACCAACAACCAGATGATCTACGCCGAACAAGTAGATCTCTCCTCGTTACACAGCATCCGAACCTTCGCCACGAAATGGATCGATAATGTGCCTCCCCGCCGCCTCGACATGATAATCCTCTGCGGAAACACCAACCCCCCGGTATCCCGGAAACAACAATTAACGGTGGACGGCCTGGACGAGGAATGGATGGTGAATTATCTGGGGAATTTCCATCTGTTGAGTATTTTGTCCCCCGCGTTGAGGGTCCAGCCGGCGCATAGGGATGTGAGGGTGATTTTTGCGACGTGTTCGAGTTATATTGGGGCGAGGTTTGATTTGAGGCTCGTGGAGGAGGCGATGGTTGCTACGGCTAGCGCTTCTGCTTCTGCGTCTGCGGGTGGGGTGGAAGGGGGAGAGGGGAATGGGGGGAGACGGGTGGTGATGAAGAATGGAAAGTTGCAGAGGGAAAAGCCGAAGAAGGTCAAGAAGGGGGTTAGTTTGTATGGGTTGAGTAAGTTGTCGTTGATGGTGTTTGCGCAATCGTTTCAGAAACATCTCAATGCGTTCAAGAGACCGGATGGACAGCCGCCCAGTGCGAGGGTGATTATGGTGGATCCTGGGTTTAGTCGCACGCCGGGAAATCGGCGGTGGATGACTGGGGGTTCGCTGTGGGGGTTGCTGGTCTATTTGATTACTTGGCCGTTGTGGTGGTTGGTGCTCAAGTCGCCCGAGCAAGGTGCGCAGAGTATCTTATATGCGGCTATGGAGGCGCGGTTTGGTCAAGGGGAGGGCGGCTGGTTGATCAAGGAGTGCAAGGAGGTCGATGTGGCTCGGAGGGAGGTCAAGGATGAAGAGGCCGGTAAGCTGCTGTGGCAGTTCAGTGAGAAGCTGATTGAAGTCAAGGAGAAGGAGTCGGCCGTGCGCCGCGCCCTCGAGGCCAAGGAAAAGGAACAGGCCGAGAAACAGGGCCAGCCCAAGGCATCCGCCAAAGAACCCACGCCCGGGTCGCGGAGAAGCCGCAAGGGCAAATAGATTGTACAGCATCAGTCATGGAAAAAAAGGTATATCTAAGCAAGACATCATTCACTAGCTTTATGCTCTAGATACAGACGGCTCGCAAGAGCAATGATCATACAAGGAAATTCGTCTCATCCAATTAACAAGGCCCAATCGTCTCTATCCATGCGATGTTGCCTTCTTCCAGCAAGGAATTCTAATCGAGGCAGGTCATTATTACTTATTTCTGAAGCTTCTCCAACAGCTCCGCCGGAGGCTGCTGGCGGTAGCCCTGGGGGTTGTTGTGTGTCCACAGCCAGAGGTCTTCGCAGGCTTGCTCGAGGGTACGCTCGGCCTTCCAGCCGAGCTCGTTGTTGGCACGCGTGGGGTTGGAGGTCAGGTTGAGCACGTCACCCGCACGGCGGGGAGCCACCTCGTAGGGGAGGTCCCGGCCCACGGCCGTCGAGAAGGCACGGACCATCTCGTACACAGTGCTGCCCCTACCGGTACCCAAGTTCCAGGCACGGACTCCGGGGTTGTTCGCGCGCAGGTAGTTGAGAGCCTTCAAGTGGCCGTCAGCCAGGTCGAGGATGTGAATGTAGTCCCGGATGGCGGTTCCGTCGTGGGAGGCATAGTCTAGCACGGTCAGTTACTGATCCTACCTTACTGCAGACTGCAGACTTACCATCTCCGAAGACAAGCAGCTTCTCGCGCTTGCCGGTAGCCACCTGGGCCAGAAGGGGAAGCAGGTTGTAGGGGACGCCCTGGGGGTCCTCGCCCATGATACCACTGGGGTGGGCACCAGCGGGGTTGAAATAACGGAGCAGCGCACCGTTCCACTTCTGGGCCTCGTCCTCCTTGCCGGCCTTGATGGCGTTGTTGCGCTGAGCGTTGATAACGTCGGTGATGGCGGTCTCGACGGCGAACTTGGTGTTACCGTAGGGGTTGGTGGGGCCCAGAGGGCACTCCTCGGGGATGGGGATCATGTTGGGGAAGCGGGTGGCATCGCCGTAGACGGTAGCCGAGCTGGAGAAGACGATGTTGGTAACATTGTGGCGGACCATGGAACGCAGGAGGCAGATGGTGCCGTAGACGTTGACGTGGTAGTAGTCCAGAGGCTTCTCACCGGACTCTCCGACAGCCTGGATGATGCACATGTCAGTCGCGAGAATTCAGCTCACTGCACAAGCAGAGCGCACCTTCAGGGCAGCAAAGTGGATGACGCTGTCGATGTCGGGGTGGGCCTCGAAGACGCGGTCGAAGGCGGCCTCATCGGTGACATCCAGCTGAGCAAACTCGGCCTTCTTGCCGCAGATCAACTCAATGCGCTTCAGAGCCTCGGGAGAGGAGTTGTAGAGGTTGTCAGCGACGACGACATTATAACCCGCCTCGAGCAGGGCGAGGGTGGTGAAAGAGCCAATGTAGCCCGTTCCACTGGTGGAGGGGAATTGCGGGGTTAGCTAGTGAGTTGAGGACGAGGAGGGAGTATCGGCTTCGAACTTACCCTGTGACGAGAACTGATCCGGAAGGCATGATGGGAAGATGCGAATGTGGTAACGAGGGGAGGAGGGGAGGAAGAGAGGGAGAGGAGGGCGTGGAGGAGTGGGAGATAAAAAGGTGAGATGAGCCAAATGAAATGGGGGGATTTGGGCGGAGGACGGGATATTTAAGGGGCGGACGCGATTGGGTGGAGGGTGGGGAAGAAGAAGACAAGAGGCGGAGGGGCAATTCTGAGGTGGGAAGGTGGGATGGCCAGGTACCGGAACTCGTAAGATACCCCGAGTCAGTCAGTAACATCACCAGATTCACCATCGTCCGTTCTGCTCACTCACTCCGTCGGCATCCACCTCCCCCCCTTTCCCTCTCCGCAACTGCTGATCGCCCAAGACAGTCTACGTAAACAACCTGCCCACCAGTCGATCTTCTTCGACTTAATTACCCAGTCTGGACTCCCTCGACAGTACGGTGTACCACTACCACCACCACTCTCTTGAGACTTTTCAGTCTCACAGCCGCAGGATAGGTGCATGCAGGCAGGACCTGCACCTGCAAGCATCCCAACCCGGCCTGCCCAGTTCCCTCCATCCAGTCGGAGTAAAGCACGGAGTTATGCTCACCCTCTCTTTAAAATTCTTATTACCCGCTTCCTTCCAGAGTCATCCATTAGACACTATCGACAGTCAGTCAACCATAAGATTGTCATCGTCGTCATCAACGAGCCCATTTCCCCCCCCCCCCCCCCCTCCCCCCCGGCTAATAAGTGGCCTTGTCTGAAGCTGAAACATGGGCGGCCCGAGGGAAACCCACCCTGTAACCGCCAATCACACTCTCCCCAGTTCCCCGTTTCTCCCAATGCTCAATTTGCTGGGGCGGGTCGACTGGTCCACTGGCGTGGTGGACCGGCCAGCCCGATCCAAGGGTCCAATCGTTGCTCGTACCTGTCATTCCGCCATTGTTCTCGACTGGCAATTTCCGCGGTTAATTTATATCCCATATACAGAGCGCCGTTAGTCACTAGGTTGGTTGTGTGGTGCATGTGCGCAGGGAGCTGCGCTCAGGGGAGCCCGGGTAGTATCAAATAGCAAGAGGTAGGCTTGTGTGTACCCCGTGCCGAACTGGTGGTCTGTTGGTTCCCCACTGCATTTGGTGGCGTAGACCTCGATTATTGTAGAGGTAGGCAGGGCTTGGAATATGGCGTGGCATGGCATGGTATGGCAGCTCCCAATAGTATGTGGGAATTCTGAAAAGCTGGGTGATTTCGTAGTACTTGTATCTCAAAATGCGTTTGGATTATTGCGATAGAGTGTTGAATCCTTCGGGGTAATCCCACATCGGTATGCCGTAGACAGCGGACTAAAGAAACCATGGTTAATGTGCCATAATATCCGAATCTTAAATATCCGCATCCGGTTGTGTGGGGTAGTGGTTATCCCTTCGGATTTTGAGTACTCTGTACTACAGATGTTCCGACAACCCCGGTTCGAACCCGGGCACGACCTTTCCTTTCTTTTTCTTTTCCTTTTTAATTCAACTTCGAATATAGATCGAGGTTCTAGCTGGATAGGGTTCATTTGTTCCCTAGAGTCGCGACTCGATTGCCGACATGGTTATGAATCCTGCAGGATGATCGTATCCACAAAAAGAGTTCTTAACGAAGTGTCAAAGCTGAGAGCCCTACGTGAATCTCCAACTGTTGCTTTGCATGCTCAACCCTTCGGCTCAATTATCCAGAAACTCAGATCCAGACACCTACCATGGGTCACTCCTCCATCATACCCGTCACTCTCGCATAGACCCGCAGCATCCCCCTCTCAGTGCATGGGATGATTCTATCCCTTGTGATGCGCACGTCCTCTGGGTTGGTGTTGTGCAATGTGAAATCGAATCGGCGTATTAGATGCGCAATCGTCAGATATAGCTCAATATATGCCAGACTACGAGACCATTAGCAGAGAAACGGATACAGGCTAGGCAAGACTAACTTCATCCCCAGGCAAGCTCGGCTTCCCCTCATGAACGACACCAGGTACCGCGTCAAGTTCTCCCTCCTTTCCGTAGCCCTGATCCACCTCTCTGGGTCGAACCTGTCCGGCTCCGGAAAGATGGCTGGGTCGCGGTGGACAAAGTAGGTGGAGGTGCTCATCGGCGTCTATCCATGCTTAGCTTGTGACTGAAGGAGGCCAAGGTACACGTACCCCTGCTGGAATGACATAGTTCTTGTACCGCAGAGCCTCGGTTGGTGCCACGCGAGGAAGTCGCATAATGACCCCATAGGACAAGCGTAAGGATTCATTTACAACTGCGGTCTAGAAGCCCAAGTTAGCCGAAAATGCTCCAAGCCACAGGCTTGTATGACATACCAAGTACGGTAGCTTCTCCAATTCCGTCCATGTTACTACGCCTGTAGGCGTGGGCATAATCTGCTTCAGCTCACTCCGCAGCTTGTCTCGAATGCCCTCATCCTGGGACACATGGTAGATCATGACCATCAAGGTGCTGGCCGTCGTTTCTGTACCCGCACCAAGAAGCGTGAATACTTCGTCCTGAATGCGACGCAGAGCCCTTTCCTCAGCGGGTAAGCTGGGGTCGGTCAACTTCTTGAAGATGGTACGGTTTTCCTTGGTCGACACATCGGGCTTATCTTGCATGTTCGTAGTGATAGTCTGTAAGATGGCTGCCTGGAACTCGAACGCTGCGGCCTTGCTTGGAAGGAGCAGGGCCAGTACCTGCAGCGGGATCCTGCGCACTACTTCCGGCACGAACGGGAAGAAGCGGTCGAAATGGCAATGCGAGGCATTTTCTTCGTTGCTTTTATGGATTTCGCTGCGGAAACCTTCATCCTCGATGAAGCCCCAGCGTTTTCCATAGCAGTAGTAGGTGATCACGTCCGAAGTCAACGCGGCAAACGCATTGCTTAAATTTACTACGCTTCGATCCTCGTAAATTCTCTCAAAACGCTGCATTAGCTTCATCACCCGCTCTTCGACCATGCCGGACAATGCAAGCACGGATCGCTTGGAAAAGAAGTCATTTAATATACTTCGTCGAAAGCGGTGGTGTTCATGGCCTATAGTCCCAATCATGGAATAGGGGAGCGTAAATGCATCGTAAGCATCATGGTCCCTGTCACGCTTCCGGCTGCTAGAGGCATATATCTCGTCATAGAAGGATGGGTCGATGATATGGACTTCACGGGGGTTGATGCGAACAATAGGGCCTGGAGGGATAGCTTAGCCAAGCTTCCGCTGGCTGCTGATATATCTTTACCTACCGTATTGCTGATGCATTTTCTCAATCTGAAATAGAAACTTGCCATTGCAGATGACATCGTAGTAGAACTCGTATAGACGTGTGATCGCGGTGAGCTTGGGACCGGGTATTCCGGAGAGGGGGTGGAAGTAGAGACGATAGAAGGTCCGAGAGACGTAAAAGGTCGCTATGCCAGCGAGGGCTAGCCCGACGTGGGTCAATTCCAGAATCATCATAGCAGTCACAATGAAGTGTCAAAGCAGATGAATGCAGTTGGGAAGTAGGACCTATGACGAATTGTTTTGTCAAGGTGCCACGGAGTATATATAACGACCAGCTAATAAGGCCACCCGCCGTGATAGCTTTTAGTGCTGACATTGAAAAGAGGGGAAGTAACGAGGTATGCAGATCACCCACTGATTGAGGGCGATGCAGTAGCTCTCACCCGGACAATAACAGATGCAGAATGACCTGATGGTCCGGACTCTTGGTACCGGACCAGTAAGCTTGTCCGGTAGAAGTCAAGTCATAGCGAGACACAGCAAAATTCGTCGGGCTACGTCGAATTGGGAGCGGGGGAAGACCATTCTCCCGCGGAGTCGAGGGTGATGCATGATGCATTCCATATCAGTTGCCAATCAACTGCCGAGAAGGGCCTGCATGATGGCGTGTAGGGGCGGCAGTGGCTCATAGTAGTCGGACCAGTATCGAAGGATAGATATCTGGGTAGAGGGATTCTCTCAACATGAGGTTACTTGACATTGATATAGGATGAAGAATGAAGATGAATGATAGAGCTTCACTTATGTTCTGCTTTATTTCCGGCATGGCCTCCCGGCACCCGGTACCGTACGGTCACCAACACCGCCTATTTAGATCTTTAAGAACCAACCACACCCCTACCATCCTCTTTTTTCTCATTCTATACTTCAGTCCAACAGATCAACCCATCTGTCCGATTGCCTTCTATCATCTGACTCACTCATGGGTGCCACAGGCAACTTTTCCTTCCCCCCTGGCATTGGCCTACAGGACGTCAAGGGATGTGGAACCAGCGGGATGGCAGCGTTAGACCCCAATACCAAATATATCATAAAGTTCTCCCTCGGGGACGAAGACGAATGCGCCCGCTGTAATCGGGAGAAGGAGTTCTATGAGCTTTTGGAGCTATCATCGCACTCCCGCCCATCATCACTTTTAAATTATCACGGCAGCACGAGCCACGGCATTCTGTTAGAGTATGCTGAGCTCGGTCCAGTGCGACAAGTTCTGCGAGCCTCCCAACACCCAATTTCTACTTCGACTTTGGTCCGTTGGGCGCAACAGGCGGTCGAAGCACTGCAATTTATTCACGCCAATGAGATCTGCCATGGTGATATCAATTGCACGAATTTCTTCCTAGACCAACATATGAACCTCAAAGTTGGTGATTTTACGAGCTCATTCAACGATTTATTCGTGACGCCGCAAGCTTTGCAAGAGGATATATCGAATTACGGCTCGGCGTTGTATGAGATGGCAACAGGCCATTTGCCCTACCATACTCTGTCTGGAGACGAAAGAGAGCAGAGGTTCAAGCAAAAAAGGTTTCCAGATCTTGCAAATGTGGCATTGAAATCCGTGATTCTTCGATCTTGGAACGCTGAGCATACCTCCTTCGCAAGTATATTGAAAGATATCAAAGTCACATGTATACACCCACATTCCAAAGAAAACCATGTGGCCATGCTTATTTAATAACATATCGGAGATATTCATTGCTATCTGCTCTTGCCAAAGCCTTCATCTTTACCCTTCTTATCCATGTTGTTGATACTTCTTTGAAGCATGAGTCCAATGGACATGACGGACTTTCAAGCCGCTAAAGCGAGACCCAGAGATAGCACATGAGGAATGAACTGATGATGCTTACCACACTTGTAGCATCGTCCAGGGATGCTGGAGCTATCCCATGACTAGGGAGCCAATTCCGGAACAAGACACAGTTCTTGATTCGGTCTTTCCTTAAGCTGATCAGTAAAACAATCACAGCAAAATTTGTATCATCCTGCTCAAGCTATACCGATAGCCTGAAAGTTCCAGAACCGCATAGGAGCATGCTCTAGTTTTCGAATCCTTGAGAGCATACGGGGTGAGGGTGGGTCTGACCTCTTGCGTCTGTATCTCCGAGATCCGATGCCAGCCGGCGGATCTTCGAGAGTGGTCTACCCCCCGCCCCTCTCTCACACAACGCCGAAGGGCCTGCGGGATGGCTGGCTGATGGTGCAGCAGTAGCGGACCTCGTCCCGTGTCTTGAGTTGGTGGGACTCATCTATTTGGGATCGATCCTGTTCATCTGATCTAAACCAGAACGGTGGGGTCATCGGAATTGGGTGCTTGAGCCTTGTGATAGGCTACAATGTCGAACTAAACGACTACCTATGTCCGTTGGGACATCTTCCATCCTTCTACACCAGTAGTCAACAGGGTTTTGGTCTACTTACGTGGTTTCTCTTCATCGAATCTTCTGCGCGACCAACTGGCAGACGGGGCGGTCTTGCATCAGCTGGCTCGAAGGATTTGATTGTCTTTCGGAAGACGGCCATGCCCTAAGTCGGGTCCGATAACCGCCGATTCCATGCGTACCAATGCAAGGCTGAAAGAAGCAAGCACCGGGTAGACGGAGAACAGGACTGATGCCTCCACCGGGCCTACCTTCAGCCTTATTGTCGTCTTTCTTCCCCTCTCTGTTCCTCGTTCCCCTTCATCCTGCTACTAAATCAATCAAATATCAACCCCATCACACCCCACAATCTACACCCGCTTACCATGTCTGACGAACACTTTAACATCACTGAGCATGTCGTCCCTAGCTGCCATATCCGGGAGTACCCGGGGAGCACAGTGAATCAGGAAGACGTGCTGCAGTTACACGTCAAGCAATATACCCCCAAGCACCAAACGGAGCCCATCCCTGATGATGCCATGACAATTATAGCCGCCCATGGTGCGTCCCTATATAAGGCGAGTGATGGGTAGTCAGCTCCGAGGTGTGCTCCTCACTAATCTGGAATAGGAATTGTATGAGCCGCTGTGGGATGAACTCCTGGAGCAGTCAACTCGGCACCGTTTCCACATTCGAAGCATCTGGATCGCTGACTGCACCAACATGGGCGTTAGCGGCGTTCTGAACGAGGACAAGCTCAGCACCGACTGTAGGTACCTGGCTGTACAAGGATGGAAGGACACGGCATAATATAACCTTTCCAGGTTCGTGGACAGATCATTCGCGCGACCTTCTGCTGTTGATCAACCATTTCCGGAATCACATGCCCCGTCCACTGGTTGGCATCGGCCACAGTTATGGTGGAAACATTATGTTTGTGCTCCGTCTTTCCAGTATGCAAGCACCATTATCTCTTGCTGACACGATTGATCGACAGAACGAACCTGGCATATATCCACCCCCGCCTCTTCACCACCGTTCTTCTTCTCGATCCCGTCATCCAAACCAGCCTACCCCCGATGGGCTTCGGCACCGATCCCACCGGAACAATCAACTTCAGTCTCTGGCGACAAGATGTCTGGCCCAACCGCGCAGCAGCAGCTCAGGCACACCGCACACTCACGAAATCCTGGGATCCCCGCTGCGCAGAGCGCATGATTAAATACGCCTTCCGCGATCTCCCTACCCCTTTGCACCCCGGCGTGCATGCGGCGAACGACACCACTACTAACCAAGTCGACTCCCCAGTTACCTTAACCACAACCAAATACCACGACGTGATAGCCCAGATTCGACAGAATTTCTCGTCCCGAATCGTAGAAGGCCGAATGGAAATCGATCGCACCACGCATGCGGACCTGGACACCGAAGTCGTTTCCACCCCGATGTATCGGCCGGAGGCGCCAAGTACTTACTATCGACTCCCCACCCTCCGGCCCTCGTGTCTCTGGGTATTGGGCGCGAAAACGTATCTCAGGCTTGATGAGATGCGCGAGGGGATCAGGACCTGTGGGTGCGGTGTTGGAGGAAGCGGTGGCGTAGCCCAGGCGCGAGTTAAGGAAGTGATCATGTCTGGACTGGGGCATCTGTTTCCGTTCCAGGATGTTGGACGGTCTGCCGAAACATGTGCGGCGTGGTTAGAGACCGAGATGGAACGGTATCGGGTGGCCGAGAAGGAATGGAAGGAGAAGAGACAGTTGATGTCGAAGCGGGACCATCTGGTCCTAACGGACGAGTGGTTCAAGGTGCTGAGGCCTCCTCGTCAATCTCAGTCAAAGAAGATGAAACTGTAGACAAACACTCGGACAATAAACCACGTATGACATACGACTACCCATTCAAAGAATCAAAATATAGAAGAAGAGAGTTTGCTTGCTTTCAGGAACATTTATTTAGAGCCATTCCTGCCCCGAGCTCGGCAGAACATGGGACGCTTGATAGGGCTGGGTGCATGGATATCCTTTTGTGAGAGCTCCAGGGAAAACCTATTTCTGACGGGTCCGAAATTGCAGCACGGGGCCCTCCTTTCCGACGGCGAAGTTATCCTCTATCTTATACTCTCCTTCGCGGCCAACGCCCAGTCGCTCCGTCCCCGGCGCCAGTCGCATATCATACGACCACAACACACGGGCGATACTCACCTCCAATTCCAGCATAGCCACATTCCGCGCAATGCACCCCCGCGGGCCTAGACTGAACGGCACAAACGCCTGTCGCTGCCGACTTAGCACTTCGGCACTGACGCCCTCACCGTCCCGAGTGCCGTCGCTGCCGCGCAACAGCCACCGACTCGGATCATACACGAATGGACAATCAAAGTACTCTTTGCTGTGATGCAAGGCATACGTAGGAACCGCGACCACCGTGCCAGCCGGAAAATGCCACTTTCCAACCTGGAGTCCACCCGAGAGGACTTTCCGAGGCAGGTCCGTGGGAACCGGCGGACATAGGCGCATACTTTCGTCAATGCAGGCGCGGAGGTAGGCTATCTGCGCCAATTGGGGACCGGCAACAATCGCATCTGGTGTAGAGAATCCGGCACGGATTTCCGCGCTCAGGCGGGCGAGAATAGCTGGATGATGGGCGAGGAAGTAAAAGGTGGCAGTCAAAGCGGAATTGGTTGTGTCGTTACCTAAAGGTGACATTTGTCAGCTCTCCGGCCAGAGAAACCAGACTTTGGCGGGAGGAAGGAAGAGAGAGAACCCACCAGCTCCCAGCAACATGATAACCTCTGACATCAGTTCTGTTTCTGAATAGCCCTGCTTGGTCTCCGGATCGCGTGCCCGCCGCAGGTAGTAGATAATATCTCGCCGCTGGGTGGGCTCAGCCGCTAGCCGACTCCGCAGCTGTTTCTGGGAAAAGCCGATCTGTCGCTTGCGGTCCGCGACGCTGCCGCTGCGAAGGTACTTCTCAAACCCTAGATGACGCAAGATGGGCATCTGCCCGCAGATGTTCATGATTCGGACGTTCAAGGCCATCATCGGGAAGAAAAAGTGGTTGGTGTCGCTTAGGGAGGTGTTGAATGTCTTCCCAAAGCAGATCTCCCCCAAGGCATCGAATACGACGCAGGAGCTCCAGTGCACCATATCCTTGGGCTGCGACCAGGCGCCAGGACTGGAAGATGGCACTTGCGCCTGTTCATCAGGATGTTTATCACCTAGAGCAGCGCACCAGTCTTTGATAGCTGATAGTATGTGAGGCTCCATGCCACGCAGTGCCTGATTGGAAAAGGCCTGAGACATGACGCGACGCTTGCGGGAATGCACGCTGCGGTTAATTGCGCTGAATATATTCACGCTGTAGAAGACATCGTAATACTGGGACTTTTGAACATTAGCTTGGAAGCCATAGATACACTCCAATGCCTTCGCGTCGAGAATGGATAGGCGCTGCGGGCCGATCCGCACAATAGGCCCGTAGCGCTGATGTAGACGGTAAAGATCATCGTGGCGGTCACCGCGTATGGCGTGCACAACCGAGTAGAGGTTGGTCAATTTGGCGACGAATGGGCCCGGATAGGGGGCAAGTGGATGAAGCCAAGCTTGGTATGTAATGTAGCCGGTGAGAAGGACGATGAGCAGCCACACCAGGAGTTCTAGGGTGATCATGCCTATCAGAACCTGGCAGCGGCCAAGGAGGGACCGCAAGAAGGGTATTGAAAGGGAATTGCGTGAGATTCAGAAATAGTCGGTGGTCGTCCATCTAAATCTCTGAAAGAGGAGGGTCAACATAGCCCTTTATAATCCAGCTTGATAGATTATATTATGTCTTTTAACCAAGACCCTCATCTCTCCTGACATGGCTCAACTGACAGCTCAGTTATTGCATATTTTGGCCATGCCTCCAAATGCGTGAACATGTTCATCTTTTTTTCTGCCTGATAGGCTGGTCCGAGGCTTATCGAAGGTAGGTAGCCGCCCAGAAACTCCTTTGTTGGCCGCGCAGGGGTCCCTGAATGGATGGAATAAGTGACAAGTCCCAATAGAGCCATTGCTGTGCTTCGCAGTCACATAGCGACTGCATTAGTGCTGATGGGCTTGAGTCGAACGAGTCGTGTCAACTCGTATGTCTGCTAACTAGGTTGACTCTCGAGCTGAAAGAACCCGCGGGAGCGTGCCTAAGGGGACGGAGCAGCGCGTGCACTACTGGCGGAGCCGCCACATAGTTGGCTGGCACGGGTGGGCCGGGGTGCATCGGTGAATGGCGCTTGACTGGTGATGATCAGACTCCGAGCCAGCTAAATATCCGGTCCTTTTGGGATCGGCCGAGAAAGTATAATATTTGGAATTTTATAGGTCTCGTTGGATTGCATCTCCCAACCGACTAGGTGTCATACCGCCACAGTATTAACCGATTCAGCCTTGGGCTTCCGATGTTCCTGGGGGCTATAGCTCACCTACTAGACTATCCCTCGGCGGCCGGAGGACCGGTAGATCAAGGTGACAGGAGGATGACTCCCAAGTAGGTGGAGTAGGTGCCAAGGTGGAGCAGACGTCACATGAGGGGAGAGGGAGGAGGGGAGGAGAGGGGAGGAGACAATATAAACAAAAGGGTCATGTGATCAGCCTGGTCTAGAACAGAAGTGCCAAAGTCTGACAACCTGCGGCTTTGCGAATAACGTTTGTTAAGTTCGTATTGGTTCAGGATTCAGATATGCATGTATGACAGTAATTAAGCATGATCGCTTTAAGCTTGGAGGTAGGAGTGTACAATGCCCTCATGGTAGAAGAGATTTGCCAGGGGTAGTTGGCTTGGCTCCCACCCCACCAGTTGCAGGGATGGGCTATTCGAGCAATAAATGAAATAAGATTAAAAGAACACATGAACACATAGCTAGAAGACATCACTATAAACAGCCCCACCAAACATGTCGTGGGACGAGCATAAAGATCATGGTGATGAATAAATAGACATCACTAGTTGCACCCGGCTCACTCGCCAGTGCCATTATTCGGTTGCAATCGCATGCCGTCACCCCTCAGCTTCGTCTCAGAAGATCAACTGAATTTTCAGCCAGATGTCTACCCCCGAGCACCCGTTTACCAGGCGTCGATTTTGATATAGGCCAACTCTGCTAAGCAAATCCGCACGGAGATCAGCGGACAGACCCTGTCATGATGGACCCCGGTGGATTAAGATCGATTGGGGATCAATCTCGAACTGGCCCCAAACGACACGTGGACAGGTCTAGAGCATGTCCTGGGAACTTTGGACTTGGCCAGCTAAAGAAGTGCCTCCTCATTCGGTCGATTCTTAACCTAGAAGTTCAACATCCAGGCCAATAGCCCTCATGAAGAGATTAACGTTGCCAAGGCGCTGGCTGGCCATGTCGGCAGGAAGCGTCTTGCTGTAGGTCACCGTCTCCATCACCCGGTCCCTGTAATATGGTTAGCATCTAAGCACAACAAGTGGACGAAGGCTAAACTTACTTGACTGCAATAACCAAGCGCTGCTGTTGTTCGGGGCTGGCTCCTATGCCAACTGCAGCCAGAAACTGCCATACATACATGTCGTCGCCAGCGTTGATCGAGCTAGGGAAGATATCGCCGAAGCTGGGCTCGAGGGTGTCAAACAACACGTTGAACTTTTCAACCCACTGTTGCCAGTCCCGCTCGGTAGCCTGTCCAGCTTCCTTCACAATCTCGGCACGACTGAGAAGCATGGTTAAGATTCCAAGCCCAATACGGGTCTTAGAGATCATATGAACCTGAGTCTGCGCAATAACAAGCCCCAACAGCCCAATGATGATGTTGAATGGCGCCTCATTGACGTAACCCAGAAGACTGGGCATGACAGCCTGGGAGAAAAGATCGATGGCTTCCCGAACCGCCAGAGAGGGCTGGGTTTCTCCGGGCACGGGCTGTGCGCGCCGGACGACATCCAAGGAATCCAAGTGAACGACAATCATAGTAAGGATGGTGACACGCTGTTCCTGATCAATGTGGCGGAAGATACGAGGGATGGCCTTTTTGCCCTTTGCGTAAGAGAGGAAAGCAATGAACGGATGGGGAGTGTTGGTGTTGGGAACAATGGGCTCCATGACCCGGAGTTCTCGCCACAGCTTCTGATTGAGCGAGCGGATATTCTGTCTCCATTCCATGTGCTTCTGAATCGCCTCCGCGTCGTTCTCATCAGGCGGGGGAGGCATCGTGCGCTCCATGTCTTCCATCTCCATCAGGGTGCTATAGACACTCTCAAGGTTGGTCAGAACGGACTTGCGGTCACTGACGCTCAGGTCGGTGTGTGGCTTCTTCACCGTCTTGGTACCTTCAGAGCTCTCAGGGCGCTTGATATTAAGCATAGGCTTTGGTGTTTTGGCGTTGCTGAAGGAGATCTTGCCCAAGCTGCCTTCGATAATAAGCTGCTTGTTCTTGGGCTTTTGCTTAGCGGCCTCCACCGCACGCTGGACCTGCTGCTGCATTCTCTGCATGTGGTTGTCGGCGCTCTGAAACTGCCGGCGAGATCCATGGCCTCCAATCCTGTTGCCTGTCTGAAGAAGGTATGTCTGCGCAAAGTGTCCGAGAGGTTGGTGTGGGTGTTGGCGTGGGGCCCCACGGATTTGGCTGTAGACCTGATAGTAGAAATCCTCGGCCAAGACAGCTTCCGAATCCGAGTCCGTAACACTCCCGGCGGCTGCGACGAGCTGCTGTAGTTGGATTCGCGTGATGAAATTCTTGTCTTGCGGGGTCATCAGTCCGTTACCCTTGGACAGGAGGAAGATCTTATGATTGCGCTTCGCACGCTTAGCATCTTCCATCAAGTACGCGATACGCTGCTCTTCGGTCAAATGCATCAACTGCTGGGAGTTGGTTATCACTGGCAGTTGAGCGTTGTTACCACGAGGAGCCTGGGGTATGGGCTGCTGCTGCTGTTGCTGCAGTTGAGGTCGCTGAGCTGCCGGCGACATCGCCTGACGCTGAGGCGGCACCATATGCTGAGGCGGCAGGTTGGCATTCTGCAGAAGATGTATCGGCATGTTCGGAGGGTGCGCCGGAAGCGGGTACGGCTCCGGGACCATTGTTGGCTGATGCTGTACTGCGTGCGCGACACCCTTGGCGAGCTGGGCCTGTAGGATCTCCGGCGGCAACTGTGCGAAGCCTTCGGGAAGCGGCGGCATCTGTGCACGCTGAAGCGGCTGAGCCAGTTCTGGCATCGAATACGGGTGCGGCAATGGGAGCTGGGTAGGGATTGAACCCGGACCTTGTCTGCGCAGCTGCGCTTCCACCTCCTCTAAGCTCAGCATCTTCTTCGCCTGCGATACCATCTGAGGTGTGAGCTGATGTTGCAACTGCAGCTGCTGCAGCTGTTGTAGCTGCAACTGCGACTGCGACTGCGACACCGGCTGCGGCTGCGGCTGTGGCTCCGGTTTCTTGGGCATGCCCCAGACGCTAGACTTGGCCTGGAGGTCGGGGATATAGCCCGGGTCCTGGTACTTCTCATAGCCGGTGCGTTTGGGCTTCTGGGCCGCAGCGCTTGGCAGAGCCGTATCGACAGTGGCTTGCGTCGCAGTCGCAGAGGCGCCAGCGGGTGCACCAGGTTGCTGTAGACTGTAGCGGATCTGCTCCTCTCCGATCACGTCGGCGACCTGAGCGGTTCTCCCGAAGAAATCGAAATCCTTTCCGACAGGGCCAGGGTCGACGCCGCCACCACCACCACCAAACGTGTCGTCATTGAACGCATCTTGGTCGTCGTCGAGCTGGTCTCCCAGACCATCGTAAGTATCTTCAAAATCAATCCTATATTAATGAAAAGACCCGCGGGTTAGCTAAATGCTCACAAGCGCGGTCTAATTGGTGGATTGTAACCATGGGGGGGGGGGGGGGAAGAAGTCTTACACGTCGTCATCTTCGCCGCCTTGGTAGCCTTCTGCTCGGGCGCGGGCAACTTCGGCGAACGGGTCAGGGGTGTCGAAGATGCCCCGAGTTTCAATCGGAGGAGCTCGATCCCTAGGTAGGGCGGTATTGAAGCCGAAGAAGGACATCTTCGGGGGAGGGGTGGGGTAGTGAAGAGGACGAGGGCGAGAATTAGCACCGCGGCATAATTGGGTAGTGCGGGATGAAGTTCAGAGCCGGTCTGATATCACCCGCCTAGGTGGCTTTCGGCTTAGTGGTGCTGCTGGCACTGAGGGCCTGAGGCAGCAATACAGAGCTTGGCCGTCCGTGCTTACCTCATCGGGAGGGACTTGTTGCCTCCTCCAATTCGAATTCCGACAAATAACAATGGAGATAATTGTACTAGTAAAAGTAGGTAGAATAATAAGGGGTAACTCCATCAAGGCCTGTCATCCGAGTCGGGTTTCAAGTTTCAACTACTACCTAGTACCTACATACTAAATAAGATGTAAAGCACCGTGCTGGGAGATCTCATCCAGCCCCGCAGCAAGTATCTAGATCCCTCTCAAGTCTTAAGGGATTAGGGAAATGTGGCTTCTCAGTGTCCCCTGGACCGAACCCAAGGCAGGATGGATCGTCGCCCAGGAGTCGCAGTGTGCCCCAGGCCTGAAGAACAGACAGCTTCGATCGCAGCCTCCTCAACGTCATGCCGTCCCCATAAGGCTTTTCCGTAGAGACCGAGGGTCCTTCAGCAACAGGATGTCTCATTTCCTTTGAATCCCACCCATCCATCGGTGGCCAAAACCGGTGCGACGTACGTGGCCCGGCCAATAATAATGGGCGAGGCTGCGTCGCCCTCGTCCCCAGGCCGGGCCAAATGCCGCAATAATCTTACTACCTGCCTTGACCTTCCTGTAGACCGGCACTTGTCGACGTCTCCTGAATTTTCCTCAACTTTATTGCATCCTCCAGACTTCGGTTGGGATTCTTCCAAAGAAAAGGACGCCTGGGGAAGCACGAGCGGCGTGGCCTGGAATTAACTTTAATCTTCGTCTATGCGCCGCGGGTCCATCACTATCTGCATCGTCGTTACCGATCGCCCATAGATAGATCCCAAGAATCGGGAGGCGGATTTCCATCCGGCCTGTCACAACCGCCTCAAAGTGAGAGATTCCAGTTCGGATCTCATCTTCACACACCTGTCCGTCATTCGTTTAACCCTGATCTGCACCGTCCATCTTCCTTGGTGGCCGAGACCACACAGCAGGCATCTATATTCAGCCCTGCGCGCTCACCCATTGCTCCCATTTCTCACCGACGCTTCGACACAGCGCAGTGTCTAGCATCATGGCTATAGGGCCCCTGCGATACCTTCTTTTTGCCGTTACGGTGAGTTGCCGTCGCTCTTTGTGGCCCTCCGCATTACTGACCGCTTCAAGGGGTTGGCTCTCTTCTTCCTGATCTCTAGGAGCGCGATTCCCATGCCCGAGAACATTGGCACGAAACTCAACCCTGCGACCTACAAAGACTCCTCTACCTCCTCCTCTACCCCGCAGAGCGATGCCCTATCATCCAGCGGGCCGAGCAAATACATCTCGACGGATCGCGTGAACGCTACCTTTGTCACCTTGGCTCGCAACAGTGATGTCTGGGAGATGGCCAAGTCCATCCGGACGGTGGAGGACCGCTTCAATCACAACTACCACTACGACTGGGTGTTCCTGAATGACAAGCCGTTTGACGATGAGTTCAAGAAGGTCACATCGGCTTTGGTGTCGGGTAATACTCACTATGGAGTGATCCCCAAGGAGCATTGGTCTTATCCCGAGTGGATCGACCAGGACAAGGCCAAGAAAGTGCGTCAGGAAATGGGGGAGAAGAAGATCATCTACGGCGACTCGGAGAGCTACCGTCACATGTGCCGCTACGAATCGGGCTTCTTCTTCCGCCATCCGTTGATGATGAATTACGAGTACTACTGGCGCGTGGAGCCCAGCATTGAGCTCTTCTGCGATGTCAGCTTCGATCCTTTCCGCTACGTGAAGGAGAACGACAAGAAGTACAGCTTCGTCCTCAGTTTGTATGAATACTACGACACGATTCCGAGCCTGTGGGGTACGGTGCAGAAGTTCATGGAAGAACACCCCGAGCATATCGCGAACGGCAACTCGATGAGTTTCCTCAGTGACGACGGTGGAAAGACCTACAACAAGTGCCACTTTGTGAGTATGCGCCTCGAGATCGTCAGTCGGGTTACTAATGAAGAATACTATAGTGGTCTAACTTCGAGATCGGGAGCTTGGAGTGGCTGCGGTCCAAGGAGTACATTGACTACTTCGAGACGCTCGACCACGCCGGCGGCTTCTTCTACGAGCGGTGGGGCGATGCGCCGGTGCACTCCATTGCTGCGGGACTGCTCCTGAAGAAGGAGCAGATCCACTTCTTCAACGAGATCGGATACTACCATGTCCCCTTTACCCACTGCCCGACTGGCGAGCAGCTGAGGCTGGACCTGAAATGCCACTGCAACCCCAGCGAGAACTTTGACTGGAAGGGATACTCTTGTAAGTTGCCACCTTCCGTTGGCGCACAGTACTAACCAGCATGTAGGCACGTCCCGGTTCTTCGAAACTAACGATATAGCCAAGCCCAAGGGATATGAGAATGAAACCTGAGGGCTTTAGTAAAATTTTGCAACTTCACATGAGCAGAACGGCGGAGCTGGACACCTTGACCAAGTACAGTCGATTGGATACTTTAGGCGTGGAGAAGGTGGACATTCTCCACGCATCCATGGTGCACGGTTCCGGTATATGCTTACAATATTCGGGTTATTATATCCATTCTTGATTTCCGGCAGGTGTCATGTGTTAATAAGATTGTCGAGCTGGCGTACTCATCTTTCAGTTATTTCAGGGTACCGAGGTGCGGTGCAGATGTACTGGGTATGGGAAGGATCGTGCTCTGTAGCCCGGAAAGCCTCATAAATGTACATAGCCGTTTCTAATGATAACAACGATCCGTCAAGGAACAAGGTAAACGATACATAAAACAGAATTACGACAGCATATCTTAACAAGCTCCACCATCACCAGCGTGAATCCTCACTCAGTCCTTCTTGGGCTTCTTGGTACCATACTTGGACCGACTATTCAACCGGCTGGCAACACCACCCTGCAAGAGTCAGCAATCCCATCCCATCCCAACACCAACCAGAACAACTGGCAGAAGAAAAAGAACCTACCAAATCCATAGCACCTCTAACCAAATGGTACTTCACACCAGGACAATCGGGCACACGACCACCACGGACCATGACAACACTGTGCTGCTGGATATTGTGACCTACCCACATACCAAGTTAGCCTTGCCTTTCACTTCACCTCAATCATCCCAACCATCCACTCTATCCTTCATTTCGCCCCAATCCACCCCCCCCCCCCCCCCCCTAATCCATTACCCCATCCCCCCAACCAAAGAAAAGAATGAAACCCACCTTCACCAGGAATATAAGCGGTAACCACCTTCCCGCTACTCAACCTAACTCTGGCCGTCTTTCTCTCCCCAGAGTTCGGCTTCTTCGGTTTCGTAATACCCGTCTTCAGACAAACGCCCTTCATCTGAGACCGACCAATCAGCGCCGGAGACCGAGAGCGACGCGCCCTCTGCGCAATTCTACACCCGCGCCGGACTTGGTTGTAGGTTGCTTGGCGGAACGGCGAAGTCGAGAATTGGCGGATGGCGAGCGTCACGGAGGGCTTGGACGTGCGGAGGACGGGCTGGAAGGGTCGGCGGGTGGGAATGCTGGTGGTGGTGGTGGAGCAGTTGCGCTTGAAGCCGATGGTGGTAGTAGGACGCTGGACGAGGGTCCGTAGCGTACGGAGCGCGAGGGAGGAGAACATTTTGGCGGAGCTGCGTGAGGGTGATGCTCTGCGTAGGCCGGGATGGGAACAGGAACATTTCCTGGGAGGATTAATATCACGTGATTGGCTGCGGAGGTGGTGGGTTTGCGGTCCCGGAGGACAGGACGGAGGACGAGGAGCTGGCGGTGACGCGCGTGCCTGGGAGCCTGGCTGGGCTACCTTACCTACCTAGATGCTAGAGCTACTGCTGCCGCTACCTTTACTGACTACTATTGACTTCACCTCCATCTCCATCTCACCTTCATCGACTACTTACTTCTACATAACCCACCCTCTTACGAACCAACCACCACAACCTACAGTTTACAGAATAATACACCTCACAAACACCAGCACAATGGTTCGTCCCAACTTAACCCTCACTCTAACCCAACCCATCCTATCCTATCCCATCCACCTCATCCCATCTATCCACCCAACTCTTCATACATCCATGCCAACCCATATACTACATACTAACGATGATATAAAAAACCAGTCCCTCCGCATCGCCCCCGCACCCACCCACGCCACTCAAACCACCAACACCACCACCCACGACCCCATCACCCTCCCCCACCCCTCAAAAGGCGCTCCCTCAGCCCCCGGTCTCCCCGACACCCTCCGCGACAACCTCACTCTCCCCGCCGCCCGCGGCCCTCCCTCCAGCAACACCGCCATCCCCTCCTCCGCGCACCCCCTCGAAGCCCGTCTCCTGGCATGGCGCGCCACCCAAGACGCATTGAAAATGGAATCGCTGCGTCGGGCGTACGGGATCGCGGAGCCTGTGCGTCGCGGAATGGAATTGAAGATTGTTCGGGATGGTTCGTTCAGACCGGGTTTGTTGGGTGGTGCGGCTGGTGGGGAGAATCTGCATGAGGAGATTTTGGTTCTGGGGGGTAGGGACGCTGAGGTTGCGTGGGAGGATGTTTTTAGGGGTATGTTTTTCTTTCTTTCTTTCTTTATTTCTTTCTTTGTTTTTTGGATTTTGGCAGTTGGTTTTGGGGTTGGAGAGGGGTTGTTTGGGGGAGGGATATGGGGGTTGTTTGGGGATGAGTGCTAACTGACTGTCTCAGGTAACGAGTTCCGTGAACCGCCTGCTTTCCACGATGAAATGGAGAAGAGACTGCGTATGGATCACTAAATCTGGATATGGATGTGGACTGGTTTCGTCTAAGTGTCACTTGTCATGAAATTACTTGATACAGGCCCTCGCGGCAATCAATTCAATACTTTAGATCAATTATGTTTCCAGTCGTAGCTACAACACTATATGTGCAGTTTGTACATTATGTTTCCGCCGGCGAACCAAAGCGGAAAGATATTTGACATCAACGTGTGGGTCGCACAAACCCTGTATCACAAAGTAAATTCAATCAACTGGCTGGCCACATCAAGAAGGGCCGCCAGGGTCTTCCATGCCAACGCAAATTGGTCGTCCCAACCCTAACTCAACAGAAACAGCGGAACGACAAACACCGAGCAAGGGCAGACGTAGGCTTCCGTATATGGACACAAATGCAATAGACAACAGAGCGAGGGAGGAAGCGATAACACAGCTTAGGGTATATACGAAATAGAGGAATCGGAGCGGCGTCAAGCAACTCATGGAACTATGCAAGCCAAACGGTGACCACTGGGCAGAACAGGCAACTGGATAAATGTCAATGCATCGGGCTGATAAAGTAAAGATAACCCATTCATAACGCCATCTCAATACGGTCAGATAGCCAACCACATGCAGCAGAAATGTGAGCAGCAGGGGGAAGCAGCACGCTCCAAGGGGCCAGAAGAAGGCTCGTGTCGAATCTTCAGCGGCACAGGCAAGCTAGCTTAGCCTTTGCATCAGTAGCAAAGGGCAACGGGATGTTGGCGGCTCCTGAAGAGCACAGCATGGAGGACCGCCTTTGATATGTGATTCTATCGTCTCCTTGAGCGATAACGACTCCCACTCATTGAATGATACAGCGACAGCCAGGGCTACGCTCGCTGGACTCTCGCTCCCGTGGGTATTGGCTTTTGGAAGTCTTTGCGTCTTCTTCATCGACAATTTCTTGGGGCTTCACGGTCATGTGGACTACGTTGGGAGCGTCCCGGCTGAACTTGGAGTCTGAACGGCAGTAGTCAGCATTACGCTGGAGGATAGGACATAACAGATCGAGAGCATACCTGACAATGGGGCCTTATCATCTAGTAGCTTGCCGAATGAGATGAGCCGGATGGAGCTGGGCGATGACGGCCGCGGTTCCCAATCTATCAAGCAACATACATTAGCCACCGTGATCTTCAAATCGTGCTAGCCACGGCACGCATACCTTGACGCCATTCACGCCAGATCAATTCCTTCAATGTGTATACACTCATGGCAAATGGATCATGATTTTCCACATTGACCGACCGCTTCCGAAGATATTTCCCATCGATCTTAAATGGGTGTCGCGAGCCCGTTATCAACAACAGAGTGATTACCAAGGATGGACCGGAGTCCTCCTCGTCTTTGGCGGTATCGTCTGATCCCTGGGATGGTAGCTCCGAGCCAGCCGCCGTAGCCTTCGCCTCATCGTAATGCTCAGGCGATGCGCTGGCCGATGGAGCAGCGTCTACAGGGATCTGCTTGGGAGCAGGGGTTGACGTAATGTTATCATCGCCATCTGTAGGTTTCGCATCCGACGAACTGGGCTCCTGGCTCTCCAGTTGGGCATTCTCACGAAAGGTAGGACCAGAAAGCTCCTCAGAGTTGATGACAGGAGGCTGGGAACTCAGGTTTGAGTCGTTAGGGGCGGTGGATGCGGGATCGACTTTGGAGTCCGCGGTGGCCGACATGATGCACCCCTCGTGAGACCGCACGGATCAAATAGCGCTAGTAGGTGGAAGGATGATCAAATGAAAGTCGATTCGATAAAGCAGAGAAAAGATAATAACTGCTGCGAATTGTCGGTGGAGCAACCGGAACGATATGGATGTTTGAGGTTGACCGGTGAGGGTAAGGGGGGGGGGGGATAGTCGTGGGATTGGAGACAGGAGCGGATGAAACAAGGCCGATGCGCGCACGAAGGAGACAGAAAGGAGACCAGCTGAGGAGGGACTAAATTAGGTAGGCGAAGTGGAGGAGTTCAAGGGTGGCCCGAACAAGCGACTAGAACCTTGATCGGGGATGGGTGAAGGGGGCCATGCGACCCGAGCAACACCAGCGAAAAGGGGACCAAGTCGCAGCAGGAAGGAGATTATTGGGCGGGTCCACGAGGAAAGAAACGAAGGAACGACGAAAGGGAGGAGAGAGGAGGGGAGAGGAGTGAGTACGAGGAGGGAGTTGGAAGTTGAGAAATTTAAGGCTGAAGAGACTAAGGTGTGGCAAGGTGGATGGGCGAGTGGTATGAATGGAGAGGGGGAGGCAAAAGGGAGGAGGAGGACTAGGAAGAGGAAGAGGAAGAGGAGGATTGGAGATAAAGATGATTATTGATTGAATGATGGCTTGGGAAAGGGAGAGAGAGGCAGAATAATGGCCGTCAGTCGGTCGGGGGTTCAGAGGGGCGCCGATCCGGTTGGTTGGCGCCCGCCGCGGCCTGGAGTCGGTGGGCCTCACAAATGGTAGTAGTGGATCTCCTTTCTTAGGTATACTCTTCTTTCTCTTCCTCGTCATGGATTCCATTCATTCACTCCCTTCTTCTTCTTCTTCTTCTTCTTCTTCTTCTTCTTCTCCTTCTACTTGCACTTGGCCTTACATGCAGATGGTTTCAGACTCCTACCCCCCTCCGACTGGACGCAACAAGCACCGTTTCCCGCGTGCAGCTGAGGCCTCCGTGGTCGCGGATCCTAGTCGCTTCCGGACGTGCTGCATCATTAGCAGGCCGTGACACCTGTCATGCTGGACACTGGTCCTAATCTGCCCCATCCAAGGTGGAGGAGATTCTGCACATGGCCCAGCATTTATTTATACTCGAGAAGATAGGCCTCTCATTGGTACCTCCTTACTCAGAGAAAGATAAAGATGTCCACCAAACCACCGTGCCTATCTAATCAGCCGGGAATGCACCTCTGCGACCATATGATCTGCCCTACATATGAGGCAATAATGTTCGACTGGAGTTGCCTTGCCGCTTTGCTAAGCTACCGCGGGGCTTGCGCTCGCTCGTGTGATGTGATTAAATCACCCTATGCCACCACGTTCAAGAGGCAAGCGTTGTGATTATTCTCCCTCGTGGAATCCACTTCATCGATACGATCATGTCAGTGATATAGTAGGGCACTTTCTCAAAGCAGAGTTTTTGGTGTAGGGTATATCACTTGCGCATGCAGCGCTTATCCTTCTGATAACACTCCTCGCGAGCACGTGCATACATGACGACATCCATATGAGGTTCTTTCATTCAGCGGCTGCATCAGATCACCTGGGGGGAGACAGAGGTCAATGACACACCAAGACGTATTTTAAAAGCATAGTCATAGGGAGCATTTGCTAAAGAAGTAGGGAGAGGATAGGCTTGCAGCCAAGAAACAATTTGGATAGCCAAGATTCTGAGAAACTGAATTGACACCTTGGAGGCGATCTTGGCTCAGAGTAGATATCCATGCGAGTTCCCCTCTATTAATGAATATCTTCCTAATTATAAAGTCCCTAGTAGAACGTTCCATTGATTCTACTGATAGCTTAGGTTAATGTTCCGGTTGTAGGTATATGCTCCCACGCCAATAGCAGTACTAGGCATCATCGCCCATCATCCGTCAGGTCATCCACGGGAGATGAGGCTATGGGGTCTACCGCCATGTAATGTACGTGTCAGGCTGCGTGGTGAATACAATCTAATATTATTGTTACGAGATAACACAGAGGCGCAATCCCCAATGTTAAGGAGATAGAGAGATTAAATCAGATGAACAAAGAAGACAAAAATAAACAGGCGGGACAGACATAAAGCGACACTCTAAAGAAACCGCAAAAGAGACAAAAGCTAGATGAGAAAGAAGCGGTGAATACAATGGGGGTGGGGGTGAAACCATCAAAATCCAAGAATAACACCAATGCTAGTCGTTTGTCCTAATATCCTTGGTAACCCGGGCTGTATTATAGTTTATTCTGTCTCAAATCACCAGCTCAGGGATTATCACAGCGCTTTCAGAGGGCTCGCGAGGCTTTTCTTTCATCACAGGAGCATCAAACATAAGGAGAAAGAAAAGGAAAGTTACTGATAAATCAAATAATAGGAAGAACAATCTGAGTAGGATAGAAGACATAAAACAGAAAGTGGATAAAATCATCCGCTTTGGCAGACGCTTTGTTATCTGCACCCTTCTTGACCCCTTTCCTGATGATCTGGTAAAAGCAGAAAATCACTAGGAGGAGAATGCCTCGATGATCGTACCCTTCAAATCCGCACTGCCCCATTTCAGTATGGCTGAGATGTGGATTAGGGCCTCCAGACAATGGTTCTTCAACGACATGCACCACACATTCAGACGTACCATCTTGAAACTGGAGCCATTTTCTTCCTGAAAGTGCGCCCACAGTTCGATAGTTGGACCCTCTGTAGTAATGGAAAACACTGGAATTGACATGAGCTGGTCACATTGATCTGGCACATTGTTGGATACTGATATGCGGGCGTGATACTCTGAAAGGTTCCTCAAGATTCGAAGTGCAACACAGCCTCCGACTGCAGCTTGGTTCTGAGCTTGGAAGAGATTTCCACCAGTGGCACCCGACTTTGTTTGCGCTATCAAGAATGGAAAATGTAGATTCAAGCAACTGGGATACGGACCACTAATCAGTTCAGCATCGGCTTGCAACCTCGTAAGAAGACCCGTAGCTGCGCTACCCATTCCAGGTTTCAATGCCTCTTCAATGGGGCATGCGCACAAGCCGACACTAATATCTGGTCGTGGGTCGTTCAACTTGAACTGGTAATCAGCCGGTTGCAAGTCCGTCCGCCAGTCTGCATAATAGTTAGCACTAGAAGCCACGCTGATAACTTGGAATTTTGATGCATACCCCGATCGTTCGAAATTGAAATCATCTCTCCCTTGAATGCACCAATTGCTTTGCTCAAAACACCCCTCCAGTCGTCTTCTCCTCGTGAATCAAGTTCACAATTTTTCGAATCGTCCCACATCTGGTTATGTACACGCTCTAGTTGGGCGTCGCGTTTCTTCAACTTGGAGTACACCTTCTTGTCTATATACTCTTGGATTTCACTGGGTAATTCTGTGGCCACGTCCATTTGGATCTTCGTCAATGAGAGATGATTGCGATAATTGACATCGCTATCGCCATCGCCAGTTTTGTCTGAAGGACAAGAGGGTGGATATTCCTGGTTCAAGTCACCATGGAGCCTGAGAGAATCATGCTTGAGAAGAGTCGGATTGCAATACTCTGCAGGAAGAGGTTCTGAGAAAGAACGCATGCGTTCCATCTCTGCCAACGTGATTATGATAGACTTTCTCTTCCTCAGAGGGGTAAGCCTCAAGTGCAAGGGTGATGACTCGCTCAGCCAATCGTGGTGATATTGGATAATCCAACTTGAGAAGAGCGCTCTTGTCGGTTAGAAAGTTAGTTGTGACGATAAGCCCAAGGCCTTGAAGGGTCATCACGTACAAGGAGGGCCTATATATGCATGCGAGAGAAGACATGTGATTACTACTGTAGGACGCTGAGGTACTCGGTAGGGACTTGCCGAAACTGATCATACGGGATGGGCATGGTTGTGAAATAGCCTTAATGAATTTACTTGATGACACGATGACTAGCTAACCATCAGTACTTCAAACGTGCTCTAGATGGCCAATCTTACGTAGGATGTCTACTCACAAGGTGTAGGGTCCGTAGGCATTCCCCGAGGAATCGGAATTTTTCCATCATTACCAGCATAATCTCGGTATCTGAGATTGAGAAGATAGATACAAGCGCCTTATAATTTTAATCTTTCTAATTCTTAGACTTTTATACAGAGCATTAATAGTTTCGTTCAGGATACGCCAAATGCCCAGGGTCCACGAGTAGTTTCTGCCTAACTTTGTCAGCCGTGTGAGGGTGTGATGACAAATGACATTGGCCGATCATGACACCCTCGATAATTCATCTATCGTAGGGAATACTGTAATGGTCACACTCCCTACTTGAAAACTATTCCCTGTAAGGCATATATTCTCCTTATTTGGTCGATCCGGGGTGTTGTTAACAGATCCATTTCAGTATCTTTGGCTAGGTCAGGGTTCCATCCAGACTAATTAGGACAAATACGTACGCCCACTTTTTCATGGATGCTTGTGCCACGAACTCGGGTTATTCCGTCTGACCTACTCACTCGGAGTCTTCCTTCAGCTCCTGCGATTCTCCATGTTTTCTCTCTGCACGACCTACTGGCAGACTTTCCTCTCAAGCGGTGTGTATGGGACTAGGGAACGTGCGACATTCAGCACAGGAGGGGAAGGAAATAGAAGGGACATAGCAAAATGCTACCGAGAAAGATCACCCGCTCGCTAAGATCAAGATAAGAGCACAGTGGCTAGAATGATACATCAGTTGTTGAGTAATTGTGATAACTTTCCCTTCCAATCATCTACAAGAGCTTTGGCTTCCTCTCCTGCTTCTTTTGAGGTCTGCAGCTCTGCTTCAAGAGCTTCATTCCTTGCTCGAAGCTCTCGGATCTCCTTTTTCGCATCCTCGAGTTGGACCGCAGTTTCTCGCAGCTTTTCATGTTCCTGGTCCGAGCAGCGCCGATTTTCCAACTCTCGGCGCAGGGCCATCATACTGAGGTCACGTATCTTAACTGTTTGAATGTGTCGGGCATTTTCGCGGCAAAGTTCTTCGATCTGCAGTTTTAGAGTTGAATTCAACTCAAGCTCTCGATACAGGACGTTCAGTGATGCATCGACATCGCTGGGAAGGCTCGTATACCGAGATTTGCGAGGGCGTCGGGCCACCGGCCCCGAGGGTCCTGGAGTATTATCGTTTTCAATCGTATCATGGTTATCGAGCGAAATATCCGGGATCATCTCAGGAGCTTGTACAGCCTGTTCATCAGATGATTTGTGTCCATGTATTGGAAAAGTCCCTGGTTGTCTGTCCGGGGGTGCAGTATCAAGGTGCGGACTTGGCCGAGTACTTGTATTGGGCTCTGTCGCCAAAGTGGCTGCAGCAAGACCGCTAAATGCCCCTCCCATCATTGGTGAAGCGGGAGGCGTAAGCACAGGAGGATCTGTATGCCAGCCCCGTCGGACGCATATGACGCAAAAGAGTTGATTCTCCGAGGTCCGCAGCCAACCTGCGGGCATACAATCGTCATGGAAAGCCAGCCGGCAGCTGAAGCAGGGTTCTAGACCATCCGGCTTAAAGCAAACGCGACAGTAATTGTCATGGGGTGATCCGTTCCCTGCATCCAGAGTTATTATCCCCACGGTACATTGACCTGTGCCAGAAGTAAGGACTTTACTTACGTTTCCATTCCTTATACCTCTGTACTTGATGGGCAAGAGGCTCTTTCTCAAGAGCAGCAAGGACATCTTCCCATGATTTGCGTGGCTGCAAGTCCGATGAGGGAGAATTGGCCGACTGGCTCTGTTCCTGAATTCCAATCTGACTACTAACGGCCTGTTCGAGTCTCGTGTTCGGCCGACCCCGTGTTGGGCGTCTTGAGCGAGTTTTCCGCACGCCTTGGGAGCTCATACCGGCTTTGTGGTTTGATGCTCAATTTAGGAATGCGTAATAAGGACAACGAATGTACTCTGGAGGTGGACAGTTGGTTTGATCAAATTCATGTAACCCGGCGAGGTGGCTTGGTCTCACGCCATTTGACGATGACAAATCCCGCAACTATCACATGATGATGGGAATATCACTCAATTCATCACTGCAGGAACAACCAAACAATATCTTCTTTCTCTACACGCTCCATACTACAAGTCATCTAGGTCCTCGAGGAGTGTTTCCATTGAAAGGACAACTTTCAAGTATCACTACATGCCAAGTAGGTCACCGACGTAACATCATTCTTCTCTAGCAGTCCCTCCTCAAATAGCACGCATACCAAGCTGATAGCGTGTATATGTACACCACTCTCCAGTATTAAGTCAAATGTGCTCTGCTAATCAGAGTGTCACCAAACTGCTTCACCGTCATGACTTTCGAGAACAAAGGCCAAACCAAATCCGATCCCGCGTCTGTCAGTTCTTTAGACCACCCAGCGGTTGCATCCTTACTATTGAAGTAAGAAGTTCTTGTCAGCAAAAGGCCCTATCCTGATTAAAACATAGACATCTCTTACAGTATAGTTACATTATACCCCCTGAGAGTCAAATCTCCAGTAAGTATATATCCCACATCTTTTTGTTCTAGTTATAGAAACTTACAACTCAAAAGCATGCCGTGCGGTGGCCTCAAGGCACGTATTAGCAGTCAAACCAGCGAGAATAAGATCCGTCTTCTCCCGTTGACGTAGTTGGAAATCCAAATCAGTGTTCTGGAAGGAACTAAATCAGACAAATCAGTAACAAAAGCCAGGTATATCCAGTCCTGGTCAGCCTCTTACTCGCTATTCCAATGCCGGCTCACAACCACGTCGCCATTTGTTGGATCCGGCTCCAAGCCTTCATAGATACGAGAGCCAAAGGTCCCTTCTTCAAAAAAACGAATGTGTTTCTGCTTGACATTGTTGGGAGTCATGTGTCGCCAATCGTGGAAACTGTTTGGGGTCCATTGCTGATGAAGGCCGTAGAAGATGGGTATGTGATGAAGGCGGGCCATGGCAACCAGCTCTGTCATGTGCTTGACAGTTTGCTTCTCCTCCAGATCTTTGAGCTTCGAAGTTAGCTTCCCGTCTGGATGTAGGAAGTCGTTGTAAGGATCAACCAAAATGATCGCGGTTTTGGATAGATCGGTCATGGCTGTCTGTAGTGATTTATTTAAATTGAAGCACAAACTATGATTAGAGAAGATATTCTGGTAGAGTTCAGGAGCGAACGCTGGCAATTTATGTACTGCGACTCTCCCCTTGAGTACATCATCGATTACCAATCCATATTCGGGCTTCCAGTGACCTCGGCATTCGGAGCCAACAAACCCTGCCTCTTGTACCTCGAAATACTGTTACAGAATACAGAAATTATCTTGTCACTGCGTGGTAATGGGAACTTGAAGCTTTGGAGTTACCATATCGGAGATGATACTGTTTCAGTCCAAGGCTGCAGCCAATGCTTGTAGTTCCATGACCGCCAGGTAACATTGCCAACCAATTGCAGCATTACTGATTTGGTACATGATTGGCCCATATGCAAGGATTTGCGTAAGAACTACTAGTAGACCTGCTGAAGGAAATGAGATCATTCGAACTAACAGGCCCAATCTAAACAATAACAGCAATACCGGGTGAACCGGCATGGAAACAGGAATTGGCCATCAAATTTCACATGTATCGTAAGACCAAAGCGTAGTACCAGATAGCAATGGCTCATTATGGGGCAATGTGATGCTTGTATTATTTGCTCATACAATCCAAAAATCCGAGATAAGACACAGCATTTAACACAGGATTACAAATCACTTTGAAGGCCAAGAAACTCCCGCATCTGGAGGGTGAATGATGAGGGTCGGTTTTGCTGACAATTCCAACCACTGAGCAGATGATAAGCGGCGTGGTATGTTTTTCTACATCTATGAAGGCCATGATGGGTAGCAAATGTGCTTCTTACTACGCTAATCTGATGGATCGGGTCTGTTATTTTCTGATCACCAGAGTAAAGTGTTTGGGTACTGAGGAATGATCAGTTTCTACTCGAAGAAGGCACATATGGAAGAGTCCCGTTCAATCTCTCGTAATTAAACCTAGAAATGTATGTATTGATGACTACAGCTTAACGGCTGCAGTTGGCCCTGCCACCGCAATGCCACCGTCTGCCCAATCCTTCAACAGCCGCCGGGGCTCTCCGTCATATCCCACTTTTCTCAACCATTCTTCCACCGTTCTGACTCTTGTGGGATGAATCAAGCCCAAAAAGTCATAGTCTCTTGTAATATTGCCCGTGTTGGGGCCTGTATATTTCCACATATTCCAGAAGCCACCAAAGTTCTCTCTCCAAGTCTGCAGAGTCGGGTCTTTTTTGTCGACGGCAGAGCCGATTTTGCGATCCACAGCCTTCCGACCAGCCGGATAATGCTTGTCGAAGTATTCTTGCAGAGCAACATCCAAGTATTGAGCCGGCTTTCCCGTAACTTTGGTGAAGGTGTTGGCCAGAACAGTCCAGTTAACATGCTCCGTGGCAACCTCGAGGTTCAACCCACTGGCCTGCTTGCGGTTATCAAACAACCAACGTGCGTAGTGACCCAGATCTTCGAGGTGGATTAATGCAACATGGCCATTATCACCCAGGGGTGCAATGAATTGGTATACTCCCTCGGGGGTCTTCTTGGGAAGCATGAATTCATATAGCAGCTCCATATACGGACCGCTGGTTAGAACGGAGATCGTGGTCGAGGTTGTAGACTGAGCCTGAGTTAACAGCCAATCTGTGCAAAGCGTCAGCGTAGGCGTCCCTCATCGAACTGGGATTGGGAATGATACATACCAGCAACTTTACCTTTGCCGTCATAATGTCCGCATCGGAACTTCTCGTTGAAAAGCCCCTTCTTTAGTGAGTAGTCCAGGCTTCCCCAGACATAATGCTCGATGTGGCTTTGGACTGCAAGTTCAAAGGTGCGTATGCCTTTTCGTATAATGTGACCATAGCTGTTAGGATGTTTGATTTAAAGAGCGGAAACTTAAGGGTGGACTGACTTACCCCAGTAGAGCTCGCATTTCTCACCGGTGACATAGCCATTGATGTTTACATACGCGAGCTGTACGCCCTGAAATGCTCTGCGCAAGTCATTCTCGTCGAATGAGTTGCCAACAAATAGAGAGACATTTGGAAATGATGAGATCAACTGAGCATCCGGACTTTGCGGGTTGCGGGTAAAAGCTCGAACAGCATACTGATCATCCGCAACAAGCGACTTGACCACCGGAATGCCCTGGGCGCCTGTGGCACCGATGATCAAGGCAGTTTTCAAGGGAGACATCGTAACGCGATCCTATGTTTGATATTTTCGTTCTCTTTCAGAAAGGCGAGATGAAGAATATCGCAGCCAAGGAAGAGTATGAGTCCGTGTTTTGACATTGACAACTAGGACTGAATTGCAGGGACCAAATCTGTCGGAGTCATCAAGAGGATAACCTCGGAACTATGTCCATAATCACGCCTTTCAGGCCTTCTCCGGCTTTGCTTCCTCTGTTTGAAAGCGGGGTGTTACAGTCAAGTTGACGTATTGACCGGCACGTATGCCAACGAAATTCAAAAATCCCTCATAGAAGGAGTGCAGACTGGGAAAACAAGGAAGGATAAATTGATTGGTAATCTGCTGTTGAACCAATCATGCATTGTCAGTTTCGGGTGACGCGGACAGTTGCTGACCAATCTGTTCGCCCAAGAGCATGCATCAACCAACTCGATATTATCGATGGTTACATTACGAAGTCGGTATTTTAGTAATACATCCTTTGCTTACCCATCATTCCTGGCCGATAGTCCGGCCCAAGTTAAACAAGTGCGTATCTTTTTCCCTCTTACGGATAAACAATCTGCTATATGGCACGAGCTCGCGACCGGGAAAATGGCGCTTGGGGGTTCGATTAAGTATTAATCTATGAATAATGTCCATATGCCTTCAATCCACCATCTGTCTTTCTCATACCCTGGGTATCATGCTATCCTACCTCCAAATAATCAATCAAACCACCTGGAAGAGCTGATCCAGGCGAGGGGTATCAATTTCGCCATTCTCTGGCCTTGGAAGCCTTCCTCCTTTTTTCTCTTCATCAAAGATCTGATTCAGGAGTTTGGCTCCCCCGTCCCCATATCCATACTCAGGGCTGTTTCGATGTCTCATGTACTCCAAGAACCGAGCATCGAGGCCCTTCAGATGCACCTGGTACCTCTTTTGTTCGAAAAGGGCGATCAGGTAACCAAGCTCCTGCTGCCAATGTTGCCAACGCTTAAACCTTTGGACGTGATGATCCCGCAGCACCAGGTAGATCATTCCTTGTAGATATTTTCCTGGGGTCAATAGCCTAACGGGATAGTCTCCCTCTCGCTGCCGACTGAGCTGGAAATCCGATCCACCGAAACGACTAGTATGCGCAGAACTCAATGTACCAGAACCAGATGGCGGTTCTGGCATATTCCAAAACAGCCGATGCATTTTGTACAACGCCACAGTGTATACCAATTCCTTCTTCTCGCCGGTAAGCACATCACTCCGGTAATGAAAGTGTTTGTCAGGGTAAGGATGATAGTGCTCAGTCATCTTGGAGCAACGAGGGGCTCGGGGCGCCCGGCGAGTTCGGCGATCCCTGCGGTCTGATTGACAAGACACGTACCCAGCAGTTATCAATGCCCGTGTAGCCTTTTCCATGTTCCTACCTGGGATCGCCCATGCAGAAAACTAATCGTCGTTAGCCATCATCATAAAAGGTTGGGGGAATCGAGAAGGCATCATACATGAATCGTCGACCTGGCTCCGTACATGGCCAATGCAGACTCTCCCCAGATAAAACTGGGGACATGGTTGTTGTCAAGAAGGCGAGCTAGTGAGCTTTCCAGCCCCCTGATATACTGTCTCGGGTTGGGGCATGTGTCATACATTGCGACACAGAATCGTGTCGCTCTGCATTTCTTGGGCTTGGAAGCTGGGCGTAAGATCCATAATTTATCTTTTTCTCTGTTAAGCTCAAAACGGATATATACGCTTAAATCTCCTTGTTCTACGGATAGAGCAACAATGACCGTAGACATAGCGCCAATTTAAAGCATTTTGCGCCCATGTCAAAGGAAATATCCGTTTGGAAGGGTCCTGCGCAGTACCAGACTTGCTCCTTTCCATGGCTCGTTTCTGCCCAATCAATTCTGCGAGAATCAGTCACGTTTTCACAGCCAAGACTCTAGGAGGGCGAGATAATGGATTTGGGGTGGTGGTGCAAGGAACAACACATGTAGTGGGGGATCAGAGTTGATTTAAGGGAGACGATGGCATGGCAGACGGAATTTAACCATCTGCCATCTGCATCATCCGCTTTATGAAGACATTTGCAGCTGGCTAGCATGGTACAGCCGGTGGGTAATTTGAACCAGTAAGATTAATGATTTTGTATCCGTAAGGTAAGAATAAGCCCAGTGGTAGGTGCTTTGATTCAGTCTGCCAGGTGAAGTGAGCCTCTTGACACGCTCGATGTAAGCTTATCCATGGAGGAAGTCCTCTGATAAGGTAGATAACGCCCGACGACTGAGAAGGACGCATCTTTGGAATGGATAGAAAACGGAGAGATAGTGCTAGACAGGGAGTAGTATATATACCCTATTCCTTGAGACAATGGTGAAGCTAGACAGCAATAGAACCACCATTGTTGCGGGTGGAGGATCTGTTTGTTGCTTTTGTTGCCTGCCGCCATCCGCCCCTCCACTCGCTCCCTCCTTCTCTACCCACCCTGATGCTCGAGAGGTGAAGGCCTCGAGGTGTGAACAGTTTATCGTCCTTCATCTAGACAACGATTGGATCGGTTAATCATCGTACGATCACCACAGCTTATCTATCTGCTATAATTTTTCAGATGCAGCAACCAGCCAAATCTCTGCACAAACGGCCCGCGGTCACGCCATGCCAATGGTCTGATCGGCTACCTATCTTCAATCCGTCGTGATTATGTTCCTTTGAGAGATCGCATACCGGATTAATTGGGGTGGCATGAATGTCAGGGGTATCTTGGCGCCAATGTCATGGGACTTACTTTGGCGGCGTACTCGCCCGACGAGGGGAGCTCTTGACCGGTGCATACGCGTTATCGCGAGGATCGACGACCCTTCGTGTTGAATGAAGCGCCGTAGGCAGTTGTCCTCAAAATGGTGCTTGCTTCCTTCTATCTATTCTTGCGACACAAGCTATGTGGCCTAGTACTGACAAGATAAGAGCCCAGCTTACCCACCTCTCCTGATCGTTAGGAAAGCCAGACCACTGAGCTTGTCCACGTGGACAAATGGCTTCAACGTGGTCCAGGCCTTGAACAGGTGCCCATGCCTCGCTTTTACAGGGGATGTTTGGTGGATTTGAACAAAGGAATCCGTGGTATCCTTTTTGCCATGTTCTCGCCCGGTGACCGGCTCTGACATTGTGACATCATCCTTGCCTGGGTAACCGTTAAGCGGCGCCCACGATGATCATTTGAGCTTGACCCAACATTCTGACCGTGAAGAAGAAAGAGAGGCACGGTGAAGCTTGGAGATTAATATTCTGCCTAGTTTGATCCGAGGGGGTTCCCCAAACATTTTCCTCACCGAGGCATCCTCCAAAGGGTTGAATTAACTGGATTGGGATGGAGAGACCAAGCAGACAGCAGCAGCCCTTGCTGTCACGCAACCCGGTTCCTGATACCGATATGCAGTGACCCAGACCAAGTCCTCCCTGATGTAATTAAGTGTTACGAAGCCTGATCTGGATTTGAGTCATCTGGCCACCCTACTGCAAGACCTGGTCCATTATAAATTGGCCCTGCCCCGTGGTCTAGTATGGAACCCCTCAAACAGTCCCTCCTCGCTACCATCCTCAGGAAGCCTTTGCTCTTCATAGAAATGCTTCGACAGTCTCTCAAAAATGCAAAGAAGGCGACCCAGAGGCTCTACACCCGTGACGACCCCAGTGACCTGAGTCTGGAGCTGAGTATCACAGAGCCTGCGGTATTTGTACCTACATATACGGACAAGCCGGCCGTCCTTCGGGGTACCTGCCAACTGAAAGTGAAGGGCAATTTGGCTGTGAAAAGGTTGACGGTGAACTTCCGTGGAACGAGTCGGGTGACATGGCCGCATGGTGAGGCTAACAGTCTTTTTTGTAGGATCTCATGCCTTCCTACTAATTCAGAGCGATCTCTCAGGGCTCCATGACACCCAAACCGTGACGGACAGCACGTTGACCCTGTTAAGCCCACAGGCTTCAGATGCCGCACTTCCATCCTATCCAGGCTCTCTATGTGACGAAACGCAGACCTCATCCCTTGGTAAGAGGTGGAGACTGTGGAATGCAGTCACATCCACGTTATGTTCGAACGGAAGCTACGGAAAGGTTTCAGGACCCAAATATCAACGTCTATCCGCTGGAACCCATACATACGACTTTGAGATGGTGTTACATTCCCATCTCCCCGAATCTGTCCAGATTCGACAGTCTCAAGTTCGATACCAGGTCCGCGCGTGTGTCGAGTGCCCAGGCTTTCTAAGGCGCAGCGTGGCGAGAAACAAGGCCGTCACTACAGTCCACTGCCCGGCCGAAGACAACGTGGAAGATGCCGAGCCAGTGTACATCGCGCGGGCCTGGAAAGGACTGCTTCAATGTGGGATCCTCGTTTCGAGGCGAGGTGCTCCCCTCGGCGACCGGCTGCCTGTTTCCGTTTCCCTCACGGAATTGGCGAAAGCCGAGTTCCGGGGCCTGCGGGTTTTCCTCTCGGAGAACGTCCAATATCACCAGAGGGATGGACTCGCCTGCTGCCCGGGTCCTTTTAGACGCGTTCTACTGTATGAAAAAGTGGAGGGGTCGGTCTCCACTCCGTCGCTCCACCGGGCCGGGAATGCTGATGACGAGCGCCCAGAGTCGGAAGCAAAAGACGACGGGGGGATGGAAAAAATGATCGGGGATCCCGAGATTCCAAGTGGACGAGTGCCCGACGAGGAGGAGACCACGCTGGACCTGACCTTACAACTGCCGGGATGTCACCTCCATTCCGTACCGGATGGCACGCAAAGCATGCACTATGATACTCGGTACAAGAACGTGCGGGTGAGCCACTGGCTGGAGGTAAGTCAGCGAATGAGGGAGACAACCCGGGGCGAAAAGAATGTCCAACTAATGAGGAGTCGGTAGTTTGTGTTTGTGGTGTGCCCGAAGGAATCCCTCGGGTCGAGCAATGATCGCATCGTGCAGAAAATGGCTAAAGTTCCACTGGCGCTGCGGTCTTGTTATGCCCAGTATGCCAGTGCCTCTCTTCCGGCGTATTCCTAAAAAGTCACTATGGTTCGATAGTTCGTTCGCACCAGCTCACCACCACCACCGAGGCCGGGGCCGGGGAGGAGGAGCAGCAGGGAGATAAGCATTAATAAGAACGGTTAGGGCGCTGGGCGTACCACTGGACCGTCAGCTGGGGGAAGTCGGGAAAGCTTCGGGGCCAGCGTCGATTGGTGCCGTTCGCGGTGGCGATCTCCAGTCGTGTTCAAGCCTACCCGCGGCCGTGGCCTGCATCACAGCTCACCGAGATCCACCCGCCGCCGCTGAGTGGACGCACGAAAACTCTTCAGTCAGTGAGGTTAAATGGTTCCAGGGACAGGGAGGGCCACAATGGCACAATGGTCCATCGCTATCTTGCCCTTGCACGGGCCTTGCCTCCACCGGGTGGACCCCTGCTGGACCCTTTGGTGGACCGACCGGTTTATCAGGCGCCATGGAGTTGCATCACTCGCTGTGCTCCCCGACGATCACCCACTCTGGAATGCATCATCCTCACATCATCGCGCAATCCACCTCCCGAAAACATCGTGCTGCTCACCGAAGATCCTGCCGCGGACAGTTGTCGGTTATCCATTCGCAAAAGCGCGCAGTGATGTCAGTTGCTGGCCCATACCCATGGGAAAATCCGCCGATGTGGAGGGCTAAGACGCTCCAAATCTTTCCCCATGGGTGACCCCTTCTGGGACGGCTCAAGTTGCGCTCCACCATCGGTGGCCGTATGTGGTCCCCGACTCTTTTAAGTCTCCATCATCTGCCAGGTTCTGGTCTCTCCGCCGGCTCCTGTTCACTCTCCCACCTTGCCCCCTTTCCCCGTCCCTCCCTACCCCAGTTCCCCGGATTTTGCGCACAACCCACAGGCTTTCTGGCTCCATCGACTCGGCATCATGGCGCCTCCGAAGTACGCCGGCATGTCCGGCCGGCCGCTGTCCTTGTTCCTGTCGGCTGTTGCTACCATGGGGTTTTTGCTTTTCGGATACGATCGTAAGTCGTTGATCCCAGTATGTGATCATGCAAGGGCAAGCTGCTCACCACAACACTACCAGAGGGAGTCATGTCAGGTATCATCTCGGACGCCGCGTTCAACAACGTGTTCACGGCTACCAAGAATGACAATGTTATGCAAGCTACCGTCACTGCCGTCTACGAAGTTGGTAAGTGAATACCTATCACCGGCTTCCCAACCCATGTCCAGCCGACTAATTGTACGTCTTGTAGGCTGCCTTTTTGGTGCCATCTTCGCCTTGATCTACGGCGAAACGTTAGGTCGCCGGCTCATGGTCATCTCTGGCGCGTCGGTGATGATTATCGGCGTGATCATCCAGGTGACAGCCATGCCAGGCTCGCTGCCCCTGCTGCAATTCATCTTTGGTCGAGTCATTACGGGCATTGGAAATGGCATGAACACTTCGACCATCCCTACCTACCAGGCTGAATGTTCCAAGACAAGCAATCGAGGCCTTTTGATTTGCATTGAGGGTGGTATCATCGCCATTGGAACTGCCATTGCCTATTGGATTGACTTCGGTGCACACTATGGGCCCCCGGATTTGGTCTGGCGGTTTCCGATCGCATTCCAGATTTTCTTCGGTATCTTGATCATTGTGGGTATGACATATCTCCCGGAATCTCCTCGATACTTGATCGCCCACGGCAAGGTTGAGGAAGGCACCCGAGTCCTTGCTGCGTTGGCAGATGCGGAGATCGATCACCCTCATGTACAATTGGAGAAGAACTTGACTCTGGACTCGGTTAAAGCGTAAGTTACCCGTCGCATGATTTGCCAAGTCCAGCGAAACTCACATGAAATCCAGTTCTGGTTCCTCCCAAACCGGATTCCGCGACCTGCTCACGGGCGGTCCGTCCCAACATTTCCGCCGTATGTTGGTGGGATCCTCCTCCCAGTTCTTCCAACAAATCTCCGGTTGCAATGCTGTCATCTACTACTTGCCCGTACTGCTGGAACAGTCTATCGGTCAATCGCACAACTTTGCGCTTCTGATTGGTGGCGTGAATATGATTTGCTACGCCATCTTCGCTACTTTCTCATGGTTCTTTATTGAGAAGATTGGCCGACGCAAGCTTTTCCTCGGAGGCAGCTATGGCCAATGCGCCGCGATGATTATTGTATTCGGGTGTCTGATTCCAGGTGATTCGGAGACCGCTAAGGGGGCTGTCTTTGGCTTCTTCCTCTACATGTGCTTCTTTGGCGCCACCTGGCTGCCCCTTCCATGGCTCTATCCGGCTGAGATCTCTCCTCTCAAGACGAGATCAAAGGCGAACGCTGTGTCTACTTGCAGCAACTGGCTGTTCAACTTCACCGTGGTCATGATCACCCCGGTTATGGTGGCCCGAATTGGTTGGGGCACGTACCTCTTTTTCGCCGCCTGGAATGGGATCTTCATCCCGGTCATTTGGTTCTTCTATCCGGAGACTGCGGGGCGCAGTTTGGAAGAGATTGATCTGATCTTTGCGAAGGGCTATTGTGAAAACATAAGCTATGTTCGCGCTTCGAAAGAACTACCCAAGCTTTCCGATGAAGAAATTGAGGCCAAGGCAGCCGAGTACGGAATTCTCAACGATGAAGAGAAGGCTGAAGAGAGGATTGCCGAGAAGGATCCTCCTGCATCTGCCGAATTCGCCCAGTTCCAGCCCACACAGCTGTGAAGGGCGCCACACAAAACGAGTTTTGGATCTTTGAAGGTTACTATTGTACGACGATATGTTTGCACATGAGTTTTATACCATTTTGCTTTGCTTTTGCCGAGCCTGTTGCTGGACAACCAAGATTGAACGATTTGATCTGGCTCTTGGTTTTAGCCGTGGCTCTTCCGACATCCTTGCTAGTGATCTGAGATCAGGGAAAAGGGAACATATGTTGATAGATTTGCGCGTGGTTGTTGAGCAGCCTTTAGATGTGTGATGGTCAGCCGTGTGTAGATCCTTCTATGGCGGATACAATGGTCTCTAATAGATCTCACTTCATGCCGGTTCTGGACTTCTAAATTAAGTTATAGATATAGATACATCTTGACATCTCTTGGCCAAAACATGATCCACCCGTACCAGTGTAGGCACGCTCCAGATGAAACATTGCTCAAAGATCGGCAGGATAATCTCTTGCCTAGAATGTGACAGGCGTTCAATGGCAGATCTCGAGAAACAATAATCGATCTTAAAACCTCCAGTTATCCCCAATAAGACCCATGACGCCAAACTATACAAGCCCAACACCCAGACCAAACACAATGTCTTTTCTAAGTCCCATGTACCATATCACTCAAGCTGTGTCTGGTTTGGCTTCTGAGGACGATTTTGCCATTAATTGCTTGGCTGAGTCAGCTTCGTGGCATAATACCATCAGATAAATAGACTTACTGCAATATTTTCTTGGATACAAGGTAGACACAAGTTCCGATGATGGCGACCTTTGCAAACCGTCCGAGCCCACGAGCGCCGTAGCCCCGATGATGGAGGCGTCGGGTGTAGTTTTGGTTGAAATAGAGGGTGGAAGAACGCATTCTGTGTGACCTATGCTGATGATAGACTGTCGAAATGGGTAGACAATAGCATGGCCCGTCTTATACTCCAACCTCGGGTTCGGCCATCGGTTGCGATCTCGGCCTCGGCCTCGGTCTTACCGCCGGATGACCGACTTATCGGCTTTCTCACCACGACCTCTTCTTCTTCCTCCTCTCTCCAGTTCTAGCCAAACCGACACGAGCACTTGATGTCCGAGCGGCTATAATCGGGATCGGGGATCAAGATCTTTTCATGTTCGCATTGACATCATTCCGGATAGTATACGATAACAATGACCGACTTTGAGCCTCGAAAACGCCGCCGGCCTGCCAAATCCTGCGAGCAATGTCGCCAACGCAAGATTCGCTGTGATCGCAATGTGCCCTGTGGCCCTTGTACACGAGCGCGGTCATCCCTGGGCTGCTCTTATCGCCAATCGTTTCGCTCCCCGACCCCAGATACCCACCAAACGACTCTGCGGGCTTCCCGTTCATCACACGGCGCGGTGGTTGCACCGAGCCGTCCTCCGATATCTGAGGCTCACGGAGATGATTTGACAGGATCCCTGATCGACACGCCATTTATTGACTCTGGACGGGGTGATGCAAGCAATGGTTCATCACAGCTTAGCGCAGCGATCCGCGACCTCCAGGTCCGTCTACAGCACCTGGAGGAGCGACTAGCCGACACGGGGATAACACAGCCTTCAGCTGCTTCGGATTCTGCTATCGAGCAGACGCTACGAGAGCTATGCAGCAAGGTGCAGAGCTTAGAACAGCGGCTAGCAATTTGTCCAGAGTCTACTCGGACACTGAGAGAAGAACTGTCCATTACCGCAATGCCTCCTCGCCTTCATACCAGTGCGAAAAAGATGAAGCTGTTTGGACCGACTCATTATACGCACACAATGGACAAGGTGCAGACCATCATTACCCCAAATAAGAACGAGACTGACCATTTGCAGTTCCAGCTTGTCGGCTCGCTGGAGGCCAAGGGTCCTCAGCCACTATGCCCCAAACTCAGGGCAGAGCTGACCGCTCAAACCAAAGACATGCGCGATCTCCGTAGATCAGTCAAGATGCAGCAGACCCCTCGACTGAATGACCCTGTATCAGACCTCCGCGACACCATCCCAGCCAGATCAGTGTGCGACGAACTGGTGCAATGCTACCTGCGGACGTTCGAAGGTGTATATCGCATCTTGCATATACCGTCCTTCATGAAGGAATACCAACAGTTTTGGGACCAGCCTCGAACAACTGCGACTCCATTCCTTATGAAGTTGGCTTTGGTTCTTTCCATTGGCACAACATTCCGGTCGGAGCAAGGCAAAGCCGGCACAGACTACGATACTCGACTCACCCAGACCTGGATCTATGCTGCTCAGTGGTGGCTGACAGGCCCAACAGAAAAGTCCACATTTAACCTGGACGGCCTTCAGATTTTCTGCCTACTACTCCTCGCTCGCCAAATGGGACCCCCAGGACCGTCTCCATGGCTCTCAGCCGGGACCCTCCAGATAGCCACGGCCATGGGACTGCACCGCGACTCCGCGCACTTCCCTTCTCTCTCTCCATTCCAGACCGAGATGCGAACCCGTCTCTGGGCCACCGTGTTTGAACTGGTTCTCCAATCCTCGCTCGAATCAGCCTCTCCTCTCTCAATGCCTTTCTCCGACACCAAGCCCCCATCCAACCTCAACGACGCCGACATCAACCCAGATCTAAAGCAACCTCCAATCTCCAAGCCCAACACCTCCCAAACCGACACATCGCTCCAACTCCTTTTGCATCAGTCATTCTCCCTCCGTGCCGAAGCCATCCAACTAATCCACAGCCCCAATCGCATCCCCTACCAACAAGCCATCGACCTCTCCACCAAGCTGCGCACCACCTGCCACACCATCACAGCCTTCTTCCAATCCTTCACCACAACCAACACCACTCCATCACCCAATTCCCTCCCCTACCCAACCCCCTTCCACCACAAACACCTCCTCACCACCCTCCACCGCTACATCCTCCACCTCCACTTCCCTTTCGCCCGCGAATCCCTCACAACCCCCCAATACCACTTCTCCCGCAAACTCTGCCTCGAATCCGCTCTCACCATCGCCTCATACAACCCCAGCACCGATCCCTCAGCCCAGCTCGACGACTTCTCCCGCCTTGTCCTCACAGCCCGAGGCTCCCTCCGCGGCCCCCTCAACCTCGACATCATCTCCGCCCTCGCCCTCGAACTAACCACCCAACTAGAAGAATCCCCTCCACCACCATCCCCAGATCCAATCCAAACCCCCCTCGCAACCCTAACCACCACAGCCCGCATCCCCATCCTCCAAACCCTCCAACACCTCCAAGTCCAAAGCGCCCACGTCTTCCAAGCCCTCAAAACCCCAAGTCTAAAACGATACATCATCGTCTCCGCCCTCGTATCTCAAATCAAAGCCATGGAAGCCGGAAACCGCAATACCCAAACCGTGGTGTATGATACAGTGAGGGAGTGTTTGGGGGTTTGTCAGGGCGCGTTGAGGGAGATGTTATCTTCATCCCCGTCCTCATTTCCAGCCTCCTCGTCAGCTGGGATCATGATGACCCCGGCGGATAGTGGTGCCAGCGGTGCTGGTATAGATGCAATGGGAGTAGAAGTGGATTTAGGATTAGGGACGGGTGTGGATTTGACTGTGAGTAATATGCCTCTAATTTTTATCATTTTATTCGCTGTGTTTAGATTCCCTTTACTGGTTTGGGGGTTTGAATATTTGCTGTGGAAATCGGGATTGATATACTTGACTTGATTACGGTGACTGACTGGTTTGCTGGGTAGGAGGATCTGGAGGGGCTGGATTTGGCGAGTTTGTTGTATATGCCTGGGTTGGTGGATCTTGGGGGGTTGGCTGGGTGAGGTTGTAGAGGGGGAGGGGTGATGGTAAGGTGGATTTTGGATTAATATACAGAGTGGAGTTCAATACGACCTACTATAGAACGAGGATAGTAGACCTGAGAAGGTCGTCAGAATCCTATTGATAATCAAGTTATTAGTATAGCATGCTAGACATGCTCTTCGTCGTAGTCGTTCTCGTCTAAAAATAATGGATTACTTGAGCAGCTAGAACCATGCGGCGTACTGATCCAATGACTCATTTTGCACACCGGCAGAGCCATGACGGACCCCCAAGAGTCGGACAGTTCCAATTTTGCCACCAAAGTCATCTTCCACCTTGCTCTCCCAGGTGTCAAAGAACTCGGTCAAGCTCTGAATCACCTCCGCCTTGTCCTGGATGAGCACTGCAATGGCGTCGTAGCCACCGGCACCGGGAACAACACCCCCAATGACACCATCGATGCCGGAGATGGCGTCGAGCAGTTCGGTTTGCACCTTGGGCTCGATGGGAACGCCAGTCTTCTGGGTCATCGTGCGGATCAGGTCGCGAGAGCGGTCGATGAGGGTGCGAACATCGTCAAAGTTGTTGGGGCCTTCTTTATCTGGGTTCTGTGCCAGCTGCTTGAGTTCCAAGCACAGTCGCTCATTATTGGATTGGAGCGCCTGCCACAGCCGGCCAGCATCTTGCGGGTCCTGCTTTCGCCATTCCAAGACCTTCCGGACCATGGACGGGGTCTGAGAACCACACTCGACGTCGCACAGGACCATCTGCATGCCCCGGGGAAGCTTCATGCCGAAATCCAGGCACTCGGTGTCCCATGGATGTTTGGGGTCGGCGTCTTCCACAATTGCGAAGAGTCGTTCCTCAAATCCCGGGGACCCAGCGTCTCCGACTGACTCCAAGACGGAGGGTGAAAACCGCCGGTACAGACAGGAGCCATAGATCGCAGCCGCCACGTCAAACCCAGAACCTACCTTGCCCTGCGCTGCACAGTGAGCGGCCTGCGCCAGATTGTGAAGCTTATCGCGAGCCGGACCAAGGTCATCGGGCTGCAGGGTGCGGTGGATGACAAGGGCGGATACGAAAGCGGTGGTTAGGGCTGCGGACGAGCCGAGTCCGGTCTTGTGTGCTTCGTGAAGGGGAACTCCGAAGTTGACGAATCGTCCCTGGGCTTGGATGCCCCAGATCTTGGAGAAGGCGGTCTCGGAGTAGTAGTCATTGTCGGCCAGAATGGTGATGGATAGCGAACCAAAGTCTTTCGAAGCGGCCACGTAGCTGATGTACGTCAATGCGTAGTTGAGGGAGGTTTCGACAAACGTATTACGTCCTCTGCTATTACTTAGCCCCTGGTTGCAAAGAGTCCGAGAGTATCCAACTCACCCATTGCCCTTCTGTACGACCTTGACCCCGCCTCCGTTGTCGCAACGCTGGATACCGTACTCCCAGACGGCATCAACAAATTGCGGGGAGCGAACGACGATAACATCCTCGCCAGCGGTCTCATCTGCAGCCTTGCCTTCAGTTATTTCCGCACGTGCCTCTGGTTTCAAGCGTTCTGACCCAGACGTACCCTTCCGATGATATCTTCTCAGCTGCTGGACGATGACATGGATTCGAGCATCGAGAGCGAACACGGTACCAGTGTAGCTGCGGTCCAGGACGAGGTACCCGCCGGTCAGAAGGACCTTTCCGGGGGCGGACACGGCCGTGACCGTGGGGGGCTTGTAGGACATGAGGACGAGTGATGACGGTGTGAAGTGTGGATATCGTAGGGAAATCGACTATTCCGTCTGGTACGGGGTAGGAACTAAAGGGGCTAGCAGTCAGTATATACCCCACTTGGATACAGAAGAGGCCGAGAGTACATGGCATCTAGAGACATCAGATAGATAGGTACACACCGTCGGCTATGCAAATGTGGTCGAAAGGTGACCCAATGGCCTGCAAAAGTAAATTGGGCCTTGGACCAGTCCGCGAACTGGGTCAATCTGGAGGAGCCCCGCCGAAAGTGCGCCGAGGAGGGGGAAATGGAAAAGTCTACAAAGCTTGCGGGGGAGTCAACCTGCAAGGAGAAAGATAAGGAGCAGCTCGGGGCGAATGCATGGTGACTGACCTGCGTCTAGCAGATGTGACCGGAGATGCGTTGGTGCTGCAGTTGCATCCAGTGTCAGTGTCGGTATTAATCCCGATACTTTGGAGGTGGTTTCTGATTTCCCCTCAAAAGCTGTGGCTGGAGCTCACCTGCCCGTGGCTTGGCTGTGGCTGGCAGGCTGCCCCTTGGCGGACCCCGTGATCCCGAAACGATAATCCCCTATCTATCAGCCATCCAGCACGTACTTCTCCGGAGATATACACTGGAGCTTTTCCGGCTGCAATATCCCTCGCAACTACGTCAGCGGAAGAACAACATCCGGTGGTAGCAGTAGAAAGTTACTGTGCGGACTGCATTGGTGAGTGTACTCCGTAGGTATTGGACTACCGTCATATGGCTCCAGGGGTTGGTGAATGAAATGAATAGGCAACAGCTCCAAGGAGAGTAGCATCTTCCGTATCATCATCGTGCTTGATTGAATGATATAGCCAGGTCCATCACGGAGGATAGACTAAACGGGCAGTGGTAACAGCTCATAATGTGCTCACTGCTGTCACGCTCCGTCCGCCGCGCACACGGATCAAGGTACGGAGCACGTCTAGTACCTCTAGTACCTCGAAAATTGACTTCCGTCACGGACTCCGTACCAGGGGTCCGCGTCCTGAGACAAGGACACCCGTTCGTATCTGATCGCCCCGGCCAATGGGGGCCTCTCTCTCGACTGAGGCCACTGTGTCTCCCACGGAGATTAACCTGGGACCACGCCGTAGAGATATCCGGCCAGGGTCATCCCTTGGGGCGCAGGCGGACGACACGGAGGGTCGGCCATCCGGTCATCCGGCGGCTGTCGGGGTCAAGCCTCCAAACTCCGGGCAGAAGAAAAAGAGCCGGAACGGAGGGTGAGTCACTGGTGAGGGCGGGCCGGCCAGACTGGCCAGACAGTGGCAGACGCCAGGGGACCCAGAAATGCCGCTTGCTGGGCTTTCCTGTTCTTCCCTACGGCCCCAGTCTGTCGCCCGCCCCGATTGGGTCTGCCTGCGATCCGGGGCCGCCGCGAGACCACCTGATCACCCCGTCTGGGAAATCCTACCAAACCTTCGCCTCAGGCAACGACACTTCTCGAAGGCTGACGTTGTTTCTGGCTACCGTTCCTGTGGATGCCCTGGTTTGACTTTTCCTTTTTTTCCTTTTTTTCCTTTTTTATCTTTTTTTATTATTATTTTTTCTTCCACGATTTTCTGTCGTGCTCCTTTTTACTCCTTAATTTTCCGTGAGTCCTGATTTTTCCCTCTGATGGATAAGCGGGCATATCTACAAATTCGCAGCCAAGTCCTCCTCGGATCCTGATGGTAATTCCTCCCCACACACACGACACATTTTCCTGCTTGCCCGTCTTGCACATTGTTTGAGGGTTCATTCCGTGCCCCATCCAGGACCAATTCTCGACATCCCCATTGGTCGACAAAAGTACCTATTCCCGAAGAAGCAACGTTTGGACAGGATCGGCACTAACCCGCTTTAAGCCCCGACCAGCGATACAGATCACTTTCCGTCGGCTCTGAAATACCCTGAAATACCCAGCAATCCCTCCAGTCTAAGCCTCAGCAATTTTTTCTCATCGACTATCAGCCAAGGGCTTGTTGCCATTTCCCCCTTTCTCATCCCCTCCTTCTTTTCACCCGCGCGTTCTTTTGGCGACCGGCTGTCGTCAAATGAACCTGCATCTTTATTATTATTTTGATTGGAAGGTATGCTTCCCAGGGCGCCTTCGGGCAAAAGGCACACAAAAAAATCCGACCCCAATCACTGACATGTTCACCAGCATTGCCTCTTCCCTCTGAAGAGGTTACCCGCTAGATAAATGGTCTTCAAGCCGTTTACCCACCTCGCGCGTCAGAGTTTCACCAAGGCCTTTACTCATGGCTATGCTCAATCCGTAGTCGCGGCCTCGCAGTCCTCGTACGCGTCGACCACCACCTTCAACCAACTCGCCAACCAACCCGCCAAGTTATCTCGGACCGCTCTACAAAATGTGTTCCAGCCATCGAGCTCGTCGGGAGCAGGTGCCAAAGCCAGCCAGGGCACTTCGGGCTCGGGCGATTTGGGCTTAGCCGCCTACTATGCAGCCTGGCAGCATGCCCAGCAGACGGGCGATGACAGTGACTGGAAGCAATTACAGCTGACACGGAAGGTCGGCTGGAAACCTCCTTTGAACGAAGATGGGGTCAAATCCAAGGATGCGGACAACCTGCCCTCATCCGACAACTTCCAAAATTCGCCTCATATCACCAAAGCTTCTGCCAACGCCGATGTCAGTGCCAAGGTCGAAGAGGCGGTAGCCCGAGAGATCCAGATCCAGGAAGAGCAGGCTCAGGCTGAGGAGGCGTCGGAGGCGAAGGAAAACACGGACACGGAGGCGTTCCCCGAGTTGCCCCCCGATGTCGCCGCAGTCGCTGATGCCACCACGGAGCAATCTCGCCTTGCTTCAGAGCATATCACCGAACTGGCTTCGAGTAAGAAATACGCCGATATTCCCGGTGCTTTCGCTACGCTTCTTCGCGATGGTCTTACGCCCACAGTTGGTGCTTACAATGCTCTCTTGGAGTCGGCCATTGAACTCCATGGTGATACTGCCCAGGCCATCCAAAAGGCGCTGGATGTCTACTCAGATATGCTCCGTCGCAGGGTCGTTCCTGACGAGCAGACCTATCAGACCCTGGTTCAACTATTTGTGGTCCATGCCAACGAGACCATCAAGTCCAAGGGTCTGCTCGAGCAGGAGCGAGTCCGCTACGGTGGCATGGAAGAGCCGGGCAAGTTCATGCTGCACTCCAGTGAGCTGGAGCGAGCGATTCTCGCCGAGGACCATTCTCTGGCGATAGCGCTCAAGTTGTTCAACACCGCCGCCGCCCGCCACGCCGATCTCGTCTTCCCCCTGGACACCTACCGGTACTTGATCACGGCATGCGCTACCGAGGGCCAAGTGGAAGACATGGTCCGAGTGTACGCTCACATGGAGTCCCACAAGGTGACCCCGCACGCCTCGATTTTCCCGTCAATGATTGATGCCTTTGCCTCCACTGGGGATCTGCAGAGTGCGGTGGAGTGTTACAACGAGTACAAGAGCCTGGCGGTTTCGGATGATAACGGGACCTTCTGCATCGTGCAGCGGTTGGACGGAGAGGTCTATGCCGCTCTGGTCCGGGCGTACCTGGTCTGCGGGAAGGAACAGCAAGCTTTGCGTTTCCTGGACCGGATCGGGGCCTCGTTCGAAGAGGTGACGGAGAACCGCGAGGCGCGTCAGACAGCACTGGAATCGGCGGTGGTGCAGGACGGGCTTGTCCGGCATGCACTCAAGTCGGGCGAGCACGGGCGGGCGTTGGAGCAGGCCAAGACGCGATTGCACGATGGGGCGCTGGATCATGCCATGTCCCAGATCTGCATTGCCGCGGCGGATGCGGGTAATCTGCAGACGGCTTCCGAAGCATACGATGCTCTCCCCACCGACATGGCCCTCCGTCAGAGGCCCGCCGTGTCCATGCTCGCCTTACATGTGCGTCAGGGCAATGTGTCAGCTGCCCGGGCCGTGTGGCTCTCCCTGAGCACCGCCGGTCAGGCAACGCCGGACATGGTCCAGCCGACAGCCATGTATGCAGTGGCCTTGTTGAAGAGTGGCCAGATCGAGGAAGCCCTTGTCCAAGCCCGCAATATGTTTGCCCGCATCCGCAACTCTTCTGCCTCCGACATCCACTCGACTCTGAACCCCATCCGCGAACAGATCAACGAAAGCCTTCACCTTCTCGGTCGCGTTCTTGTCCAGACTGCGGCCGTCCTCTCTCCCCAAGCTGCCATGTCCCTCCTATGGTCCATGGTCGAGAACGGGGGCCTGATCTCTCCCGTTGCCGAACATGTCGTCGCTAGCCTGGGTCCCATTGGCATTTCCCAACTGAACTCCCGCGATCTTATGCTGGCCCTCCAGGTCCAGGCCGGCATGCTTGTCAACAACAGCGCCATGTTCGACGTCGCTCACCCGATCCGTTTCTCCCACATGCTCGACATCGCTCTGGCGACCGGGCTGCCCATGGACGCCGTCACCACTCGCCTCGTCGACCAGGCTGTGGGCAAGCTGTTCAACAGCCGGCCCGACATGGTCAAGAGGTGGCACGACCACCTGGCCCTGACTTCCAGCCCTTCCTCTTTCGTGAGCGGTCGTCACTCCCCCAGCTCGGATATGTCAACGATGAGCCCCGTGTCCAGCGAAGACTCTTTTGACCCCTACGCGTACGCCACCGACTTCCGCGGATCGTCGATGATCGCCGATGAATTGGAGAGCACCAGCGGCAAGCCGGAGGCTCATCTGAATGACGCTCTGTCCCGGGTCCGGAACATGCGCCGCAACGGCCGTCACCCTCGCTACATCACGTACGCCAAGATGATCACTGCTGCTACCAAGTGCAACCGGGTCGATCTGGGCTATGAGATCCTGAGCATGGCCCGACGCGATGTGCCTCTTCTTCCTCAGTACAGTGCCGTCAAGTACGGCTGGGTCTCTATCCTGGATGCCATGGTGGCGTCGTGCCTGACCCTGGGCGACCGCAGTCAAGCCTCCAAGTTCCACCAGGAGCTGCTGGAGCTTGGCTCGGCTCCTTCAGCCAACACGTTCGGTCTTTACATCACCACCCTCAAGGAATCCACCAAGACGTTCGACGAAGCGACCGAGGCCTTGAAGATCTTCCACCGCGCCGTGGCCGAGGGGGTAGAACCGACTTCTTTCCTGTACAACGCACTCATTGGCAAGCTTGGCAAGGCCCGTCGGATCGATGACTGTCTGCTGTACTTCGCCGAGATGCGCGCCAACGGGGTCCGCCCGACCAGCGTCACCTACGGAACGATCGTCAACGCCCTTTGCCGGGTCAGCGACGAGCGGTTCGCCGAGGAGATGTTCGAAGAGATGGAGTCGATGCCCAACTACAAGCCTCGCCCCGCCCCGTACAACTCGATGATCCAGTACTTCCTCAACACCAAGCGCGACCGCAGCAAGGTTCTGGCCTACTACGAGCGCATGCTGACCCGGAACATCCAACCCACGATGCACACGTACAAGCTCCTCATCGATGCCCACGCCTCTCTGGAGCCGGTGGACATGCCGGCGGCGGAGAAGGTGCTGGAGACCATCAAGGCTGCTGGCCAGCGACCCGACGCGGTGCACTACGCCTCTCTTATCCACGCCAAGGGATGCGTGATGCACGACATGGAAGCGGCCCACGACGTGTTCAAGTCTGTTGCCTCGAACGGCCGGGTGCGTATGCAGCCCTGCCTGTACCAGGCCCTCCTGGAGGCCATGGTGGCGAACCACCAGGTCTCGCAGACGGAGGAGATTGTGCGGGACATGTCCCGCCGGGGGGTGGAAATGACGGCATACATTGCCAACACCCTCATCCACGGATGGGCCACCGAGGGCAACGTTGCCCAGGCCAAGAACGTGTATGATAGCATTGGCCTGAACAAGCGGGAGCCCAGCACCTACGAGGCTATGACGCGGGCCTTCCTGGCAGTAAACGACCGGGAGGGCGCGTCGCGCACGGTGCAGGAGATGCTCTCGCGGGGATATCCTGCGGCGGTGGCCAGCAAGATCGCCGACCTGGTTGGCACCGGGGCTGCTGTGGCTGCCCTGTAATAGTGACCAACTCACCAAAAGTTGCCTTCCTTCTTGATTTCACCGGATTCTTAAACCTTATTGAAGCAACGCTATTCGGTTTTAATTCTCCAGGGCTGGACCCCTGCTTGTTCGGCTTTCCAGCCCCGGTCTGAGCATCGGCATTGGGGGGCAACTGTTGCTTTGGAATTTGCATTGCATTTAGCGAGAGACACGGCGTTTGTCAGGCAGCATTTGGATTGGCTGTATATACCATGGTGTGATCTTGGTTCGAATTTTTGTTTGAATTTTTTTGTGGCGATAGACCCTCTCATCTCCTTCAGTCTAGTCAATGGACTTGAATAATCCGCTGTGATGCGTTACCACACCACGTAGATCGTAGATGCTTGCTTGTATGACACGGCGTACATAGATGAAGAAGTGACGCCGCCAAGAGCCGCCCGGAGTCCCCGCCGCCCTCCGCATTACGTCCGAGCTCGACCCCTCCGTCGTGCCACCCTCTCTTCCTCAGCCTTGGACCATACCAATTGGGCATCGTGCTGCTTCAGTCGATGCATCCATACCGTCTGCGTCTCTTGTCTCGTCGAACCCTCTCTCCCATCCCACCTATCATCCAACATCCCCACCGCTCGTGGCGAACCTTCACGATGAACCCCGGAAAGCTGGCCGACGGGGACTCTGCAAAGCACCCCAAGAAGCTGATCTGTATGTCGTTGCGCATTCCAGAAGCAGCAGCAGCACCTTATTAACACCAGCTCAGTCGCCCCTGGTGACATCCAGGCCACTACCGACCCTAAAACCACCCCAACACCCTCACTCGATGCGTCGACCGCGCCGGCACCCATCTCTCGTCTCGCCGCAGAAACCCTCCGCTCGAACGCCTCGACGCCCGACTCCGTGACCGAAAATGACATCGTCTCCCACCCTGCGCGCGCCCACCAGTTCGTGAGCAACCCCCCACTCACCATCTCCCAGATGCACCCGACCAACCCTCTCCACCAATTCCATTCCTGGTTCTGCGATCCCCGTCTGCTGCCTTCCTCCGCGCCCGAGACCTGCACCCTCGCCACGGCCAGCATGCCCACGGGCCGCGTCAGCGCCCGCGTCGTATACCTGAAGGAACTGGATGAGCGCGGCTGGGTGGTGTACAGTAACTGGGGCAGTCGCGAAGGCAAAGGCGGCCAGGTGTTTGGCAACCACGCGGACGGTGAGGACACGCTGAGTGCCATGCCCGAGCCGGGTCAGGATGAGAGTCTTCAGGAAGGTCTGCAGCAGGGTAACAAGTGGGCGGCACTGACGTTCTGCTGGTCGAATCTGGAACGCCAGGTGCGTATCGAAGGTCTTGTCGAGCCCCTCAGTCGCGAGGAGAGTGAGGTGTACTGGCGGACGCGCGAACGGGGCAGTCAGATCGGCGCCTGGGCCAGCTGGCAGAGCAAGGTATTGTGGTCCATGGAGCCTCAGATATTGATTGATCGGCGACGCAAGAGCCTGGATCCGACCTTGCGTCCGCAGATCCCGGTGGATGTGGACGAGACGGATATTGATGATGGTCGGGCGTTGCTAGAGAAGCGGGTGCGGGAGATGGAAGAACGGTTTGCGGGGGTCGAGCACATCCCTCTGCCTCCGTATTGGGGCGGCGTACGCTTGGTGCCTGAGTCAGTGGAGTTCTGGCAGGGGCGTCGCAGTCGTTTGCATGATCGGTTCCGGTATGTGAGGGTGCATGCCGAGGATGAGTCGGCGTATAGATGGCGGATTCAGAGACTGTCGCCGTGAGCTGGTACCTGATAGAGTGCAGAGTGCAGTGTATGGATGCAATGCATGGAATGGAACTGTAGATGAGACCACGAGATACCAGATCGTAAGAATTGAAGAGTGATACATCAAATCTCAAGAGCATTATCATCACAACTACTATAAAACCTATTATAAGTACTATAATGGTTGTCATATAACCATAATTACTATAAAACCGGTACGGCCCTCCCCTCCTTATCGATACCATGTATTGCGGGTGATCATCACACCTCCCTTCTCACTACACTTCACCTATCAACCAACCACCATTCCTACCCCATAGCTATCCTTCCAACTACTACACTCCATCTCACCCAACCCTCACCTACAAGCCCATACCCCAGTCCAATCAAATAACTCTACCTACCCACATACAATGCCTCACCTCGACACCGACCCCCAAAACCAACCCCCCAAACAACCCTCCCGCTGGCTCATCCTCGCCATATCCAGCGGCGCCTTTGCAGCCCTGAACGGCCTCTTTGCAAAACTGTATGCCTATCCCTGCCCAATGCATTCATCTTCCTTACTACTACATCCCCACATAAACCCCATACACACACACACACACACAACCAACCAACCAACCCCAAAGATACATAATACTAACCAAGCAGAACAACCGACACCAACACCACAACCCTCGCAACCACCATCCTTCAATTCTTCGGTGCCCATGAACATCATCCCTTGATGGTGTTGGTGATTAGGGGTGTATGCATCCCTATCCCCCATACCCCCACCCTTCCCCTAATCAATGCGAATAGATCTGCCTCGCCCTCAACGTCCTCTGCAACATAATCATGTGGGCATTATTCACTCGGGCATTGACGGCCTCGCCCTCCACCACCAAAGTGTCAATTACTAATACGGCGGCGAATTTCCTGGTTACGGCTGTGTTGGGCATGGGGGTGTTTGGGGAGAGAGTGGATGGGTTGTGGTGGGTTGGAGCGGGGATGATGGGGGCGGGGTGTGTGATTGTGGGGTTGAGGGATCAGTAGTATTATTTTTTTGTTTGGGGGTTATGTTGGGGGTGAGATGGGGTATGGATATGTGTATGTATGTACATGATGGTGGTGGTATCATTGCTATCTATCGGTTCAGTGAGATATGTATGGTGTATATGGTATGTGGGATGTGGTATGTATCAGGAAGTGGCATCTATCGTTCTTCCAGTTCGAGTATTGCCTCGTCTGCATCGTGTGCTGTCTCGTTCCGCGCGTTGGGTGCGGGTCTGGGTCTGGGTCTGGGTCTGGGTCTGGGTCTGAGGGTTGCTTCACGCTCCGGGGCAGCCTGATCTCGGTGTGTTCGCTGTCCCGGTAGAATAGACCCGATCCGCTGCATCAGGTTCCACAGACGTTCCTCGAGCGTGTCACTGCTTCGGCCGTTCTGTCCGCTTAAAGACAGCTGCGGGGGACTCGTGGCCGCCAGAGCCTGCTCTTCAGCTTCCACCTTGAACTGATACTTCAGACAGTCTTTGACTGTGACGAGCCCTGTCAGACGGCCGCGGTGCTCGACTAGAATGACACGCGGGCCCATCTTCTTGAAGATTTCCATCACGGTCTCTAGGGCCAGACGGGGGTGCACGGTCAACGGTGTGTGGTCCGCGTATCGGCTAAAGTCCACATAGCTGGCCCCCGTGTTGGTCTGGATGTCGTCGAATGTTTCTGGGTGGAGATAGGATGTCGTCGATGCTCGGCGCGCGACTGATGCCTCGGCGGCTTCTTTGGTGAAGACGCATTTGGCGGAGGGTGATAGTAAACCCTCGGCTTTGGCTCGATTGATTGCGTATCGCAGCTCGGTGCGGCCGATGTATCCGACCAGCATCTTTCTGGTCCGATCCTCGACGATAGGGAAGCCTTGGAATTTGTTATCACTCAACAGGTGCTCGGCTTCGCGAACGGGAAACCCGGATGCTGGGAGCGAGACGGGGTCCGAGGTCATGGCTTGGGAGACAGGCACGTTGAAGACATGATCCTCTTTGTTGTCCAAGAAAGGAAACCCGTTGGACCAGATCATGCGGTCTGCGATGCCTCCCTTTCCGAAGCAGTCACTGACGGCTTTGGTGACTCCGACGACGATCTAGTCTTCAGTCAGCGATTGATCGTTGCAACGAAATTGAGATGGCTCACCATCGTCGGAAGGATGTAGTTCAGGGCGCCAGTCAGTTCGAACATGATGACCGTCACGGAGATGGTCAGATGCATGATGCCACTCAGAGCTGCACCGGCCCCCAGGAAGGCATACGTCCCAGGTGTGATACACGGAATGTCTGGCTCGCAAGAGGCGAAAAATTTCGACTTTGGATACGCTTCGTGAAGCGCCTGGACGAGGATCCCGACGAACCGGCCAAATGATGCTCCAACGGCCATCGACGGCACGAAGATACCAGCCGGTACCTTGCAGCCGTATGATATGATGACCAGGAAGACGCGAAGGATGGTAGCCACGGCCAGCGACATGACCATAGACCACCGATTCTTGGATCTGCATTTGGTGAGTACATGAAGCGTCAAGTCGAGCAAGCAACTTACTCGCACAGGCCGTTGTAATCATGTCCCCCTTCGCACTCGCGGAATAGAATCTCCATCATTTCAGTCATGTTGATCTTCAGGAACATGTTCGGGTAGCACAGGATTGCAGTGATACCAGCAAGAACCACCGATTCCATTACGGCATTCTGCGACAGGTACTTCTTCCTGAACGCTTGGACCCGAAGGTTCCATTTGATCACCAAGGCTCCGTATAATCCACCAAACACACCAATGAAGACGAAGAATATCAGCTCGAAGAAGTGCCAGGTGCGGTCATATTGCACCTGGAACATGACTAGTTGCCCTGTCCGGAACGGATTCATCACCTGGGATGGTCAGCACAATACAGTCAAGCATTTGGTAGACATACCGCCAGGACACCAGTCGCAACCAAAGCACAAAAGTAACTCCGCCACAGTGTTTTAAGCGGAAAATAGGATGCAACTTCCTGTCTTCCCATCAGTAAGAGCTTGCATACCCAGCCTAGCACCCCGTACCTCGAGAGAGAAAAGTACTCCGCCAATTGGGCTACCAAACGCGACAGCCACTCCCGCCGCTGCTGTAGCCGTCAAAACCTCTCTAGTCTTGGATGCATTCTGCTTGTATTTGCTGAAGAACCGCGAGATCACATTTCCAGTACACACAGCGAAATGTACACTCGGGCCCTCTTTGCCCACAGACAGACCGGATGCTATAGCCAACGGCAGCGCAATCGACTTGATCAGCAACGTCCATGCGCCCAAGAAGCCCTTCATCACAAACCCCGCAATTATACATTTGATCTCGGAGATGCCGGAACCTGCGGCGTACGGCGCGAATGATTTGACCAAGCTTGCGGCGACGAAGGCAAATAGGATCTATCTGCGTCAGCCAATGCCATCCAGAGACGAGGCGGGTAAGCATACCGCATAGAAGATGTATATGAAATAGTTGACGATCCAATACGAAGTCCAAGGCCTCCACTCAGGACACCCTATAGAAAGAAAACTATCAGCTCGATGCCAACAATGCGATCCAAGGACAGGTCCAACACACCTCCTTCAGCACCCCAACAGCAAAACTGCTCATTAAGATAGAACGCAGTCGTACAATGGCCCAACTTGACATCTGATAACCACTCCGTGATGATGTTCAGAAAAGCCGAGATCAGCCCAATGGCCGCCCCAACAATCGTAATCACAAGCCACGCTTGTCCAGCATCGTAGGACTCGCGCACTTTGCGTCTCCATCCAAAGGTGGCTTCCTGGTCCCAAAACCCCGAGCCATCCCGTCGCTTAGCCCTCCGACGGGCCTGCTCATGAACCGCATCCTGGACCCAGTCAATGGTTGTGAAATCCTCGTAACGCTTGATTTCGCTGATCTCCTCGGTGATCGCGGGGGCCTGGCCATTGTCCGGGGCCGGGCGCTCGCTGATCGGGGAGACGACAGATAAGCCGGAGAACCTCCTCCAATTCCGGCGTTCAGGCAAGAGGGAGGGCGGACGAGCCGAGGGGGACGAGGCAGGCATCGCGCTCATGGCATAGGGTGACACCGCGCGATGAGCATAGCTGAGGCTGGCAAGGAGACCTCCGGGCAGTTGGATCGGAGATGACGACGATAGGATGCGCGGCCGCCCACGTGAGAGAACCGGACGGCGGTCCGCCTTCGGAGTCCCAAAACGAAACTAAGTAGAAGACAAGTCTCGAGCCGGACAATAGACGAGATCGGAGCGGACGGCGTAGTTGTAGATTGCAGGGATTCGCGATTGGTGCTGGTGCTGGCGGGCTGGTGATCGCGTGCTGTCGCAGTTGGCAGAGTCGCTGTCATCGAGCCTCTTCCGAACCATTACTTTCCTCTTACGCCACGCGCGGTGGATTTCGACGCCGCACGCGCCGCATTTTCCTTCTTCACCATCACGTCTGGTCGCTTTTCCCCGGTTCAGCAAAATCGCTGTGGCTCAAGTCCTGTCAGAATATATATATTCCTTTGCTTTATACTCTACACGTACAATCCACGCTGATACCGAGTCTTGCACGACTGCCTCCCACGCGACGTCGCGATGCCTCCCAAGGACAAAGCTGCGGCGGAAACATCGCCTTCCGAAGAGATCACCGGCCAGAGCGCTCTTCCCAGTATGCAAGAAACCTTTGGTTATGCTGTCATAGACTAACGCAGTCTCAAGTCTCGCGAATCAAGAAGATTATACAATTAGATGACGATATTGTGCAATGCTCGAGCAACGCTACGTTTGTGATCGCTATGGCCACGGTCCGTGACTTCGATGCTCTTCTTCTCTCATTTCGGGAAACCCAAACTCACATGTCTTCACAATATCAGGAACTGTTCATCCAATATCTTACCGAACAAGGGCATAACGTCGTCAAATCAGAACGAAAGCCGCGCAAGCTCATCCAATACAAAGACTTGGGTTAGTGAGCATCGGACACGAACAAATAACAAGCAACTGACGGATGAACCTCAGCTACGGCCGTGTCACGGATTGACAACCTCGAGTTCCTCTCCGACGTGATACCCAAGACCACGACCTATAAACAGTTCAAGGAGAAACGGGCCAAGGAGACTTCCAAGGAAGCCGGGCCCGAGAAGGGCCAGCGCACGTTGAATGGCAACTTACCCGCGGCGGTCGAGGAGCCAGAAGAGGTCGACAACCAGGATGGTCTACAATCAGCGGATGACAAGCCATCACGAGGATCTCGACCACCTACAGTAATGATGATGGTGGATCGCACGGTGGATGCATCGGCGGGAGACCAGGACGTCGAGATGACGGACCAGTGACTGGGATAAGCGAACAAATTGCTGGAAACTTATTTGCATGGAGGAGTTATTGGGGGTTCATCGCGTTTTCCTTCTACTGTTGGTAGTCAATTGAATGTCTCTGGGTCGATCGCATTTGGGAATCGGATATGGATGGCATGCAGTGCAGCGGAACGGAACGGCAGGGCAGGGCAGAGGCGGCCGGGGACGAGGAGAAATCGGAACGACACATGGCGTCATGAGTATATATATATCTGTATGTTTGTCTATGAATATGAAGAGTGGTGTTCTTTTCTGTGAGGGTGACAATCGAGTAAATCGCAAAAGTGGTCGTAATTATGGAGAGGTGCAATGGAATGATATGATGGGGGGATAGTGACAGTATGGAGTATAGAGTCAAGGTCAATGTCAGGTGAGGGTCTGACTAAGACGGGACAGCGGGCCAATGAAACGCCCCGTGATTCCGATCGCTTGTCGTAGCGAAAGCTTTGGTTCGACTCTTTCCGTATGCCGGGCCTCCGACCTCAACCTCCAACCTTTGGGAAAATCAAATCCTCCCTCGTCCTTATCTCCTCCTCTCCACCCCCACACCCACCCCCTCTAGCGGTCGTCCTCTATTGCAATTGATTGCAATTGCCCGTCTCGCCATGTCTCTCTCCTCCGCTTCCAGCTCTCTCCTGCGCGCTTGCGCCCGGCAACAACTGCCCTCCTCTTCTCGCGCCGCCATCGCCTCCTGCCAGCAGCGGAGGGGAGTTGCTGATGCCTCCAAGTCCACCTTCGACAGCCCCTTCGGCAGCTCCAAGGAGTACTCCTCCACCTTGAAGATCCCCGATTTCAGCAAATACCAGTCCAAGAAGCCCCCACGCTCCAACCAGGTCTTCTCTTACTTCATGGCCGGCTCCCTCGGTCTGGCCTCTGCCGTCGGTGCTAAGGCCACTGTCCAGGGTAGGTACCTCTGGAGATGTCAATGCTGCGCAACAAGATGAGGAATATGGCGGAAACTTGGGGAACGGAGGATGTCAGCACGAACAATTGGAGGATGGGCTATGCTTGACCGCTCGGGACAATTCGCTGATGTGGAATTTCTATCAATAGACTTCTTGGTCAACATGTCCGCCTCCGCCGACGTCCTCGCCCAGGCTAAGGTCGAGATCGGCCTTGGTGCCATCCCTGAGGGCAAGAACGTATGTCTCTTATCGCATGCCCAGCGAGTCTGATGACACCCCCCTCGCAGCTCGGTATCTAACCCGATCCCCGAATAGGTTATCATCAAGTGGCGTGGTAAGCCCGTCTTCATCCGTCACCGCACCCAGGAGGAGATCGACGAGGCCCAGAAGACCGAATGGCAGTCCCTCCGTGACCCCCAGGCCGACGAGGACCGTGTCCAGAAGGCCGAGTGGCTTGTCATGCTTGGTACGTGATAACCGGAATACCCCAATGTCCCGCATGCCCTATCTATCACCTCGTCTAACACCTTGCCTTGTTCAGGTGTCTGCACTCACCTTGGTTGTGTCCCCATCGGTGAATCCGGTGACTTTGGCGGCTGGTTCTGCCCCTGCCACGGTTCCCACTACGACATCTCCGGCCGTATAAGAAAGGGACCCGCTCCCCTGAACCTCGAGGTTCCTCAGTACAGCTTCCCCTCCGAGGAGACCCTCGTCATCGGTTAAATGATTTGAATTGATTCGATCCAAGACCGCGGGCTGGGCGATGGCCGTAAGAGCAGAAGTAGAAGGGGAGGGAGGAGGGAAAGGTTTGTGCTTTAGATGAAATCTCTCTCTCTGTCTGTCTTGTCAAGATTAAAGAGACCTTGTGTTTTTAATATGGACCCTGAAAAATGAGCCTCTTGTTCTATTACTTTTCAACCTTTGCTCATAGAGCCTGTACCACTCACTCATTGTTTACGGGGCCCATTTCTTCTTCCTGGGTATAGAACTTTTGTGTCATTAGGCATTCTCCGCCCCGATGGATTCGGTTCCCCGAATACCTCACGGAGTGAGAGAAGTGCCTGATAGATGAGACATACAGATATGTATCTATCTATCTATTTGTCTGTCCATCTGTTTTTGTATGTCGATTTTTGAGTACATGTGTTTGCTACTTAGTTATAGCTATGTTTCCTTTTGTTTCGTATAGTAAAGTCACCATTACTATTTCCTTTGTGTTACATCACTTCATACATATACATAACTTAGAGCATAGCTAGGTGCCTGGTATACGAGACATCGAATGTGTCTATTGATACAATTGTCTGTACATTTTCTTTTCTGTACGTCTAAATCGGGAGATTAACCTCACATGATAAATTACACTGGTTACCTATACAATGAAACTCGTCATCGTTGGCGAATAAGTACAGTGACCAATACACCGATCACTGCGGCGCCGGCAGCAGCGCCCTGGAGAGCAACGGTCGAGAGGTCCCGTTGCGTGATCACCACTTGGCGGTCACTGAAGAGGTCGTGGATGTATAGGCGCCAGGACTCGACAACCGGGGACACGCGGGAGAGGTGCAGTTTGCAATGGTCCCGAAGGTTGTCTAGGGTGGGTTTGTCGGTGAGGCTAGGTAGAGGCCGTGGTGGTGGTGGTGGTGGGATGTCGACCGGGTCGGAGTCGATTACTTCTGTTGGCTCGGCGGTCTCGATTAGAACGGTGCCTTCGGGGGTGGGTTCTAATTCAGGAGCCGATGCGGATGCGGTTGGCTCATCAGTCTCGGTGGTCTCGGAGGAGGGCGTGGTTAATGATGTCGATTCCTGGGCCGAGACATTCTCGGTCTGAGCGGCGACGATCTGGACCGGGCCAAGGGCCTTTTCCTTCTCAATGGCTTCGATGACCTTCTCCTCAAAGCCCTTGACGAGTCTCTTCCGGCGCCAGGGTTCCACGGCGATCTGGAAGATAAGGAATAGGAGAACGTTGACTCCCATTAGACCCCAGGTGCCCCATGTACTCATTTGACGGATCTTGTCGGACCAGACTTGCTCCTCGTGGTAGCGGGATAGAATGCTCTTGCTCAGTTGTGCTGCGGACTCTTCGGCTTCGCGTTCGGCCTGGGTCAATGCCTCCTGTGCTTCGTGCTCGGCTACCTCGTTGGTGTGGTCGTTGCGGTAGAGGTGGGTGAATCGTTCCAGATCGACGGGTGACCAGGCATGTTTGCGTTGGAGGAGCTCGTTCACTTCGCGCTGGGAGGTCGATCGTCGATTGATGGCGGCTGCGTATGCGTCTTTTGCGGTGCGGACTTGGAGACGGGCTGTGCGGAGTCTTTCCTCTGTTTAGTGGTTTGATGGTTAGTGATAGTTGTCCTCGGGATGGTGTATGATGGGGATTAGAGTCGCATACCTTGAGTGTGGATTTCCCTCTTCAATGTCTCGATCGCCGAATAGCCTGTCAGATCGTTCAATCGCTGGCCTGCCACGAATATGTTCGATTGCAGGTTATCCATCATATCACTGAACTGCTTGGAAAATTGCGACCTGCGATTCTCCAAGTATGACGGAAGGCCTCCACTCTCTGTTTTCCTCTCGGTACTGGCTTCGGCTTTCTCTTCTTGCTGCTGGCTCGTGGCACTCTCCCCTGCCTCCGTGACCGGGGGAGGAGAAGGAGGAGGAAGCGGAATCGCCTGACTCCCCGCATCGGCCTCTAGGTTCTGCTTCCCCTCAGGGGGGAAAGTTGTGGAGGTTGGAGGTGCATCTTCTTTCGGCTGCTCATTAGTCTTCCCGTCTTTCAGGGGATCGGACGAGTAGAGCGATGATTGGGTTCGGAATTGACATTGAAGGCAGATAGAGAAGTTCCGCGGTGCAGGGTAAAGGGCTTTCGGGCCAACGGCGGGAAGAAGCGGCCGTCGTACCGGGCGGGTTGTTCGGGTGAGGTTGAGGCTGGATTTGAAGGACTGCCTGAGCAGCAATGGCATGGACTGCATGGCCGTTGCTGAGGCCACTGGACGTCGACCCGACGCTGGTTCGTGGTGGTGCTGGGTTATCGGGTGGGTTTAAGGCTGGGCGGCGCGGGAGAGAAGGCGGTCATGCGGAATCGCCGCGCTTCTGCGCGGTTCTGGTGGGTATTTTAGTAGCGCATCGTTGGGATTGTTGTGTTGGAGCCAGGATGGGTAGTTGAGAGTACTGGGTTGGTATTATTTGCTATACTAAACCTATTGTGGATCGTTTTCTTGTGGTTATTTTATTGGTACGATAACAGGTTGAAAACAGAATCTGATATTACCCTCCTGGTGCCCTAGCCCGCTGATACGAAGGAAATGTAAGGATAGAATGGTGTAGACAAATACATGAGGAGCAGGGTCATTATGCGTGGTCGCAGTTTGCTCTACGACCACGAATCCTGCGATCGGATCCATAGACAAGGAACCCAATGGGACATATGACCGAGCGAACTCTCATAGACCAGCATCTCGGACAGCAAATGGTCCATAGCGTAGTATATGTAGTCAGGCAGGCCTTCCTTTGCTCCGGCCACTCAGTCCTGCACTTTATGATCTCCCTTCACGGCCTCAGCATAGGTAGGAGGTGGGCGACTGTCAGCTTGGTCCTGGCTGCTGCTGCTAGCTTGGGCTTGTTCATGGGGCTGGTTAGGAGCCGGTTGCCGGTTCTGCGACTGAGTTTTTGGTGCTTGGGGTTGCTGCGAGGGTACAGTACCGTAGCCCCTCTGGGAAGGGTGCTGAATCGGTTGGTTGGAAACATAGTAATATGTTACGCGACCATTTTCGGCATCGCCAGGAAGAGGTTCGTAGCTAGGATCATCATAATCTGGTTCGGGATACTTGAGTATAATGTACCAGGCATGCAGAAGTCCGGGCACGTAGCCGAGGCAGCAGAGAGCAAGGTTGATAATGGAATCGGCCGTGCAGATGCCTACTTTGATCCACACTGAATCAGTGGGTTAGTATGAATTCCCCACACAAATCCAAGATGCCGAAATTACTCACCCGACACAGGAGGGAAGAAAACAGCGAGAATCGCAAGGAAGATGTCTGAACCGCACATGACTGCAATGGTAGGATAGTCACTGTATTGATCAACTTCCTGACCATGCAAGTGTTCACTATAAGTTGGAGGTGTTCCAGGTGCTCGTTTGGTATCCTAGACTTCTAATTTGGATGAGAGCATGTACGAAATTCGAAGGCAGTCGCTAGTGGTGGGATGACGAACGACAGGAATGGCTGCCTACTACTTGAGCCTCCAAGTCAGATGACGTCGTCGACATCACCTGATGTTGCGGGTCCCCGCCCGCGATCACCTGGTCAAGCTGAGATAAGAGCAGCATCCATGTCGACCTTTGTACTACTATATCAGTACTCCGTACTCTATAGGTATAGTTCACTCTAAATGATGTCGTCGTTAGGCATTTAACTCCTACCATGATTGCCATCAGTGTATTCTATACAGCTCCTTTCACATGCCGAGGCACTTGCTGCGGATATGCCTTTACCCAAGGATATCCGAGTTTGGACAGAGGGGTACTAACCAGCGAGCTTGCATTCACATGAAGCAGATGCACCTGGTCGGTCAAGGAGAGACATCATATAACTACACCATGGTCTTTATTCTTCCTCCTCTCGGTTTCGCTTGATGTATCATCTTTCTAGAATCAACTTCTGAGTACCTTGCTTATCTCGACCTCAGAACGAGGAAAATATATATTGAGGAAGTGACGGCTTGAGGTATTATGAGGTACAACATTTTAATGGATGGATACTATTTTTTCCAACAGTACGAAAAGATCCATTGGAAAAAAATTCTACGTATCTAATAGCATCAGAATCAATGCCACTGTGTACCATGCCAGCCCGGCGATGAGTACTATAGCCAATGAACCTCTAGATTCCATGGCTGTTTTCTACGGGGTCTTCGCAGAATACTTTCTGATGATCAGGCATATCTAGTGCAGAATGGCAAGTGGATCCTCACACGGACGCCCTAGTCGATATGATACATCCAGGCTTACGGACTAGATATATGTGGAGTAATCACACCAGACTGACCGGCTCTGCAACCATGACATCCGAGATAATCACCGAAGCTTGGATATAATGATGTGAGCGCCAAAGTGACTCTTTGATAGGCATCTAGGGGGGGAAATGTAGTCTATCCTTTGAAACGGCGCCAGACCTCGGCAGGCGTAGTTCCAGACTCCATGGTAAGTGAGCTCCTCACATCTGGTGAACGACCCTGGCATTATGCGGCAAAAAGGCATATGTTCAAGACGCAAGGGTGTATGGCCATCCAGGTTGTCTTTTGGCTGCGACTGAAATACTCCAAATTATTGGCTGATATTTCGATGATATTGTATACTATAGCCGCCAATCGTGTACCTGTTCGGTTCTCTGGAGACGCCCGAGTTCCGAAAGCCCCTCCTGCATGCCTACCTGTTTTCCTTGGGTGGTAGAATGAAAAGGGATAGGCAATTTAGGCAAGAGAGAGCCATGTAGAAGTCAGTAGAGGTAACTGAGCCAAGTGAGTGAGGCGGCGATAGCGATCGGCCCAAAGTGGACGGTGTCAGGTTACACAATCCACCGTCCGCGACTGGACCCCCCCCCCAACAAGTCCCTTCCCCGACACTGTCTCATGTACAGTGATCGTCAATCTGGAACAGCACCTCGGAATCGTGCGCCCCAGCTCATCAACAAGCAACTGCAGCACCATATGAATTCTTACGCCTTACGAAAAGGAACGAAATCGGGTCGGAAGAATAATACCGACCCTACCTCTAGTGTACCAAACAGCCGCTGGGTTTGGTTCTGACTTCGTTCCCGTGTTGGCGAGTCTCCACCTCATGAACCCTCCTCTGGTTCTTCTCTCGAACGAAACTCAATACGGAGTACGGAGTATACGGAGTATATTTAGTCTGATTAGTTGGCAGACGGAGAGCCTACTTTCTTCTGTGCTGGCGTGATGAGGGCTAACAGCAACGGACACTCCATACGGAGTACACTTCAGCAGAATAATGGATGGCTGGGCCATTCGCCTTGCCCATCGCCGTCCGTGCCTCTGGCACCAACAGCCTCGAATCCGATGTGTGCCACGTCAGTCGATCACCGCCAGAAGTAATCCTCGAGAGCTCTTATGCATCACAAAGCCCTCGCGATGATCAGGGCAATAAAGTTTGCGGCTCCTGCATCTGCTCTTCTTTTCTTCCTTTTCTCCCGCTTGCTTGTTCCTGAGTGCCTTGTAAATCCGACCATCCACCCCCCTGCAGGACCTCATAATTTTGTCTGTCGCTACGGAGTACAAACCCGAAGATAGGGATCCTCGCTGCATATCTCGGAGCCTGGAGCCATCGTGTTCCTGCAGTGAGAAAATTGGGTGCAGAAAGGTAATTTCACCTTGCGACCATCTCTTTATTTACGTTGGAGCGGTTGACGGGGGTGAATGAATGGCCCGAATCGGGATCGGCTCTTGTACCTCAGTTCCGGGGGGGCCAGTGGAGCTCCCACTCTTGATCTCATTTGATAAGAACGTTTCTCTTAACAAGTCGGCTAACTTGATCTGTAGCAGCAATTGAACCTTCATGCGGAGGGACACAATCGCAGCGCATTGCAGTGGAGCAGTTTAATTGGGAAGACGCCGGCTTCTCTTGCGAAGCGCCCGCCCGTCCCCCTTTTGAGTCAGTCATCTCCAGTCGCGGCCCTTCTGGTGCCTGGTGCTTTTTTTTTTTTGCTTTTTCTGTCCGGTGCACTCTTTTGTTATATATCATTATTTCGTGAAGAGGGACCCGGCTTCCATCAAGCCCAATCGCGCCAACCCTCCTGCGGACCTGCGGTGGTTCCTTGGATCTCTTCGTCTCGAGGGTCTCGAACCCAAGCGGCAACCAGCGCCATCCCAGACTGGGAAGCACGGTCTTCCTCCAGGTTCCTTGTCTAGTGCCTGCCTTTTCTGCTTTGGATCGACGCTTCTTTTCATTTCCTCTCCCGTGACTTCTGTTCTGGATCTCCTCCTTGCCATTTGACCCGCCGCTGTTTGGGGTGCTCCCCGACCATCGCCTGCTATAGAACCAACCCAGTCACTCGTTCATTTCCAGTCTCGATCACGCTGGTGGAATTCCTTCTACTTTATTCGGCCCTTATTCTCTTTCAGCTGCTCATCAATCCTCAGCCCTCGGCCTTTCCTTGTGATCCTTGACGCATTGGCAATCGTTTCGACTTGGGATAAAGACTTTCTTTGCGCGCATCCGATCGTTCATCGAACCCAGAAAGGGACTGCTACGGAGGACAAGATTATGGAAACAACTGATCACTTCACCTGCTAAAAGTCAATACCCGAATTGTGATCGAACTATCGAACTATCGGTCGTTTTGCGCGCGCGCTATCTACAGCATCAATCTCGCGTTCAGAAACACCGGGCAATCGCCAGCATATGGTCCAAATATGTCAGGCACATGTATCTCACTATCGGGCTCGACCCAGTGCCCCGCTTTCAACAGCTCCTCTGTCTCGACGAACTCTAGTCTCTACACTGATTTGTATGTCTCAATTCCCCAATAGGCAAGATTTCTATTGCGCTAACAATCTATTAGCCCCTTCATGCAATATGTGTCAAATCTAACGTCGTTCGACAACGAATTGAGCTCTTACGTTATGCAGGGCTATGTCAAGGAAAAGTAGGCTTCCGAACGCACGAATGCGCGAAGAGAAAAACTGACCGAACCGCTAACTTTAGGTACGTGGAGTACTTGGGTTGCCAAGGTGTCAACTTGACTGATACCGATGACTATTATGCACGCTATACAACAAGTGTGATCTGCAGCAGTTTGGTCCAAAGCTCCAAGGACAATTGCGATTTATCCGATGAAGACTCAAGACCACTGTGTGCCGATACCTGCGTGCGTCAGCCCCAAATACTTCGACCATTTATCGTTTGATGTGCATACTGACTCGTGATAGGCATCAATGGCCATTAGTGAGGAGGCTATAGTTACAGACACCGACCTCTGCTCTCAAAAGGCAAGCGACTATATGGCTCAAATACGCTCCGACTTCACAATCTGCGCCCTACCGGCTGACTCGCTTACTGTGACTTGCATCACTGGGGCTGAAAATGAACCCAACAATTGCGGGTATCGATCGAACATTCTGGGCCTATGTACATATTGCGCCTCAACATCGGCCAACTCTACTGATACCTGCTGCACCAACTCAAATGCTGCTACTCGCTGTTCAAATGTAACAATTCCGTCCTCGACTCTTCCGCCGATCTTTACTTCCACGGCTGCATCCAATTCGACCACTACATCGAATGGTCTGTCGGGTGGGCAGATAGCAGGGGTTGTGATAGGCTCTGTTGCCGGGTTTGCACTGTTAGCTGCTCTAGCCGTGCTGGCGTTGATCTATTGGCGACGAAAGCGCCGGGCGGAGAATGACGGGTCCCTGAACCAGCCCAACCCACAGAGAAAGGGGTCTCCGTCTATGCAGCAGAGTCGAAGCCAAAATGAAATTGCTGCTATACCCGGCGGACGAGTGGCCAGGATGTCCGCCTTGCGCGAAGCTCCTAATTCATCTCCAGCACGCTCTCGGTACTCGGCTGCTTTGTTTGGCGGCGCTAAGTATAGCGATACCTCGGACTCTGATTATGGCGCCAGCCCTGGGGCAATGTCGAAAAAGATCCCTCCCACGACCGGGAAACGTCATGGTTCGCTTTCCAGTAATTCAGCCTTGGCTGGTGCGGGAAGTGATTCTTCCCCACGCTCAGGGAACGCTGGTCAGTACTCGTCACCAGACGGATTGGCCAGCGGTCAGTCGGAGCAACTATCTACTTTCCAGGACTACTACTCTCAGGATGACATCCATCCGGGTGACAAGGTCGCGGTACTCTGGGCATACCAGCCTCGGGCAGGTGATGAGTTTGCTCTGGACCGCGGCGAGATGTTGAAAGTAATTGGTATTTGGGATGATGGATGGGCCACTGGTATTCGCGTTTCCGAAACAGCAGAGGACCACGACGCTCGACACCGCGAGCAAAGAGACAGCGGCGTGTCGAATGGTTCACAGCGGGCTGCCACATCCCCTCCCCCTGTCGGTGACATCAAGGCCTTCCCGCTGGTTTGTGTATGCCTCCCACAGCATTGGCGGAAGATCATCGACGGTGGACAAGCCGATGACGGTCCATGATGGCTGGAAGCAGACAATTGCCAAAACCGTCTATTCGAAGCCTCACGCTTTTAACGCCATATTTATGCCTTGATGATGATATCTTTCTTGCGTCGCTCTCTTCCGCTCGCTTCATGGGTACAACGATTTGCCTTTTGCGTTCACTTCACTACTTGAAACAATCTTATTCCGAAGAGACCTCCCACTTACCCTAGCATCTTGCAGTGTGCACGTTCATGACCCTCGGACGACCATACAAGGAGCTTCTTCAGTTGCCATCTACTTGGACGGAATCATGAGACGATTTTATACGCCCGTCTTTGCGCTTCCTCCCCTTTGCGTTTCTTTATCTATTATATACCCCATTTTACGGCAACAGCTTTGTTGCTTCTTTTTTACATATGCTGTTCCTTTGTTTCTACATATACCATTCTCACCATAGCACCAAACCCACGAAATGCGCGGTTCTGGACGTTTTTGATGTCGGTCATCAGTGGAATAGTCGGATTTCTCGATTCGAAGCTCTTTGTTTGTCGCAATGCCTGTTGAAGGATAACATCCATTTCGTTTCCAACGTACTAGTTATGTGACACAGGTTTTCCTAAATATCCTGGGTGGCTGAAGTTCGTGTGTTGATCTATGTATGTGTATACGAATAGCGTATGGTGATTAGTGTTCACAATAGTGGAAACCTAGATTGAAGGTACATCAATGACATTAGAGACAGATGTGCCTTAATATGTTCTGCGTGCTGCCCTGACGTGATGTTGCTCGGTTAGCCGGGGCTAGTTCCATGGTTGGAAATCCATCAGCGGCGGATTATTCCGGTGAAAAACAAGATTCATCTGCCTGAGGGTACCAAGAATAGCAATCCAAAAGGGCTGTGTGGTCTGCGCCAGCTGACAGGGCTCGTTGTCCGCGGCCGTTATACTATGTATATCTAGTACTACTACCTACCAACAACCATCGCTGGTAGCTCCCCACACTAGAGCGATTATGGAGGTATGGTTCATGGATGCCTGGGCCTTTGTAGTATCTAGTGTGTATGTGCATGTCGGTCCTACGCAAAACCCGCCACAGAAACCACTCGAGAGGCCCTGGAGATGCACAGGGTGCAGGCAGTTGCATTACCAATGATGGTGCCTAAGTACATAGTACCTGCCGGTGACTAGTTCCATAGTCATAGCGCAGTCCAGGCGCATTTCGTCATCCAGCGGATTCAGGGGGGGAAATGGGAAGGGGAAAAACGCGGCCGGTGGTGCGACGGGTGGGTCACGTGCCAGGCTCCCCCACCGCCGCCGCCGCCGCAGCACCCAGCAAGCACAACTAAATGCCCCTCTATCTCCATCTCGGTTCCCATCCCCCCGTTATATTCCTCTCTCCTCCCCTCATCCCGACCCCGTTGCTCTTTCGCAAGCCCTCGTGAACAGCATTCGAGCAACCTTGCCGGTGTTTGGTTAGTCACGCCTCTGCACTTCCTTTCCCCGTCTTCCTTCGAGCATACGCCGGTTAAGACAAAGGACAAATAGGGGGAAACCGGCCAGCTAACATCGCGTGTATGCCCAGGTTATCCGCTTGTCGACTTCGTCTTACCCCCCTCCCTTCATCTCATATAACCAACCATGTCTGTAAGTATTGACCCTTCCCTTGTGGTTCCGCACAGGACTAATCATTGATCTTCCGTCTTACAGCTCGCATCTGGGTATGTTAACTGCTCGTACTCTCAAACATGTCTCCGCCCGCTTCCACAGTATCGAGTGACTCAGCGACAACGGAACAAGGCTAACTGGGCTACGAGAACAGTGTTTCCATTACCGATGAGTGCGTTACCGCATTCAACGAGTTCCGCATGAGCGGCAACAAGTCGGGAAGCAAGACGAAGTTCATCATCTTCAAGATCGCCGACAACAAGAAGGAAGTTGTAGTCGAGGACGTTTCCCAGGATGAGGACTACGAGGTCTTCCGCAGCAAGCTCGAGGCCGCCCGTGATGCTAAGGGCAACCCTGCTCCCCGTTATGCAGTTTATGACGTCGAGTACGACCTGGGTGGTGGTGAAGGCAAGAGGTATGATCATGATGATGGCTTACGATGTCACTAGGAGATCTGCTTACCCTCTTCTCACTCTAGGAGCAAGATCATTTTCATTTCCTGGGTTCCCAGCGACACCCCCACCCTCGTACGTTCCCATCTCCTCATTTGCTCACACCCAAAGCGGTTGCTGATATAGTTGAAATAGTGGTCCATGATCTACGCCAGCACTCGTGAGAACCTGAAGAACGCCCTCAACATCCACACCTCCATCCACGCCGACGACAAGTCCGACATCGAGTGGAAGACTGTTCTGGCTGAGGCCAGCGGTGGCAAGGCTGGCAAATAAGCAACGGCGCCGGCTGGGCCCGGGCCAGGTCACTTGAGTGCTAGTTGTTGCAATTTGCAACACACCGCACTGGCTCACTTCACGGAGTACCCCGGAACGACCAACTCCATCAGTTTCCTGCACAAACTTAGTTAAATATGAGCTCGTTACGACTTGATTTCCTTGATAGTGACCGTATCATCTTGCGTTCGTGGCACTTTCCGTGATGAATGAGCGTCTGGGAGGGGCTTTTCTTTCTCTTTATCAGTGTTTGTCTGTACAGAATACTGTTGCCTGTCATGGAGTGTGATTACGCAATTCGATGTAGAGTAGAAACACGAATCCACCCCCATCCAAGGAGTCACGGGATTGTCTGTGAGTCTATACCTAGGTCTGGGGGTGAGATCCGTCAGTACTAGTAGTCACAAGTAGATAGTCCCGACTGATGGGAGTGATGGGAAGGAGGACTGCGACAAAACATGAAACCCACTGTCCCACATGAGGAGGGATCCTCTAGTATAAAGAGGGTCGGCAAGCGTGACCATCTAAGTGTAAGAAGGAGTCGAATTGACGTGAACGCTAGCTGGGGCTTATCAGGGCCGGTGCTCACGGGGCATCATCGTAAGATGTTTTGGGGGCAAGTCGATGGCGGACGGTCGGGACGGGCAGCGGATGTGGACCAATGAGGGCGCCGGTAAAACGGACTAAGCTAGCCCGTCCGGATACTCGACTTCCACCTCAAACCACAGTCGAACGTCGTCTTCGTCTCCCATCGCGACTCTTGGTACCCCCCTCCACTCTACCCCAGGTATTATCTATTCTCAATTCCGACGAATCAGTCCCCTCATTGCTCGAGAGCTGCTTTTGACAATCGATTGTTTACTAGTTCGCGCACACACCCTTCGCACACAATGTTCCTTCGCTCCGTCACTCGCGCTGCTGCTCGCAGCTCGGCAATGCCCACCACGGCCCTTCGCTCCTACCGCGCCGTTCCGGGCCCAATGGCCTGCATGAACGCTCGTCCCCAGACTGAGAAGAAGTCTATCGCTCCCCAGCAGACCCGCGCCGCATCCGAGCATGCCATCTCGAATCCCACACTCGCCGGTATTGAGAAGCGCTGGGAGGCCATGCCCCCTCAGGAGCAGGCCGACCTGTGGATGCAGCTGAGAGACCGCATGAAGGTCGACTGGCACCAGATGACTCTTCAGGAGAAGAAGGCCGGTATGCTGCGCTCCCTTGCACTTTCCCGTTCATCCCCGCTCAATCAGAATTTTGCTAACGAGGTTTTCTCTCCCCTCCGTACAGCCTACTGGATCTCTTTCGGTCCCCACGGCCCTCGCACCCTGCCCCCCAAGGGCGAGAACCTCAAGATCTTCGTCAAGGTCGTCCAGCTCACCCTTGTCAGCTTCGGTATCTTCTACGTCATCCACCTGTTCGCCAAGCCCCAGCCCAAGACCATGTCCAAGGAGTGGCAGGAGGCCTCCAACGAGTACGCTCTGGTACGTAAACTCTTTCTCTGCATCAATTGCTGGCCAATTGGGCCGTTCCTCCTCCCCTTAGAAATGAGCCGTTACTGACGAGTTTGTCGCAACAGCAAGAGAAGATCAACCCTATCTACGGTATCAGCTCCGAGGGTTACGAGGGCAAGGGCTTCGTCCAGAGCCCCCCTGCTGAGAAGCAATAGATTACTCCAATTCCTCGGGAGGGACAGGTATGACGACTGGGTGTGCCGTGGAAGGGCAGTGCTGGGCTACAGGAATGAACTACTGCCCCCCATCGCATAACCTTTGATGATGCCGGTTCTGTGCCCATCAAGCTTGGACACGATCCTTGGCCTCTGTTCTACTTGTTTGTCAATGTTAGCCCCAAAAGACCTCTGTATCTCGTACTGTGCAATAATCAACTATCTCCTTTGTAGCCATAGAACAGATTGCCGGCTTGTTAATGCTCGTTTGATAGACTCAATGTTGTAGACAATTGTAAGATTTATGGATACTGGCAGGCGATACCACTATTTACAGCTTTACATCATATTTCATCCCTTCCTTTTTGGGTTTGGATCAGGCTGACTATGGAGATGGGGACTACTACGGATACAGATGGAGGGTTTTACATAGTACTGGATGACGTTGATTGAGATCCGGCTATACGTGGCCATCAAGAGGCGGTAAATCGGGTGGCCCAGTTGAACCAGAGCTGTACCTACTTACTACTAGTAGTAGGCTAAACAGACACATCTGATGTGGTAGAACTGTTGGTAAGTGGCTGGTTGGACCAGATGCACGGCCGCCCGGTTGTTTACCGTCGCGACACCGCAAGACCAAGCTGGGACTCCCGAAAGGGTAATCACGGGAACACGTCAGATTTTTTTCGTTGCAGAGCGTTCGTCCGATATCGTCGGTTCTGCGTTCCGTTGCAGCGAGAGAGACCAACCCCCTCCGGAAGCAGGTTGCAGAAGGGAGACAATTTGATACATTTCGAAGAAAAAGTAGATATCATTTTTGAGGGCCAATGATTTCTTTTTGACCTCGGTCCAAGACATCGGACGAGGTCCTTTTTTACCTACCTAGGTATCTCCCCGTCCATAGTCCATCGGAAGTATTATAGATAGTAGTTACTTAGATCGGGGTGTGGTGGTCATTTTGATGGGGTCCCATTGCTTCCGGGCGCCAAGACCATCCCCATTTGTGTGCGAATTTCCCCCTAACAACCAAACAGGGCAAGGTGTGGAAGCTCTACGAGGACGGCAAACTCCCAGCGGCCAGCATCACGGACATATGGGAGTCGTTGGATTCTGCAAAGAGGCTGGCAGCTTGCGGTCGCCGCAGGAGCGCCCTAGTGACGCCTGGGAGCTGAAGCTGGTTACCATGCTAGCCAGCGCGTTGCTCGGTACATCACGGGATCGTCGGCAAAACCGCCCCGGAAAGGCTAAGCCGGACACATTCGCCCGTGTCCACCTCAACCTCAACCTCTTCCCTTCCTTTCCCTCTTTCTTCCCTCTCCCCATCCTCGTCCTTTTGACCTCTATACCCCGTTTCGCTCTTCAACACCATCAAGATGTTCAAGAGGTGTGTTGCCCCCGCCGCTACCCGCCCTCTGCCTTTTGGCTTTTGATTTTTTTTTTCGCCCTTTGCTAACCAGTTTCCCCCTTGTTACAGCGGTCTTGCCCGGACCTTCGGGAGGGCTGCTTTTGCTCGACCTACCTCCGTCGCCCGTCGCGCTTTCCAGCCCAAGACCAATGGCCTTCCCTCCCTGGCCCGTCTGGCCAGCACTGAGGCCACTTCCGTTGGCAAGATTCACCAGGTCATTGGTGCCGTCGTCGACGGTATGTGCCGGTCCCCCGTTAAAACCCTGTTGGCGGCTACGCGAAAATCTTTTCCGGGCCTCGATTCCATCCAAAATTCCATCAAAACCGACTCAATGCCTATCAAAAAACACGATATCTGACTTTCGCCAACAGTGAAGTTCGATGGTGACAAGCTCCCCGCCATTCTCAACGCCATTGAGACCGAGAACAACGGCCAGAAGCTCGTCCTCGAGGTTTCTGTATGTATACAAAGTCAAAGCTCTGATGACATCAAGCTCCCTTAGCTAACCCAATCCAGCAACACTTGGGTGAGAATGTCGTTCGTACCATTGCCATGGACGGTAAGCTACTTCTTTCCCAAGGCCATGAGTACGAGAGCTGCTCGAGAACAATCATAACCTCTTTGTCACCGCTCTCTCTACGTGGTCTTTCGCGCATACCGCTCCCCCCTTGGCTAACATATCGATCCCTAGGTACCGAGGGTCTGACCCGTGGTGCTGCCGCCCGTGACACCGGTGCTCCTATCACTATCCCCGTCGGCCCTGGCACCCTTGGCCGTATCGTCAATGTCACTGGTGACCCCATTGACGAGCGTGGCCCCATCAAGGCCGACAAGTTCCGTCCCATCCACACTGAGGCTCCCGAATTCATCGAGCAGTCCACTGAGGCCGAGATTCTGGTCACCGGTATCAAGGTCGTCGATCTGCTTGCCCCCTACGCCCGTGGTGGTAAGATTGGTCTCTTCGGTGGTGCCGGTGTCGGTAAGACCGTCTTCATCCAGGAGCTGATTGTAAGTTGGCAAATCCTTCGAAATCCCCATGTACCTAGTTTTTGCCACTAACGCGTTTCGTGTAGAACAACATCGCCAAGGCCCACGGTGGTTACTCCGTCTTCACTGGTGTCGGTGAGCGTACTCGTGAGGGTAACGATCTGTACCACGAAATGCAGGAGACTGGTGTCATTCAGCTCGAGGGTGAATCCAAGGTCGCCCTTGTGTTCGGTCAGATGAACGAGCCCCCGGGTGCCCGTGCCCGTGTCGCCCTTACCGGTCTGACCATTGCCGAGTACTTCCGTGACGAGGAGGGTCAGGACGTGCTGCTCTTCATTGACAACATCTTCCGTTTCACCCAGGCCGGTTCCGAGGTGTCTGCCCTTCTGGGTCGTATCCCCTCTGCCGTCGGTTACCAGCCCACCCTGGCCGTCGACATGGGTGGTATGCAGGAGCGTATTACCACCACCACCAAGGGTTCCATTACCTCCGTCCAGGCCGTCTACGTCCCTGCTGACGATTTGACTGACCCTGCCCCCGCCACCACCTTCGCTCACTTGGACGCCACCACTGTCCTGTCCCGTGGTATCTCCGAGTTGGGTATCTACCCTGCCGTCGACCCCCTTGACTCCAAGTCTCGTATGCTCGACCCCCGTATCGTCGGTGAAGACCACTACAACACCGCCACCCGTGTCCAGCAGATGCTCCAGGAGTACAAGTCCCTCCAGGATATCATCGCCATTCTGGGTATGGACGAACTGTCTGAGGCTGACAAGCTCACCGTCGAGCGTGCTCGTAAGCTCCAGCGTTTCCTGTCCCAGCCCTTCACCGTCGCCCAGGTTTTCACTGGTATCGAGGGTAAGCTGGTCGACCTCAAGGACACCATCCGCAGTTTCAAGGCCATCATCGGTGGTGAGGGTGACGACCTTCCTGAGGGTAAGTTTCACTGATGATATAATTCTACATTATAACACAAACCCATGCTAACTGGTTCACAGCTGCTTTCTACATGGTTGGTGACTTCGAGTCTGCCCGTGCCAAGGGTGAGAAGATCTTGGCCGAGCTCGAGAACAACTAAATGTAATATTGTTTTTAAGCGCCCTTTTCCTTTTTTGTTAGACATGGACTTCCTTTCTTCCATGTTCCGTTTTCTACCGATCCGTGTACAGTACTCGAATTGAGAAAAGGGAGTTGAAAGAACGGCGAGGTCCCCTATATTAAAGGATGAGAGCGCTATAACATCCACCTCTCTTAAGTCTAGATGGAAACTTCTAGACTTGTGTTACACTACGTGCTCATGTAAGTAAGTTAAAATGACCACAATCAGCCTGATACCCGCTGGGCTGGGACAATTGTACTCATTTCTTTTGTTGGGAACTGAATTGTTTAATATGCTCCGTCGTAGACGTAGCCTGTAATATTACTGTCCCGTCCCCATGAGTCTGTTTCTCCATCGTATTCATCCTCTTCTCAATGCCCGTCAGTGCTCGCTCTTTGCCCCCTTACCCCACAAAATTACCCCATCGTATGGCTATTCCATGTTTAAAGATAATATACTTAGCACGTTCTAAATCTTAATTCAAAGAGAGATCCGGTCTCCATGTCAACACCCGCACGGAATATCAGTCAGTGTTGGTTGGTGTGATTTCAGTGTCTTGGAAACTGCTAGTACTATATAAATGTAGTACATCTATGATGAATTGTATGTGAAGAGTTTATTTTCTTAGTATAATCATAAAAGGTATTTTTGTCTTTGTATATCGTTTGGTGAGGATGTTGGATCAATGGTGTGGATACTATATATCGGACGGGTGCTTGAAGGTCGAGGACTGATGGTGATGGTTTTCTGGCTGGGTTTGCTGTGCTTCTGGGAGAATTGTGTCAAAGAGTGCAAGGAAGGATAGAAGGAAGGGTGGGTAGTAAGTTTTGATAAAAGAAGGGAATATAAAACGAGGTGAAAATGTGATTAGGTTGTCTGATCGGAAAGAAACTCTACATAATTCACAAGACTGCTGGTAAACATATGAAGATTGCATGGATAGAGTAAACAGGTATAGACAACGAAACACGTGTGTTGATGCTACAGAGTAGAAATAATGCTACTTTGCCTAATCATGTATGATATCGTCGTACATTGACGCGGTACTTGGATTAATCCAACGAGTGTAGTTGGCGCCGAGTTGGTTGGAAACCATATTCAAATCAATCTACAATGTTTCTTCCAATGCTAGGACCTATGATTGATAATGCTGTCATCAGTACGCCGTTACTTGAATGGAATGATGGAGAGCAAAACATACCAGTGCTGTCCGGGTAGGAATATAAACCTGGAGATAGTTGCTCCGGCCATTCCATGGCATGTCTGTCGTGAAAAAGCGCGTCTCCTTGAGGTTACGACCAAATCCACCGAACTCCTTGTCATCAGTATCGAGGACGATCCTGTATGTTCCGGCTTTCTCGATGCCTACTCGAAAGTCCGTGAAGCTGTTGGTGGGATGAAAGTTGAAGATCCAGAGGAGGCCTGCACGCTCAAAGACAAGGACCTTGTCAGACTCATGCTTCAGGCTTATATATGCCTGTGGGGAATGTAGCCAGCCGTATTTCTCTTCGGTCAATTGCATAGCGCGGTCAAACTCATTCAGAAACTTGTACCGGAGGAGATGGTCTTCAGTTAGGTTCAACTGACGACGTGCGTACCAGAAGGAGTTGTTGTTTCCCACACGAGGAAAATCGAGCCACTCGGGATGGCCGAATTCGTTGCCTTCGAAGTTGAGATAACCCTCGCCACCGAGGGCATGGGTCACCAGGCGGAGCAGCTTGTGGAGAGCCATACCTCGTTCAATGATGGGTGTCAACTCCGTTAATACGGACATGTGGGTGTACATCTCCTTGTCACAGAGCCACATCATGAGGGTTTTGTCGCCAACAAGTCTGTTGTGGTTTAGCTATCGTCAAGTAGGTTATTTAATATTGATGGACTTACGCTTGATCGTGGCTCTCCGCATAGGCGATTGTCTTCTCACCGTGACGTCGGTTAACCAATGTGAAGGAGAGATTGCCCATGTCCCATTGGTCGTCCGACTTCTCTTTCAGGAGCTTGATGTACATATCTGGGACTGCCATGGCAAGACGGTAGTCGAAACCGACACCCCCAAGGGTGTGTGGCAAGCACAGTGCCGGCATCCCAGATACATCCTCTGCAACGGTTATACAGTCGGGATATAGGCTGTGGAGCATCTCGTTGGCCAGGGTCAGGTACATCACACCTTCTTCATCAACTGAAGGCCCGAAGTATTCGTGATATCCACCGGAAAAGCCACTAATCTTGAGTCAGTCAAGGTAGGAGAGAAGATGTGAAAGCTCATTCACGCACGTTCCTATCCCATGATGGGTATAAAGCATACTCGTGACGCCGTCGAAGCGGAAACCGTCAAACTTGTATTCTTCCATCCAGAAACGGAGGTTGCTTAGGAGAAATCGTAGAACTTCATGGTGCCCATAATTGAACAGGCGACTGTCCCAGAGGTCATGCTGACCCTTGCCTCCCGAGTGGAAGTAGAGATGATCAGTACCGTCGAACATGTTCAATCCGTCAAGAACATTCTTGGACGCGTGACTGTGAACGACGTCAAGCAGCACCACCAAGCCCATGCTATGTGCCGTATCCAACAGCTCTTTGAGGTCTTCCGGGGTACCATAGCGACTGCTGGCCGCAAAGAAGCTATTGACCTGGTACCCGAAGCTGGCATAGTAAGCATGTTCCATGATAGCCATTAGCTGGATTGCATTGTATCCTAGATACTTGATACGGGGCAGCATATTTGCAGTGAACTCTTTGTAAGTTGCGACTCTCGTTTCTGGAGAAGAGATGCCCACGTGGGCCTCATAGATGCGAAGGCTTTCGGGCTTCTTAGGGCGAGGGTGCTTGAATTGATACACCTCTGTCGCAGGTGGGTTCCAGAACACCGACTCATAGGTCGGAGATACGGTGAGGTCCTGTACAACACGTTTGATCCATGTAGGAATGCGGTAGATTCGCTCTCCGCCGGGGGTAACCATGGTTATCTGCAAGCGAAACAATGTCAGAAGACACGATTTCTGGTCGGTTGATGGGTTGCTAACCTTGACTTTGCTGTTATGAGGAATTGCCGGGACACCATCCTTTGCTGGCAATGTAATCTCCCAGACACCAAAGCTGTTCTTCGTCATTGGGTGGGCCGTGACATCCCAATTGTCTGCCAGTCTCAGTAATGCTTCAGCGGCCGATCTTTCCCGCACAGCTAAACGTACTGAAATCACCCACTATCTCAGCTTGAACAGCATTGGGTGCCCATTCTCTGTAAGTGATGTCTCCATTGGCGTTGACATTGAGGCCGTATCTCTCGTAACCCTATTAGAGATGCCGTGTCAACTATTGAGGGCAACTCGAGCAATCTGGTGAACCAAGCTAGTAGAAAAGACTACTTACTCTGCTGAATTTCTCCAGCCCACCTTCCGTCTCATTGATGGTCTTGACCCAACTCTCCACAAATTGGAATCTATGCTGCAGAGCTCCTCGGAAAGGCTCAAGCCAAGGATCGAGCTGAATGACGCCTGTTGAAGGTCAGACAAGGTCACAGATGCAAAGCGACACCGTCGAGCTAACTGACCTGTGCCATCTGGAGGCGTAGACTGAATGTCAGGTTGAGCTTCGGTGGAAGCCATGGAGAATGATCAGCAGTGCCGGAAGATCAAGCTCTGGTATGTGGATCGTAGGGATGGAATTAGTAACGAGTGGAAAATGTATTCGTGACCACGTCAAAACAGGAACATGAGAAAACCAGGAGAGGTGGGGAGAGGCCCAACCGATGGGAGGCAAGAGGAGGTGGTTGAGGCCATGCGGGGGAAGGTCGAGGCCAAAGCTCCTCTTCCCTGCTGCTACCCTCCCCAGGGTGACATCACCCCCTTGTTGGTCTTTCCCCCAGCCCCCCGGCCGGTTCGATTCCCCAACCTCGGATGTCTTCCAATCAATCGCCAAGCGACCAGATAGCGAAAGGTTTGCTTTGGCGCCAAATTGGAGCGTTCCACAACCTCTGGTCTCATTCTGCTGTTCGGTGAAAGATGAGGGGGTGCTGAGGAGGCGGGTTGGATCAGGTACGGAACAGGTACCCGCCCTGTGCAGCCACTCTCCCTTCCCTTGGCCCAACCAAAAGCCCCCATTTCTACAAAAGGCGCCATCAGGTAGACCGGCGCGTAAAGAAACGCATGAGATAGGTAGATATTCCTCGAGTTTTTGATATGACGGATAATATACAATGAAGAGAAGATTAAAATCAATGTCTATGTCACACCAAGCTGGCCCAGCAACTGTTCAACTCGAGCTATATACCCAGGCTCCTACAGACATGCCCCTAGCCGTGAGACCCACTGCTACCAGGAAGATTGAGACCACAGCCGATTTTTAAACGTAGCAAACCTCCTGCTCGCCTTGCTCGCCCTCCTCGCCCTGCTGACCCTGTCCGCCGTGTCCGGCCTGTCCGGAAGCAGAAGGAGGCTGCGGGGCGTTGCCAGCACCAGTGGGGGCGGCGGCACTCGGAGCAGAGGTGGTGAACGCCTCCTCAGAAGCGCTCGAAACAGCGACAATGGTCGAAGTCGCTGCCGGGACGCTTTCGGTTTGGGCGGCAACAGCAACGGAGATGCTGCTAGAGACGGTCGCATGGGTGGCAGCAGAGTCACTAGCAGAAAGAGCGCGAGCCTTGGCAGTGGAAGAAGAGCTGTCGGCCATCAGGGCACTGTAAGGGGTGGCACCGGGGTAGAAAGAGGTGGGGATAGTCGGGATAGGGATAGAGACAGTCGAGCCGAAGGCCGCGGTTAGATCAGCGGCCATCGTAGCCGCAGAATAGCCCGATGGAGCGGTGTAGACGGTGGTCGTGGTGGCCGCGTAGGACACATGGTCGGAGCTGTCCTTGAGGCAGAATCCACTACCATATGCACTTTCACAAGAGTACCACTGTCTGTCACCCTTCTCCGTCCACATGGCGAAATCTTCAATGGTCATGTCGTAGCAGGGGGCACCACTGGCACAGATCATCTTGACAGGTCCACGAGTAAGACCATAGGACTCAGTTCCCTTCCAGTTCTTGATCGTGAAGTTGCTCAATTGCACACCATCGCCGTCCACTGCGCTCATGCTGGCCCAGTAGCTGTCGATATCCAACGAGTATGCGTTACCATGGCCTATGGAGAGCAATCCCTTGGTTAGCTTCACTCTTGAGCTCTTCTTTCTGGGAATGACCCGGCTTACCGATGAAGTTCTCAAGAACAACATTCTCAATATAGCCGCTTCCTCCGTTACTCTTAATCAACATCATGTTGTTCGAGTTCCAGGTGTAGATGTTCCGGTAAACGATATCGCTGACCTCGGTACCAGTTCCAAAGGAGCCCATACCACATCCACCGCTCCAGTTGCAGTAGACATTTTCGACCAGAATGTTCTTCGCTGGGCTCTATAGATCCTTGTTAGCCCACATTGCATTCGAGACCGCCCGTCACCGATGATAATCATACCTTGACAGTGACACACTCGTCCTTGTTCGTCACTTCGACCTATTGAAGTGGTTAATAGTCTGGAAACAGCATGTATTTTCTCTTAATGACACTCACATCATGGACCCAGATGTTAGTACTCCAAATGTCAATGCCGTCCAGGCCACCATGGTTACCACCGCGAATTGCCATGTTATAGATCTCGCCATTGGTGCAAGTATCCAGGGACATGTGGAAAGAGGGCGAATCGACCAGAATAAAATCGTGAACCGAGAAATCAGTAACTTCGTACAGACGAATCAGACGAGGGCCGCTCCAGTTGTTTTCCTTATGAAGCTCGTAACCCAGACCCTGCATGGCGCCGGACGACGTGCTACTGAAAAGTTCGAAGTCACTGGAGTGCTCGATGTAAATCATGTTTCCGCCCGTTGTGCTGTCACGGTAGATAACACCGTCGATCTGCAAAGCCCATGCCTCACCACCGCTCAATCTGGCCCAGGTAGAGAGGGCATAGTCACCGGAGGGGACGTAGACAAGACCGCCAGACTTGCAGTCAGCAAAGGCAGACGCCAGCGGAGCTCCCAAATCGGTAGACTTATCCGCCTTAGCACCGTAATCCAGAACGTTGCAGGTTTTGGTGGCTGCCTTGGTGGACGCGGAAGTCAACGGTCCCACGGAACCAGAGAGCTGCGCTGCAGCAAAGATAGGCGCCAGGCCTAGAAAAGAAAGAAGAGAGAGGTTGCCGACGCGCATTGTGCTCCGTCAAGCTTGGACCAAATGGGAAAAAAATGAGTGTGAGTTGCCAAAAAAGAAAGACTGAAAGTGAGTGAATCCCGACACCCCTAAAGAATGAACATTGAAATAGCTAATGGGTCTTGTCAGCGAGGGCTGTGACGCCTTCTTATAGGCAAATATTATTCGAACCCTCCTTTGACGGTGGCCGGTCTCCCGCTGTCACCTTTCTAATTCTAGAACATTTTACCGGAGCTGTCTTTCCATCTCTGACACGGAAACCGTCAGGGATAGGAACCAGACGAAGCTATCGATCCTATTGCCGGAGCCATCTAGGCCATTTGCCTGGATGGAGAAGTAGCGGCAAAATTCAAAACATCGAACGAGCGGGATCGATGCGCTATCTCCCAGTCGAGACTTGCTCCACGCTCTAGGGCGTTTGCCTTAGATAATTTCGATGGAGCACGGGACCCGGTTATGGAATCAAGTAGATTGAAGGACTCAAGGAGGCTGTGTCGGGTCTGGAGTAGTTCACTCCTGGTCGTGCTCTAAGGCAGAACCCAGGACCGGAGGGTGGGCGGAGGATGCGACTGTCTAACCATCTTATGATCTCACTATATTAAGTTATTATTACTGCTCTAGCAGGGCGCAAAAACTCTTACCAGAGGAGGTCCAAGTGAGCCGCTGGGAGTTTTCCTCCCCCTGCCTCAACGGAGGTGGATCTTCAACCTGAAACGCCCGAAGTCAAAGACTTAGTTGAAGGCCCATAGCACACTGATCAGGCGATTGGGCGGTTCCCGGCTCCTGATCAGGGTCTACCTTAGCCTGCTTTAATGTAATAGGATAATCTTGACCAATTCCCGGATGGAGTAACAGTAGCAATAAGAATCATTGTCCGGGTGGGTGACCTGGCCGAATGGCTAATTGTGCATTGCAACCTTGTACGTACCTACACAGTGGTAGCCTAGTTGCACCTGCCCCGTACCTGCCTTGTCTAGCCTTGTATTCATTGTTCCGTTCGGTTCTGCCGAAGTGGGGTTTCCACCTTGGTACTAGTGGTCGGCAATTAACTTTCCCTCCTCTCCGGTCGCCAGATACTAATGTATCTACCTACTCTCTCAACGCATGTTCTGATCAATTCGTGAATTATGATTAGACCTAGCTGCGGGTTTCCCCCGATATATGCAACATTTGCTCAACATTACAGGACAAAATAAATATACAATGTGGTTATCGTTGCTTTTCATCGCCCGGCACAGAAAACAAGCCTATTCCTCAGAGAAGAGTGCCCTTTTCAAATCCGATCCGAGGGACATCACTGCAAACACTGTGACTGACTATACACCCTGCAAGTGGAACAATTAGCATTTTTGAAAGGTTTCCCTGAAATCTAACAGAGTCAACTCACAATTTAGAAGTTCTGACCGAGAGTTGCAACAATACTGCCCACAGAGGTGCCCAGGGAGGGGAGACCAAGGCCAGTCAGGAGGGCGGCAACGTCAGAAGAAAGCTGGATAAGGAGGTAAGAGCCATCCTGGCCGATCACGGTAAGGAGTTGCTCGACGGGCACAGCAACGTCCTTGAGAAGGTCACCAACATTGCTGGCAGTCTTGATGATCTGGCCAACGGAAGTTCCAACGCTGGGGAGACCGAGGTTAGAAACGAGGGAGGCGATAGAAGGGCTGAGCTGGACGAGAAGGCGCTTAGAATCAGTGCCGGTGACTTCGAGGACGTCTTTGACCTTAGGGGAAAGATCCTCAACAATCTTTCCATCGGGCGAGCGCTTGAGATTCTCGCCAAGGGTGCCCACCACTGAGCCAACAGGGACACCAACACCGGGCAGTCCAAGCCCGGTGACCAGACCCGCAACCTCGGGGTCAAGCTGAATCAGAAGAGCACCGACATCCTTGCCGACAACGGTGAGGAGACCGTCAACAGCAGGGCCGAGATCCTTGATGAGGTCGCCAACAGACGCAGCTGACTTAACAATAGAACCAACAGAGGCTTTAATGGAGGGCAAGCCCAGGCCGGAGAGGAGACTGGCAACATCAGGACTCAGTTGGATGAGAAGCTTCTTGGCGTTAGGGCCAGTGACAGTCAAGACCTGATTGACACTGCTGCCAGCGTTTTGGACGATGTGGCCGGTGGCGCCAGAACTGGCGACAGGGGTAGAAACCACGTTGCTGGAGACGACTGAACCCGATGTCACGGTCTTGGTGACTTCAGTCAGTCCAGAGAGACCACCAGTAGGGGCAGCGATGGCCGAGGTGGCCAGAGTAGCAAGGATGGTGATGAAAGAGGCCTTCATTTTGATCAATGGTGTTCGATGAATAGAAATGGAAGAGAAGGATTCAAAATTATGAGTATAAGTGAATATTGATAAAGAATGGCAGGGGTTGGAGTGAGAGAAAGAATGGATGATGCGCTGCTGAAGCAAAAGAAGAGAGTAATGCGAAGAAAGCCAGCTCTTATATACCATCGCTGACTCCAATGATCATCATTTTCTACTATCCTTTTCAGACCCTTCGCAGCTGGACAAGATAGCAACTAGCTGGCGGGTCTACTCCATGTGCGATGTGGTGATATTCCTGCTCGGGATGGTAAGGGCGTATGCTTGATGGAGTCAGCGCTGCTTGGTTGTGGGTACAGGTACGAGCTTGGTCGATTGTTCCTTCAGGCTATGCTACCTTCAAATGTTTCTGAGGACGATCAGCCGCATACAGTACGATGCATGACCATGTGGTCTCCACCGTTAACTGGTGGTCCTGCAGGCAGAGAGTCGAATCCTGCTATTGGAACCAGACCAGGCAAGCTAAACGTCATCGTCTCACGGTGCTGTCTAATGAATATCACCGGCAAGTTCGCAAATCACAACGTCTATGCATGCTGATAGCCCAATCGGCAATCATCCGGACCCGCTGATTGACACTGAAGGAGCATAAAGCCACCGGGACATTTGCCGCCACTGCCATTGGGATCGGCAGCCTCAATCTTACCCTGCAGCGTTTCTACCCTACCATCTCCATAGTACCAATGCTATTGGGCACTTATTCTTGCTAACAGAGCCCAGTGAGCTCGACATGTCTGATCAAACCTGGAACCTTGGTTTGGAGACCTAAGTATCCTAGGTCGTGTTCCTGTCGATCTGAACTGATCGTGGGAAAGATTTACTTGGGGAAACGAGATAGGCTTTTTTAAAAAAAAAGCCTTTCAAAGTACTTTCCGAACAGTAAATGATAGAATTTCCCAACTAGACCAAAAGAGATACCTCTCAGGTTAGTGGAACAATTCCAAGGTAAATAGTTTCCAACAGTAAATGCATGCTATCTACCTTGGTAGTCTATTCGCCTTCCATCGTAACGGCCATGCATGCATATATGCATGTAAGCTGGTGGCAGGCCAGCCAAGCACCAATGCAATCTCGACTCCGATTCAAGTAAACCTACGGAGTAGTCTGGCTATCTTCATCATTTACAAACTAGAACATGCAGCTCCACAGAAATGATGACCTCCATTTTGACGCGGTGAGTCCATAAGACTTGAATTGGGATCGAACGCCCCGCATATGGCCTGGACATGACATTGGACATCAGTCACCTAGGAGTGTAACCAGACTAAGTATTAGCCCACTCTTCCCAAGGGACTGCACCTCCTGCTTAGACAACTTTAGCATGCGCAGTGCCTCGAAAGATGAACTACGAGTATTTCCTCCATACTGGTTATAGGATTTTGATGAGACACAAGCACTAAATGTGTACCACCGATCCTGAGCGCGATAAACTTTGCTAGCGGCTTGATTCTATCAGAATTTGAGTTTGATTTCCGCCGTATTGGATTCTGGAAAGGGACCTCATTCGTGAAAGCTGCTGATAAACGCGAGGTGGAGACGTTCTGGGGGGCTTTGCTCGTATACTGCGGTACGCATGGCTGCAGGGGTGCAAGAGGCTGGCAAAAACACACTCAAGCGTACTTTACAGTATCTGCAGCACACGGATGTAGTGCATGAGCTGCATCAGTAGTGTAGTATGTGAGAAGCAGATCGGTGTTAAAGAACTTTCCAATCTAATTTCGTCACCAAACCCCGGGAATAGGGGACGAAGTACGGAGTAAGCTAATAATACTATGTTTGGATTGCATATAGTAGTAGTTCCTGGGTAGACTGGCTGCCCCACCACGTGGAACCCCCAGCAGCAAGTTCCCAAGACAGTTTGCCACCTAGAGACTTGGTGATCAACAAGCTTAGGGAGAAGTGACGGCCCATCCGGTGGAGGTTGGGCGATCGTTACTTCTTGCTTGGTCTTGCGAGTCCTGGAGGGTAGATGGCAGATTCACTTGAGTTACAAGGATCAATACACCGGATACTTCCCTGTTGGTGGCAGAGCAGCGTAAGGAGGATGTACCAGTGGGGGCCGCTATTGTATGTATACTGTATGGGCGGGGATAAGTTACGCGACCCCTTTAAGTCTGCTGCAATAGTACTAGCCTGAACCCTGGTACTCGCGGAACCTTAACTAACTCCCTGCCTGGCTGCCTCAGTTATCCAATTCTCCCCCTCCATTCCCATGAGCATGGGATGGCTCGTATATCTTCCGTCATGTTCCGGAACCGATGCAGACACGGTCATTCAAATGATGATCAACGCGATCGTCAATACTGAGCTGCTGCTACCGCCACTGATGAGGGTCAAGAGGACTTCGTTTCGAATACCACGCATTATTTGGGGGTTATGGAGGGCCATCTCCCCCTCATATCCTCTTCAATTCACTGTGCCTCTCGGGCCTATCTGCGAGAGAGCATCCGTCTGTTGGAAACCCCTTCAAAATAAAGCTATATTCATTAAATATCATCGAGCAAAATACGTACAGACCGAAGGGAAACATGCACATGCTGGCGACTCTGTTTATGAAGCTGGACTTGGTGGCAGCTCCCCTGTGAACCAGTCACTTGCTGTCTTTCTCAACTCGAACTCCAGTGTCCCTCCTCGAGCAAAGATGTCGTCCCATGTTAACCAATTCTGTTTCCAGTCATTCCCATTTACGCGAAGGCGCTGCACATAGATATTACCCCCACCGTTTCCGTCACCACCACTGGAGGTGACATTCAGGTGCTTCCCATCCCCAAGGTCAATAACAAGGGAGTCGAACCAAGGGGAATGGACCAGGAAGGTCGATTGCCCTGTCACCGGGTACAATCCGATCATATTCCACAGTAACCATGTCTGCATCGCTCCAGCATCGCTGTTACCGGGAAGTCCGGACACACCGGTAGCATAATACGATTTAGCAATATCGCGCGACCGGAAGACTGACATATCTTGCCGGCCGATATAATGATACAAATAAGGGACGTTGAACATGCTAGGTCAAGCGTCTGGTCAGTCAAATTCTCCCGCAAATGATAACGGCGGCTGGTCAACGAAGGGGAGGGGAACCCACGGTTCATTCGTAGGGTCGAAGATGATGCCGCTGGAGCCGCTGGCTCCCTCGAACATCGTGTTCAGACGGTCGAGAACGGTCTGATTACCGCCCATCATGTCGACCATCGTTTTCATATCGTGGATGCTTGCCCACGAATAAGCCCATGAGCTGGCTTCGTAGTGAGGGTCCCCCCAATAGCCGCTGTCGTTCAGTGGATCAGTCTCAATGAAACCAGACTCATTTCGAGGCACAACGAAGCCAGAGAATCCCAGCGAGGTCTGGTTCGCATTCCAGTGGTTCCGCCAGTTCCTGGAACGATTCAGATACTTTGCTGCATCATCATCTTTCCCGAGCCCCGATGCTACCTGGTACAGTCCGAAGTCATTGCATGAATATTCCACTGCTCGCGTGACAGCTCGGCTGAATCTGGGCGTGATATAGCCCAGGCTAAGCCAGTCCGGCAATGCCCCTCTCCCTTCTTTGGTTGAGGAATCGGGCGCCTGAGGATCGACAGGGTAGTTGGGTGGAGTCACTTCTGCATCTTTGACCATGGCCTTGTAGCCATCATCCCAGTTTACAGCCCCGCGCACACCTTTGACATACGCATCAGCCAAGATGTTGTCAGCATTCGAGCCGCCCTGGGTGCGACCATTGTAATTCGAGGATCGTGCGTCGGGCATGTAGCCCTCGAATCGCCAAATATCGATCAGGGACCGGATCTGCTCTTCATAGGCGGTGGGCTGCAACACCTGCATGAGAGCAGTCGAGCAGCGGAAAAGATCCTGCGAATAAGATGAGTGATCTGTGCTCCTTATCTTTGGATTCTCGAGTAACCCACCCAGTAAGTGAATATGTCCTCATAGTATGGCTCCTGGGATGTCCATTGAGGGTTCTCCCCTGTTTGATTTGTGGGGATCAGATGCATGAAATAAAGAGAAGTATACAGCAATGTGAGTGTGGTCTCGTTTGTGTTGCTTGTGATGACCTTCGACAAAACCTTGGCTTCCCATTCGGACTGGGCTTCGGCCACGACCGAATCAAATTTCTTATCTTCCGGTATCTCATCTTCAACATTCTTGCAAGCCTTCTCCGTGGATATCCACGAAATTCCCACACGAGAGGTGACTACAGGACTATTGAAGGTGAAAAGGCCCCCGACCCGCGTTGAGCCTGATGAAGAAGATGCGAATCCAGTGCTTTGCTCAGCACTGCCGTCCGAATCAGTTCCAATATATGTTTTGTTGCTGACGGGCGAGGCATCGAAGTGGCCACCTGGTAAAGTCAACCAACACTGCCATGAAAAGCCCGACACAGGTCAAAAGCTTACAGAAGTAGATAGACCAATCGGGAGAACGATTCCACCCATTGTCATATACTCCGTGGCCCTCATAGTGCCCGTCGGGGAAGATGGTGATATTTCCACCTTTATACCCCTGGCTGAGGCCCATTCCCCTGTATGACGGCAGGACATGCGAAACATCAATCAAGACGTTCCCGTCTGCGCCGTTCGGGAAGGTATATTGATAAATTCCTGCATGAGCAGATGCACTCAGCTCCACAACTGTTCCTTCAACCGTCTGTGCCTTGTAGTAGCCCACAGATGCCTCGTCCGTGCCTGATCGGCCGATGGTTATGTTGGAGAGCGGGTTACTGATGTTCCCAACTAGAGGCAGTTGGGAGACTGTGCCGTACTTGGGGGCGCCTCCGGTGCCCTGTTCATGCATCATACTGAACCCCGAGAAATTGCCATTGGGCAAGTAGCCAGAATAAGAGTCTGTTCCAGAGACATACAGGTCGGGACCTAGCTTCACCACTCCAAAGGGACGAGCCGCTCCGGGGAAGTCGTTGCCACCATTTTGCGTTCCCAAGCTTTATCATGGTTAGACTCGCGGAATCTATCACTCAAGGAAAGTGGAACTAAAACCGGCTTTCAAACTGCGACTTACAATAGATTTACATGTGAGGTCAGATTTGCAGCGCGAACGGCTGGTTCGAGCGTACTCAAGACCAGCATACTGTACCACGACCGCATGGTGAATTGAGTACACAGTCGGAAGCAGACTGAACGGCTGTCAAGTCTCCCCTAGCGAGGGAGAATTATGGATATTTATTCCAAAAATAGTGGACACAGAAAATAGCAGCTTGCAATGACGACTTCGCAAATGCCATCGATCTCAAGTTACAAGTCTCAAAAAACAAGTGGGAGATCCCAGTTTCAGCAGGGATACCGATTATGTCTGCGACAATGAATGGACGGGTTAACGGATGGATTACCTCTAGTGGTGAAATACTCGCCCACTAAACGCATAGGGATCCAGCACATGCCGTGATCACCGGTGGTGTGGAGGGTCTGTTAGTCTTCAACAGCGCGAGATGGGTGGTCAAAAAAACTAGGGATGGATACCCCCCGGATACGCGCATCCATGGTCTGCAGTTTGGTATCTAAGAGGAGCTGTGTGCTCTATCACACGCGGGACAGCAGCCCGAGTTCACATTATCAAGCCTGGTCACCGTTGCAGTGGCCACTAGTGGTGCTAGTTACACAACTAAACGCATTCCAATTGTTTGTGGCATGCCCCCTGAAGGGAGGGCGGGAAGAGCAAAAAGAAAACATCATCAATCAGTGCAAAACGGCATCAAAATGTGCTCTGTTCTATCCCTCATATCAGATTCGACTGATATCCAAGAACAAGATTTTGCTAGTGGACATGTGCGGATGATGCATCACGATGGCAGCCAGTCATGAGCCCCAACAGAGCACATGGCTCCGTTGTCATTCCTCACTAGGGCATTCGCCAGCTCCACTGTGCCGATCATTCGGGTCTTTTCTTGTGAAGTAGACAAGTTAGCACTTCATAGTGTAGAGTATGAAGGGAGTGATCATGGTCTTGAGGCCGATGAGCAGTTGTGTCTGGCCAGTTGATTTGTTGTTTGTTCCCTCCTGAAATATCGGGCAGATCATTACAGCCAATGATCCACCCACATGCCTCGGCGTTCAGGGGGCATCTTGGCAGCGATATGATTGGCTTCCGTGGAGTGGGTCACAGGAGCATCCATCTTAACCGAAGTAGGTAAGTCCGGCCTCCCTCACAGTGCAGTCAGGTGACAACATGGTCAGGTGGAGGAGTTGAAGAGCAAGTTACTTATCAAGAGACTTGTCACAAGATCTGCCCAGGACTTACTTTCATCGATCGAATGTTGCCTTAGTCTGGTGAGGCTGAAAGTTCAATATCCTCACGGAAGAGATGGCAAGAGTGGTTTGTTCATATTGCTAGAGCTGGAGAGGTTACAAGGTCGGATATGGTGATTTAATTAATAGGGTGCGTCTCTCAAAATTATATCCACGTTGTGACTGATTCTGGAGGCTCATAGGGCCAAGGTCCATCTAGCAGTCTATCTATCAACCAGCCATCCTTGCCCGTACGCAGAGTAATCATGGCCCCCAATTGACTGCAGAAAATCTATCTGTGGTTGTTCCTTTGCTTCACTGCATTCTTTCAACCCTGCTATCTTGCGATCCCAACATGAGAATATGCCTTAGGCAAGTGGTAGCATTGAGGAGCCATTTGCTGTAACTTACCTACCCCCAAGAGACGTCTGAATAGAGTTCTTTGTGTATTTAGAGTATGACTATAACCATGGCCACCCAAAGCTTAGGTGGAGCGTGAAACACGACCCCACAACACTTTTACAAGATAAGCATGCATACTGCAAGCCGCAGACCTCACGACTCTGGGATGTCACCAGAAGAAGTTCCGCAAACATGTGAAGCTGTACAATAGCGCTATCTAGGTTGAGATCTGCGAGAGCTGAGATTGTCTGCGGCGATAATATACACGATTTGAAGGATCTGCGGACGGCAACATTTCATGATAGTTTCAGGAAACCAAACGTAACATATTCATGTTTGTTTTGTGCCACAGTATAGAAGCTTCGAAGCCTGGACTGTTACCTATATTTTGTTTTGAAGCTTGGCGGAGTGAAATATAATATTGTGACTGATTTCATGAAATCTTACCGCTGCATGAACAACAGATCAATCTTCTAAATCTAGAACTAGATGAACGGCCACCAGTCTTGAACACATAAATGAGAAGTGGCTCCCCGGCTACATGGATTGACAGTAAGTCATTGAAGATGAGAAAACCATAACAGTGATACTTTGAACTTGGAAGATGACATCAAGCTCTAGGTGAGTGCACTGTATTTCCCCGCTCGCTTCAAATACAGTGACGACTATCCGGGAGATGCCGCATATGCAAAAATAAGCTTGGTGGATGAGAATCAGCGACAGCTGGTCGACGCCCACGAGCTTATGGATCAGTATACTGGCTTGAAACAGTTATTTGACTTCGAGACGCGGTATCATGTTGGTGCTTACAGCGTTGATTCCACCCTGATTGTGGATATTGCCAAATTCGTCGACGCATGCTACCTGGTTTCAACCAATCCTACGGCCGCGCCACATGACGCCCTGTACCTTGCTAACGCTACTGATATCAGGGGATCCCGCTATGAGGCCAAAGGTTCGAACATTCCACCCTCTGGTGGTAAGATCTGGTGGAGCCTGCTGAAAGATGAAAATGTGAAGAGCTACGTGGCCCAAGTCTCCAAAGCCGAACAGATGAATCTCCAGGAAGCCCAGACTTCTGACCTGGGGGCTGGTGCAGAAATCGCCCTGAATGTCTTGATGGCCGCATCACTTGTACCTTATGTTGGGCCCTTCCTATCAACAGTGGGCAGTGCAGAAATTGAAGGGCTGACAAATGTCAAGGTGGACAGCTCTGCAGGGGAAGCATAATCTGCAGGAATCGCAAAGTCCACTTGGGATAGTACACCTGGCGAAGTGAAAGATGCTTTCATCGAGCATCTGCACGCGGAGCTCCCAAGGATCGTCAGATTGTTCAAGAGGAAATAGCCGCTTGACAAGGGTGCGCAGGGCCGTATTGAAAGTTTTGCTTCTCTATGTAGTGTGTTTTTTTTTTCTACTTCTTTTTTTAAGAATAAAAAAAAGTCGGCTGGTATGGGTAATGCAGTAATGCAATGGACCTCGTTAATACCGTGAGATTAAGACTCCACTTCTCAATTGAAACCGGTGAAGGTCGGGCGGCATCAAAAAGCTCCATGTTCAAGCAGATATGGAAACGGCTACATCGATACTCACAACACTGTATCGTTCCCCCCAAAAGACAGACAGAAATGACTGGAGAAGCCCTGTCGGAGATGGCAAAACATCACTCGGCATATCTCCGAGGAAAAGTCCAATCACTTGACAACGGGTTCCCGTCGTCGCACATCCTCAAAGTACAATGCATATGCATCTGATTAACTTCTTGCAGCGGAGACCAAGACGGAACGAGGGTGGTGGAATGCATCTAAGCCACAGTAGTCCGATGCAGAGGGAAATATTGAACCTACATATCATGCATTGAAACACAATGGGATAAACGTATTTCCCCGGCACAATCATGCTAGGAAATGTCGCCTTCCTTTGTGCCAAGGGGGACTGAGATTCCCGGCTGAATGAGGCGCAAGTTGGCTTGCTCCTGGTGCGTGGAAAAAGCGCCACTTAATGCACCTGTGCTTGGCAAAACTGATCACACTTTCTACTGGGTCAAGGCAATGAATATTTAATGCTGGAGCAGCCGGTTGGCCACTAGGCGAGCATCACATGACCCACGGTCACGTTGGCCACGGAGATGTTGTTGTTGTTGTTGTTGTTGTTTTCGTCCCGCGTAGGCAGAAGCCAATATCACGTTGTTTTCTCTGCCTCGCGTCTCTTCACGGCAGTTAGGTCCATCCGTCAAGGCAACTATTGCTCACTTGCAGGGGGTTTCAATATCCACCCTGTAAGATATAGGCAACCGCAACCGATTGACGATGCTTAATGTGATAGTCATCTACATAGGACTGTTTTCCCGGTCCGCTCTACTATGGCGAGCTTCAAGGCTACTACATCTGTTAGGAATGACAGAGCCGATGATCCCTAGGGTTTGTCTCTCGTCGCTTCGAATACGTATATGCAGCTGACATATTCCGACGATTGGTCTAGGTTTAACCCAATAGAAAGACAACGATAAGGGGAGTTGATGTTTCTGCTCACCGACTGTACATCAGTCCAGCCGGATAGTTCAGCTTCGATCCACACTGTCTTTCTTTCCCCTCTCTGACAGCATGGATGAGCCAGGCCGACTCCCACGATATCGTCATCATGGGTCAGATTTAGTCCGCACACCGTAGCGCGATTGCTGTGCCCTCGCATGGCCTGATATTGCGAGGCTGGCAGCCTGCCAGTCACCGTTGAGGCGGCCCCCTAGCGTGGCGTGGCCAACACTCGTCAGTGGACGGAAAAACCCACCAGCACCTCCGCCCAATTTCTCCGGATGTATCCACCTCGGGGGCCTCCAACTCACTCCATTCCCCCGGAATTGCTGGATCCAGCGCAAGGTGCGGGGAGAGATGGGGTCGCTTCTGCGGGTGGGTGGAGATCCCCCATCACCCATGCTGGGGGTTCGCTCCCCAGAACCTATGGCCTGCCTGCTTGGCTCCCCCAAGCGTGGTCTAGCATCTCATCTCCTTGGGTATGGTATGGAGATCCGTCTTCCTACCAGGAATGGAGATGGCAGTGATAAATATCCACCACGGCTCCCGGCGAGGTCAGCCCTCTCTGGCTTCTCCTTTGGTCTTTTTTCTCTAGGAATGCCCTGTGCTGCTAGGATCAATTGCCAATTGCCTACCAGTTCCTGGACAATTCCGCCACCATGGGCCTCTTCAAAAATTATCGCGTTTACATCCTCACAGCCGTGGCCTATTCAGGGTCACTTCTTTTCGGTATGCATGCTTTCTTGAATTGATCCCAGCGTGCTGGAAACTAATTTTTCTCGATGACTGCTAGGCTATGATACGGGTGTGATGGGTAGTGTCCTTTCACTGGACAGCTTCAAAGAAGATTTCGGCCTACCTACTGGCTCTTCCGGCTTTGCATCCTCAAAGAATTCCGACATCTCTTCCAACGTCGTATCCTTGTTGACCGCCGGCTGTTTCTTCGGCGCCATCTTTGCTGCTCCCCTCAACGAGCGCATTGGACGACGCTACTCCCTCATGATCTTCTCTTTTGTCTTCCTCATCGGCGCGGCTATTCAGGTCGCTTCCCTACACTCCATTGGCCAAATATACGGTGGTCGTGTCATCGCTGGCTTGGGCATTGGCGGCATGTCCAGTATCACTCCCGTCTTTGTGAGCGAGAACTGCCCTCCGGAAATCCGTGGTCGAGTTTCCGGGATGTTCCAGGAATTCCTGGTCATTGGAAGCACCTTCGCCTACTGGCTGGACTACGGCGTCTCCCTTCACATTCCTTCAAGCACAAAACAATGGCGTGTTCCCGTGGCCGTCCAGCTGATCCCCGGCGGACTCATGCTCATTGGCCTTTTCTTCCTGAAGGAGTCTCCTCGTTGGCTGACTGCCAAAGGCCGCCACGAGGAGGCTCTTCAATCTCTTGCATACATCAGGAACGAGCCCGCAAACAGTGAAATGGTCCAGACGGAGACTGCTGAGATCAGAGCCGCCATTGACGACGAGGTAGCAGCCACAGAGGGACTGAGCTTTAAGGAATTTCTCCAAAAGAGTAACCTCAAACGCTTCGCTTTCGCCTTCGTTCTCATGTTCTCCCAACAATGGTCTGGAACCAACTCAATAGGTTATTATGCTCCGGAAATCTTTCAAACTATCGGCCTTAGTGCCACGAACTCTTCTCTTTTTGCCACGGGCGTATATGGAACCGTCAAGGTGGTTGCGACGGCTATCTTCTTATTCGTCGGTATCGACCGCTGGGGCCGTAAGCTCAGTCTGATCGGGGGTGCCATCTGGATGGCCAGCATGATGTTTATCATTGGCGCGGTCTTGGCCACGAATCCCCCTGACACCAGCGCCAGTGGCGTTTCTCAGGCCTCCATCGCCATGGTCGTCATGATCTATCTCTATGTCATTGGCTATTCTGCTTCCTGGGGTCCCACCCCTTGGGTCTACGTGAGCGAGGTAAGAACACCCCCATCCCCCCCTCACATGACGATTTCACTTCAGCCCAGCTGACACGTCCGGCAGATCTTCCCAACCCGGCTACGTGCATACGGTGTTGGTCTAGCAGCCACCTCCCAATGGCTCTGGAGTTTCGTCGTCACCGAAATCACCCCCAAAGCCGTCCACAATATCGGGTGGCGCACGTTCCTCATGTTCGGTATCTTCTGCGTTTTCAATGGCGTCTTCGTTGTCATCTTCGCCAAGGAGACCAAAGGCCGCAGTCTCGAAGACATGGACATCCTTTTCGGCGGCGTCAATGAGGCTGACCGTCGCGCTGCAGTAGAAAATACCATGCATAAGCGTGGTTCCACACACATTGAGGACTTGGAAGATGAGGAGGCCGACCGTGTCCGCCACGAGCAGGACAAGGTCTAGGTCTGATCTAGCTGGGCTATATCGATTACTTGTATGTATGGTATGAACGAACCCATGACTGAATGGTAGTTAAAGAGGGACGGACAAATCACTTTAGATAGATCTAGATGTTAGAGACGGGGACTACATCGTTAGATTGGATTGGGCTTTTTGGTTGGGTTGTTTGTTAGACAAGATGGCTCTAGATTCTATCCCCGGCTGGATTGATATTGTGTGATGCAATTTCCTTCTCCTCCATCTCCACCCCAACCAGGTGATCAGTATTAGATGTTTCCGATGATTGTAATTGAGTTAATTCATTCTAGTTACATGGAAGAGGACCGAGTCTTTTAGACTTACAGTCCTAATTCCAGTGTTTTTGTGAATAATAGGAGGTCTTCATAATATGTTAGAAGCCTTCGTAATGAAGGATAGACTTGTCTCTAGTGAAATAACCAGTAACCAGGGGATTACTCAGAGATTCCAGTGTATAGACGGTATCTAACCAACCGGCCGACACTCGTCTCTGTCCCATCAACATTAAATACTGTGTAGTATGAAACATTTCCTTCCCCCTCAGTCTCAGTATTTACCATATTAATCTTCATCTTGAATAGACTGGTAAATTTAGTGAAGAAGGATTGATATATTATTATATGAATGGAGTAGAGAGTCAAATATCCTTTTGTCCGGCAGAGGTTTATGACTAGAAGCTGATAAAAAACAATTACAGCAATAAACGTAAGTTCCAGTGAGTTGAAAACCTCACGGCCTTTTACTTTTTTCTTCACCTCCCTAGACAGAAAAGCTCATCGGTCATGTTCAATCAACCTTCCTGGTTCGGACCCACATACACACATACACACAAACACACACACACACATACACACACACACAGGGAGTAATACTACCAGCCCTAAACCATCAATTCAGTTACCGACCTCGAGCCTCCTCACGAAGCTTCATCCACTCCGGCTTAAGCTCCGGATGCCGAACAAAGCATTGATCCTCAGTATGGTTGTAGCCTTTACATCCCTAGACTGGACACTTTCGTTTCTTGTCCCTAGTGGAGCTTCCTTGCTCGACCTTTCTCTCCATAATCTCCTCCTCTTCTTCCAGAAGTCGTTCCTTAAATTCCTCAAGACTCGGCCACGTCTGTCTCGGTCCATTATAAACAAGATTCATCTCCCGGATAATCCCATCATACTCTGGAGTAAGCGACCGCATGATCTTAGCCTGGACAGCACAATCATCATACGAATGGTTGAGTTCTCGTAAATTCTGGACTTTATCCCCCAGAGTGCCGAAGAAGTCATTCAGATCGGAACAGTCATCTAGAGTTAGGTTGGCGATTTCCCTGTGGAGGATGTGCGGATTATTCATTTTGTATCTCGTAGAGAGATACTGAAATGCTTGGTAGGGGTCCGTGTAGTCGCTGAGAATAGAGCGGATTGAGGGGGAGACGTGGAGTATTAGAAGTGCCATCGCTTTGAGTTTGTCTTCGGACTTCTTTTCTTGTGCTTTGAGGTCTTGTTCGAGTTGGGTTTCTACGGATTGGAGTAGGAGGTCTTTGAGGAGGGGTTTGTCGTCTTTGTCTTTGTATTTGGGGGATGAGAGGATGGTGTCGATGTTGGTGATGTAGTCGTCTATTTGGGGTGGTGGGGTGCTAGTGTCTTGGGTTTGATATTGGTACTAGATGCCGTGATGCGCTGCGATGAGGTGGAGGTCTCGTCTCCATTTCATGTAGGTTTGGGATCCGGTTAGCATTGTTGGGTTGAAGGAGGTTGAGGATTGGTTGGTGGTGTTGAGGGGGTTGTGGTTTGAAGTCATGATGTTCTTCAAGTCTGTGGAAAAGTCGAAGTACTTGATGATGGTTCTGGTTATATGGGAGAGCACTCAGACTTTATAGGCTTGCAATCCTGTTTTCTGTCTGAATGTTCCTATATAATCAGGATCTCTGTCGGTGGTTGCCTAGGGTCACGGGACGTTCTGCCTGCCGTGATCCTCCAGGGAGTCTAGACCTATCCACGGTGTCAAGCGTAACCATCACACAAGAGTAACCCTGTACTCCATACCCCGATACCCTGTACCACCAACTATTCGAATATTGGTGCTCCTATTACCTACTCCATGTAACTGTAACCTTTGGATAAAGCGTCCTCTCACCTCTACTTACTGGTTGTGATCTAGACCAACGGGCGAGTCTGAAGGTTGATCATTTGAGGTTCCACTCTTTCGAACTAGGTTTAATCAAATAAATGTTTTGATTAATGGTTTGAATGGCTGGTTGATTGATTGATCGATTGATTGGCTTATTCACGTTACTGTTATTTGCTTTTTCTGTTCGCGGAAGAGAGATTATTCTGAGACAGGGATGAAGTTTGCTATTCTTAGATGAATTCGCGTCAGACTTGGGTTGGGGTTTGGACTGGGGTACGTACGTGGTACTTGCTTTGATCAGTTTATGATGGTCGCACATAAGTTAGAGAGGGTGTGGTGTAGTATAGTTGGAAGGGAGAGGTCTTTGTAGGGGTGTTAGGTCAAAGAGAAAGCACGGGAAGGAGATTGGTAGTAAGTAAGTGGTACTGCCTATTCATTGTGAAGTTGGGGCCTGCAATGGGAGCTGGAGATGATAATATTAAGCCAAGAGTTGACGCTGTCACGAGTTTGATTCGTTGGCTCAGAATGGAGGCTTGAGATTGTCTGTGCCTTCCTGCCTCTGTTCTTGCCTGTTGCTGACTTTGGGTCTTGGTAGTGTCAGGTGGAAGTCAGTGTCTCATCCCTGGGCTAGATATACTTTATTAGTATGCTGTTTGGCAGTTCGTGAAGTCGACAAGTCTAAGGGCACCCCTGTTATAAGACGCAAACGCCTCCCCATCCAAGATCGGAGCTGGGTTGTGGACTAATAGTTTGGTCACAATGTTTCGCTGGAGCTTTTGGGTCCTTGTGACTCTTGTTCATACACATCTCTTATTTTTGGAAGGCGCGGTCGCGGACAGCGTTGGAAAATGTCGATTCCCACGGCTGGTTGAGGCGACAGTGGATCAGCTTCAAGCTGGTCTCCAGAAGGGTTGCTTTGATAGTGTGGATTTGGTCAATGTTGGTGCTATCCTTTTATTTCATGGCTGTGGTGCTAATGCCTGTCATAGGCGTATGTCGGTCGAATTGACGAGGTTGATTCGACTTTTGGCACGGTGTTGGAGATGAACCCGCATGCGCTGAATATCGCGAGACAGCTTGATCGCGAGAGACAACAAGGTCGCATTCGGGGGTACGTTGCTGTCCATGTTAAGTTAACTTGTGGTTGCGTGGCTGATTGAATGTAGTCCGCTGCATGGACTGCCGGTTTTGATCAAGGATATGATAGGCACAAACGATAGGATGGAAACCGCAGGTACTCTTCTCGATACTGATCAACTCCCGTTCCTCTTGCTGACAGTTTTTAGCTGGCTCCTGGGCGCTCGTCGGATCCAAGGTTTCTGCCGATTCAACTGTAGTGGCGAAACTCCGAGACAACGGCCTGATCATCCTAGGCAAGACGAGTTTGTCGGAATGGGCCAACTTCCGCTCGTTAAACTCGTCTAACGGGTGGAGTGGCCGAGGGGGCAATACGTACGGAGCGTATTATCCCGATCAGGACCCAAATGGAAGTTCGAGTGGCAGTGCTGTTGCGACTGACTTGGGTCTTATCCCGTTTGCTTTGGGAACCGAGGTACGCCAGAAGCTTTCCTGCCCACCTTCTGACCTATGCTAATGCCAAAGGACAATAGACGGCTGGGAGTATCTTGCTTCCAGGTGATAGAAACAACGTTGTCGGCATCAAGCCAACTGTTGGGCTTACATCACGGTATATGGTCATCCCTATTAGCGAGCGCCAGGATACTATTGGGCCTTTGGCTCGAACCGTCAAGGACGCAGCCGTTCTGTTGCAAGCTATTGATGGTCAGGACCCAAGAGACAATTACACCTTGGCCTCGCCGTTCGGTCAAAGTCTTCCAGACTACCTGGCGGCTTGCAAGCTGTCTGGGCTCCAAGGCAAGCGGATTGGTATCCCTCGAAATGTCATCGACTATCTGGGCCCAGCAGAAGCTCCAATAATCTCGGCCTTCGAAACAGCAGTGTCCGTGATAAGCACTGCAGGCGCTGTCATAGTCGATAATACAAACTTCACAGCATACGGCACCTTCTATGATAGCCTAAACCCTGCCATTGTTGAGGCGGCCGACTTTACGACGAACATCGCAACTTATCTGTCGAAACTGAAACGAAACCCGAATAATATTCACAGCGTGGAGGATATCAGGGACTTTACCCAGCGTACGCCATTGGAGGACTACCCGTCGCGCGACACGGGGATATGGGATCAAGTGATTGCTCTTGGACTGAACAACACATCGCCGGCCTTCTGGCCCTTGTATCAGGACACCCTCTACTTCGGCAAGGAAGGAGGCTTGCTAGGGGCTCTGTTGCGCAACAAGCTCGATGCCGTCATTCTCCCTACTGTTGTCGCCTCTGGCATCCCTGCGATTATCGGTACGCCGGTTATCACCGTGCCCCTCGGGGCATATCCAGACGGAACTCCGGTTGAACGCAACAGCCGCGGTGACCTAGTGCAACGTGCCCCTGGAATCCCTTTCGGGATCAGCTTTCTCGGACCGAAGTGGAGCGAAGAGCAGCTGATCGGGATGGCCTATGCATTCGAGCAGCGTGCGCTCGTCCGTAATAAGTTGGGACGCTATCGGGAGGCATGTACCGAGCTAGAAGACATGATTTAGCTCTGAAGTCTGTAGGAGGTCAAGTTAGGAGGTCAAGTTCGCAGGTCCTGGTTTGTTTGTGTATGGTTGTATCTACCACGAAGGTATAATATAGTCGATCCACGTGTGACAAAATGATCCGTAGGAGGGAAGAACCTGGTCCTGGTAGGCAGAAAAGGGAAAGAAGCCCCTTCCATGGCATGGCTTGCCGGAAGGAGTTTAGCGCCGGACCACCCGATAAGAAGATGGAGAAAGTCTTCCGAGCGCGGGGCGCCTCGGGCTGGAATGTTGCAAGCATACCTCCAGATTATTTGACCTGATCTCGACTCGCTCAGTTGCCAATGAGCGATCTCGAGCAAACATGCGCGTCTTTGCGCGCCCAGATCGCGGCCACTGAAGAACAACTTGCAGGTTTGAAACATGAGCTCCAAATCGCAGAAGAGGCTGCCGCGAGATCTAAAGCTCAGGCTGTGGAGGACGATGAAGCAGCTTCTGGGAGGCGGTGGCCCCTACTGGACGAAGAGTATCGGCGCTATGGGAGACAGATGATTGTACCGCAGTTAGGCATCCAAGGTTCGTGATCTGCCAACGGAGTCTCGGAGATCTGTCTTGCTAATTGGGGCTTCGTTATCAGGCCAACTGCTACTCAAATTGGCAAAGGTTTTGATCGTGGGTGCTGGTGGATTAGGATGTCCAGCAGCATTGTATCTCGCGGGAGCTGGTGTCGGCACTCTGGGGCTGGTCGATGGGGATACGGTGGAATCGTCGAATCTCCATCGTCAGGTTTTACACAGGACCAAGAACGTCGGGAAGCCGAAGGTGGATAGTGCGATTGAGTACTTGCAGGAGTGAGTTGCTGCCCGATATCTGGAGGATATAACATTATCTATGTAGCGTGCTGACTCGGACTGCTCCCCATAGGCTGAACCCCCACCCCAAGTACATCGCTCACAGGGAACATCTATCACCTGAAGCCGCCCCAGATATCTTCAGCAATTACGATCTGATTCTCGATTGTACCGATAACCCTGCGACTCGATATCTCATTTCGGATACTGCAGTGCTTCTGGGTAAACCTTTGGTGTCAGCATCTGCCCTGCGCACTGAAGGTCAGCTTATGGTGTTGAACAACCCTCCCCGGCCCGCAGGCGATAAGACTGGAGGCCCTTGCTACCGTTGTGTGTTTCCTAAGCCGCCACCGGCGAACACAGTTACGAGCTGCGCGGATGGGGGCATCCTCGGCCCCGTGGTTGGTACAATGGGCGTTTTGCAGGCGTTGGAAGCTATCAAGGTCATTACGGCAGAAGAAACGAGGGCACCTACTCCACCCTCTTTGCATATCTTCTCGGCGTATTCTACACCTCTCTTCCGCACGATAAAACTACGCTCCCGTCGCCGCAATTGCGCGGTGTGCTCTGCTGAGGCCAGCGTGACGGTCGATACTGTACGCTCGGGGTCTACCGATTATGTCTTCTTCTGTGGGACGGCGGACCCAGAGAACTTACTCACGCCAGAGGAACGTATCACGCCGCTGGAGTATTGCAGGAAATACCGTGGTAGGGGGGAGAAGGAGCCAACTATCATCGATGTGAGAGAGGAGGTCCAGTTCGACATCTGTAGTCTGGAAAATAGCATCAACATTCCGATGTCCACGATCTTAGCTTCTACCTTCAGCTCGCCGGATAGTGGAGATTCTTCGGCTAATGGAGTGCCCGGGTTGCCCTCATGGGTGCCATCGGACGTGGCTTCATCGCAGTCCACTGATCCGGTTTATGTGGTTTGTCGACTAGGCAACGACTCTCAGGTCGCTGTGAAGAGGCTAAAGGAACTGGGCTTGGGCCGGGGGGGACAGAGGGTAGTGGCTGACATTCGAGGGGGATTTCGCGCTTGGAAAGAACAGGTTGATCCTGAATGGCCGGAATATTAGATCCTCGGTAGACTTATATGTAGCCGTCAATGCATCGAATGCCTAGCAGAAGATCTTATGGTAGGTGTGAGCGAGATTGAATTAACAATTTGAAGAAGGGGGTAGGCTCGACACTAGGGAGGAAAAAAGAGCACGATAAAAACAAATCCCTCAAAGGGATTCGTACCCACCATGCTATTGAGCAAGGTGGAGACAGATGGTCGCGGTGAATGACCACTCGACTATTGGGGGGCTGACATAAAAAGCTAAGGGTGAGATTGAGGTCTTGTTCGGGTCCCCAAAACTGCCACGAGATGATTAGCCATCAAAGTCTGTTCCACGTGAATGATTGCGCTTCAATATCTCACGATCTCCGGGGATTTCTGGTCGAAGCTCAGGCGTAACCCCTGGCTTGACAAGAAAGAAAGCACTCTCCTTTGTATCCTCGGCACTTCTCTATCATCCAGATCATAGCCCTCTTTGATGACCGCATGACGCATTTCCCCCATTCGACTGGAGCGATGATCGACCAACGCCCGCAAAATATACCACGGCATGATGTCGATTCCTGCAGGCTGGTGGGTCAAGCCAACAACCACGCGGAATCCCCGTCTTCTGGAGCCGTCACGAACCGACTACCGAGATCCGGTCTGACGTCTCACTCACACCCGCAACCTTGCAAATGGGCCAAATAATCCATCATCGAGATCGGACCAGCTTATCGGCGATGTCAACAGAATGCTGAACCGGTGAAGAGTGGTCGCGCTCTTGGCACACGGCCCAAGGCTCCACTTGGGAAAGTCCGCGGCCGATCGCCACTGACTGCAACCCAAAGCTTCTCGCTTTTTCCGTCCTGCTTTTCCGGGGATCGAGGCACGAAACAAGAGACAACACACGCGATCTGCCCACAAAACCTGCTAAAGCTGACCACACAACTCCCTGCCTTCATCCACATCCCATCCAACCAGCGATAAGCCGCCCTGTGAGAGTTCAACCGCTCTTCAACTGGCGTCGCCGATCGAATCACGTGGTCTGGGGAAGTAAGCCTGTCGATGAGGGGCCGGCGCGAGCCCCGGAACTCAGGATTGACCCTATCAGCTATTTGGGGGTGAGGTAAAGCGAGGAATCCGGTCATCGACGGGAAGAAGCTTCAAGATGGCGACCCCGGTCGACTCGGACCAGTCCTCCTCGCAGGTGTACCCCGACGAAGATGGACCGCGGAATAGCGAATGGAAGCTTTTCGAGAAGGTGAAAAATGCCTGGAAGAAGCTGGAACTGGATATGCCGACCCTTCTTCTCATGATGAAGTATGCTCTGCATATATCGCTGTTGTGTGTAGGAGACTAATCAACCTTGCAGAGGAGCCCTTCCACCGACGATATGTGTCGCTATGTAGGTTCCCCTTACGTCCTTGCTTCCTATCGCGTACTGACAGACCAAAGGTACCAAGCGGATGCAGTTTCATCGTTATTTACTACTGTCGGATATTTCGTGGCTATCATCGCCGTTTTGGGGTTCTCGATCATGCCTCGTGCCAAGTTCATCCAGATGTTGGTTCTTGATGTGCTAGCAGCCTGTGTCGCATCGGCTGTTGCTCTACTTATGATGTACTCGTGCATCAAGGCACGCCAACACACTGAATCTGCTGCCGATGCTGCTAGCGGCAGTGCTACATCTGCGCCGTACAATTCGTCTGCTGCAGCAGTGAGTGGTGTCTGGCTATTCTTTGAGATCTATGTGGTCCACACGTTCCGAGCCAAGTTCCAGCAATTTCAGTTTCCCGTCATCATCTATTCGATAGTTGCCAATGTTACCTTCACGTATGCTTCGCGGCTCGCGACTATGACCGCGGGGATTACTCTCGTCAGGAAGTTGCTCGAAGCGTGTTTGACTGGCCTGGGCATTGCAACAGGTGTCTCCTTGTTCATTCTCCCTATGAGTACTAGAGGCATCGTATTTAAACAGATGGCAGGCTACATCGGGTCCCTGCGCTCTGCTCTCAATGCCCACGTGGCCTACTTTGAGACACTGGAAAAGGATGACATGTTCGGTCGGGCAGAGACGTACGACTCAACCGTGGAAAAGATCACTGATAAGGGTAAAGTGTATAGCCCGGAAGCGCAAGCTATTCGCACCGCTTGTCAGAAAGTCACAGAACTTCATGCCAAAATCCACGGGGACTTGACCTTTGCGAAGCGTGAGATTGCAATTGGAAAGCTTGGGCCAGACGACCTCCAGGGGATATTCCGACATCTGCGCCAGATCATGATTCCTGTAGTTGGCCTAAGTTTCGTTGTGGATATTTTCCAGCGTCTCTCCGATTACAACAAATGGAATCAGTCCATCGGCCCTACCGGAACAGAGATTCCTGATGCGGTACGCCAGCGGGTTAGACAAGAATGGAATGAGATCATGAGGGCCGTTCATGATCCCTTCAGCTCCATGATTCACACCATCGATGAGGGTTTACAACATGTTGCACTTTTGCTTGAGCTGAACAAGCCGGCAAAAGCGTCGACTACTGGCAAAGGCACTGAGGATGTTGAGGCAACATCTTGTCCTAAACCCGGGGAAAAGGGGTTCTCGGAGTACTATGCGAAGAAGATTCGCGATTTCAAGTACGCCAAGCGGATTGCCTTGCGGAGCTGGAGTGAAGAAAAGGGCATCATCTTGCCGCCCGACTTTTTTGAGCACCCGTCATCTGTGCACTTAGATGTGGATGATATTCCGGACAACAGCTTTGGAGTTGGCCGAGACCGGAGCCGACGGCAGCTGTACCTTATTCTCTATGTATACTCTAGAACCATATCCAACGCGGACTGATACTGACTGTGATCTAGGTGGAACAACTTCTCGAATCGACCGGCCATGTAGTCCATGATTTCATTCAGTTTGCAGACGAGAAGGTGGCAAGCGGGAAGCTCGCACGGAAGCGTCTCATCATCCCGGGCTCCAAGCGCTTGCTGAAATGGCTCATCAGTGCTTTCAAAGCGGATGACTCGCACGAGGAGGACAATTTGGGCGGCGATATAAACGCGCAGAACAATATCCTCCATTTGGGCGAGGCCTACAAGCACCGAAAGGATCCGGAACACCTACCGCCAGAGAATTTAGTCCAAAAAATTGGAGACAAAATCCGACTCATTCCTACGGCGTTACGGTCGCCCGAATCCGCATATGGCTTCCGAGTAGCGTGTGCCACGATGACCGTCGCCGTGGTTTCCTTCCTTCACGATACGCAGAGTTTCTTCGTCAAGCAGCGATTCGTCTGGGCCATGATCATGGTCAACCTGAGCATGTCACCCACATCAGGACAAAGCATATTTGGCTTCGTTCTTCGTATCCTAGGTACTGTGCTGTCGATGGTGCTCAGCCTTTTGGCCTGGTATATTCCAGGACAGAAGACCCCGGGCATTATCGTGTTCCTCTTCATATTCCTATCGTGCGTTTTCTATGTGCCGATCAAGCTATTCCGCTTCCGCATCATTGGGATCATCACCATCATTTCGACTACAATGATTGTTGGCTACGAGCTCGAGGTGCGGAAGATTGGAGAGGCCGTGGCTGCTTCCAACGGGCAGCAGTACTACCCCATCTACCTGCTGGGACCCTACCGACTGGCCACCGTGGCCGCCGGTATTGCCGTGGCCTTCATCTGGACCTTCTTCCCCTATCCGATATCGGAACACTCCGTCCTTCGCCAAAGTCTAGGAGCCTCTCTATACCTCCTGGCCAACTACTACTCCGTTATCCACGAGACAGTATCTGCGCGAATGCGCGGCGACGAAGGCGACCTAGCATTGAAAACCTCCTCGGGACGTCGACTTCTCAAGGCCCGTAACAAGGTCTTCTCAAAACAAATGCTCATGCTCAACAACCTTCGAACATATTCCGGATTCCTAAACTGGGAAGTCGCCATTGGCGGCCGCTTCCCGAAGCGACGGTACAAATCAATCATAACATGCATTGAAAAGTACGTATCCCACCACCCACCCACCCACCCACCCAACCTACAAAGTATACTAACCAACCGCAGCATCGTAAGCTACCTCAGTCTCCTCGGCTACGCCTCCGACACCCTCCTCCAACTCGGCGGCGACGACGAATCAGACTCAGCCTGGCTTCACGACTTCCGCAGACTAGTCGCCAGCGCACGCGTCACCACCCACGAAGTCACCACTCTCCTATGTCTCCTATCCGCAAGCATAACCAATCAGCAGCCATTGCCACCATACCTAAAGGCGCCCCGACCATACAGTTTCTCTAAACGACTCGAGGCCCTGGACAAGGATATCCTGAGTCTGCGACATATCGCCGAACCGGGATTTGCTACGTTCTCGGTACTGCAGATTTCGACGCGATGTATCGTTGGGGATGTGGATCGATTGATGAAGTGAGTGACTGACTGACTGATTTATGGAATGTAGAATGATGCTAACAAGTACTCAGGGACGTGAAAGCCTTGGTAGGCGAGCTGGACTTTTCGTTCCATGCTGTTAGCACGGCACATAGTGTTAAGTCGTCTGCGGAAGTATCGCGCATATCGAGACCCTCGTCGCGGAATAAGATGGATTAATGAGTGAGATGAGATGGGATGATAGATGTAGATGCATGCATAATAGAGAATACGGTTACGTTTCTGGTGTTGGTATAATGTCAACACTAATGAATTGAGTACGCACAATTAATGAGAATAGATAGACAGACAGACATGGAAGCAGGCAAATCTAAATAACAAGATACGTCATTTATTTTTTATAAGGAAAAGGTAAACAACTCAATTGAACAAACCGGATAAATCACTCCTGCGTCGATGCATGCATGCATGGCATTAACCGGTAACCCCGCTTGCTTTCCCTAGGTTCCCAAACTTTCTCTTCCTCATCATCATCAACTACATCCCTCATCCACTCCAAAAGCAACTCACTCAATCCAGTCTAATTCAACCCATACTTACAATAAAGAAGTTTCCTCTCAGTCAATATGCCCACCACTACTTCACCCCCCAAAACAATCCTTATAACTGGTGCCGCGCGGGGCATTGGCCTCGCAACAGCCTATCAATTCAACCGCATATACCCAACCGACAACGTAATCCTAGCAGATCTCTCCGTCTACCAAACCACAGCCGAATATCAGATTCGGACGTCATTCTTGTATCCCGACCATGCGACCTTTCTTCCTGTCGATATCATGGATTGGGGACAGATGACGACGCTGTTTCGGACGATTGTGGAGCGTTACGGTGGGTTGGATGTGGTGGTTGCGAATGCGGGAGTGATGGAGTCGAAACCCGTCTTGGATCTAGAAGATGTGGATGAGGAAACGGGGGAATTGAAGGAGAGTGTAGAGGCGTGGTGGGTCCTGGATGTGAACTTGAAGGGGACGGTCAATAGTATGTGCTGTTGGTTTGATCTTTGGGTTTTGCGTGGGAACTTGCTAGTCGTTGGTCATGAAGCACTTCGATTGGCAATGTATCATATGAAAGAGAATGAACGGCCCGGCTCCGTCGTGCTGGTTACTTCCACCTCGGGGTATTTTGGAGGCACGGGTGTCACGGCTTATGTGGCCTCCAAACATGGGGTTGTGGGGTTGCTCCGGGCATCGCAGGTTACAGCCCAGAAGTATGGCATCCGCGTTAATGCCGTTGCGCCGTTCATGACCCCGACGACCATGACGGCTGGTTTGGCACAGCGCTGGAAGGATGCCGGGCTCGAGACAAACGCCCCCGACCGCGTGGCAGAGGTTATTGAGCAGATTGCATTGGATACGACCCGGAGGGGGTCTTGTACCCTGGTGAGTAGACTCGATAGTCATGCGTCGTGCGTCCAAGGGTTGTGCTAATGGTTGTAGGTTGCTGGAAAATATCTCCGCGAGATGGAATCCACGAGGGCGGAGCTGCTCCCGACGTGGCTGGGCGAAGACGTCGCTGGCTTTATGGGGAAAGCAATGCGATTTATCACGGATATCGGAGGTTATGTGCTCCCCGGTCGAAACTAGAGGGATTTAGTTGTATGTACTCTGTATTCACGTGAAAGATACCCTCTTCGGGCTACCATTGAAGCCATGATTCATGGGATCACTGTGCCGGGGGTAAATCACCGAGGGTCGTGCCCGCATACCAGACATTGCGCGGCGAGCCATTCGTCCCAGTGGCAAAAGTTGAGTACCGTGTTTCCCGGACGGAAGGAATGCGCGATCACCAATGGGGCAGCTCGTGATCATAGTTGCGCTGAGCCAATCGTCCCAGCTGCCCAGTAACCGGCTCTTATCCCCAGCATCCAGCGTCGCAGCCTGCTTTCCCCAGGAACATGTGCCTTACCACGCGGTCTGTGCTCTGCCCCTTGCGCTGGGAACTCACCACTTGCTTTCTAGATGATGTAGTGGTTCCCCCCTTCCAAGTTCCACGATGACTCTTAACATTGTCTGGTGTCTTATTTGACCGGCGTATCCCTCCACGTGTCATGTTCAAACTGTTTCAGTAGATGAACCTGCCCACAAGAGGTCCTCATCGTTGTTCCTTATGGGAGCTGAATATATTGAATTCAGCCATGCGAAGAATGGCCTCGAGTCGCACCCATACAACTACAGGAGCTCTCAGAATCTGGTCGAGGTGGCCGATGCAGAACGTTTGCGCCACAATGCCGCGGCGGATCTAAGGACAACGGAATGGAAACCCGGTGTTAAAGAATGGCTTGTTTTAACCTGTGTCTCTCTGCTGATGACAATGGATGCATTCAACGCGACAGTAGTCCTTCCCCTGGTAACAGTATGTATGTCCGGTGCTTCCCTATATAAGCGGCTGATCACCTGAGATGGGTAGAATCTATCAACCACATCTGAACAGCCACTTGGAAGCGCGCTATGGATCGAGGCAACGTATTTCCTCGCCAGTGCCGCAAGCCAGTCCTTTTCTGCCATGCTCGCTGCGCTTTTTGGGGTAGGACCAATTGGTCTCGGTGCTGCTGTACTGGCTACAGTGGGAACTGGTGTCTGTAGCGGCTCCATGAACTTAGCTTGTCTAGTCCCCGGGCGGTTCATTCAAGGCATGGGATGTGGGGGGGTACTGGCAACTTCACTCTTGATGATAGATGAAGTCATCCCATGCCCGCATCAAGCCCGATTTACCGGATATATTTTCCAGGCGCGGGTGGCCGGTGCCACGGTTGGTCTTATATTTGGCGGAGTGCTCATTGACCATGCTGTATGGGCCTTCTATATCAGCTTCGTCTTCTGTGCACTGGGATTGCTGGTCATTCCGTTCGCAGTTGATCTGCGAAGCTACAAACACGCGCCAAAATACAAGACGTGCGAGCTTGATTGGCAAGGTGCTGCTTTGACCTTCATGGGCATAGGATGCCTCCTTATAGGAATCAACTGGGGAGGGACATTGTATGATTGGAGTAATTGGCACGTACTGGTGCTTCTTGGTGCAGGAGGAGCCTCTATGCTGGTTCTGGTACTCTATGAGGTCTTTTGGGCTGTGCACCCGATATTTTCTTCGATAGTATTCAACAGCATTGCGAGGACCATGTTATATCTGGGTAGCTTGCTGCATGGATTCTTGGTGAGTCAATCACCATTTGTCCGAACTAGATTCACTGACCTGGCGCAGATTTCCTGCCATATTTTGAATTGTTCCTTGTACTTGAAATTAGTTAAAGACCTGTCTTCGGCGCTCGAAGGCCTCAGCCTGGTGACTATTGCCAGCCCGGCCTTATTACTGCTCATTCTGATCGAAAATGTGCGACTGCTGCGGAGCCCCAGCCTGCCACCTTGGATGATCCGAGCCGGGTGGATGTGCAGTACTCTGGCGACTGGATTCTTCATAATTCTGGACCCTGCCACCCCACACCAAATATGGGTATTCATATTCCTCGGCATGGGAGTTGGCCACTCTCTGCTTATATCGGGGTACCACAAAAGCATGCATAGCATAACTAGCAACCGCAAATCAAGCTCAGGAGAGTCATCAGGGCGAGATAGTGGTCACTCGTCATCTTGTATCCTCATGTATTCGGTTCTGCGCACATGGGGCATGTGCATTGCTGTTCCTGTCAGCGGGGCCATCGTATTCAATCGAATGCTTTGGGAAGTCAAAGAAGGGGGTGCGAATTCAGATACACAAACGGGTGATACCTCGCTGTCTGAGCAGGGTAGGGTTCAGAAGATGATGCTTGTCCATGGGTTTCATATCCTGTGGCGAGTTATGGTGGGTGTATCTGCTCTGGGGGGTCTAAGCTCGCTGTTTGTGCGATAGCGTTGTATATCAGAAAGCTTTGAGATAATAAGAAGATTATTTTGCATGTGCCATATTGAAGGAAGAAGTAAAGACACCGAAGGACGAGAGAAAGTCGAGCGATGGTGGGGTAGACCCGACTAGGAAGGAGCGGACCTCCCTCGACTTTTCTCCTTCGAGATTCTCCTTCTACATTCAGCCTTCAGCCTTCAGCAAACTCAAGTCAATGATGAAAGGAGGAACAAGTTCATTCCAAGCAAGCTAACATAACAATAAGAGAAGCTGAATCTCTCACAGATAGTGAGACAGACCAAACTCCTTGACACATCAAACAGAAAATAGCATCATCACAGATAATCGTCATCTCCGACACCAATACATCAAAAGATATTCCCACATGAAGAAACCACATAACAGTTCATACAATACATGACACATATCTCAATGATCCCTCATTCCTCCATCACCATCTTACCCCATTTCTTCTTCACCGGATGGGGAGTCGGCACCCTCTTCAATGGACTGCCGAAGTGCACATCGTCATCGATACACACAAATTCGATCATATCGCCTTCAATAGCATGAACGAGAGACATGAGCTCAACATTGTTGCCTTTGGTGGTATTGACCAGAACGGGTTCGTTGCTTTTGTTCGCAGTATCTTGCTTGTTGGAGGTTGTCTTGGACTTGGGAATGATGACCTTGAGCAGGCTGTTGAAGCTGACCTTCTTGGCCATGGCGGATTCGGTGGTTAGTTGAATGAGTTGGATGGATGTGTGTGATGTATGTGACGTGTGTTTGGGAGGATTCGTAGTTCGATCAAAGAGATTTCAAAGTGTGTTTGCAAAGAGTAACTAAGGCAGCTAGAATGGTGTGTTCGCAAGAGCAAGTAGAGGACTGAAAGCAGATGAATGAGGGTTGGAAGAAAGAAAGAAGAGGAGGAGCGAGGAAGGGGAGAGGGAGACCTTTTATAGTCCGCCGGTGACTCTACGATCTATATCACACATACCTCATCTAGATGATCTCAGCCCTCTCATCCAATCCTCGAGAGTCTTCCCCTGTCCCGTTTCATGGAACGGGGTGGCTCAGCCGCGCCAAAATAGACGCAAACTGTAATGCTGACAACAGTATACCCCTGCCTACAAGTATACACTGCTCCCATTCGAGTTAGCCAGAACTTTGGCTTGACTCAACACCTTCGATTGCAACACGATGACCTCGAGAGCAGTGAGCACTTGGACTCCTACTGCTCACAACGACGTATTGTCACTTTCCGTAAGTGGCTCAGGGATGAGTCAACGAGTGATGCTCGTAGTGATGAGATAATGGAGTCGCGAGGACGAGGGAGTCGCAGCGGGTGAACAAGGCAACTGGAGGAGAGGGATCCATGGATGGTGAAATGATCATGTACTAGTCTCGCTTGCTCATTATGGACGGAAAGTTCTCGGTGTTCCGGATCCGAAGCCTTCAGGCAGATTTGCTGTACGGTCTATGGCTGATCATGTCATGCTGTCGATACTCCCCCGCCGTAGAGTCCATTGCAAGGCTAATATGATGTTGGTGGCGCTGGACCCGAAAGAAGATGTTGTTGGAACCTATTCACCTTGGAATTGTTCCACTAACCTGAGAGGTATCTCTTTTGATGAGGTGGAGCTGACTAGATGACCTAATTAGAGGGGATAGCGTATTAAGAGATTTTTTGTGGTTACGAACAGGATTGTTGAGATGGTACTGCTCATATTACGGGATGGAAAAGTAATTTGGCTATGATGAGGTTATTTTCTGCATAGATCGACCAAGATCGGAGGGCCCTTTAGGAGTGGCTGCCAAATTTAGGTTTCTACTCCGTACTTCGGACTCGATCCGGAACCGAAAGTTTATTCCACGAGGATCACCACCTTATCTGATTTTCTTTCTACTTTCTATTGCTTGTCCTTTTTGCAAGGAATCTACAGTAAAATATTAAGCCAGGACAATTAATGTCATTCGGAATCCGGTCAAAGTTCAACCAGACCAAAGTAGGGTCGTGAACACTCCCCAATTATTATAGAAGTAGATACACGAAGAATAGCACTTCCTCAATCACCACGTCCCCTGATTACATCCACTGTTCAATGAGTCAACTCATTTACAGGTTACCCTGACCAGCGTTGGCAACAACGCTGGAGGCAACAGAGGTGTAAGCCGAAGCGGAGGCAATGTTCTTGCCCTCGAAGTCGGAGAGGAAAGAGGTGTTGTCCTCGCTGAAGGTACCGGAGGAGCCGAAGCCGTTGACGACACAGTCACGGCCGAGGTAGGTGGAGCAAGCCTCACCAGCGGTGGCGGAGGGGACAGTGAAGGCCTCACCCTCGTAGGTCTCAAGGACGACATCGACGTTCTGGAAAACGTTGCCCTCAGCCAGGACGTAGCCACCCTCACCGATCTCGAAAGCGTGGCCGGAGTTGTCGTACCAGTAGTTGTTGACGGCGTGGAGGAGGGTGTTGGTCTGGATCTTGGGGGAACGACCGGAGGTGTGGTAGATGTAGTTGCCCTTCATGGTGACCAAGTCGGAGTCACCGTCGAGGTAGATGGCCCAGTAGTGGTAACCATCGCAGGTGGCGGACCAGTCGGAGAGACCGTCGATGTAGTTGTTGGAGAGGGTGACGCGGTTGTCGGCGCTGGTGCCGAGGACGTAGTGCTGGCGACCGATACGAGCAGTCTATCACTTGTTAGTTGACGATCCCCAAGGCAAGATAGATGTAGAATCGAAGAGGATGGAGGCATACAGTAACGTGGTCAATCCAGACCAAGTCGCAGTCATCAAGAGTGATAGCGTCACCACCCCAGACGTACTTGGCGTTGATGTCGGTGACGGCAATGTTCCTGGGGTTGTTAGATGGGGGGTTTTTTGAATTAGAAAGGGGATGACATACTGGATGATGATGTTCTCGGCACCGCTGACGATACGGAGACCCTTACCCTTGATGGCACCCGAGGAGCCCTCACCGATGAGGGACTTGTTGGAGCCGACGGTGATACCGAGGGTACCAGCGTTGTAGCTGCGAGGATTAGAGACAGGCCAAAAGATGAGCCACTGGATGGGAAACCTACTATTCAACGGAGACAGAAGGAGCATCGGGCTCGTAGTTCTCGCACCAGTCATCCTGGTCGATGGCGACCTGGCAAGCAGAGGCGGTACCCCAGGGAGCGCAACCAGTGCCAGTGGTGGTACCCTCGCTGTCGGTGAAGTCGAAGGTCTTGGTCAGGACGATGACACGGGCCTCGTCATCACCGAGGTAGGAGACCAGCTCATCGATGGTGTCGGGGTAGACGGGGGTGGCACTACCACCACCGGTGACGCCCTTGGCGAAACCCTCAGCAGAGCCGGACACGCCGACGGCAGCGGCGGAACCGGCGAAGACAGCGGCAGCAGCGCTGAAGATAGTAGCGTACTTCATGGTGAAGCGTGTAGAACCAGCTATGAGAAAAGAAAGACTAGAGTGAAGGTATAGAGATAGAGGGAAAAGAAAAAGAAGGAATGGGTTGATAGAGAGAAGGATTGATTTCGGATGGGCTTGGGGGTTTATATAGGGAGAGACCTGACTCGACAGGTCGATGGCGGCATCCTAAGATTCTGATAGAGCTTCCCTTCTGGCTCAGGCCCATGCCGGTAAAATTGGACGGGGTGATGGGTGTGAAACGGCCAAGTGCATCTTTGATTAGCAGCCAAGGGCTCTCGAGCAGGACCGTTGATTCCTCTCAGCCAGACCACCGCGCTAAAGTCGGTACTGGCCGAGGAGATGGAATGAGGGGATCCATCACACCGGACCATGGGTGAAATGATAGACATCGATGATAACCAAGATGGGAAGGGGAGGAGAAGCAGTAGCCACATGGTTATCCATCACGACGAGTACGCTGGCCCCTGTTGATGGACAGTGAATACGACGCTCCACCGGTCTGCTGAATCATCGAAGGCCATAGGTGGACCTTGGAGCGATTCGGGGGATTTACGGCGTTTCATGATGTCCGCGCCGGCGCACTTAGTCTCGGTAGTCTAAAGTAGTCCATCCACTCGGGCTGGTGGAGACTGGGCCCGAATTTCTGTAAAGAAGCAATTCCTCCGTCTTGGCGGAGTCTTTGTGGCAATGATAGTCGGGAAAATACCACATTCGACCATCTGGGTGTGATAGATAGAGGGCGATGCGGATGGGAGGAAGGCTGGACGTGCTCGACAGTTAGGGCCGTTCGTCCAGGGTGAAGAACAAGAGGGGGAAGGGGGGAGAGTAGTTTCTGCATCACCATTGCAACCACCTTTCCACTCCCTCCAGGCAGAACTTTTCTTTTCTTCCCCTTCACTGAGACTGTGTTTGTTTCGATTATTAATGGATCCAGATACCTCCCCACGCTGCGGTTTGTATTCGGGTGGGATTAGTGTCGAATGGGAGCAGCTGGAAAAGCCGCGAAAACTAAAAGAAGAAAGGAAAAAAAAAAAAAAAACGATTTTGGCAAGGCGCCAGGAACGCCGCCCAAAGCGGTCCACAGTGGGCCGTCGTCGGAAGTTCGGCGATATCAAGAAAATCCATCGGAGCTCTTTCGAGTTCAGCACACGATCCTAGCCATCCCTATTTAGAAACAGCCGCGATGACTGATGGTTGGGTCATCCGGTCTGAGCGGGTGACTGGTCGTGATCTGATAGAAAATTCTCGGACTTCCGTAGACATCTTCAATCGTGCCGTGTTCGTATCATTCATCAGAGAGAGATGAGGTGACGTTGCCCCCTGTCCACCATTCCTCCGGTATGCACACTACGACTGAGACATTCCCGTTAAGCTTGGCTTCGGCGGTGTCTTGGCTCATCAAGCTTCGAAGCTGTAGAAGGAGCTTATTCTTCCCGAAAGAAGGTACCTAATCAGACAACATGGGGAGGCCGTTATATTAACCCCGTCCATGGGTGGCCAGTCAAGCCCGTCTCGGCGTCTAGACTCCCATGAGCCACCGTTTGGTGCCACTTCTCATTCGATGAGGTCCATATCATCGGCGAGCTAGAGCTACGCCAATGTTATCAGACTCTTGGTTGACAGCCTGTCGATAGGGGGGGGGGTAGATTCTTGTTTATTTTCCCCGATATCACTTAACCAGAATCAGAAACTTGCCCGACTCCTGCCGTGTTTAATTCCCATGGACTGCCTCGATCATGGATATAGGTTCCGCATTAAGTGTGGCGTCTTTTCGCATTGGCTGATTCTGGGGCTGAGTGGTAAACCCCGCTTTTTGCAGCTTCTCGAGCTGACAAGTGAAAGTACCACCAGCATAGTGAGATGTTACAGACAGGTGCGTTGGTGGAAAAAATAATTGATCAAGGGGTTACGCGGAAGCACCGGAAGAGACTGGCCTGGTGGTAGCCTGGCCATCACTGTAATTTCATATCAAATTTTCACAGCAGTGGTCCTTTTACTCGGAGGCATATCATGGGACACCTTTCAAATGAAGGAGTCGATACAAGCCGTGTTGGGATGCATTGATTGAGTTCATTATGCAGAGGTCACCAGTAAAGCCAAAGTCGGAGATAGATATCCGCATGGCGGGTGAGGATTCATGCAGGAGTGATATAGATTCGTCATCCTCATGCCGCACCGGCATTTCTTGCATGACCCAAGGACCACCGGTGCAGACTACTGCAGTGTGATCAAGAGCGGGTTATGCATATTTCCACCATCAAGCGCGAAGGACGCAGGCTTGTGTTGCTAAACACTCGGATTCTTCCTCTTCGGGCGGAGAACGGTGCAGGGGCCAAGACAGGAATAGCGTGGGTGCCTTCCTGCTGACTTGGCTGCCTTACAATTTGTGGCCTTGAGGCCTTGAGGCCTTGGGGCCTGATTGCCTAAGTGCCTGATAATTGGAGCCTTGATGCCTTTCTGCCTCGGGCATCAATGTGTCCTTTATGCCTGATATTCCAGGCCTCAATATTCTGCCTCCTAGCCTGAGGCATGAACAAGGACTGTCGGAACGGCAAATGATTTCGGCTCCATTTCCCCTTTGGGACATTGCCTGTTGGCCGAGCATGCTCGAATCACACGGACGTAAGAAAGGCCGGTGGACCTCAATGGGTCTGTAAAGAATACAATTCCACTGTTTCTAGCCCAGCCTATGCTGTTTGGCCACTGTCTATGCCGATTGCTTCTGATTCAGGGTCGCTGGGTGGAATTATATTCAATCCAGTGCGTCGCCGTGTATCCCCGACGCTTGCAATTAGCCTTTGCCTGATTGGCCGACGGGTGCTGAGTCAGCCAATTGCCGGCCGCCAGACCCGAGGTTACCTTGAGCTGCCAAAGGCGACAAAACATCGCCAGAACCGATCGACTTCAACTTCCTCGTGCCTCCCTTGGTCCTCGTTTGTCGTTGCCGCTGGCTGGCTGCTCTTCTCCAGGCCTCTCTCCTCTCATCCCCCCGCAATCGTCGACGCTCCTTCGTCTCATTGACCTTTCCATACTGCGCGTATCCCATTTTTCGCCAACTCTCCCATCTCTCGCCCCCGATCGACCTTGATCTTCCTTTCAACCGCCCATCATGTCTGCCCTTCGCACGACCTCGCGCCTGTTCGCTTCCTCGAAGCCGCTGTTTCGCCCAGCCGCCTTTGCTCGCTCCTATGCGACTGTTGACGCCCTCTCCCAGGTGAGCGCAAGCGGCCACGCGAGCAGCAAGACCATCCCCGAATCTAAGACTTCGAATGTTCAGGATCCCACCCCCTCCGACCAACCCCGGACCAAGACCTTCCATGTCTACCGCTGGAACCCCGATCAGCCCACCGAGAAGCCTAAGATGCAGTCTTACTCGCTGGACCTGAACAAGACCGGCCCCATGATGCTGGATGCGCTGATCCGCATCAAGAACGAGATGGACCCCACCCTGACTTTCCGGAGAAGTTGCAGAGAGGGTATCTGCGGTAGCTGTGCGATGAACATCGATGGTGTCAACACCCTGGCCTGCTTGTGTATGTTGTCCTGGACTGCCCACTGCCATGTCCCGGCTCGGTGGCGCTGACCCTCCCTGTACAGGCCGCATCCCCACCGACACCACCAAGGAGTCTCGCATCTACCCCCTGCCTCACACCTACGTCGTCAAGGATTTGGTTCCCGATTTGACCTACTTCTACAAGCAATACAAGTCGATCAAGCCCTACCTGCAGCGCGAGACCAAGACCGAGGATGTAAGTATCCCCCCCCCAACCTGTGGCGCGATGCCGGGTGTCTGACACTGTCTGCAGGGTCTTGAGTACCGCCAGAGCCCCGAGGAGCGTAAGAAGCTGGACGGTCTCTACGAGTGCATTCTGTGCGCCTGCTGCTCGACCTCCTGCCCCTCGTACTGGTGGAACAGCGAGGAGTACCTGGGACCCGCCATCCTGCTCCAGTCCTACCGTTGGTTGGCCGATTCCCGTGACGAGAAGACCGCCGAGCGCAAGGCCGCCCTGGACAACAGCATGAGCGTGTACCGTTGCCACACCATTCTCAACTGCTCGCGGACCTGCCCCAAGGGTCTGAACCCCGCCCGCGCCATCGCCGAGATCAAGAAGATGATGGCTTCCCACTAGAGAAATGACACGAGATAAAAGAAAAGAACTGCTTTCTCTTCCTGCATTATGTCTTGTGTGATCGGTTTTCCCCCCACCCCCATTCTTCCTCTTCCCTTTTTCTGGTTATTTCGTTGTGTCCGAGCTTTATTCCCTCCGTCTCCGAGGTCTTTCATGTTGGATGTTTCAATAGGTGTAAATTGTGAATGTGATTTATAGCCATGGCGGTCAGCCAGCCATCAATCGAGGTATATACTATAACTATATCTTAATGCTGTTGCGAGGTACTAGGTATGGGGTAGATTTGAAATCCCTGCGGGGTGATTCGGCTAGATCTGACTCCAGCGGAGAGTGGAACGCACAACAAACCCAACACAACCGTCAGATACCCTCGGATTTTTCGCAAACCTGCACCTACCTACCTTCCCGGTTCTTCCTGCGAAGTATCTCACTCGCAACTGTATGTTTCCCAACTCGCTTATGCCGGTAAATCTATACCAGACTTCTTGTCTGCACACATAGTAGTACTCGTATATTGTAAATTGAAGATTTCCCCGCGGGTCAGGGGATTCAAATAAGTGGATCTTCACTTCACCCTGCCTATCTTGCCTTTGTACGCTTTGAAGTCATCGTCGAATCGCGTAGAGCTTGATTGGGAAATGTACAATGTTGTTGGTTTTATTATTTAAATGAGTTCATAACGGAACTTTGGGTTGGGATTTCTAATGGTCTAATCGTTGTGTCTACGATAAGGATTATGGTGTCGATATATATATCCGCTTCCGCACTGTTCTTTGATTTCGTTTGATAAATCCGAATCAGATTGAATTGATTGCGGGAATAAAAGAACTTCTGATAGTTCTCGATAGCTAGGGCTGAGAAGCGTAGTATCTTTCTGCAATATGACGTCCTATATGCAAGTGATGCAGCTATCAATATTCTTGGCTATGTCTAGATACCCCTAGCATAATTCTCCAAGTAATTCGCCGTAGCCTCATCTATCAAAGTAGGATATCAGATGACTGATGCGACTTAACACTAGGGAGGAACGATTGACTTACATCTGTTGACGCCATAATCTCGGTTCAGCTCGACATATGCTGGTGGATGCTGCGGTAGAAAACACACGTGGTGGTTAGCTTTGCATGGACTATCTCATTCTAACATAGTGTGCTTACCGTGGAGTCCGCCCCGTCAGCCAGCCACTGTTGGATGATCTGTGCATCCTCGGCCGTGTGTTTCCACGTACCAGCGAGGATATTGATAGCATCCCCGAATCGGATCAAGGATTCTTCTCCCATGTCTTCAAGCTCGGCTCGTGTGCGTCGGATAATCTCCAATTCAGCTTCCAACGCATGCTTCTCTCGTGTGCGGTTGTGAATCTTGGTTTCGGTTGCTGGGATAGACAGACGCGTTAGTACTATAGTAGTATTCATGGAAAGGAAAAGATGGTTACCTATGAGGGCTCCAGTAAGGCCAACGATGGCGAGAAATGAGACACCAGCAAGGATAATACCGCCGATCTAATATGAATGAATACAGTAATCAGCATATCGTTTCGACCACGAAGCTGCATGCAATCTTCGAGTATCATACCTTCATGTATATTCCAACCTTTGGGAAAAATTTCCCCACATCTTGAATTAGATCACCAACGTCATAAAGTATTTCGAAAACTTGCAGAGAAGTTGTGAGAGAATCCAATCTTTTGTGGAGACTTTGCAGTTCCTGCTCAAGTGCTTGGATTTGATCGGTAATCTCTCCCTCTCTGTCCTTTGCCCAGGTGGAGAAGGTAGCCACAAATGCAGCGAACTCGTCCCTCAAAGTGTAGAATCGATTTTTGATCCCAGTAGCACTTTCTTCAAAACCAGCGGCTCTCTATAGAGAATAGGTCAGACATCTATGCGAGGAGACGGGACCTAAGAAGGATATTTATTGTACTTACAGTGATAAACGACTGAATAAGAGATCTCCGAATGTCGATAGGAATGCTGTTATCAGCGCAGAACTTAACGACCGTGGCATCAAAGTCTTCACGCAACACATTAGAAACCAAAACAAGAATGAATAAATCAACCAAACATCAAACACGTACTTTGAGCAGAAGCGCTGATGGAAGCTGCCAGATCCCTGCTATCGGAGAGAGTTCGCAGGTATGACTGGGAGTGCAATTCTTGTCAGCAAAGCATTTCTCAATTGCCAAATAAGAATCAACCCAAGAATAAGAAAACACAACAGTCGCACAAACCTGCTGTAGGCGAATAATTTCCGGCTGGAATCCGGAATGGTGAATGTGGTCAATCTGCGCTACTTTCAAATGCAGCTGATGGAAGATATCCGCGATTTCTTTGGTCGCCTGCGTGGCTTCACTCCCTGCTTCTTGCAAACGAGTCTTCCCTCCCTCCGAGCAATAGGTTTGACCGCAGCCGATGCTGAAGTCCCTCTTCTGCTGTTCAGTTTCGAGCGGCCAGTGGTCATCGGCGCCATCCACCAGGATGTCCAGCTCCTCTTCGGAGAGGTGCTGGCTGGCTTCGATGACCTTTTCTGGGGTTGGGTTGTCCCCAATTAGGTCTTCGAGCTTTTTCGCAATATCATCGTATGAAGGAGGGGAACTGCCGGGAGTATAAGCAGGTGGGATTTCGGTCATGATTGGTCTTTTTATTTTCAGAAGAAGCTAAAAGAGAGAGAGAGAGAGAGAGGCTGTGCCTGAGTCGCAATCTTCAACAATGCCAGTGGCCAGAAAAAAGAGAAATGTTCGCATAACCGACTGATATGATTATGCTGGACCATCTCCATCGGCATCCCCGTTTCTCGACCCCTCCATTGACGCATGTCGTACAGGAAATGAGCTGGTCTTGCCCCGCATGTGGCGAGGTGAGTTGCAAAGAAGAGGGGAAATCCCGCAGCTGCAGGAAGGAACAAGGATGTGCGCCCCGTGAAATGCACCCGCGGACAAGTCCGACGTCCCCGAAACATTCTTATTTACCAGTCGCATCTGGCTACCAGAGCTGAGAAAAACCATCAATCACTTGGAATTTCTTGCCACTTGAGTTCAGTTGAATCTACTACCACCACCCTCCGAGAAAATATGCCTGCTGAAGCCAATGCACCCGCACCAGCCGACATGCTGGCCGCGTTCCACCAGCATCTCAAATCGCGCAGTGCTACAGGAAAACCCCCCCGGTATTCCGTGCTGCTCAGGTCACCAAAGGTGGATCTCTTGCTCCGCTCACGTCTGGCATACGTTGTCAATGGCTCGCCGGCGTGGAAGACCGACCTCCTCCGAGACCCTCAGACTGCAGCTGAGGAAGCTGTACACGCCATTGAGATGAATATTGCCATCTTTGGTGTGACCATTATTCTATTTGTTTGGAGTGACGTCCTTAATGGCACCAATTATGCAGCTGCTTTGGATCCCATCGCGGAGGTTTGTGCACTCTTCTTTGATCGATGACGAATACTCAAACTAATGGCATTCCCCACCCAGGAAGTGTTCGAGATTCTATTCGATAGCACCGACGTCGCTTTCAAGATTGCGAAATACGGAGAAGGTACGCAACCAACCCTTCAAGACCATAAGCATCATGTTCTAGTCTTGACTATTCTCAGGTTTCGCCGACGAAATCGCCACTTTCTCGGCCAATACCAACCTCACCGCAGCACAACGCACCGCCAAAATCCAGGGCTATCTCACCGTAAGCCATCTGAGTGCACATCGATATAGGGCAAAGCACTGATCCCATTCAATGTCTTAGGACGTCCGAGCGCACGAAAATGACGCGCGAACCATGTTAACTCGTCTCACCACCAAGAGCGATAACTTCGTGGCCGCCTGGGTGGCAGTTGGCCAAGAGAGCTCCAGAAACGTCGGACAGGATCTTCTCGATGCCGAAGATCTACGTATTGAATTTGTCGCAAACGTGGGCATCCAGGCCCGTACCTGGAACACGACGGTGGTGGATTCCCGGATGATTGAATCCATGTTGCAAATGGCAATTACTATGGTGGTAAGTAATTCCAACCTCATGTACCTCAGCTAGCCAGCTAGTCTATGATTCGAGTCTGACGTGCTTGCAAGGAATATCCCTCATTCATGCAAACTAGCCTTGATCGGGCAGTGGAACACTGTGAGAACTATTCAACTCGTCATAGCATTCTTCACGCAAAGCTAACCCTACTGAAACCAACCAGACACAGCGAACGCGTTGCATATGAGAGCCTTTGCAGACAAGTTGACAGAATGGTTGGACGAGAATGAAATCGACAGAGATATTCTAGACTCCTAAGCAAGCACATGCCGGGCGCGCTAACAGATGCAGCTCGCAGCTCCATCTCTTTCAGCTTTAGGAATTAGCGTCGCAGTGCCTATGGAGATCAGCCAGCCACATACGTCATGTTAATTTATCACTTGGTTATTTTCGTAACATGGAGAAGAGGGGTATCAGCTAAATTGAGCAGCACTTGCACAGCAGAAACGTGTAACATCATCCTCTTAGCTGTAATGCATCCCAAACAACCACAGCTGAATAGATGCGGGGAATGCAGTAGATAAGTCGTAGCCATTAATGTCTAGACCACAGACATCACTATAAGCAAACCCACAAAAGTAATTCTGATTGGACAATGGTGTTTGAATGCCGGGAATGTGCAGGGGAATGATTGGTGGGATGATATAGTGCATCCAGCCCCATGCATAGACTAAACCCTCCGAGCGAGCTCAGCGTGGCGAATATCTGACCATGCAGATGCAGATCCATAACGCATGAATGGTATCATTATTGCACTTGCATGAACAGGGGGTTTCCCCTCTTCATCTGAAGTGGAGATGGCCGAGTACGTGAGTGAGGGGTTGGACTTTCCCAGACACGTAGATCCGAATCTATCTCTATATAACATGATCTCAAACCTCGAGTAAAGGACATACCCAACAGCAGAATCATCTCTTGGCAATTCTTCTATCCTCAAGTTGTTGAACACCAACCACCATGGCAACCATCGCTTCTGAGCCCATCGACCCTCCCTCTCTCAACCCCAAGTCATCCTCCCCTACCTACGATGAAGTCGCAGCAAAGGTTGAGCGTCTGGTGGGTAGCGATCCGACGCCTCGGAAATATGTCGATGTCGTGGAGCATCTCACAGCCGAGGAGGTCGATATCTTGATGACTGGCGTCGACAAGATCAAGCCTATCGCGGACGAGGAAGAGGCAGCGGCCTATACGACGGGAGCAGCCAAGACGCTGGTCTCTGATGAGTGTATTGAATACCTCCGGCTGGCGTCCAATGCGGCGGTGGATGCGGCGAACGAGATCGAAAGGGTATTTGTGGATTTGCAGTTGAAGATTGCGCAGATTGATATTATTCATCACTCCGGTTTTCAGGACGAGCTTATTGAGCATGAGAGGGTTAGTTGGGGAAGACCCACGTACTAGATTGTTGGTTATACTGAGGTTGTTTAGCTGTATCGCCGCATTCTTGCCGAGAGCAGGGATCTGGCAACTGATCTCGCTGTTCATGGCGATCGTAAGAAAGTCAGCATCCGATACTTTATACGTCTGTGCTAACGAGATCACTCCCACGTTAGGTTTCGATCTCCTGATAATTGAGTTCTGCAGGGATCTGACTATTCCAATCGACGTGCGCAAAACCATCATCAATGGCTTCATTTCTGTACGTCACTCTTCGACGTCTATTCTATGATGCACAACTGATCGCTCTCATGACCAGGACATGGAAAAAGCCCAAAAGGACGCACGGGAGGTAGAGGACCGATTTGACGAGTTAAGAATCAGCTTCACCTCTTTCGTCGCGAAATTTTCTTCCTGGGCCAAGGAAAGAGAGACCGAGTTGAATGAGGAGATGAAGCAAGTGCTTGAGGAGCTCGAGGACCTGAACGAACAACTACAGTCCCACGTCAATGGACTTCTCTTGACCGCAGGTGTTGTAGGGGTTTCAACGGTTGTGTTCGGCCTGGCATTTGCCTTTGGGCCTATTGGCTTTTTCATCGGGGTAAGTCTACCATCATGATTCATTGCATGCCCAACTGACCATCTGTACTAGATCGGTGGCTGGATCGCGACCGGTGTGGCTGGCGCCGCTGCTACCGCGGCGCTTTTGGTGAAGAAAACCCGTCAGTATTTACCCACATCATGTGAAAACACATCGAAACTGACGGCATCCAGGTGTTGAGAGGCAAATCCGTGACAAGGAAGCGCAACGGGACCGACTGGAGCAGGAGTTGGAAGATATCCAACAGGCACGCACCAGGCTGGTCGATCTCGGCCACCACCGGCTAGATCTTTTCCGTGACAATGTCAACGTGTTGAGGTCCATCTGGACGACTGTGGCCGTGGATGCCCGGATCATTGCTAGGTGGCTGGAGGGGTCCCTGGATATGGTGGTAAGTAAGGAATCTGTGATTGATTTTGCCCGATGCTGAATTCTCTGTTAGATCTGGCCGCCAGCAATGGAGTCTTCCCTGGTAGAAGGGAACTCGGTTTGTAAGTGGTGTTCTCTTTGATTATTTGAAGAGTGAAGCTGACATTGAGTAGACAAAACCATGGCTGGATATCTTAAGGATTATGCCAGAGGCATTTCCAGCTGATCTTGCAACGGAGAGCCCAGTGATTTGGAATTTGGCAGACTGAAAGTCGGGAATGGACTGGAGATCGCAGAGTATTTGTTTCTGAAGAAGGTAGATGGCCAGTGAGATGGGTTACAAAGAAGCGAGAGGATCAGGTGATGCCCATTCACCAATAATTTCCCAATGTAGCAGGAGCGCCTACTAGCAAACAAGTACACGAGAAAACAGCATGTCGTTGACATCCATCCACCCCTACGAAGTATAAAACAATTAAATCTCTACCAAAGAAACAAAAATCAAGGATACCTCCCCCCCGACCCCAACAAATCAATACACCCCTCCACAGCAATCTGCATCCTCTCCGTCGCCTCCTCAATCAACCCCGTCATCCCCTTCCCCTTCCCTTCCGTAACAACCCTCACCCACTCATTATTCAACACCTTATTAATATTCACCTTACTCACCCCGGCCTCAATACACCTCCCAAAAATCTCCCTATCAAACGGATCCGCCCCATGCAACACCAACCTGACCCTCCCCCCAACCCTCTCCCTAATCCCCTCCAACCGCTCATACTCCAACCTCACCCCCCTGGGCCCATAACTCCCATGCACGTTCCCAAACGCCGGCGCCAACCAATCAATCCCGGTATCCACAAACTCCTCACTCTCCTCCGGCGTCGTTAACACACCCTCCAAATCAACCGTATCTTCAATCCCGTCCTCCCCGCCTTCAATCCTCCCCGGTTCGGCCTCCGTCGCAATGCCCCGCTCATTGCAATACAATACAAGTTCCCGGGTTAACGCGAGGTTCTCGGCCTTCTCGTAATGGGACATGTCGATCATGATGCTGTCGAACCCGGGGGTGATGTTCGCTGCTTGTCGGATGATTTCGGGTGTTTGGGCGTGGTCCAGGTGTACGGTTATGGGGACGCTGGCGTTGCGGGCGGCTTCGGCGGCGGCGTGCACGAGGATGCCTGATGCGTAGTGGATGGCCCATGGGAAGAGGAGGATCATGGCGGGTGAGCGGAGTTTCTCGGCTGCGCGGACGGTCGCGAGGATGCCTTCCAGGTTGTAGCAGCACATTGCGGGCACGCCGTATTTGTTTTCGTAGGCGTGGTTGAGAATGGGGATGGCGCGGTTGGTTTGGAGGGGCATTTTGGTGGTGTGGCTGTGGTGGTGTGAGGAGGAGTGGAAGATGGGAGCGATTGGTTTTGGAAGTGGGATTGATGTGAGTGAGTGGTTTGGTGAGGGAGGTAGTTATGCGGTCTTATAGTTGTTATATGGATGGTGGACGAGGGATGACTGACTCCACCGGACTGCACCCGGAGTTACTCCGATACATATGAGATCATCGCTTAAGATGAATTTCCTGATACAGAATTGCGTGGACTAGATAGTCTACGGATATACACCGATCACGCTGGTACTCCCCTCTCGTCCGAGTCCCTTCCCCTTCGCCATCAATAAGACGCTCAGCGCTGCATTGCCCAGGTGGACCGGACAGTGCAGATCCCGCGCTTTCTGCACCACCCTTTCCAACCGACTCACTACCTCGTCTATAGTTTCTGTCCCGGCAGGCGCCTGCGCCCCGATTTTCCCCTCGATCATTTCCAATCCTCTTGTGACAAATACCTTGCTTCCGCCTGCTGCGTCACTGACCAATTCAAAGAATTGTGCCATATCGACGCCCAGTGAGCGCGCAAAGGCGATGGCCTCTGCAGCCGCGACAAGGTTGACGCCCTGCATCAGGTCGAGTACCAATTGCGTTGCAGTTTCGGGATCCCCCTTTGCTGAAGAAGTATCGACGTCTTTGATCGGGTGCGGGTAATACTGGCGGACCATGGCAGAGTCGTCCTTGGGGCCGTAGCCCTGCAGGAGAGCAGAGAGATAGATCTGCTCTGCCGTGGCACAGAGCGGAATAGGAAAGTGGCTCTGACGGGCTGATGTAGTGATGATTCCCTATTGATGTTAGTACTTATGCTAATAAAAGAGAATTGAGAAACCTACAGCATCCTTCAGGATGATCGTCAATGCGCTTGCCCCAGGATTCCAGTCCTCTTCCACCATCCGCGGAAAACGGTTCTCATGCATCCATGTCCACGACTCCGAGCCCTTGATCCGCTCTGCAGTACTTCGTGCGTCTAGTCCCAGCTGCGCTGCCAATCCCATGGCCTCACTGGCACCCAGGATGTGAATGGCAGCCAGCACCTGGTGCACCATTTTCATGTTACTGCCCGCTCCCACACCCCCCGGAACAAGGTAAAGCTTGGTCGGGGCAGACATCTCCTGCAGCAGGTCACGCGCTATTTGTAGGGAAGAATCGGAACCGCCCGCCATGATGGAGAGAGTGCCGTTTGCAGCGCGCATCGCACCTCCAGAGACCGGCGCATCGACGAAGTGGATACCCGTCCGGCCGCGTGAGGCCAGTTCTGCTGCAACTGATTGGGCGTCGGATGCGGCGACTGTAGAACAGAGGAGAAGTGTGGCATTTTGGGGGAGATCTAATTTGTTAGCTTGGGATAATCAATGGCTAGGGACGGACGTGCATTGTACGATGCCCTCATCCCCGAAGAGGACGGCTTGCGCCTGCGGCGCCGAAGCCACCATGCACACGTAGAAGGACTTCCCCTCAGCGGATTCACGCAATGACGAGGCTGGGATGCCCCCCGCTGCTTGGAACCGCTGCACCGAGGCTGGAAACACATCGTAGCCGTAGACGGGGTATCCCTCATGGACGAGGTGGGTGGCCATGCCGAAGCCCATGGCTCCGAGGCCGACAAAGCCAATGGCTGGCTTAGACATCTTCTGGATAACTGGATGGTGTGAATTGAGTGGTGTCGTGATTGTTGTTGCGTGGAGTGACGCCATTTATGGAGGGACTGGATCGCTGTGAAGTCCGAGGTGGAGTGGGATGCCGTGGGGGTCGGAGGTGCTCCGATGCCGTCAAGCTCGCGGAGAACACCATCGGGTTCCGGGTAAAATGGGCTACAGTGAGCCGACTTGGAGTCGGAGACCGTGGTGAATTTTGCCGGTTCATTTGCTCTATCCAGTCTCGGAGCCCGCGCTTTGAGCTCGGGTGATTGCCGGTACAAGGCAGCCGACCGGATAGAACCCTAACGTTGTGACGGATATCAGATGACTCCATAAAGGATGAGTGTTATATGACAATTCTTCCAGCTAAACAGAATGATCTAGTTCACAAGATAGCTTGCTGCAGTCCACTGCTGAGTTTCAAGCAATTTTTAACTATTGCGACCGGCATTGCGTGAGTCCACCTCTCAATCCTTTTCAAATATCAGTGGATCAAGTGACAGGAACATGAAAAGAACGAGCCATGAAGAAGATCAAGTTTTCTCCGTGCCCTAGTCCATCTAAAGTCTTCATATACATCGAGATCCGAGGTCAACCCGGATCTTGCAGTAACCCGATACGCCACCAATAGGTAAGACTGAAGTCCCATGACCGCAGAGTGATCACTCTGTCCTGTATTTGCTGGCACTATCTGCCTTTGCGAATGCGATCTGGTCACCATAAGCCCTGCCTCTAAGCAGACAGCTTATCGAAAAGACTGGAACGGTAGAAGCTCTTGAGGGTGACATCTAATGGATGCGATTGATGAGCCATCTTGTTCAGAGGCAAATGGCCCCATTAGAGAATAAAACGAGGCAAGTATGCCAGAGCATGTCCACCGCAATAGTCGTAATCAACATGAGGTGCTTGGCGAAGCTATGTGAAAAGGTTGTTCGTTCAACCAATCGAGCATGTAGATGATTGTTTTGCATGCATTGTCCCCCTAAAGGACACCAGGACACAACCATCTTCAAACGCATGCCCCCGGCCGGCCAGTGACGAACATCTGACCGAAGCGGGGGCACAGACATACTCCATCCTATAAACAGACGGACGCACTTAAGACTGCTGTAGCTCTGTCTGCTACAGCTGTGCAAGGGCCCAAGTTCGCACCCGGTGCCAGGTCTAATGCCAGGACATTTTCTGTGGTCCAGCCGCATGGAGCCACGGTCGCTGTCGGGCCAGATTTCATGACTAATAGAAATAATTAGTCCACGGTTGAGAGACGAGGAGAATATCACGAACACCGAAGGTCAATCCGAGTGAGTTTTGCCAAAGCATCGTCAACTGACGAGTGAACTTGGCCGTTGAGGCGTGGAAACGCGACTCTTGGGAGTCAACACGCTGAAACCCGGAAAAGATGGATCAAAGCAGCTGAGATGTCAATCTGCGATCACTTGAATATGATTAAGATTGTTTTTTATCACTTTCTCTCCGTGTGCCGGAGGGCAAGGATGGAAGTGTCGTGGGAGGGGAGAGAAGGTGGGAAGTAGTGGGAGGAAAGGGGGCGCAATTAAAAGGAAGCGTCGATCATGTGATGTGAGGAAGGAACGCCGGAGCCTTGTTGCGATTCACTGCCACCCCGAAAATCCGAATGAGATTCCCCCCTTCAACCTTGGAGGAATTACATGGGTGATGAATACTCAAATGGCTGATTCCCAGGATGTTCCGGTCATCACATGAGCACCAAGGCCAAGGGCCTACGTCACAAACATTCCAGTTTGCAAAGACAAACCATATCCATGATCTACATTTTAATTCACTCTGGTACAATCTTGGCTGTGGCAGCGCCCCTCGTATTTTACCTTTCGCTGCCTCAACAGCAACCATCCACTGCCGATCGAAAGTTGCCTTGAAGTCACGAAACAAAGAATGTGCCTGCATCAAGTTCTCCTGGTTAGGCGCAATGTCAGCCTCGTCGCTCCGCAAGCTCAACGGCTGCCACTTCATCTCCACCAATCGCGTGGATATGCCTGCCCAGCATGACCGATGATGTCGATTGCAGCAGGTCAGTGCTGTGCATGCAATCAAACTTGTTCGTGTCCGAGTGGCTAGCAATGTGTTCCAGAAATAACTTAGATGTTGGATCAGACGAGGCTCCGACACAAGGCTGTGGACCTCCCAACTATAAGTACGCGCTGAGAATAGAATGACTGGACCAGTCTGCATTTGCTTACGCTTGAAATTAGTCACTTGTTGAAGTTACCATCCTGATACAATTTCATTGTGCAACCTACCATGGCTGAAAAGACAACTGCTGGTATGCTCTCATTTCTCTCAGAGTACAATTGTGGTCAGCTAACATTTGCAGTGCCGGCCCCTGCTTACGAGGAACAAGGTGAGACCCACGAACTTTCCTCCAGGGAGCCTCCAACGTATATGCAACCTCCTCAAATACAAAATTCTGCTTCTCAATCGCCTCATCTACCTCAACAGACCTTCTATGCTGGCTCACAACACCCGAGCGGTTATAATACCCCGACTCCGCTGTATGCGCTACAAAAAGGCCCGGCGCCTGTCGATTGTCCGGCCTGCGGACAACGGCAGATGACCCGAGTGCAGGCGGAATCGGGAAACACGACCCAGTATGTACATTGTCTCATAATGAAGAATGTAACTGATAATTTCTAGCGCCTGGGCTGCAGTGCTCTGCTGCTGCTTATGCCTTGGATGTATCCCATATATGGCATCATCGCTCAAGGATCAGAATCATTACTGTGGAAATTGCGGTGCGCTGCTGGCGACTTGGCATAATAGTGGGCGGACAGAAGTGCATAAAATAGGCAGGACTTGATGCTGCTTTTCATTCTTCTCTTTTTGGATACCTTGATTTCTTTTCAGTATTTGAACGCACTTTGGAAATAGCTGCTGCGACCATATTTGGACATATTTGATATGATCAAGGACAAGCAAAATGTGATCCACCTTGACAACGAATGATTTACTGGCATTAGCCGGTCTACAAAGAATGCCTATTCAATCAAAGCTCAGAGCTTTATGCTCATGCTACATGCATTGTTAATGAACCACCGAAATTAAGGTTCATCCATGAAACAGAAAAAGGATATTCATCATCTCACAGGATACCACCCAGCAACATACCATCACTCATTCACAATCAAGTCCGCACCACCACACTCGAATGAAACTACCATCCCATACAACCTACCCAGCCTTCCTCTCATATCCACCCCCATCCAACTCCACCACTTCACGACCCCCCAACTCCGCACTCACCCTCTGACCCGATACCTCAGCCATCTTCATCCCAGATCCAGTATCAGCATACAACTCCGCCGAGTCCACACACCCCTCTTGCATCTCCGACACAGCAGGCTTCTGACCCGCCACACAGCCTCCCACAGCAGGTCGTTGTCCATCATGTCCCGAACCATCTGTACCCTGTCCAACTCCATCTCCATCCCTCAGCTTCCGACCCCATCTCCACCACAAAACCCCCAGCACCCCTAACACAGCAACCCGGCAACAGATCCCACCACTATACCCGCAATAACACCACCCGATACCCTCGATCCTAACTTCACACCCACGTTGCCATCCCCTTGTTGTGAAGTAGTCGTCCCTGTCCCCGTCGCAGCCCCAGCCCCAACTCCAGTAACACTCCCACCCCCATCAGGCATACCATAAACATCAAAAGCCGAAAGATTCTGCGATGCAACCTTCCTCCACACCAATCCATCACAAGACCACCCAATACGGGTAACGCATGTATCTTCGCGCCAGAAATCCAAACACCAGGGTCCTTCGGGATCAAAGGAGAATTCGTACCCTTTTTGGTGGTGGATTGGGGTGCAGGGTTGCGGGGTTGTTTCGTGGATGATGGTTGTGCCGGAGGTAGTGGAGGAGTTGCGGAGGGTGAGGGTCCAGGGGGTTACTGGGGGAGGTATGAGGAGGAGGAGGGTGATTAGGATGAGGTGAGGTGGATGGGGGTCATTTTTGAGGGAGGGAGGGTTGGGTTGTTGTTGGGGGTTGGGTGTGAGTAGATGAGGGAGGGAGGGAGGGAGGGAGGGAGTAGGGTTCGGGATATATGGCATTCTCCTACGATTGGGAAGAATTCTACTAAAGGGTCGGTGTGTGTGAATTTGAACACCAAGAGGCTAGTCTCGTATTTTGATGAGGATGTGGGAGATCTTTACTGGAAGGAAACTGGGGTCTTGGTGATGTCGCGAGGAACGGTCTATCGGGATAGTGGCCTGCATTTGACTCAGGGCGGATAGGCTTGGCAGGGAAGAAGGGTCCAGTTGACAGACCCTGACAAGCCGAATAAGTGCCCTATTGGCTGCATTAGAGGAGGTTGCATGTTCTGTTGATGTCTCCATCTTAAAACGCTGATCTTCTAGTCTCGCGGGAAGGATGATTGGCCGTGATAGGCCGAACACGAGCGAATGGGCCCAGGTGGAGACGATCAGCCCTAATGCGTGGACCTTGGTCCTTTCTTTATGACAGGCCTTCAGGGTTGAAGGCATTGTTTCTGATACCGGCCTCGTGGATAGCGAAGTGTCAACAGAGAAAGGACCGCTTAGATAAGGGCGGATCGGATGCATGACGTCAAGGATGTTCCCGGCACCACCACAAAGAGAAGGATTCCCTGTCCTGTCAACAAAGCCCAGAGCTGTTGCTTATGGATGAACCTCAATTCTCCTATGCACAAGTCAGTTATCTCGCACCCATCCCGGTCGGGCGCGAATCGGGAGGTCGCAAGGAGATAAAGAACCATGGCCATGAACGAGTGGTGACGCCAGCGGAACAAGCGGATCACCAAACCTTGATTGCAATTGATTTCATGACTGTACCTTGCTGTCAACATTGAGGCAGAATCCCGCGTCAGCCCAGTTGGAGACGAAAGACGAGAAAGCGCGTTGATGAGGTGGATGGGAGCTGTGCAACAAAGGGTGGGGAAGACTGGAAGGACCCTCTGAAATGCTGCTCGCCGATTCCAACCTGAATGGCTTCACCCCAATTGTTTGGGCCTACCCACTTCCCCTCCTGTCAGAATTAAGCTTCACGGACCAGCCCTGGCTGCCAACCTCCAGCCCATCCAACGTTGCATGCATGTGCGCTCCTCCACGTCATTGCGCTCTTGCTGTCATGACCTTCCGCTGCTCCCGATGCAGTCAGTCCTACCAGCAACCAGGGTTGTTCACCCGCCCGTCCAACTTGTTTCCCTCCTTCTTTATCCTTCTCGCGTCGTATTCCCTCTGCGTCCCGTCCTGTTGTCTTCGTTGTTGGAGTCGTGGGCATCTTCGTTTTGTCTTGTTCAGTCCCATCTGCTGAAATTGTGCGGCCGTTCTTAGTGAGAACCATCTGCTTTGAGGAAGTTCCCGGCAGCAGACTAACAGCGACAGATCATGGCCGCCATTGACCTCCTTGCCCTCGAAGCACGACACCAAGTGATCAAGCGGAGCAACTGGGCTGGCGAGAATCCCGGCGTGGTCCTGGTCTTCTGCATCGTGTTTATTGTCGCCGTGGGCATCATCGCGCTCTTCATCTACCGAAAATGCATGGCACGGAAAGCAGCGCGACAGTCATATGAGGTCGAGCAGAGGTGATCTGCATTTTCGACTGATCCGACCGACAATGTGGTGATACAAGCGGGAGGGGAGGATGGCAACGAAGTGCCCGAGAGGAAGAGAGCAACCTTGGGCTGGCGATTTCTCTTCAACGATTGGGAACCCCGTTTCTTTTCTTTTAATAATGTATTTGTTCTGTCCGTCAAGGATACCCGTTTGCGTTCTGGTGGATCTGGACGGAGACGGATTGCGTTGATTTAATGAGTTGGATGCTGCTGGAATAAGACTGAGTCTTCATTGGATGGAAAGGGAGATATACTGAATACACAATTTCATGATTTACCACGATAAAAAGCGATCATTTGATGTTGAAGAGGGTTATCTAGGTAGAGACGAGGTGGATGAGAGACGCCGCCACCGCGACGATGGGCCTGCTGCATGCAACCAGCGGCTCGCCAATGGTCGGAGGGCATCTGGTCCAGAGAGAGGGTCATCAGGCTCGTATTCGTTTCCATGATCGTCATTCCCCGAATAAGGTTCATGGGGAGCTCCAACGGCCTTAAAGAACAGCCCTATTCATCGGAAGATGAAGAAGAGGGAAGAGGAAAGAAGGAAGACGGAATTGTCCGTAAGTAGTGGTTGATTACCCCGCCAGTAGAATGCCCGCCTTCGTCTCTCTTTCATCCTTCATCCTCGCTGCCTCCCTCAGCACCCTCACCTATCTGGCCTTGCTCCACCGTTGCCTCAAGAATCGGATCAACCATGAGAAAAGTTACGGATCCCTTCCTAGCTCGGAGTCTATCATCATAACCACGATCCCCCCCGAGATCTACACATCGGAATACTATGCTCTCCACGATCGAGCCAGCCGGCGGGTGCCGCGTCAACTCCTCCCTCACCAGAAAGATACCAATATCCTGACAATCTTTCTCCGTCGCAACATGATGGCCTTCGCGAACTTTCCTCAAGCATATATGTTATGGGCGGTCAGTCCGGCCGCGACCCGTCCAACGTTCCATGCATCGCATATCAGTTCCCTGGACTTCAACAAGGGTGATCTCACCTGCGGAATATACCGTGTCTTGGAGCGAACTGCAGACAAAGTCGAGTTTGGAATGACGCACAAAGGCGTCGAGGGGCGATTGGTGTTCCGGCTCTGGGACGAGGACAAGGACGTTGTATTTACCAGCGAAACAGCGATGTGGACACGGATGGACGAGATGCAACGCGCCACAATGCCACTGGAAAACCCGGTGCTGCGCTTCTTTCATGAACTGGCCGCCTGGTGGCTGTTGGATTCCGGGGTCAAGTATTTGGTCGATTGGGACGGAGACACAGACTCGGAACGATTTGCTGGAGGGTTCCTGGACAAAGCCTGGATATCCCATTGTTGCAGATTCGGGGCAGACATGGACAAAAAATCAAGGCAATTGTCGTTTCCTTTGTTTCTGAAGCGGTACTACATATGGTATTTAAATCAGCTCCAAGGTCGACTATGGGGGTTTGTTTGTCTTCCCCGGATAACCTTACTTCTCATACATGAAGTTCCAGTCTATTCAGATCCAATCTATACTGAGAATCGAAACCCAACATGTGCAAGTACATTTACCACCACTTCATTGGCTGCGGCCATGTCGGATGCTTCAGCATTGATACTTGCTTCGAGATGATGAATGCGCTGCGCATCGCCACCCCCCCGCCTTCTCATGAGGTTACTGACGCGCACGACCTATTGCCCCCGTCTTGCCCTACTCCGTGTCTCCAGTGTGAGCGAGAATCCGTCGGAAAAGACACAGACAGTTCGGCCGGATCCAAGAATTCCTACATTAGCCTGGAGGGGTTGGGTGTCAACGCCTTCCAGGTAACCAGCCATATGGAGATGCATCTGAACTCAGAGCATCCTGCTCCTGGTAGCAGCTTCGTGTATGTCGGCCAGCCACCACAACAGTGGCCTGGCCCCGTGCTGTCCTTTGGGACGAGAAGCCTAGAGAGTGACGAAGAAGGGGGCCCTTTTACACCGCTGACTTCCACCCAATCATCCCCGCAGGACTCTACCATTTCATCGATGGACCAGTATGATGACAACTGCGGGTGCCGTCTTCCCCTTCACACCGCGCGTGCTGATCGCGAGAATGCTCGTGGCTGGCAGCCTACATCTTACGAGAGCGAATCAGAGACAGAGCGGGGCGATGATGAGGGTGATTACACTCGTCCGAGTTCTCCTATTGAGCGATCACATCGGCTCAGCCAACCTTTTGAAACCCCAGTGTTTCCCTCCAACACGTATAGTGGCTCAGAGCAACCCCTGCAGCCGAGAGAGGTCCAGATGTCTGTTCGTTTGAGTCCATCTACCCCATTACCGCATCAGGTCAAACGGCCTTATGAATCCCCATTGTCTGTCTCTGACTTGTGCAATGATCCGGAGCCACCACAAAGGCGCCGACCCCTTCAAATATTTACTCCCTTGGATTCTCCTATCCAATCACCGGCACTCCCCGACTCGTGCACAGACTACGAGTTATCCCCGCAGCCGAGATCTGTCCAAATACCTGGTCATTTGAGTCCTTCTTCCCCATTGCCGCATCAGGTCGAACGGCCTTGTGAATCTCCATTGTCTGTCTCCGACTTGTACGATGACCCTGAGCCCGCACAAAGGCCCCGCCCCCTTAAATTATCCAGGTGCTTGGATTCTCCTACCCAGTCACCGACACTATCCAGCTTGTGCAAAGACTCCGAGCCATCTCCACTGCCGAAAATGGCCCAAATGCATTCTGAAGTCCCCACCATGCATCCCCGACCCGTGAAAAAGGATCCGAACCGGGTTATCAGAATGGACTTGGACGTCGAGACCGCGTCAAAAAGGTGTATTCACTCAAACCCGCGGCTAGTGGAGCAGGAAATCACACCACATTCACCACTTCAGCCATTCATCCTGTGTTATGAAGCATCATACGGCAGCCCAGATGCGTGGGGGGAGGCCCTGAGAGCCTTCAGACAGCGGTGCTATGAAAGCCAGCCACCTCCGCGATACAAGAATATGAAGTACGACGCCCCGCTGCGCACAGGGCTCCAGACTTACGGGCCCGACGCTTTCTCGAAAGACTTCTGGAATCAAGAACAAAACAGGGTCGTGGGCTTTTTTTGACCAGCAGAGCTCTTTACTACGGGGTGCAGAGTTTGGTAGATATGTTGGTATATTATAAAAGTGTTGTGAGTAATAGCTCTGCTGGATACAGAGTCTTAATGATGGGCTGGGCCAGCGACACCGCTGTATTGTTTGTTGTGCAGAGTACTGTTTTTCTTAAAGATATCCTACCTTTTCCTTTCCTTTCTTTCCTCTTGTTTCGGGGTTATTGGTGTGATAGTATACTTATCCCAAATTGGACATATTCTCTCTCGAACCAGATTATCCCTTCTTATACTCCGTAGACAAGAGCCCTTAGTAGGTTAGGGTTGATAGCAGTATCACCGCCTAGAGATTCAATACTACTAGAGACTCATGTATAAGCCGGCCCGAGATGACGACGATGATTGCCTTATCCTCGAATAACGAGACAACCCGGGATGCAGACAGTCAATGAATGATAGCGTCTTTTATCTCATCTCACCTCGTCTCATAGTTAGTTTGGGTCGCGAACAGCTCATTCTGGATGCTAGGGGTGGGTTACTGACTGACTATGAGAACATTATTATTTCACCACCCAATTGGCTCGGTTCGATGGATATTAATAATTCCGTGATGTACAGAGTACTATGCTATGAGGAATAGGTGAAGGACCTGAAGGGGTGTGTGCATGCGTGTGTGTGTGTGTGTTCATATAATCCGATCGTATACATGGTACAATAATTATTTATGCAAGTCCGTATGGGAGGAAACTGATATCATTCATTCTTTAAACTAGTCGTTATCAAAGGCCAAAACGGTTGTTATCATTCATAAAGTCGGGTCATTCTGGGTAGGTCAAAGTCATAGTTCCTGGCACTATGGACTCTGGGAATAGAAACGAAGAATAAGGAGGGAGGGAAGGGAGGGAGGGATAGCATTCTACCATCTTGTACGGCATATTGGACATGTTGGATCAAGGTTTCGGCCGAGTGATGAGGCCAGCCAATCGTTCATGCAGGAGCTGTGGATGTTCACGCCGCATTGTTTTTGACACCAGACTAGGTTGTTGGTGTTGGTGTTGGTGTTGTGGTTGTGGTTGGGGTTAGGGTCTTCGAGGAGAGGGAGAATGCATATGCAGCACTCGCCGTCGATGGGTTGACGGGTAATGCCGTGGGTGGTGATCGTTGGTGGAGGGGTTGGAGGAGGGGTGAGGGAGGGAGCAGGTGTAAGTGTGGGTTGGGTTTGTATGATTAGGGCTGGTTCTGGCTGGGAAGGGGTGTCTTGGGGAGTTGATGGAGTGGTGGGGTTGGGAGTCGAGACTTCTGTGTTGCTTGAGTTGGAAGTGCTGCTTGGGCTGGTGGTGCTGGTGGTGCTGGAATTTGGATTGACAGCACGTCGATCGGTAGTAGGAGATGGGGTAGCTGGTGCGCTGGTGGTATTGGTGTCAACGGTGCTGGATACGGAGTTGGAACTGACGGTGGGTTGCTCAGTAGAGAGCGAAGTAGCTGATGTGTTGCTGGCCCTATATGTATCGGCAGAGTTAGATACCGAGGTAGCGTTGACAGCACGTTGTTCAGTAGATGTTGGTGTAGACGGTCCACTGCGGTTGTTGCTGGCATCAGATACGGAGGCCGCATTAGCAGCACGCTGACTTTGCTGATTGTTTGTGGCGTTAGTCTGTGAATCCCCATTTATAGTAGTCGTAGTGCCAATCCGTGGGGTGATATCAACACCTCGTCCACGAGTCCCCTCTCTGCGTGGTGACACCAAATCACCCCTTCGCAATTCATGCACTTGTCCGGTCATCGCAGCGGCATGTACCCCAGAAGCATTCCTTCCTGCTTCCTCTTGTCCCCTGGCAAATCCCATTGCCACGCTTCTCCTCACCAAGCTCTGGGTATCCTGCCTGATACGTTCGGCTTCCCTCTTCGCCCTCTCCTCCCTCTTACGTGCCCTCTTCACCTCCTTCTCAGCAGCCTGCACCTTTCTTGTAAGCTCCGAAATTCTACCCGTTGCATTTGTATCAACATATGCAGGCGGTGGCTGTGGTTGAAGCGGTGATTGGAGCTGTGGTGGGAATTGTAGCTGCGGCTGCCAAGGCGTATACGTCTGAGTCGACTGCCACGAATTATACAGTAAACTCGACTGCCTGGTGGTATTCTGTCCTGTCATGTAGCCACTGACTTGTGAAATCCATGAATTTGCCAAATTGCAAGCCTGGCCCTGATGCCACCTCGTGCAGAGAACAAGTGGAGCCAGGTCATAGAGCAGGCTATCGATACACTGCCCGGCCTGAATCATGCTGGTCCCTTGATCAATGAGGCGGCGTGCCTCATTACGGCTTCTAGCGTTGGTGGGGGCGAGACAACGACGTTTTTGGGAGGGGGCGTGGCCGACACAGTGGGGTTCATCGTCTGGATAGAGCTTAAGAATATCGGAGAGATGACTGTATGAATATCGGGGGGACATGATGATATACCTTTGGGATGTCATGAACAAAGTAGAAAGAAAAGAAAAGCGTGTCGGTCTTAACCACGATGGTGTATTGATTCGATCATCTTTCCGTCTCCCAAACGGTCCTGATGACGGCTTTATACCTCATCGTCCTCTTATGTCCAGCTCCGGCACAAGGCTGTTGAGGCTGTTGTGGCTGTTCTCTACGCGCTCTCCCACTATCGAGGCTGAGCAGCAGGTTGCTGCTAGTCATGATCCCAGTCTCGAGGGGCCGAGACACCATCAACTGGCATGAAACGGGGAGAGTGAGAGCTACTGAGCTGGTGACTCGATCGATTGGCGGTGGGGCTCTTGTTTTGTTTGGCCAGCTGGGATTGGCGCGGCGCCGTCGAAGCGGGGCGGCCGTAGTGGTACTAGCGTGGTCGCCTGGTACCAAAAATACATCCAGCCATACATCCATACGCTACTTGGTCTGATCATCGCGTCATTTTCGGCCCTCCCCAAGATTCTTCCAATTCTTATTATGTCAGACTCGCAGAAAACATGATGCGGTCCTTGCATTGGCCCTGGTATATTTCTACCCAAGTGACCTCCTTGTTGTCACTTCCTGCACTTATAAGAAGAATGAGATTCCGCTGGTGGCCGTCCAATTCCCTCTATTCCCCGTTCCCCGTTCCCACGCCATAGAGTGTGCCGATCTATATCCTATAGAGTATACTTCCCTCCCGTTTCCTCTACCAATCTTCCACAATGAATGACTTTGTCACGAGTCCAGAACGGTAGGCGTCTTGTACCTTTGCAGAGTCTCCCAGCAATGTTCTTTTTGTTTTGCTAACAGCCTTGCAGCCCAAAACGGCACCTCTTATCATTGCCGGCGGAGATCCGGATCCTGATTTATAAGGCGGTGTTCGATAACGAGGTCTGCGAAATCCGACGCACACCGATTCCCGTGTGGTGCCCCGTCGATAACTGCTGGCGCATGGCTCGACGACAGTTTATGGCAGACCAGAATAATCGGAATAGCTGGGACGGGCTCTGCACCCATCCCGGATGCCAGTCAACCCAAGGGCAAGCCATCAGTCGCGACATTTACGTCGGCCACGGCCCACTCATAGCGTCCGGGCACTATCCTTGCCCCCTGTCGCTACAAAGAAACCCGTCGCTTAGTCTCGGCTTCCTTCGCACCTGCCGCCAGGTATATGAGGAGGCAAGAGAATTGCCTTACCGGCAAACCACCTTTTTCACCCAGGAACTGGCCACTTTTGCCAACTTCACTTACTGCTTGAAAACATGGCAGGTCGCGTCCATATCCCATCTTCAAATCCGGATTCCCTTAGTACAGAGCGTGGAGACACACCTGCCTGAATGGAATGAGACCTTCTCTTTGCTCAGCCTAGCCTTCTGCGGCTTATCCAGCATCTCTGTCGAGATTTACTTTCGCTATGCCGAACAGACCTGGAGAGATACGTTCTGGGATGGGGGGCTTCTCGAATTGGACCGCCTGAATTTAAAGGGCATGCGACTGGCTATTTACCAGGGAGAAACGAACCCCCAATCATTTTTCGACTACTCAGCTGGAACGTTAGAATCCAAGCCAGAGAATCAGACGACTTCACTTCCTAACCCCATCAGCTTCCATCATGCCCGGGATACTCTTCGACAACGTGATAGATCGCGCATTGACCCCAACGATACCGGGCGTATCTTTTTCCGTCTGTCACCCAACGACTTCCCTCTATATGTGTGCAACCTCATCCACCTGCTTCCGCAGCGGAACCGCACTGATGCGGAGATCCGGCGCCAGGATAGGCGCCAACGAGAGTACATTTATCATTATGCCTACGCCGAGGATGACTCCGACCACTCGTACCCAATTTTTGGTTTCCAATTCAACGACAACCTCAAGGCAAACAAAGAGGAGATTGCACGAGGACTTGAGAAGCTGCAGCGATCCCGCCAACGATTGCAGCAACAGAGAGCCGGCTCCCCACTACCTTTCAGGCCTAGTCGGAGGGGTGTTTATCCACAGAGCCGAAGGAACAGCCTGGACTATCAACCTGACAACAGTGATGCTTGGGAGGACGCGGAACGTCCCGGAGACTGGAGGCGTCGCTTGGTCCAGGAGGCCTTTGCGCCATTTATGGAATCGTTCCCATTTTCTGCAACCACGAAATATCCGGGACCCCCGAGTACTTGCTTGAACTGCCCCAGAGAGGGCAACTTGACACAGCAATCTTCTGGAATAGATATTGAGAAATAGCTCTACGATGTGTATTTAGCGACCGACTATGTTTCGCTTGTTGTTTAGAAGCCGCGGCGGCGTCAATCCATCCAGCCATTTCCCCAGATAACCCTAAGACAAAGCACCCCCAGAAATTGATCGATGACATCATAGGAGAAATATCTGAAGGCCCCGAGGCCCCCGTCACCGCAAAATTGGGATGCTACCAAACGGTCTCCAACCAACAGCACAGCTGGCCAAGCTCACCTGCTTGGAAGCGCATCGTGAACGGCAATAGTGCGGGGTAGCTTGCGTGCTCGAGGGATTTCCCGTACGTAACGCATTCCGCCGTGGTTGGATGAACATTCCCCTGAGAAGTTACTTAGTCATAACTGCGTCTTGGAGATGTCCTTGACCCCGTAGAAGACTAGAAGCGGAAGAGTGGAACATGTGGAGTGGCCATTGTGGAGTGTCCACGGCGATCGAGACTAGGCTGCTTCGAGCAAGTTTCTCGAGGCCATTGGGATTGCCCCCCGCCTTTTCCATCTTTCTAGATCGTCGCAAAAGCGGATGGCGGGATTTCGGCCACTTTTGCGGTCAGAGAAAACAATGGGTTTCGTCAAGTGGGTGATGGGCGCGTCGACCAGGCCGGGAATCTACAGGGTTTGTGATTCTTTTACTGCTTTGGTTAAAGACGTGCTGTGCGTACCTGGGCGGGGTCGATGGCTGGTCCATCACCCGATCAAAGGCCTGAACCTACAAACGTGCAACGGCCGGCTTGGAGCACGTACTACGGAGTACTTTGTACGTAATTGCCTCATCACGTCGGTGAGATGACCTCGGCCCGAAGGGGTGAGCGTTTTCTCAGTCGGTCTCACAAGGCGAGGAAAGGGTGGGTCTGGTCAGGCAGGGCTGCCTTGGCTGGCCCCTGAGGTTGATGATCTGGACAGTCTGGATTCCTTTTGGGCCTCTCCAGTCTCCAGTCTCTAGGTGTCTCTTTCCATTTGTGGGGTGGGATTGGGATGCCCGTGCTCTGGGCGGGGCGGCGGTTGGGAATTGGGAATTGGTATTGTCACTGTACGGTGACTCTGTGAGACGCAATGTTCTCGGCCATCGTCATCCTGCTCTGTTAAGGCAGTCCACCTGACCGTGCAAGAAGCAGACACCCCAGGCAGCAGCAGCATCGCGAAAAAAAAATGCCTGGGTCTTCCTTAGTCATGCGTCGGAAGGGATGGCCGCGACCGGCCGAGAATGATCTCAACATGACAAAGCCGGGAGATCGTCGACCTTATTCACATCGGAATAGAGCTATCCCTAGCTTTATTCCACTTACCCCTGGATAAAGTAGTCATTCATACGTACACTAAGCTCATCCATTATGACCATCGCTCTACTCATCACCGGAGCTACGGGCAATCAAGGCGGCGCGGTCATCAACGCCCTGCTCGCCCAGGATGCCGATGTCGAGATCCTCGCCGTGACGCGCAACCCGCAGTCAGGAACCTCGCAGAAGCTTGCCGAGAAGTCCCCCAAGATCAAACTGGTCCAGGGCGACCTTGACCACCCGGCACAGATCTTCGAAAATGCAAAGAAACTTACTACCTTGCCTATCTCTGGGGTCTTCAGTGTCCAGGTTATTCCCCATTCACCTCTACTTAGTACCTTGCAGAGGGTAATATGAAGCAGACCCCCATGGCGAAAGGCCAAAGTGTCACCAAGGAAGAACAGCAAGGCAAGGCTTTGATCGACGAGTCCATAAAGCAAGAAGTCAAGCATTTTGTCTACAGCTCCGTCGATCGTGGCGGTGACGCCTCCACTGACAACCCAACCAACATTCCCCACTTTATCAGCAAGCATCGAATCGAGCATCATCTCTTCGAGAAAACCAAGGACGGGGCCATGGATTGGACTGTTCTTCGACCGGTGTTCTTTTTCGATAATCTGGTCCCCGGCTTCGTGGGCAAGGTGAGCGCCACAGCCCTGGATGCCTACCTGCAGGGCAAACCGTTGCAGGGCATCGCTGTCAGCGATATCGGGGTGTTTGCGGCCAAGGCCTTTCTGGAGCCGCAGCGATATAGGAACCAGTGCCTGTCTCTAGCCGGGGATGACATAACGTATGAGCATATGCAGAAAACGTTCAAGGCGAAGACGGGGAAGAATATGCCAACCACATATCGGGTAGTCTGTTACTTGCTGATGTGGATGGTCGGGGACTTACGGATCATGTTCAACTGGTTCTATGAGCATGGATATGGGGCGGATATCCAAGGGCTGAGGAAGATGCATCCTGGATTGAAGAATTTCGAGGCGTGGTTGGAGGAGGATAGTGAGTGGGTGACCAAATGAATGGGAAGAGACTGTCCATGGTGGTGGCTGTGAAAAGTTTCAGATTGGTCGCACGGGTACGTGTAAAGGACCACCAGCTGAGGTGGTGGTACTCCGTTTTCTCTGCCGTGTGGTGGCATGATTCTCTGTATTGATACCGAAGGTTCAACGAGGGTTGTACAACATGAGTCTGGATACCAGCGTCCAGCCAATCCATCTTGCCTATCCATCCTAATCCCATTATTGAGGCGCGTTGCATTGCGTATTTGCCAACAACACGATGCTACACGCCGCCAGCACTTCTCCAGCCATCTGACTCCATCTCCTTCCACCGTCTTCGCCCTCCCCATGCCACTAGCTTAAATACAGCGACGCCCATCCCCAGTCTGCCTTTTCTTCTTTCCTTCTTCCTTCTTCCTTCTGCGCGCTTGTATGTATATGCCCTCTCCAATCCCGTTTTCCTTGTCCATCTTCTTCTCTGATTTTCTTTTCCCCCTCTCACTCCCTTGGCACTGTTACTATCAGGTTATCCATCAGCTCTCCCCTATATATTATATTATATCCAGCAAAGAGGAAGCCCAGGACTGTACGGCCAGGCATGTATTGTGATCATTAGTTCTCCCCTGTATATTAAATCCAGGAATGAAGACGCTCATGGCTGTACGGTCAGGCATGTGTTGTGGTGCTCTATGCTAAATGCCTTTTCTTTTCCTGGGATATATACTGCTTGAGCTTTCTGAGATCCACCAACCACCAATATAGGGAATATCCCAGAACTCGATCATCTCATCCCAAGACAACCGACTTCTGCTAGCAAGGTCTTTCAAAAAACCATCGAGAGGATGAAACAACCCCAAGGCACCAAGCAGAGCGAACTCACCCGGACGATGTGCCAGCCAATCCTTCCGATTCTCGTCTCCTCGTTGTCGGCCGTGCAACATCAAGTGTAGCCCGAGGTGACTATTGTGCCCCATGATTACTATGGAAAGGTGTTAACAGCTTATAGTAACTAATCAATGGATGCCTTTTTTATATCTATAGTGGGTATCGCTACAGACGTCAACAAGCATGTCACCGCTGCCACTGAACCACCGAATCTACCGGTGAAAAGCCATGGTTGGAATCAATGGTGAGTGGCTTCTCAATGCCTGGTGGAAGAATGCATACTAATTTCCAGCCCCCGGCGTCACATCCACTGCTATGAATGTGATCTCCAGAGCCTATCTCCGCAGCATCTCTGCAGCATCCCCGCGCGCGATTATTCACCACATCTACCCATGAATACCTACGAACAAACTCTCCCCGGTTACATCGCTTACAACACTGCAATATGCAGCTTGCATCTCAACAGGATGCACAGACTTCAATGGTGGTCGGGTATGAGGTATGGATTCCGTTGGTGAAGTTTGTTAACACTTCCCAGGGCATGACGTCCTGTTCTTGGAAGCTGCTGGGTTAACGATAAGATAAATCGGTATGTTTCCCCTAGATCTGACTTTCTTGTGAGGGCTGTCGATGCTGATTTTCTTCGTTAAACACCGAATAGCATACCCTGACACGGCAGCGTCATGTCCGGTAGGGGATTTGATGATGATGCGACGAAGACACCAACGCCCATGACAGGCAGTTGGGGACAGCCCAATGTTTGATGCAATGGACCCCACTGCACACGGTATTGGGCTTTCGTGCTCACAGCACAAAAGGGACACTCCTCGCTATCTTCACGGGGTCACATCTGATGTCTGTGACTTTGGATCTCGGAAGACCGAGTCCTTGGGCTTTCCCCTCGCCATAGGGAATGCGTCAAGCTTTACAAAGCAGTACGTCAAATAGAAGATTTAATGTTCGATTAAGAGAGGTACTAACTGGTACCAGTAGACCTGCTGTGCTGTATGGAGCAATAGTGAGAACTACGTGACGGTCATCAGATGGCCAAATCATTATGGGCCCCGGTGTCCCTGGCCATATGGCCTTTCAAACGATGGAGAAAACGGCCACAAGAGACTGTGAGCGAAACCATCCAAAATTATGGGTCCAGCCAAGTGGTTCCTCCAGCACTATCTTGGTGATCCATACCTGGCAAGTTCTTGACGCTTATCCTTCCCCCAACATCCGAATATCAGCATCCTCCTTGTGGCCCTGTCAAAACTACCTCAGATATTCCTCGGCTTTCCAAATTTCTAGCATGTGATGGTGCGGCTCGAAGAGTAGCTTCCGACGATGGCTACCTGGTGCTGATACTCGTAAATGAAGGACCAGAAAGCGGCATTGAACAGGTCGCAACGGTGGGAATTGCAAACACTATTCGAACATAGCGATATCCACTCCTGAGTACGAAGCAGTTAGGTGATGTGCGGGAGACAGCTCTCTATACCGTTTCTTCTATAGTAGGCGCCGACTCAAACCACGGCCTACCGGGAGTGAAAGACCTTTGGTCCCAGCCATGTGCAACTCCTCGCCCCCGACTATGTGCTTTAAAGGGTGATGCAAGTCTCTAGGACTGCAGACTGGGTTTAGTAAGATCCCGCATTCTGTCTATGCCATATCTATCAGACGTGGGGCTCATGCGTGTCATCAATGGTTTTACGGAATCACTAAGAGCAGTCTACGGGGGTCATGATGTGATGCTTTCTCGGGGCTGTCTGCAGCGGCTACTGCGTACTATGCCATATTATGTTCGCTGAGTGACTTCAGTATCCATGGCATCCTTGGGGTCGGAAGTATGTGTCTGCTTACCTTCCGTCCCTGTGCCCGGCTAGCGTACTCACAGCATGTGGGGTTGTCTTCCTAGCGCATAAGTGTAGGCATTCCGACCTCCATGACTCGACCTCTTTGCCTTACTGACCTGAACTATAGCGGAGGGGCTCAGGGTTCAGAATGCGTCATCTCTTTCTACCGCTCTTTGCTATTGTTCCGGCATAGATAAGCCGACCCCCATCTGGAATCCCATGGAAAAGGATGCACCCAGCATTTGAAGCTTACGGTCAAGCACTGTTTATAGCGTCCTCTCCCATACCTGCGTACTCTACGTCTTGCTGAAGCACATTCCTACCAGATCCACATGTCACACATCAATCACAGAGCCCTTCTGCCCCCGAAACTTCTGTGTGGTTGTCATATGTTGTTCGGTTTCTCGAATACCTCAATTCCTCGACTGGTGATCTATGTGACGTCAAACAGTGTGGCAATACAAACCCTACATCCAGAGATACCGATAAATCGCAGTCTCACGACGGAGGTACACCGTTCCCACTTTAGGGATTTGGACACAGGCTTCCAAAAGAATCTGGTTAGTAGTGCTTGGTAGCAGCACAATGAAGTTCTTCGCGGAACCAGTGTACAAGAGGTATTCTTCTTGGGGGTTCCAGTCATCTTTGAGATTCTGCGTGACCCGTTGTGCTCCCGAGGACAGTGCTGGTTTCAGAACGCAAGGCCAAACTCACTTCTCGCAACTCAGAGCAAGAGCGAGAAACTAGTCATTTCGACGAAAATGCTTCCCGGAAGAAGAGATGGTGGAGATGCTTATCCGAGTTTCGAAAGGGTCGCATATGCAACATAATGCAAGGAGGTTCTCTCCTTCCCTGTATTTGTCAAAGCTAACTGTCGTTGTCTTCAGCAAGATGTGCTGAGGCCGCAGGTCCTAGCCCACCATGTTACCTCATGTCACGGCTACGCCTAGAGGATGAACTCGGATTTCTCTTCAAGAAAACACCCTGATATTTCATTATCCCACCCAACGAATAATCTCAACTGCACATGTTTCTTACCTTCTCGGGAGGAGGCAGGAATGTCGACTCCCGAAGGCTCTGTGTTGCACTGTTTTGGATTCTTGATGTATTGGGGCACTCCCTGGGTGCCTAAGGCCTGTCCAAAGCGAAACGTTTCAGTGTTGATCGTTCAGTTAGAGGGTGGCTTTGCAGGAGGGGGGAGTTAGAGCTCGCCCAATTCGAGGCCGAAGATATGTAACCGAAAGGCAAACAGTTTATAAAATGCAATGTGTCGTCCTCTTACGAGTCAGACGCACCGTCCTCTAGACCGACCACCAGAGAGTGAAGCGACAGCAGTCTGAACAACTGGAAGAGCTCAAGGACGATATTAGCAAGGATAAGCTGATGCTCTAATGGGATGCCTTCAGAGTTAATCTCGCTCTTGAACTTTCGAGATACCTGGATTCCTTTGTATGGCATATCCTTTACGGTGGAATTCAACCGGCAATACCCGGACAATGCTGCACATCATGATACTCTCGAATGATACGGCTGCTCCTGACGTTACCAAGTCCACACGAGCATTGATTGGCATGCTGGAATGGATATTGATGCTTTGACGGTCCGCTCCGCAATAAAGTCTTCATGAAGGCACTCAACGAATACAACAGTCCATCCAGAGAAACATTGAACATGAACCGCCATATCTCAAGCTAGACCGGAGGATCTGGAAGAGGGTCGTTGTCAAGTATTCGAGTAACTGACTAACCACTCGTTGCCGGAACATCACATTCGCACTTGCCTCGAGTTCTTGGGACGAATTTCTGAACGAAAAACGCATCATCAAGGCCATGCGATACTAATAGTTGGAACTGGGAAGACCTCTGTTGTCATGGTCTTGGGCTGGTGATTGTTATCGGGTGCTATGGCATTCTACCGTGCCGTGTATCGGAGTCGTGAGATATACCGTCTTTATAGACTCTTCTCGCGGACCATACTATTCTCGCACAGCGTACCATCCGACATGTACTCTTTGACAGACTCATCGTCTTATCACAAATCATCCTATTACTACAACATGCCTAAACGTCAGCAAGGACTCCGAGAACCGATCAAGCAGCGCCGGGAGAACCGACCTTCAGACATCGAAGAAGGAAATAAAAGGAGAGCTCCCACTCTACTTGAAGGTGTTCTCCCGGAAAGATGCGCAAAGACTCACAAGGCTATTATCCACTCTGGTATATCGGAGCCAATGTGATATGTTGGCACATGATTTACCTCCGTCTGTTTCTTCAGAGACCAGCGGTATATCATTTTCGGTCAACTGGTATGAACTCCAGCAGGTTATGAGCCCGGGAGCCCGTTGTGTCCCTTGCCAACACATCTTCACAACAGAAGCAATATATGAGCTTGCAGGCTCGAGTCCGGGTCTGGTCCAACCTGGTAATTCTGTGGACAAGCCGGGGTAGGGCATGATTGAGTCATGACCCGTTTCATTATGGCCTACACGTGAACAGCCGGTTCGAGGGGACGGTGTTGCGACATTATTTCTGTCCATCTGTCTCTAACATGACATTACCAAAGGTTAAAGCAGAGCTTCCCCACGGCCGGATGGAAAACGCGGGAAGACAACACCTCGATTTCAACAATAAGCCAAGGCGCGTCAAAGCTTGAGAGCGATGAGTTGGAGATCATCTCTCGAAGCAGATGGTAGGCGGTTGTCCTGTAATAATCTGGGGTTATCGGACAATTCGCCCTGCCCTGTCCAGATTATAGACATTCATTCCTGATGCCAAGGTTCACGTTCTATCTCTGCTCCTGGGTTTAGCTTCGGTCGTTGTCCGAACTACCCTGGTATATGTCCGAGAGTGTTCGAAAGCTCTGACCTATAAGAAAGCGTCCTGGGTCCTATGTTCCTGGCAAATATCCCCTGTGCTGTGGATGCTGCAACGATCGCGCCGTCTCGCCAGGAAGAGATGAGTTGGCTAGCTAGAAGAGCTAGCTTAAAAGAGGAGTTTAATGCTTTTAGTCTTGAAGGTCACTTGGAGATTCTGTTGGCTTACTTCACTGACTTCAAGTGCACGAAGTATGTGATAACCTGGATGGTGGTAGATGGTCTGCCGAGGCCTAGATGGCGCGTGTCTACCAGTGAGCTTCAAGAGGGCAATACACCATCTGAAGAAGTGGCTGGAAGGGCTTTTACTGGGCTCTTAAGCTGCGTTTTTCAGGAACTCCTAGATGAGGACCCTGAAACAAGGGTTCCTGGTATAGACGTCTAATGAATGAACATGGCGGAGCCGGAAAATGTCAACGCCTCGTCAACGGCTAAAGGCTGACTTAATTATGCCATGCAAGTCAGATGATCTCTTGGACCGACAACATTGGCCAAGTAGTCCGTTGATGAAAGATGTGTGTGGGAATATGAATCTTTGCTGTTTTCGCCAACCAATTCGGTCAACCGTCTTTCGATAACGAATATTGCGGCTTGCCTGCCACCTGTCTTGGAGACTAGGCGAAAAGAAGGGGATATGACAACACTACTGCATCTGTCGTCTCCTGATCTGGTCAAGGAGCGTCTGATATATCTTCGAAGAATCTTGGAGAACACCCAGGGGAGTTCTAGAGTCACATGTCCCCACTGCGCTTTTGCATTCGGTTCGGCATGCTATATAAATGAATGGCATGCGAAAGCTCCCTTATATGTCGAACCTTGCGTCGTCCATGGAGTCATAAGGTCCAAAGCACTATTCCAACCTCTCGCCATCTGCCGGTCTTGGGAAGCTGTGTTGATGACCTGGTCATCGACACTGCTCAGATTGCCGAAATCTGAGGTTGGAATCCTTGTCAACTTTCCATCGTTTCGACAAAGGCTCTCTATTGGTCATGCTGTTTGTTGTTCTCCTGAGAAATCTTCGCCTATATCACGACAAAGCTATGACGGCCCATACAGAGTGGCGGGGTCGCAACTGCTAATTATCATTCTATTGGGCCGATTTTTCCCTGGGACTGCGCTCAAGATTCTCACCGAGCTCTCTTTCTGGGGCCACATGAGTGACCCTTTACTGTTGCAAGATGCAATCTTATTGGGAACACCTACCTAGCCATAACCAATCTAGATGGATGTGAAAGACTTGAGATGCACGCATACTGGCTCGGTCTGGATCCGGAAATGGTCCAGTAAGCCCTGGTACTCGGACCTACTCCGGATTATTGACACCGCAAGATCGTCCCTTGGAGCTGAAAAGCAGCTACTAATTAATCAATGCGGTGGACTGCCGTTGACTGTCTCCAGAGATGATCCGTTGGAGGTCTTGAGGGCCGCCCTTTGTAGCGGCATTTGCGTGTATTGCTATACTCATCGAGCATGGATCAACCCAAGCAACTAACAAGCGGCACTCATTTACCTTAACGGATGATGCACGCCTGTCCACCCTCTGAGGTACTGCTACAAGGCCGTATCTGAAATACAACAGAAGGGTCATCAACCTACTAGTTCAACTCCATACGCAACGCATAGACAAACCGGTGTCTCTATGTACGATGAGAAGGTCGATATACGGTCTGAGTGGTCGAAGTTGACACGAGGGACATGTTAACCGAATATCTCCTCCTAATCAAACTGTGTGCTCCGTGCACTCACTTAAGAATGCGATGAAGCGAAATGGCCTACATGCTCATGGAAGAACCTGAGAGCGGCCGGGGAAACGGTTACCTGTGACAAAGAATCAGTATTCTCTGTGAGAAGTCATCGACGTGGGGATGGTTCCAGTGATCCTTATTCTGGAAAGCGAATTCTCGCCCGGATCCACCAATACATACAGAGTCCAGGAGCCCAACCCGGTAGCTTCACCTGGTTTGCTCCCTTACATGATTCGCTCTTGACACTTGCTTCCTTTTATCATGGCCTGGTTTCCCCATGCACCCCATTCTCAAGATGCTGAGCATCACTGCGGATGTGACAAAGCCATCATCGCTTACTGGTGCAGGAGACTATGAGAATTGGTCAACAGCGGGGATTAATTACCTCAGGATCCAGATTCTGGAGTTTTGCTACAGGAGAATGGATCAACCGCCCACAAACGGGTCAAAAACATATCTCCCGGTCACGGAAATTACTCGAATGGTGGATAGGTCTCAACATAATATGCAAAATGTGAGATTCATGTTAACATGCAATGTATCAACTCCCCGACCAAGGAGGTTGACGAACCGGGACTGACAAAAGTGAAAGGAAGATAAGACAATGACAAGTGTCCAATGGCAATGCCAATGGCAGAGCATGTCAAACGTCGTCATACCGGGCCAAGTGAAACATGGTGTGATGATAAAACAACCGCGCTCTGTTTCAAGACCTTTTGATAATCCGAGGTCTGGAGTCACCGGGGCTCAATTCGTTCTTGGATGATATTTTCTACCCAGAAACAAGGCGGTATAGGCAACACGTATCGTGCAGGAAGTGGCCTTACTGTATCCTAGTATGTTGCCCATGCTACTGTCATGCTCATAGGGGACATCCTGAGTCTCAGGGATGCAAAAGATGGATACAACCTTGAAGCTCGACGTTATTCACGCCCGATGGGTGCATGCTCCACCGGAAACGACATCATTTTTGACTTACACAAGCTCTGCCCTGCGGTATCATCATTGTCAAACAGAAAAAACTAGGAAACTTCGGTTTCCCAAGAATCAGCTGTTTTCATTCCGGGACTAATTCATTAGGGTTCATAAGGTAAGACCAACAATTTATCAAATCAATGATTCTTGATAACTGACAGTCAATGTAAGAGCAGGTACCGTTTACGATCCACGATCTTCGGTTCATCCTCGTCCAGGCCGATTGATCCCGATGCAGAAATGATACTTACTATATCTATCTGCACTTCCATTTTCCTTCCCGGTCGGAGTTCTTTCTCTCTTCATCAGTTCATACCCATGCCATCGCTAAATGAGCTCCTGAAGACCCAATGTACCACCGGAGTCCGGAGTCCGGATTCTAGATGACCGGTGTCTCGCAATAGAGTCTGGATATTGCCGAACATCAAACAGACACAGCATGGCTTGTTCTACCAACAGCAGTTTCTGAGCTCTTCAACCTATTCGGGCTCCAGAATTAAACCAAAGGTCTCTCACCACCATGCCCCACTATCTGATTTTCGAAGGGAACACAGGACTTTATCACAAATAGCAAGTCGGGTGGTCCAACATAACACCACAAGTTGAAGCCACACGATGGGCACTGTATAACCCTGTGCTAGCAGTCTATCATAGCTGGGCACATGTGCATCTCAAAAGACCTTGCTCATCCACTGACCTCACCTTCCGATTGAAGTACAGAGAAAACCAATTCACACGAGCCCATCGTGCATCCAAATCACCTCTCCCAAACGAATCCGGTCATCCTCAGCCACATCTGCAGAAGAACCAAAAGATCCTCGCAATTCCGTCCCAAACCAACTAGTTAAATGCGACATACCACCACCACACGTGTACACCTTAACAGGGGCACAGCCTCTACGTTTCTTTCATGATGGCAAGAACTCAGTCGAGAGGTATTACGCTCTGCCGCCATGCTCCAATACCCTCCACCACCAATTATGATTTCCCAAGCAACCGACGTCCCCGTTCATCCTCAATCCATTACTTCCCCCAAGAACGAGAAAACGAAGCCGGATTTCATTCCAAGAAGAAGAAACGACGCCGTTGCCTTGGAAATGGACAAACCTGAACCACGCCACTTCAGATCGCGTGGTTCCCCTATATGCAAAGCATCCACCATCCAATCCGTTTCTTTACTAAGAATGGCTCCTCATCTTATACCCCTCGCAGAGATTTCGACTGTCACTCTTCTATACAAAGTCAAGCGCCTGATCACGATTGCATCTCGAAAGCCTTCAATGACACGATATCGCTGATCCGCAACGACATCACCAAACCTCAAGACGTCCATCTCTTCTTGAGACTGGTGGAGTGCATGGTGCCATCCACCATGCAGCAGGTCCCGAGCTACTGCAAGAGTGCGACACCCTCATAAGCCACCTAAGACTGTCACAGCTCAGAACATTCCACAGCGCTGTCCAAAGAACAAGGCTTCAGATGGAAAGACCTTGAAATGCAGAGGTCCCACAGAGACATCATCCTCAACGAACAAGACATGCACCGACAGCGCAGCCGGAATCCTTTACAAAGCAGTACTCCAACAGCCACCCCAGACACATCTACCGTGTGTACAAAGGCCGCTTCACCAACGAATACCAACATCGGCGCGTTTTCTTCAACCTAGCCCACATCCTTAACTTTCCACCACCGAACACGTCCATCGATCACGAGAACCACCGGAAAGAGTGGACATGCGTGGCTGTTGGACTTCCCGGGCTCCCTTACGCGTCGTCATGCATACCACCGATATCCACAGGGTTTTCTGGTTGCTTGCCCGTGGAATAATATGGTACCTTCCTTCTCCAAGGGGATATTGTATCAACACCCTGCGTTCCCGGCCGGGATCGTGAAAAAACACGTCTTCACAGACAACACGTTGTCTGAATTCCGGAAGGAAGGAAAACAGCTGTTGGCTGGATATAATAGAGGTTTAGTTCAGATCGGATCCGAGAAGGATCTAGGAAGGACTTTGAGTCTGTCCTCCCTCCCCTCATCTCCTCTCTCCTCCCCTGGTACTCATGTCAGGTGTGGGTGCGCTTGCTTGCTTTCTTGAGTACATTGTCTTGTTCTGAACTCTTCTTCTCTTCTTGTTAGGAGGAGGAAAAGGGTGTGGACGACATCGATAGATGGCTCTTGGCATCATGGTCTTGGGAATCGCCTTACTATCTATCTATCCATCCAGGGACTCTCTAGCGCAGACTTCATCTGTTAGACTGCCGAGCGCAGTGTGGTGTGTGGCTGGCTCTGATTGTTCGTGATGTTGTCGATATTCTTACTTGAATGGCTTAAGACGGTCGGGCGAGTTGAAAGCATTAACGAATCATGGTTGGGATTGGGGCATACTCCCCTCAACCGAAGCTCCTATACTTGTGGGAGATGCTGCCGCCACCGCAACTGGTGCTGGGTACTTCATCCCATCGAGGTATGGATACAGGGTATATGATTGTGATCGAGATGTGATTCATCTCTGTGTGTGTGCGTGTATAGCAAGTGGACTTCCAGGAGTATCCAACCATAGTATATAGCACTGTGATTCAAACGCTATGGTTATATATGATTGAGCGATTATGTCAATCCAATAGCTATGATGGATTATGAAAGACAGAACCGAACCGAACCGAGACCCCGCTGAGATGGTACAGCATAGATGAACATCAGATAGAAAAATGAATCCAAGATGAATAAATGACAGCTGCCTTATTACTCCCTTACCAACCAAATAGAAAATGTAAATGGAATGAAAAAGAGAGAGAGATGCAATTTGCGCGTTCGTCCCAAAGATCCAATTTAGACGAAGTCATACCAACAAACAAAAGAAGCAAACACCCAAACAGGTTGATTAAACAACCACTCCTCGTCGTCTCCAGTATCTCCAGGCAATCAACCAAGCTCCAATAGCTATCCAAACACTCACTGTGCATCCCACGGCCCAGAACCCAAAGCATTTCCAGCCATGGCACTGTCCGTCCGTCGTGCCGTTACCACCATCCGTGGCGTCTTGGTATCCTTGCGAATAAACAAGACCCCAGGCTGCTGCTCCGGCAGCTGGAACCATGGCAACGATGCCCCAGTTTGTGGCAAAGTTCTCGACGCCCCAGACGACGGAGATGATGATAGGTACGAGGGAAAAGGCACTGCCGTAGCCGAGGCCGATCAGTGCGGTGGAAATGTGGGTGAGGCCAGGGTGTTGGAGGGGGAGCGGGGACGAGAGGAGAAGATAGCCGAGGGAGAGGAGAAAGGCAGAGGGGAGGAGGAATGCGAGGCGGGTGAAGGTGGTGCGGTTGCCCGTTGATGTGGGGGAACTGGGACGGTTGCTTTCTAGACTGCTGGGGAAGAGATGGACTGCTGGAGGGGCAAATAGGTCGGAGAGCGAGCCGGTCAAGAGTCGGGCGATGGTTGAGGTCAGCGCAATGGTGGTGACGTGTGTTGACGGCAGACCTGCTGGTGGTGCAGCGTTGGGGGGGTTCGAAATGGGGGTCAATGTTTGGACGATGGTGCCCAGCTAGAAGACAGTTAGTTGAAGGATGGGTTAATAGGTGGCCAACTGGGACATACGTTGTTAATATAAGCCTCTCCTGGCCCAGTAACCAGGAAGAAGCCCGCCGCAAGCCACCACATTGACTTATCCTGGAGGAAGATCCTGGTCTCGTAGTTCAGCAGCCAGTTTTTCTTACGGCGCTCCTCTTCCTCTCTTTCCTTCTCGAGTCTTGCTGCTTCCCGCTCCTCTTCTGACAGCGCCAGTGTTCGATCCCCATCAGATTCAGTGCCATCGTCGGCCTGCGGGAAAGTCCCATAGGCAGCGCCGACTTCGCTTCTGGATCGGAAAAACTCGCTTTCTTCAAGAAGACCACTTCGTTCGAGTTCCTCGACAGCCTCATCGATGTATTTTTCTTCATCTTCATCCACGATGCGAAGGGCAAAAGTGCCGATGATGCCAATGCAGAACAGTAGTATCGCGAGGAACAGGAAGTATCTGTACACATCAACATCACCACGCGTGCCATCTTCAAGCCTCTCATATAGCAAGTAAGTTCCCACTTGGCTCTGCCACATGCCACTAAGGCCAAATCCTGCAATAGGAACAGCCAGCATGATCCCCTTGTGCTTACCCCGACCGAAATTCTTCGCACAGGTTGCGACTGCGGCCAGGTACATACAACTGGTGGCCACACCAATGGCAATGAATGCCACAATCATCACCCAGAACGGCCAACCCTCACCACCTGCATCGGGAGGTGGTCCACTCTTGTAGGCCAGTGCAGCCAAGAAATAGCCTCCACCAAACACGAACCCGGAGAATAAAGCCAGGGGTGACGGGGTGTAACGATCGCAGAGATATCCGAACAACGGGACTGGTAGGTACATGGAGACCTCGGCAGCGATCGCAACAGAATTGACTCGGAGTTGAGTGTAGTGAAGGCGAGTGAGCAACAGAGGCCCATAGAGGGAGAAGGCAGTAATGCTACCAGCTCCCAGGCTAGAGGAAACGTTGATGATCAGTCGATTGTCCACGTTGGTATTATAGACGAAGACTTCCATGCACGGGGGAGCCTACCAGCTGATAACGCCCCAAGCAAAACTGCACACTCGCACCACTTCTTTAGCCATCTTTCTTCGATCCCTTTCTAGTATTTCGTCGACGACATCATTCAAAAGACCGTCGTCATTGTTGGTGGCAGAAAGTCTTGATCCCGGGCGCGATCGGAGGTGTGGCTGCTGCTCGTCCGTCCTGGCCTCGACATCATTTAATAACGGGCGATGGGCGTCAAAGTCTCGCTTGTCGATAGCGGGATCTGGTTGGGACCCTGTCATACTGCTTCCCGTTCTTCAGAATACGACAATGAAGTGATGCAGAGAATTTCAGAGATAATGACACCTCCAGACCAGGGATGACTCAGGTCCGACCAGGGGCAGGGCAATGGCGTGCCTGGCAGAATAATGGGGCGGACTCCGCAAGATGGTTCTCAGCCACCAGACGTAGCAAGGCAGCGGCGAAAAACTCAACCAGGATAAGGATGAAAAGAATGGGAGGGGAGGAGCGCCGGAGACCGTCGGAGTACTGGTCCAGCCTCCCAGACACGACGACTGAAATCAAACCCCTGAGAGACGTGAGGAGGAATGCGGAGAAGAGCTGCTGACGAGCCGATGAGCCAAACCGCGATTAGATAACATGTCCTCACCGCTTATCGCCATATCCACGTGACGTCGGCCCTGGCAGCCTCGGCCCAACGGAGTTTACTGCACTGCGCTTCTACAGCAATCAACGTCCACCGTCGAGTATTAAAAATATTCCATTATCACGTTCCGGTCTAACCCCTGCGCCCCTAGGTATGTACACAAACAAAACTTCTGAATGACACTTCGCGGTTCTGAAAGAGAAGAAAAAAAAAAAGGAAAAGCACGGATTAAAAAGTCCCCGGGAATCGGACCAGTTCCCAGGAGGTATAATCAGTAACACATGTCCGAGAAAGAAAACAAGCCCGAAGAAACCTTGAGAGACCAACCCAATTCGAAGAATAAAAAGCAAAGAGCTGGTTCATACACGCCATGAGAATGTAATGGCTCCCGTGCAGGGGCCTTCTATTATGCTCCCGGCATGGATAGATAAGGCGTCTGCGGTGAGCATCATGCCATGATCGTTCGTCAATATCGTAATGTATGGTGCCGAGTAACAAAGTGCAGTGTCCTCCATCTACCTCTGTCACTGTAATACCGTTCATGTCATCGAGCGTGGGCACGAAGAAGACCCAGCTAACCGGAAATGAAAGAAACAAGCCGCCGGACTCTTTGCTATGCAATTTTGATGCCGTATGCCAGATCTCCGAAGACAGCTTACCATGCAGACAGTGAAGAAAAAAGCAACGCCACCAACTCCTGCTGCAAAGACAGAGGTCAAATGTTAGGGGCATGGTGGGCGAGAAAGAACAACGAAAATCGAATAGCTGCTAGAGGGGAAGGGTATAAGATCCCTTCCAAACCAGAGCCTAGGTCATTGGGGGTTCGGGGTTAGAAGCTGACTTCGCCAGGGTCAGTCTCCAAGACATTCTCGTCCCAATAGCGTTGCGACGAGTCGTGGCGACCAGCGTGTTGGGAACCGAGCGCAATAGCTTCGCCTTCTCCTCTTTCAACGTAATCATCTTGGGTGATTTCCTTCAAAATACGCTGGAAGTACATCCTTAGAGATCGAAGGCCCCGGAGATAGCCGCGGTCGATATCATCCGGATGCTGTGGCGGGCAAGGAGCATCGGGCGATAATTCATCCTCGCCCGTAACGCAATTGGCAAAGTCAACGATCTTCAGCTGCACGTCCGTGTAGCCATCATCGGAGGCCTGACGCTGTAGAGTGTCTCGTATACTGGCCGAGCCCGACTGGCCATTGTTCTGAGACGCCTTATCCGGGGTTGTGGGTTCACCATCGTAGAGGATCAGGAGGCTGCTGGCGTACAGACGATATCGCTTGAGCCTCCGGATCATATTCTCCAACTTGGCCAGCTTTTCGAGAATTGAGGGAATCTTTTTTGCCACGCTTCTATAACTCGCACCGTCGTAAAGAAACCGCGTGAGAGCATCCTGAAATTCTCGCCCGGACTTGAGATCACGCCCAAAATATTTGTCCTCAAAAGAGTATTCTTGCTTTTTGACATTCCACGACTGCATGCCGCATAGACGAACGCCTAGCTGCTGCGATGTAGTTGACTGACACTTGCGTCTCTGGGACTTTCGTTTCTTCTCATCGGCTTCGATCCCATACTGACGAGTCCCCATCTTCAAATCTAACACACAGGGCTTGTTCATGCCTGCGGTAAGATCCTCCAGCAGAAGGAAAAACTGCACTCTATCATCCTGTCGTGTTTGAGCCTCTTTGGGATTAGAAGGAAGTTGAGTATCATCAACGTCCTTGGTTGCGGGTGAGAAAAAGTGTCTCGACGGAATGTCATTTCCCGCGCGACCGTCAAGATGCAGTGTATCGCTATCTACGCCATTGGGAGACGTCGGGACAGAAGCATTTGTAGCCGGCTGAGAGGTTAGAGCAATCGGATTATCACCCTCCATGGAGAAGATCCCGTCCTCCTTATCACCACCATACCCATCGTCTTCAAAGAATAACAGGTCGCCCCCAGGCTGCCCCGAACTTATGCTTCCCCGCCTTTGTAATCCACTCCCTGAACGACGACGTCTCACCTGCCGAGTCCGCGACATGGAGCTAGATCGTGGTGGGGACTCTTCGGTCCGAACCTTTTCAAGGCGATTATGGCTGGCCTCCAGTGCCGTGGATGCTGATGACGATAGACCAGGACCGTCCTTTGTTTGTCTGGTGATATCAATTGCCCCGGACTGGGTTGGTTGGGCTTGATCAGGCGCAATCCGGCGGCTGCTGGAGGTTTGGTCTTCAGAGAGGTTAGCTCTCCGTCGGATTTCAACACCATCGGATGATGTTCTTGGTAAATTCAGATGGCCTCGGGCATGGCGTCTGTGATGGTGCACAGCGGGTGGGCTAAAGACTTCACGAAGAACTTGCTCTTGCAGCTTCCTATTCACGGTTGTGGCACCCCACTGCTTTCTCTTCAGGGTTTGTGGCTCCTCCAAAAGACAACCTTCAGTTTTACCTTCCTTGGTCAACTGTCCAAACTCCACGGGGAAGCGCCTATTAGCCGAAAGCGAACCGTCTGCCGTCCTTGGCCGCTGACAGTGGGAGAAAAGATCCGCCGGGATTATATGGCGATTGTTTTCGAGAATAACTTGGGGAATGACGCCAGTCACCTGCTTTTGGCTGAAGATGCGTTGCGGTTCTGTCTCGTTTCGAGCGGGAGCGCGGCTATCCGCAGAGATCGCTCCGTCGTGGTCAAAACCGTTGGAAGTATGTGTTGCACTGCCACTATCTGGCCGCTCTGCATTCTTGGCTGGGGTCTTAGATCGCTTGGGCGTCTTCGAAAACGTGACATTGAGAACTCCAATGTATCTGATGGGAGGGTCAGTTGACACTAGGATCACCAAGCGTTTGTTGGGAGTACACGGTTTTGCTGATGGTTTCATACCTTGGCAGGAACATCAGCATCTCAGGATGCCTGCGCTCGATACGCTCGTAGAATTCATTCTCCCGGTTGTTGAGCTGCTTGCAAACGGCGCGTCTAGAAAATCGAAACACCGTTGTATGGCCACCAACTTGATGGCGATAAGGCTTCAACTCCACGGCTCCAAGGGGAGTGGTCGATTCATGCTCGCGGCGCGGACGCGTCACTCGGGGCCGCTGAGTCGGAGTGGCCGTCGGAGTGACTTCAGCCTCGTCCGTCACACTAGACTCCTCATCACGGACAGACATACCGCTTTCATCGGCAGATGCAAATTCGGATCCGCATGTCGAGGATTCAGCGGTGCGCTCGGGTATGAGGGCAAGAGACTCTTCACTAAGTTCTTCTATGGGAGCATCCTGCCTGCCTTGCAGGTCGCCGTGTAGGATTCTACTATCATTCTTAGATCGAAGGGATATGTCCACATGATTAGCTTCCTGCTCCTCAGAAACAACATGTCTCTTTGGCACCAGAACGTGACTACTCTGCGCTGTTGACATATCACCGGGCTCCACGCCATCTTGACCATCCGTAAAAGTTTGAACTTGGTCGACTTCCTCGGACAGTGTAACGCGCTCATGCGGGAAATAGACGGCAGAGGAGATCTGCTCATCTTCCTCATCTTCGAGCTGTCCTGAGCCCCGGCGTTGATCGCGACCCACGTCCGTTGGAGTAAGGTGTGGCTCGAGATGGTCATGATGCGCAGGTTCTTTGGAGAAATAATCCCTACCCCTTTCCGCAAATTGGGTTGGGATACTGCGCGAGAATGAAGTGCCACGGGCTCCTCCCGGTGTCAGGTGAAAATTGCGGATCTCGTCAAGGAGATTCCGAGGTAGGGCCTTGGGCTTTGACTTGGTCACACTATCGGTCGACATTTGCGGGCGAGTCTCACTTTCCAGGCGCGGTGAGAACAGGGTAGCATCAGCAATAGATAGTTGCGATAGACTTTTGGAGCCTGTAAGACCCGTCTCATCGGAAAAAGAGGGAATTTGCAATTGCGAGTCACGGTTTTCGCCAGAGTAGCGGGGTTCAGAATGGGCAGCTAATTGCTGCTTTTCATTCGGTTCCGAAAGCTCATCGTGTCGTCCCACTCGCTCTTCCCTGCGTTTGCGATCTGGAGAGGTGGTGTTCTCTTTGAACAAACCCAGATAGTGACTTGACTTGCGACTACGCACGTGAGAGGTTGGCTCCGAATTAGTCAAATTTGCTTCGATGGACTGCTCTACCCTGCCACGGCGGCCTCGACTCGAGCTTCGCTCGGGCTTTGCCACACGTGTGCCGTCCTGGAATTGCTGTCCGGACCAGGGATGTGGGATGGCTTCAACGCTGGTGACAGGGGACTTTTTGCTAGGCGAGCGTGTTACGTGCTGATACGGCGGCAAGGAAGCATCACTCAGCGAAGCAGAGAGAAGACTTCGGTGAGCTGACGGGTCCTCCGCAACGGCGGGCTTCGTCGCAGCATCGTTCGGTGTAAGTTTGCGAAGATGTTGCAAGCTCTCCCACACAGGGATATGTGCGCTCCGGCTTGATAGCTCCGATCGCTTTCCCAAGGTCGCATCGGAGTCCACCGGCAGTAGAGGGGAAGAATGAGGCCCCGCAGACGGAAGCAACGAGGGAGAGCCTAGTTGGTGCTTCCTGCGAACGTCAACTTCCATGTGGGAAGGGTCGACGTGAGTATGACGGGGGAGGAGGACCTTGTGAGGGGAAATCGGAGAAGGAGAGGAAGGAACATCTTCGAGGGGAGGTATCAGGCTAGTGGGCGGCCCATTATCTATGTCGTCCACGGGCGGAATTTGCGGTGTAACGACGAGTTCGGTATCGGAAGGAAGGTAGTGGGTTGCGAAAATGCTGTCCCTCTCGGACAACTGAGGAGTATGAGATCGATCAGGGCGGGACAACCGCTCAACAGGGACGGTGGTAGCCCTTTTTAGAGAGAAGGTTGATGCAGGCTTGGCCCATTGATGAGCCGTGGGGGATTCGGCGCGGGATGGGGAGGGAGCTTGTTGAACGTCGTCTTGAATGAGCTGGCCCCGAGGGTCGTGGTGGCGCTGCTGCTTGTCGTGAAGGAGTTCAGGCCTTTCGGAGCAATCATGTTGGGCAGACGCGGCAGGTGTCACCAGGGGTCCTGACCAGGTATTCTCAGTCGCGGATGCAGGCCTTGACATGGGGAGGACATTGGTCGGAGCTGCAGGGAGAGGACAGGGTCGAAAGGAGCCGAGAAGGAAGAGAGCGTTGTTAGGCTGAAGGTTACGGTTGGGTGGTTGTTTCACCGAGAGAGGCGGAAAAGGAAGGGGGGAAGGCGGATCTGTCGTCACTGCAAGAGAAACTCAGAAACCGGGACAATCGAGAAGATCAAGGAACCACCGCCACGTTCCGGGGCAAGGGCATCTTACAGGCTGGGAATTAGTTGCAGACCGGGGGGGGGGTAAGTAGCTAGGTCGGAACCCTCCAGACGGCTTAAACGGGAGAGAGAGGTTAATCGGTGTTATCGCAGTGGGAAGGATGATCGGGGATGGACGGAGGCTGGTGCTAGTGCGTAGTGAGCAGCAGGGTAGGTAGATAGCAGGGAGCACCCTCTGGAGTAAGCAGGAGGAGGCTAAAGGTAGTAAGTCTCTACTCCGTCAGCCGGCAGCAGTACTACTAGTACTGCGTAGGTAGGTAGGTAGAAGGTCAGTAATAGTAAGTGGTTTTAGTGGAAGGGAAGAGAGGAACTAAGGAAGAGAAGCGTTTGGCTCACTGCGGAAGAAATGACGCGGGTCCTCGTCACCGCCTTGGGTGGAGCCTTCTATTAGCAAATTTTGGGGAAAGTCAAATCCTACCCAGTCAACTGCCGGAGCGAAGAACCAGGACTGGGAACTCTCGTTCTTCTCATGACTCCTTCTTTCTTCCTTGCTTCCTGGATCTCTCGAATAGGTAGGTATGGAGGATGTCTCTCTGCTGTTGGGTACAAAGTTCTTCTCCCCCCAACAACAAAAAAACATGGCAATTGTTTTTTCTAGAATTTCTCAGCCACACGGAGGATCCACGAGGTCATGTTCGGCTCCCAATCCCCGAGGCTTCCATCACTTCAATGAGGAAATTAGCTGCGCCAATGACGACCGACAGCTCGCAGTATTCGATACGTAAAATCAACAACCAGCATGCCTCTCCCGCTCCCAATGGTGCGATGGCCCGGTCATTCGTCGGATCCTTCCTTTCTCGGCCATCCCAAATTCTAGCCCAGGAAACATGGTGAAGCGCAATGCATCTTATCTACGACATACCAAACACCGTGGGCATTGCTGAGACATTCCGAGTCAAAGCACTTCCTGTGTTCCGTGGGAGCAGGACTCTAGTCTCGATTTCCGATATGATTCCGGGGTCATTGACAGCTCCATCCCAATTGCTGGGACGCCCTTGGCACTTGGGCACTATAGATGTCGTTTCGCATGTGATGTGTTCTGTTTTCATGCTGACCCGACCCAAGGGGAGATCCCTTGCCCAGCACGGACGGAGTACGGAGTACACGGAACAAATAAACAGGTGCAGGCGCCGTCGGGGAACTCGGAATGCAGTCAACCGCCCTGCACAATGTATGGCTGGCTGCGTAGGTTTCTACATACAGACCCAAGAGAGACACTACATAGTACATCCTATCTATAGATAGAACTCTAGGGGTCAACTCAATTGGGATTTGTGGCTTGCTGCATCTGAAAGCTAATCCCGAGTTGACCTGTAACCTGCGGAGTCCGGAGCACTATTTCCCTACCGGTAGTAAGTTTGCCCCATCGAAGTTTCGAAGCTTCGGAAACCTTGCATCTGCCAGAACTTCCTCACGATGAAGGCTCCTGAATTGGTCGAGACTATTGAATTTTGAGCCCGGTGGGGTCACGATCTAGGAATCCCACTAATGACGGTCCTAGACCGATCCGAGGGGGCTACTAGATAACTAGAGATTAGAGTGCATTTACTCCGGACTCCGGAGATAGGTAGACGGTCGCTCGATAAGCCAGAGATAGCCCCCTGTACTGAGTAATAATCACATCATCGGGACTGATTAGTCTGGATTGACCAGGGGATGGATATGCAGGAGTACGAATTGTCTGGTCTCTCGGGAACTGATGCTTCATGGAGTGGACTGTTACAACCTAGGCATTCCGCACTTATCAACACCATCCCCACTCCCGCATGACCCGTTCCAGCGGGATGGACCAATTGTTGGCCAACGTGATCGACCTGTTGGCCATTGGAGACCTTCTCGCTCCCCCGTTATTGATAAGGGCGCCCAAACCACCAGATCCAATGCCTAAACCCCAAGCCCCGAACCCATCCCATCCCTGTCGGTCCCTTGCCCCTTCACTGTTCATCCCCATTCCCTTCATTTCCCTTTCTCGTGATTTCTTGGATTTCTCGGTTTTCTCAGTCATCTGAGTCACTCCCCACTTGTATCTTCCTCCCTGTAATCCCATTTGACTCTTCGACTACCTCATGCCTCCCAAGAACCTTGGGTAAGATAGATGCATTCGCCGGTATCTACGACGTGTATACTATCATTCTCGTCCATCCTGTCGTAGGCAAGGAAGACCACGATCACCAGATCAAGTTTTTCATTGGTTTGGCATTCCTCATGTACTGTTCCCGTTGGGTGCTGGTCAGCGCCTAGTACCCGAGGGAAGCTGCATCATGTTAAACCACCATGGTTCATTATTGCGCAACCCCCAAACCAGCCTGGCTGCGTCTTGCGAAATATGACTGTAGGCATTGGGCAAAGCTCACCGAAATCTCACTGGATTTCTAGAACGCACTTGCAAGAGTAAACCATTCTTAATCGTGGATATATATTCCGGCTAGTATAAAGAACGACCAACCTGATCATTGAAGATCGACAAGCCAGTGAAGATGGATGCTGCCCAGGCTCTCGTGCTTCGATTTCAAGTCGGTGCAATTCTTATCTCGAAGGGAAGGGTCAACCCAAAATATATTCAAACCATAAATTAGCGTTTGTTGTAGGACAATTCACAGTCCGTCAAAGGACATGGTGTACCGAAGTGAATAGAGACCTAGCACTCATGACCACAATGGCAAATCGTCGATGCTGATTCTGCTGGAACCTATTCACCTTGGAATTGTTCCACTAGCCAAGAGGTATCTCTTTTGGTCTAGTTGGAAAGATTCCGACAGATTCCTCTCCTTAACGGTCCAACCCTTTTCAATCCGATCTGCTGCCTTCTTAGCCATGGGTTTTACCACCCTCAAATGGCATGACTGACCCAAGTTAGCAAGGCAACCACATTTCATAAATCACAGGCCTCCGGCGCCCTTGGCGTACAGATTCTCATTCACCAGCGCCCCGGTGTACACGTTTCTACGGCACGATGCAACCTCCTCAACCGATCCCGGATGGACTTATGGTCATGGCTTCAATCCTGCAAGCTGACTTCTAGCGGTGGCCCCACTGGTCTTTTGACCGGACCACGCTCAGACCCAGACAGAAAGACGCTGCTTGAAAGTCCAGAGCCAGAGATCGCAAGTCCATCCGAGGAGGGGTCAATGCATCGGTCGACTGGATAACGATGTACCACGAGAAGCAGGATAGGTGGAGCTCCGCATGTGGAAATGGCAGGTATGAAGCATTTGGTCACAGTTTACTGAAATCCAGATAAGCTGCACCGATGGAGTGGTGCTAATGTCAACTATTTCGATAGGCTGACAGCCAAAGAGGGAACAACCACCGAACGTGGCTGTTTGGCCAGATCGCTATTCTCATATGGTCCTGAAGAAGTCAGGCTGGTTGTTACCTCGGGTTGGGACAGACCCAGTGATGTGCCGCTATCCTCCGCCCTGTGGGGAGTTCCTTCCAATCTACGACACTCCACCAACTCATAAATCACCTCCAAAATGAATCTCTCTGGGGGATTATGTTCAGCTCTAATCCGAAATCCATGACACCTGGCGCCTAGATTTGAGGGTAGACCTCAATTTCTAGCCCTTCAGAGCTCTAGCAGCAGATGATTGGAAGGTCCTGCAGATAGATGGATTTTTCTGATCACGAAGGTCCGGTGAAGCGTCCTGTCATACAGCTTCGCAATACTAAGGGCCTGCTTGTTCTCTTCAACAATGGTATAGCCTTGTCAGGGCGCTGTTCAACAATTCGAGGTCACACTGCTTGAAAACAGGAAACGATAATTCATCAGCTGCATAACTGCACCGTCGCCACTGTTGTTTCACTCAATCGAGGATGATAGAGTTCTCAATTCTCTATGCTCTAAGGCTCGTATGCTCAGGTGATACGGGAATTCTCGTCTAACACCGCTCTAACGAGGTTTAGCAGGTTTTAGGATAATGTGTTATGACACACACTCCAGAGATCACTTGGGCTTGTTCCTGTTCTTTCGACCTCCCAGAGTATCTGGTCGACTGCTATACCTATTTTTGTTAGCCGAAAGTCTGACATTCCGTCAGGCATGATCTGGAGGGACTGACTGAATAGAAGAGTATCAGCTGCAGCTGGTATACAACAACTGATCCTCGCCATAACCTCAGCTAAAGGTATGGTTGATAAATGATCCCCAACTCCCCCTTCCCAACCCGATTCCATATGCTAACATACTTTGCATCAGCCCTCAAACAAGATCCTACGAAGCGTGTCTCATTGCCAAACCCAATCTTCGTCCTTTTCAAGCCGGATTCCTGAACAACGAAATCTACAAAGTCACCCATCCAGCTAGATATATTCCGATCAACGTCCCGGAATACACCTCTAGGTTCAGCTGGGGTCAGTTCTACAGAGATATATCTCCGCTTAGTAACAGCGTATTGTATTCAATACACGAAGCGCCGTTTACGATTCAATTCACGGCGAATAAAACATGGCTTGTTTTAACTTTCAAAGCGAAGGTTTAATTTCCCAAGAAAGTTAATGATCTGAGACAGAAAAATGATCCGCAGATGGGCTGAACGGTAGGCATGGCTTCCATGTGGGTGGTGGACGAGTCTAATTTAGCTCGGAAAGCTTGTTACTACTAGTGGTAGAGGCTGTGCTATTCCCGCAGCCGATTGATTCAAGTGAGCGTATAATACGCGCGACAGCTACACTCGGCGCCCATTACCTGGTTGAGTGCTCACTCCCAGGTTATTCGCTGCCCGATTTATCCCCGCCACTAATCTTTTATCTTCTCATGGGCCAACCTCGTGCTGATGGATAAATTCTTTCTGTCACCGTGCTCGGTATGGCCATTTGCATGATTGTCTGTCTCCGTTATTGCATATCAACTAATATGGATGGCCAAAATCACGCAGACTTTCGCCAAACCACCCCAGACCATCTCTGTCCCCAAGTTGTTCGAAATCATAAGAATCGCCCATTATCACATCTGTACCCGAGCCCAAGAAGTGAGAGAGTACATCTGCAGACGTGAAAGAAGTCTCTGGGTCTCCGTAGTTCAAACCAAATAGATCATCATCATCATCACCCACGCCCGCATCGTCATTCTGAAGGGGCGGGGCACTGTTCGAAGGCAGGTCCATGTAGCTACTACCCTCGGCTGGGTGATCGGAGGGGAGAAGCGATCGCATAGTAGTCATGGAACCCTGTGAGCCCGAGGATATAGGGCTGCTTCGTATTATGCTGGAGCGGTGGTGGTGAGTAAATCGTCGTATAGTTGCCATTAAAACACGGTCAAGAACATCGCGACTTCTTTTTGCCTCGGGCCAATACTCGCCCATAGCGCTGAGGACGTCGGATGAAGACTTTAACGCCCGCATCAGAGAGTCAAGATCTGCTTCCTCGGCAATTCCGTGGGGGGTCCAAACACAGTAGAACATGACCATTAAGCACAAAAAAAGGGAATGGACACTAATCCACCCATAATGGAGGGAATTGGCAATGTACAGTTGGTGGTAGAGCTCGCTGCAGGTTATGGCGCTAGAAAGGCACTCTCGAAGGGATGCCTTGTCAGGGTTCTGGAACCTAGGGTTGGGTCGGAGGACTAGCATGACCAGTTCATGATACTTGATTTCACTCAAGAGATTTAGGTAGTATGGTGTACTTGCTTCCGAGTGTCTCGGGATCGCTTCTCTCCATTGTCGCAAGCGGATCAGAATGTCGACTTTCCAGCTCTCGGCGTCAGTGATAGCCGGCTGTGTGTATGGGGGATATTGTCGATCGACGCAGTACAGGACACATTTGATTTCGCTATTAAAGCGGGCAAGTTTGAAGAGATGAACGGCGCTGGTCATCTTAGTAAGTGGTTCGTGGCTTTGTCGAGGTTTGGGATGCTCTGTTTTGAGTTGATCATCGTCGATGTCTAACGGGTACTAGATGAGTCGTTCAGCTTTGGTTCGAAATCCGAGGAACCACTGATTTATTACATTGAGTTCGCACTGCTCATCCACTACACCCATCGGTCGTCCCATCAGGGTGCTCAAGAGCCGATCAATTGTATAGGTGCACCAAAAGATACGGCGGCGGACCTCTCTTTCCAAGAGCGTGAACTTACTCGCCGGCATATTTCGGTGCAGACCTAGCTCGATTGCCAGTGCCAGTCCATGGTGATGAAGAGTCCAGAGACTTAATCCTGATGTTGGGTTGTTGAGAGCATACATCTGAAGAAGCAAGATGCATTGCGCGACACCAACTGACGAAGTTTTCATTACTTTATCCACTAGTTTCATGGCAGACGCGAAGTAGCCCTCGGCTGATAACATGACCTTGGTCCGGCGCGAGAGTAGGGATGCACCTATTGCGATAACCATCAAAACCTGGAACTCGTCCACCGCGGTGACCTCAGTGTCGGCGTAGACCTTTTTAACAGTTTCCCAATACCAAGGCTCGTGTAAAATGGGAAATTGAAGGTGAACAATGTCGAAGTAAGCCTGGGAGAGCCATCGCGCATGCCTGTGATCGGAAGGCAGCTCTTTCGGCTGAGGAACCAAGAGATCAGGCGGGACGGCCAAACTGTCCGCTTTGACACCTGGGGTGCTGTTGTTATCGACATGAAGTCGCCTTCCAAGCCCAGCCAGGACGAACTTGGTGAAAAATAGCCCACTCGACGGACCCAGGTAGCGCAGATCTGTTCCAGTGGTGATGGAGACCAGTCCAATTTGATCATTTATCTCGCTGGGAGATTCAACATCTCTGGGCTCGCGGCTTTGCTGTGTGCGCTGGAGTTGGTTCCAGTCTCCATATGGAACGCCCCCGTCAAGGTTAGGCGAATGACCTGGTCCAGCAGTCAAGTCGATGCTAGGTACGTGCTCTTGAACAATAGCCTCGAGCCATTTGATTCGAGCCTCTAGATCGGCAACGTAACTTCAGGACATGGTCAGTTGCTGTTCTTAGAGACGGGGATGCAATAATACCCGTACCTCGGAGGAAACTCACGGGACGCCCCTCCGCCGATACATGGCACCCCTGCTCGCTTACAGGCACTGCAAGCTGGTAGCAAAGCATCACACTGTGGCACTGTCAGCATGTACCTCCAGCACTGGCAGTTGGAAGCTTACTCGGATCTTCCGTTTCTGGCACCTTGTGCAGGCGGTGCTTATTCGCGTCCGAACTTTTCGTGGTCTCTGACCTTGCTGTGCGGCTGGAGATGCAGGCTGATTTTCCATGGTGGCTGTCTAGTAGGAAAAGGAAGACGGACCAGCCCGATTGAACACCGATCGTGTCTAGGTAGTGAAATTGTGGAGGTTCGAGAATCTTGGTAAGCAGATTTCAGAGATATAATTGGCCGTGCTTTACAACCCACCATAGTATGCGGGGTATTGCCTCCTCCCTGCAAAACGCCTGAGCGAATGATCCAACTCCATTTTATCCTCGCTGAGGTGTCTCGAAATATCCATTTCCATAATCATGAAGCCGCACTGCACCGCGTTCTTTCTGTTCAAGTGAGCCTTATGATGGCCTGGGATCTGCCCGGTCTCAGTCACTTACGTCTTAATGGACCTGACGAGTAGGAAAGATATTTTCACCAATGCAATGGTGGTAACAAAAGGGCACGGCGACAAAGAGATTAATCACTACGGGGGTTGAAAGTGGATTTCTTCTTTCTCCGGTCAGCCTCGAAGAACAGACAGACAACGGATCTAGCCGACATCAGTCCTTACCAAGTTCTCACAAGCCGATGCTGTTTGGTCAAGTGACAACTGATCCTAGCTAAGATCGGGATTAAGATGTTTGAAGGACGTGCTGCATCGCCTCTGGCATTATGACGAACTCTATTTAAGCCCTTCCACACTCCTTCCTGCTCCAACCCAGGTCAATCACATCTGACTGTTAGCCTGACGCACATACGACGAAGGCTATTGATAAGCCAACATGCCTCTATACGAAGTTGCACACGCTGCGTCTCTTAGCCCAGGCCAGAAAGATTCACTAGCAGAGGCTATTACCGATCTTCACGCCAACAGGTTCAAAGTACCTCGTTGGTACATAAATGTGACTTTTACGGACGCATCTGTCCAGACATCTTACATCGGAGGTCGCCAGGTATGCTGAGCCATAATTGTCCCTTCACTTCATTTTATCTAATCATACTGGAAGCGTATCACTAATCGCATCACTGCTCGCGTCCGGAACGGCTCCACTCGAAGTCGAGAGGCATTCAATGAACTCTGCAGCGATATCAACGATGCCTGGCGTCGTATTGTGCATCTGGATCTCCCGACATCAACATTGCCGCCGAGGGAGCTTGAGTTAGCTGCCATTTACATCACGGGGGAGCTTCTGGCGGGTATGAAATTTGGGTTTCAGGTTCCAGCTGCAGGCTCTGAGATGGCGTGGTCTGAGATTCATCATTCCTCATTCAAAGCGAGAGCAGCCTTAGGGGACGAAGATTTTGTTGAATTCGTTGCAGGACTGGAAAAGAAGCCTGGGTTCAATAGATCGACTTGATGATGCTCCATGATTCCATGACAGCACAGCGGGTTTTCTACTTTTGTTTTTTTTTTTCTTTCAATCATATGTGTATCTGATGGATGCTTCGTTGCTCTAAAACAATACCGCATAAGGCCTACGCCGAACTCGTGCATAAGCCTAAAGCGATGCTTGCCAGAAAGGTGCGGTCCCTGCTTAGAAACATCGGGAAATCATTTGCAATGCATGCCCCTTCGCCTGCGCAGTAGTAAAGGACCGGGAGAAGCCTTGGTCGACGCAGCCGCACCAATTATTCCGAGGGTCGGTGAAAACTGGAAGGGGGGCCAGCCAATCAATCCAATAAAGTTACAACAAATCAGGAGCCAGAAAAGTATAAAATAATGGCTGGGTGTTCTGACGGGTGTTCCGTGCCGGATTCTAGCGCCTCACGGGTATTCCGTCCTTTGGCGGTGACGTATAGACTTGTTGCTTGTGAACAGTTCGGTCGCCATACAATCAATCTCATTGGGATTGAACGATGCTTCGGAGAAGAAACCGGAAAAAAATAGAGAACCAACGGGTTATCCCCGAGAATTCCCAAACTGAGCGGGATGTCCGGAGGTGCTTACAGACCTCCTAATTCATTCCATTGCCATAAATAGGGAGTGGTTTAGTTCTCGATGAGGGTGCTTTTCTTATTTATCATAGCCAGAATTATTTGATTCTCTTCTGCAACAATGCCGGTCCTCCCAAAAACATACAAAGCCTGGGTGATCCCATCGGTAGGCGCACCACTTGAGCTCCGAGAGATTGAGCTGAAGTTACCTGCTGCGGGAGAAATACTGGTACAGGTTCGCGCATGTGGTGTTTGTTACACGGACGTGGCGGTCCAGAAGGGTGAACTTGGCGACAACCTCTTTCCCCGCGTTCCGGGTCATGAGATTATTGGCGATGTTGTTGCCATTGGCGAGGGAGTCCAGGGGTTTTCTCTCGGTCAACGAATTGGTGGAGCTTGGCTTGGAGGTGAGTATAGATTTACTGAGCCCCTTCGTTCACCGTTCTACATGTACCAGGGTGTGTGTGTATGGTATGCTAACCACCGAGGGAGGAGAATAGGCCACGATAACGTCTGTCGGGCATGCCGCCGCGGGCTCTCCCAAGCATGCAGCAATGCTGTATACAACGGAGCCGGTCGCGATGGTGGCTACGCCGAGTTCTTCTTGCTTCGCTCCGAAGCGGCGGTTCCCATCCCCAAAGACATGGACCCTGCTGAGGCCGCGCCGTTGCTTTGCGCCGGGCTAACCGTCTTCAACGCCATTCGGAAGATGCACATCGAACAAGGGAGCCTGGTAGCTATTCAGGGGATCGGTGGTCTGGGGCATATGGCGATTCAGTACGCTCGGAAGATGGGTTACAAGGTTGCTGTTCTCAGTTCCAGCGCCGCCAAGAGGGATTTGGCGCTGGAGCTCGGCGCCCACGAGTACATTGACACTGAGTCGGAGGATGCGGTCAAGGTGCTCCAAGGGCTGGGTGGTGCAGCGCTCGTTCTCGCTACGACTTCCCATGGCAAGGCCGTTACTCCTCTGACGGCAGCCCTGCAACCAGGCGGGAAGATGCTCCTCTTATCCCCGTCTGGTGCCATGGAGTTCAATACGAACGATCTAATCATGGGCAATTCTGCAATTCATGGCTGGATCACGGGGAACGCTTTGGATGCTGAGGATACCATCGACTTCGCCAAGGCATTTGGCGTCAGGTGCATGATCGAGCGGTTCGCGTTTCTGGATGCTCCGAAAGCAGTGGACTACATGACATCAGGCTCGGTTCGATTCCGTGGTGTTTTGGTGTTCGATTAGATAGGAGTTTGTTCGACTTGTGCAGTCTAAATTGAGCTCTTGTCCAGCGCTCTGTCTGCGAGAAAGCCCTGCAGTGTTTATTGCGTAGGTGATCCCGACTGTTATTATAACAGGACAGTTTAGACTCAAAAATAAGATTACGTCGATATAACATGGTGTCGATGCTATAGCACACGTAGAAGTAGGAGCATCGAGCTGAGCTTAGCATACTCCCCCGGAAACCTGATTTCGAGGGAGTATGCTCAGTGTGGAGTACACAACGGTCCTGAAGGAGGCCAATGGATACTATGGTGTCACACGGACGAGCGTTCTTATCTCTACTACGATAAAGCAATGCCTCGGCCGATAACAATCCAGACACGGCAAACCCGCTCCGAGACGGGACAAGTCCGCTCCCGATCGGAGGTAAGAACCATCTTTCTACCCTGGACAATGCTGAACAGAACAATTGCTGATAAATTCGTTCTGAGGTTATCAGTCCATGAAAGCTTGCAGATCTGCTGCAGACGCCTGTATCCTGTAAAATGGGGTTAGGCTGCGAAGAATACCGGGGCGGGGTTGGGCGGGGCCCTTTTAGTTCTCACAACATTCCGCGAGACGGTTGGCAGTCCTATCACCCTCCTTATATAAGAGGCGTAGCTGTCTCTTTTTTTCTTCCAAGTCCAGATTCATTTAACCCTTTTCATAATCTGATCAACAGAAGCTCCTAAGCCAACAACCAAACAATGTACTGTCCGAGCGTCGGCGACAGGCTGGAAAGCCTCGACACCCCGTCCATGATCGTCGACCTTGACCTTATGGAGAGCAACATCAAAAAGCTATTCACTACTCTCCAGTCAACCAATTGCAACATTCGACCCCATCTAAAGACAACCAAAAGTGTGGTTCTTGCACGCAAGCTAGAAGCCGCAGGAGCAAAAGGTTGCTGCGTCGCCAAGGTGTCCGAAGCGGAGATCGTCGCCGCCGCGGGATTCGACGACATCCTAATCACCTGCGAAATCATTGGCAAGCCCAAAGTAAAGAGACTTGTTGAGCTGTTCAAGCAGCACAAAGCCATCCGGATTGTGGTTGATAGCGAGGCCGGTGCTACGGCCATCAATGACGAGCTGGCGCAGTCCGGCGTGTCGGAACCCATCGCCGTGTTGATCGATCTGGATGTGGGACTCGGACGCACCGGCGTTGCTGCTGGGAACCCAGCTCTTGCTCTCGCCCAGCATCTCGCTACATTGCCCCATATGCGCTTGATCGGGGTCCAGGGGTACGAAGGTCACCTGCAACATCTTCACGACCGACATGATCGCAAAACCCAGTGTTTACAGTCTATGAAGATCCTAGTCAATACCGCTGAGATGCTGCGACAGGAAGACTTCAATATCGAGGTGGTTACTACAGGAGGAACCGGCACTGCGGAGTTCTGTGCTACGGTGCCTGGGGTGACGGAACTGCAACCGGGGTCGTTTATTTTCATGGATACCGATTACCGCAACGCTGTTGGAACTTTCTATTCTAATAGCTTGACTCTACTATCCACTGTCATCAGCAAGCAAGGGGACCGTCAAGTCACCATCGACGCCGGTCTGAAGTCCCTCACTACCGATAGCGGCTTGGCCGAATGTAAGGACTCCAGGTATAAACACCAGAACCTGGGAGATGAGCACGGCTCGCTGAGCTGGGAAGACGGTGTGCCTAACTTGGAGATTGGCGACAGGGCCGAGATGATTCCTAGCCATATTGACCCAACCATCAACCTGCATGACTTTTACTATGCGTATCGAAACGGAGTTATTGAGGAAATCTGGTCCGTTGACACTAGGGGCAGAGTTCAATAGCAGGCCCTAATCCCCAAAACAGCATCAGAGCAGCGTTACTTCCTGTCAGGAAAAGCGGATGTTGCAGCTTCGCACCAGATCTCCTTCAAATAGCCTTCGCCGAATGATACATAGAGCTTTCTCTACTTTATTTACAATAAATCCTATATCGCGGTAGCGGCCATTCTATGGAGAAACTTCTACAGTATCCAAAATTTTGACAGTACTCATTCCACGACAAACCGAACGATAAGAGGAAGCTAGCTCTCCCTAGTTATCTCGAAATCCGCACAAAAATCCCCAACAAAACGAACTGATTGTAAAGAGACTTGACATCAATTAGACATTAGACCTATAGTAGCTTGACTTATCTCGTGGCAGGAACTAGATTAGACTGTACAGCGAATTTCTTTTCCATCAAGTGACATCCCATAAAATAGCAATACTCGGCCAAGATACATCGAAGAAGGAATGGAATAAATTCTGAATAACGAAGAAGAAAGATATAGACTCTATTCTCTAGGGATGGGATGGGATTGTGGGATCGTTTGATACCGTATGGTTTTATTGGAATCTTTATTAGGTAAAGCAGAGTAATTGTGATATGGCTAGTGAGGAAAGACTGGGTGGGTGCTGATGCCACTTGTGGTTTAATGGTATTGTAGGTTTGATTGGCATCAAGAATATCTAGCAAAGTTGAACTAAGACCACCCCAAGAATTTCTATCATCGTGAAGACTATTCCACTGTGCTGCGTAGAATCTCTAAGCAGTCTTGAAAATGCTCCATATAAACAGCCACCCTCAACTGCACTCATTATAAGCCTATTCCCAAAGGATCAGTACACATGCAGCGGAATTCAGAGGTCAGAGGTCGTTACTAACCGACGGCAGTGGCCAACGCAACACCGACACCTTGAGCAGAAGCAGGGTTCTGACCAGTAATAATCTGGCCATCCACAACAACCATCTCCTTCCAGAGCTGCTCGGCCTTGACATAGTTACCCCCGACTCGCTTGACCTCATCCTCGAGCAAGACCGGCATAGCCCCAGTAAGACCAACAGCATCTTCCTCTGCGTTACTGAACCCGGTTGCCCTACGGCCTTCAAGAAGCGGCTTGCCGTCCACCGTGGCATTAACAAACACAATAGGCCCATGACAGACAGCCGCAACAGTCTTGCCGGCCTTGTAAAACTCTTCAATTAACTGAAGAGAGGTCTTGTCCTTGACTAGGTCGAACATGGGTCCGTGGCCGCCTGGATAAAAGATGGCGTCGAATTCGGATGCCTTGCCTAGGAAATCCTTCAAGGGCTTCGTGGTCTCCCAAAGCTTCTTCTGGGATTCAAAGAACTTGACTGAGATGGGGTCGTTTTGGAAGTTCTTGACCGATCCTTCATCGATCGGCGCCATGCCACCGGCAGGAGACGCCACGATGATTTCGGCCTGAGGGTTGGCCTCATCGTCACCTACCAGGTGGTAGTAGGGCCGAGCAAACTCAGGCTACCGAATCACAATCAGTGATTTGATTCTATTTCTTGGTGCTGATGGAAAGACGAAGAGAACTAACCAAATACCACCCAGTGGGTTTCCCATTGCTCATCTCGCCGCAGCTGGTCAGGACGAATAGAATCTTAGGAGCCATGACTTAAGGGTTCCGAGTAGAAGGGATATGAAGGACTTTCGTAAGAGTAGTGGATGAAGTTGAGTACAGTAGATGATGTTGAGCACAACAATTCATGTTTCCCCTGCCATGATCCAGACTTTATAGGGAGGGGATGGCAACGCCACAATACGAATCAATTTGTCAAACCATGATCGATGCTGCTGCTCGGCAGGAGACTTCCACCGAAGATTCCATGACGCAGTCGATGACAAATGTGATGAACACCGTCTTCTTTTGAGGATTTTGTCAAGATGGAAGCGGGATATCCGTCTTCTCCGCGCCGCGAAGACGGAACTTCCGCGTCATCACGTGACTGCGCCATATGGTAGAATGTACATGACGAGAGAGGATCATTGGTCTATGGTGATTACCAATAGCCAATCTAAACTTTTTTCGACGTGTTTCCTAATGTGACTAGTGTTCAAAACGTACGATACAACTATGTATGTATTTTTCGTCCCAAGGTTCTATGAACAATCCACACTTCGCTTGCCTTGGCATGGGATGTAACAGCAAACTGTGTGATGCTTATAGATTCAGAAGGTGGTGGAATTAACAAGAGGGAATGATTACATCGTGCGAGCTATAAGAGCACCCACAGCCGTGGCAGTCCATTCCATCATCCACAAAGACCATCCCAAAATGTCTACTCAGGAGACCGCAAAGACTCTATACTTGGAAGCCAATGGCACCAACTACACCTACCGCATTATTGGAAATCGGAGCGATGATTCCTCCCCGCCCCTTCTTATGCTCAATCACGTTCGATCTACCATCGACACCTGGGACCCTTTTGTCATCAACAACCTGACCGCAACCGGTCGTCAAGTCATCACGTATGACTACGCCGGACTGGGCCACAGCAATGGCACCATCGCGCCCAGCATCAGGGCCTTTGCTCTCAACCTACTGGCCTTTCTCAGCGTCCTCTTACCCACCATGCACACGCCTCACGTCGACGTGCTTGGCTTTTCCATGGGAGGCTACATCGCCCAGCAGCTGGCTCTCGACTCTCCCGATGTTGTACGCAAACTGGTTCTTGCTGGCACTGGGCCTAGCTTGGGTCCCGACCTTGAACGCCCCATGACCGAAGTCCAGTCAACAGTCTTCAATCCGACTCCAGGAATCCCCACTATCGAAGCCTTCTTTCCTTCTTTCACCACCGGAGACGAAGGCGCCGCTTGGTTCAATCGAAGCACAACCTCTCGTACCGACATGGCTGGGCAAAATGGCGAGCCGGATATTGCCCTCTTTACTACGGGAGATGATCTAGTCAACCTCACCCAGGCATATCTGACTTGGGATGCTGATCCGGTTCCTTACGCCCTCCTTCAGACTATCCAGAAGGACGCCCTTGTCACCAATGGCGATAATGACCTCATCGTTCCCACTAAGAACTCCTATGTTTTGGCCAGGCAATTGCCCAGAGCTAATTTTGTCATGTTCCCCAGCAGTGGTCACGGTCATTTATTCCAGTATGCTCGATACTATACTAAACTTGTTGGCGAATTCTTGGATGGAATGCTCCCCACGGCGCCGTTTTCCTCTGGCAATGCTCCGGCATTTGGGACCTACGGTCGTTATAACCAGTAGTTGCTAAAGCTGTACTGGACTGGAAATTACGTCTTGTAACAAGAGAGTGATTCGTTGATTCTGATATTTCGTCTTTGCTTTTTTTTTTTTTTCTGTTTTTGTCGATCATGTAGAGTAGAGACAGCAACCATATGTTAAGATATCTTCGTGCAATGAATATTTCTGCTACCTAAATTACAACATCGCATTCGCTTATTCATGAAGGTTTCACGCACCAATATATGGATAGTTAGTCGAGAATGATAATTCCAAATGAAGGATTAGGGCTTTTTTAGCAGGAATAGTACGCCATCATATTATTTTATCTTATTGTTATATAGCATCGCCGGGGATTTTGACAGTAATGACTCATTAAGAGTTCTCATAATATAAATGGGGTGTTACAGATATACTATCCAGGCTAATTACATACCAGTAATTATATAATTTTTTATATTTTAATTATATAAATTCTTATATGAGCTTTTATATAGGCAAGTGATTTTTTGACTGTAAGTATGGTTTATTTGACCGGCGCTATACTGAAGTAAGCGTTAGTGCTGGTAAGGGCCCTATTTGTTTGAAAGAGGAATTACAAATATCACTTGTTTTCAATTTTTATTGTATTATTGAATGATTCAGGCCTCTGCGAGGTTGTGTGTCTTTCTCTGTCTGTCTCGTCTGTCTGTCTTGCCTGCTTGCCTTGATCCCACGTACGTCCGACGATTCAAACAGAATAAACTTCCTATATTTAATATCTTATATTCTGAGTATGACTATCTAGATGATCTCTGTTGTTGCTGTTGCCTGTCTGGCAGCTGGCTGATCGCCTCGTCGCTTTACCCGTTGGCTTTACGTGGCAGGGAAAGTACTGCGAAGCGCCTCTTGTTCGACGGTTTCACGCGAAGACTTTCATATCTGCATTGACGGCTTGTCCTGGTTGGGTTTAGCCAAGCAGTATATAACAGTGAGCCACTTGCCTTAGGCATAATGCACACTCCGGCAGCTCGCTGCCACATTGTTTCTTTCGAGCTTGACAAGGGCGGCAAGAGCGAGGGGCCGAACGATCCAATATGAGTATCCTTCTACTTTCTCCAGACATGTCGATCTGACGAACCATATGTGTATCGAGCGGAGAATGGGATCTGGAGGTCGTCGGTGGGATTCAAGTCGAGAAAGAGAAAGTCAGGTGGTTCACTGGATGGCGGAAAATGCGCGCCGCCCATCGGGGAAAGCGCCATACTGCGGGGAATGTGCCGCATTGCGGGATGAGCGCCGCGAGGAACGGGCGAATAATGACATCAAGTGATATTATTCGCGGGCTGATACCTGTTGACTCTACTAGATCCGGAAGACCCCTCGCCAGATCCCACCCTCGACCCCCACGTCAACCACCTTAGTTCGTCCCCGTGCAAGGGAAGATCGGTGGGATGTGAAAAGTGGATTTTGCCTAATACAACCCAGTATGTGCCCCAGGTTCCAGTATAAAATATGGGTGATAAACTCCCTGAATCGGTTTGGATACCAATTTCATCCCCATCAGTTTCATATCACAGCTTGCCACCCTTATACTCACCATGCCTCTCTATGAATTTGAGCACGCTATCCCACTTAAAGAGTCCGAAAAGCAGGCAATTGCGCATGGAATCACAGAGTTTCATGCCAATGCATTCCACGCTCCACGGTATATTGTGAACTGCCGGTTCATTGATATCTCTGATGGACCGTTGTCCGATATTTTCGTGGGAGGTAAACGCCGCCAAATCAATCGCCTCTTTGTCACTTTGCGGAGTGGAACCGGTCGGACTGTAGATCAATTGCGTGTCTTGATAGACAGCGTCAATGACGTTTGGGATAATACTGTTGGAGGTGGTGGATGGGAAAAGCAGCTTAGGAGTGTGTACATCAAAGGCTCCATTGATGCTGCGAAGGAGGGTGGCTTTCACCTTCCATTGGTAAGTGGCAGTCCTTCAAGTGCCACTGGAGGTTGTGCCCTGCTGTTAACAAGCTCAGCCCGAATATTTCGAACAATGGGTGAAGGACAACACTACCCAGTTTCGAACCTTAGCTGCAGAGGGCGATCCAGACTTTATTCAGCTCGCTGAAGAAATCGAAACCCGGCCAGAGTTCCAGAGATGAGTTATGCCAGACTTATGACCATCGAGCGAGGTCAGCAACAGCCCAGAGAGGGGGCTTTGGTACAAACGTGATTGTTGAGTTAGCGTCATGGTCGGGAATGTTCATGGAGCGTCGCCACATGATTGTATAGTCACTCGCAGATTCCCAACCTGCTGTGGGCTCTATCCTGGGTACTTGATGTTTTCGGATGTTTGTGATTATCTGGTTAGCTTTCTCACTCTTTTCAACTGATTTTAGTACTGAACTGAATAATTGCACGTGGACCAGATGTCTAAGTATGCTTTGAGTGGATGCAAAAAGGCAATTGAATGAATTCGATGGATGAGCATCACGCTAGTGTGAACACATGTTGTGGTTTGTTGAAAATGTGTAGGCTGTAGCTTGGTGATGGAAAGCTTTTTGAATGCGTGAACTGGGTATTTCGAGATAATTGCGTTGATACATGCTCAAATAATAATGGGGTAAGGGGAGGGGAGGGGGTGATAGAACACTCCGTGAGAACGATCGTCACCATTGGATCCTGAGGCACTCAACGCTAGCCGGAACCAGTTAGCGACCACAGTCAACCATTGGCCCGCACAACGCTAGTCCCAAAATGATGTGGCATTTGGATAGTTCCAATGCTACCCCCCTTCTCCCTTCTTCCTTCATCTGCTCATCTTGCTAGAGTACTAATCTTATTACTGGCTCTAACGGCCCCTAAATACACTTCTGCTAGGAGGTATACCGGGAATCATGTTTGAATGATCATGCATGGCCACGCTGTGCGTGAAGAAACGCATTTTGGAATCATTTTCTCCCGTCTCCAGCAAGTTTATCATGGTAAATCATGCGTTTCTTGCGCTGGTTGGACTTGATGAGAAAGTTGAAGGAAGGTTTGCTTCTTTTATCTCCGATTTCTTTGAGTTTTCTGTTCTAACCGGTTGCTACAGTGCGATGAAAAGCGGCCACTAAGGAGTCTCTCGGGCGCCAAAGCTCAGGTCCTATCATATTGAATTGAAGGGATGAAGCTGCATCTCTGAAGATGTATGCCTTGAACCAAGGTCAATCGAAACTGTCGCGGTTACTGGGGATATTATGGGGTAAACTTCCGCTGTTATGTCAATGCTGCCTCCAGTCTAGTCCCTCCCGAGGCTCAACGAGCCGCCTTGGCGATATTTATGAGAGATGATGTGATCCTGTCTGATGACTTTAGCGTCTGGCATGGGCTTTTGCACTATCTTCATGGAGCAACATCCTACAGTAGCGTGCAGAATCTAGATTCGGCTCTAGCTCAAGGTCAGCTTCTATCTGAACGCATGAACGCCCAGTTGGTCGATCCGGCCTCTCGCACGACGAACTTGAAAAACCTTCCAACATGTGGCGACACTGACCACCTCGTTAACCTTGTGTACATCCGGCCAGCCGGACGTATGACAGCCGAGGATGATCTGCTCCTGGAAAGGACCATCAACACACCTTCCCAATCTGGCTAGGGCTCGGATAAGGCTGATTCGTAGTGGGAAAAGTGGAGAGGCGCTATCCGCCACCTACGGCAAATGCCCCCAGGGGCCAGGCAGTCACCACCGGGACAACATCACCCCGTTCAACATGCCCAGCAAAGGCCTCTCTGTCTACAGCTATATCGGCGTCCCCGGGTACGCGGTCGGCTTTGCCGTGCCTCAACAGGAGGTGCTGCGTGATGCATCCCACAACTTTACCAGCCATCAGCTCGAAATTGAGTCGTCGAATATTCAGGGGCTCGACAACTTCACCGGTCGTTATGAGTGGACTGTATTTCGCTATGGGGAGCCCGTGGCCGACGCACATAATGACATCAACACTCTGACTGGCAAGATTGAAGGAGGTACGATGGTAGCGACGCAGGACTTCCACCCGATTATCACCGAGGACGCCATCATCACCTACGGCTTCTACGCGGCGGGCCACGGTGTGGTCGGTCTCACCAACCGCCACCAGTCCTATGTGACGATCTGCTCGAGAGAAAACCGCTCCTGGATGGGCAGCGTAGCTCCACCAGGCTCCCCAGCTGCACAGCAGCCCTTCTCGCGCTTCGTGCTAGCCGCGCCGCACGACAACGGGATGAACAGCATGATGACATGTGATTCGATCTTCGATCATTTAAATACGGACATGCTGGCGGTTGTCCGCAAGCTGGTCCCTCTGTTTGAGCATGTCAACCACGTCCCGGACCACTTCCTCATGCAGAAACTGCCGCACATCGTCTACGGCCTCTCCGTCACCCAGAAGAAGACCATCTCCATCATGCTTGCTATGGGAGCACGGTACTTCGAGTTCCGCCCAGCCAAGCTCCTCCCCATGTTCCAGAAGGTGTCTGCCTTGCGAGACACATTCTACTTCCAGCACGCGTGCATCCCGGGACTTGCTTTTGACGAGTTCCTCCGCGAGCAGGTCGCCTTCCTCGATGAGAATCAAACGGAAATGGTTACAATCCACATCCGGTGGGATAACATTGTGGCAGACTGTAAGCGACCGACAATGGACGAGACCACTCAGCTGCTCAACGAGGCATGTGCCCGAGCAATTCGCAGCCCTCTCACCTGGGGCGCGCGCGAGTGCTTTGACCAGCCGATCGAGGATCTGCGCCGCACAGGAACTCGCCTCATCGTTGTCATCGATGCCGATAAGTACGATAGCTGGACAGCCAAGGCATATGCTACGCTCAGCGCAGACTCGATCATCGGCCGTTTCGAGACCATGACTACCGAGGGCCAGGAGAGCTCCGACCTGACTATCCTGCAGTGCCAGGCGACGTCCCAGTCCATCAAGGAAGTGCTTGTCTACAGCGTTGTCTCCGCCCAGGGAGCCAGCTCCTGTCTTACCTCGACCAAGGGAATGCTCGACATGCGCACTCTGCCGTGGATTAGAGAGAATGCTCTTGACAGGTTGCGCGCTGAGAAGACAATTGTAATTATGAATGACTTCATCGACGGAGCAACTGTCGATACGTCTATTCTGCTGTCGAAGCAGCGACTTACCTTGTAAATTACTTTCCATACATGACTGGTGCATGTATGTCTCATAGATCGCGTGGACGATTATCATTTGCTTTGTCACTAGAACATCATACCATATTTACTTTGTGTACCTTGAAGCCGAGCATATGGAAGACGGAGGTGCTGTAGCCGCCCGTAGGTTCTTTCAAGTTGTCCGTTGTTACAGGAACAATGGCTTTTTCAACATAAGCTCACCAATCCAGGGGCAACCGAGGGTGTGAAAGATGGGGCGAAGCTTATACTTGGAGCCTGAGGCATTAAATCAATCCAGTCACGTGGTGTGATCTGTACGAATTCAAAAATCCTCAACCTTGTCCGTATGTGGTGATAGAAAAGACGAGGGCTAGTCAGGTAGCAGTATCGTCGGTCTTTTTTGTTGGGTCGATGGCCACCTACACCGTAAAGGAGGGGTTCAGCTGTCCCAGCCGCCCGTTCGACCCGAGAATCAACTTCTGAAGCCAGACTCAGCCGCAGCGCCAGATTGTTTGGTCTTGAGGCTTCTCTGAAATTGCCATGAAACCAGACATTAGCGCGCTATTTCTTTTTGTCGTTACGCCCTCTGAGGGGCCTTGATTTCGTTGTGTTTATTGGCCATTTTCACTGATTCTCCCGCAGGTAGCCCTGTGGACTATAGAGCTAGTTCGGTAGTGACTGTTGCTAGTAAAGCATGTTAGTGCCAGCGGCTGGGTAAAACCAGCAACACTTTGGGTGGTTATGATCACCCTTCTTGGATGGTGAACGTTGGAACCTAGTTCTTATCCGCCAATGCGATTGCTCATGTTGGTTGGCCAGTGGGCGCTTCGGCACCTTCCAATGTGACGCGGCCGACCGATGTGATGAGAAGTGCTTCCGGGCCCAACAGGATCTTCCGAATGACCGCCAGACCAACAGAACTCATCACTGGTGTGAACAGGCCACATAAGGGCGCAGACTAGGGGTCGCTCGGCGCAACATGTGCTTAGGCACTTGGGCTCTGGCCATACACATCCCGGTTCCCCCGCCGCGCAACTGCACATCCCAGGCACTATCTCCACCCGGGTGATTGCAATTCCCAGTCCAGCCGATACATACTTAATCCGGCCGCCTTCCACTTCATTCCAAATGGGCTGTTGGATGATCTTTGTTTCCTTGATCACCGTGAGTCAGTTCCGTACTCTCACTTTGCTACTCAATTGATGCTCTCCTCCGGTTAGCTCGGGGAGGGTTTGCGCCTCGCCGGTACATGTAGATCTCCACGAGACGACCCCATTTGAGCGAACAAAAGACAAGGAGTCGGGCATTCTTTTCCCTTGGCTATAGCTCTTGGCGCTGTGGAAAAGCCGATAGGCTATATATGCGACCCAAGGGCGGAGGCTATCTCATACCAAGAAGTGACCGCCAGCATGAGCCAGCAACTGCATCTGAATACATCCAATCTGGGGGGGAATCCAAGATACTCATATCTTGAAACCCCGTTGGAGATGCATGCTCCAGGTAACCGATTGAGGAGCGAGGCCCAACCACCGGCAGCGACGTCGACCCTCCAGCCAGCGGAGATACAGCCTGTCATGGAGCATTTTCAACCGCCTCTGAACGAGAAAGCGCAGCAATACCAGCAAGACATGGCTGTCTCCGGCTATTCCTGCGGACCCAACCTTGAGCAGCACCCTGCCAACTATGCTCCATATGCAGACGAGATTCAACAAGTCCAGCACAACCCCAAAGTGGCCGAATACCCGTATGCAGAGCCTCCGCGATCTCCGGGGCCACTCCCAGTCAAAGTAAATCCCGAGTTATCCCAACCACTGCCGAGTACACAACCCATGGCTGTTGTTCCAGATGCCAACCCTTTGCATTCGCCCCAACTACCCCAGTTTCCCCCTCCAGTTGCCTCGGGGGCACCTGCAACGCCTGCAGCGATTGACCTCATGGCGTATCATCAGCCGGGTCAGATCACCCATCCCGACCTGGAGATCAGAGGGGGATCGTGGCGCACCCACATGTGCGGTTGCTCGGATATTGGGGTATGCTGTCTTGGGCTGACGTGCCCATGCATCTTGTACGGGAGGACGCAATATCGCCTTTCAAGGAAGTTGAGAAGTGAGGATCCGACGAATATGCTTGGGTACGATGTGTGCAATCATTCCTGTACCGCCATGGCATTGTGCTGTGGTTGTCACTGTGAGCAAACACTTTTCATGTTGATTCATCACGAGTGGAATGGCTGACCCGCTGTCTTAGGGATATTTGCGACGCTCCAGCACCGTCGGACACGCAAGGTGTATGGGATCGAAGGGGATATCATCTCGGATTGTGTTCGAGCGACGTGTTGCACATGCTGCACGCTCATCCAAGACGAAGCCGAGATTAAGAAGCGAGAGGAGGAACGCGGGATATTTGCCGGGGCAGCTATGGTATCACCATACATGCCCCCTGTACAAATGTCGTACGGTCCGCCTCCGAGGTGACCGGCCTTGTATGAGTTGTCTGAGATGTCTCATCGGATTGACACGGTTGTAAAGCTAGTGGTTGATCAATCTTGTCTTTTGTACTACCATGTGATGGATCTTTCGTCAACTGCTTTTTCCATGGCAGTCATCTTGCGCTGCTTCTGTTGTGGATACAATTCGTTAGGTTCTGGGTGACCTGAGTTGAAGCCTGTACATACATCATCAATGTCCCCGGAGCATGTTCTGAGGTCATCCCTTCAAGAGAGTTGTTGTTGCTGTACTTCATTTAATGGACTCGTGTCTTGTCTTGATCTTTGGGAAATGTGGAAGTGAAGTGAAGTGAGAAACCTCCCGGCAGCACAGCAGGTCCCAAGACCGCCCGAGTACCCCTCCTTCCCAAAGAAACATAGTAGCATGCTTTATACCATGTTCCAATTGCCCTCATCTCTTCCATTTTACAACCTTCACTGAGCGTGCCACTGTCTATGCTTGTGGATTTCCATCTTATCAATGTTTCTCTCCCCTCGACTCGATAACCACCGGGCAAACACATCGCCACTTACCCCACAAGATGGTCTACCCTGATTACTCCACCAAGGCTCGAAGGTCCCTGCAACTGTGTGGCCCACCAGAACCCCGGAGTGACTCTTTACCTCCCCTTGTGTGCGGCTCGGATGACTTGTCGGTTTGTGGTCCGCAGACCCGACGCTCCCGACGGCTGAGGTGTATAAGGGACCAGTCAGCCATCCCGGTTGAAATCCAGTCTGAAGAATATATCTTATCGGGCTACATACCAGTCTGAAGCGGTTGACATTGAAGATTATAATTCTGGCAAATTGAAGGTCGCAGGGATGGGTATGGACCGCCGATGCCGAGATACCAGCATTTGCTAATGGCGGACAGGATTAACGCCCGTGCATTTTTTCTCACATGGCTCGACCATGATGCTGGGGGAAGAGTCTACCTCTGCAGACTACTGGCGGAAATGCGGGGATGAGGCGCTGGCACATGGCATTCGGGGCGTGGTTATTATGGTAAGTTTGTCATTCCAGTGCTCGATTAGTCCCCATGTACTAATATTGTATCTCAGGGCGCCCATTGGGACTGTTACGGAGATCAAATCCAAGTGTCGACGAACCCCAATCCCGGCAAGAGTCCCGTTGCATACGTGCACCCCTCTAAGTACGTGGACTATAAGCTCAACGCCGATCTCCAGACGGCACGACACTGTGTCGATCTACTCGCTAAGGAGGGCTTCAATGTAAGCGGCAACGACACCTTTGACTGGATCCATGATGTCTATCTCATCCTGATTCGGATGTTCCCTAACGGCTGTCCGCCTACGTCAATTATCTCGTTGAATGCCCGGTACGACCCGCACTATCATATGAAAGTTGGGGCGGCGCTTCGTCAGCTCCGGGCGGACAATTTCCTTCTTATTGGCACTGGGGGCGCGGTGCATAATCTGTATCGGAATCGGTGGGCGCCGATGCTGCGCTTCCGGGATAATTTTGCCATGGATACGCCGCCGGAGGGGTGGGCGTTGGGGTTTCGTCAAGCAGTGGAAGATGTGATTCTGAAGAGCTCGGGGCCGCGGCTTCGACGTGCTATGACGCGGTTGATGAAACATCCGGAGTATCGGGATGCGCATGCCACCGATGATCATTTCATGGCGGCGATGTTTGTGGCGGGGGCGGCGGGGGATTGGGAGGATGATGGGAGTCCGGCGGTGTTGGGGGCAGAGACGTGGGAGTTGACGAATATGTGCAATTCTCAGTTTACGATTGGGGCTTGGGGGAGTAAACTTGGATAGTTTGTGTATGGTCTTTGACTTGAGGTGCCAGATGGGCCGGTGAATTGGGTAAATGGCTATCCCCTTAGACATCAGCCAACGGCACCAGATAGAGGAATGGCAGAATCAGACCCAATATCAACCCGGCTGAAACACGTGGAATGGGGCGCCTCGCATCTGGCAGATCGGAGGAATGACCCTTGCTTGCAATCCCAACCGGGGATGCAGGAGCGAGGAGACTGAGAGGTTCTTTTGACGCGTTGAAGACCGATCCGGGGCCACGTGATGGCAGCGTGTCGCACCAGACGAACGTCCGGAAGTGGAGCACCAGATCGCGATCTAGAAGCTTCTTCCAGGTCCAGCAAAGGCCACACCCCGAATCTTGACCGTCGTGGCTTGTGATGGGGGCGGCGGAGGTGTCGATCGTGCCTCAATCGCCAATGTCAGGAAAAGGGCTCCGGGACAGAGCCTGACTCAGCGGAATCTGCCTGCAACCGTTCCGCCATCAATCCATCAATCCAACCATCCCATCCATCCGTTATCCATCCACGCTTTTCCCTTCAAATGCGAGCTTGCTTCACCCTCATCCCACCCAGTCTGCGTCACTGATAGATGTCTTGCGTGGCGTGCCCTCTTCCCTCCCTGCTTGTCCACCAGTCCATGCCGCGACAGGATCGCTCCTGGCCGTCGCATCATGGCGGCTGTCAACCGGAACATGTTTGACGCAAGCGTCACCACCGATCGCCCGCAAGGGGCTCCGCTGATGGTCCTGCCACTGAATCTGATAGCAGTGATTGTCTCCTACGTTTGTCTCGATGCTGCTGTGATTAGGCTCATGCAACCGCTGACCCGTCGCTTTGTCTGTGCAGGTGGATGATCCCGGGGATCTCGCCCGTCTCTGTCGAACATGCCGCGTCCTCAACTACATGGCCCTGCCCCAGCTCTACAAACACATCACCCTGACCTCTTATGACAAGATTCGGTATCGGGATGAGGAGCCTGAGGGAATGGGCAGCGCCAGTCCATTCTCGATGGGACTGAACGCCATCATCACCCGTCCTTATGCCACACTCGTACGGTCGCTGACGCTCCGGGGCAACTGGCGGGAGCTCGAGCTGGAGGAACACGCGCGCGTGGGCCGCGTGCCGGACTCGTCGATGATGCTGAACATCGCGGTACGCGCGGCGGTGGATAAGATGACGGAGCTGGAAAGCTTCAGTTGGGAGCTCAACACCAAGATGCTGGAAACCGTCTATGTCGGGCTGGCCCGGTTGCCCAAGCTGACCGCGCTGACCTTACGGTTCCCCTCAAGTCGCCATCCCCGGCCGACGATCGTGATCCCGCCCATGCCGCACCTCCGATACCTCAAAATCACCGATATCGACCCCCTTTGCTATCCAGATGACATCTCAACCCTCTTGTGGAAGTGCCGCAAGTTGCGGGAACTCAACATGCATTGGTCTCCCCGAATGCGGAATGCGCAGGAGCCCAGTGTCATGGTCCACGACTACTTTCGCAAGTGCATCGCTGCGAAACAGCCGCTCTCGATCAAGAAGCTCGGCCTCCAGAATCTGTACGCCTTGCACACGGAAGACTTCAATCGGGCTGTCGATAACAGCACCGTCGAGGAAGTGACCGTTCTCAACAACAGCGGAGCGGAGCTTTCGATGAACACCTTTGTGGACAGCACTTGGCCCTCGGCGCCAGTGTTCCGCATCCGCATCAAATCCATGCGGCAGGATGCTGTCTCCCGGAAGCATGCCGATTTCCTCAACAATTTCACTGGGCTGGAAAGGTTATACTTTGTCAATGCCACCCTGAATCCCAACGACGACATCAACTCCCCTCGGCCTCTAACCTCCAATACCGTACTCACTCCTCCCGCGTCCGACCTCTCACGGTCCGCCAGCAATGGATCCTTTACCACTTGTTCCAATTCACCCAGCTTGCATGCCAGCACCCGCGATCTTTACCTGAACAACATCACGATGAATCACGCCGCCACCTTACGACACCTCTTACTTCCCGCTCGTTGGCCGCTCTCCGCACCGACGGTGGCGCGCCTCGTCCACGCCAGCCCGCAATTAGAACAGCTAGGCTTCGCCACGGAGTTCTCCGATCTGGAAGCATTAGGACTTCTGCTCCCTTTCCTCCGAAATCTGAAAGCGCTGCGCCTTCTCATTCCGACCAACTCTACGCCATCCGATGCGGGTCGTGGTCCCCCGCCTGCAAAAACACTCAAATACTCCTCCCAGTCGGCCAACGCCTTAGGTTCGGCCCTGACTATCTCCGACCTCGTAGACGCCGACGATGAGATCCTGATCGCCAGACTTAGCGAGTCCCTTGCAGACCAGCAGGTTTTTCACCGGCTGAAGATTATTGGCTTGGGCCGGAAAGGCTTCCAGCTAGGCGATTACTATACGGTCTCGGCCGAACAGCCGGACTCGCACGGACAGGTCCAACTACAAACGCCCACGGGCTCCCGCGCGACCAGTGCCGAGGCTAATGTGGGCTATGAGAAGAGTCCGGCGGCCGAGGTTCCCTTCACGCCAGCCAACGGACATACGGCCGTGGTGCCGTCGCAAACAAACGGCCACCCACCCTCGCTACTCGGCAAACGGGCGCGAGAAGACGACTCCCCTGCTACGGAACAGGGAGAAGCCAAACAAAATCCAGACGAAGAGTCAATGGAACAAAGACTCAATAATCCCTGCGTACCCCAATTGCTCCGCGATGGTCGGTTCTGGCGCCGACGCGTGCGACGAGTGGGGTGGGAGGTACTGAAACATTGGGAGATCTGGGGACTAGACAAACAGGAGTTATAAATTTGGAGTACGTACATTTGATTGGATACCCGGGTGAATTCTTGGTTTTTCGGACAGCCCCTCGGGCTTAATGTCTGGATTATATATAGCGTGCCACGTGCAAAAGCGTAGTTTATACCATGTGAAATGACACCTCCTCTCAGAATTTATACTTGTATTAATCGATAGTTACATTTATGTTATGCAATCACTGACGAATCACAACCATGCATACAATTCATAGTGTTTGTATAGTTACAACCACTTGTGTTATGAACCATTTCAAATCTCTTAGTATGTAGTATTAACATCATAACCAAAATGTATTATCTTCATTCATAATTTACATTTACTTTACTTCAGTTTCAGTTTCTTCTCATGTCTATTACTACTTACCAGTAGTACTGATATACTAAAGATCATGTACTTTTTAACATACTATTCACATTCACTTCACTTTCTGTCACATCATTGAGGGCTCCACTAATATTCTTTTTTTCTTTATATTTAGTAACCATACTAATATTTCTATCCACTACTACTACTATTCATCTACTAGTATTATCCATCACTTCCCTAGTAGTACCTACTCCATACCCCGCATCTCTTTCCCCCAGGGTTCAACCCAGCAGATAAACCCCCCCCAAATGTACCTCTCTGATCCCTTTTATGAATAACCCAATACTCAGTACATGAACCCAACTCCTACCCAATGAACCAGTACTGTCTTTTCCACCTTCCTTCGGTTCCCCCCGCCTTACTACCACTAGTAATTAGTATAAGAACCCCCCATACCGAACCCCCACCCATAACATATATATAGGCAAGTGATTTTTTGACCGTAAGTATGGTTTATTTGACCGGCGCTATTCCGAATGAAGCGTTAGCGCCGGTAATGGCCCCACTCGTCCGAAAGAGGAAATAAAAACAACACCTGTTTTCATTTTTTATTGCATTTTTGAACGACTCAGGCCACTGCGAGGCCGCGAGATCCCTCTGCCTGCCTCGCCTGCCTGCCTCGATCCCACGTACGTCCGACGATTCAAACAGAACAAACTCCCTATATTGACTGTATGACTATCTAGATGACCTCTGTCGCCGCCGCCGTTGCCTGCCTGGCTGATCGCCTCGTCATCTTCCCTGCCTCCCGAATCCACGCGTGGGTGGCCTCACTGGCGGGCTCGGTAGGAGGCTCAGGCGTAGCGGGCTCGGTTGCTTCATCGGAGTCAGAATTGAATAGGAAAAGGTCTATTTTAGTAGTGGAAAGGGGGCTTCAAATATGCAATACTGCGTGTGTTGGATTCTGCATTAAATAATGCAAGATTTTACATATGGCATGAAGACTGCTTACTAAAATTGCCTGCCGAGAGAATTACACGTTACTGGATCACATGATGGCGCTAGCTCCGCTTATGATAAGGCTCCCGCCACTAGAGCCGCTTTTGGGATAGCGCCGGTCAAATAAACCATACTTACGGTCAAAAAATCAGTTGCCTATATATAAATACTATATCCCCTCACTTCCAACCCCCAACCTCTAAAGAACAAACACATACTCCATACTCCATACAACTGGTAACAATACTACTACTACCACTACAACCACGAAACAAACCTCACACAATCAACAATCCACCTATACTAGTCCCCAAACCATGAACCGGACATGATACTACCTGAAGGTAGTAGTAACCCCGTCTCACGACGAACCACAGCTGGGGATGGACAGTCAGTTAGTCAGGTCCTTCCTTGTAAATGTCAACAGTATAGTAATAGTATTGATTTATGATGTGGTGTACTATATATACCTGTGTGTGTGTATTGTATTTATGTTTTATGTGTATTGGATTTGGGGGATAAGTGGGATTATGTATGATACGATACATACGTAGTACTTACTACTAAAACTTTCTTTATTCTAATCGAGGGGCGGGTGCGTTGGGTTTCTGATGTGCTGGTTTGATGGACGGGAGAGAAGTGGACTTTTATGGGGTACTGAGGTAGGTAGGTGGAATTTGTTTTCTTTAAGGTTGGGGTATAATGAAGGCTTATACGGAGTAATATACTATGTCATTCACCATTTCGTATATCAATAAATAAATATTCATTGAGTTCGTAACTATGTACCAATCATCATCGTCTGCTATTCACAACCATTCATCCATTTGTCCATCCAACTGTTCATCTATCCAAAAGATAGACAAATATGTGGGGCAACCAACCCCATCCTATTTACAAAGGATTCAATTCCTCATACAGAATTTAAGCCTGGGCAGCAAAGCCAAGCTGAGGTCCCTCAGAGTCAAAGACAACGTACTGGCTCTTCAGGAAGACGTCACCGAGGATGGACAGGCCAAGACCGCTGTTGCTCTGGATACCGCCGAAGCAGGTGGAGCTGCCGGTCTCGATGGGGGCGTAGTTGATGTACTTGCCGGGGACGACGGCGCTGTAACCACCGATCACGACAGTGAAGTCGGGGAGGTCGTCATCGCACGAGAAGACGTAGCCACCCTCCGAGTAGCTGTTCTGGGCGTCGGAGACCTGGCTGTAGTAGTCGGAGACGACATCGTCGTCGAGGAGGATCAGGGTGGTACCGGTGTCTGTGGATGGAGTTAATTGGAGACTCGACGGGTGGGATGGGATTGAAGCTTACCAGCAATGGCGCTGAAGCCGTTGGAGTTGGCGTCGTTGTCGCCAACGGCGTAGCCATCGGTACTGAAGCCCCAGTAGCCCTCGGAGCTGTCGGCATCCACGTAGGTGATGGAGCCGGTGTACTTGGAGTCATCAATGAAACCGAAGTCGTAGACACCGGCCTCGTGGTACCTCAGGTACGCAGCGAAGAGGGGGGAGTCGAGCTGCGACTTGACGGTGTCGAAGAAGGTGGTCTGAGCCACGGGCGAGACTGGACGGGGTTAGTCGATGGAAGGCAGATGGGGTGGGTTCGGCTCACCCGTGTTGATGGAGCTAAAGGCCAGGCCCAGAAGACCATCGTTGGCCGTGTCCGAAACGAACTCGGAGCTGACCGAGCTGGCAGCCTCGACAGCCTGCTTGCTGGTCGAGACATCACCGACGGTGACGGTGTCCCGGTAGACGTCTCCGCTGGCAGAGCTGCCATCGCCGTAGGAGATGTCCCAAGAGTAGCCGCTCAGCTTGGTTGCGCTGGAGCTGGGCGTGTACAGGCTGTGACCGGTCTGCTCAGAGGAGGGGAGCTCGGACGAGAAGACCCAGCTGAACCGTGTTAGCGCATACGTCTCTGCAAACGGACACGACGAAAGGGAGACTTACAGATCCGCAGAGCCGGTGTCAAAGTCCAGGTGGAGGGTGGAGTCTCCGACAGTGACGGGGGTCAGGTACTCGGTGTCATCGGACTGGGGCGTGGTGGTGACACTGCCCTCGCTCGCAGCGGCCTTGACGCTCGCAGGAACGGTGGCACCGTACTTGGCCAGAGAGCGAGCGTACAGGGCAGGCAGGTTGACGGTGCGCGTCTTATTGGCAACCTGCTGAACCGAGAAGTTCTTGCGAGTCTGGGCCAGGGGCGCCGCGGAGGCAGCGGTGGACAGGCCCAGGGCCAGGGCAGTGGCTTTGCTGATGACGACCATTTTGAGGGACTTGGGGGGAAGTAGATCGAGGAGATGGACAGGACCAGACAAGGAAGCCTCAGACTCTTTCTTGGTTGATGAACGAGAAAGCCAATCTGCTGGTCGAGCAGCGCCTTCTTATAGATTTCTCGTCCTCTCGACGGCCCTCGATAGACTTCTCCATGCTCAAGTCGACCATGCTCTTCAGGGCGAAATGTCTCAGAGTCTCCTCATCGCGGCCGTGACGATGGAAGGAGGTAAGCCGCATCCAGGCATAACCGGCGAAGATCTCTCTTCAGGTCCGTCCAAGTCCGAGTCCGCCGCCGTCCGTGAGGATATTCGCAGTAGCCAAGCCGGGGAAAAGTAAGACAGCAGGGCATCGGACCCTGCCTAAGCGGGGCACAAGGCGATGTGACGGCGGAGTAGTCGATTGCTTAATTGGGACAAGAGGTCAAGAACCAGGCACCGACGAGCCTCTCATTCGACCGCCTGGCCGATCGCCATTTGCGAGCCGGTGACTTCGTTGGTGGCGGGCGTGAAGGATGAAGGGTAGATATCTAAAGGCGCGGATCGATTAATTGCACTCCACCGCCGATCACGCAGGGTCCGTCGGGCTTCCTGTTGCGGTGGGCCTCGCGCCAGCCAGTCACGCGAGCGCTCCAAGGTGTTATCACCTTATCATATGGTCTGCACGATAGCTGCAGCCCCGATGTCACCGTGAGACTTTGCCTCTAAATTAGCCCCGTCCGACGTCCGGCTCCTGACCGGTCGGGGGTGACCGAACCAGTCGACTTGTCAAGGCGTCACAGTGGAAGGATTCGGGGGTTCTGCACGCCACTGGAGCAAATGGCAGGCCCTCACTGCTGTTGGATGGCCTGGCAAATGGCCTCTCCACCAACATGGATCCCTCTGGCCTCTATACAGAAGAAGGCAATCAAGAAATGGCGCACTCCGGCGGTGCCCGGGCCCCGCGACGGTGAACCGAATAGCAAAGAATCCAAGAGAATATGAGGGGGAAAAAAAATAAAGAAAAAAAAAAAACACACTACGCGGAAATTCGTACATTCATCATCATGCCATCTCATCACGACGCCAGGAACTGCGACGGAAGGTTTCCGCCGCCGGCCGACTCGCCTCCCTCGCCATGTCCGTCATACTGCTCGTTCAAAAGCACCTCCAGCATGTCGAACTCGCCCACCATGGGCCCCGTTCCCCCCAGTCCTTGGTCCACCACCGCCGTAGAGCTATTGAAAAACTGGTCCAGTGGCAGCGCAAACCAATCCGGAAGCCCACCAGACGCCCCCGGGTTGTCGTGCATCGACTGCGACGGGACGCTGGTCCCCTCCAGTTCCCCCGTCGGTGGTGTCGCGCTGGGGTCGTAGTAGTTGTAGTATACGGACGGTGGCGGAGGCATGAACGACACATTGATGTTGGATGAATTGATCGGCTGCGCAGGGATACCGGCCAGTGGGTCATGAACTGAGCCCATCCCGGCCCCGGCCTGACTGTTGCTATCTACATACCCCAGGTTCTGAGTGGCACTCTGGGCCGGCGTCCAGGCGTGGCTCGACCCTTCGCGACGGTTCGGGGCTCCTTCGCGCGGACGCGGCGACTGATGCCGGGAGGCTGGGGCAGATGGACGCTCCTGTTCGCCATCACCACTACGGTCCAACGGGGCAAACCGCAGGAAGCGCGTGCGGATGCTCGTCGTCAGCAGCTCCAGCAGTCGCGCAATGGCATGGTTCAAGTGGACATCATCGACAACACAAGTCTTCAGGGCTTCGATCGTCCGATCCTGGAGGTCCAGCGACACACGCACGTCGTCCTCTTTCGCACCCAGAGTGAAGGTCTGGCCACATTAGCAAAGTCACAACCAGCGAGACACACCAATCCATACCTTCAGAATGAATATCATCCCCGACAGAATGCGAAAGCACGTCCGGACGGGAGCATGCTTGAGGTGATCCCGTGGGACCAGGATCTCGAGCACCGTCTGCAGGATCTTGCGGGACGCATCCACGACCTCCTGGATGTACTGTTCGTTGACACGATACAACTCCATGAGCACATGGAACCACCCGGTCCCCGATGACGGACCCGAGTTCGGCCGTGTGCTCTGAGCCTGGGCCGCCTCGTTCGACATGGTTGTCCAGCGATCCACCACCGCCTGCAGGGCCAGGGAGTTAACATAGAGTCCTGGGAAGCGTCAGCCGAGCATCGTAATCGAAGGGGGAGTAGGCAACGTACGAGTGTACTCATACTCAATCATTAAGAGACACCTCATGGGGGGAGCCACTGGGGGAAATCAATCAGCATCTAGCCCCCACAGTATCCAACAGGAAGTACCTACGATCGATGGTGTCAATGTTATGCCGCCACTCGCGCAGGAACGGCTGGAACCGGTCAATCTGGTCGCGGTAGCGGCCACTCCGGATGAGCTCCGAGGTCTGCTCGCTCGACGCGAACAGGAGCTGGTTGCTCTGGTACATGATCTTGGAGATCCCGATCCAGCAGTCGTGCATCCGATCGACAATCGTATCGCTTCCCTTGGCCCCCGTCACCGACGTCGGCTGGATGTCACTGGTCCACTGGGGCAGAGGAAGCATGGAGGGGATCCCCAGCCGACCACTGCTCTGCGTGATGTACACCAGAATCAGACGCCGGAGACGACGTTTCCGCGTCTGCTCCGACGGGGGTTCGCTGGCGGCCTTTGCATCGTTCTTCTGGTCGAACACGCCCAGTTCGAACGCCAATGCCTGCGCGGTACTCAGCAGCATCCATGACATCCGGTCCGACCGCCAAGCTGGCTCAAGCCACTTCTGAAAGGCGAGCCTCCCTTCGGCTGCACTATTCGGGACACGGTTGGCCGTGCTCTCAGCGTCGGTTTCCAATTCCCTCTCGTATCGGCTTTGCGTTTGTGCGTCCAGATCCAGCAAAGCGTTCTCGTCATCGCCCGGCGGAAAGTGCAGGTTCCGAGGATGCCAGTCGGTCAGAATAAGCAGCGCCTCGATGGTTCCCAGCGATCGCAGGTTGCCCTTATGGCTCACCTTCGACGACATGGGCGCGAGATCAAACGATCGAGGCTTGCTGATTCCCACGCCGTTCCCACCAAACTTCTCCTGGCCCCAGAAGAGACGCTCGATCATGCCACGGAGATACGACCAGAGCCGATCATGGATGTAGAAGGCACGCGTGTAAGCTCCGTCGCCCTTGGGCTTCCGATGCCGTGACGCAGTTGTGAGTATAGTCACTGCGAGCACCGGCTCATCCGTAAGCAAAGTCCGATGGGTCGACGGACTAGAAAAGTCCGGAATAACAATTGGACTCAACGGAGCGAGATGCTCGTAGTAGCTAGGACAACGATCAACAAGACGCAAGTCAAGACTAGGGAGAATACCTACTATGCCACATAAGCCATGGCCTCTTCGACTGACAGCCAGCCCGCGCGAACAAACCGTAGTCGCGACCATGCCTTGACCGCATCCACGAATCCCGGGTCTTGAGCAGTCTCACTCGGGTCTGCCTGCCCACGACCATCCGGAAGTTGCGAGTCAGCAGATCCCGATCCACCCCCTTGATAGTAATTCCCCACGGGCACGGTACCGGAGCGAGGTGGTCTGGAAAACGACCCGCCTCCGCTTCGGGGGGTGCCCGCCTGAGTGAGCGGCGACATGGGCGAATTAAACGAGGACACCGACTGGCGAGCGGCATATCGGTTTTCAAGGCTCTGACGGTTCAGGTCCTCGGTCCGACCCGCCGCCTCGGACAGTAGATGCAGCGCATCATGACTGTTACTGATCGCAGGCGACAGTAACTCGACGGCGGTGCGGTTCATCATGGGCTGGCCGCCCTCGAGGCTAAAGCTGGGGCCATGGCTCCTCTCCGCAGCCGTGTACAGGGGCAGACGCGTGCTCCTTGGTTCAGGGAACTGAGTCGTAGTCGACGACGTCTGGGTGGAGGTGAAGCGTTGGCTAGTAGTGGTCGACGACGAGGGGAGCTGCGTCGTAGCCGCCGGCGACTCATCCGCCCATTTGGGCCGCGGCAGACTGGCGCTGTTATCAAAGGAAGAAGTGCGCTCGGGCGGAGCATAGGAGGAGCCTCCATCACTGACAGACCCGTTATTGGAGATGACCTCCCCGACCATCATCCGCTTATCGCGTCGCAGCGTGGCCTCGGTGGGCTCCTCGACCTCCGAGGGCTTGCGCTTCCGCCTGGTGGCGGAGAACTCGCAGCGCTTGCTCTCGCGGCGACATCGCACGCAGGGCGGCGGCCGGGGATTGTCAACACCTGTGGGGACGAATTAGCATTCAGGGGAGCGTCGGGGAGGAGCCCAGTAGGTAGGGAGGAGGGGGAGGAGCAGGAGGGTCTTACTGCCAAGGTCGCACTTGACCTTGCGCTTGCGGCATGGGTCGCAGGCCTGGTAGCCGCGACGATGCTGGGGCTGCTGGCCCTGGTGTGACGGCGACGGCGACGGCGACTTCGGCGCCCGAGACTGGTGGGCATAGACGGGGGGACCCTCCTGCTGGCCGTTGTTCGCAGGCGCAGCCATCATGATCTCGTCGAGTGGATTCAGACTTGCCGATGCAAAGCGAGAGAAAGCGGTGGGGGGGGGATTTTTTGGGCGGAAAGATCCCAAAGCCAGGCACCGGCTCGTCGCGGGTTCGGGCGTCTTCCGGCTTTTCTTCTTCTCCGCGTGTCCCTAGGCAGCAACTATCGGGGAGATTTCCCTCGGTATTATTACTAGGCGGGCTGACCTTTGAAGAAGCTGGAGAGCGGCGGTGGTGGTAGTGGTGGTAAGTGGAGGAGAGCAGAGCGAGAGGGGCGCGAGGGGACGAGTGGAAGGAAGGATTTACAGCGCTCCCAATCCGCCAAACCAGAACCAAAAATAAAATCAAATAAAATCTAATCAAAAAAAAAAATTGAATGGACTGAAGGAGTTCTGTTCAGTTCGTCGTCAGGTGCCAAATGCGGGGTAGGCGCTCACATTCACGCCTTGGAAACCGTGGTCATTCCGATCCCTCATTCCCAGCGGAGGGATGATGCCCTTGCGTCCGCTGGCCGAAGTTCTTGTTATCAACCAACGCCTGCTGATTCCCACCACCACCGCTGCCCCGGGGCCTCCGTTCGACCAGCCCACCCCCCCCCCCCCCTCGTCCATTCTCTCCTCCCACCTACTATCTTGATAGTATTACTCACACTGAATAATGATCTTGGTGGTCAGTGGGTTCCGCTCATCCCGCTAACAGGCGCGGTGTCTGGCTACAGCCAAGCAGAACTGGATTCGGGGTGGGTTCGAGAAAGCTATGTACACGGACGACCCGAGCCTCCGACGGAGTACCAGGAAATTAAGCCGATAAGCGGGCGAGAGGAAGAAAAAGAAGATAGGGACTAGTAGACACGACTCCACTCGACTGTGCGGTGAGACACAAACACACAAGAGAAAAAGAAGGAGAAGAAGAAGAAGAAGAAGAAAAGAAGATGAAGAAGAAATCAAAATACCAACACACACGCTCTACTCCAAACATGGGCTACAATGCATCACACTCGGGACAAGAAAAGGAAAACACAAAAATACAGATTACCAACCACTCAGCAATAGAACATGATCCTGTCATGCGTAAGCAAATCACAACGCTAAATCAGATCCGGGGAAAACGGGCGTTCAGGCCACCGACGACGCCGCGTCGGCAATGCTCGACATGGCTCGCTTGCCTTTGTCGGGCGTCATCTCCCCGTTTGCTTTCGAGACCGGGCCCAGAACCTTGCGGGCCAACACTACCTCGCCATTCGTACTGCTGGCCTCGCTCCCTCGTCGAGACAGGCTCGGGGTCAGCCTTCCAGGGAGAAGTCCCCGAATGCCCCCAGCTTTGCGCGAGGGGATTTCCGACGTCCCAGCCGTGAGCACATACAGCAGATACTTTAGGTTGGGTAAGGTATGCCGGATATCGAGCACCCGAAGGCCTTGCTTGTTCAGCAAGAACTCGATGTCCTTGTTCAGCAGAAACACTCCGTACTCGAACCGGTATTGCACATTCACCGGGTAGAGCGGGTACGTCCGCTGAGGCAGCGAGGCAGAGACCGGATCCTGGATCAGCGTATTTGATAGATTCGGGTTGATCGGGTACGGTAGAGGGATGGAAAGGTAGAAGGACAGCAGGTAAACCAGGTGCGCGGTGAACCCCAGCGCCGCTGCAACGGCGTCACGGTCGACGTCGGTAAAGTTCGAGTTGGGCAAGGCCAGTCCAGCTATGGTGAAAGCCAGCGGTTTGTCAGGGATCGGTTCGATGGGGTAGATGGCAAGCAGGTCCTCCGCAATCCGCCGGATCTGGCCCTTGCCTTCGTCCGTGTTCTGCTCCAGCAACTTCACACTCGAGCCCAGTTTCACCTGCGCATCGGGCAAATGACTACGTGCCTTGGCTTGCGTCTGGCGCCCAAGATCCATGGCTTCTCGTCTTGCTCGGATGCTGGCGATCAGTTCTTCTTTTCGCTTTGCTGCGGTGCGAAACTGCTTCCGCTCTGTCGCGACCGCATGCTTTGTGAGCGCAAGTTTATCCCGAGCCCGGGAAGCACCACTGGTCGTGGCCAGAGCACGCTGGTTCTGCTCCAGTATCGAGCTAATCTCCGACTCCAGCTTGTCTCGGGTCGTGAGTGCATCCTGAATGCACTCATCCAAGTTGGCCAGTCGCATCAGCGCATCGTATGACGAGGTCGGGACCGTGGCCCCATCGGCCGATCGGGGGTGGCGGGTAGGCAAAGGAGTCACGACCGGGGGAATGTCGGTTAAATTCGTATAGACGCCATCCGCAAAGTGGAACAAGATAGAATTGGGCGGAAGGGGTTGGTGGAAGTTATCGAGCGATTTGCCCAGATACTGTAATGACTGCAGACACAGCTGCAACTCGACCAACAGTAGATACTCCTCCATCGCTGCAGTCCGGGCCCAAATCTTCACAGTGATCTGATTCATGCGAGAGACTAACGGTCCACAAATGTTCAGATCGAAAGCCCGAAAGCTGGGATTGGTGGCATGATCGACAACCTCACTCACGTAGACCGGCTCATCGACCTCGTCACAATGGATCGAAAACCAGGTATCGGCCATGCGACTACTCGTTATTTCCTCCAGCTTCACCTGCCGCGCGCGCGGATCAGGGGCATTCCAGGGTAGCGTGTTTCTCCTGTGCCATTGTCGCAACGGGGGTGGCTGCTCTCTCTTGGGACGGCCCTCGCCGGCTGCGGAGGATTTGAGATCGGTGAAGGAGCGCGATTGGTGTAAGGATCTGGGTGTATCCTCGGCGAGCGACTTTAACGGCGTGTGTAGAGAGTTGGGTACATCTTCGTCGTCGATGGTTTTCCCGCGAGGTCGGCTTGGGGGGCTGACGACGAGATTACGGACGGAAATGCCCTGCAGGTGTCGAAGCTTGCGATTCTGCGCGAACTCGTCAGCTGCCCGGTAAGTTCAATGGGCATTTCCGCGAGCGGTAGGAAAAGAAGGGAGCAGTACTGGAAGAAACAAGCCGGGTCTCTCGCGGCGACTGGCATTGTCGTCGATGTCCCAAACCCCCCAGGCGGTGGCCGACAGCGCCATGACGGCGGGCAGTCGAGGGGAAGCTCAGCTGTCGCACTGCGCACGCCGGACCGGTCGGGTCATCCTAGGGAGTGGGATCAATGGGACTGTCAATGCCCGATCCGTATGAGATGAAATTGCCTGGAGAATCGAATGACGAGTGCTGGCTGGCTGGTAGGTAGTTAGTGAAGTGGCAGAGGAAGAGGGAAAGCGAGAGAGAGTGCGGAGGTGGTGCAGGCGGAATGCAATCCCTCGCCCGTTCGTTCGGGATCTCCGTCGAAAAATTGATCCGCCGCTTTCTCTCTCTCTCACTTCTGCTCTGTGGCTCTCTTAGCTTCCCACCCGTTATTTCCCCGGCCACCACCACCATCACCCTTCTTTTCCCCCCCAAACCATTCCCCCCTCCCCTTTTCTTCGGATCTGGGCCCTTCGGTAGATAGAGTGACGCCCGCTCTATTGCCCTCTCCACCCCCATCCAGTTTGCAGAATCGGTCTCGCGCAGCCGACCAGCACACCCGGCCGCAATGGCCTCGCAAGCGGTACCGAAGAAGCCCTTCCAGAAGATCCTGGACCCGACCAAGATCGGGACCTGGAATATCGTCCGCCGGCCACCAATCGAGAACCACAGCCTCATCCAGGGAAAGCCGCGAGAGCAGAATTCCAATGCCTTCAAGGAACATCAGGCCAAGGAGGGCACCCGGTTACGGAAGGCCTTGAAGGCCATGACCCATGGAAAGAACATCTTCGCCTACCACAACCTGCGCACAAACCAAGTCGTCTACTCCCTGACACGGTATCTGGAGGTGAGTGCCCCCGTCCCCCAAACCGCTACGCTGTATTCCTCCAATTGGAGGCGAGACTCCCCCCCGGCTAACACAGACTGTCGGTGTGTAGATGATGAACACCCTGAAGCAGATGATATACCATGGCAAGAAGACCGTCCCCTCGCGTCTTCGCAAGGATATGTGGGTTCCGTACTACTCGGTGCACTTCAACGACAGCAAGGTCGGTCTGCGGGCGTACCACTTGCTCCGCGAATTCTCGGCGCAGCGTCAACTATCCCCTCCCAAGGAATTGATCACGATCACGCAAGAATGGATCGATCGGAGTTGTCCCCGCGACCCCGAAGGAGCCAAGAATTTCCTTGAAAAGTACGAGAAGCAGATTGGCAACAAGATGCCGAAGAACCATCGCGCTCGGGCCGTGATGGACCAGAAGGCAACCAGTGTGGCGGATATCGCGGCCGTCCTGGACATCCAGGAGGAGGAGATCAAGAACGGCTTCGCCGACGGAAAGAGAGGCTACATGACCCCCACGGCTAGAAAGCGCCGCAGGGCGGCTCGCATCAAGGAGGAGGAGGTTGCCAAGGCGCAGGCTGCACGGGTGAACGTTCTCGAGCGCCTGCTGAGCAACTCCCAGGTTGAATACAAGGTCCAGGAATCCGAGGAGAACACCGCCACGCTGGCCGACCACCAGGTGAAGATTCTCTGGCGTGATATCCATGATGCCCGGCTGGCCCAGAAATGGACGGACCGTGTCCGTCACGGCGAGTTGGATCTGAGCCGCGATCACGTCATGCCCGGTCCTTCCAAGAAGTACAACGCCAACATCCTCGTTTCGGATGAATTCAAGGAGAAGGAGTCAACCGAGACTAAGCCCGCCGAGAACTAGACAGCAAGGGGTGTCATGTACTATGCGTCCGGGGCCTTCCCCCGGTGTGAATTTTATACATATTCCGAAAGATTGCCTGTTTCCTTCCCCTTGATTTGATTGATATACATTGTATTTTTACCTACTACGATTTTCATCGTCCTTTTTGTGGAATTGATGCAATGGCGTTTGAGCAGACCACACCCAAATTTAACCTTATTGAACTTGCATTTCTCTCATCCGGAGGAAGAAAAGGGGGAGTAATCATTAATTGATTGGATTGGTAAATCTCTGCTGCGGAGTAGTAGGTAGGTAGGTACCGTCATGAATGCTGCTGAATTTCAGACCTGCAGATTGAAGTTACATCACCATGTCGAATACAAGAGCCTCAACTGAGGTCCATCCATCATCATCATGACCCTTGTCTCGCCCCGTCCGGTCAAGCAAGGCAGACCTGAATCGCGGTGAATGCCACGAGACGAACACCCGGGCGAATGCGAGACGGTGCATCTTAGACGAAGGGGGGGAAATCAATGTCGGCGGTGGGGGAAAGGGAAAGATAGCGATAAAAGAAAACAAGGTCGAGTGCAAGATACGAGACTCGGACCCTGGCTCGAAGAGAGAAAGAACCGGGAAAGGATGTGGTTTGCAGTCCGTGATCGACGCCGGTAACAAAATCTGGAAGAGCAGTTGAGGTAAAGGAAGGAAAGGAAAAAGACGAGCAAAGGCAGCGAAACTCCATTGTCTGGACCTAGGCCAGGATTGTAGCCTTGATCTCTCTATCTTCCGTGGCAGAATAACACACTAAGGCTTCTTTAAGTCCATATTCTAATGCTCAAGAACTCGGGTTCCTCGGTTCCGGCTTCTTCAAATTGTTCACAACCCGCTCATGGCTGTGCTCGTTGACGGAAAGCTCCGGTCCAGCTTCAGCATTGGACATCTTCTGCAGAATCTCACTCTGGACTTTTTCGGCCGTCGCCGGGTCATCTGCAATCCCAGCACTGGCCATGCTCTTCCTGGCCCCTTCAATGATCTTGTCGGCCTCGCTCATACCGCGATCCACATTTGTAGCGGAGTCCCCATCAACACCGATGGGCTCCACCGTCCGGTTGATGACATCCTTTACCCGGTCGGAATCGAAGCGGATCACCATGCAGGAAAGGTTGTCGGTGCTAAACCGTGCAAGAGCATGATCTACCAGGATCTTGGATGCATCCTGAGCGTCATGTACGTTACGGACAAGATCTACCGCTTCTTGGTCACTGCATACATCCCAGAGCTGATGGTTCCGTTAGCGTAAATGATACTAGGCAGAACAGCAATAGGCAGGCCAAACTTACACCATCACAGGCAAGAATGATGAACTCGTCGGAGTCGGGCTGGATCACCGTTTCGGTAGTGTACGGATGCCCAGTCACAAGATCCTTGAGATAGGCGTCGCCGAGGGCTCTCGTTACCGCAAGTACCCCGTTAACGCGATTGTTTAGTATGAGCCCTCCCGCATTAGCTATCCGTTTCCCCTCATTTTCATCGCTACCCTTATGATCGTAAGACAAGCGGAGTGCCTTGCCGTTGCGGCACAAGATAATACGGGCATCGCCAACATTGGCAGTGTAGAGGACACGTTGGCGGGTTGATTTCTCGTGCAGTGTGGGGAGAATAGATGCCGCGCCAGACATCGCGGCCTGGGTAGGCGTATCGCCAGCATCTGAGTCGCTTTCACCCTTCGAAACAGCAGTGGCAGTGGAGGCGAGGGTGGACGACCCCACTGAAGAATGCACGCTGGGCACGCGGTCCTCCCACCTTAAGAGGGCAATGACTGCAGTACAACCACTGTTCTTCAGAGGCAATCTCTCCAGCTGCTGATCCACGCTAGTAAACGTTTGATCCAGGAGTTCCGGAACAGGTGTGTTGGGATTCTTTCGCATGACATCCTCCAGGATCAGATGCAGCTTTTTCCCACACCATTCTGCCGCAAAAGTCCCTGCATGTCCATCGAAGATGGCAAAGTAGCCATTATCCGTTTCCACGCTAGTTGGCTCTTCCGAGGTGGGCGAGGGAGCACCCGGGCTCGGTAGGGACTTGCTGTAGTTCTCAACCGGGGCTAAAGGTGCGGGATTCCCCAAGAAATTGTACAGGTAGGCATGAGTATCCTCCATGGTCCGGCGACATTTTCGATTCCGGTCTTCGGTCACGCCGACTTTGAACGAGGAACGAGGAGTGGGGAGAGATTCACCAGCCGAGTTGTTCAGCGACCCTTGGGGAACATTCAAAGCGGGATCCATACTCCCAAACTTGTGTAGAGATTGCTGCTCCTGGATGGCGTAGTTGTTGAAGGAGTGCTCGCGCGGACTACTCGACAGGCTGAACGAGTTCTTAGCGCTGGTGAAGAAGGATGCCGCTTTGGTGACGGTGCTACTCCGGCGCTTCTTCTCGCCACCTGAGCTCTGATCCTCACTGGTTCTCCGTGTGAAGAAACCACCCGGGGGCGATGATTTCTTCTGGTTGGCGTTGGGTTCCTCGGTGTGGATGCTGAGGGAAGGCGTGTCAATGGCGCCGGAACGGGGGATGGAGTCGTTTCTATCTTTGGGTGGGCTCGAGGAGCCACTGAACATTCTGTTCAGCAACCCACCCTGGCTAGAAAAACTTCTCCGCTTATTCCCTGCCAGCTTGATTGTGGTTTATGGGTCTGGTGGTATGAAACCAGGTCCGAAGTCCGAGCGAGTGCGGAGGGGGCGGCGGGCGGCGGCGCGTGGGGGCAAAGAACGAGAGCCGCCGGGGAGACTGACGTAGGATGGGAATTGCGGCGGAGGCAAGGAGATCTAGCTGGATAGACGGTGGCATGTCAGCGACTCGATCCACACAAAACCAGGTTCCTAGCTGAGCACGATGATGGAAGATCCCGATGACATGACATTCCCCCCAGCAATGCCACCGGCCAGTGACATTAGTGGTCGGTCAGCGCCGGATGCATGTCATGGACTATATACAACTTCTGCCGGCAAAACGCGGGCAGGGGCTTATTGCATTTGGACATCAAAATTATTCCGGAATAGAATTCACTCATGATGGGGAGGTCAACGGAAGCTAAGAAGGCACGTTATAGCAAGCGTCCTGAGCTCTCATGCGAGTTCACCCCACTGCGCGCCGAACGGGGGGGGGAGGAACATGGTTACAGAGCGACCACTGGGGCGCGGATGCAGAAGGAACCAAAGACACTCACGGAGATAGAAGACCGGGGTCAAGGAGTATGTACGACGAAAAGGATGGGGTGGTTGCAATAGGGGCGCAACGGTATGGTGATGAATGGGAAGGGGGAAGTGGTATGGAGAAGTGGAGGAGGTCGTCGGTGGTCAGTGATGGTAAGTGAGGCGGGCTCGGATGGGCCTTTATTACGGAGTAGGAATCCCGCTCGTATTAATTAGCCCGGCAGAGCGAACCATCCGCAGTGCCTCCCAAACCTATGGCGTACTGTAACTACGTAACTACGATGTATACGGAGTAATGTAAGCACTTACTCACCTGCCCGGGCTATTTTCGGAGGCGGTCAATCGCTTTGCAACGTGACCCTGAAATCCGGTGGAGTCGCTCCCCCAGTCAATGACGACGCCGCCAGATCCATCCCCTTGCACAGTCATACAATACTAATCGGCACCGCAGCAGCGTCACAATCCTCACTTATCGATCCTGATCAACCCTCAAGTGAACCTAATCCTGGTCAATGCGGAACCCCCATCTCGAATAATGTCAAGGCTCGAATTACACTGACCTAAGACTATGGCCCCCAGCCCGCAATCGTTTGGCAATCAACGCCTTGTTGTGATTCTGACATTTGATCTACTCCTACCCCCATGGTGATACACAGAACGCAGGGGGCCAAAACAAAGAGAGAGAAGTGCCCCCAGACTAATCCCAGGAACTGAAATCACCAAACCCACCGCCGCCCTTGAATTTCTTCCTCGTGGGCTCGGGTTCGGGCTCATCATCCACGAACTCGACTATCTCGTCCTCCTCTTGGCCGGCCCTCTCAGCCAGCGCTGCTTTCAAGTACTTCCCTACTCCACCGGAACCTTCTTCCTTCGCCCCCTCCCCCGAGCCACGGACCCTCTTGCCAGTCCAGGTGATCCGATCGTCCTCGGCGCGACGCGCATTCTGCTCTTCCTCCTCGGGGTTAACAACCTGACCCTTCGCCTTCGCCTCTTCCGTTTGCTTCTGCTTCAGAAACTCCTCAAAGGGGTCGACAAACACCGTAACATCGGTAATGCGAACATCGGGGGTGGGTCGGTTAGTGGTCGGGTTGGTCGGGTGCATTTCAAGGTTATTCAAGGTCGTGGAGGAGGGGGTGGGATCATCAATGACATGACCGAAAATGGTGTGCTTGTTGTTCAGATGGGGCAGGGCACGGTAAGCGATAAAGCTAGTCAGGGGGCGTGGTTAGTGCGGGCTTTCTTTCGACTCAATCATAGATACTTACAATTGACTGCTGTTGGTATTCTTGCCTTTATTAGCCATGCTGAGGGTCCCCCGGGAGTCGTGCTTCAGTGGCCCTTCAAACTCATCGTTAAAGTATTTCCCCCAGATGCTTTCGCCTCCCCTGCCATTTCCAGAGGGGTCACCACCCTGAATCATGAATCCGCGAATGTTGCGATGGAAAGTGACATCTTTGTAGTAGTCCTTCTTGGCTAGTTTGATGAAGTTCCACACAGCCTTGGGCGCATACTCAGTGTGCAGTTCCAGGTTCACATCCCCGGCGGTAGTTGAAATACGAGCATAGCCTTTCTGCTTCACTCGACCCCTCTTCAGCATGTACTCCTCGTCGGATAAAAGTGCGAGCTCGGCAGATGTGTGGGGCGTCATCCCTGTGCTAGTGAATGAGGCGGCAGCCAAACCAGTCGTGTGCCTGGCCGCATTGTATGGAACAGCCTTGCCAGATTGATACGATGCCGTCTTCTGAGACTGCGCCGCATTCCCTGTACCTCCAGTCTTGGACAATTCCTTTGCCGTGGCTGCGGACCCAACTCGTTGGGCTCTTTCTGCACGAGCCTTGGCCACAGCCTCCTTCGCCTTCAGGATCTTTGCCGAACTCCCCAACGCATTAACATTAACATTGTTGGAAGGGTCCTCCCTCTCCCGGATTTGTTCGTCGGTCAACCCACTCTCTCCCTCCTTCAAATAGTTGAATGAGCTCAAGTTCCGCGACTCGATGTTCTGCGGGTCCTGCAACGTGATGATGTCTTTCCGGGAGAATTCCTCATCCGTAACCAGATCCCGCCACAGCTTTCCTTTAATGTTCAACCGTTCGACAGTATCCCAGGCGAAGACGTTCCCCGTATTACGCAGCGCGACAATGTGCGTATTATCCGTGAAAACCTTGTACGTAACCGGGTCGACATACTCCCCCGACTCGTTCTTGGCGAGATGAAGCTTGATGAGATCGGAAGCTTTGAGAGGAGCGCCATTCACGGGATTCGTCCCATGCTTTTTGATCCAAGGGAGAATGTTTGTAAGGTCGAAGATCGTGCCTGTCGGGGTACACACTGGGTGTGAAAACGGCTGTAGCGAGAGGGAGCAAAAGTTGAACGGAAGACGTTTAAACGCGGTGTCGACCCCTCCTCTTTTCGCTCTGCCCACACCAGCTCCAGCGCTGGCGGAGAATGCATCCTCCGATGCCCACTCCGAATGCGTGATCTAGATGAGTCGTTGGGTCAGTCAAGCGCGATACGATAAGAGATAGAGCGCGGAAAGCGAAGAAGATCTTTTAACGGGGAATAATATCTCGTACATATAACTTATCCGTGCCTAAACAAATGAATTCTTAGTTAGCTTTGCAGACAATCAGGCGGAACAGATTAGCGGAACTGACCCTTTCCCATCCTTGCGACAGACGATTAGACTGTTGCTGCGGCTCTATCTTTGCGATCCTGTCGCCGCCCGGAAGGCATGATGTATTGCCGTTTCCTACTCTAACCATATTGGGCTAGTCTGTCCGCGGATGGCCACCGCTCGGTAATTGTAATACCACCCACGGGGAGTCGGATCTGTATCTCGATCACGTCACCTATGGCTGTTTGGGATCAGATTGTGGTGGATAATCAATCGTTCCCAGAGTCAGTGTTCTCTAAGTAAACCAATACTGAGCACTATGCAGAGCTGTCTACAATTCAATATATCCGAAAAAGAAAATTGTCAAGAACTGTGACAGGCACGCAAAGAAATCTACATATATATTCTGGTTTTTTACTGGCCTCTACCTCTAGGTACATATTGGGAGGCACTACAGCCACACGGCTGGGCACCTTTCTACTACTTACTCTAATATCGCTATAATAAGACGACCCCAATACAAAAAGACTGTATATTTTTAGGGAGTGTTATATCAAAGCATATTCTAATTTGTATCCAGGGCCTCATCCAGAGTCCTATAACTAACGACATACAGAGCTGTTTACAGAGCTTTACATAGGGCCTTACACGGGGCCGTAGTAGGGAAAATATATACTCCGTATTGACAGAATAACAGAACAGCCTAAGGCATATGAAGCGGCCTTAGGATAGAAATAAAAGCCTCAGGCATAAAAGTTCAGGCGGTGATTATTCTGCGAGTTTGAAAAAGTAAAGCCTTTCCCAATAGGAAAGGCGGAGTAAGCGGAAACTGTGGCTGTAGCGGATGCCGGTGTGGCTGTAGCCTGGCTGGTGTGGCGATAGCGCCTCCCTAAATCATAGCCATGTGAAGATATGCCTTGGGAATAAATAATAATTTATGTGGGTCGGTCGCCCTGAATCCAGGGTCTGATGATAATGGGACTTTGTTGATAACGCCATGGGACAAAGCTTTCCTTGAGCCCTTTCATTACAATATCTAAAGTGATAAAAATATCTCACGCTAACCATGTACAGACATGAGAAGCGATTGTATCCTGCGGAATAAAAGGAGATTGGGTTAAATTGATCCCCTTGCGATCAAGTGAAAATTCAATGTATGAAGGTTTTTACTGAAGGTCGAGTTCGGATGACAGGATCTTCGGTACCACTTAATGTTTCTACACTGTGTGTGAAGGAAGTACGAAGATACCCGATATTAAAGATACCAAATCACAAGCGGTTCAAGTACATCAACAAGTCATGCTAGCCAGTTAACCAAGTCCTCTAGCTCAGACTGCCAGATTCAAGCGCTCGAAAATCATCTCCAATCCCTGTAAATCCCCGGCTACAGTCTCAGCCAGCTCTGGGTCAACCCAGCCCTCGGAGCAGCCGCCTCCGAAATCAATGAGCCAGGCATCGCGATTCTCATCGATTACTACATTATCTAGCTTGACATCTCCCCAACAACAATCATGCAGGTGGAGAGCGTGAAGGGTGTCAGAGATCTGATCATACCACTTCTGTCGTTCGACAACGCTCACTTCTGGTTGGGCAAGCGGCCATAGACCAAGAGGAAAACAGTTGGGGACCAATGTCAACAGCATGCCGGAATGCTCAGTATTGACATTGACTACCCCTTCTAACTTGGGAATCCGGAGTGACAACCCAGCTGCCTTCTGCAAGATTGAGATTTCCCGGGTAAGAGACTCATTCGTGGCCGCCGGTTTATACAGGAAATCCTTCCCATTGATGCTGACTTGGTACACGGCGCGATTTAGGCTGAGGCGGAAGTCCTTGACCTCGGACAGTTCAAAGTGGGGGACATTCACCAGATCGTCCTCCAAGGAATCCCAGTCAATTTTGTCCGGCCTCAGGTAGAACTCAGGGTATGGTTCGAATGTGACCGTGTCTCCAAGAACGGGAATGAGGCGGAAGCAAGATGGGCGCTCCAAAACGACTGCAGATTGACGGGAGGATGGACCATCTCCGCTTTGATAAAGGAGACAAAGTGCGGTCCCAACAGCCTGAACAGATCTGTAACGGACTGGTTGACGTAAAGCTCGATGCATTGGTGTACGATCGTCTCACCAGACTTGGTTGATGACGGAGGAACCGCGAAGATAATCACAAATTCAATCGGCCCTGCCGCCATACCTACGTACGCAGCTTTAAGGACGCCCTCACTTGCTCTGTGGCCGATGCGACTCGGTGCAATGTCGAGGTGACTACCTTTCAGGGGCTCGAAAAATGCTCTTATACCAGGCGGGGGAGAGCCAACCATGTGGCCCGCAGTCTCTGAGGTAGAAATTAGATCAGCTAGGCTACTAGGCAGGTTGATGATGTAGAAATACACGTACCCCACCCATGATCCTCATTGGGAAAGCCTTGAATCTCGAATGCACCCGTGTCAGAGCCGTCAGCGTCGGAATAATCACTCTCGACAGGCGTCGCTTGAGTGGCTAGAAGGTCAATTGAATCAGCTTGGCTAGTATGAAAGTTATGAATTTTTGAACTGCTTACCATTATGAGACTGGTCACGAGAGGGCTCGATGGAAGGAACTATCTGTCGTCGCCATGGTGTCAACGGTAGGGCCAGCACCGTCGACAGACAATGACCGAGTACCTAGCCGATCCATCTGTTCAGCATACAAGTCGTGAAAGATTCGAGCACCTTACCGTCCTCAGCCTATTCATCAGATTGGTCAGCCATTGGGGAATCAGATCAATTACCCAACGCGACATCCTGTCACTAATGATAGGATGTTCATTTCCGACCGACACGCTTGGAGCAACAGAAGGATTCCGTTGCTCAGCCTGGGTGCTGGACTGGTCAGACTCGAGGGAGCCACATTGGATGGCGAAAGAATCCGGTTGGTTTGCCATCGTGTTGAGAGAAGTATTGAAAGACGAGAAACAGAAGTTCACAGTAGGTCAATTGAGAGAAACGGATTCGAAATCGGAAATAAGTTGCGCAATGGGCTTTGTAGAGACGGGGAAGACGTCGGGGTTTTAAAGCAAGCAGTGATGTCTTTGTCTTTGTCGAGGAATGCATCAAAGACCGAACTCACCACAACAGCTTGAAAGGAGAAGTGGATAAAAATACCCAGGCATTATTTCTCTCCTCTGAACAAAGGTACGGCTACTCAGATGCAGCCTACGGAACGGAAAGGCGGGGAAATGAGAGCTGGTTGGTTCTCATAGCCTGGATTGCTTCCATCGTTGTACTAACCACCGCGGTGAGTGGAGGGAGTGTGATAGGTCAGCTGGTTGATATTATTGAAGTATCCGAGAATTGCTGGCCCCGGGGTTCTTTCATCATAACTTCAATTGGAGTAACCTCTGGATTGACTGCCTAAGGACGGCCTGAGCAGCCCAACTGAACTTGATGATTTGGGTAAGTACTGAGTAAAAGACCACTGATCAGTTTAGATTGACGATACGCCACTATTGGTATTCGTACGGGGGGAGTACTAACATGGACTTGGCTAGGTTTAGCGAGAGGCCAGAGTCAAAGTTACTTCCCCCCCCTTCAAATCCCTCTGCATACTGAATTATTTTCCGATATGTAGAGAATTCCCCATTCCCCCGTGGATCCATCCACCTCCTTCCTGTGTTCACTCCGGCTGCCTCTCTCCAAGCCCACAATGTCTGGTCCTCAGAGACGTTGTTATCATAGACTCTCACGAAATCTGGTCCCAAAATGGAAGTAGAATTCCGGCTCAATATACTATCATTAGCTCCTTTTGGGCGGTCTGTCATTCCATACGACCAACGCGCTTAAGGAGATCCGTATGGTTAGTCACGGTATCGGTATGAGATATTGTCGGAGGTCCGTTCTCCTATTCAAAATGCATAGTTCAATAGAGCCATATGCCACTAGTAGTTACAGTTCAGCGGCAGGTGGTGGCGGCGCACAGCAGAGCAATTTCCTCTTGAAACATTCTCGGGTAATTGGCCGTCTTTTCGTCTGCCATTCTGGGCCTCTGAAGGTTTGCTCGACTATATCTACCATAGGGCCTCTCATCTCGCTCCTGAAGTCCTTTCAATCCACAACTCCTTGCATCTAACACTCCTTGACCACCCTATACTCAGCTACCAAGCTCTTACCCTACTCTCCACTAAAAAGACCAAACTCCTCATAACCCCCTTTGCAATGGACTTGCTCGGCAAAGTCTTCGAAAAACCCAAGGTCACAATCAATACTCCCTTTACCAATACCGGCGACCCCAAACCTACTGCCGAAATGCCTCGGGACTCTTTGTCCGTCTCCCTGCAAGTCGAACTCGGGCCTTTCACTATCATGGTCTCCGGCGTCAAAGCCCTTAACAAGCCGTCGCCAAACACCCAGGGCTCAGGGAAAACCTCCAAGACCCAGCCCAAAAACGATGAGGAGAAGTGATGGCGGACGCAGATGAATCTTTGCTGTTGGCCATCTGAATGCGGCGAGAGGCCGCGGCGAGAGCGGCACTGATAGCTTCGTGACGCTTATGGTTTTGTGATGTCGGTGACGTTCGTGGTTTGGTGATTTTTGTAATTTCGGGATCTTTGTGCTTTGATGTTATTTGTGATTTCGGGGTTTTTTGTGCGTTTGTAATGCTTGTCCTTCATTATTTTTCCTATCTACCTTATGTCAATCCACTCATTACGTATGCTCTCTCCAATCCCAACACCACTTAGTAAACGGATTCACTGTAGTGATGGAGTTGTAATAGAACTCTTCTCTTCTCGTACAGTATCATAAATTGCCGTAAGGATACTGTAACGACAAATGCCTAGTTCAGAGCCCTTACGGTCTTGCCTACTCATCCGACACCCTCTAGAATTTTCCCATGGCACTTGCAGCATCACCATAGCATGGAGGATTCTAGTTAGCCTTGGTCATTGAAGTTCGCTACAAACACGTCTATAGTTATCGGGCTTATCAGTACCCCTTCCGATGAAGAGCCCGACATGGCCGTGCAAAGAAAGTGAGGTGTCAGTGCAGACAACAATTAAGGTTACTTTCCGGCCCTGATCGCTCGGAGATGACGGATCGGGACGATGAGTGATGGAACGGCCCAGGCTTGTCTCTTGGCTGGACTTATTTAGCACAAAACACTATTCTTGTAGAAAGGTCCAGGCGGTCGAATGGCTTCAACCATGGACCAGTTGGAAGACTAGTCGTCTGATAGCGGTCAGGTAGGTGAACGCTATTTTGCTGCATTGTCCATGTTACGACGAGCATTGGTTAGCAGGTACTCTTCCTCGGATTACAGCCATTCCTTGGCAGTTGAAGATGACGCAGAGAGAGAGAGAGAGAGAGAGACTGTATGTGGCTGAGACACCCGGGGGCGATGATAGGGCGGGAATACGAGCACCATCATCACCGTAGAAGTCATGTTACACTAGCATCTAATATGACAGCCACCAATTAGAGGGTATTTCAACCGTAACTGACTTGTAAGAACCTGATAGGTTCATTCAGCGCACCAAAGCATATCCCAAGCATCCACCAGCATCAAACGGAGATCCACCAACTTAGACGTAGCTGCCTGAAATTAGCCAAGCAAATAGTTACAATCTTGAGTTTGGGGGGAGAACGCCAGATATTTTACGGCGGGCGAGCGGAAGAGCTGCCCCGATTACTGGCGCAGCTTGCGCCTACTCCCTTCTACCCAAAGAGTCTTCTCTTGCCCTTCTCTCGGGGTCATGTGAGCGTGTGTTCGGCGTAGCACCCGTCTCATGGGCGCCACACCAGGTAGTTCCTGGAGCTGGAGGTAAACCAGGGTATTAGAGGCCTGGGGCGCTCTTGTGCAGACTAGCAGTACTCATTTGTCCACATCCCTGAGAAAAGGAGCATGTCCGGGGATGTGTTTCTGTCCTGTTTTGGATGTCAGTGTGTATCTTTGGGGGCCAGTGGATGTGTTGGAGCCCAATTTTGTCTCAGCAAAACACAGACTGGGGAAGACGGTCGCTATGGCGTTGCGTATGAAACGACAGTGGCTTGGAAATTGAGTTTGGCGAGGTCCCTAGTAGTAGTCATCCATTGGAGGTTGCGGTTCTGCTATCCCCAGGGCAAATCAACATACGAGGTGGCTTCCCGCTAGTCGACGCTTGTTTGAGGTGGCATGTCATCCAGCTGTCAACTATCGTTCCTCATTTTGAGTTGGTTGAATGAGACCAATTACCGTACAGTAACAGTCAAATGTCACGGAACAACTGGCCATCCCGGAGACCTTCATTGGAGTTAGGCTCGCAGCATGATGCTGCCTGCCTGTCAGGTGGCTCTACCTGGCAACACGCACAGCCAGCATCCTTAGATGCGCCCGGGAATACGGTATTTGCATCCTACGGGCAAAGATCGGAATCGCGGGTCTTCCCCTTCGAACCCAGTTCAAGGTCATATGCCAGGCTCAGGGCCCTGATCAACCCGGATTCAGTCACGCTTGACCCAGTCGATAGGTGACCCCAGCTTCTACAGCCAGCGCGCAGTAAGCCGGATCCCGATCATCTCACCCTCATATTACAGACAGCTGGACAGATACTGACTGGTTTTGGCTCTTCTCTATGAATTCGCGCTTTCTCCATCGTGGGGATACCATACGCTCGCTCCGGGCGCTTCCTTATATCTCCATAGTTGCTTGGACTCAGACGAGGATCTCACGATCGGCTTTGCGTAGGTCAGATCAAGATCGTCCTATCTCTCTATTCCGGCGCTTTCTTTCATATGGCTGACTGAACAATCGTCCCCAACGCTTTTGTATATCTTGCAGATACACTCGGGTGAGATGGAGCGGTTCCGACCGTTCTGCTGTGAGTCCGGCTAAGACGCCCATTCCCTACAATGCATCTTACCGACAGACTTGCTAATAACTGGCTTTGGGCTCTCCGTTCCAGGTATCCAACCATTCCCGTCCTTCCGTCGCAAGGTCATCCTCGTCTCAAGCCTTGACACATGTAATCTGGTTTCGGTATGCCTCTGCGGCTGATCTCAGCGCTGCTCGTGTCGAAATACCTGCAACAACAAGACCTTCCGGCCTGGAGAACGATGATCCAAACGCCCGAAGCGATGCCGGAACATGCTCAACGACTCTTTCACAACGAGGTGTCATAGGGCACTTGCACTTGGCGGTGGTGATGAACCCGACACACGCGGGTTCCTGTCGTCACTTCTCCTTCCACAGAGAAGTTTCGTTGAACGATGCATTTTGGCGATGTGGATCATCAACAATCTGTCAGTCCTCCGCTCATCAGCACCTGCTTGTTGTGACGGCTTTTCGTGATTTCGAAACCCTGTGTCGACAGTCAGTCCTGCGCCTCTTTTGCTACGGTCCCTGGCCTACGTAGTGTCCGATCTTCAGCCAGCAAAAGCTTCGTAGATCAGAAGTATCTAACTCAGGGCATCTCTGCCCATTCCACCCCCCAGCATCACATCCAGCGATGACCCCATTTCCCATAATATTCCTTGACGGTGACTTCCATGTTCTGATCTAAACGCAGCCCTGATACCCCGACATGCCCATCCATTCTTCTACACAGACCATCACACCCCTGATAGAAACCCCATGTAATCCACCCACCCTCCACTCATCCCATAGTAAAACGCCCAAAACACAATCCTTATTCCCACTTACTCTCCCCAACCCTTCTCACAAACACACCCACAGCAAGCCCCCTCCTCCTCTCCCTCCAACTCCCATCCCAATCCCTAACCAAAACCACTCCCACCCCCAAACCCAACACCACATCCACACTCATACAATTAACCAAGTAGAATACCCCAAGTGAAGTCAATATTAACTCAGATCATATTACCGGTTACTATGTCCTGATTTGGTTAGTTGCATGTCCTGACTAAGCCTCAACAGGGGTGCGCCCCTCATCCCGTACCGGAGGTCCACTTATATCCACATACTATGGTACAGTGCGAAAAGATCGTCAGTGCGATCAATGGGTAGTTAATTTGTCACAGGTGCTACCGCTTCCTTCTAGAGTCATGATATGAGGTTACTCAGCTTTCGTGGATGAATAACACCAATTTTCGACATTAAGATGGGGCCGGTAGGATTCTGAGGTCCATTGACGATCTCAACGCACCGTACGGATGATCTGCCGCTAAGCCAGTTGAGGCTTAGATTGCTAAGACCCGGGCACTAAACCTCTAACGGTAGGTATACTATCACCTGACACAAAAGAGGCAGGACTCGCAGCCTGAATAATCACAAAAACGCAGCACGTAAAACCAAAACAGGTCTTAGTCTCTCCTCTTAAGCCATAGTGATAAGCCCACCTCAAGGCAACGAATAAGTATTACCCGGTAGAGAAACCCGACACCTACACTGTCTCCGTAAGAGGAGGGATTCACGTACGGAAGCAACGTAGCAGGTAGATTGAGGACCGTTCGTGTCGGAGAATGACTGGTTCATGGTACTGTAGGTAGTTGGTGAGGAATCTCGACGGGCTGCCGGACCAACATACAAAGACCTAATCCCACCGGATGCTGTCGATTTTTGGTTTTTCGGGCGTCGGCCCTACTGTTGTTCCGACTCCGACCGGACCGGGTTCCCCGCCCGGGACATCCATCCATCCATCTCCTGTGACCTGTCAGTGCTTCTATCCACCCAGTACGTAGACTGCTTCTACTGTATCTGGAAAAGCAGACGGAGAGATATATCCCAATATCTTCTACAAACCACTGAATGCCTGCTTTTTGCTAGTTAGTTAGCTGCTAAACTATTCTTTACACGTCGTTCCTGCTGGCCTTGAAAACGGCAGGCTACTAGTGTTGTTCTTCAAATCTAAAATTAGATTCTGGGCGTGCGCTATTTCCTCCGTGAGGAGATTTATTTATACGGAGTACGGTATGTACGGAGTACTAGTACTAACTTTCCCGATGGAGGGATCGGGTTTCCTTTTATTTTATACTATTTTGGTTGAGTGAGGTATATCTACCTATCCATTAGAAATTAGGTGATCGTTGTTGGGTGCATGACTAGGGCTGGACCTACCGATGTAAAGCGCTGGGTTGGCGGGCGATGTTGGTGATGTTGTTCAACGTTTCTTTTTTTTTTTGATGTAGGTCTACTAGAAGTGGTTGGGATAAGGTATTCCGTACTCCGTACTGGTTATGAGTTTTAGGGGTGGTAAGTATAATACTACGGTATGAGGTCCGGTTAGGTTGTAATGAATTAGGGTTGTGGGGAGAATATTCTAGAAGCAACGGGCTTGGCTCGGCCCTTGTGGCTGTATTTGGTCCCGCGGCTAGTCATCGATACGCGTACCTGGATAATAGAAAAGTCACAGCGATTGATTGCTAGACTACACCTTAGTATACACAATGCAAGTAGCGCTGATGGAGCTGCCATCACAGTAAATCATATCCCTCCACCAATAGGCCATTGATAGTGGGAGTCTCCCATCTGCCAGTATAACACCCCAATGTATGGCTTTTTTTGTCACGGTCGTTGAATCATCATTAAGTATGCCATTCCGTTGTGGAATCTATACAGGGGAAGGCTGGTAACGCAACGGTACTACCCAACGGTTACCAAAGTCAATCCCATGTCGCCGCCGGCTGCCATATTTTCTCCAGACTATCTGAGGAATGCCAATGTCCGCCACCGAGAGATTCCACGACAGTCCCTCTCCGGAAAGCAGCGCATTGACTATCCCTGTTTTAGGAGCCCCAAGACAAACGACCGATCTCGAGTTGATGCACAACCGACCACCTTCTACCGTAGTTGCTTCGCCTATGAGTATATGTTAGCACCAATCTTGTATGAGGGGGTCACGTGTCAAACACTGACCACTCATAGCTGACAACCCCGAAGGCACGTCAACAGACAGGATTTCGAGGTTGCTTCGGTTAGCCCAAGAGATCATCTCAAAGGCAGTAGCTTGATCATCCGTACGGAGATCATCAAAAGCTATATGAATTCCAAACAACGCATCGACAACCAAGTCGGGCGCGAACTCGGATGTCGAAAGCCGGGTCGATAGGTCCTCCCATCTATGGACTCGTCCGCCAATCTTCTTGAACACTTCAAGCTGCTTACGACAACTCTCCAGTAACTCATTCTCATGCTCGATGCCTAGCATACACACAGTCACACGGTGACCCCGATTGCGGAGATGACGAGCCGCAGAGACGGCTCGGGCCCCGGTTCGGTGATTACCCGTGAGCACCAGCATTGTGGGTGCAGCCGCGTCGCTCGAAAGAAGACCAACAGCAGCTTCCGCAATACCGCGTCCCGTATTTTCCGTGATCATGTCCTCCGTCAGGCCTAGTTCGGCAACCGCAATCTGCTCCACCTCAAGGGTCTGCAATGGACTCACGGTTGGGCAGCTTCGGTTGGTTGTAGTGAGCCGCAAAGAGGCTCCTGGTGCACCCGGACCACTTATCGGAGATGCGGAAACAGACGACTTATTGGGCCGAGGGCTGGTGGTGCGAGAAGTGCTTAGCTGGCCGCGTCCAAGAGTATTGATCTGCGGTGGCACCAACGGCTGGCCCAAAATGGCGCTTCCCTTGCGGGAACTGGATGCCCGCGACGCTCTGGACCGTTCGCGGCCAGAATAGGTTCCGCTACTTAGCTTTGCATCGCTGGGTACCTGGTCTGTATCCTCGCTCTCGGTCTCCTCCAGGCTATCGAGCACGTTTTCTGTCCAGTGTAAGTTCTTCCCACCGTTTGTCCCAGGCTTGGGGGGCTTTCGATTGAAGCTGACCAAGCGGTCCTCGTCAGCAGTCGTGTCATCGTTCCGAATTTCTTCGAACACCTTTCGTTTGTCGAATTTGGAGAGATTGCTCTGAAAATCAAACTCCCCCATCTCCTGAATATCCGTGGCATCCTCAGTTGCCCAACCATTAGGGTCCTCCGCATAATTTGCCTTGTTCTTCTTCTTCCGGCGCTGTTTATTGAGCGATCGGTTCAGGTGCAGATAAGAAGGTTCGACGAAAGCAGTCTGGCGCCACCCTTTGCTTTTTGGGTCCGTATTCGTCGCTCCATCATGCTCATTAACTGGCTTAGGGGTCCTCGGTTGACCAGTGCGACGATTGGCCTTCGGGCCGGTTTGGGGAGTTGGTTGCGATGAATTCAGATTCTCCCTTCCACCGGGGACAGAACCAGATTGTCCGGCCTTGAGGCTCTTTTCTCCACTCTTCCCAACGTCGAGCTCCAGGTTGCTAAAAGGTTCGTCGAGGACAGCAGCTTGGTCACGATGAGCCAGCTGCGGGAATTGGAAGGTTTGGGAAGTAGACCGGCTGATGGACGGAGCTGGAAGCTGTGCGGGACCCGACTCTGTACCCTGTGCAGATGGTACATAGGGTGGCTTCGAAAAGCTCAAGATCGCCGGGTCCACGAAAGAGTGTGGTGCAGGGGGTACGGCAGGAGCGGGTGGGGGCGGACGCTGTGCGATGGGCTGAGTCGATGGTCCAAGAGAGAGATCCGCAATATCGGGGGCTTCGATGGAATACTCAGGAAGTTGGTGACCGAGCCAGGAAAGCGTCACTAGAAGAAGACCTAGTTTAGAGCCGTGGAACGAGCAGGGTGAATTTCAAGCATAAAGGGACGGATTATACCTACCGTTTCGGAGCATTAGACGCTGGCCGATGACATTAGCTACTTGTCCCTGCACTGTCGCATTCGGTGGCGCTCGCAGCGACACGAGTACATTGTAGCCGATAAATTCGGACGCCATAATCCGCGCTCTGCGATAAGTGTCGACCAACTATCCACAGGTCTGGGGAGAAAACATGCCAGGACCAGATAAAAGCCCGACGGCATGGCAAGAACGTGGTGGTGGATGGTCAGCTTGCGGTGGCAGCTTTCGGCAGCGGAGGTCACGTGCAATGGCTCTTATCGATAAGCCCGACCCGCCAGGTGGGGTTCCACCTTCTTCCTCTTCTTCTTCCATAGTATCTAATCGGATGCTGAAACTAAAACTATGGAGCTCAGGTGTAACCAGGCTGCCACAATGAGCACTACTCCCTTCGATTTGGGTCGAGTAAGTTGCAGAGAATGAGGTAACACATTCCTCGCCGCCGCATTATCTTCTGATACTTGAGACTCCAACAATTGGCCCCATGCCAAAGGTCTGCTCCCCAACACGTTCGCAGGGACTTGCGGGGTGTTCTAAAGAACTGTTAAGTTCATACCAGTACGCCAAAACGGAAATCCGCTGGCCATCTGGAGAACAGACGGAACGAAGACTCTGTGTCCCAACAAGAACTATTCAGAGTAGTTCCAAACCTGGTGTGGTAACAGAATGTTCTGGACCTTGGAACTTTCTTCAACCCTCTCAGGGGGTTTTTTTTCCCACTCTTCTCTTCTAGTGAGTTGGGCTCAAATTTGGCCTACGGCTATGTTTTCCCCTTTTGGAAAAGCCCATCCTATGTCTGCTTCTGGCATTTCGTTTTTTTATTATTTCCTCTCGCTCTCCAGTTTCATTTTTTTTTCTGTCACATCCAATTCATCAACTTCTTAAACCTAGGTGTGTAATTAAGCTGTTAGCGCTATCCACCCTGAAACATGGCTGACAAAAGTCGCCGAATTTCAGCTCTGGTCAGCCATATCGGTCTATCTACATCTCCGGTGATTGTTGACGCCACATCCTGGAACAAGATTTTATTGGTTACCAGATGAGATTGCCTAGGCAGGTTCCTTCTTCTGACTTCGCTAGAACGTTTCTGGAGATTGAGCAAACTTTTCCTGAAACCCCTGAATTACCTATTCCTCTCTCGTGGGTAAGCCCTGTGATTTCGCCGAGTGTCTGCCTTCCTTATTCTTTCACAACTGGTGCTGCTGGGCTAGTCACTTGAAATGCATCATGATAAGATGGTGATCGAAAGGGATCCAGACCACCCTGAATGTCTGCCGACCGGTGCCTGTTGCTACGGTGAGTCCTTTCTCTCTCTTCGAACCTATAGATAAAACCTGATTCTGTCCGGTGGTCTAACCCCTCCAGTCAATATTCTACTAATAGTCCTCCATTCATAAGTCCTACATTGGACCCACACCAGCTGCATGGTTGCCACTACTCAATATCTGCAGTGCGCTCTTATATAACGCCACGTCGGTGAGAATGGATAGTAAGCCGATTAAGGTTCGCAGCTATCACTGTTGTGGCTATGTCATTACGGCACCAATTCAAAGAACGGCCACAAATATCTCTCCGACCGATGTGACACATCAGATCGGACGCGAATTCCCGCCCAGTCAGACAGAAATATCATTGAGGTGGAGATCATGCTGATGGCACTCAAATAACTGCGGACGGAGAACCTGGGAGCTTGGCATGAGCCCTGATGTCAGAAGAATACCGACACATTCATTTTACCTCATCTTATTTCTCCCCATCTAGAACTTCACGATGTGAACTCAGTCTGATTTCGATAGGCTCAAGATTGTGAGACAATCCAGGAGCTGTTATAACATTAAACTCTATTTTGTGAGCGTCATTCTAGACATTGAAATATTGTTACCGCCGATTGGGCTTGGACAGGGAGGCTAATTCGGACGGAGTGGGATTCATCCCCCGGCCATGGCATTGAATTGAAATTACACCTCTACGATATTGGCTTCAATAACTGTCAACTACAGCCCGCCGTCTACCACTGGTGCGCATGAGATTTCCGGCTATGCTCATAGATGTGTATCAAACAGTAGCATCCAGTGGTGGCTAGTGTGCAAGTGCGAGCTTTACCCGCGTTAGACTCCAGAAGGTCTCGCTGCCGGTCAAAGGTTGTTCTGGAACATGGAGCTGTTTGGGTTTCAAAAGCTATTTTCAGGTCCTAAGCTTAATCTTTGGGCTTTTATTTTGATTCTCTTTGATTATTATATCTCACGCACACAAGATTTATGATGAGATATGGCTGAACCCAGGCCGAACAGCAACATAAACAGTTGACTATCTTGGGGGGCTCTGCTTGAACAATAACATGCATATAGCCAGGGGGCTTCTGGGGTGAAAGGGTGAATATTAGGAGTATCAGCAAATTTGAATTGAATATGACTGAGATTCTATGGTTTCTAACCTACCCTTCCACGGCGAGCAAGCGACAGCTTTGTAGGAATCTGAGAGACCGATCAATAATAGCCTCCAAGTGACTGCCGATGCAGCCCAGACTGCTACTAATGTACATACGACCAATGAATCTTACCCTGAACGACTGGGTATAGTCCGTCCTAATGTCGGCCGAAGCGAACAAGATGCCCGGAAGAAGCTAGAGCACCTTTGGTTCCATGAGTACGAGGATTTACGAAAGGAAAATGAAGGTCTTGTTCGCTCATACGAAGAGAAGTGGTATATCAATTTGGCAAGGCCAGAGGACCAGCAAAGGGTAAGGGATGGGAATCTCCAGGGCCTGTTGGAAGAGGTGGTGTCTGAACAGGCGGGAGAGCTCGGAAGTGCTGTGAAGAAGATCGTGAGCACGATCATAGAAAACAAGGATTCAGTCTCCCAAGCAGTAGCTGGAAGGCCTTACGCTCAGCTGGCCTGGGGAGGGGTTCTGGCTTTACTTATGGTAAGTATAGTCTAGCGGAGATATAACAAGCTGACTTGAATTGCAGGCCGCCTCACGAGTGCTGACAGAGCCTCAACATGCAATTGAGGGTCTCGATCTGGTGACAAATATCCTTCTACGGCATCACCTAGAACAGATCAACTTCAAGAGTTTGTATGAGGCTACAATTCTAGAAGGGTACGTCCTCGGAATCCATCATTCTTTGCTGGGCTAGCTAACAGTTTATGAACAGTGCAAATGCAATCAAGTGTTCCGAGTACCTCATGAACAACACCATCAAGCTTTACACCGGGATTTTGGAATATCAGATACGGCTTGCGGAGCAATGCTATAGCCACCGTGTGATAGTAACCATCCGGAATGTTTTCTAGGTTGATGACTGGGGCGACATGACGAAGAAGCTCCGGAGTGTTGATAAGCGCATTGTGCAAGAGCTAAAAGCCCAAAAGGAGGCGCGTGGACAGGTAAGGAGCTTCCTAGGCAGGTTGTTCGTATGCTGACTTCTGTCCTTGGCGGTCGAGATCGAACGGAGGCTTCACGAAATGCATCCAGTTACTCGTGCAACATGGGCCCGGCTCAAGGAGGAGCCGATCTGTCATGAGGGAACACGAACAGAAATTCGACGAAGGATTCACGAATGGAGTGAGGATTCAAAGGCAAAGCCGATCCTATGGCTGAGCGGGTTACCTGGAACAGGTAAATCCACAATTCTGAGGACAATCGCGGCCGATCTCAAGCTATCGGGTCCAAGAAAAACATACAGGACCGATCCGTGGAGGATCAGTGGCAAGATTTTATCCACGGTCCTCTGTCCTCACTGGAGGCCATCTCCCCCAAACCGATCATCATACTTGACGCAGTCGATGAGATTGAGATGGAAGATGAAACCGTCGGGCATCTCCTGCAGCGCCTAAGCGAGACCGAGCGACTCGTCTTTCTCATATCCTGTCGTTCCGAGAGTCCATCACGCTTTCAAGGGCTGGAGCATATGGTTCAGGAACTAAAGCTGGGGAAAGTTGACGTTAGCAACAAGGCCGAGAATGACATGACTTCTGTCATAAGGCATGAGTTAGCCAAAATCTCAGCGGGACTTCCTGATCTCGCACCAGACGTTCTCGGACAGAAGACCATCAAGGATCTTGCATCGAAAACGGAGGGTTTTTCCGTCTATGCAAGCTTTATTTGCCGATTTCTGAAGACGGCAGACAGGAAAGGTCAGCTAAAGCGTCGCCTTGAACTAATTCTAGCGGAGAAGCCAACCAGTGGGCCATCGATGAGCATGAATCAGCTGTATGCGGAAATCCTCGGCCATGTGATTACCAAGGATTTGGAAGACGACGAGGAAGTATCCTCGTTATTCCAAAGGTTGGTGGGAGCAATGGTCGTGCTGAGACAGCCGCTCTCGGTCCCGTCCCTCAGCAGATTGATATCTGTTTCAGATGAAGATAGTGACTATATCATCTCGAAGCTGCGCTCAGTTATTGAGATAGCCGACTCGGAATGTCCGCCGTCATTCATTCATGAATCCTTTAAGGAGTACCTCCTTGACAACACCCGATGCTTGGATCCAATCTTTCACATCAGGAAGGAGACACAACATGGCGAGCTCTTTCGCAGTTGTATGAGAGTAATGAGCGAGACCATGAATGGTGATGTCCGTCATGTCCAGGATTCTAGCTCCACGAGGGCCTCTCCCCGGGAACAGTTGCCACAATATGTTGAATATGCGTGCATGTTTTGGGTGGAACATCTGTCCCGGAGCGGGTTGGCCTTCAAGTCAGAAAGCCATACGGTCGAAAACTTTTTGAAACGACACTTGCTGCACTCATCTCTTGATAACCATTACTAATGAGTATAGATGGGTTTTAGTGATTCTCTGATGGGGTTCATTGACGATGCATTACGTTTTCTAAGGCAATTCGAGAGGATTATCGAGACAAAGCCATCGCAGATTTATACCTCGGTTCTCAGCTCGTGTCCAAAAAAATCACGCATCCGGAAGACATTTATACCTGAGACCTAGCACAGTCTAATTTTCCCCCGACGGCCAACACCTAGTGGGAGTGCTGAAGCGGCTAACGGGCGCTCGATGGACGAGTGAGATCCATATATGGGATACAACAACACGGATGTGCCATATTCTACCTGTCACTGTATGGAAGTTCAAAATCTCGCAGCAGCAGCAGCAGTAGTAGTAGTCGCATGTGCCGTTAACAACCGAGAGGAGGTCCTTAATCATTGAACGGCTTCTCTGTTGCACCAGATATGGACAGATGAAGATTGTCTATCCAATGAATAGTACTGTACAGAGCTCGAATGTTAAATTTGAGACTGTGGTGCCTGAGAAGGTAGGATACTGCTTTCAAGGGAAACCCCGAAGCCCTTTATCGTCAGCAGAGCCATCTGGACTGATCTGTCGCTAGATTTACGGATGGAGTCGGCGGTTGATTGACAGTCTCAGTTTTATGTTCAGTCGTGGCTGGTATGCTGATGAGTGGCATCTTGCCCTCACGCACATCATCCGAGATATTCCCAAGGGAATCACCGCAGCTGACCCCTGGGTCTCTTGGTGGTTCTCCCAAACAATGGGCAACTCTTTGTTTATTCGATGGCACATGTCTTTTGATGACCACTACATTCTTTGTTTTAAAGGGCCGACAGGGTTCCCTTCATGTTATCTTCAACCTCTTTGATTCAAGAACTCGAAGAACTCATCAGATTGGCCACCACGCAGTATGCGTCTCTCGTCCATATTCCGCAAGCTGTGTGGTGGAAGTCATACAAGCCCTCGCTCACCCTGTCCCACCCTTTCGGATGAACCAGCCAGCGTGTCTCCATCCCCTCCTGAGCAGCCATCATCGCCTGAACTCTTGGATGATGATGTCTATTACCTCCTTCAATTACCACACGAATTACTCTTTCTCTGCTCCAGCTATATGGATCAACAGAGTCTGAACTACATCACACAAACCTGCATATATACTCATCGACTTACAGCCAAGTTTGATTTAACCACTCGCCGTGCGCCAACCCACGCATATGCCGAGTGGTATGAATATCGCATTCGGAACTCTGCGGTGATGCCATCTAGATATCCCGAGCCCCTGAGAGACGCCGTGGTAGAAGGGAACTATCATCAAGTCCATAAATGGCTCGAAGAGCACGCGGATCCTAATTCTTGGGATTTACGTGGAACTTACATGCTGGTCCATGCTATACAACAGGGTCACTACAATATCACCCAACTCCTACTACGATTTGGCGCGGACCCTAAACGTGAAGAGGCGTTAACATTAGATCACGTCATAAGCCGCCTTTATTTTAATCGCCCAGTTATTGACTGGTTCGAACTGCTCCTTCCTTATGGAGCGAAGTTTAAGAAAAGGGAAACATTCGAGTTGCTTTGGGCGACGGGAAGGGCCGATCTCTTGCGACAAGCATCAAGAAATGTGCCGGATATTGCTGATATAGATGGCCTTCTTGAACAGGAAGTCAACCCTGATAGAAGGGCCCCGACAGAGTACTTCAACGGGACATATGTCGGTCCAGATGGCCGCAATCATTAATTCGTTAGTGGCAGACTGAGTCGCGAGAGACTCATGTCATCATCCAGAGCGATGCTTGAGGCCCTCATAGACGCGGAACCCAGGGTTATGACCCTGCAACTTGGAGAGTACACCTTGGCTGACTACGCTCTCCGGCAAGGGCGTGTATCCTTTGCTTTAAGCTTACTGGAGAGGGGAGCTTCCAGCACCTGCTGGTATTTGGAGTATGCTGTGAAATACAGCAGATGGTCCTATAGCCACTATTTCAGGGGTGTTGTATGTCGCTGTTCCATGCACTATACCCGAGGGGTTAGCCAGATATATCAAAGAATGCATGAAATGCAGGGTGAATTGAAGCATTATTTTCTGTAGGTCCACCACCACCACCATCACCATATCTCCCCTCCAACTCTTCCATCCGTTCCAAGTCTACGTCCTAATTTATTACTACTAGAACGGACTAGTACATCTGAAATAGTATACAGACCATCTAAACCCTTTTCCTTTTTCTGTTTCTTTTTCCTTTCTTTAGTTCTTTTTTCTTTTTTATTTTGCCGAGTTGGTTAACAGCACTTGATATATGTCTCTTACTAAATCGGATATTTGTTTTTCTCTATCTCGACTACCAGCCACAGGACTTTTATACAACGAATATGAATAGTGATTAATCAATGTCAAAGAATAAAGATATGAATATTCTCATTCAGACATGTCATGTAATGATAAATAAAAAACCCTCCCCCCCCCCCCTCCCCCCGGGGGACATAATGATTAATATCAACCATACAAATGCCCTAAATACTCTTCCTCCTCCTCATCCCCAAACTCATCATACACCCTCGACTTCTTCGATTTCGACTTAATCACATCCGTAATACTCACAAGCTTCGAATAAAAATCCGTCACCTTCGGATGAACCATCACCTTACGCGCTTCGAACCGCGTAACCTGAAGTCCCGCTTTCGACGTAGCACGACTCAAAGCCACATAGGCCTGGCCCTTTTCAAACACTCGGCCTAGATCAACCTTCACCCGTTGTAGGGTCTGGCCCTGGGCTTTGTGGATGGATAAAGCCCACGCCAGGATCAGAGGGACTTGTTGGCGTTGGGCCTGGACTTCGCCGTTGGGAAGCTCGATCTTCCACGTTTCCGGCTGGCAGAGGAGATGGCGCTCGGTTCCGTCGGGCTGGACGAAGCAGACGAGGGGCCATTTGCGGGTGACTGTGATACCTCCTCCTCCGTCTTTGTTGGCGTTGGCCAGGGGTTTGAGCTTCTTGCGAGCTCGTGCCATCATCTCGTCGTCGCTGTTGTCTCCTGGGCCGCCGGAGAACTCGTTCTCGTTCTCAATGTAGTAGTCGAAGGTGGCTTCGTCCATGAAGGCTACGACGCGGCCGATGGAGCCGTTCACGAGTGTGTCTTCCATGTTTTTGATTAGCATGACTTGTGCGCCCTTTTTTAGGTGGATTACTGGTGCTGCCATGCAGTTGGCTAGTAGCCGTTCTCGGAATTGGGTGTCTTGGATGGTGCCGGAGTCGACGGCTGTGAAGGTCATCATTTCGCCGGAGAGGCGTGTCATTCGTGCGCTGTTGGCGCTTTCGACTTCTTGGCGGGTTGGGAATCTGGAGATGTGAGTGTTTGCTTGGTGTTGGGTTGGTAATGGGGATTTGGGGGGGAGGTTACAGTTCGGTGGCCTCGAGGGAGTCGTGAAAGTCAAGCGGTCGAGATAGCTGTTTGAAGGTTTCGACAGTGCGGGGAGAGATCTTTCCAAGTCGGAGCTCGTTGAGCATGTCGGCGAACTCGGGGTCTCTTTGACGGAAAATGTGGGTGAGAAGGATGGTGTGTTGGATGGAGGTATTCCATGTAGCGGCTGCGAATGCGAATTTGGCTTCGCGGTTCCCCCCTTCTGGGACCGGGGGCAATTGGAAGAAATCGCCAGTGACGACAAGCTGGATGCCTCCGAATGGACGACCGTTGTTCCGAATCCGTCGTGCGATTTCCTCCAACTTGTCGAAGAGATCCCCGTCTACCATGGACACCTCGTCAACAATCAGGACCTTGGTGCGCATCCAGCGATTCCGGGCCTTTTGGTTCTTCTTGATCTAGAGGTTGTTAGTGAGACTGTATACTCGGTTAATGGTAGATGCTGACCTTCTTTACAAGCTCTGGAACAGGCTCTTTACCCAACCCAATACCTGCGAAACTGTGCAGAGTCACACCCTCAATGTTGCAGGCGGCAAGACCGGTAGACGCCGTCACGGCAACCCTGTCCGGCTCTTTCTTGTACTTGTCGCGTAGTTTCTTGATGATCTCTCTCATAAGCACCGACTTGCCTGTTCCAGCAGAGCCCGTGAAGAAGATACTCTTCCCTTGCTGAACGACCGCGTCGAGGACATGGCGCTGCTCATCGCTAAGGAAGATCGACGCCACCTTGGGGCGAGAGTTGTGTAATTGGCCGCTTCCTTGCGCTTTCATAGTCTTGTTCTGCCGACGCATCTCCCGCTGTTCGTCTTTGATCGTGCTCGCCGTTTTATTCCACGGAGCGGTTTGTTTCGGACGCACCGGTGTTTGCGGGTTCATAGTCGGAGCTTCTGTCGCCTCTTCCTTCAGCCATGGTAAATTCCGCGGCTTCCTGGTCGGTTGTTGGAAGTGAGAAGGTGGCGAGGAAGACCATGGATATTGTACACTGCTTGATGGCGGGATGTTGTCATCAGGCATCGGGGGGAGATCCGGATACTTGATCGTCGACAAGTCCTTGTCAGGCGATGTTAGATCAACGATGGGGATCTCTTCGTCTTGCGCCTGGAGAGCCGGATCCTCGGCAGGTTCGAGTTTCCGGACACTCGGTCGTACAATAGGCGCCGGGGGAATAAACGGATCGGGCTCTTCAAAGTCCAAATCGTCATCGTCGTCGAAATCGTTTTCGTCGAAGTAGACCTCATTATGGAGGGAGCCCAAGTTGGAGTCTCGGGTGGTGGTGGCCATCTCGATCTTGCGCTTGACACCCACTGACGGCGGGGGAGGTTTTACTGAGGCACTCCCATTACTGCGCATCAGAGTGGACTGCAGCGGAGTCCCCGATGCTGCGGAATGGTCCTTGACGGCTTTCTTGAACATCACCGCTTCGTCCCCAGCCAGCCAAGTTCGCGATGTCGAGTATCTAGAGGCACGATGCGACTTCAATAGGGGCCCATTTGACAAAACCTGACGGAGTATACCTGGGGGAGGTGGGCGCGGCCTGGAAAGGTACATATACTTGAATTATGGGCACTTGAAAGAAAGAACTCGCCTGCGTTGATCATCTATCATTAATTATCAATTAGAATGGGGAGAATCGCCGCGCCTTCGACGGCGCGTTGGCCCGATACGCGCCGCGCCACTCTCTCACGTGACGCCGATAAGGGCTGGTCAGAGATGCCCTAACCACGTGCCACTGCGGGTCCTTCTAGGCTTCCATCGATGCTACATCGTACAATTGGCTTGCAATAGCTTATGTTGACGTCCTTGAAGCCAGCATGTGTAGCTTCATGGGGGTGTCGTACAACGGCCAGTTATATTATGTAGGAAAGCAAGCTTTCTTTTGACAGAGACAGGCCGTCCAACCAGCTTTGCGCTGCATAGATTCGCAACTCGACGTATTGAGACTGGCATGCTATCTTGGGTATGCTCATATTAGAAGATTCACTGGCAGTCCCATGATCCGAGCAACCTTGAATTCTACCTTTTATAGTTACGGCAAACAAGCTGCTGTTGACTTATAGCCGCCTCCTCATTTGTCGATGATTCAAGACTAGACACCTACCCTTAGCTTACAATAAGCCAACCTACCACTATCCCAGCTAGGCTGTGGAGCAGATCTGCCGTTGGCCTTTTATAACTAATTACTACCAGACCCTTATCTAAAGCTTGTCTCCCGATGGCTTATGCACTCGCGCTTTTATTCATAGACTATCTGCACGATGCGTGGCAAATTGCCATCATCTTATTGGCCGCAAATACCATGACGAGCGCAATTCATACATGGCATATGCATTATGCACCAGAAACAACCTTCAATCCTTCGAGAACCTTGTTTATAAAATACACGATCATCGTGACAGCCACATTGCTTGTCTGCACGACGGGAAACATCAGTCACGTGACACCGTATAATCAAGACGCGCTCCGCGCGGAGGTCCGAAAGTGAATCTGCAGACCGGCGCTCGACATCCACGCTGCTCTGCCAATCATGAAGCATGGCAGAGAAAGACACCTCAAGTCAGTATTGATATTTTCCCGGTCGATCAAGGAGAAAAACTGACTCTATCCAGACAAGGAGCGTCCTCTCGCGGGGGTAGTCCTCTGCTTTACCTCCATCCTACCAGAGCAGCGGGTTCGTACTACCTTATCTCTCCTACCTCGTCTGCTTCACAAGACCGAAAGATGCTGATATGTACTGTCGCGTAGTCTGAACTGGCTATCGTTGCCAGTCAGATGGGAGCAACCCACAAGTTCGACCTTACCTCCGATGTCACGCATTTACTTATCGGCGAGGTCAACACCCCGAAATACAAGTTTGTCGCGCGCGAGCGAGCGGATGTTACCGTGCTGAAACCGGAATGGGTCGAAGCTGTTCGCCAGTCATGGATGCAGGGAGGGGATACGGACATTCGCGCTCTGGAAGACCAGTACAAGTTCCCGACGTTTGCAGGACTATCGATATGCATAACGGGGTTTGAGGACAGTGAGTAGGGATTATCGACTTGATTACGGCAATGGAACGAGGCTGACGCGGTGCCTTAGTGTTCCTGCGGAATCACATCCAGGATACGGTGACTGCACACGGTGCTGAGTTTCGCAAAGATCTCACGAAGACTATCACCCATCTTATTGCGAGGAATACCGAGGGTGAGAAGTACAAGTTTGCAACCCAGTGGGGTATCAAGATCGTCACGTTGAAGTGGTACTCGGATAGTCTTGAGCGAGGAATGGTTCTGGAAGAGACTCTATACCACCCTCTGTTACCTGAGGAGCAGCAGGGCGCTGGTGCCTGGAATCGATTGCTGCCTACCCCGAAGCCGAAGGTACCAGAAAACGAGAATCCGTCGAACCCGAGGCCGAGGAAACTGCGCAGGATTGCTAGCGCCAAACTGGGTGATCAGAATGAGGGGATCTGGGGCGATATTGTAGGCACGGGTTTCGACAGCAGCGAGCCGAAACGTCCCAGAGAGAGTCAGCAGAGGAGTCAGAGTTTGATCAAGAGTGCTTTCATACTCCAAGAGTCCCGGTCCTTTGCGAGCGAGACCACTTTTGCGGAGGTGCAAGAGCGTCCGCAGCCCTCGGAAGCAGCTGTGGAGCGTCGCGACGGCTTCTTGGACGGCTGTTACTTTTTCATTCATGGGTTTTCTACCAAGCAGGTACGTACGTATAACCTTTGTTTTCTTCATCTTCTGACCTTTGAAGACCAATGTCCTACGTGATCACCTTGCCTTTAACGGGGCACAGCTGGTAGGTTCGATGAGCGAATTCTCTCGACCGGACATACCCAAACGGGGCCATGGGCTGTACACGATTGTGCCCTACAAGATGCCTCGCGCGCAGGTTCCATCTACCGATGATCTAGCTTTTGAATGCGAGATGGTGACGGACATGTGGCTGGAAAGATGCCTTGACGCGAAGACGCTGGTGCCGCCAGAATCGCATGTAGCCAACACCCCGGTGCCTTCGTTTCCCATCAAAGGTAACTTCTCACTCGACTTCCCTGGTCATTGACATTGACTTAGAATGGCAGGTTTCGCCGGAATGAAAGTCTGCTCTACGGGCTTCTCCCGTATCGACCTCCTCCATCTGTCGAAACTAGTCAACCTGATTGGTAAGTTGCCCTGATCAACTTACCATTCCCTATCTAATATCCCCAGGTGCAACATACCACGAGTACCTGACACCCAACGCCTCCATCCTTATATGCAACGGCACCGGCTCCGTGAACCCCGACAAACTACGACATACCCAAGAATGGGGCGTGCCAACCGTCTCCGCCGACTGGCTATGGGCCTCCATCCGGGGCGCACAGAAACAACCAGTCGACCCATACCTGATCCAAAAACCACCCACGCAAAGCAGCAAGTCTCTAGAACCACGAGCCGGCTCTCGCTCAGAGCAACAAAAACCTCCTCCCAACAGTAACGAGCATCCCACGCACTCACGCCCCCGACACGAACCCGAGCAACCCAAACCAAGCATCACACACCACACGCACAACACATCCTCCACATCCTCCAAACCACCTCCTAAGCCATCCCCTATCAAAGCCCCGAACGCTAACACCAACCCCTCACCCACCATCTCAACCTCCCCCCCCCTCAAACGCAAACCCTCCGACCAACCCTCCACCACCACCACTACCACTACATCAACCGCCCAATCCGCCCTCAACCAAGCCGTAAACGGCCTCCTCAAACACGCCCCCAGCACCACCTCAGCCCCCGATCGCCCCCGAGGCCGCCGTCCCCTCCTCGGCCGCGCCCCATCCTCCTTCTCCCTCGACCACCACCCCAAACACTTCTCCTTCTCCCGCGCCAGCTCAATCGACACCCTCAACGAAGACGGCTGCGGCAGCGCCCTCGACTCCTTCCCCAATTCCAACACAACCACCGACCGAAATCCCTACACCAGCCGATACGAATACCACTACCCGGAGCAACACGGCATCCAAGACGAAGACGAAGAGAATGACGCCCCCGTCATGACACAATTAGATTACGAGGATCCGGATGCCGTCGCGATGCGGGAGAAGTTTCTGCATCAGGCGGGGAAAATCGTCGAGAAGAAGAAGTCCTCGGATGGGGTTGCCGAGGGGAGATTGGTTCCTGGGTTGGAGAATGCGGTTTGGAGTACTGGACGGAGAACAAGGGCGAATAGGGTTTTGAATGATTTTTAGAAAGGGGGGTTTGGGGTTGGTGTGGGTTGGTTTGGGTAGTGGTTTTGGTTCTGTCTCGAGATTTAGTGTTTGAGGTCAGTGCATGAGTGGTGAAGAGAGTGGGTATGTGGCCTTGACTGCCTACTATTCTGTTCAGGTTCTGGGTATGGGATGTGGATTGATTGTTCGATTGCATGACTTGGCGTGGCGTGGCGTGACATGGCATCTTGATTAGCTAGCTAGCTAGGTAGGGTATTATTCCATCTTGAAAGATTAGTTCTTTACAGTCTCCTCGAGTATCACCTAATACTATACCAGCTAGCAGGTACCGACCGATTCAGAATAATTTAAAAATACCATCACTAGAACTAAAATAAGAATAACCAGTTACCGCAACCTAACTAACCAGGCACTGCCTGAATCTATCTAATACGAATAAGCTCAAAAACAAAGTGCAGAGCAGAGCAAAGCAGGCATAAGCAAGTGTGATCATGTTATGCGAATCAGCTTTAACGCCAAAACACGACGCCGGAATCAATAGGGAAACTAACTACTCGATCATTCATGAACCTCGGCACACGAGGGTCATGAGTGATCGGAAGAAGACCAGCCTGTTGAAGACGAGACGAGACGAGACGCAAATGAGAATGGGTGGTGAAAGTAGTAATATAAGTAAGGTACTGAAAGAAGTGGGAGGTTGAAAGTGAGAAGTGGTGTGATGTACAGGATGGGATATTGAAGAAAGGGGGGAATGGGCAAGCGCCAAGCACGACCGACATTCTCTCAAACAGATAGGGAATAGTAGAGTTCGTACAGCGTCATTATTTTTTATACAGGGAAATAGATGGGGAAAGAAGATTGGGGTTTAGGGGCTCGGTTAGGCGTGGGCTGCTAGGGCGCCGGGCAGAGGTGCATCGAGGTCGATGTTGTCCACGGATGTCCGGTTCTCGCCGCTCTCGCGGAACAAGTTCGAGAAGTACTTGCAGGCCGCTTCGCTCTCGTGCTTTGTCTTGCTGACTTCGTGCTTGCGTCGGCCGAGGTCTTCGATGTCTTGTGCGAGGCTGGTTTGGAGGTTGCCGGCCGGGAGACGCAGAATGCGGCGGACTTCGGAGGAGATGCGCGTGGCGTTGGAGTGGACGTAGTCCATCTCAGAGAGGGTGGCGGCAAGCTTGCGTGAGAGACGAGGGGGGAGGGTCGTTGGGATGGACGAGACCATCCATGCGGCAGTCAAAACGGCTGATTCGGTTAGTTAGTTGATGTGCAAAAACAATACGTGGGAAGATACTCACCAACTGCCATGACACCGGGAATGAAAAGGCGACGCAGGTTGTTCGGTCCCAGGAACTTGGCTGCGCTGAACACGCTGTCCACCCAGCTTCCACCAAAGGCGCGGCCTCCAAGGACAGTCACGGCAGTCATAGCCATGCCTGTACCGGCCACCTTCTCTTGCCGCTCCCAGATACCGGAGATGTCGAAGAAGTCCAAGAGTTCCACTTCCGTGTGGACTTGCCTGGCGAGCGTGTGGCGACGACTGCGGCGGAACATCATATCCGCGCGGAAGTTCAAGGGGGCAAACTTGTCCTCTCCGACGTGGAGGAGACCGATGTTCTGGATGAACCCGACGCCCTTCACCGTCTTGTCACGAGCGTAGTCCTCGCAGTCTGTCACGGACGCAGCAATCTGCTCCAACATGGCCACCTTCAGGTCCTCAGCATACTGGAATGCGGAAAAGACACCCGGGTATTCAACGCCCAGGTCGGCCTCGGAAACACGAGCGATGGTTTCACCCAGTGTAGACCGCGTGTGGTTGTAGACATCGTCGCAAGACTCGTCAACGAGCTTTTCGACCTGATCACCAATCTCAACCTTCTTCTTCTTGCCATCCTCGTATGCCGGTTCAAGCTCCGCCAGCTCGTCCGTAACACGCTTGAGCTCGGTCTGGGCCACATCGCGGTTCACCGAGGCCAACGAGTTGAGGTCTGCAAGCAGGTTCAACAGATAAGTCCTGGCCGGGGCAAGCTTCGAGCGGGAGCGCTTTTCCAGGACAAATCGCCGCAGAGAGCCCTCCAGGTTTTCAAAGTCCTGAATCTTCTGCCTCTCCTTGCCCTTTCCTTTATCCTTTCCTTTAGGCTTGTAATCTTCATCGTCCGAATCATCATCACCGCCACCACCGCCAGAGCTCTCAACCGAAACCGGGGGTGCGACTGGGATAGCATTGCTCGAAACAAAGTGCACAAGCTCGGCCGCCTCCTTGTACGTGCGAGGGCTGAGCTTGCCAATCTGATCCAAGATCATGCGCTCACAACGCTGCTTGTCACGGATCTGGTCGAAGCCGTTGACAACAATAAACATATAGGCTTTCTCATGAGCAGCATTAAGAATGAATTCCTTTGCCGAAAGAGTGAAGTGGTTTGCAGCGGAAACCACAAAAACGACAACGTCAATCTCCTCCTGTCGGGCAAAAACCGCGGTCGTCTTCAAAGAGTCCGAGTTCAGACCAGGAGCATCGATCAGAGCAATATCCACGACGCCGTTGTTGAGAAGAGATTCATCGATCGTCCGCACGTCCTTCACGTAGACCTTGCACTGCATATACTTGGAGTTATCAATGACGATGTTCTCCAATTCATGAAGGCCATACACATCATAGGTACTCTCATCGTTGCGGTTGTAATGCATGTCCTTGTGCACGGCATGGACCTCCTCGAGACCACTGTTCTCCCGAGCATCGAGAACCTCGCAGAAGATGCTCGTGCATGGTTGCTGATCCTCCGGGAGAACCTTGCGACGCAGCAAAGCGTTACAGAAAGTCGACTTTCCTGCATTGAGATCACCAGTGATCAAGACCTTACTAGACGTATCCTCGATTCGATCGCGCAGCGACAAAAGATGCTTGATGCTCTGACTAATCTTTCCGTCCAACAGCGAAGCGATCGATGCCTTCTCCAGCGAGTGTACCAGCTCGGCCTGCGACAGAGCACCCAGCTTCAAATCCAACTTGAGAATAGAAAACTCTTGCGCGATCTGCGGGCTCATCAACCTCGGCTCGGACGGGACGCGACGCTCCGCAGCAGCACTCGACTCAGCCAAATCCTCGCCACCGGTCATTGTGGCAGCGCGTCGGATCGATCCCGGACGGGGGAAGTCCTCCGCCTCAGCGCTCGCATCTCCGAAGTACGACTGTCTCTTCTGCAAGCCGGGCTTCGGCACAGGGGAGCCGGGGGCGCTCGGGGCGGAGGGATAGTGGGCGGGCCATTGACGGTTCATGTCCTGGAGTTCCTTGAGGGTTTCGATGGTGCGCGAGATCGCACGAGCGAGCTTAGTCCGGTTCGAGTTGCTGTAGGATTAACACACATCGGTCAGTTATGCGCCACCAAGAACCCCCGTAGGCAAATCACATCACATACTATAATAATTGATGAACATGGCTCGCGACAACCTGTTTCTCATGCTCCGCTATAAATCAAAATCCACCGGTCAGCTCTCTCCATCACAACCAACTTCATTCCAAAAGAAAATCCACCAAGGCAGGCGACAAACCAGCAGGATTCCACTCTCCCAAATGCGCAGGGCTACGCATAGGCGTCGGTCTATCGACCATCAAATCCGCCCTCCAGTCGAGCCCAGCATCGCCACCACCCATCACACTCCCACCCGTAATACTCCCACCATAACCCGAGTCCTCATGCAGGGAAGCCATCAAAGAGGTCGCGCTTTCAGAGGTCGCACCATTCCCGACGGTCATGTATGCAGGCGGGGGTCTCGGAAACGACTCCTCGTTGGCGGGCGACTGCGGCGGTGACGGACGATAACCAGACGACGACCCCTCACCGGCAGAAGAGGCGCCTTGGCCGGGGAAATACTCCTGACTCATGGCGAGATAGACGTGGGTTGTTGTTGATGTTGCATGGGCCGAGAAATCAAGCAAGCAAAGCAAATAATTAATAAGTTAACAGCCGGTGACGCGAGGCAAAAGATTCCGGCAGGGAAAACCCGAAAGGGGTTTGGTGGGTTTTTTCGGGACCTGCATGTGACATTCATCCGGTATCGTGGTGGTATTGATGCAGATAGTGTATGGTAATATCTGTACCGAGTATGGTAATTGATGTCACTGCGATTGGGACCAGATTAGCTAGCCAGCACCGGGTCGAAGCCTAATCCGTTCCATTCCATCTATTCGGCCTCTCTTTCCCCTCTTTGCGTCGTTTGCTCCTTTGCTATTGACACGGTTTGCTTGCTCGGCTCCAGGCTGGATGGGATATTAGTAGTTGATCCGATTCTCTCTTGTCCCGGTCTTTTCACTTGCTATTGATTGATTGATTGATTGATTGATTGATTGATTGATTGATTGGTGTCGATCATCGCCCATCATGAACGTAAGTCTATCTATCTATCTATCTATCTATCTATCTATTCATATCCAGACAACCATGCAATCAACCAGCCCGCACTCCCTCCCCGTCGCAGACTACACCCACTAACTCACCTACCCAACCCATCTAGATCGTCGAGTGGGCATTCGGCAAGCGCATGACCCCCGCCGAGCGGCTGCGCAAACACCAACGAGCTCTGGACCGAACACAACGCGAACTCGACCGGGAACGAGTGAAGCTCGAGAATCAGGAAAAGAAGCTAGTGCAGGATATCAAGAAGAGTGCGAAGAATGGGCAGATAGGAGCTTGCAAGATCCAGGCCAAGGATTTGGTGCGGACGCGGAGGTTTGTCTTTTATCCTCTCCCAATCCAATCTTCCCGGTGTGCTGATAGGGAGGATCCAGGTATATTCAGAAGTTTTATCAGATGCGGACGCAGTTACAGGCGATTTCGTTGCGGATTCAGGTACGTGTGGTCCTTCCGAGGAGAGGAGGGGGAGGGTGGATGGATGGATGGCTTACGTTAATGGTGGTGATGGGGATAGACGGTGCGGAGCAATGAACAGATGATGCAGTCGATGAAGGGGGCGACGATGTTGTTGGGGAGCATGAATCGACAGATGAATTTGCCGGCGCTGCAGCGGATTGCGATGGAATTTGAACGCGAGAATGATATTATGGATCAACGACAGGAAATGATGGATGATGCGATTGATGAGGCGACGGGGCTGGAAGGGGAGGAGGAAGAGGGTGAGGATATTGTTAAGGAGGTCTTGGATGAGATTGGTGTGGATCTTAGCCAGGCGGTTAGTGTCCCCGGTAGAGAGTCGAGGATTGGATGAGTGCATGCTGACTTGTTCGGGTTGTCTTTACAGCTGGGTGAAACCCCTACGGATATTCAGAAGACGGCCGTGGGTGAGACAAGGGTGGCGCAGCCTGTTGGTGCTGGGGGGAATACGAGTGATGATGACCTGCAGGCGAGACTTGACAGTCTTCGCCGATGATGATGTGTGTTTCGGACAGTTTATACTATTTCCTCTTGTTTCTCTACGGTCCTACATTTACTTTTTTTTTCTCTCTCTCTAGGGTTCCGGTAACTGGGTTTGCATTAATTCTGGCAGCAATATGAATTCTCAACGACGGATTGTTTTTCCTCTCGTTTTTAAAGCCGACACTGTGCTGAGGAAGTGAAAGATTTTGACATGCAAAGATTGACCACCGCCCGGCTGTGGGTTTTGGTCTATTTGGTGAGGCGTTTGACTGCCTAGAAACCATAAGCCTGCCTATAAATACTGATGTCACACTCGTGATTGGATCAGAAAGAAGGATCGAATATGGAGGTGGAAACCATGTACTCCAAACCATGGGGGGCCCTGTGGGGGCCTTCCAATCCGGTCTCGATGCCTAACAAACTCATGACCTGCATGAGTCGTCTGCGCCTTGTGCAGTTCATCTGTGACCCTTCGTCTATGAGGGTGGGAATGGCGGGCGCTGAAACTCCTCGGGGCTGTGAGAAGTCCATTGACCGAACCAAGGAAACGTCGCCATCATTTCGATAGACGGTCGTTCTTCCGGGTTCTTTACGAACATCATCCGCAGCGCATCCACGCAATCCTGAGATAGATTTTCAGAAATCGGGAGATCCTCGTTGATGATTCTACCGCGTCGCTCTCGGACCTTCCCCAGTCGCCGGTAGTCGATCCCATGTGCCATATATTCGGTTATCCCCCCGATCAGTTCGTCCCACTCTTTCTCCTCCCAGGGTGCAAACCCGTGGAGGAGCTCGTAGATGATGGTTGCCAACTGCCAGCAGGTGAGCTGGCGGACGTCGTGTGGTATATCAACAGATGCTTCAACTTGGTTCTCAAATTTCCTGAGCCAGTGACTCTTCGTAAGCTCTATGGCAAGTTCGGGAGTCATAGACCTTTCGTATGAGGGGATGTAAGCAGTCTTATGCATGGAGAAGTCTTGATCATTCACACCGAAATGAAGCAGCCCCAAGTCTATCATACGCGTCTATTGATTCGTGAACGGGTCAGTAACATATCCAAAGGAGGAATGAGATGGGGGCAGGAAGAGAAAGAAAAAACCATACATTCAGCTGCTCGTCGACCAAGTAATTGCCATGGGAGAGGTCGGTGTTGCAGATGCCCATGTCGTGCAGATAGGCAATTGCTTCGAATAGGTGAGATGCCACTTTGCAAGCCTGGATCTCGTTGAGGCTTGTCTGTTTGCGATTTATAAGTTTGGCCCCATTGCAGACGGCCTGATTCTTTGCCTCCTTCAGCCAGTCATGTATCGAGCCAGACGGGTCATAAGGCCGGCTCTGGGCCTCCTGGTCGATCTGGGCTTCCATCACCATGGCTGAGAAGTTCTGGTGGGAATAGACCGAGTCCAGCTTCAGGAACCTGTCGAAACCATTCACAAGGAGCAGTATGAAGGCCTCAATCGGTATATAGCGCAATCTTAGGTCCTCTGGGTAGTAGAGAGGGGCCAGGGACGGGGGGTTCCCGTAATACGGGACAGGATTTACACTCGCATTGATGGTGGTCAGAGGCTCCACCTTTATCGCATAGAGCTTATTGCTTTTATCCTCCGCTATAGTCCAGGTCAGCAAGGCAACGAGGTCAGGTCATGGAGGCTGAATACCTACACTTATGCGCTAGGAAGACAGCCCCATATGCTGTGGGTATTGGTTAGCTGGGCACAGAGACGTGAGGTAAGCAGACACGACACATACATCCAATCCCGAGGATCCCACGGATAACGAAGTTGTCCTTTATATCCGGACATAAATTGGCATAGTACGTAATAGCCGCTGCCAGGTTTCCATCATGGTCGGCTACTGTTGACCCATGGGCATGTATATGATACTGGTACTCATAGCTGTCCGTTCGGTGCTCACCATTGGTGAATAGATGGCTGCATTTAGAGACTTCTCGGTCCTCCTGTCTGGCCTTCATGCTGGCCGAGTAGCGTCGTACGAGGATTTCATGAAGCCGTGGTTGGTTGGCGGCGAGCTCACTCTGTGGGTCGAGGAGATCATGGATAACTGTCGCTAAACTGGGCGGCCAATCATAGATCCAGGGGTAGGAGGCTCGATGATTCTCGGTTGTCATGCTTTGCTCACATGTGAGATCCCGGACGAGATCGAGGAACTCGGAGCTCCAGCCCAGCTGGGACAGAGATCCGGGGTTGGTCGTCATGATAAGATTAGAAACAAAGGGGGGGAAAATTAATGAGGCAGGAAGATAGAGATAGCGAGCGAGTTGCTGTGATCGAATACATGGATTCCATCTGGACGACATGAAATATATGATAGTTCATCAGGAGGTCGCTTGCATGCCGGATAAAGACCGTAGACAATCCGGGTTCATCAAAATGAGGGCTTTGTTTCGGATTAGCCCTTGTTAGACCAGAACGAGCACCTGAGGCAGCTTCGTTGTTCGGTTTCTTTCATTCGACTCGACTCAATGAAAATTCGAGAGCAAAGCCCCTTGTTTGAGCCGATGGACAAAGGCCGACGCCTCAGCTCTAGTACCAGCGGCCATGTCTTACAAAAGAACTGGGCCCTGTAATCACGGGGCATTGCCGGTAGACAGCCAGCAGCCAGCAGCCCGGCGGGGATTCCCACGGGTGCCCATTATTATTCATCGCTTCACCCTGTATCGTAGGAGCCATATCCGGTTCCAATATGTACTAAATATATACACCCGACCCTCTAATAGATATAGGTAGAGGAAGGGTGCACGAGTCGATTGCCACCAATCACAGACAAGCCAGCTGCAGGCCAGGCCCAGCTGAGGCCCGGAGCACCTGCAGAAATCCGCCGTGAGTCACAGGCTCTGAGCCTATCAGCAAGGCCCAATAATTATTCTTCCCTTGGTTATCGGAGGTCGATGACGCTAACCCCCTCCTAAGATTGAAAAGGGGGGGGGGGTAGAAAAGTACGGCCAGACGGAGGAGAGGTCTTTTTCTTTTGGATGACCTTCATTGCATGCTGCACGATCGGGAGACGAACCAGGTATGACGCGCTGCGCCTGCTGGAGGGATGGAGGATGTCAGACATACATAGTTAGTATCTATGTAGATACTAGATAGATACATACAGTAGGTAAGTATGTATGTAGGGAAGTGGATGGATCCACTCTGCTTGGAGATGGAGTGAGAAGAGTGAGAGAAGAGTGAGAGAAGAGTGAGAAGAGGGAGAAAAGGGAGAAGAGTTGACTCGTTGCGAGCAAATCCTTGGCTGCAGGAGAGTCCTCTGCGACAGGCCAATCAGCACTGTGGGAACTAGAATCACATTGTTGGGCCACCGCGCTGAATGGAGGTTAGGCTGCAGCATTCCTCTCGCTCTGGCTGAGAACCTTGCTTGTTTCTTCATCTGGATCATGCTGGATGCTTGCCTATCCGTCATCGCCTACCTATCCCACCTCAGATAGTTCGTCGTCGTTTGTTCGCCTTCGGAGGATGTTGGGTGTTGTTACCTGCTGCATAGCCCCCCCTTCTTTTTCTTTTCCCCCCAAATCCATTGCGGCTGAGGAGGCAGCCTGGAGCAATACGAAGGCTGCGCAAACAGTCCACGAGTGGGAAAGTTACACCCATCCCAAGCATCGTTGGATTTTTGCGAAAAGGAGGGAGGGCAAGGGGATGGGAACGAGTCCGGCGACGATGGCGAATGGAAAGGCGCCCAAGGAGCCACTGGCGCCCTGCTACTATCTATTTCATTCCATCATGGAGGGACCTGCGCGCTTTTCCCCTGGTCCTTCATTTCGACTCCGCATCGTGATTGAACCGTTCCCGAGGTCACAAGCAAAATCGCCAGTCGCTTCGCCGCCATGAAATCCCGAGTCTTCTGGGGTTGGATACTTTTCTCGCCCTGGGCATGCAGTTCCCGAACTTAATGGCGAGGCAGAAAGCACCAGGGATCTTCATGTCCTGAAACAATATTACGTCTTGTTTTTGCTGCGAGCCCGCCGACTTTACAAGAGGCCAACTGACCCCTCCGTGGTCCTTCTGGCTCGCTCGGAGATATAAGGATGTAAGATGCGTCCGTCCTTTTGACCCCGCCCCTCCCCAACCCCGTTTTCTCCGATTCCTTCCTAGGCTCCTCTTCCTCCTCCTTCTCTCTGCTGTGGGATTAACCGCTTTGCTCTCGCAGATCTCCCAAGCGCCCGGCGACGGTGGCCGCAGTCTCTGTGTTCCCATCAGGAGCGGAGTATTACAGCATGGCGGTCATCAACCACAACAACCTGGTGCCCCCGGCGCCCCCGGCTCATCATCCAGCTGCTCGCCCGAATGAGGCCCCTCGTGTGGCGCAGGCTGTCTCTCCACGCCCCATGAACCCCGAGTATCTGGTCCATCAGATGGGCCGGCTTAATGTTCAGCCCGAGAGGCCGCCGGCTGCCAACCACCAAAAGCCAAAGGATGCCAACCCCGTCGAGGAGATTGATGCCCGCGCACCCTTCTACTACCTGGGGTACACCTTCTTCAAGGCCGATGCCCTACCCGGGCACAAGTCCACCTGGAGCCAGGTGGAAAGGGCGAAGATGAACCTCAGCCAGACCGACCTAATCAAGCTAGTGCACAAGCGAACTAAGAAGACCCCCATCGCAGAGCAATACCAGTCCCTGTCCAAGGTCAAGCGTGCGCATGTGGATAGGTTGATCAGTGAACTCCGGAAAAGCGACCCCCATTTCGAGTGGACGTGCGTATATGTAAAGGAGGATGAGAAGCCAGTCAAGGGCAAGAATTCCCGCCGCGGTGATTACGAGACGCTTTCCATGAATGTCATTGTCATACGGAAGGCTACCGATCTCGTGTTCCCCAAGATCCCTGTGGACGACCATGTCGATGTGGACGCTCTTCCCAAGCCCAAGGACAGGGCGCCAACTCACGTCCACAATCATCCATCGGAGCCTGGATCCAAGCCGATGCCCAGAAACATGCAACCCAGTGAGCCGTTGGTCGGGCCTACTATCCATCAGGGGCCGATGCCACCGGCCATGAACAATGTCCAGCAGCCACTGCCTGCCAGGTTCCACCCCCCACCTCCCCAGCCCCCTCAGGGATATCAGGGACCAAGACCACATATGGCCCCGGGACCTTGGCCGTGGATGCACGCGATGCCAGCCGGCATGCACTCGCACCACCCTCCATCTGGAATGCCTGGTTCTACAATGCCTGGTTCTGCGATTCCTCGTTCTGGGATGCCTGGCGCTACAGTCCCGATGACCGCAATTCCCCGTCCTGCGATGCCTGGTTCTGCGATGCCTGGCCCCGTAATGTCTGGCCCCACAGTGTCTGGTCCCGTGATGCCTCGTCCCGCAATGTCTGTTCCTGCGATGCCCAGTCCCGGTAATGCACACATAGAGGCCCTTACCAATGGAGTTCGAGGCATCCCCATTGCACCTGGCATACCGCATCAAAGGCAAGAACTCGATCCCCGCCCCATCCTGCCAAACCAGCCAGAGACCTATCCTGTGGGCAAGGTAAATGCCCCAGCTTCGGCGGAGGATAAGCCCGAGAACATCAGGCCTGCGACCCCAGCAGCCGAGCCCGAGTTAGAATTGGGAGTGGAGTCTAGCAGCGTGGGAGATGACGAGTCAGTGTTTGACTTCGATGACGAGAGCTCCGTAACCGACAGCTCCGATGAGGAGCTAGAGCTGGCTGATAAGCCCCAGCCATGGCGAGGCAGTCTGTATCGTCGACACTCGACCCCGAGGACCAAGCCTTACCGTACCCACTATCGAAAACAGCCCCAGAGGAATGGTTCGGACACCAAATCGGGCCGTTCTGAGTATCCAACTGACTGCATCGACGTGGTGCCCGCCGATAGTAAGCATGTCGACCCACGGACCGACAGTGGCCCTGGTCAGGAAGTCACACGGCCGGCCCGGGACCGACCCAAGATTATCCATGCGCCTGTCAGTGCTGACGACCTGGAGCTGGAGCAGCTTCTGGACGAGAGAAATGAGCGATTCCGAGGTGGGCGGGTGCGGAATGATATTCGGACACGAATCCTGGATGACCGCGAGGCTCGACTGGAGTTCCGCGAACGGATGGTCGAATACCAGGCCCGCATGCTGGAGGAGAGGGAGCGGCTGAACGAAGCATGCTACCTGGGTCGACGCATGTCCCTGCGCGAGCCGGGAACATTCTATGCACCTCGACGGTACTAGGTATATGCCGGAGGGTCTTCCATGACCGAAGGAGGGTCGGAGTTCGCTTCATTGTTTTTCCCTGGTGGTGTGCATTTTCGGGTATTGTTTCGGGTGCTTAAGGGACGGAGTGGGTATACCATAACGTCATGGGAGGGGACTGGTACGGGTTAGAGAAAGACAAAAGTCAGTAGCTGCCGTTCAACCGCACTAGGAGTTCTTGTTAGGAATGTTATGAAACTGGATGTCACGCGGAGAGTTGCCCATTCCTAATGAACACACCGAGAGGGTGTTAAGGTAGATGAGGAGGAGAAGAGCAAGTAGTAGTAGGTAGGAGGGAGGAGTAGAGGACTGACTGACTGACTGAGTGAGTGAGTGCCAGCTCAGCAGCGAGTGACTTATCGATAAGCCCCGCCGAGCAGCATCCATTCAGGAGCCCCGGTGCACGGCGGCTGCCCCTCTCTGCCCCCCTCCGGCTGCCTCGTCGTCATTCACCCTTCCGGTTCTTCTTCTTCTCCTTCTTCTCTTCTTCTTCTTTCTCTCTTCCCTTTCTGCTTCATCCTTGCTTTTCTCCCCCTTTCTCGCTCTTCTCTCTATCTTCCAAAATACCCCTCTTCCGTCACACTCCCCGTCTCTTCCACTACTCCTACAAACCCCTCTTCAAAATGCCTCGCCAATTTTTCGTGGGTGGTAACTTCAAGATGTATGAGACCCTCGTCTACCCCGCCAGATCTTCCAGCAGATGCTTTCGCAACGAGCTGGCCGGCTAACGAATGACTTCTTTGTCCCCCAACCACAGGAACGGTACTGCGGACAGCATTACCTCCATCATCAACAACCTCAATGGGGCCACCCTGGACTCCTCCGCCGAGGTTGTCGTCTCTCCCCCCACCCTCTACCTGCTCCCTGCCCGTCAGGCCGCTGGCGACAAGATCGGCGTGGCCGCCCAGAACGTCTTCGACAAGCCCAATGGTGCTTTCACCGGTGAAATCAGTGTCGAGCAGCTCCGCGATGCTAAGATCAACTGGACCATCATTGGCCACAGCGAGCGCCGTGTCATCCTGAAGGAGACCGACGAGGTAGGCCACCCCCGGTCATCCAGCCCCATGGTTGAGTTTGCTAACAGCACTAGTTCATCGCCCGCAAGGTCAAGGCCGCCATCCAGGGTGGCATCAGCGTCATCTTCTGCATCGGTGAGACTCTTGAGGTATGTGGGCCCTATCCCCCCCGGACTTAATTTTCCCGCGGCTACCCCTCTTCGAGCTCGCGGTGACCCGGTGGGTGAATGGAGACTAATGCAATCCACAGGAGCGTGAGGCCAACAAGACCATCGATGTTGTTACCAAGCAGCTCAACGCTGTTGCCAAGGAGCTCTCCAAGGAGCAGTGGTCCAAGGTTGTCATCGCCTACGAGCCCGTCTGGTAAGTCCTTTTGTCTTGGATTGGTTGGTTGACGCGCGCGCTAACCCCATGCAGGGCCATTGGCACCGGCAAGGTGGCTACCACCGCCCAGGCCCAGGAGGTCCACGCCGCTATCCGTCAGTGGCTCATCGATGCCATCTCCGCTGAGGTATCGGAGAACACCCGCATCATCTACGGTGGCTCCGTCAGCGAGAAGAACTGCCGTGAGCTCGCCAAGGAGGCCGATGTCGACGGTTTCCTGGTTGGCGGTGCCAGCTTGAAGCCTGCCTGTATGTTTCCTTCCCTGCAATCGCACAGACACAGTCACTAACGGTTTGGTAGTCGTCGACATCATCAACGCTCGTCTGTAAGCAATTAACATATTGATTGGACATGTGATATGATATCCGTTATCCGTCCGCCCAGCACCACAGCATCAGGCCGTAGGACTCTCCGATGCCAACATGCGTGAGTTGGGTCCGGGCGGAGCATGAAAAATAACGAAGGACGTACTGGTCGTCCAGTAAGCAAATAAAAAGAATATATAATAAATCAAACTGAATGCCAACAAACTAGACCAAACACCTTGCCGTTCCCTCTCCAACCTGCAACCTTCTATCCGCAGCCCTCTATCTACTATGTCCAAACCACTCTATTACTTATCAGTAGTATCTTCATAACACATGTCTACACATCCAACCCCAGATCACGATGAATACAACACCGAAACCCCCACCCCCCTCCAATACGACTTCCCCAAGCTCCCTCCCCCACCACTCTGCGCCCCCGCCGCAGTCGCATACGACGACGTAAACGAACTCGGCCCCAATCCCACCCCCGCACTCACCAACAACTCCTTAGCCCGGCCCTCCCACAACAACCGCACATTCCACGACTGATCTACCCGGATCTTCAACACAGATTCATTCTCCTGTTCCTCCTCCTTGATAGGTTCGGGTTGAGGAGAAGAGATGGTAGATGACGGAAACACGCTCTCGCGCATTTTTCGTCGCGCCCATTCCAAACCGTCGTCATCCGGGTTACGTTTGCTCTTGCGCCAGAGTTCGCAGCCCGCGACCATTTCGCTTTCCCAGCTGTAGACGTTGAAGCCGAAGCGGGAGCTGAAGGCTAGGTTTGGGGAGGCGCGGAGGGAGTAGGTTGTTGAGAGGGAGCCGGTTAGAGGGGTCAGGGTTAGGGTTAGGGTGTAGGGGAAGGTGGAGATTGGGGTGTTGTTGGGTTGGGTGGATGGAGTTGTAGATGTAGAGGTGGAGGTGGATTGGGAGGAGGGGATGTCTGTGGCTGCGGGGAGGGTACTGAATCGTAGGCCGGTTGACATGCCAATGAGGGATGATACGGGGGAGTAGTATGCTTCTGCGCCGGCGGAGAGGAGCGACAGGCGCGCGGAGGATGAGGGCCCGTCGCGTGGATCCGGGCCGAAGTTCCATAGTCCGCGCCAGCCGAAGAGAGCGTTGTCAGTGCTGAAGAGGTACTCGTTGTTATATTTGCCGGTGTTGTGGGAGAGTTGGGCGAGGAGGGAGGCTTGCGGAGCGGATTTGGAGAGGGGCGGGCCTCGTGTTGAGCAGACGGCCAGGGAGAGCTGCATGGTGGGGGATATGCGACGTAGGAATAAGGCGTTTAAGGTTGTCGGGGGAGGGAGATGAAGGGTTGCGTGGAAGAGGGTCGCCTTCTTGCCGATGGAGACTTGGTAGGCGTCATTGTTGAGGTCGTTAAGGATTGATTCTGCAGTGATGTCCTCGATTGGGGCTATGGGGGCTTGCACTTGGCGGTAGCCCGGGGAGAGCTTGCGCAAAGGGATCAGGGCACTTTTGCTGGGGGAATTGTCGAGAGGAACGGTGCTGAACAGGTAGGAGACTGAGCCATCGATCAGGCCGACGGTGCCGAGGGTATAACTCGTCGCGAAGTGCGGAGTGGACAGGGACGAGAGATGGACGCGGAGACGCTCTGGGGTTGAGAAGTCGAGCAGCGCTGTGTGAAAATAGTTAGCGCACCTTCTCATTCAGACCGAGTGCATCGGATCGACTGGTCTACATACACTGAGCCGTGGCCGTGAGGGACGAGTATGAATTGTCGCGGTTCCAATTCGTCGCCTCGGCGAAGGCGAGTTGGATGTAATCCATGAAATCGAGCATTGTCGGGACTGTCAACGAGGCAGCAAAATAGATCAGGCAGTATCACCCATCCGACTGATCAACATCCCACGCACCACATGGTAGCCTGTTCAAACAAGGAAGAGGGGAAGAGGGGAAGATGAAGTATGCCGGGGAAGTCGAGGGCCTCCATTCATTGATTCATTAGCTCATTGCCCGAAGCAGCCTAGTGCAGACGGTGTCCGGATAAGCCCCGCAACAACAATAATCCGGGCGTTATCGACAGCCGCAAAGAAAAAAAATCATTGGATCTCGAATCCACAATTTCCCGCGCCGGCTCTTGCATTATCTTCGACCTGCTTTTTCTCTTCCAAACCCATCGCCCATCTCTCATCCTTCCCCCGGACTTATACTCTACCACCAACCACCCCCTAATCAGCCACCATGCCTCGTTCCAAGCGTGCCCGCATCGTTCACGAGTCCAAGACCGCCAAAAAGTCCCACAAGGAACAGACCCGTCGCCTGTACGCCAACATCCGCGAAGCCATTGAGAAATATGACCATTTGTTCGTCTTTGCCGTCGACAACATGCGCAACACTTACCTGAAGGATGTGCGCACCGAATTCGCCGACAGCCGGTTAGTCCTCTTCCCCTACCCCGCCAATATCAAATCCCTCCCTCGGTCAACATAAACTAACATCCAACCCCTCAAAACTCACCAGTCTCTTCTTCGGCAAAACCAAAGTCATGGCCGTAGCCCTTGGTCACAACCCCGAAAACGAAGCCGCGCTTAACCTCCACAAAGTCAGCCCTTACCTCACCGGAGCCGTCGGTCTTCTGTTCACGTCTCGCGCCCCCGACTCCGTGACCGACTACTTCGAGTCGTTCCGGCCTCTGGACTTTGCTCGCGCCGGCACCGTCAGCACCCGTGCTTTCACCATCCCCAACGGTCTGGTGTGTTCCCGGGGTGGAGAGATCCCCGCTTCTGAGGATGAGCCCGTCAGCCACACTCTCGAGCCTGAGTTGCGGAAACTGGGTGTTCCGACTCGGTTGGTCAAGGGCAAGGTTATGTTGGAGTTGACTGAGGGGCAGGAGGGGTACCCTGTTTGCAGGGAGGGAGAGGTGTTGGATTCGAGACAGACGACGTTGTTGAAGATGTTTGGGGTCGCTACGGCGGAGTTCCATGTTGAGTTGAAGGCTCAGTGGACGAGGGAGTCGGGTGAGGTGAAGATCCTGGAGAAGGATCAGAGTGGTATGGAGGTTGAGAATTAAGAGTTTGGTTTGTTGGGCTGGGTGCAAAAAGTTTCGAGTCATTCCTATTCCAACCTTCCTTTTTCTTTATTATTAAGAGAGAGGATGGGAAGGGGGTTGTGGATTTTTTTTTCAAACACCCTCTTTGATTGTGATGTGATGTGAGATCCCCTGGGCAGGCATCTTTGGAGTTGGGCATAGGCGTTTTCTCTTTCTCTTTTTCTTTTTTCTTGATGATGGTTCTGTTCATCTGAGTTGGTATATATTCTGCTTGATGAGCGTATGACGGACATACCGATATGAATACCAATCCGAAAAAGCTACAATAGAAATACATCTCTTCCTATGAATCAGTAGCTGGCTACCTCTCCTGATGATGATGACAATATTTACACTGTCCGGAATAAATCATTACCTTCATTTACTGCCGTATGAAGATCCCTGAGTATCGGTCATGGCTGTTGGTAAACCCTACCTGATCTTCTTACCTGAACGTCCCAGACCCCGACCACAAGGTTCCGCCTGAAGAGAAGTTGACTATCTAAAGTACATACTTACCCCTGAAGAGAGTAGCGGCCGCACACGGGCCAAAACGACACGACGATGACGACGACGAAAAAAGGACACGAGTAACAAAGACAAGAGAGAAAGAGTAGCAGAAACGGGCAGAGAGGCCACAGCAGAGCGTCTGCCGTGCCGGTGGAAATCGACCTTTGAGTGAGAACGTGTATGCTCCAATGGGGATGGCTAGTTCGTAACCAGGATTACGAAGGGAAGATGCGGTGCACTTCAACTGTTGTGAGTAATTGGTGGTTGAAGTCCGATGGCACGGAGCTTGAGCCTTTGTTGACCTTGCCTTACCCATTGCTGCAACAGGATATAACAAGAGAAGAGGATCAAACCAGGAATACCCACCAGCCAACCGTCACCGAACACTGGGATGGGATGATGATCCTCCGGGGAAGGAGGTTCAGTATCTTCTTTTGGCACGGGGGTCATCATACGAGTCATCTTCGTGGTATCTCTTCCGCCCGTACTCGTCGCCCCGACCTCCGTACCTGTCGCGATCGCGGTCGCGTTCACGGTCACGGTCACGATAGCGATAGCTATCTCCCCTATCACGGTCTCTGTGACGGTCACTGTCGCGGTCGCGATCACGGTCTCGTCGATCACGGTCACCGAAGCCTTCCCGGGGCCTGATGGGCTCACGGTTGCTGCCGGTAGCACCTCTGGGTTCACGTTCAAACCTGCCGCCACCGGGGCCACCGGGGGGACCACCAAGGCCACCAGGGCCACCAGGACCACCACCGAATCCAGCGTTGCGTCCGCCTCCTGGTCCCGAGGGAGCGTTGGGAGGAGCCTGTCCACCGAATCCGTTACGGCCTCCTTGGTATCCAATACCGCCTCGGGGTCCTCCAAATCCACGGTCATTACGGAAACCACCTCTGCCACCTCTGCCACCCCCAAAACCACCCCGGAATCCACCTCCATAGCCTCCGGGACCTGAGGGGGCGTTAAATGAGCCGGGTCCGATGGGCCGCGAGGGCAAGGCCTTGGTGTAACCACGACCGCCAAGACCACCGCCAAAGCGACGGGGCTTCCATCCCTTGACGGTACGACCGCGCTCGACATCTACCAGAACACGGCGGTCCTTGATGCGGATACCATCCGTCTCTTTGTAGGCAGCTGAAATCGGCAAGAGAACTAGGTTAGCATCAAGCACGCACGGGAATTCGATACCAGTCTGAAACCAGAGTGACAGGCGACTAGATCTGCAGCAATACCTTTCATGTCCTTTTCGCGCTCATACACAATAAAAGCATATCCCTTGTGTGATTTCTTGGAGCCTTTCGGAGTAACAGTGTCTTTCACAATGCGAATCTGCGAGGTGTCAGTGACATGTACAACCTAAAGCCCCACGGCCTGTAACTGTACCCGTTCGATAGGGCCGAACCGGCCAAACTCCCGTTCCAGGTCCGACTCCTTGACATCGTAGCTCAGACGGGCGACAAAGAGCGTCTTGAACGGATCGCCTCGTGCTTGTTGGTCGTTGTTCGGGTCAACTGCAATAGAAGTCAGTACCAGCACACATATAGCCCAAAAGAGCCGCAATCGCCATACAAGTCTGAAGCCCATCCGTCACTTGCTTCTCCAAGTTCTCCTTTTTCTCCACCTTCTGGCGCAATTTGCGCTGGATCCAACTTTCCGTAGGCGTGTACGGAATCTCCTCTTCATAATTCTTCACCTCGCCAAGGAACTGCGCAATACCACCGATGCTACTTTTCTTGCAGTCTTCGGGGGCACGCTCGATGGGCGTGACATAACGCAAAGGCGGGCGAGGTTGAAACAGCGCCAACAGCGGAGGGGGGAGCTTGTCCGTCATATTGTGCCCTCAGCCAGAGCTCTGAATAAATACGAGATTAATTCAGGGCCTCCAAAGGCATCGAGGATGAAAGAATGAGATGGTCTTTGTCGACCGGGTGTAGCAGCGATGGGGGAGTTTCGCGTTCCTCCCGTCAGGTGCTGGCTCTTGGCTGCTGGATCGGGAACCGCTAGTCGCCGTAGCCGAGCTTGCCGCGGCACCCAATGACAGTCCGTATCGGGGCCGGCGCTGAAAAGTCCCCGAAGTTGTCCCTCAAGATTGTTGAAGTGGTTTGACGCCTCCGCAAGGAACAAGCATACAAGACTCCAGCAATGCCTGTGCAAGGGATCCGCACGGTCACGGCCGCCAGAGTACGTTTCTGGGTGTTCAATGTGTCGTGCTTCTCACACTGACCTCATATATTCAGAACGGCGTCGGTGCCTTTATCCTCCAATGCAAGCGGTTGGATTTCCACTACTGTGACTGGGCTGGTAGCTCGCGGGGAATGGTGTATGTTTATGTTCCTTTTCTTCCCCTACGCTGAGAGATGAGGTTTGTGTGGGATAGTGCTAATGTTTGTGTTGGGATAGGGCGTACCTGAAACACCACCTTCCTGCCTTCGCGAAAGCAAACCCTCAGATCGAGATTCGGGTCTCGCCGCGGCCGCACAAGCACCCCGTCATCAAGGGACACTATATCAATGGACGGGAGAAGGCGGTTTGTGTCAGGAACCTTGAGCCTGAGCAAATATTCAAGAAGGCCGTCTTGTTGAAGGAGGCCAGCGGAGAGAAGCTGAAGCGCACCAAGAAGCCTGTGACGAGTCTCAACGAGAGTGTCAGAGGCATCTGGTCCCCGTACCACGGAGGCCTCAAGTCGGTGTAAAGCAGGGGTTTGGTGCGATCATACGGTGGTGTTATTTTCTGGTCAGAACATTTCCTATTCGATGTATTATGGGCTACTTCATCTCTTTGTGTACTTCTTTTGCGAACCCGACTCTGTCTTTGGTTAAATTATATGTATCATATGTACAGAATGTCTTCATTTGATATCCCATGATGTGGAGCGCCATCGTCTGCTGGCAAACAGTTTTCATTATTCACATGGGCCGCCGAAAGCATTGCACCTTATACCCAAAACACTCTATGCTATAACATATAGAAATAAACCCCGGCCAAAAATCCAAACCAACCGAAACAATGCAATGAGGGTATATCGAAAATAGCTTATCGTGAAGATCCCGAGTGGGTTTAAAAGAAGGCCCCCGCCCTTGCGCCACCATCGCCATGCGATTAATATATGAACTCCCGGAATAATATGCATCGACCATTAGAGGTAGATTTGGAACATCGACCTAGGTGAGCTCACGGGCTTATGACACCCAATCACCTGACATTTAGAGAAAGCCTTCGTCTTCGATGTGGTTTTCTTCGCCTTGGAGAGCGATCTATTAGAGGCACATTCGCCACAATAAACCTGGGATTGGGGGTCAGAAAAGCATAGGATACGCTTTAACAGGAAACCACATACATGTCCGCATTGCTTCACTACCCAGATCTGCTGCTTGACCTCGTCACCCATGCCCAGCTCCATCTCACAGTTGGGGCATATAACAACATCGTCCTCTTCGATGTTCCTGGTGAAGCCCTCGGGTGGCGGACTAGGGGGCTTGTAGGAGTTTCCAGGCGCTCTTTCTGGCGACACGCCCGTAAGCTGATAGTCCAGGCCTAAAGGCCCATCCACATCCAGGTTAATTGTTAGGTCGACAGCGCCCGCGCGGCCGTTGCCGATCCAGAAGGACTCCATTTCACTCAGACGAGGAAAGTCATCTCGAATACGCATAAGGGTGAACGGCCGGTAATCAAACCGTCCCGGCTGACGAGGTGGAGTTGGAGGGAGTACTACATCGCGCCACATTGGCGTGGGCATCCGATTATAGGGGAGAAGCGGTGGCTGTCGTTCTAGGGGCGGTAATTGTGGCCGCAAAACCGTTGCTCCGACGAATTGAACTTCTGGGCTATCCGGATGATCTTGATGATTGCCGTTATCGGGCTCTTCCTCTAGATCCACCACCTCCGTCAGGATGTCCCTGGGAAACCGTGGTGGACGTGGACGTGGACGTGGACGTGGACGGCGAGAAATCTCCGCTGGAAAAGGAGGTTGATGGCGGGCAGTTTGTTCGGGGGTATCCGGTTCGTTGGTCAAATCAATCACTTCATCTATCTGCGGTGAGGCCGATGTAACCGGCCGACGGAAATCGAGGCCATCGCCCGGGTACCTCCGAAGCGGTGGCAACGACGATCCAGGAGTTCTTGAAGAGGATGAAGGTCCAGCAAATGCGCGCTCGGATGATGTTTCGGACATTTCACGATGAGTTCTCTAACAGTTGGAATTGTGAGTTAGTGAGACCTACAGTCCCCGACATGCCATGATTATATATATATATATACCCCGCCTCTCTGAGGGATTCGGGGGAGTGGGACGGAGGATTGAGACAAACCTTTCTGGGGCGAGAACCCACGAAGAGGACACCGGAGTCGTCGCTCATGGCCGGAGATGCAAGCCGTATAGCGAGGAGACAGGTGGGAGGAGGAAGGAGGAAAGAGGGGAGGTTGTGAAAGGAGGAAGAAGACAAGGGCGGGCGATTTGTTGGTAGGAGGGCGAGGGAGTGATTAACAGCCGAAGTTAGGCCTCAGTTGCGGTTGGTGGAGGCCATGCTTAGTAGTACTGTTCACAAAGTGGTCTGGGTCCGAGGCCCTGCGGTGGAGTGGCATGTCTGTCTGTCTCCGGTGGCTCCTGGCGCCGTTATTTGTCCAGCTGGTCACCATGCAAATGTCTCACGGGCTCTTGCCAAAGGGCTTCGTTAGTCGTTATTATTAAGTACGATTTCTGTTTTCCCCGTCGTTCCAGGATGGCCGTGGCAACGCTGGGTCAGGCGGTGCGCAGCTCAGGCGGAGGGAGAAAATAAATATACTTGTACCGTGAAACCGAAATGAACCCGTGGCGGTTGACCAACCACTTGGTGTGTGAATTGTCACACCAGGTCCGGTGACAGATACAGTGACAACTCAGATCCCGGTTATTCTGTGGTAAATCCCCGGTTGCTCTAATCTGGATTCATCTTTTATTCTCCATTTGTTGGTCTGACCCGAAACGAAAAGACGCCGTTGACAAATATTTAAAAGTAGCACAGACAGCTAGAAGTACAGAACCACAAATGGGAGGGATTTTTTAAAAGGTATCAATCATTATTACTGCGCCGTCAGCTCCGTCACGCCTCCCTCGCGATTCAACGCCACTATAGACTGGCTGGCAGAGCCCCAAGCCGCCGCAACCGCGGGCACCGCGCTGCGCAAGGGCTCCGTCCACGATTTGGATGCCTTGGCATACTGGTGCACCGTCAAGCCACTAGGGCCGGCTGTAAGGAGGAACTGTCCAGTGTAATCCCAATTGATAGAGTCGACCGGGCCGCCCGTCTCCAGAACCTTGGTCTCCTGCGCACTGCGTAGATCCCAGATGGACACGGTGGTCGACTTTTCGATGACAGCGGCCAGGAATACACCGTTCTCGGAGAAGAACAGGGACTTCACAGGGCCGGACATCGCAAAGCTGGCGGCCGACGCGCCAGTCTTAATGTCGAAGATCTTGATTTGTCCGTCCACGCCACCAGCAGCAACCAGGTGACCATCAGGGTGAATCTGAACAGAAAGAAGAGCTAAAGGAGAGAGGCAAACGTTAGAGAAGTCCCAACATATGTTCCATTGTAGGGGCTGCTTACATGCGTCGCTGAAGATTTGAGTGATGACCGAGTTCGTGGTCAGGTCATAGAGAACATAACTCTTGTCAGCGCCAACTGAGGCGACAATGTCGCCAGTGGCATGCACGGCAAGCGCCGTTGCAGCTCCAGCATGGGAGTTAAAATTTGCGACTTCATTGCCGTTCTCAAAGACCTTGACAGAGCCGGTAGACGAGGCCACGATAGCCTTCTCGCCCGCCCAAACGGCATCGGTGACAGGCCCGTTTGCCTGCAAGTTCTGGATAACCTGCTTCTGGGAGATCGAATAGATACCAACAGCTCCGTCCGCCCCACCGATCAGTGCCAGCTCTCCGGTCGAGTTGACAGACAATGCCTTGCTGCCGGGGTAAAGAGCCTGGGAGCTCTCCGTAGGCTTGTATGTGGAAATGGCTTCGCTCGTAGCCCAACCTTCCGGAACAGGACGCTTGCGACGTGTCTTTGACAGGCTATATATCTTTAGAAAGGCCAAAGACGGAAATTGGATCTGTTGGGGCAACTTACGATGCCTGTGTGCTCTCAACGCGTGCCAGCACTGCCTCAGGAAGGCCGGTCGCATCAACTTGCATGGCCTCACCAGAAGCAGCAGCGGCACTCCTGGCACCGACGGTAACCTTGGATAGCGCATCGCGGGCCTCATCTCTCTCCTTTGTCAAACGAGCAATCACCCGAACGGCGGCATCGTGCTGGTAGAGTGCGGAGCTCAGTTCCTGTCGTGTTTGTGCCAGGGTCTGTCGCAATGTGTAGGTCTCGAGAGCCAGAGCATCCCATTCTTCTTGGAAAACACTGAGCAACGAAGGGATCGATGTGAGGGTGGGGGGTCTGGGCCGAACGACACGCTGAGACTTGACCTCAATGAGGTCTTCTGTAGAGAGCTCTTCTCCGTTCACGGGATCCTTTCCATTCTCGGAGATGTAGGCTTCGATGAGGCGCTTTTCAAAAACGCTCCCTAGGCGGGCATTAGACTCATTACTCCGCTTCGGTGCTTTGGAGGTGATAACATACCGCTCTTGGGCGAGACGACGGGCACTTGCGGTGCCTCTCCCGAGACTGTTAGACATTCATCGTCAGTAATTGAGACGGCACGACCGTTCCATTACAGCACTTACTTGCGCAAAGCATGGTATCTGAAGTGAGTTGGTTGATGGGGGAGGAGGTTGTTTCGACGCGAAGCTTGCGGCTCCTCTGGACTTTTCGACCTCGCCCGTTCAGGATTAGCCGCACCGCAAAGTGCGGATGGCTTGGCGGCCAGCCAACCTCTTCTATAGCAGCCATCCATCCTATGTCATCATCACTGGCTTACGGGAGTTACGCCTGTTATCCATCCAGCCTGTCTTTGACCGGCAGGATTATCCTCTCCTAATGCATTGTGAATGAAGCTCTCTAATCTATCAAGGAGCGCCATTTTATACAACCCACGTCTCCTTTGTTCGGAGCTGCTGTAACACCAGTTCTTCCTATTTTCTTGACTGTATTTGAGAATAGATAGGCTGACAGTCACACCGCGGCTCATCCAGCTATGTCATTCAAATCAAAAGACCTCGCATACGGTACGTTACTCCGTGTTCGCCTCTGATGGACCTGGAACTAATGCATCGCCTAGATGCTAAGGAACCTGCTTTCCTGCAGAGGCTCAAGAATCAATACGGAAACACTTCTGGTCGCCTCGAGAGACCCATTGCCCGGCCACGGAAACCCAGGGATGATAATGACGACGACGGTCCTACCTACGTGGATGAGGAGAGCAACGAGATTATCTCCAAGGAAGAATATGAAGCATTAGTCCGTGGGGACGATAATAAGGAAGACGAGAATTTCAAAAAGGGTCTAGAAAAGTCTGGGACTGGCGAAGAAGGTAAAGCGAATACGAATACCGAGGCAGAGGCGCCAATCTCGAAACAGAACGTGGCAGAAATAGGAGGGCCACGGAAAAGAAAACAAGGCAAGGTGGTCGGAGAAGAGAATCCTACTGAAGAGCCCGAAGAGACAGAAAAGAAAGAGTCAGATACGCGGAAATCAAAACCGAAGACCAAGAAGAAGAAGATCAAGCTATCGTTTGATGACTCATAATGACAGGATTTGAGTCAATCCACACTATACTAGCACTATACCCTATCATCGCCACAGAGGGATTCTGTATGACCTCTCCAACTTAGATTATTCTTCAAAATTGGGTAGTTGCCTTGTCAGTTCGGATGATACAAGAGAATGATGACATGGTCGACTATGATACCCGGAACTTGGTAGTCATAAAGCGCAGCCATTAATAATCACGAAATTCAGCCTCCAGAAATCATGTAATAAAATCTTCACCTTTGCCATCGCTTCTGGTCGATCTGGGTTGGTGTGAATCTCGTTCTCCGGATCCGAAGGCTCAGGTTTCTTCGAGCTTGACATTTCCCGACGACGAGTTTTTCATCGTATTATCCGCAGCACGCGGCACGGGAAACCAACAAAAGAGCAACTTTCCGGCCTGGCTTTTCGTGGACCCTGGGAGCTGTGTGGCAGCACCGGACATCTCTCAAAATGCCCGTCGTCAATGTGGATGATCTTGTCCGTCTGCAACGGCAGCCCGATGACATACGGAATGCAAGTTACCCCTCCATCCCACTTTCATGGCGGATGCCCGCCGTCCACTTTTCTTTGACGGCCAAGGCTAACTACAATCCCAGATTTGCATTCTTGCCCACGTTGTATGTACTTTCTATAGGTCTAGCTAAGCTGACTGGTGCTCCCCGACAATTCCCTTGCTCACATACCTTTAGGATCACGGTAAAACATCCTTGACGGATAGTTTGATCGCCACCAATGGCATCATCTCACCCAAGCTGGCGGGTAAGATCCGCTACCTGGACTCACGTCCCGATGAGCAGCTTCGAGGAATTACGATGGAGTCTTCTGCTATTTCTCTCTTCTTCTCCATGATGCGTCGTCCTGCTCCCGACGCTGCGCCAGTGCCTAAGGAGTATCTGATCAACCTGATCGACTCTCCTGGTCATATTGATTTCAGCAGTGAGGTGTCGACCGCATCGCGTCTTTGCGATGGTGCTGTGGTGCTCGTTGATGCCGTGGAAGGTGTCTGCAGTCAAACAGTCACGGTACTGCGTCAAACCTGGGTGGAGCAATTGAAGCCCATTCTGGTCATCAACAAGATTGATAGACTGGTCACTGAGCTGAAGATGAGCCCTAGCGAGGCTTACTCGCATATGAGCAAGCTGCTAGAGCAGGTCAATGCTGTCATCGGTAGTTTCTACCAGGGTGAACGGATGGAGGAGGACCTTCAGTGGCGAGAGCGCATGGAAGAGCGTGCCAATGAATCGGCTGCTCGTGACAAGGACCGTTCGAAGAAGCAGGAGCAAGATGACGAGCCTACAGCCGAGTACGAGGAACGAGACGATGAGGACCTTTACTTTGCCCCGGAGAAGAACAACGTTATCTTCTGCAGTGCTGTCGATGGCTGGGCTTTTACTATCCGTCAGTTTGCGGTGATTTACGAAAGAAAGCTCGGGATTAAGCGCGCTATCCTCGAGAAGGTTCTCTGGGGAGATTACTATCTTGATCCCAAGACAAAACGAGTTCTGGGTCAGAAGCACCTGAAAGGCCGTGCTTTGAAGCCCATGTTCGTCCAGCTTGTATTGGACAGTATCTGGGCGGCATACGAGGCCACGACTGGCGCAGGCACAGGAAAGGGGTATGTTGAATTTTGGATTGCTATCTTCACTTGCTAACATGCGACAGCGACCCGGCTTTGTTGGAAAAGATCACCAGGTCCCTGAATGTCAACATCCCGGCCTATATCCTACGCTCGCGCGATGCCAGGAATATTTTGACCACTCTATTCTCAATGTGGCTGCCTTTGTCGACTGCCGTGCTGGTGTCCGTTATTGAATATCTTCCCAGCCCACGCGCAGCTCAAGCAACTCGGTTGCCATCATTGATTGAAGAATCCCCTGGTGCTCAATTCGTTGATCAGAAGGTGAAAGATGCCATGGTCAACTTCAAGACCCAGAAGGATGAGCCCGTCATCGCCTACGTCAGCAAGATGATGTCTATTCCGGAGAGCGAGCTGGTGTCGAGCAAGAAGCGATCCGGTGCCACCATGTCGGCCGACGAAGCCCGGGAGATTGCTCGCAAGAAGCGAGAAGAGATTGCCAAGATGCAGGCGGAAGCCAACGGTGACCAGGCAGATGACTTCTCTCGCATAACATCTGCCTTCGAACGGACTTCCCTATCCGACAACCAGGCGGCTGATGACGAGGAGAACGAAGATCCCGAACATCTCGTCGGATTTGCACGTCTTTACTCTGGAACGCTCTCAGTGGGAGATTCTGTGTACGTTCTCGCGCCCAAGTTCTCGCCAGAGAACCCGCACGCCAGCCCCGAACCTCGAAAGGTGACAGTCACCGATCTGTACCTGCTCATGGGCAGGAGTTTGGAGCCTCTCCAGTCGGTACCTGCCGGTGTTGTCTTCGGCATTGGCGGTCTCGCAGGCCACGTCCTCAAGACGGGAACCCTATCCTCGCAGCTTGAAGGCAGCATCAACTTGGCCGGTGTCTCACTCAACACACCGCCCATTGTTAGAGTCGCCCTGGAGCCGGCGAATCCAGCTGACCTGAACAAGATGGTCACTGGTCTCCGCCTCCTCGAGCAAAGTGACCCTTGCGCGCAATACGAAGTCCTCCCCAGTGGCGAGCACGTCATCCTGACCGCCGGTGAATTGCATCTCGAACGCTGCATCAAGGATCTCCGCGAGCGCTTCGCCAAATGTGAAATCCAAACCGGTCAGACCATCGTGCCATACCGGGAAACCATCACTAGCGCCCCAGAGATGGCGCCTGCCAAGAACCCCGAGCTAGGCAGAGGAGGCATCCTGACCGTTTCTCCATCGAAGCAGTTGACCATGCGACTTCGCGTGGTACCGCTTCCCTCAGCCGTTACGGAGTTCTTCTCCAAGCACGTGGGAACCATCAAGCGTATCCAAACCGAAAAGCACACAGCGGCGGAAACCCAGTCCAGCGAAGAGGCAACCGCCGTAACCACTGAGAGCGATGCCACAGATGCTACGGATGAGGCCCGCGAAGCGACATCGCTCTCCCTGAAAGACTTCAGGCAAGAACTCACCAAGATTTTCAATCAAGAAGTCACCGATGACAAGGGAATCTGGAAGGATGTCGTCGACCGAATCACCGCCTTCGGACCCCGACGTATTGGCCCTAACATCCTCGTCGACGCGACAGAGGTCAACACGTGCGAGAAATTGTAAGCCATCACCACCCCAACACCCCTAATAACCTTTCAGCTGCTAATTCCAGCCAGCCTCCTCGACGATCCCAAGCAACAACCCACCGTCAACGCTGACACCAGCAGTCGTGAAGCCCTCTTCGTCCGCGACTTCTGCGACAAGATCGCACACGCCTTCCAATTGGCCACCGGTCAGGGACCACTCTGCCAGGAACCAATGCAAGGCGTGGCCGTCTTCCTAGAAGACCTCTCCGTCAACGCCAATGACGAAGACCTCGATCTCGGCCGTCTAACCGGCGAAGCCATCCGACTAGTCCGTGACAGCATCTCGCAAGGCTTCCTAGACTGGAGTCCTCGAATCATGCTCGCCATGTACAGCTGTGAAATCCAAGCCTCCAGTACGTCCTCCCCCCACACCTGCACCCTTCAAAAGCAGAACTAACCCACCCCACAGCCGAAGTCCTCGGCCGCGTATACGGTGTCATCACCCGTCGCCGCGGACGCATTCTCTCCGAAATCATGAAAGAAGGCACCCCCTTCTTCACCATCCTTGCTCTCCTCCCCGTAGCCGAATCGTTCGGCTTCGCCGAAGAAATCCGGAAACGGACGTCCGGTGCGGCACAACCGCAACTTATCTTCGCGGGCTTTGAGGCCCTAGACGAGGATCCATTCTGGGTGCCGGCTACGGAAGAGGAGTTGGAGGATTTGGGCGAGTTGGCGGATCGCGAGAACGTCGCGAAGAGGTATATGGATGCGGTGAGGAGGAGGAAGGGGTTGGTGGTGCAGGGACGGAAGTTGATTGATGCGGAGAAGCAGAAGACGTTGAAGAAGTAGGAATGGAAATGACTGTGGGAGGATAAAACAATGAACTGGACATTGATGTTTATGGTTATGTTTATGTTTATGTTTATGTTTATGTTGCATATGTAGACTACTTTCATTTAAGCACACTAACAGTGATTCGCCGTGCTTTCTCTGTATTCCACCGGACTGTTGGGCGGAACATCCCTTCCACCACGCGTCAACCTCCGCTATTGCATACTACAAATACAACGCCTTCAATTCTCTTCCACCCCCCCCCCCCCCCTGTTCTTGTTCCATCCGCTCCTTGATATCCCCTCCCATGAAACGGTATGGCAACTTTCCTATCTCGAGCCATCTCCCCAGTCCGGGCACTTAAACACCGCCCCTGGCCACTGTCAACAGCAATCGCTCCCCAACTCCCCGTGAACGAAGCTACCGAAGAGGAACGCATACCATACTACGACCCTGCGCGATTCTATCCCGCGCGCTTAGGGGAGGTTCTCAACAATCGATACCAGCTTGCAACCAAACTCGGGCATGGTACTAACTCGACTACCTGGCTTGCTCGGGATCTGAACCAGTTTGTTCTCCCACAGACATACATACTCCCCACGTTCTCTAGCGTCTGCTGACCCTTGGCATAGATGGCGCTGGCTTAGAGAGAAATATGTTGCTCTCAAGATTAATGCTAGTGTTCATTATTCTCGAGAGAATGCTGCTCAAGCTGAACTGGATATTATGAAACATATCTCGGAAGTGAATCCCCAGCATAAGGGGTGGTGCCTTATTAGATATCCTCTGGATTCATTCAGTCTAGAGCTTGCTGGATCAACAAGACATACTTGTGTTGTTTTTGAACCCTTGCGAGAGCCGCTCTGGCTATTTCGTAGAAGGTTTATGGGTAATGTGATACCTTCTGGTTTACTGAAGATGTTACTTCAAATGATCCTTCATGGACTGGGTTATCTCCATTCTGAGTGTCAGGTTATTCATACTGGTTCGTCTGTGATTCCTGATTTGGAATTTTCTGAATCAAAATTGCTAAACTAGTTGGATTCTAGATCTCAAACCAGCCAATATCATGGTCCGAATTGAAGATCCATCTCTTCTAGAGGAATCTGCTCGAAATGAATATGAACATCCTCTGCCACAGAAGAATTGCTCAGATGGCCGCACGATCTATCTCGCTCGAAATAACTTTGGCGTCTCTGAAAACTTTTTTGGGATTACAGATAATCCAGAAACCGCCTTTACCACCTATACTTTTCTATTGATTCCCAAACCCTAATGCCAAGATACGCTAAGCCATTCCTAGAACAGATCCGGAATATCCTGGTCCAAGATATTGTAACGTATCGTATTCATCTTAGCCAAGCCTCTGGGCCCTGTTTATTACGCGTTAGGCTTTCGCCCCAGGTACCACCCCGCAATTTCCTCTCCCGGCCTCAATGCCTCCGCCATCATCTCGCAGGAACTGCCTGTCCTACGATCATGACCGATGGCACCTAACTTACCCCAATCTACGCTTGACCTTATCCATGATATGATCGTCGATGGAGAGCTCTCTTTGTCCCAAATGGCTGCAAATACCGACTGCAGCAAGCCTACAATCATTGCTATTCGCTCTAATCTTCGCATCTTCGGCAGTGTCAGAGCACCACCGGTCAAAAGTGGACGTCCACGGCGTCTTACAACGGTGATGATGGACGCCCTTTGTGACCACTTACTGGAAAAGCCTGGTCTATATCTCCACAAAATGCAGGTTTTTTTGCTAGACGAATTCAGCCTGCATGTCTCAACTTCTACTATTAGCAATGCGCTTCATCGTAAAGGATGATCGAAAAAGATAGCGCGACAAAAAGCAAAAGAACGAAATTCCGATTTACGTGATGAATATTTCCACGATATTGCGGAATTCCGATCGTATCAGCTTATATTCGTTGACGAATCTGGATGTGATAAACGGATAGGCTTTCGGAGAACAGGCTGGTCGCCCCTCGGTATAACCCCAGTCCAGGTATCAAAATTCCATCGCGATCAGCGGTACCAGATACTTCCAGCGTACACCCAAGATGGTATTCTTCTTTCTCTTGTGTTCCAGGGCTTCACTGATGGCTTGTGGTTTGGGGATTTTATTGAGGAACTTCTCCAGCATTGCCAACCATACCCGGCCGCTAAGTCAATTATCGTCATGGATAATGCCTCTATTCATCGGTCTGGACGGATACAGGATATGTGTTTGAAAGTGGGCGTTAAACTGATATATTTATCACCATATTCGCCAGATCTGAATCCAATTGAAGAGTTCTTTGCCGAGCTAAAAGGATTCATCCGACAACATTGGCAGATATATGAAGATAATCGCGACCAGGGTTTTGCTTCCTTTCTTGAATGGTGTGTGGACAAGGTCGGTGCCAAAGAACAGAGTGCTAGAGGGCATTTCAGGCACGCAGGTCTGACAATAGAAGAGCCATAGCGTCTATCATGTAGTGAATTCATCCGATAGTCCTTCCGGCAGTGTCGCTACTTCTTTCTCTGATCGTTTCCTGGGGCCCAGACGAAACTACGCTAAGCTAGTTATAGAACGGAACTGGAGAATAGCTAATCCGTGTATATGCCATATCACATTTTTGTTCATTAGCTTCCGATTTATTTATACTTCATCTTAATACTTATGAACTATGTCTAGACATCTTCCTCTATACTTCCCGCATTAGTGAGGTCTTGCCTGATTCTAGACCATTATGTCTATATAGTAAAGAAGGCAGTACGGAGAATCGGACACATTGCTTAGTCATTACCACTCCCGCCAAGGACTTGGTTTAGTTAAAGTAGTCAGTTAACGTTAACTAACGATGATAATATTAAGCCAAACCGCATTCGACCAGGGCGGCCGTAATTTTCCCTTGAAAGACATTCACGCAACAGCAGTACATACTTATATCCTTCTGGCAGGCTTTGCTTTACATATAGCAAAGAGATAAATTCTCCCTCTTAATATGATTTAATGGGTGATGGGCGATAAAAAGCTACGAATATCGTATGAGTGACGCATGTGGCTGCGCTGCTCTGCCCAACATCTGCCCGATGAGGCTAAGCCTTGCGTTCCACATAACAGTATATAGTCAACGATGCAGCATAACACGAGGGCGCATTTTCTGTAGATAAAGTATCAAACAGCAGAGGAAAACACGCCTGAAACAGAGTAATCACTGGAAAGATTGAACGAGCCGTTTTCAGAGGAATTTGCACTCTACTCATATTTCATGCTTTGCAAGGCAATATCATATAAGAACAATGAATATTATATTGTTCTTACTGGACGAATTGATGAGCTGACAATATTCTCATTGTGGTATATCTGTCCGCACATCATAGGGGGAACTTGCTTAATAATTTCTACAGGGGCGATGTACACCCTCGTGTGACTGGATGCAGGTCAAACCATGAGGTCTTTGATGATCTTCTAAAAGCACAAGTTTTCATGGAGAAAAATGGAGTCAAGCAGCCTAAACTAGTAATCAAGGAAGGGGCCGGAGAAACTACATCATTACTAGGGAAGGAAGGCTTTTACGCAGTTGCTAACAGTAGAAACCCGGGAATCTACCCCTACTATCAGTAAGCTGACCCAGTGCTCAATGGGAAAACGAAAACTACTCACAAATAAAATCAGTGGAAAAACTAAGCCAGAGGTTGATCAATTCCCGGGTGCTTGTCATAAGTACTTTAGAATATATTCCCAGGCAGAAGCTTTTATTGAAGATTGGAAAAATTCCTATGCTGACGTTTACCGGAGGGAGATAAAAGCAAAGCTAGATCAAGGATTCAGGCCGCCAAATATCAAACTGAAGTTCGATATCTTGCAAGCAAATGCTGAATATGATATAAGTGAAGATATTATAAAGATGATCGAGAAGTTGATTTTTGAAGAGTAAATAGTGGGAGCATTTATTCAAGCATTTATCTTGATTCTTCGCAATTAATTTCAGTCACAAGTGATGTGTGACAGCGAGTTAAAAATGTTATATAAATTATTATCTTGGGACTGTGGTTTCATTATTTGAAACTGAATTTTGTCGTGTTAGCTCTGTTTTGAAACCGGGAACAACCAATTATTACTGTATACTGCCTTGTACAGGAAATTAATTTTTCTACTCCGTTAAATAACCAGCGTAGCGTAGTTTCAAGCCAAGGCACCAGAACTGATCAAAGGGAGTAAGTGGTGATACTAAGTGCTAGAAGAACTATAACTGGGGATTGTTCCTGTTTTAGCACGTGTTTCAGTGTTGTAGTGTTTAGTATAATATATATAAGGCAGCAACAGGCGAAATGTAAGTGATTTAAAACACTGACAAAGTGTTTATCCAACCGTTTAGTCGTAAACCCATCATATAACCTAAATTTGTTGAGCCATCAGCTTTAATGTCCACCTCTTCCATGTCACGAAGGACTTTCTCGATATATTCAGCTGCCCCGCTGAGTTTCATAATATGTGCAATGGCACAGTGGACACGGAGAAGTCTGGGATCTGGTGGATCGATTGTTCGGTTGGGGCTAAGGCTCAGAGTACGAGTGACGGGAAACAGCGGATCGCGCAGGAAGGGACTGTCTTCAAGCGATTCGATCTTATACTCATGTGGCCTCCCTGTGGGTTCGAAGTAGATTTGAAATTCCCCAAATAGTCGATGATATTCAAGCGTCAGCGTAAGTGCATTAACAGACCTATCGATATTTGCTCCATCAAGACGGTGACTGAGCCCAGGGTCAAACATATCCAGTATACGGAACACATTCGTTTTTGACTCGCTCTTGGTAAGGTTAGTACGCAGCTAATGGACAATTGTTGGCGATGAACCCACCAGCTCTGACTCTCCCTGTGCCATTGTTGTCAAGCTGTGAGGGAGGATGTGCGCAACTTCCAGATACTGGAATCCACCCCGTGCTTCACTGCTCAGAAGATTTCCATCATCGTCTTTACAGTTATTCCCATCCTCTGCGCTGCGCTTCCTAGCCTCAACAATATCAAACTTGCGGGATATCACGCACCGATAATGATCACGTACAAGGCAGGCTTTCCATAAGACAGAGACACGCTGTCTCATGCCCACTTGTGTAGATGTCTGACTCAAGGACAATACTGTAGGTGTTGCTTGTAGTGTTTTAACTGATGAAGCCCTGACTAATTGGCCTCATTAGCAGATAATCGTAAAGGACAGGGGCTAATCATACGTGGGAGAAGAAAATTGTCGACAATATACTCAGCAAAACTTTCAAGAGCGCTCTTTATACGCATCAATTTGCTTAGATCCATACTTCCGTCTCCAGCGAATGACTCAAGGTAAGACAGGGCAGCAGTCATATTATTATCAGCATTCTCACCGGTAGCTTTGAGGCTCTCATAAATATATAAAAAGAAGAATCTTAAAAACGTGTCTTTGGATATTACCCGGTCAAACATCTCCAAAATGAGTTTTGCGGGCCTGTAACCCCTCTGTACGCTTTGGCTGAGGCCATAACCCTGAATGAAGAGATGCAAAAGTGTATGAGCCTTTTGATTTTGTTGAGGTGTTAAAAGAAATGTGGGAGAGAAATCCAACACAGATTCTAAGGATGACTGATGTCGATGCTGGGCCATGACGGTAGGTTACGATAAGAACAGTCACAAGGGGATTGACTAATCGTTATATCAGGACGCTATCACGTGTGAAGCGAGACTACGGTCGTTCCGGAATTATATTGATCCGCAGTCTCCGATGATCTAATCATTTTCCATGAAGAGTAGTTAGTTAACTAATTGACATTGCTGGAAAGGCGGTTGAGCAATTATGTAATCAGAAGAAGCAAAGCCAACGACTTTATACGGTACAAGTGGCGGCATATGAACATTAGTCCAGGCTATCTTCTGAGTCTCTTCTTTTCCCACGTTCTTCAAGCCAGCTTTTGATCTCACTAACAAATCGGCGAGCAGCACCAACTTTCACGCCTTGGCTGACGAAAAACCCCGAGGCCTGATCCTTATGAATCTGTCTCAGATCCAGACAGTTCTTCAATGCCACATTGCGGGCTATATCCATCTGTTCCTTGAAAGAATCATGACTCATACGGGATTTTTGCCAAGCCGTGTACTCATTGATCGCTGTGTCAAGGGGGCCCGGTATATCAATAGGCCCACAACTGACACTCGGAGACGCGTTACTGTACATCTGCGAGGGATGAGATGACTGTGACGGGAGGACATTAATATTGATTGGCGGCCACATTGTCCCACCCTGTGCGTTCTGGCCCCCTTTCTTCTGTTTCTCAAGGCGTTGTTCCTCCTCGCTGTACAACTGCTGACGAATATCGTCTGGAATGTCTTCGTGTGTTTCTAATTCGCCACCATTCTCGACGAACTCAGACTCCTCAGATGATGGGTTTTCAATTTGTAATGTTTTTTCCCCAAAGGGTCTTGCCAGCAATACTGGCCATCATGGCGACAGGGTGGGCCTGGACAACGCATTTTCTTGTACACATCTCTCCAGACTGTGTGTTGCCCTGACACGTCCTCTGCGTCAATTCGAGCGTCTCTCTCAGTAAGCATTCCTTTCGTCACCGATGTTGGGCCTCTTTTTTCGAAATTCCTCGATGGATAATCATCACTGTCTATAATATATTTAATGGAGATATGAAGGCGCACCCTTTTACCAGGTACATGTGAAAGTCTACCCCACATTAGGAGCTGCTTTTTTATGACTGTCCAATCAATGTTAGTGTTGTCGAAAGTTTTAATCAGATTATTTTGACTGCGGTCATTCACGGATACGATGATCTCAGTATCGTCTGGCCTGAATCGCTGGTGGCGTTTGATTTTCCGGCGGACGGCCTTTTCAGCATCTTCCTTTATCTTTCCCCAGTATGAATGGGGCTTTAGAACTAAGTCCTGCTCCGTATCTCTCTTCAATAGGCGGTTATTCAGAGTCACCTTCCATTCGATTACGTAGACAAGGCAGCCTGGAGATCGTCGATTGTTTGTTCTTCCGTTTCCTGGTTCATCATCTTGGAAACCTAGTTGATTGGATGGATGTTGGTACGAGGGGGAAGAACGCCCCTCAAGTACATGGTCCGATGAAATGCTAAACACGGATGGTGAGCGTTCACGACTGTAATAACCAGGGGTGGGGGCGTGCGACGGCGTTTCTTCCCATGGGCCGAGGTGTTGGAACTGAGAGGGGTAGTCATCACTACAAGGACTGAACGTCATACCCTCGAGGCAAGAAATGCCACCGAGGAGCCTAATCAACACATGCATGTTAGCCTGCAAAGCGCCAGGATCCAGTTCAACAATCTGCCAGGAGGTGCACCAGCTCACAGGCCCAATAGGAAGATGAGCAAAGTCATAGGTGTCGCAACTCTACGACAGAATAATGTAACTAGAGCTCTGCCGTCTTAGTAAAGCAGAATAAGCAATACCACGACTCTAGTTAGATATGATACGGAAATGTTGGGAGGTTGCCAAATCCGACAGGAACTGGTCCCTGATGTTTGGCTGGTTTGCAACGAACCTTCTAGACCCGGTACACAGCGTGACGTAACATTAGAATTCATTACTGGAAATGTTATTAACAGGAACATAGTTGTTCCCGATAGTTTCTATTTATAACTTAGCGTGTCTTGGCATTAGGGTTTGGGAACAATAGAGAAGTATAGATAGTAAAGGCAGTTTCTGGATTATCTGTATGGGATCTTCCCGAAGACCAAAAGCTATTCAAAGACATTGATCCCTTTGAAGTCCACGAATATTCCGAGCTTAACCATCTTAGCCTTATCTCTGCATTGTTAGGCCCTGTTCCAAAGGAACTTCTCGATAAAGGGACAAGAACTGATCTCTTTTACAAATCTGATGGTCAGCATGATTATCTATCTCTCATCTGTCTCAAAACAAATCATTCACTGACTTGATTTCAATAGGGCAATTCAAAGGCACTACTATTGCACCATTGAACTTCACCTTTGAAAATTCATTACGCAACATCCATAACGAGGACAAAAGAATGTTCATTGAGTTTGTCCAAAGGATGATAAAATGGCACCTGGATGAACGAAGTACCGCAAAGGAATTACTCCAGGATCCGTGGCTTTATGCGGACTTTGATGATGATTGAATTTTTATTAGAAATGGCTGTAAGAAACATGGTACTGGGATATGTATGATTGTATGGTGTTGTTAGGTTCTTTGTTTGTTAGAGATCCTACCCCCCCTCCGTTCATTGACGATACGATACGAAACTCTCCGCTTCGCACATAGGTTAGCTAGGTATAGCAACACCCTCTTTGCTTCTTTTCTGGCTCGAGTAGGACTGGACTGTTGACCTTGTGAGTAGTTTCCATACTCTACATAGTATCTACTAGAGATCAAACTTTCATACTTCCTAGTAGAGGAAATTGATTGACCTATTATTTCAACATAGATATCATATCAAATATCATCCTCTTATAATTAACTCTACTAAATAGGTCCACGAATTAACCACGTAGACGGAATATAACCTGTTCTGTTAAGTCATGAATGAATCCCTAATAACCCTGATTGATCACCTCATAGATCCGTGGAAAAAGCGTATAAACCGGGTGAAATATGATAGAAATAACTCGACGGTGAATACGGAGTGTGCTTTGATATTAGTATTTCTGGTTTAATCCAGAAATAATCACTCTGACTTGATCGGATCAGGTAATCATCTGGTCTGATTGTATTACGACTGGATAGTATCAATGGATATCTAAAGGCTTTCACTCAGATCATGATCATCGGATTCTATCAGCGATTATATTGTCCATAAGACCCGTATATACGGGTATTGAGTTACAAGTGTGATGTGCCCGAGTAATAAATACCCCCCTCATCCATAAATCAAGAACAGGGGAGCCTTAACAAGGGTCGCAAAGGTGAGTAGACCTCCGCGCGGTAAACGTCCATTTTCCTCCATTGACAAACACAGCTTAGCATGGTGAGGGCCAAAGCCATGGATACTTAGGAGGGTAACCAGAGAATCTTATCTCTGCTGACACAGAGAGAGAAGGGGAAAGGGAGAGCAGCAGGAGTGATTATATGTTTATTTGGATCCTGTCAGAAAACCTCACAAGAGGGCAGCCGCAGATTCGTTATGCTGCTGGTTCTGCAGGTATGGTATGTAGCCAATGGTGTGGCAGCACATCTGCTACTAGAGATATGTACAGTCATTAAGTCGTGATTTGCTCGCTTGTCGGTCCGAGAGATCCGCGCTTCCGCGCCAAACCTTCAGCAGCAAGCGTGTAATCAGATAGCCCGGGCAGGACTCCGCCAGATCCGAGCGGGCCGCGTTATAGCGGTGCTGCGAGGATCGGGTTCCTCCGGGGTAGATAGTATCGGCCACTCAGCCATTCCGGGATCCCGAGTGCCGACTGTAAGGGATGAAGCCGTCGTAGCGGCAAATTGGCGCTGCATAGAACAACAACGATGGTGATCGGTTTATTTTTTTCAATACCGGGCGATCATCCATCGATCAGAATGGTCGGGCAACCTTCCTCAGTTCCGCAACTCCAGTCACCGGATCTCTCATTTCCTTCCAGCTCACAGGGAACATCATATTACCAGCGTCGCTGCGGGCCATGACGACACCCAGATCATTCCGCGCAGTCGTAATGTAGTAGAAGCTTTGATCACCGAGAGAGATGACCGTTCCGCGCACGATATCCCCAACGCGGAACATCTCGTCCATAACAACACGGTCTTTCTCAACGGCGCGCACATCCTCCTTCCGAATCAGAGCCTGGAAGCGAAGTTCGTCCGAGCTGCTGTGGTTCTCTGGGTTGGCCGCAGACGAAAGAATCGCTTCGATGTTGTCATTATCCGATGGCGTTTGAGAAGGGTTGAGAGGCTGAGAGCTGGCAGATTCGTCAAGCACGACAAGGATAGATACCGTGGCCTGTCGCTTTTGGACGCGTGTCACCCGCGCCAACACGACCGAGTCCACAGCAGGAAGCGTGTTGAATCTCAGTTTCTGTTTTCCTGTGCTTGTTGATTTTGCTGGGGCATTTGCGCTGGACGGGACATTCCTGGGGATGGATCGCGAGACAGTCAAAACCGACTTTGTTTTGGAGCTGGGCTTCGCCGGGTCCATGACAAGCGGGCCTGCGATTGAAGCGTAGATGTTGCCATTTTGAACATGGGTACCAGGGCCTGCGACATAAGAGGCAATTGAGCCCAGGCGCTGGCCTGGGATGGCCACAGCTGGAAGGGCAGTGGTCATTCCAGCACAGCGGATTACGAACCGGGGGATTAGAGGGGAGAAAGAAAGGGAGGGAACAAGAGGAGCTTCTTGAGACAGGCAAGCTGGAGCTTCGGTGATGAACGCAAGCAAGAAGCCGGCAAAGCTTTTCTTTTTTGGAGGGGCGGTGGCTCGGTCGGGATCAACCGTTGATCCGGGCAGCTGGCACGGGCCAATGCCATCCCCCTACTGTGTACTAGTATCTACTAAATGGTATGTAGTACCACTACGTGCAGACGATATTGCTAATCATAGGTATCAATGTATTGCAAGTATAGACTCGAAATCTCTAACGTGAATACAGTATTATGCGCAGACACAATTGAAGTCAGCACAGCGTCATCCTATAGACAACAACGATCTCGACGGACGCAAAAAGACCATCACACTGAATGCTCGCTGGCACCAAGCAAAGACACACCGAATCAAATGCCCGCTTAACACCTCTGACGCATGGTCGTCAATGGGTCAAAACACTGGAACACAAGGCGGCTCAACTTATAGATAAGAAAGGCAGGTGATGAACAGAAGAGAAGGTGAAAATAGGTCGGTAGAAGATAAATATGGAAGTGAAAAGGGGCGGGTCCGAAGCCAAATCACACGTCGTCAAGGGGTAATACATTAGCCTTCTACAAGGGTCTGCTTGTGACCGTTCCCAAGAAACTCGAGGCATCGCCGAGCCAGCGCAATGACCTCGCCCTCCCCGTCTTCGGCATCCTCCTCGTCAGATTCGATGCTCTTGTCGGAGATCGCCTTCACCATCTGTACAACATCGTCCGACTGCGCAATGTAGCCAATCAGTCTTTGGTCTTCGGATTCCAGGAGCTGAAGCAGCGTCCAGATGGCGATGTGCTGGAATGTAGGATCGCCACTGGCGAGGAATCGGTTTAGGTAGCCGTGAATTCCTCCGTTAGGATCGGCCCAGTCCCGAACGAAGATGGAGTAGTCTCCCACTTTTGCAAATAGTCAGTATATGGGGGACGCACTAACACCTCTCGGGAGTGGGTTCATACCTTTGGATGAGAGGTTACCCAGCGCCGCAGCGCTGTTTCCTTGCACTTCAATGCTCTCCGACTCCGTCAGAGGAATCAGGACGTCAAAGACACCAAGATTCAGAAGATGGGGTTTCAGCTCATCGCTGAGAGCTAGCACAGCTATTGCGGCAGTCATTTCAGACTGAACGCTGAGGGGTACCCGAAGGACCAGGTCCTTGCACTTCTGGACGGCGCCAGCTTGAAGGACCAGTTCCTTGTTCCGATCGGAGCTTGCGGCTAGATTTCGGAGGGTCGATATGGCGTGGCATTGAATTTCCTCATTATCAGTATTGCCCAGCAGTTCAACCAGGGGCTTGAGGAAGCCCGCATCGATTATTGGGGACTCATTGAGCGGATGTATAGAGATATTGCGGATACACGCGACGGCGGAAAGAATGAGGGGGAGGTAGGATGACTGTAAGAGTCGCAGTAGTGGTGGGAGACCCTTCGCTCGAACAATTTCGAGCTGGTATTTCTCGTCGGAAGCAAGGTTGCGCAGTGCCAACGCCGCTTGGCATTGAACCTTGGGGGTGGATGAGTCCATGAGGTGAACCAGCGACTGAACCAACCGAGACTCGGTTTGAGCAAGTCTCTTGCGATTCGACGAGTCGACAGCGATGTTGCTAAGGGCAGTTGTGCAATAATATTGTACATCAACGTCGGGGGACGATAGTAATTGAACAAGGACAGGGATCGCGCCCGCGTTGACAAGTTGTTGTCGGTTATCATCTAATCACTCAATGGTTAGGATGAACAAAATGGCCTCGGATACTATGCGACCTACCCGAATGTGTCATATTCAGCAGCGCTCCTGTCGCATTACGCTGTACCCGCATGTCTTTAGACCTTGCAAGACGGATCAATGGGCCCAAAGCACCCGATCGAGCGATTTTGGCCTTGTTATCCTCATGAGTAGCCAAATTCGTAATGCAACCGACCGCATTGCATTGGACCTCAACATTCGGTGACATCATCTGCCGTATCAGAGGAGCCAGTCCCCCCAGAGCAACGATCAGCACTTTATTGTCCGCTGCGACCGGTCAGTAATCGGCATGGTGGGAAAACAGAAGCAAGACCGACCATTTACAGCCAAATTTCCCAGAGCTGCACTGGCAGCACGTTGAACTTCGATATCCGAGCTCTGCAGAAGGAAGAGGATAGGCTCGAGTGTGTCCCGATCAACCTCGCGCACATCTGCAATCACCCCAGCTGTTAGTCACCGTTACAATAGGTTGGATCTGCTTCAGACACACCTCTCTCCGTGATCTCAGCGAACGTCAGACTGGCACTCCGTTGAAGATCGACATTGTCGGAATAGACGAGAGTGCTTAAGGCGCGAAGGGGTTCACCCGCGAAGAAGTCGGTCTCGGTCCTCTAGGATGGAGTAAAAGTGAGCAGGGAACGATGGATAATGCAGTGACGGATGAAGGAGCTTTATGGCGTGCGAGTGAACTGAACCTACGTTTTCAAGGTACCCTAGAAGGTCGGAGACCGCTTCGCGTTCATTGTCTGCCAATGTAGTCTCATAAATTCCATCCCTCGAGCGGCCACCGATCGGGCCGAGACAAGCTGAGATATGGCACCAACGGTCGACTGTCGATAGGCAGGACAGACACGCATTTGTGATTCCGCTCATACCTTCAGAATGGGAGGCCCGCAGGACCAGAAGACGGCCCCGCCAGCGTTGAATACGAAAGCAAAGAGTGGCGGGAGAAACGCCGGACGAGGCAGAGGAGAGGAGAGGGTGATCAGCTTTGTTTGTTCCAGCAACCTTGTCGCTTCCCTTATTCCATCCAACAAAGGCTGCAGCGGAGGCGGAAAGGCGAGGCTGGGCGGTCGGGAAATGAAGGGCAGGAGAGGAGGAAGGACCGAATGGGCGATGGCACAAAGAAGGGGACGGGGGGAGGCTCTGCAAAGGGAGCTGCGGGAACACAAGGCCTGGCGCGTGATAGGAAGAGATAGAGTGTAGTAGTAGAGTAGTAGCCTGTGCAGAAGGAGGTGGAGGACTAGGACTAGGACTAGGAGTAGGGGGAGAGGGTGATGGTGATAATGGAAGAAGACAATAGGTAGCTCTTCCTTCGCGTCACGATTTCCAAGCAGCTTTCCTCTTTTATCTCCGTCCAGTCTAACAACAGACCGCGAGCACGGTCGGGGAGAAGGAAGTGATGGTCAATGGAGAGGAGAGGGAGGACAGGGATGGGTGGAAGATTGCGGACGGCGGGAGGAGGCCGACTCGATGATGGTTCATCGCAAAAGGTGATGCTGGACGAGGTAGTGGTGGTGGTGGTGGTGGTGGTGGTGGTGGCCAGCCAGCACGCCTTGAGCCGGGCGGGCAAATGATAACGCGCCCAAAGCCAGGGAGCTTACGGAGAACTAATGATTATCTTTAGTCCAGCACTTCAACACACCAACCAACCCCCCCATGAACCAAAGCTCCACCCTCACACTGCTCTGCAAAGCTGCGATTGAGTCGTTTCATTCGCTTAGGTGATGGGATTATTCATCGTTTGGTTCCTCGTGGAGACTAGACTGCATGCTATATCATAATCGAACTGCGATGCGCCGATGCTCCCGTCACCGCCGTTATCAATGGGGCCTCCGTCTCCATCCCGGTTGTTTATCTTGTCCCAGCTGCTCTCTCCGTCGTCATGCTTTCTCCCTCGGCCCCACTGGCACAGTTATTAGTGTTGACTGTTGAGACTGTTAGGTAGGATTGAAAGCTCTTTCTCGGCCTCACCTCCCAACCCCCCGTCACACATTCCAGTTGTACCGACCAGGATTATGAAACTAGTCTGGTGGTTAAATTCCCCCTCGTGCAGAAGGGGTGTCATTTCGCGCATCCCAAGACAAGATCGCAATCCCTCCCGATCGGCCAACCCCAGCGTCATCATCATGGGGGCAACCCTCCCCCGGTTCCACCTCGGAAGCTAAACATCACTACTTTCTACACCGTAGAATTAAGTAGACACAAGGACCATCTGTTGCCCCTTACCAGTCGCCAGTTGCCAGTTGCCAGTTGCCACGGGTGATGCGAATAGACGCTGAACTTTGTCTCAATTGAGGAAACCAACCTTAACGCTGTATAGCTGCTGGAACCCCCGGTCCATCATGCGGATCACTCACCATCCTTAAGCTTCCGTCTGCTGCAGGATTCAAAGAAGAAAGCTGCCTGCATGAATAAAAGGCTCCCCGTACAAGGATGGGTTGCCGTGGTGTACACCGTAGTGTAAACCCAGTTCTAGAAGACGTTGGCCGATTTACCATGTACGAGGGGATTTCTCCAGGGGCATGTTGACTGGATAGTGACGCGACATGATCACCGGACAGCGGAGGGATGATCATCCTGGCGGAGCGTGGGGAGACTAATTTGGATCAATCACCTGTCAACCCAGTCAATCTCTCCCTTTGAGGGGTCCCAATGGCACTAGCGGCATGCCAATGGCTCGATCAAGGTACGGAGCCTGGCGGAAGGAGAAGAGTGAAGAGTCAAGAAGCGATACATAATGCAATTAAATTCCAGTCATCTGGGGTCTGTCACGGGAACTGCCGTCACCCATCATGGCTAGGTAGAAAGTGTCTTCTCTCAGCTCTGTTATCTAGGATATCTATGAGGTGAGTGAGCTGGATGCATTGCATTTGCCCCTGCATCCCCCCTGTGAGGGCTCTGAAACCAAACACTACTCCATACTTACCTACCTACTGAACGCAGCCTTCCTCTCCACGACATCATCCAGCTATCCAAACCATACAGAGCGTTGCCATGGGGCCCACGTGAGACGACACCCTTCACACCAACGAGCATGGCTGCATCACATGGAGGCCCGGGCCCATGATCCGATGCCAATCACTGGCAACCAGGGAAACACTGTGGCCAGTCCGACGGCCATCCGGGGCTCTCAGAGGCTGACAGTAAGCAGTTCCGGCGTGCAGCCCTTCTGCCCCGCAAAGCTAAACGGGCAGCGCAGTGTGGAGGAGCCCACGAGATCCTGGTCGATATCATGCTTGATATCTATCTACCATTCTGGATGCTTAGGATCGATCCGCTCCTCGTGCGCCCGGCCGGACGTTGTCGTACAAGCATCTCCTGCGTAGTACTATCTAGTATCTAGTCGGTATCCTGGTCTTCATGCACAACCCGGAATCCCTGCGAGGCCGAGAGTCGGATTGCCACTGTCAGACAGCGGCTCCAGGAATAAGCCTGCAGAACGGTGTTCCATGTTTCGTATGGATTATCTCAGCCCGGGAGGAAAGAAGTAAGTAGTAGATAGGCTGAGCGCCGAGGATATTATACCTTGCTTTTTTTTCGGGCCCTTGCGACCACAGCGGCACTTATCAAGGGAAATGAATGACGGCAATGGAAGCTCAGTGGAATCTTCGCCTGGGGCCATCCATGGTTGGGGGTGTTTCGGGGCGCAGGCAGAGTCTCCCAACTAATAACAACGGGGCATCACGGTAATTCGCCGCTCCGCCGTGGATGGAGTTCGGGATGCAGTCGAGATGGTGCGATGCGACGGTCCCAGGTATCAATCTAGTCGTCTTTTCTGGCCTCGCCTTGCCCGGCCAGGTCGTTCGTCGTACTATGTACGTAGTGCACATTCCACTGGCCCCACTGGGAAAGGATCTTACCATCTGACTCGCATGGTCGCCATCCTTTTCCGGCATTCCAGCACAGGGACTCCAGGAGAGCGACGCTCCCAACAAGCCGTTCTCATTTCTCCCCTCTCGCCAGTAGTTTCTCCCCTTATTTTTTTATCCCTCCCCTTGGATACCGTGATAAATTTTCTTTCCCTGACCCTGATCGCCTGCCGTGATTCCCCGACTTCGCCTTCTCTTTGAACCAGAGGGACCAGATTTGCCTCCGGCTCCACCAACTTCGAACCATTGCGATGCGCCGAATCGACCGGCAACTCTAAACATCATCCACTCTCCGACCGATCGGAAAGAATCTGAGGAACTAAGAAAAAAAAAAAAAGAAGAAGAAACCCAATTTAGGGCTGTTGCGACGATCTTAGGCCGTGACAGTGACAGTGACAGCAACCGCGATCAAAAACCTTTGCGAAATCGCGATAGGAAGTTGGATCAGCTAACGCGACCGAGCGAGAGCATAAAGAGACCGCGCCTGGGAAGTTGCCGGGTGATCGATTGATTCACTTTGCAGAGAGCAACCGCCAGCCAACAAGCGCCAACCAAACCCATGTCTGCATCCGTTTCCGCCTCCGCCTCCTCCAACCTCCCATCCGACGTTCGCTCAGGACCCCTCCGTCGCCTGAGCCAACTGCGTGCCTACACCCAGCAGCATTTCTCTTCTTCTCAGCCATCATCGTCCTCCTCCTCCAGCGGCACCCGGCTGTCGCGCCGTCATACCCTCAGCAGTCGAGTTTCCTGGTTTTCGCCCACCTCCACCGGTGCGGATTCCTCGCAACTCTCGCCTGTGGGGTCTCGCACCTCGGGCCCATGCCCCGAAAGTGAGCCACCGTCCACCCTCGCCCGCTATAGTTCGGTGCTCTTCCCCAGCTACCGCGGCCTCGAGATCGACCTGCGTCCTTCCCGTCAGGCTGAAACACCCAGTTCATCTTCCAACGAAACCAGTGGCATTCAGACGCAAGGAACGATGGCGCGGCCCAGAGGATCATCCCAAGCCCTTGATGCACGGCCTGATCTGGAAGGATCAAGTCAATCCGCATCAGCCAACCTCCATGCGGGAGCCCTCGACTCGTCCGACCCGGTGATGTCGGAGAATCCGTCGTCCTCGTCCCCGCGACCGAAGCAGAAGGCGACCATCCGCTTTTTTCCCCACCAAGACTCCCACCAGAGCTCCCGACCGTCCTTACCCTTTATCCCGGTCTCGCGAACGCTCCCGTCCGACAACTGCATCATCCGCGTTGGTCGATACTCCGAACGGGATGGGCTGCCTGTGGCCAATCCAACAGATCCCTCCGATGCCCCGGTCGGGTTCAAGTCGAAGGTCGTCAGTCGGAAGCATTGCGAGTTCTTATACTTGAACGGTCAGTGGCATATTAAGGATGTCGGGAGCTCATCGGGGACGTTTCTGAACCACATGCGGCTGAGCCAGCCGAACATGCCCTCTCGGCTGTATACCGTGAAGGATGGAGATATTGTGCAGCTTGGTATTGACTTCAGGGGAGGCGAGGAGATGATTTTCCGCTGCGTCCGCATACGGATCGAGTGCAATCGGTCATGGCAGCAGCAGCCGAACGAGTTCAAGTAAGGATACTTGTGTCGAAAAAGTTTTTGAAGAGCTGGCTAATAAGCGAGATAGTAAAAACACCGAGAGTCTCATTAAGAATCTGGGCAAGGGAGATACAGCTGATTATTCTGGTTGTCGGGAATGCTCAATCTGTCTGGGCTCGGTTCTGGTTTGTTCCCATTCTCTTGCAGCACCGATCCACCACTGCACCACACGATGCTAATGTTGTTGAAGCGGCCTTATCAGTGTTTGTTCATGGCGGCCTGCGCCCACGTCTGGCATTATAAATGTGTCAGTCGCCTCATCCACACGCCCGACTATCCCATGTTCCAGTGCCCCAACTGCCGCGCCTACACCGATCTAAGCGCCGAGGTCGATGACACGAACGATTTCGACGAGGAGGAAGCCAAACAAGCTACCCCGGAGGACAAACGGGATTCTTCAGACGGATCGCGGTCGGGAACGACTTCCCCCCAGCTCGAAGCCGAACCTGTTCACACTGGCGACGAACCCCGCCAGGGCAGCCTGCCGATTGAAGCGGGCCTAGCCGCCAATATTGAGAGCATGCACCTTCAAGAAATGGATGCGTCGGAGGCTGCGCGGCGTCCACCTCCTCCCACTTCGAATAATGATACTGTTTCTTCCAGTGTCGGCAATGACGTACCTGGCTGGCAGTCGCTGAGCCAGTCTCCCAATGCTCTCCCTACACGACAGTCACTTCTGCGTGCGGATACTCCTGTTCGCTCGGAGTCATCCGAGGACAATCCTTTGACGCCTCTGAACGACTCGGGCCCTCTGGCCCTCGACGGCCGGGCCGCAATGCCTTGAGCAACGCTGTGGTCTCGGCTTTTGGATATGCCGCTCGAATAATTCAACCAGTTGCATTGCACAATCGACTCTAGCCTAGTGCTGGACAGTCCTTGCATGCAGTCTTCCGGACTGCGCCCTCGTTAATATATGCATCTCCTATTGTTCCCGTTTGTTCTTTGCTTCTAGCATTCGCGAGCCGTTTTCCTATGTCATATTGTTAGCATCGAGCATTGCGTTGTGATTTCCTCCCGTCCCCCCCTTGAACATATTTTATACCCATTTGCAGCATCCTTTCTCACTTCATCCGTTCGGCACTGGCTCTTCGCCATCCTGCAGCGGACTGCCATGACTTCGAACGACCAGCATAGAATTCATGAGGGTCAGTTTCCGACCCGGTTTGGCGTTTGCGATGGTGGATGCGGTGTATCTGATAACCCGGGGCCTGCTGCTTTCTTTGGTCGACACGTTTCTTTGTTGGCGCTCATGGGTGAGATGTACATATCAGCTATACATATGCATATTCCTGTTGAACGTGTGGTCGTAACCCATCCCTGTCTCCAGGCAGTACAGACAGACAGGCAGGCAGGCAACCAAGGTCCCATGACAATGCATCATGTCGCAGCTGTCCAACCCACCTGTTTTTATTTTTATCAAGTATCCATTAGGAATTAGAAACCAACCCCCACATAATCCATGTTCAAAACCCAATTACTACCCTATTATTAGTTTAAGGTAGTATTACGTTTCATTTGTACATTGCTCCCACCAATACCCCCACCCCAGCTCATGAAATCAACCAAAACCTTCACATATCATCATACCTTTGCGTAACATATCATTCCTAGTTCAGATGACCTACATACCTACCTACCTGACTACAATTCCTCTCTCCCTCTCTCTTTCTCTCTACCTCTTCTCACACCATCCACTCAAACCTCTAAACAACCCAACCCAAGTTAGACTTGTTCCAAGATCATCCATCAATCCTTTCTTTCTCATAATCTCCGATCAATTCATACTAATCCCCCCTAATACACCATCACTGGATCCCGCCCTCCCTGGTATGCAGAACAGAATTATAACTAGTCAATTAGTCAGATCTTTATTATATCTACCCAAGAAAAAATAAGTAAATGTTAGGATAGAAGTGAATAGTTGTAGGAGTTGTAGTTTCTAGTTGGTTTGGAATATGGTATCATGGCCAATTAGTACTTCCTGTGATTGGGTTAATAGATGGATAGATGGGTATATATGATTATTGGTCTGGGAGGGATTTATTTTAATATTCTGGTTGGGGACATGGATTGATTGGTTGATACTATAGGTAGAGTATTAGGATGATCATTGGATAATGTTCTTTTTTGTTGGGGTTGGTTATAATGTGCCTGGGTAGGGTTTGTAGGGAGAGAAGGGAAAGGGTAATTGATTGATTGATGAGGGTATTATCTGCTACTAATCTATACTATGTACGGTGATGATGTTTATATGGCTACTACTCATTTTGTTTATGTTAAGAGCGATGATGATGTTGATGATGATTAATTACTATTCAAGCAATGTCTTTTTCTTTGGCTTGGGTATTTGGGGTAAAGAATTTAATTTTTCCCTTCGTTTTTGGTAGTTTTTGTTGTTTTTCGTAGTTCTTGTTTTTCTCTTCGACAAAATAAAATCATATGGTTAAGTTGACTGATATCCGACCCCTTATCTGAGTAACTGGACATATCATGTCTACTGGGTGTCAAAGGTAGAAAAAGCGAGGAATATAAGTAATAAATGGCATATGTATTATCCATCAATCTGGTAAAGTACATCATATCACGAAAGGAGAGAACAACGCTGGTATCAAATCTCAAAATATCGATTCAACAGCTTTCATATCCCCCTTGGGGTGTGTGTCATAACAGCGTAAAGATCCCACTCAGTAAAGCTTTATCCCGGGTCGAATAAGTATCGTCATTTCTCTAGTAAACGTCTTCTTGGAGTTCAACGAGGCCCTCAAAACCCACGTTGGGTTCCCAAGGTTCCCCGGTTGTCGAGGTCGGAGTCGACGCGGGGGTCCATCTTGTTGGCGACATTGGAGCCATGGGGACCGGCGGTGCTCTGACCGGGGGCGTTGTAGCTGCTGCTGGCGAGACCCTGGTGACGGGCACGGTTGTCCATGTCGGAGTCGATGCGGGGATCCATCTTGTTGGCAACGTTGGAGCCGTGGGGTCCGGCATTGGTGCTGCCTCCGTAGCCACTGCCGGTGGTGTAGTCGCCGGCACCTCCGCTGTAGCCAGAGCCGGTGCCTGCTCCGCCATATCCGCCAGTGGTGGTGTAGTCACGAGCACCTCCGCCGTAGCCTGCGCCTGCACCGGTTCCTGTGTAGCCGCCAGTGGCACGGTTGTCTAAACGTTTATGTTAGCCCTGTGTCTAGTAGTTGATAGACGGAAGGGATATGTACCTCTGTCGCTGTCAACGCGGGGGTCCATCTTGTTTGCTGTGCTGGAACTGTGAGGTCCCTGGGCTCCGCCGAGGGCTTCGTGACGAGCACGGTTGTCGCGGTCGCTGTCGATACGGGGATCCGCCTTGTTGGCGACATTGGAGCCGTGGGGTCCGGCGTTGGTGCTACCTCCGTAGTTACCGCCGGTGGTGTAGGCGCCACCAGAGGTACCAGCACCGCCGGAGGGGTGGGCACGGTTGTCACGGTCACTGTCGACGCGAGGGTCCATCTTGTTGGCCATGCTGGAGTCGTGGGGACCGTGAGCACCACCCATAGCTTCGTGACGGGCGCGGTTGTCTTTCAAGGGATTAGTATGCTCTCGTGGAGGATAGATAAAGTATGGGATAGGAAGCTCACCACGATCGCTATCGACGCGGGGGTCAACCTTGTTGGCAACGTTGGAGGAATGAGGGCCAGCGTTGGAGGACGAAGTGTTGCTGGACTTGTCGTGGTGGCCAGTCATGGCATCCTTAACCTTGTGCATAAGTCCGGACATGATGGGCAGTAGTGTGGTTCTTGTGAATATGAGTAAATAAATTTGATTGATAGATGAGCTTTGTGAGGTTGGTTGTGTTAAGACAGTTGTTATGTTTGATGGATTGATCAGTCCATCGACGACTGGCTGGGTTTATATAAGGTCTCTTGAATGAAGAGACATGGCCATGACGTAGGCCTACGTACACTGAGGGTTAGCATTGGTGAGACTGGGAGCATTCCCTCACGACGTGCCCTGGTACGGCAGACTCGTTGGCGATTCACTCGAGCGGCTCCTGGGATGACGTTCAGATGTGCTCATGTACTCAGACCTAAAGCAGCGATGGTTCTGGTGCCGCAGGCATCTAGAGCGGCAGGGACAGCTTCATCGATGTAGATCATTTCTCGCCGGGGATCGAGCTGATGTGGCTCCGCATAAGGCCACATTAAGGTGATGGCTATTTTTGTCCCCATACCCATACTACTATGTATGGGGACATGGAGAATCTTGCTGCTAACCTGGTTCATAGTAAAGGAGTCGAGCATGGAGCGAGGCCATTGCCGATCATGACAGCCATGACCTCAGCCTGGTAGACTCGATGTCGTCGGCCAAGCCCGCAATGGGGCCGATGATTGGCCAAGGCATAAGATTTGCGGGGTCAGGGGTGAAAGACCCCACTGCCAAGGCCCACACGCGGTGGGCCCAATGGTCCGCGATCTAATCAGCGCCCGTCTTCGCCCTCCATCATCCATGCACGATCCCCCTGGGGCTTTTGCAGATGGTGAATACCTATACAAAGAAGCCATGTTTCTCAGAGGTACTGTTATGTTATCCGGTGGCTTGTGGCTTGGTCTCGTATGCAGTTGATGTGGCCTAACTGTACGGCAATCACAGTCAGTGTATTGTTGGAAATCATATACGGAGTAGATCCTGCCATCTTCTTACATCACTGATGGTCCGGACCCAAACAACGGCGGGCGATTCCACAGATGGAAGACCATCACTGCCGTTTTGAAACCACACGGGCCGCAGTTGTTCACCCTTGATGATGCAATCTTGGCTAATCCGGCCCATACTACGATGATGATATTCCCGGTGTAGTTGAATGGGGGAATCGTCTAGAAAGGTCTTTGTCCTGTTCCTGAAATAGACTCTCCGTCGACATGGCGTGAATATGAAAGGCTGGATACGTAAGAGGCTGTCAGGTCAGCAACTCATCAGTCAGTCATACTTCGTATGTTGAAGAGATGCATCGCACATCTTTTCCGACTCATTGGCCCGATGAATCAAGTTATCCTGTCCAAGATATTTACTGCATTGTCTCAGCCAAAATACCGAGTTATGACTTGGTACTCCTCAGGACGCCTCAAAGCCTCTAGACCTATCTGGATGTGGTTTTCAACTTGAGCTTCAGAGTATACCCCATAATTTCGGGGGCGGGAGCAGCAGAGTCGGCACAATGAAGTTAGTTCGTCAAAGAATCAAACAGTATCAACATCGGGGATGCTCCCGCGCAGAACAACCACTGGACTGAGATCCTCTAGGGAGGAAACCTAGTCAGCCCCTATTCTCGAGAGCCGAAGCATCAGATCCAGAACTTGGGTCCCGCCAATGCATCCAGACGCCTGCCTGGCACGTGTTTCCGAGTGTACCCTCATAGCGAGTGACGGTTTCTGGTCCTACTCCATCGTTGTCTCACCATGTTCTTCAACGATGGCCGGGGTGATACCTTGTTTCGGCTTCTGGCTCGCGTCCCTCTTCCTCTGGCTCCTCCAACAGCCCTGGTTGCATAGGCAATGTAACAGAAGTGATCTGGTTATTTTTGTCACTCTGAGACTCAATTGAGTCCAGTACCATTCTTACAATGTCTTCGTTCCCATGTTCGATGGCATAAGTGACTGGAGTTAAGCCATCATCATCCTCGGAATTGAGGTCCACCCTGCCGGTCTCCAGCAGTAGCGCAACGACCTTTGCATGGCCTGCTTCACAGGCAAGGGACAGTGGTGTCCGACCACAAGCATCTCGTGAATCAGGATCAATCGCCTTGTTCTCAAGGATTAACTCCACAATCTCATGATGGCCATAATACGCGGCCTGCGCGAGCGGTGTCTGACCGTCATCATCCCGACAGTTGGGATCAGGTATCCCTGTACTGAGAAGTAATTTGACAACATTGTCGTGTCTCGTGAGTACGGCGTGTGATAGAGGAGTGCGCCCATATTTGTCCTTGGAGTCGAGATCTGTCACCCCGAAGTCGAGCAGGATTCGAATGATGTTTTCATGGCCATGATAGGCTGCTCGAGAAACCAAATACATCCCTCGACTATCTTGCGGATTTGGATTGACCCCCCACGTGCTTAGCAGGAATGTGACAACCTCTACACGTTGAGCATCTGCTGCATAAACTAAGGGTGTCAGGCCGTTATAATCCACAGAATCGGGATCAACCTTGCCGGTAGCAAGAAGCATCTTGACAATACCCAGATGGCCGCGGCCTGATGCATACCCAAGGGGTGTCTGCCCCTTAGAATCCCGTATATCGGGACGAACTCCACGCTTTTTGAGAAGTAGTCCAACAACTCTCTCATTCCCATTATAAGCTGCATGCGCAAGTGGACTCGGCCCATATTCATCCCCTGCATTTACGTCAATCCACCGGGCTGATCGGGGAAAGAGAGCGCGAGGCCGACTTCTTTCGAGCAAGAGTTCCACTACACTCGCAGTTCCATATTCTGCCGCAAGGGATAAGGCTGAGCGTCCTTGAACGGTTTGATAGTTCAAGTCGATATCGTTTTCATGTAGTAACGTCTTAACAGCGCTTCGTAGCCCCAGCCATGATCCCCGCATGAGAGCAGTCGAGGGGGTGAAGGTATTAGGCAATGCTGCATCTTTATTGAACCAGAGGCAAAAGCCATCCCCGCGACGAAGGATGTCCACTATTTGCGAGAGAATAGTTGCGTCATCTTCAATAACAGAGAATAAGACATGAGAGCTCCAATTTGTAGCGCAGTACCTGAGGAATGGAGACCGATCAAAGGCGTTCATAAGGGCTACTCGGCTTTGAGAGGCCATAAGAGGGTCTGTGAAATGGAGATACCGCACACAAGCCTCCGCTATTATCCACTCTGACTCATCAGGGTTCAATGACGCCTTCCACCTAAGGTCTAGGTTTGGCAGGCTCTCACCTTCTTTGTACACCAGAAATTCCCTCGCCGTCTGATGTAGAAGATATATCCTCGAGTCGACAATCGTGATGAAAAGGCCACACATTTCTCTAACCGAATGACGAAACCGGTGCACTGGCTCAATCTCGAGACGGTCTTCAAGCGACTTCCTTTCTAACATAGCCATAGCGGTAGCCATGTCCGCGAATGCGAGGGGTGTTTTGGCTGCGACAACTAGATGCAGAAGCCTTCTGGCCCGATTGGGATCCGGGGTTCGGCAGAGAATCCTATCATAGGCGTCGTCGAGCGTCCGCGGCAAATCCTTTATCGATGCACGTATATTGCCCGGGGTGATTGTAATCATATCCTCCAAGGTGTCCATAATGAGATGTATCCACAGATACGTCCGATTCGGGATAGCATTCAGTTCAGCTAGCAGAAGCTGATGCTCTGCCAGGAGTTGTAGTCTCTCTGCAAGCTCCTTTACTCGGTGCTCTATGACCGTCTTGATCTCGCCGGCAATATTCTGTACCTCGTGTTCATCCTCCCCGTGCAGGTGAATGGTAGGGAATTTGTTCTCAAGAGACTGAAAATTTCGTTGTATCGAGTTATATGGTCGACTAGTCAAGAGAAATCTTAGCCTTGGCGGGGCCGTTGCATTTTGGTAGAGGCTGCTCAGGCACTCGGCCAGCTGTGACTGCTCTTCGCTGACACATTCATCCAAGGCATCTAGAACACAAACTATTTGGCCGTCCCGGAGTTCCTTCGCGACGTCGCACAGGATAGACCACAAACTCTGGAATGATTGGTAAATGTAACCACTGTAACCTTCAAATCTGGAGCGGAGGCTGTCTGAGAATAGACGGGGACTTTGCTGGAAGATCTAATGAAGAATGCAGCACAAAGCGCCTGTAAGGGACTTCTGGTCCTCGAAGTCATCCTTGAAGAAGAAGTAGCAGATAATAGTGGTCCTTGAACTAAGCAGAATCTCATCCAGCAGGTATCTTGCCAGGACCGATTTGCCACACCCAGGATCGGCTCATACCCAGAGAAGTCCCGAACCGTTGCCTTCCTTCCAGCTTCGAAAGAGGCGGTGGTTAGTGAACCACTGACAAGTTCCCCCCACCCGCTGTGGATTTCGGTTTTTTGCGTCTCGATAATTACACATGTGCAGCCGCATCAGGACGTTGGATTTCCACTCTGGGAGGGGATTTTCGTATCCCGGGGACGGTTGCAGATCTATAGGGAGGTTAGTTAATCGCGGCTTTATTGACCCTGCGAGAAAGGTGAGCATAACACATACAACGGGGCTCCATGTACAGCAGAATTTCTTTTGCTAACGCTGCAGCTGCAGCTGCAGCATAAGCATGCCAGGCATCGTTCTTGTGGGAGTCGCAGTAGTCAGCGATCCCACGAATGACAACACATTGAAACTGATTCATTAGCCCAGCAGCCTCCATCTCACAGCATATCGCACCACCAGATTCCCTAGCTAGTCTGTCCCGCTTTTCGCCATCCTTCATCACACGATTTCCCGATGCTATGAAGCCATAGAAGACGTGCGATTCATCCGATGGCGTTCGTCGCACTCGTTGGACAGCCTTAGTCTTGTCACAGGAAGCACAGGTCATCCCATCGTGGACGTGGATGTATTCTGATGGAAACAAAATATCTGCCTCCGGTGGTGGCCTTCGATACTCCTCCAGTCCAAGATACTTCTGCAGCATGTCCGACAGAAACTCTGCAATCCGGTTCGATCGTATGCGATGATCCGACTCCATACTTGTCATCATACCCCGCCACTCAATGGGTGGAGGGCAAAGCATTCCTTTCCTCTTGAAACCGCTCGTGGTTTCCTTTCCCAAATCATATACGACTACTCCGCCCAGAGTGCCTTCGGGGGCGCTTACAACCACATCCCCGAGACGAACATCATTTGCGTTGCTAGGGATCCCCCCGCCAATCCCCACCAGTAAGCGAAGATCAACCGCAGGAAAAGATCGCAATAGGTGGATGGCGACGGCCGCTGCTGACACCGTTCCCTGCGACCCCTTTGGCAGTGACGCGAGCACTACATTGTGCCCACTCAGGGATCCTAGTATATATGTGTTCAGGTCTTGTTTGTTTCCCTGTAGCCTTTCGTGTTCCTCATCAAGCATGTATCGAGCTGCACTCAATTCGACTTCGAGGGGGCATAATAATGCAACCGTGTATGCCTCGTGGTAAAGACGCCGCTTCAAAGTGTTAGGCATCGTGCCTCTATCCGCCACTGATGTATAAGCACGAGGACAGATTTATCGGCAGTGAGGAAGCTGAAGACATATTCAAGGTCAGTTTGCGACGGTCCGTCTCTTATGAGGTGCGGGGAGGAGGGTGATAGATGAGCTCAGGCTCGCGATAGTAGCTCGTGCATCCAGCGCACCAATAAACGGTTGGGATCCCGGTAAATAGCCTAATATGGCATAATTTCTCGTATCCCATAACTTTCCCGGATATAAAACAGATGCCCTAATTATATATGCAGGAGGAAGGTCGAACTATGGAAGGGCATCCGAGGACAGAGAGCTACTGAGATGATATCTTAGCGACCAAACCTTGTTTATACCAAAGTGTTCCGGAGGAGGTCAGCGATCTGCCAGAGAGTATGCTGATTGATGCAATTGGGTGATTGACTCGAATAACCCTGGTAGACGAGTAGTTTATTGTGCTGCCCTGGAGGGGACAAAAATGGATGGACCGACTCAACAAGGAGCGAAAGTTTATATCTCGGAAGATGTATCATGGAAAGAAGCTGTTCCCATGTGCCTTGATGGTGTTCCAGATAGAGGGTCACTATCAGGCCCGTGATCTATGTTGAATCACTTCCGGTATTCCTCTGCTACACCTCTGCAAGGCTTCGCAAGCCAAGAGGTGGGAGGGGGCCCATGCGTCCAGTCATTTAGTCGCCTAGGGAAAGGGTTCCAGATGGGCTACTTCAGAGTAACCATGGATACTCTGCGGCACAAAACTCCTGTGCTCTAGATCCATCGCCTTGATAATTCCCATCATCACGGGAGTGCTCACGGAGGTTTAGTCTGTATCGCAATAACCAAGTTAAAGACTTCTTGAAACGGTTTCCATTTCTGAGAGCTGTATCAAATGTGCAAATGACATAGAAGAACGAAGTTCAAAGAGATGAAGTTCGGCGATGAGGTTCGGAGACTATTGATCTGGCGGGGAGGGGAGAAGGCGACCCTTGACCGCCTTCTGCCCAATAGGCAATACCAACAGCCACGAATGACCACAAATGATTGTCCCCAACTAGTCCTATTCCCTTCTGAGGAGCACATCATACCACGTCGTGGCAAACTTATCGCCCAGCTTCCATGAGGGAGGGTTCATGGCAAGAGCCTATTGAAAGACACCATGAGTTCTCTATACTGTACGACCAGGTTACCTCCGCGTCACGAGTGGTGTGATTTTCACCAGCAATTAGATATATATCAGGTCGCCCGAAGGGTTCATCGCACTCTAGGTGGGTCTGTTGGCATCTAAGCCCCTCTGTGGTCAAGCTGAATGTTTCATCGTGACCAAACCAGATCAAAGTACGTGGAAATCAACCGAGTTGAAAGAGACATGAGACGGATTAGAGTTCTGGCAGAGACAGACCAGTGAAGACGGGATTCACCAACCACAGCATTTGCCGGCTTGTTGATCCCCCGCGACTTGCCCCGAGCTCCGTGTGATGAATCCACTCCTTATCTCTCCCTTGAATGCCGTCTGGCAGGCGACTCGTAGGATGCGGCTTGTTGGCCAGTCGTGTCAAGACTCAGGAGGACCTACCGAGATCCCAGCTTGTCCCATCGTTCCACCTCGACTAAGCAACTAACCCAAGTTTGACAAAGCGGACGGCTTGTTGACCGCTAGACGCAAACTCTTTTAATCTTTCTCCAAAGACCGTATCGACTATCTCTTCATTTCTTCATTTTGCACTGTCATTTACATTGAACCGAATGAAAATATGCGACTCAATTTCAGTCAACCCCCTACGCCGGCGCTGAGCCGTCAAAACACAACTTTTCTCGCCAATGCCAATCATTATCGCTCCGGGACGCACCCACATCTGCTGACGAGTCGAAGCAAGCCTCGAAGGTAAATGACCTCAACTATTCCATCAGGTAATACTATAGCATAAAACTAAATGTGCTGATAGATGGCCTTTGGTGTTTCGATTCATAAAAGGAGCCATCCATGCGGCCATTTTGCTGCCTGTCTTCTTACACGCCGCATTCACGGCCTTTGTTGTCTGGCTTGACCAATGCGTCTTTGATACTGTTGGACTGCCAAGCAGTATTGTAGGTGTCCTTCAGGTGGTGTGTTATGATGCATTCAATCTGATCATGCAACCGTAGATCCCCTCCTTGTCTATCGTCGTGGGTTTGATGCTCGTTTTCCGAAACCAGACTTCTTACAACAGGTTCTGGGATGGCCGTAACGGAATGAACACGATCTACACGTGCATTCGAAACCTCGTTAGAACTATCGTCACGAATGGTTACAGCACTGCCGGTCCTCCCACTGCTGCAGAAAAGGAGGATATCGAGCGGACGATCCGAATCCTCTTGGCGATTCCCTTCGCAGTCAAAAATCACCTTCGCGCTGAGTGGGGAGCAGCCTGGGCTTTGGGAAGTGATGTAGCCGAGAATGGTGTCGCGGCATTCAATCCGGACTATGCAAGTCTACTTCCAGCTGGACTGGTGGGCCACGAGGATGAGGGGCTGGGGTTGCCGTTTCAACTGACCTTCTTCGTGGACGGGTTCATCAAGCGAGGAGTGGAGCGTGGCTGGTTCAATGCTCCCGGGGCAAGTCAAATGCAGGCTCAGTTGAATGCTTTGACAGATGCCTATGGGAGGATGGAGACGATCAAACTGACCCCTATGCCGGTTGCGCATCTGTAAGTGTATCTTCTTTGCCAATACTAGCGTTCGCTCTATATTGCCCCCTGACTATTCTCACGCGAGCTCACATTTCCAAGGATTCACCAAAAGCAAGTTCTCGCCCTTTTTGGCTGTATCTTACCCTTCGGCATGGTCGACGATATGGGATGGTGGACCGTTCCCATGGTCAGTCTTGTTATCTTCACCCTGTATGGCATTGAAGGCATCGGTTCCCAACTGGAAGACCCCTTTGGATACGACCGCAATGACATCAAGATGGACGCCATCGTCGGCGACGCCAAAACCGAAATTGAAGTTGTATTGGCCGAATGGCGAAGACTGATGGCATCACTCGAGTCGGGCTCGGGAACGGAGCATGGCGATCAAAATGGCAACGGGCTGATTTCGACCGAGGTCAAGGAGGGCAAATTTATGCAGCCTGACATGTTCCTGAAGAATCGGGCGAGAGCATCAGGCCGATAAGTAGACATATTTGCTTGTTTTGTCGCAGAAACTGGACGCAGTGGAGACTCATCAGCGTGAAAAGGTGGAGACGTCGCAGATCTAGCTCCGCTAACAAAGGACTATGGCATTAGGACATCTCGGTTACAGAGATCGACGAGCCATCAACCTGTCAAGCACTCGGGCGATTTATTAGAGAATTCCCTCATCGCGATCGTCAGGGGATATCTCCATATCGCCAGTCGGATCATTGTTCGGCCAATCGTGTGCCGTCGACATATCGAGTCTGTAGTATTTTCTTTTCTTTTCTTCTCTTCTCTTTTCTTTTCTTTTCTTTTCTTTTTTTTTTTGCGTGTGTGAATAGCTCTCCTTCCTTTACATACTTGCGATATCATGAACATATAAGCCGCTTTAGTTCCTCTAAATCCCTCCTACCATTTCCGCAAGTCAATCAATTCGTCTAACTACAATCTCCATCTCCACCTCCTTTTAACCACAATGAACCTCCTCCCAATACTCCTGCTCTACCTCACCACCCTCCTTCCCTTCACAACCGCCTTATCCCCCACCACTCTCCAAAACTGCCACACCCTCGAGCGCCTCAACAATACCATCCAGCGCGTATCCCCCCTCCTCGATAGACTCAGCACCCCCGCATCAACAAACAACCTCCACTCCATTAAAGCCCTTCTCGCGTCATCCCACGAAAAAGTCCACAGCCGGTTAAGCAACTGTTCAGATGCATCTGTATCTATGCCTACGAGGAGCGCGTTAGAGCAGAACGCAAAAAGAGCTGATGACGGGGAGTGCAGTTTGATTGACGTGTTAGATCAATTGGTGGATACTCTCGAATGCGTGGTTAGTTTTGCGACGGGTTTGTTGGGGACGATTCTAGATGGGGTTTTTGGTCTTTTGGAGGGGGTTGTTAGGGTTGTTGAGAGGTTGTTGGATTAATATTTTATGACTCTGTGGCGGGGATGGGGATGGGATTGTGTGGGTGGATTGTCTGAGTTCTATCCGTGTATATAAAGTTGTTTGGATTGTTGATATGCTTTTATGTGATAGAAATGTTGTTACAGGGGCGCCTCCAGCGTAAGTACGCCGTCTAATATAGAATCCGGATTCGCGTACTCCAGCACCTGTGACACGGCTATTAGATCGCTTCCGTACTGCAGGCTTCGATCTTCCTCGGGCTTGGCCACGATGATCCGATGTCGGAAAACTTTCTTTGCTGCTAGAGCGACAATCGAGGGCGTGAGATAGTCGATTCCGTGTAATACGGCGAGGAGACTAACACGTCACGTCAGTTACTGTTATGGCTTAACATGGTAAGATAGACTCACGTCGAGAACAACTTGAAATGTAGATTCGACCGCGTAGATATACCCCCCGACACTGCGCGACTGAGTCGAAGAAACACGACAATGTCTTGTTGATACCGGGTTATATCGGCGCCTACACTCACCGAGTTGCTTAATCGGTGCAGTTTGTCGAGGAGCTGGTAGTGTTAGTAGAGATTAAGGAGGCTTGGGGGAGAGGGGAAAAGCTACCGTGCGGTCGATATTCGGATGGCTTTTCTTCATCTGAGCATCTGTTTTGTGGATGACGGATGAGGCGGACATTTGTCCGTCGGATAGCCAGTCATTGGTGTCTTCTAGGTAGACGTAGCCGTCGGGGGTGTCATGGAAGTGGGAGATGAAGATATAGTCGTTCTGGTGATGGATTAGTGCCGCTGGTCGTATTGGCTGGGGGCATTAGGATATACTAAATGAGGGTTCAATGGTTGGTCCTGCTCTGTGTCGCGCACTATCAGGGGTAGGAATATGAAAGTGGCTGGTGCTTCCAAGATTCCCGCTTGAGTGGTGAGTTGCTTCGAGTGCATTAACTGTGAAAGGTGATCAATACTACTGCTTGCTACTTCCATGCATTCATGCTAACCTCGAGAGCTTCACGCTGTATGTTGTCGTTCACATGGTTGAAGTTCTTAGCGATCACGACGTTGACGACCTGCTTATGCTGCAAGGTACTTGATCCGAAGCGACCTTTGAGATCTCGGAAATCATGAAATGAGGATATCGTCCCGGACTTGTATTGTTAACTGGATCATATCGTTGAGTAGGAGATCAGCAGGGGACATACAGACGCGGTGGTCATCCGGGAGCGCGAAGGACGGACATTGCTGCTCCGGTGAGCCTCGGGAGGGAGTAACTCGGCGCAAAAGTCATCAAAGGACGTAGCACTGGAGCAGTCCAATATACTGTAGGAGAGGCCGAATGTGTTGGTGCATATCTGGACTGTCAGTAGTGTTGAGGACGATGTCCCGGGATCCAAAATACCAGGGCGAGCTCCTTTGCGACGTCATGGATGTTAGCCTCGGTAGTGTCAATACGGCAGTGTTCGTGGACCGCGAGACAGAGAAAGAGAGCGACTTCAAGATCCGACAGTTCCAGGGCGAGACCAGAAATCTCCGCGTTATCCTCCATCGTCGTCCCCTGCATCAATAACAGTCATGGTGGCCCCTGGTGTGTGCCTGGCTGCCACTAAGAGCATTGAAACGGGAGCGCAATACATGGCCGGGCCACCTCAGGCACTAACGCCCCAATGCGGTTAGTGCCGGCGATGGTCCGCAGGTGAGCTGGAGCTTCCCGATAGACAACTTGCGCCAGGAGGGTCTCATCCCAGCTTTGTCTCCATCGCTTGGTTTCACCTCCATCTGTGCAGGTCATTATTGCTAGGTGGAAATGGCGCCATCTAACCCCCTGGCCAATTGGGAGAGACTCGGAGATAGCTTCTATCGGAAAGTCCCTATATACGATGCTATCTTCGACGATGATGTCGAATTAGAGAACTACATCATCGCTGGCGCTCCCTACGGAGGGGCTATTGGTGAGCGCTATAGCTTCTATCCAGTACTTGGCCTTATATGTACTAATATCGCTGCGCAGCACTGCACCGCGATGAGAGTAAGCCGTACAGATTCCGCGATGCCCAGACCGCCAAATCGAGCATCGACATTTACTCGTCCTCGGGGAAGCTCATCAACCGGCTCAATGTCAGTCTGCTACGTTGACTGTGTGATTACTAGCTGACAAACAGTAGTGGGAATATGGCACGATTCGTGGGCTCGGCTGGTCCGACAAGGAAGAACTCTTGGTAATCACAGAAGACGGCACCGTCAGGCGCTATTTCGGCCTTTATGGCGATTTCACATCCTTTTCTTTAGGAAATGTAAGCCCTTCAACCAGACTTGTTGGGCTGAAATTAACATCCGCAGGGAGCAGAAGACTACGGCGTGAGGGCCTGTCGATTCTGGACCTCCGGCTTTGTCGCTTTGCTTTCAAACAATCAGTTGGTTGCAGTGTCGAACTATGACGAGCCGAGGCCTAAGCTTCTAGCCCCTTGTCCGGAAGGAGAGGTCTCGTCATGGTCGCTAATACCTCCAGCTTATACGTTGTCTCGTTCAGTCGAGGTGTTGCTCTCCGTCGACAAGACCATTTACTTGGTCGACCCGACGGAAGCGGAAGATAAAGTTCTTCAGAACGGGCCTTTCAAGCATGCAAGTGTGTCACCAACCGGAAGATTTGTTGCGCTCATTACTTCGGAAGGAAAAGTATGGGTAGTCAGCAGTGACTTTCAGAGCAAGTACAGCGAATATGACCCAGAGTCTCGAGTCACTCCGAGAACAGTCGACTGGTGCGGAGATGACGCCGTCGTTATCGCGTGGGAGGACGAGGTACATCTCATTGGGCCTAACGGCGTTGCGGCGAGATATTACTACGATGGCACTGTCCATGTCGTGCCAGAGTTTGACGGCGTGCGTCTGATCACCAACGATACCTGCGAATTCTTACACAAAGTTGTTGGTGAGTACTTGTATCAAGCTTAAAGTCAAACCCTAACGGCCTACAAGATGAAACCGAGGCGATCTTCCGACTTGGGTCTACGTCACCTGCCTCAGTTCTCCTGGACTCTATAGACCTATTGGAGAAGAAGTCGCCTAAAGCCGACGAGAACATCCAACGTATCCGACCAAGCTTGCCAGAGGCGGTGGATACATGTGTCAAAGCTGCTGGTCATGAATTTGATGCATATTGGCAGAAGCGCTTGCTGAAGGCGGCCTCCTTCGGGAAATCCGTCCTGGATTTGTATAACAGCGATGAATTTGTCGAAATGACCGAGAAGCTTCGAGTGCTGAAAGCAGTGAGGGACTATCAGATAGGACTGCCACTTTCCTACGAACAATATATGCGCCTCACGCCCGAGAGACTTATTGAGCGCTTGGTGAACAGGCGCGAATATTTCCTTGCTATCCGCATCTCCGAGTATCTCGAACTTCCTGCCGATAGGATATACGTTCACTGGGCAAGCCAGAAGGTCAAAGTTTCCACAGTGGACGATGAAGCGGTCTGCAAGCTCATCGTCCAGCGACTAGAAGGCAAACCGGGAATCTCATTCGAGTTGATCGCGCAAACCGCTTACGATGAGGGGCGTGCTCCTCTAGCGACCCAGCTTCTGAACCACGAACCACGGGCTGGGAAGCAGGTACCATTGCTACTAAATATGGAAGAAGACGAGATCGCCCTGGATAAGGCCATCGAAAGCGGAGACGTTGACCTAGTGAACTACGTCCTTTTGCACCTGAAGACTAAGCTTCCCCTCTCCAGTTTCTTCCGGACAATCAATACTCGTCCCATGGCATCCGCTCTGGTGGAGACAACTGCTCGGGGACAGGACACGGAGTTGCTCAAGGACCTTTTCTACCAGGATGATCGGCCTATTGATGGTTCGAATGTCCTCCTCGCAGAGGCGTTGGATCAGACCAACTTGCCGACTAAGACGGAAAAGCTCCAGCTTGCATCGCGTCTATTATCGGACTCGAAAGATCCATCGGTTGTGTTACAGCAAAAACTACTTTCCGAAGCATCACAGCTGCTAAAGGTCCAGGAGGCCCTTGATAAAGACCTCGCAGACCGGACGGAATTTCTGGGCCTAAGCTTGAACGAAACTGTCTACAGATTGATCCGATCGGGCTACGGCAAAAGAGCGCAGAAGATACAGAGCGAGTTCAAAATGCCAGAGAAAACATTCTGGTGGTTGAGATTAAGGGCCTTGGTGGCGAAGCGCGACTGGGGTGAGTTGGAAGAAATCGGAAAGAACAAGAAGTCCCCGATAGGATGGGAGGTAAGTTGCCAACGACCCCAGGCTATGCGCCCGCGTGCTCACGGATAAATAACAGCCATTTTATAACGAGATTCTGGGTGCCGGAAACACCAAGCTTGCTTCCTTATTTGTCCCCAAATGCACCAATCTGTCAGCGGATGACAAGATGGAAATGTGGGTCAAATGTGGGATGATTGTAAAAGCCGGCGAAGAAGCCTTCCGGGCAAAGAACGTCAACGCCCTTGAGCTCCTCCAGGCGAGGGCTTCGGGACCAGCCGCCGCTGAGATTGATCGGATGATCAACCAGCTCAGACCAAGGAAATAGATGGCTGGCACAACCTTGGCGGTATTCCCCTTGCAAAACTGTCGTCCACGCATCAGGTGATAACGTCGTCCACGTCAATGTCTGCATGTTCATCCACGACGGGAGTCTGGACAACGGCGGCCGGCTTCAACACTCGTTTCGCTGGTTTAGAAGGTGCCGCATCGTCCATCATGTCATCATCCATGTTATCCTCGGCCTCGTCGTTGAGGGCTTCAAACACCGTCTTCGCTTTGCGGTTCGTATCCTCCCAGTCAGCCTAGACGCATGCTCGTCAAAAAACTTGTCCCATTGTAATGAGTAAGGACTTGCGCTCATACCCTACGGTTCTTGATAGCCTTGGCTCGGCCAGCACTCTTGGTGACCTTCTTTTCCAGCTGATCAACCACCGCCTCTGCTCTTTCCACGCCCTTCTGTTGTCTTAAGCGCTGTGCTCTGGTTTTGGCCTTGCTCTTTGATTGCTTCTTCGTGATGCCCGAATTTGCGCGTTCCGAGAGAATCGACTCCCGTTGTACTGTAGTTTCCTGAGCCCGCGGCAGAGTGGTGATGGACTTATCGACATCGAGACTCGGCGACGCTGCCCGCCTCGCAGCGCGGGAGTGCTTTGACTGGGCTGGTGAGGGCACGTAATGTTAGCATGGAAACCGCATATCGTATTGTCCGATCCGAATCGCACTACTCACGTCTAGATTTCGCCATGATAGATGCCGGGAAAACAGAGCTTAACTGTATGCCCGCAGTTGAACAATTTGTTGTGGAGACGGCCTATCGATAAAAGTTTTCCGGGTGGCGGTAGGAGCCCAAAGCGCACCGGGCGGTTGCTTCTTCGGCGGCGAAGCAGCGGCGGTCGTCGATCCATTCCGTCACCTCGCCAGGGCCTCTTCCTCAGGACTGCCGACCTCGCCAAGTGATGTCCACTTCCCTCGTCCCTATGCCTTGGTCGTTTTCTCTTCCCCATCAGCCATGAACGCTCGCAGAGAGGGGATTGACTTCCTCACTCAGAATCCCTTCAGCGTGCAGTACAGCAACTATGAAAAAGTACTGCAGCACCTGCAGGACAACCCCAGCCTAGTCGCCTATATTTTCATCACAGTGATCACTGTATACCTCGGGCTAAGGTACTTGGGGCTAGTGTCGTTGTCGTTGGCTCGGGTCATCTGGAATATAGTTGTTTACTTAGCACCTTCACGATTAGTCGCCGCCCTGGATTCCAAGGCACCGAAGTCCGATACTGCCGACGAAAATCCTCTTTCGATGACTTTCGAAGCCAAGAGCGAAGCGATGCGACGGGTCTTTGGCTTAGATGACAGCGCGTTCTCCCTCCTTCCTCGCGCCCCGGCGTTCTCAGGCTTCGGCACTTCCTTACTGAGCAGCAAGAACAACGTACCGCCTGGTCTTGGAAATTGGGATAATTCATGTTACCAGAATAGTATCATCCAGGGACTGGCATCACTCCAGTCGTTGGAGGCTTTCTTGGAGCGGAATGTTGATCAGCTGGGACAAAAGGTCCTTCTTTCCACGCATCAAGCCTTGAGGGATATTATCGAGCGGCTGAACAGCGCGGAAAATTATGGCCAGCGTCTCTGGACTCCGGCAGATCTCAAGTCTATGAGCAGTTGGCAGCAGCAGGATGCACAGGAATACTTTTCGAAGGTTGTTGATCAGTTGGATCTCGAGGTGCAGCAGGCGACTCGGCGTCACACTCGCAACTTGGGCCTGAAGATGGCAGGACCGCGGGAACATGTTATTGGGTCTGGCTTAGTGCAGGAGGTGTCCGGGAATGATGCTCCCGAGCCACAAACAACCGGAAACCAGATTTTTCGAAATCCGTTGGAAGGCCTCCTTGCACAGAGAGTGGGCTGTATTCAATGTGGTTGGACGGAGGGTCTTTCTCTTATCCCATTCAACTGCTTGACTGTGCCGCTGGGGCCGAAGTTTGAATACGATATCCGAGAATGCCTGCATCACTACATGCATCTAGAGCCTATTGAAGGGGTGGAATGTGCAAAGTGCACCTTGTTGCGTGCGCAGGCCCAGCTGGTGAATCTCCTAAAGCAGCTTGATGATGATGAGGAGACTCCGAATGCAACCACCGATTCGCCCAAGATATCGAATGCACTTCGGAGCTCGGCGCAAGAGCGCTTACAGGCCGTTGAGCAAGCCCTGACGGAGGAGGATTTTGCGGAAAAGACGCTTTCCGAGAAGTGCCATATTCCTGGAAAGAGTAGGGTGTCGACAACAAAATCGCGACAGGCCGTCATTGCTCGACCCCCCGAATGCCTTGTCATCCACGTCAACCGCAGTCTGTTCGACGAAACTACGGGAATGCTTCGGAAGAATTACGCCGCTGTCAAGTTTCCGAAGGCTCTTGACTTGAACCAATGGTCTCTCGGAGGGATTCCCGATAATGGAAACGAACAAGACCTAGAAGGTTGGGAAACCAATCCCAGTGTGTCGATGCTTTCGCACGTAGGAAGAGGCGTGAATATAGACCGCCACTATGAATTGCGAGCTGTGATCACCCACTATGGCCGCCATGAGAACGGACATTACATCTGTTACAGAAAGTATTCCACGGAGACGTTTCCGGCTCACGTCCCAGATGCAGTCATGGAGGCAGATGGTGACGAGGAACAGTCTCAGCGATGGTACAGGTTAAGTGATGAGGACGTGCAGATGGTCAGCGAAGCAAGCGTCATGTCTCAGGGCGGTGCTTTCATGCTATTCTACGAAGCTACTGATTACTCCCCCGAGGCTGCGGAGGAAGTCAACTATGGTCTATTGGAAGAGGAAAGCTCGGCGTCGACCTCTAACTTCACGCTGTCGGAGAATATGTCGACGACCTCTGCCACAGCAGAATCCACCTCGGATGTATCGGAGGCGACCAGCATTCCAGCTACAGTGAAAGTCGAACCTTGCGGCGAAAAGCCCCTGCTCATGTCCGATGTTGACTGATACCATCACGAATTGCCTCATCAGCCGACGAACCTTACCGCCAGATTGTGTATATCAGCATTTATGATACCCCGAGTGCGACTCATTAGAAGGCGTTTACATTTCTTAGCTCTTTGCTCTACGCACCGCTTATCTGGTCTGTATCCTTGGATACTGGACAGGACATCATTTGTATAACATTGCATTGCATGTACTTGTTTTGCTCCCAGCTAAAGCAGCATACCATCGCTATGTACTCAATAACCGACTCATTTATACCACCATCCCTACCCCACGTAACACCGATAAAGAGACCCAACCAACGCCCGCTAAAAGCCATGAACCCAACCCAACCCTAGGCTCAAAACACCCCAGCCCGTTGCATAACCTCATGAAACTGCTCCAACGTAACTCCCGCATTCACCCCAGCACCCCCATTCGCCTCCAAAATCATATCCTTCAACAACTCATCTCCCAGTCCATCCTCCTTCAACTCCCGCGCAATCCGCCTCAAATGATTGAATGTAATCAATCCCCCGGACCCCTTCGTAAACAACCGATACGCTGCATCCACCTCCGCCGACATGGCCTCCTCCGACCTCGACCTTAACTTCGCCGCCGCAACCGTCAAAAAAGGCCCGTACGGGACGTACCCCGTGTCTGTTGGATCGACTGCTTCGAGTATGGAGTGGAGTTCTTCCGATGAGGAGGGTTCGAGGCCCATTGCTCTATCACCACCATCAGTACCGTGCAGTTAGCTACTGTGCGCATGGATGGGTGGTGAGTGGGTTGGGAGGAGGGTAGTGAGGGGAAACATACACCAAAGCCTTCCGCACATCTTCTCTAGGAATCACGCCCTCTTTCTCATCTGGGAATTCATTATTTGGTTCCGTGAACAGGTGAAAGACTTCTTTGATTTCGGTTTCTTCTTCGGCGCTGATGTCGTTTTCTTTGGCGAGTTTGGATTGTCGCGCTCGGGGGCGTTTGGGGGTTGGGTGGAGGTGGTGGGGGTTGTTGTTGCGGTGCGCTTTTTGGGGGGCTGGATTATTGGTTTGGGGTTAATTATTTGGGTTATCATGGGGTTGGGGGATGCGATGACTTACCATGGTGTTTGAGGTGGGTGTTCTTGGTGAGTTGAGTCGAGTCGAGTCGCAAACCGGATGATGATGTCAAGGGAGGAGGGGACGGAAGTGGCTGGAGATCAGACGCGGGGATGAGCGAGCCATTGGCAGGTGGACGGGTTTGAATGGGGTTGAAGAGTCGCGCGGTTCACATCGCACAATAGTCCCTGGTAGGAAGGACTGGGAGGGAATAGTAGATGGGATGTAGTGAGATGAACAGGAGGGTTCCATTGTCTTCGATTGCGATGGCGGCGGCGGCCTGCTGACGTAACCGGGGGATGCCTTGTCGCCGTCGCTTCTCATAAATCAGTTGGCCAGTTTTCTCGGCTGATAGCATTTGTTCTGCAAATCTTGCTTCAGTCGTCGTCATGGATGTCGAGCTGTATGTCTATGACCTGTCCAAGGTATACCTCTGGTGTGGTGATACAATGAACTCGGGCTAATGCTGAACAGGGTCTTGCGCGGATGGTATGACACGCTTCTGCTTGCTGCTGCTGCTGCTGCTGCTGCCTCTGCCTCTGCCTGTCTAATGCCGTCTAGTATTCCCTGGCTCTGACAGGAACCCAAATAGATGCCATCTACCACACGTCGCTGGTGCTGAACGGCGTCGAGTATTACTTTGGCCAAGGCATCCAGACGGCCATCCCCGGCAGCACCCATCATGGCCAGCCCATGGAGAAGTTGCATCTGGGCAAGACCGAGTTGCCCATGGATGTGATCGAAGAGTACATCCAGTCCCTGGCGGAGATCTACACCCCTGAGGTATGTCGGATGTGCCCTCTACTAGACCCAGAGGTCTAAACGACAGCCAGTCTTACGACCTCTTCCTGCACAACTGCAACAACTTCACGCAGGACTTGGCCATGTTTACGCTTGGCAAAGGGATCCCCGAGCACATTCAAAACCTGCCGCAGACCTTCCTGAGCACCCCCTTCGGTCAAATGATGAAGCCCCAGATCGAAATGGCCCTGCGTGGTGTAACCCAAGGCCCTGCCACCAGCGCACCAACCGCCCCTGCACAACCTGCGCAACCTGCCCCGGTTACTCAAGGCGCGGTGCGAATCGCAAGCAACCTCGCCCAGCTCGAACAATCCCTCGCTGCCGCGTCCGACTCATGCGCCGTCATCTTCTTCACCTCGGCCACCTGCCCGCCCTGCAAAATGGTCTACCCTACGTACGACGAACTCGCCCAAGAGGCCGGCGCCAAAGCCGTCCTCATCAAAGTCGACATCAGCACCGCCATGGACGTTAGCATGAAATTCAGCGTCCGGGCCACCCCAACGTTCATGACCTTTCTCAAGGGCCAGAAGCTTGACGAATGGACCGGCGCCAATCCATCCCAACTCCGCGGCAACGTCCGTTTGCTCCTCGAGATGGCCCATCCTCCCCATCGCCACCAACAACTCCGTCTGCCCAGTCTTCAACGTCCGATCACCAATTATGTCACGTACAAGAAGGTCCCTCCTCTCGACAAGCTCGTCCAGAAACTACACCCTCACCACGAAGATCCAGCCCTCCTCGCCATCATTGCCTTCTTGAACCAACGCACCTCCGCCCCAGCAGCAGATATTCCTTTACCCGACAGCCTCCCTTCTTTTGCCAAGTATCTCCAAACCACCTCGCGTTCCCTTCCCTTGGAGAACCAATTTGCCTTGGTCGATCTGACCCGACTCCTCTTCCTTGACCCCCGGGTATCCGGCTACTTCGCCGAGGAGTCTAATCATGAGACCCTTCTCACCATTCTAGCTCCATCCAACTCCCTCTCCACCTGTCCCTACAACCTCCGCATCGTGATGCTCCAGCTCTGCTGCACCCTCTTCACAACCCCGCTCTACCGAGACCAACTCACCTCCTCATCTCCACCCTCCCATTCTGCCAAGACACTTCTCCAAACGCTCCTCCATCTAACTACCTCCTCCCTCCTCGACTCGCACACCAACCTCCGTGTCGTCGCCGCCTCTTTGGCCTACAACCTCTCCGCGCACAACCACAACGCCCGTTTCGCCGGCCACCGCGACCCCCTCACCGAAGAAGACCAGGTCGAACTGACCGCGTCGCTCGTCGAAGCCATCACCCAGGAAGAAGAGTCTCAGGAAGCCCTACACGGCCTGCTCTTCGCACTGGGGCTTCTCATCTACGAGTCTGCCCCGGACAGCGCGGTGGTAGATCTATGCAACGCCATGGGGATCGCAGAGACGGTTGTAGCCAAGAAGAACGTGGAAGCTGTATCCAAGGAGACGTTGATCCGGGAGATTGGAGAGGAATTGTTAATGAAGGGGTTGTAGATGACCTTACCTCCACTCCACTCAACTCACATCTTATACATGGTTATATGATTACATAGATAGATTTGATTGCAGATGTACTAATCTAGCCTTAACTCACCTTCTAACCCAGGACTTGCTTTTTTCACCATCTACTATTTAATCAAGCTACCTCCCTCCCCCCCCTCCTTTCTCCATCCATCCATCCATTCCATCTTCTCCCCCCCCCTCCCCATCCAATACACACACACACACACACACACACACACACACACACACACACACACACATACCAAGCCAGAGCCAGAAACAAAAGACACATAAACCAACCGACCCATTCCCACCTCCCAACCTAACCCAGTCCAGTCCAGTCCAGTCCAGTTCATTCCAGTTCATTCCAGTTCATTCCAGTTCATTCCAACCCCTCTCATTTCATCTCATCTCATCCCATTCCTTTTTCTCTTCTCTTCTCTTCTCTTCCCTTCCCTTCCCCTCACCACCCCCATAATCTAATCTAGTCCTGTCTAGTCTAACCCAACACACCCCCCGAGGGGAAACCTAACTATCGACTCATTACTTATTCCCCATCTCCGGACCACGACTAACTAGGTACATACACATGTACATGCCCAGATAGGTAGGTAGGTAATAAGCACTACATCATCTTACGTGAGTGGCTGCCTGACTGTACATACATACATGAATGTACGTGCTAAGTAGGGTTGTAGTCCGGGAATGTCCGTGCTGATTCAGATCCAAATCCGGATTTAGATTATCGTTGATATTGAGTTTACGGAGTAGTTTGGACCGAAGTCTGGATGGATGGAGTGTGGAGTACGGAGTACGGGGACGGAGTTCTCCATGGGGTATATTAGCAAACTTACGATCTTACTATCTTACTATTTACATATGGGGTAAATGGATGGGTGATGGGGGGTGGATCGGGAATGTCCGTGTATTCCCTGTCTACTATAGTGCTGATGATGGTGTTTGGATAGTTCGTGGTGATGGATGTGGCTGTCTGCTCTACGGGAGGTTATTGATTATCTATCTACTAAGACGGATGAATGGATGGTGGATATGATTCGGAAATGTCCGTGAGTATTATGGTAGTTGAATATTATGTAAATGAAGATTATGTAGGTGAAGATTATGTAGGTAGAGGGTATGTGCCACATGAATTCAGCGCTATCATTCACATGAGGGTGAAAACGAAAAGAAATCAACCAAACCATCGCTGCAGAATCCTGGGTATGTCGCTGAGCTATGCAAATGCAATCAATCCATCTAAAGTAACGCGGGAGCTGTTCGGTGTAACATGCTCGGGGTATGAGAATGAAGGGAAACAAGGAAACAAGGAAAAACACCATGACATACATACAAGACGGGGTATCTGAACGTCCGACGCTGAAAAAGGGGCAATAATTCGATCGCAAACCGCGAGAAAAGGAAAAAGAAAAAGAAAAGAAAAGAAAAGTGAGGGCCTGTCTTCCCGAAATGGTAAAAGGAATCCCCCAACCTGAACACCAGCGCGACAACGCATGAAACGACGACATTAAGACGGGAATAATAATTAGTAAAAGGGAAATGGAAAGGGAAGAAACCGGAGAAAGCAGCGACAAAGCAAGGAAACGGAGCGACGGGCGAGTATCCAAGCGCGTGCCATGACCCCGAGGGGAGAGAGAGAGTCGTGAGTCACCGTCACCGTCAGTGTCAGTCACCGGCACTGTCCATCCACCCCCCAAAGGCCCTGACAATGGCGGTGAACCCGTGAAGAATGATAGGCTCAGCGCCAACGATCGAGCCCTGTCAAGGAAATCCAGCAATTTCCAGCAATGCGCCGACTGCGACCCGGAAATTAGGTAATCAGGCCGCCAGCCTCGGGCACCAAATCACAGGCGATTGAGGAGAACTCCGGCCTGCCAATTCCGCCCCGGCAACCGCGCGTAACCTTCCCCTCAGCCAACCACTGCACGTGCGCCCTCCTCTGGCGTCATGGCCTGCTTCGAGAATGCCCGAAGGCCGCGCGCCCGTGTGATGTTCCAGCTCCCAGCTCCCAGCTCCGTAGCGTGTGTCATGGTTCGTGGGGTGTCTGACTGCTGTGGCTCAGTTCGGCGACCACAGTGGCAGCCTCCCCTCCCCAGGAAAAAGAAAAAGGGCGAGAAAATGAGATGGAAAAAGAAAACAACCGGATAGGCGTGTTGCCTGCATCTGGCAAGCAGGAGAGCTGGAATCGATCGATGCCGATCATTCGACAGCCCTAATCTCCGGTAAAATAGAACAAAAATGGTGGCGTGGGGTGACGAATCCGTGGGGTATCATGACATGCGCAAGATTGGTTTGACGTGCTGGTGTTACAGTCGACCGGGGTAAAGTAAAAAAATAAAAGAAGTAAACAAGAAACAAGAGAATTCTGCTCGCTCTTAGGCGCGACAGACCGTGGCCTTGGAAGCTGAGGCGGTCCGACGTTTCCTTTCGGGGACGGCCTTGCGCTTCTTGCGCTTTGCGTTCTCGCGCTCTGCCGCTGCCAGCTGTGCAACCCGCATGGCCTGCTGTGCTCTCGCATGGGCCTGCACCTGAGCCAGGAAACGCGCGCGCTGCGCTTCTTCTTCCGCTGCGGCGCGAATCATCTGGATCTGCTGCTCGGTCGTCAGGTCACCATCTCCCATGGTTGGGTCATGGGCCGCGGATTCTTCGTCAATGGCGCTCTCCGAGGGGGATCCAGAACCCATGGGCAGAAGGTCTTCGTCGGAAAGATAGGCGCTGGCAGTGGAACTCTCCGAGTCGGCGCTCAATAGAGAAGGTCGGTTGGGCCAGGAGGGGAATGCGCACGAGTTGTTCATCTCATAACCGCTGGAGAAGGAACACTTGCGAGGAGTAATGTCGAGCAACGAGTCGGTAGGCGAAGGAGGTGGAGGGGGTGGCAGCGAAGTAGCAGAGCAGGAACTGCCAAAGCTGAAGCTGAAGGAGACATTCTGAGTGCTGGTGGTGGCTTCACTCAGAGAGGAGCGCACACTCGACTGGTTCTGACTCCAAGGGAGAAAGGGATACATGGTGACAGAGTGTATCTGTTGATCAAGTGTTGATCAAGGTGATTGTTTGAGAGAGACCACAAGTAGGTGAGAAGTGTTAGATGTAGTGAGTGGTGGAGAGTGTGGTGAGATTGAGTGTCGCGTCGAGAGCAACACAGGAGTATAAGTAGGAATGGTGGAGTAGTAGAGTGGAGGTGACAAGGATCGACGCGGTCTGGGTCTAGGTCTGGGTCTGGTCTGGGGGGAAAAGTGAAGAGGAGGGAGGAGGAAGGAGTAGATAAATAAGCTTGAGCTTGTGTGTTAATCACGGTAACCTCCAGATCAAATGGCGGAGAGCGGATGATGGCATGAATGTATAAATGGAAGAAGGGCCAGATCGATCGGGGAGGCGTCTGGACTCCCTTGCATCTCCCAACAGATAAGGCGTCGTGGAGAAGAAAGAGGGAGGGAACCAGGAGGAGGTGTGTGGAGGGGGGGGGGGGTTGGCAGCCACTCGTTGTTTTTCTTTTATTCCCTTTTATTTTTATTTCAGAAATAAAATAAAATAAAAACAGAATAAAATAAAAAGAATTCGATTAATCGGATTTTCGAATTTTCCCAAATTTGGCTGCAGGGTGTGAAGGGACGCCCCACTGGCGGCAACCAACAAAAATCCCAGAATGGCCAGTGACCAGTCGACAAAGCGGCCAGAATCAATTGGAATTTTCCGCGATGCTGGCCTGAAAGCAAAGCATCCACTGGCAACCCGGCGTGTCAAGCGCGGCGATCAGGCGGAAGGGGCGTTCCGGCAGCTGTACGATGGATGGATGAAGATATCCGGTGGACGAGAAAAGCAGGCCGGGCATACGTGGGGAGGTATGCCGGTGATGTCGGTGGTGTTGCTGAGGTATGAGGTATGTCAGGGAGGTCTTTTCAAATCCAGTTTCATGTCAAGGACTTGGATGGAAGTTGACGAGTCCAGTGCAATGTGCAATGTGCAGTGGGCAGTGGGCAATGGAGAAACGAACTCCTGGAACCGAGGGTGGATCGAAGGTACATTTATCTATAATTACGATGGGGAAATAATGGGATTTGATTATTATCTGACAGCCGACCCCGGTCGAGGGGCGTGGATCTATCGGGTTTCTTTTGTTCTTCTTCTTCCAATTTAATTCATTATTTAATTTATTCTTGGGCTGCTTTGGAGCACTCGTCCGGTCCGCGGGCCGGGGACCCTCGGATATGGGGGGTCAAGGCGTGGGGATCCATCCGGTGTGTCAAAGAATAATGAGTCAACTCCCTTTTTCTCATCTCCGGATTACTGTTTCTACTCCGTGTTGGTGATTCAGTCGGTGCAGTGAGTGCTGCGCATAAGTGATGGCTTCCACCGGTCGCACCCCGACCCCATTTCCACGACTCAGTCAACTCTAGTATACTCCGGACGAGGCTGACATGATACGAGTCTCCGTCGGTCATCCTCCTCGGAGGCTGACGAGATTAATCAGAAACATCGCCTCAACTAATTACTCCGTCTCCAAACGCGCCACCATTTACGACCGGCGGTTTCATCGCGCGTCCAACTGGGCTGTACATCTCACCCCGCCCTGTTGTCCTCGCTACGTAGCTACAGTGCCGTGCAAGTATCCGCGATATCCTCACCAAGCGCAGCGCGCGGACGAGTTTTGGGTTGTTGTGCAGGCGAGTAGTAAGTAGCAGGGTTATCTGTCGGTCAGTCCAACTGTTCGGTCAGGCCAACCTCGCCGCAGCTTCCCCTCCTCCCTGCAATTCCCTGCAATTCCCCATTTCGATTCCCGGGCAAATCATCAGCCCGTGACTTGACCGCTTCTGTGTTTGACATCTGGATGGATGTCGACTTGCATCCCCCCGCGGTCGCTATGCACGTATGTCTGTCTGTATGTATGTATGTATGTACATCTGGCGATAACGGTAGCAGGGAGTCTGAGGGTTTCAAACGCGTTTAGCCTTTCCCAAGTCACAACATCCTGGCGATGGTGGTGGTGGTCTGGCGGTCAGGCAGGCAAACACCCGGACGCCTCAACTGCTGCCGGGCATTGTTGGCAGCGGTTCGTTCTCAAGGCAAACAGAATGGATGGCTTTCTTTTGAGTCTGTTCTCAGCTCGTGCGGGACCCAGCCGCTGATAAAAAAACAAAAAGAAAATCCATGGTCGAACATGAAAAAGAAATGCCGGATCACTCGCAGAGGGTGGGTGTCGGTCGGTACCTAACCCATGCGCGGTATCCGCGGTGGGCCCCGGGTATTCCCTTATGCCTGCTTCAGTGCTTCACTGCTTACAGTGAGTGAGGTCAATATGTACTTGTAGTCAGGCTCATTGACAGACCTTGGCGTGGAGAGTCCAGAGTCCGGAGTAGATAGCGATTCTTCATTTCCACTTTTTAACCATGGAACCTCTCCAACACGGCCGGATCCGAGGCCGGATCCGCTGTCAAGGGTCACTTTCCGATCGGACGTGATGTTTTCCTGGAACCACCCATCATCCACAACTAAAAGGCTTCTGGTTCCCCGTCGGCCCCCGCGACCCACTGGTTCTGCCAAGTACCAAGATTCTTACCCCGGACTGCCCAGTAACACCAACTTCAAACCAACACCACCGAGATTACCCGTCGGGAGAATGAATGTTGAATAGAGTCAGATGTGCCCCCAACCTAACGGCCCCGTCAGCTGGGGGAGGCGAAGCGCCGGCTGAGTTCCGTTTCAGCCCGCGAACAATCTACCTACGGAGAGTCCAGGCGACTCGCTCGTGAAGCGGGATTTTACCGCTTTCGGATAACCGCAGGCCAGAGCAGAACGAGCAAAGAATTCCTCTTTGTGTGGACAACAAGCTAGTCGACGATCGCTGGTCGCCCGAGCGTCGAGAGGCGAATGCACGGTTAATCCGCGCGGGTGAGGGCCTGAGCCAGTTGGCCTAGACGGGATGGGCCTCGGCAGTGGGGGCTGTTGTTTTATCCCTTTGTCAGACTGCGACTGCTGTCAGAGTATCTATCTATAACGATGCATCTCTGACTACATGGACAGCGTGTTTCATCATGGATCACTGAATGAACGCCGAACAACAACGAGTCGATGCATCAGCTGGCATGCAGGTGTGTTGATGTGTGTAAGATATATATCAAACTGAGTGGATGGGATGCTCCATTCATTACCTACATTGTACATTGTAGTACTTTGTAGTGATCTAATTCTAGCTGCTTTGTGCTTGCATATGTACCCCTGGACTAGCAGCAGCGCCAGAGACCGTCCCTCACCAAAGTACCAGTCCAGCGGGTTTCAGTTCAGCTTCACCATCACAGTTCTTTGAACATCACGCGCAGCTGCCTATCCAAAATAGTAACGCTTTGACATCGGGCACATGCGCCATCACCAGCACTATTTGACGGGCTGGGATGGCTGATTGGCGTGATCAGGAGGACAATGAAACGGCCAACAAGAGTGACAGGATGTCGGTTGACGAGTAACGTAACACGGGTAATTGGAGCAGCCAGCCGGCCTCGGCAGCAAGTAGATACCCTCAGTAGTGGTCCAGGGCAAATGGCAAAGGTACCCGTCGACGCTCTAGACCGTCGGGGTTAATTTCCCCGGGGCCAGAGAAACCACCAGTCAGGGAATCAGATAGTGCTCGATCCACGATCAGTCACTCAATAGTGTGCCACTGGCCGAAGCCTTTCTTTCACCCGCGGGTTGCGGAACCTCCTCCGAGGGCCGGCGATCGAACCGCCGCGCTGGATTTCCCCACCGCTCGCCCGATCGGCGCGTCTTTTCACTGGGATTTGGACTTTTAATCTTTTGGGCAATTTTGGGTTCAGCAGGGATCGTCGCATCCCAATCGGGTAGGTTGCTGAGTACTAGTACCGTGTACACAGTAGATAAGTACTGGCAGTACTTCTTTTGCCCCCCTCGCAGTCTAAGACTCATCACTTCATTACCGTGTCTATCTATCACCTGGAGAACACGACGCGGGTACACCCGCGGAATCATACCCGGACTGGGGTTGGGGAATCAAATCATGGGGACTTTTGCCCCCTTTTTTTCTTTTCCTGTCCCAGGTTCTTCACGGGGAACCGTGAGCCAGGGAATGGCCGGACAGCTCCCCGGTGGCTGCAGTAGTTCGCTGCGGGTGGATGCACGTAAAGTACTGGGTACATTTGACCGCCCTGATGATACATCCAGTCTCTCTGACTGGTGCATCGTGTTGATGAGGAGGAGGAGGAGAAGGATGATGATGATGATGACGATGACGACGAACCCGCCCCTACTCCATACCTCTGCACATGTGCATTCCACCCCAGCTGGGACCGTTCTCTGCACACCTCGCGTCATTGATGGAGCGCCTACATACATTCCCCAAGGGCAGAAAGTACTCCGGGACTCCATATGGGGTACACCTACTTCCATCCCCACCGAGACACATCCGCGTCTGCAGCCAAAACATTCCAGACGGACATCGATTCCGATCGAGGCGATCTATCGACTGATTGGAGCCAGTTTCCCTGCTCGCGTTGTCCCATGATCCCGGATACCCTCCTGCATTTCCATCCACCCACAGCTCCTCATGCAAGGCATGCGACAGCTTACGTGGTAAATCAACCCCTCCATGGTGGTGCAAAGTAACCGCGACCTGCTCCGGGAAGCAGTGCGACTCGATCCCGTCCACCTTGCAACCTGCTGGATGGCGTCTGCAGGGACTGTCAACAGTTAATCCTACCTTCAAACAGCGGTGATTCACCGCTCCTCCGTTATTGGCTCTCATGCCATCGAGATGCGTCGTGTTTGCTAGCCCTTCGGTATAAGTGATGTATCCATTTTGGGGTAGGACTTTTGCATCCCCGACCGGGGAAGACCCATATGGATGAAACTTTGGAAGACACTAGAAACTTACCACTGGGGATCGGTTTGGACTCCTCACCACGACCCGCCACGGCCTTGCCCGGAGTTTAAGTCGCACTGGCTCGAGCATCTGGGGATGGACAGAGCACATACCATCCGGGGGACCACATTGCTGCACAACACCAGGACGGGGAATGGATCCAAGGCACGGATCGAGAAATAAGGTGTACTCCACGCAGCGGGTGTAGCAGACGGATGCCTGGCCGCGATTCCGGCTGCACTGGTTCCCGGTTTGGCAAGTAAAGCTACAAGGGAGAGTCCGGAGACAATCCCCGGGCGATCCTGATATCCATGGGAGATCCATCATATGTACGGGGTCGCATTTGGAATGTGTATATTTATACCGGCAGAATGAGGCGAGGTATGTGGCGTAGTCGACAGTGGCTTGTTACTGATCTCCATATAGACTACGATTGACACGACTCTACACAGTACAGAGTACAGTGTCCGTACATACACCAAGTACGGAGTAAATCTATCGATCAACTGACTATTATTCTCGCCACTGCGATCGGCAGCGCCGATACAGGTTGTGATTGTTGTTGTCAATATCTGTCATGACTGTCTGTCCATCTGACCGACCATGGGATGCGGTCGGTTTGTCTCAATAAGCTCACACATGGGTCGTCCTACCCGGAGGAGTAAACAATGGCATTATACTCCGTGCCGGGTACGAAATGAGGTTGGACAGTGCAACCTGGGTGTACTACGCTGACGGTTCCTCCGGATTTCGACCCCAGATGGGGAAGTCATGCAGCATCTACGGTCGCAGAGTCGTATTTTTATCATTGGAGCCTCATCTCATCCAAATCCATCATCTGTCAGAGCCTCCCTCGTCTTCCTCCCTCGTTTGCCTCACCTCGTAACGCCTCACCTGGGCTATGATGCTAGGGTTCCATCGGGTAGGATACTTCCACGGGGTCGGGGATTATTGGGTTTACGTGAACAGGGAGGGACACGTTTACCCCATATTATGAACTGAACTTGACAGCTATCAAGTTGGGGTTGCCAAGACGGTTTACTACTACTATCTCGGTTATATATAAAGTTGGACCATGGTAAATATGTAAATGCTGTCGGTGACTCCGGCACCAGCAATCTAGGTTTCTTCTTCCGAGGGACTGGAAAGGTAGATAAATATAGAATTTATCCTATACACAGTAGACTATCTATCCTACTGTAAAGTCAGCGATAAATATACCACCACATCCAATTACCATAATGATAATATAGAAATTGAAAAGAAAGACATTTATGTCTTGAAACAGCAATAAATCTCACTGCCGTTTACCGTCTAATTATTTCTATAAATGTAACTCATCCACCCATCCACCCCGGCCAACAGACACCGTGACGGTACGGTGAGTATGGTGTGGTGACACAACCGCTGTAAGTCATCACCACACCCACCTCCACTACCTCCACTATCGTCATCATCGTCATCATATTCCACTACTTCCAGGGAAATAGATAGATGATGGATAATCAGCCTCATTTTGTTTCTACACAGTATGTAGATAGAAAGAAATAAATTTAGAGGGGACGTTATTACCACCTTCCCCTAGACTCGGCCATCCCGTAGTGTACTGTATGCTATCTACATTCACATGGAGGGGTAAATGGGTACGTTTTTCTAACTTGGGATACCGTTAGCAAGAGGCCGAAAATGGCTCTATCATTTATCCCTGTTAATCAGCATTCATAACATCGCTTTAATTCAAGAAATTCCCGGCCACATGGACAAGCTTGCCCACATCCGCCGGCAATTCCAGTAAAGACAAAAGCGGCGAAGTGTGTTAAGTAAATAGTACGAGGCATTGGTATTCAAGCTAGTTGACGTACGCTGAGTACGTCATGTGATGTCCTTGCTGAGAATCAGTTATTCCGAGCCGAGCGAACGGTTCCCTTCCCCCTGAACTCGAGCCATCTCAAGGTATCTTCAGCGCAATTGTCCTCGCTATCACCCGCTTTTGGTAAAAAGGGACACTTTTAGATTTTTATGTGAAGGCAATGTACTGGAACTGATACCTGCTGGCGCAAATTTACCCACAGTACGAGTAGGAAAGGGTCTGAGACCGCCAGCATGTCAACGACTCTAGAACGTCGTCGCCTGCTGAAAGGGGAGATCACATACTCCGCTGCCAAAGAACGTGAAACCAATGTCTTACATACGTTAGGCTACTGGAATCAGCAAAATAATTTTCTTGGAGACTTACTCAAGAAGAGTAATCTTGTTGAAGCTACAGTCGCACACCACCTCGGTTTGAGATCGACAAGTTGTCACGTTGCCGACTCAAAGGAATGGCTCTCTGGAACTTTCAACGTTTGCATACCAGTTTACGTTGATGGGGTTAGAACATGTCCTAGCTTGTTAGTCCGTCTGCCATTGCCTTATAGAATTGGGGAGAAGTCCAACCAAGGAAATGCCGACGAAAAAGTTCTCTGCGAAGCGGGCACATATGCCTGGCTTCAACAAGACTGTCCGGAGGTTCCAGTCCCACGGCTTTACGGGTTTGGCTTGTCCACCGGCCAGAAGGTATGCTCTTGTCTCGCCGTGTCCTAGTTGACTATTAATAGTTAGTTCACTCCTCTTGATAGACTACCCTTCTTGGCTCGGGTTGTCGAAAACCTCCGCCGTTGCATATTGCGTTTTCTGGGATACCCAACTCCATCTGCCTATGTCCCCCACAAAAGCAGGTTGGGAGAATGCCTGGACGTTGGATATTTGTTGATTGAGTATATTGATAGGTCACGAGGAAAAATGTTGTCTGAATCGTGGGAGGAAGGTCGTCACAATCCTCAATTGCGTGGAAACCTCTTTCGCAGCTTATCGAGCATCATGCTCGCTGTAACACGCGTCCCACAACCGAAAATTGGCTCTTTCATCTTGGACGATCAAGGATTCCTCAGATTGCGAAACAGGCCGCTTACTCTTGAGATCCAAAGCCTGGAAAACGAGCAAATTTTTGTGGATATCCCTCGAGACCTTACATATTCAAGTGCTGATTCCTACGTTAACGATATACTCGCATTTCACGAGAGTCGCCTCAAGCATCAGCCTAATGCAGCCAACGATATCCAAGATTGTTTATTCCAGATGGTCGCGCTAACATTAATGAGAACTGTCCGACAATGTTTCTTCCGAGCAGAGCTTCGTTGCGGTCCTTTTTACATGAGCTTCACCGACCTACACCAAAGCAATATCTTTGTTGACGACAACTGGAATATTACATCCCTAGTTGATCTCGAATGGGCTTGCTCTCGTCCAGCTGAAATGGTTCATCCGCCGTACTGGTTGACAGGTCAGTCTGTCGATGAGATTGACCCTGCTGAGTATGAAAATCTACATGCAGAGTTTCTGTCGGTTCTCGCCGAAGAAGAACTCAAACATTCCTCTCCACGCAAATTGCATCTCCACCGCATCATGGAAGATGGCTGGATCAAAGGTACTTTCTGGTATGCACTTGCTCTCGATAGCCCGACAGGTCTTTTTCGGATTTTCTACGACCACATACAACCAAGGTTCTCGAAAGATCATATCGACAATGCGGCATTTTTCCGAATCATCATGGATTACTGGGAAGTTGGTGCACACAAATTCGTACACAAAAAAGTTCAGGACAAAAAGCAATACGACAAGCTTTTACTTGAGGCGTTCACCTCGTCTTCCTAGGTCTCACGCCTTCCACTCGCCTCCTGCTGAGTATCAGGGTTGCCACCACCACTCTGCTCACGTTCCTGAGCCTCGAGCTCTCTTGCAGCAATGTCAAGGGATGCCAAGGCATTTCTCATCCGTCTCTGCTGTGCATTTCGACCTGAGGATGAGAGTTGGTTGAGAGTTTTGGGATCGGCCTTGATGCCAACTTTCGCTTCTTCAATCGTAGCATTATAACTTGAGTCTGATCGACGATCACTCATTTTCGTTCTGGGTTCTACAAGATCAGGAGGATTAACAATCTCTTCTCTCATATTGAGTAATCAAACCTACGAGATACTGTAGTGGCCGTGTCTTAGGTACGGATTTGAAATAAATCCAAAAGATAAATCAATTGAACCAGCTAGATAATTGTACCTCCATGCGGGGTAGAATCAGCACGTCACTAAATAATCGCCAGCGGAGCGGGGTAATCTGAACTGTATCACTCTTCAATTATTCAGCTACAGCATGACGAAAAGAGCTCTATCTATGATTTCAATCTCATGATTATTCATGGCTACAACGACTTCTCAATCGAAGATCCAAAAAAAAGACTAGAAAATCCCCCATACTGTAACAAAACACGGCGGAACAGTCCCTACTGTCCGTGAGAACCAGCCCGGATAGATAGATACTGACTGACTGACTGACTCACTTCCTACGGAATAGATACCAGTTGGTTAATTGTAAGTAAGCAAAAATGCAGCCCAACGACCGTTTCAACCCACTCCAACCTTACTTTCATATGCAAGATAAAAATAATAATAATAATCATGATAAGGACTAGTAGATAATACGGATTGGGGCTGCTGAATCGGGTAGATCGGTTAGCACGGCATGAAATCATTATCATAATCATGTGGGATTACTTAGGTACAAGTCAGGTTCAGAGATGATGCTGATGGTAAGGTCGGGCGTGGGGGGTCACTCCCGTCGGCAATTTCAAAAAAAAAAAAATACTATGAATAATAATAATAATGGATGGAAATTAGAGGCAAGCGCTACTCGTGCGCCGGTGTTAGATACTAGATAGGTAGTCCACGTGTAGGGAAATTGGCTCCTGATTCATCTCACTTCCATTCCTTTGTTGTGTGGGTGGGTGGGTATGGGTTCGGCATCCTTTAGTTCAGTTCAGCTTACCTTACTTGCCGATTTAATTCCGTAGGTCGGAGGTCGGAGGCGGTATATTCCTCTTTTAACATACCTGCCTAGTTGAATTATGGGTTATAGAATGTAGATTAGTAATTTGTGGAAAGGAGTGACTGACCTCCTTGGACTCTTAGTAGGAGTAGGTAGAGATATCCCGTGTCTGAGTGGACGGACAATATCCGAAGGGAATAATCCCACCAATTAGATTCTTTCACTCCTGAATATTCTGGGCCGTTGCCACTGCTTACCTTTCTTACTACGGAGTGTCTACCTTAGGTTAGGTAAGAGAAGGGAGGTGATAGTCTAGACCACAAGTTATTTTCTTCCAGAAGGAAATCCGGCCCGGGTATCGGCTAGTTGCAGGGAACTGTAACTGTGGAGGTGGGTGGAGGTGGGTGTGACAGCAACCGTTTCCCGTCCTGCGGTGTGGATGTAGTGTCGGTGGGTGGGTGGGGAAATAGCGGTGAATTGGGGTATGTATATACCACTGTGTATATGGGGTACGGTGTAGTACTAGGTAGGCACTTGAGATCTGGCTTTTGAACTTGATTTTAGGTGATCGGCGTGGTTGGGGGATGGGGTTGGTTCTTTGTTTATGATTAGGGATGAGAGGAGAAGAGGAAGAGGAGAGGAGAGTAAGTAAGGTGGTGGTAGTTAGTTGATATACTGCATTTATCTTCATACTATCTATGTATGTATGTAGGTGGTAGATGATAGTATGTACATCCATACGCTATACCCTATACTCCGTCCACATGTACATAGAATCCACATTCGATTATCTACACACGTACTACGTACTAAATACTACATAGAACAATCGTTCTAGTCCCCTACCCTATCCGTACTACCCACCTGGCATCCAGGTCGATCCCCGTTACCTAACCGTCCCTACTATCCAAAATAAACTTCAGTCTAGTCCTCCAACAAAGAAACCTAAACTACAGGTAGATACACACGGGTATTTGGCGGTGAGGATCAACTTACCTATTCTGCATCTGTTGTGTTTCGTTTGTTTGCTGGGGGTTGGTAGGGTGGCGTCTGTGTCTGTGCCACATGGTGGGGACTTTGACCGTTTCTTTGTGTTGCGATGCGGTGGAGAATGTTGGGATGTGGCGGTGTTGGTGGTGAAGATCGGGATACTTGCGTGTTTGCTGGTGTTGCTGGTACTTTTGTGTTGGGTTGGTTGGGTTGGACTGGGTCTAGACTCGGTGTGCTTTTTCTGGATTGGGGTTGGTGACGGGACTGGACTTTTGTTGTGGTTGCTGTTTGTTTGATTGTTTGCTTTGGGTGATCTCGGCGGTGATGGTTATCTTGAAGGGTATATGCATGTAGGTAAGTGGGGAAGGACGGTTTAAATTAGATTGTGTGTGTGTTTGTTGGTTGGTTAGTTGAATGGAGAGTTTGGAGATATTTAGTAGATGTAGAGTAGGTGGTAATTGGATGTGAGTAGGGGATGTCGACGGTATCTGCATGTGGTTGATTGATGGTTGGAAGCACTGATTTGGGTCTAAGAGCATTTTTATGTTGGATTACTTGAGATGGTGCAATGGAGCAGATCACTCCTCAATGATGGCATATCATATGGATTGAATAGCTGCAGGCAATGTGGACCTGAACGGTAAAAATTTTGTGATAAGTTCAGGTCTTAACAAACACGCATTACTGAGGTGCGAGATCACTGCCATGTTTGCATATAGATGACTGGTGAAGAGCCAAGCTAGCTAAGCTAGCATGATCATAAATAGATGCACTAATAGAGCCCCAGTGCTAGCGCAGGTACTAGCATGATATCCTTGATCTATAAGATACCGTGGTGTAGATAGCAGGGTTTAATAGATCCTGGTCATTGTTATCAGCTACCATATTTACACTGCACATATAGTCCTGTCTGATATGCCCGCTGTCATCTGTCTCTGCCACGGCAGTATGCACCATGCCAGGTACGCACCAGTACTGGATGCAAGTCATAAGATATACCAGAATCACCATCAGTCACGCCATTGGTCCCAATGTCTCTTGAACGCTGTATAGCATGCCTGGCATATCTGACTCGTCAATTCTGCGTCTTCACAGAAAACACCTCAAGGCATGATTGCCGAGTAAGAAACAAGTCAGATTATAGACCATCGACAGTAGGTGCTGACTACCCTCACTGGTCTAGAGAATAGAACTCACAACTGCTGCACTGCAAAGCAGGAACGGGGTTACCGGACTTACCATCGTCCATATCGGAGATAACAGACATATTTCCGAACACAGCATATTAAAGCGCAAGACAGCATGGAATGCAGATAAACACGAGCGTGTAACCATACAATGGCTGAAGTAAAGTTGGTTCTTATCACTGGTACTAGTCCATCCCCATCAGTTGGCATGTCTAATAGATCCAGGTGCAAACCAAGGCATCGGCTTCGAGACCGCCAAGAATCTCATCCTTTCGGACAACTACCATGTCATCATAGGATCACGAGACCCGTTCAAAGGCGAAGAAGCTGCCCAAACCTTGCAGGCCATCCCCGGTATCAAGGGCAGCGTGTCGTCAATCCAGATCGACGTGACAGACGACAAGTCTGTGGATGATGCCGCTGCTCAGATCAAATCGCAGTATGGACGGCTCGACATCCTGGTAAACAATGCAGCCTTGAACTCCATGGTGGAACCCCCGACCCGGGAGACTCTGCGCAAGATCCTGGATGTGAACGTTGTCGGCGCACTCAGCACCACGGAAGCTTTTCTCGACCTACTCCGGAAGTCATCCGAAAAGCGACTGGTTTTTGTCTCGTCGAGCACAGGATCCATCAGTCAGGCAGCAGACCCAAAGTCGCCCTTTCACCAATCTGGAGCAGCCGAATACCGGACCAGCAAGGCTGCATTGAACATGATGATGGTCCTGTATCTGTGTCGACTCGAGGGCGAGGGCTTCAAAGTGTTTGGAGCTGACCCGGGACTGTGTGCCACAAACCTCACTGGTGATCCTGAATCTCTGCGTCGAAGAAACGCAGCCGAGCCATCTGATGGGGGAGAAAGAGTGGCGACGGTGGTGAAAGGGGAGAGAGACGCGGATGTTGGAAGGGTCCTGGGGGTATATGGGGTATCACCATTCTAAGGATAGTCAGGTGTATAGAGAAATCAAATCGTTGCTGGTTAGTGTTCTTGTTTTGACTTGCACGTGTAGAGGATGAAAGAGCGGCTTCTATACAGTCACGAGACCGATGAGTCATGATCACGGGAGCGGGGATGTTCGGTGCCTCATCGGACAGCTAAAAATTGTGGGAACAATGCCACTTCCACGACTCCCCTCCTTTAGCCGGACGCTCTTCCTACGCCGTTTCAGTCGCTCGGCCATCATGGAGAGTCGCCAGCAGCCTCCCTGGCAACAGCCTCCCGCTCACCCCGACGCTCGCCTCCCCCCCCTCAAAGTATGGAACTCCTTGACCAGGTCCAAGACGCCCTTTGTGCCTCTGGACCCTCAAGGCCGGAAAGTTAAGTGGTACGCCTGCGGTCCAACAGTCTACGACGATGCGCATCTGGGTCACGCCCGGAACTATGTCAGCACCGATATCCTGCGTCGAATCCTGCGCGACTACTTCCGATTCGACGTGGAGTTTGTCATGAACATCACCGATGTCGATGACAAGGTACGTGTCTTCATCGCCCTGCGATAGCTCTATTGACAGTGTCGCCAAGATCATTCTTCGCGGTAGACAGCAGCACCTGTTCGACAAGTACGTTACTGCGCATCCCACGGTTACGCCCGAAGTCCTCGAGACCGCACGCGTCGCATACAGCGCCTACATCAAAAAGAACCTCCCCCTGGTCGATCCCGATACGAAGCCGGAAAACTTTGTCGCAGAAGCAGAGAAGGTCTATGGGGTGGTGCTCCAGGGTGGCGCGCTGGAAGCGGACAAGAAGCCCGGTGATGCGGAGGTCAAGATCAAGATGCACATCAAGACCGTGACAACCACGGCGTTGGCGATTGCGGAGGCTACCCAGAAGGGCTCGACTTCTAGCAAGGCTTTCTATGATGCTGCGCAGGATGTTTTCTGCTTCTATCTTGACGTGACTGAGGGGGCGACGATCCCGGGCGATGCGCACGAAATCTTCACGAAATTGACGAAGAAATACGAGGACCATTTCATGAGAGACATGCGCGATCTGAACGTTCTCGACCCCGATGCGGTTACCCGAGTCACCGAATACGGCCAGCAAATCGCCGACTTTGTCGAGAAAATCGTCGCAAACAAGTTTGGCTACGTGGCCTCTGATGGCTCCGTCTATTTCGATATCAAGGCCTTTGAAGACGCTGGAAACCATTACGCACGACTGGAACCCTGGAACCGCAATAACCAGCCTCTGCTGAGGGACGGTGAGGGTGCGCTGTCCCGCGCAACCGAGAAGAAGTCGTCGGATGATTTCGCCCTCTGGAAGGCATCCCGTCCAGGCGAGCCCAGTTGGTCCAGCAAGTGGGGCCAGGGACGCCCGGGCTGGCATATTGAGTGTTCGGCAATGGCGTCGAGTTTCCTGGGAAGCCAGATTGATATCCACTCCGGTGGTATCGATCTTGCCTTCCCTCACCATGACAACGAGCTTGCGCAGAGTGAGGCCTACTGGTGCGAGCATAAGCAGCAGTGGGTCAACTACTTCCTGCACATGGGCCACCTGTCCATCCAGGGATCCAAGATGTCCAAGTCGCTGAAGAACTTTACCACTGTCAAGGATGCCCTTGAGCGCGGGGACTACACGGCCCGTAGTCTGAGAATCGTCTTCCTGCTCGGTGGGTGGCGCGATGGAGTCGAGATCACCGACGAGCTCGTCAAGAATGCCTCTTCCTGGGAGGAGAAGCTCAACAACTTCTTCGTCAAGGCAAAGGACCCATCCAGTTTCCGGACCGGATCTGACGAGACGCCCACCTCTTCGACCGAGACCTTGGCCCAGGCCCTCAAATCTACGCAGGAGAAGGTCCATGACTACTTCTGTGACTCCTTTGATACCCCGAAAGTTATGGCTGCCATCTCTGAATTGGTCACGACGTTCAATGCCCTGGACAGCCACACATTGGACCCCAAGGTAGCGGAAGCGATGGCGACATGGATCACCCGGATTGTTACCATCTTTGGCTTGAATGGCGCCACCTCCCCTGACAGCTGTGGAATCGGCTGGGAAGGCACTGACATCCCTGAAGCAGCCAAGCGTTTCTTATACCCCCTGTCCGCCATGCGTGACTCTCTGCGTCAAGCCGCCATGTCAGGCACTCCGATTACTTCGGAGCAGGTGAAGGATATTGTTGACACTGCCGCCACCAAGGAAGCAGACGTGTCCGAATCTGCCAAGCCGTACTCCGAGGTTCTGGACAAGTTCACTTCCCAGATGGCCTCATTGAGTCTGGAGGAATCCAAGAAGGCGTCCAAGGACATTCTTTCTCTCTGTGATAATTTGCGTGATGTTGACCTCTTTAACCTTGGAATCTACCTGGAGGACCGCGAGAACAAGCCCGCACTGGTCCGTCCAGTCACCAAGGATATGCTGCAGGCCCGCGAGGAACAAGCTCGTAAAGCCTTGCTGAAGCAGCAAGAAAAGGAGAAGCAAGAGAAGCTTGCCCAGGAGAGGCTCGAGAAAGGAAAGCTTAACCCCGTGGAGATGTTCCGCACCAGTGAGTACAGCGCCTGGGATGAAGATGGCATCCCGACACAAGATGCCGCCGGTGAACCCCTTGCCAAAAGTAAAAGCAAGAAGCTCCGGAAGGATTGGGAGCGGCAGAAGAAGGCTCACGAAGCCTGGCTTGCAAGTCAGAAAGCAAAATGATAGATTACACGAGTCAATGAGTACATAATCCATTTGGTTGACCCAAAGGATACCTTTTTAAGGCAAGGTGGTCGAGTGGCTACGACGTAAGACTGCCCCCCCAAATTAACCTTCTCTCGTGAGTCCTCATCGACTGTTTAATTAATGATCGTAATTTCTCGGTCAACCCTAGGCTCGCTCTGCAGACGCCTACCCTACGTAGGGTGTCTCCTACCTATCAGGGTAGGATTCATGATATCTGTAGAAATCCTCCGAGCCGTGAGACGTGACTTGGGAAAAGAAATGATCTTCGAAACTATGCCAGTGAGAGAATGCGGTGCTACGATGGATCCTTCCTCATGTTGGTGATACCTTCTATGCATACTTCTTTTCGGCGTCTTTCCAAGTCCAACTGCCCGATAGCGAATCGTTGGTATATAAACAACCCCTCCACAGGATGTATCTGGTCAAGGTCGGCACGCACCATTATCATAAAACAGACCAAGATGGAGCCTACACATCGATACAGTACGTAAATCTCCTCAGAATGATACATCACGTTCTCACCTTTTCACAGTGACACGCAGTGTTACGGCGAGGGCTTGCAAAAGAACAAGCAACAAAATCTGCAGCCTTCCCATGGAGCTCCTCGAAATGATACTCTTCCATCTCAGTATCGTTGACTTTCACTTTTTACGTCACACTTGCAAATTCCTTTACCAAAGGTGTGGCTACCAAGCTGACCTGGCTGACCCTTCTACGATCGAAACCGACCTTTCCCGGGCCCATCTGCACTGGTTAAAGAGAATGCCCAAAGAACGAGCCTTACGTGTTAAAGAGCTGTCAGTCCGCAGCTTTTGCGGTAGGCCCTTGGGTCTTTGCTACGAACCTCCTATGCTGACTGCCCGGAAGTCGAAAATATCTGCGGACCTGGAAAGAGTTCTCAAATCTTTTAAACATTGCCGTACTTTTCGGATCTAAGCCATTGCCTCGACTCACGTCCTGTAACCACTCGATTCATCTATAGGGGGTGGTTACTTTGTTATAAAGTAAACGAGCGAGACATACCCATATCCATTGTATCTCTCAAGAATTCCATGACAAGGTCCAATGCCCGGCATTGGGTGACTCGACCCGGTCACCTGCCCCGGAGAGCCGCCCCTGGATCTGCCCACCCACAAACCTTCCTCTGGTTGCATCCCACCTGATGCTTTCAAGAAACAACCTCGCAGGGATTTGACTACGAGTCGAACCACCGTGGTAAGGTAGTATCCTTAATGCGTCTCGTCTGTTGTTACTGACACCGAGATCTCTACCTGCAGATACTTCTTCCGAGATGTCGTCTCGGATAATCACGCCACTCGCACATACTATTATTCGGTATGATTCGTCAATCGCAGATAAAAAAAATCGCATAAGGAGACAACTAACCTTGTCCAGGACAACGGTCGCGTCAAGGTTTCAAGCGCAGCGGCTGTCTTATATACATGTCCCCCTTTCTCACCCGTCAAGGATCGGTCCGTCAAGGACAACTAAGTGTTGGCATGACTCAAGGGCAACACGATCATAAACTTAGATGCTGACTCCCTATTACCGTAATAGTGGCGTAGTGGTACCCACTAGAGGGCATCATACCACTTGCTTCCTTCGCTATACAACATCTGCCCCCAACTCATTCTCCACTCCTCAACGATCCTAAACCCAACTACAAGATGACGATATTTCACCTGCATCGCTCCCGAGAAGATAAGCGCCAGAAGATACACGACAAGATTATCAAAACCCACGCCGCGATCGAAGATTATCCCGATGGATTCCTAAATCCTTGGAAACTGTTGGCGCTCAAGATCGAAGTTTCGCAGGTCTCAGTGAGCACGAAGGGTACAATCATGTTCAGGCCACGCTTTTTTCTTCCTTTGTCCCCCCAGTCTGTACGCACATATCTCTCGACAGATCCGTCGATCAAAACAGGCCTCGATGAAGGAAAGCCGGAGTATATGGGATGCCCAGCCTCTCGCATTAGTATAGTTTCCGTTGCACGATGCCCATTTATACTCGACCTCTGCCGAGATAAATTTGCGACGGCCGTACAGAAAGGTTTCTGCTTGGATAATCTGACCGGCCTTCGAGAGTGTGGGTAAGTATCAGCAATCATTCATGTGGATGTTTGGGAACCTAACATGCGATTATTAGTGCGACCAATAAGGGAAAGTGGAAGCATCAGCCGAACTTTGAGTTGATCGATGGACAGCCTTCTACCGATGGATGGCAGATTCTCCGCATTTTAGAAGACGTGGAGCATGAGGTACCACATGTTGTTTTCGATCTCCGCCAGAATATCGATGTCGATAAGGTGAAATGGCTCACAGTGGGCGAGTTGAAGGCCATACTGAGAGTGATGGCGGTCCGTATGGAATTGGATTGCTACCGACAACATCTGGTAATGCCAGTAAGTCGTTCACATGCCCTCTCGGTATCCGGTTTTCGTTCGAGCACACTGACAGCTGCGCAGGTCCTGGTTGTGTCGTACTTGAATTCAGCGCATGGACGAATCCTGCAAGCGCATCATGATGGCAAACGAGTGGTCATCCAACATACGAAAGTCCTCGACTTTGAAGGACTCAAGCATCAGCCGGTTGAACTCTTCCTCCGCTACTACGGCAGTCAGCCTATAGGGAAAACCGCCAAAATTTAATAAGCGCTTGGACATTGCCGTGCAAAGGGTTGGAGTACCTACTTGCGCTCCATGTGCAGAGGGCGGGAAAACCTTTGGGCAAACGCATATGTCCCAGCCGGGTCGCTTAGGGATCCAACGAAGGAAAAGCTTCGGATCATCAGATCGGATGAAAGCAGGGTCTAGATTGTCGGCCGTCTTGCATTAACGCTATCAGTATCGCCCCGCCAATTGTGCATTACGCACGCATGCGATAACGCTATCGGTCCAATACAAGTCTTATCAAACCCCATTAACTTTCGACTGACAGAGGTATGTTAGAGATTCGTCTTTACAGGCCAGTATATTATGCCTATAAAAGGGAACATCATCAAATCAGACACCATACACCTTCACAGAATGTATCCGGTTCCATCACAATCAGACGGTGCGTGCAAGATCACCAAGCTAGCATTTCTCCGCATTCCGGGGTGTGGATGCAAGGTATCTCGGCCGCTATCAGGATAAATCCAACCGGCATAATTCTTATCAGTCTGATGCTCTGCCCAGACGCTAGTTGACGCTCAGGTGTCACAACCCACCACATGTGGTGATAAGAAAGCCGGTTGTGTTGGTCGAATAGCCTATTAAAGAGGTGTCATGCCGTCCCGCGATGCCTTCTCAGTCAGTCAGTCAGTCCATCACTGGGTTCCGCGGTCATAGTGATAGCTGTTCGGGGAAATGGCTTCTGCAGAACCACTCGAGAAAACCCTCAAATCCCCGCACGTCAGTGTGGATGTTGAGATTGAACAAGGCCGGCTAGATGAACTACAGCCCGAGCTTGACTCTGAAGAAAAGGAGCAAACGGGATATGACTATGAATCGGAACATTCGCCATTCGCTGAAGGTATGTGGCTTGCTATATCCACTACAGCTCCTCTAATGGCCGAACCACCTATATAGTACGGGCCGTCGTGCCTGAGACCGACGACCCTGGCCTGCCCGTCAACACGTTTCGCATGTGGGTACTTGGCTTTATCTTCACCATAGTGGGCTCAGGAATCAACCAGTTCTTCTCACTCCGGTATCCATCAGTGCATATCGTGTCGCTGGTAGCAGAACTACTGGCTTATCCATGTGGCGTCTTCCTGGCCAAGGTCCTGCCCTTGTGGACCATCAGTCTCGGGCGGTTAGGGTCCTTCACTCTCAATCCGGATCGCCATTTCAATATCAAGGAACATGCCCTCATCGTTATCATGAGCAACGTCTCGTTCGGCTACGGAAGCGCAGACTCGACAAACATCATTCAAGCATCGAGCGCCAAGTTCTATAATTTCGGTCTGTCAGCCGGGTTCTCCGTCTTGGTAGTCCTTTGCGCACAGCTGCTGGGATTCGGAGTGGCTGGGCTGGCCGCGCCGTGGCTAGTTGAGCCTGCAAGGATCATCTGGCCACAAGTCTTGTCGAACTGTGCCATGCTGGAGACCCTTCATTCGCGTGCAAACACCGTCGCAAACGGCTGGAAGATCTCCCGTCTTCGGTTCTTCCTATATGTCACTGCTGGTGGTTTCGTGTGGTACTTCTTCCCCGGATTGATGTTTACCGCACTCTCATACTTTACCTGGATTTGCTGGATCGCGCCTCGCAATGTGGTTGTGAATCAGTTGTTCGGAATGCAGACCGGCTTGGGACTAAGTCCTATCACATTCGATTGGAGCCAGGTTGCGTACAACACCAACCCCCTGCTTTCTCCATCGTGGGCTGCAATCAACGTCTTTGCAGGCTTTGCCATATTCTTCTGGATCGTGGTCCCGGGAATCTACTACAGCAACACATGGTACACAGCCTATCTTCCTCTGATGACCGCCGACGTCTATGACCGGACTGGCGCGGAATACGACACTTCCCGTGTCATCAGTGCAGACAACACACTCAACGTCGAGGCCTACAGAAAGTACTCGCCCCCATATTTGCCAGCAACATATGCCTTTGTCTACGGCTTGTCATTCGCCTCAATCACCGCAGTTCTCACCCACATCGGCGTCTGGCATGGAAAGGAAGTATGGGCCGCCCTGAAAGGCAAGAACAAGCTCGACGTCCACGCGCGACTCATGAAATCCTACAAAAAGACCCCCTGGTACTGGTATGCCGCTATCATCGCCATCATCACCGCCATATCAATCGTCGTGGTCGAAGTCTACGACACCAAGCTCCCAGTCTATGGCGTCTTCCTAGGTCTAATCATCCCAGCCATCTACATGGTACCCTGCGGAATCATCCAAGGCATCACCAACGTCGACGCCAACCAACTCAACGTCCTCGCCGAATTCGTCGGCGGCTACATGTTCGAGGGCAAGCCCCTCGCCAACATGATCTTCAAGATTCTCAGCACCGACGTCGTAGGCCAGGGTGTCTACTTCGCCATGGACATGAAACTAGGCCACTACTTGAAAATCCCTCCCCGCACATTATTCATGGCTCAAGGTCTAGCCACCATCCTCGGTGCCCTCACCCAAGCCGGCGTGACCATCTGGATGCTCGGACACATCAACGACATCTGCGACTCCAACCAAGCCGATGGATTCACCTGCCCCAACGGCCGAACCGTCTACTCCTCCTCCGTCATCTGGGGTCTTGTCGGTCCCCGCCGTCTCTACTCCGTCGGACGCATCTACTCCTCCCTACTCCATTTCTTCTGGATCGGAGCCATCGCCCCATTAATCACCTACTTCTTGTACAAATACACCCGTCATCAATTCTGGAAGTACATCAACTGGCCTTTGATCTTCGTCGGAACCTACAACGTCCCACCCGGTAAGCAACCCCCCCCAACATCCCACCACGCACCCCACCAACCAAAACCTAACACCATCTAGCAACCGGAATCAACTACTCCAGCTGGGCCCTTGTAAACTTCGCCTTCAACCACTTCATCAAAAAGCGTTTCTTCGCCTGGTGGAAGAAATACAATTACATTTTAGCCGCCGCGCTCGACACCGGTCTCGCACTTAGCGGCATCGTCATCTTCTTCTGTATTTCTTACCCCGGCGCTGTGTTTCCCGATTGGTGGGGAAATACCGTTTATTTGAATACGGCGGATGGGGAGGGTGTTGCGTATAAATCTATGCCTGAGGTTGGGTATTTTGGGCCTGTGAATGGGACTTGGAGTTAGGGGGTTTAGTTTGGGATTGGATTGGATTGGGTTCCGTGATGATAATTATGATGATGATGCTTCATGTAGAAAGACAGATAGATTCTGTTGTTGTCAATGTATGGCTAGGTTGTTTCTCAGTTGGTACTTTGAATCAACAATTTGGGTAAGCTGAAGTAGATGAATTCATAGTCAAAAGGTTCAAATGATACAACATCTTAGTTTGTGTCGCAAGAATTAGGCTGACAGTACTACAGGGATGCAATGCTTGCTGACTGATTCATTGAGCAAGTGTATTAGATACATGGCCTTCTCCTTCCCTGCGAAAATATCCCAATAACACTAACGGCACTAAAGGAAAAAGAAAAAAGGAAAATAAAACAAAGCACACTAGAAAGACATATCCGAAGAACAATGAAGAAGATATAACGAAAGCTTCAAACTCGAATCCAGCCGGCAGACCCTGAGCGCGTAAAGATTGGCCGAGTGGCCGGTCAAAGCCTGGCCCTTCGCAGTCGATACATTTGACCCACGCGGTGCGATTGAGTCAAGGGTATCTTGGAGCATTTACTGAACAAATCATTAGCCTCGCGTCATATGGCCCCGACTCATTGGGAAGCTTACGGAAATCTCGGCCATCCCGAGGTCTTCGCCGCCGTTGGCGGGCTGCTGGGGGGCAGCACCGTTTGCTTGAGCATTAGCATCGGCAGAGCCGGTATTCTCGTTAGTAGCAAAGTAGTCGACCATTTCCGCGTCCAGCTCCTCAACCGTCTTGGGCTTAGGGCGGTTCGCACGACCGTTGGGGCGACGAGCACGGGCCTTACGACCCTTGGCACCGGCAGCGGCCTTCGTAGCAGTAGCCGGCTTGGGCTGGGGCTTGGTTTGGCTGGAACAAGGTCAGTGATGATACTGCAGAGAACAATTGACGAGACTTACGCAACACGCTCGCCAAGGGGCTTGGGGGCGGCGACTTCAGGAGCGTGCGACGCATCCACGACAACCTCGATCTAGCCGATGTTAGCTTCCCAGCGACCTCCGCCATCTTGCTAGCAGAATAAACTCACCTTCATGGGTCTGCCGTCAACAAGCAGTCCATTCAGGTCCTTAGCAGCCTTGGCAGCAGTGTCAGGCTTGCTGAACACGATGGACGCGATACCACGGCTCGTGCCGTTTTGATTGTAGGTGAGCATAACTCGCTTGACAGGGCCTGCAGACTTTGTGAAATACTCCTATAGCACCAGCAGATCGAATTAGTACGTCGAGTCATCAAAGTGTAAAGTCGTAAGAATTTCTGCAGAGCCAAAACATCGAAGAACGCGTGACACCGGCTTCAAGCGCGATACCAGAGAGCACCAGCGAGCACACAGCGGTAGTCAGTAAGCAGCGGATAGAAACTCGTCCCGAAACACCGAGGCACTGTGAGGTCGAAGCACAGAGCTGCTGGCGATTATCCCAAGAACCATGACTGTAATCACCTCCGAAGCCTCAAGGAATGTACCGTATCCCCCTTTTCCAGGTAACCCACTCGGCAATCGCCATCAATCATTTCGCAATTAGGAAAGTTGGCCTCGGGTGCTACGGGCCGTAGTTGCTAGCTGCCACCGCCAAAGGACATCCGTCACGATGGCTACGTGTGCGGTAAATCAATGGTTCTGTTCCCCCAGAATCCCTCTAATAGCCAAAGATAGGAATAGCAAAGCATCGCTCGTCACCAGTAGGCGAAACGGGAACGTCTCCTGCCCGACTAAGACAGTCCCATATCGACCATTGGTAGCATGGTGCTTGATAGTTGATTCTTTGCCGAACTAGTCGGTCTACTGCTGGTACGCTGATGCGCTCGCTGATGCCCGACACCTCGAAATGTAGGAAGTGTACGGGTGTGGCCAATCGGATTGGTTTCATGATGGCGTGCACTGACGACCATCTGAGGCACAGTCCGCGACGTGGCTCTGGAAGCGGGTAACTGCAAGACCCGCCCGAGCTAACACGCCTTTTGCAAGACTACGGCAGAACTCAACTTCGGCGGGTTCACAGGGTGCCAGCGTGCAATTACCGCATTGGAAGTGTTCAAGGAGTTCTGCCTGTGCTGAAGACCAGGAATCCATGACGGCGATATGAGAATATAACGTGGCAAGGATCGAAACGCGAGTGGAAGTCGTTGCGCCCCGAAGGTTTCGAGAAGAAAACATGGCGATAGAAACCCAAGGCCAAGGCCTTTCAATCAACATACCTTAATGTTGGCCTCATTCACATCGGCAGGCTAAAGTCGTCAGCAAGGAGCCACAAAGCGACTGACGACGGAGGGGAAAATGGAACTTACCAAGCCGCTGACCATGATTTTGCTCTCGGTTGAGCCTGGGTGCCCATTCTGAACGGGCTTTCCGGGGGCCTTGGCAGCCTTGGTCGTCTTCTTCACGCCTCCGACCGGGACAGGAGCATTGGCAGCCTTGGGTGCGGAACGGCGAGCGCGACGGCGAGCGCCCTGGCGGCGGCTGACGAGAATCTCGTCGAGAGACTTGTCCAACTTGGCAGACATGATTAAATGAGGTCGGAAAGTTGAAAAGTGGTGTTGGTAGATGAAAGGAATTCACGGAGCGTGAAGTGTTACGATTTGCGCCACGGAAGATGGCAATGCTGGCAGAGGTTGTTCTGAAGAAGCGGTGTCCAGAAACTGGCTATGAAAGCTGGACAATGGGGCAGTTAAATAAGACAAAGCGGCAGATGCAAGATGCAGCGCGTAGAGATGGGAAGCTGCGATGTGGGATGAAGAAGATGAAGTGAAAATGGAGTTGGTGGAGATGGAGATGATGAAAGAAAGGGAAACGGGGAAGAAGGAAGGGCGAAGATAAGCAAGGGCGGCGGAGGAGGAGAACTCACGAGTCTCGGTCGGCGGTCGAAGTGACTCGAAGAGGCTGAGCTCCCGCGCTAGCCCCGATCGGGCCAGTCGGGCAAGCACAATGACTTGCATAACTTCCGTGCCCAATTCCACCTCTCCCGTAGATAGATAGACGTAGTATCTTGCTACAGAGTACATGATCTCTACGTACAGTCCTGCTATGCAATCTAATCTAGTATCTTCATTCGACCTCGCAGTCTAGACTCTTCGGCCCCCAGGCACCTGTAACATCCCGCTGCGCCAAGAGTCACTGCTGCCCAAAGACCAGAGGCCAACCCAACAATGCAGGAGACAGACAAGCACAAGCACATATTTACGGGCAGGGATATTATCGGAGAGAAATAATCAAATCAAGAACAACAGCTGAATCCGCTCAACGTGGAAGGACCAGCCCCGTAAATCAAGGTTGGAACAGCATTTAGATCAACGCCCCAATACGCCCACCCTACCAAACTCCAGTCACAGCATTTATACTCAATGGCATGTTGCAGCCCATCATGATATAAGCCCAGCTATGCGGCCAGCCCCATTCGTTGGGTCCTTCAGCTCTTCAACGCCTCCAGTCGCCCCCTCATCTGCTCCAGCGTCGCTTCTGGATCCACGAACTCGTCCTCCGGTTCCGGGGCTTCCTCCAATGGCTTCTCTGGCTGGACGCCTTCAACCTGGGACAGTTTGCCATGCAAGATCTCCTGCAGAACCTTGTCGACTTCCTCGTCGGCTTCTTCTTCCTCTTCTTCCAGCAGCTCATTGTTGGGGATCGCATCATCGACCATTTCCTCGATGATTCCGGCCCGCACCAATTCCGTTGAGAGCTGACGCATCGTGGCCGTCAGCTCTGGCATCCGAACCAATGTATTTACATCCTTCATGATGCCCGTCGATTTCTTCAAGCTGCCCTGGATCTTCCGGACCGAAAACGCCTCGTTGACCTGCATCTGGACGCTTTGCAGTTGTGCGCGACTGGTGTGTAAGCGGGTGGACTGTTTTCGAATCCGCACAAGCTCTCGCGCAAACGTCTTGGCCTCTGTATTGGCCTGCTTAGCCTGAGAGGGATTTCGCTGGGCCCGCCGCGATGAGTTCATTATGTACTGCCGTGTCTTGCTTTCCAGGGTCTTCAGTTGTGCAATGTCACGATCTAATTGACGGGTATTGGCACGGATGAGCTGATTACATTTCCTCATCTGCAGGCAGCAAAATGGTCAGCATCGTCATCGAGGTTGATGGCCAGAATAGGCACTTGCCTGCGTCTGAGGATCAGGACCGAAAAAGACCGCTTTGAGAGTCTCCATGCTGGACTATGAGAAGGTATACGTCTCCACCAAGCGAGGTCTATAGCAGGAGGGTGTCTATGTCGATTTTGAAGTGTGCAGTTGGGCTTCGCGCACCGGGGTCAGTGTCAGAGAGGCGTTATCAGAAGGGCGGCTCAATCAAATCTGGAGACCTTGGCGCTGCGGTGGGGTCCGAATCCGGGAAGGTCAAGGCTCTGTTGGTCGCTTCTGGGTTCGAGGGCAATACTAGCAAAGAGGCACACCCGGCCAGTGAGTCCGACTGTCGTGGAAAGGCCTGGCAGATGCTCCGTTGAGGCGGCGGATCGATTATTATGATTGCATGGCTATGGATGTTGCTGTGCCTGGGCCCAAGAAGGAGTGGATGTCCGATTGTTCCACTCGGCGGCTGAGTCAGCTGGACAGGGATCGGGGCAGTGACGTCGCCGGCCTTCGGAGCCTCAGGCATCAAGAGGCCGCAAACAGGGCAAACTGAGGGCGGGCGGGAGAGTTCCAGTACTTTCTAGCAGCAGTCGTCGGCGATCATCAGCTAAGAGCAACCGGCTGTTGCTGCAACTTCACTGTCCGTCTAGCCCCGGCATCCTTCCCACTCCTCCTTTCCCACTCCCAACAGGATCGCAACCTCACCGTCTATCATCCCAGAACATCTTCTCACACATCTCCTGTCATAATGCCCGAACTCCCTCAGGTCCACCCCGAAGGTGAGTGGTTCTGCCGTGCCTCATTCCTTCCCCGCTCTGGATTTTCGTGACTTGGTGGCCGGTTTTGGGGAATCTCCATGCCCTACCACGATCGAATTATCTCTCATATTATCGCCTTTCCGACACTTCCATGCCTGCTTTTATCCCTACTAGCATGAAATGCTGACCGAGTTAATCCACCAGTCACATGGGCCCAGCGCTCTTCGGCTTCTGATGCCGAGCGCAACTACCTGTATGTGAACATCAAGGCCGCCGATGTTGCCCGTACCGAAGCGACTCTCGACATCAAGCCCACCAGTGTCACTTTCACTGGCAACTCCAAGAAGGGCGTGAAATACCACGTCTCGCTCGAGCTGTTCGCCGAAATCGACCCTGAGCACTCTAAGGTCAACCACAGCGACCGCGAAGTCGAGCTGGTTCTGCGCAAGAAGGAGTTGAAGGAAGAGTTCTGGCCTCGCCTGCTGAAGACCACTCAGAAGATTCACTTCCTGAAGACCGATTTCGATAAGGTATGGCACCGGACTTAACTTGCCGTTTAAAAGACCACGATTAGGAAAAGAGCTGACAAGAATGCAGTGGGTTGATGAGGATGAGCAAGATGAGGTGAACGAAGATGACTATGCCAACAACTTCGGTGGATTCGAGGGTCTTGGAGGAGAGGGTGGTCTTTCCAACATTGACTTCTCCAAGCTTGGTGCCGGTCTCGGCGGCGAAGCCGGTGCCGGTGGTGAGGAAGAAGATGTAGGTTATGCATCCTTGACTCTTGACAACCATTCGGTTACTGACAAGATGACTAGGACGAGGAAATGCCCGAGCTTGAAGAGGCCGAGGGCGAGCAGGCCTCCAAGGTCCAGGAGGTTTCCTAAATGCTGTGCCCTTCTAATGCGATAGGCAACACGCTACAACCCAAAGAATAAAAACATAATGGCGAGCAACGAATTCCGTAACCGTTGAGCTTTATCTGCTCATTCTCACCTATATTATACCGCTGATGGTCAAGGGTCATCATGGTTTGGAGCTACCTGGCGCACTTGGACAGGTTGATAGGCGTGCCTCGAAAGGCGAAGAGAACGGAAAAGGAATCACCATTTTCACTTTATTAGTACGAAATGACGAGATGACTAGCAAGGCTTTTACTGCTTTCGACTTCTTTCGAGGCATTTCTCTCGCCTGCTTTCAAGTCGTAGTGTTGATAGTCCGACCCGATGACGAAATTTGCGACCGTAAAGCGTAAAAACCAACTACATCCGCCATACGTAGTGCGTCCTGGAGAGAGATTGAGGCTAGGCTGCGCCGGTTAAACCGCCGAAAGCAACATGGCCCTGGGCGACGAAAAAATTGCAAGGCGATGTCTGGTGAGGGTCGAGGGGACGGCGACAATCCCACTCGATTGGCGGAGAGGCCGATTATGTGAAGTTGTTCCGCCACACTGGGAAACCCACACCTTGAAAATGTGGAGGAACCTGCACCTCCTCACGATCTCCCTTCCTCACAGTCGTTAAACCCCATCTTCCGCCAAACGAAGCCGAGGTGTTGTCATCTTCTTGACCTATCCCGTCGGGACGACCGGTCGACCCCTCCTTTGGTGACTTTTCTTTTCCGTGGCGCTTTTTCTTTCGGCGCATCTTTCCCCCCTCCGTTTGGTTTTCTCTGTGGGAGGTTTCTGTAACCAGCCCCTCGCCAGACCGGCGCGCACGTTATATACCTCATCCAGCATTCCTATATTCTTGTTTCTGGTTTTTTTTAGACAAGTGCGAATAATCAATCCGCCATCATGCCTCCCAAGAAGCCCGATCCCCCGAAGAAGAAGACCAAGGCCACGGTTGAGGACAAGGTTTGACACCCTGTTATTTGACGTTGAGTTGGGATTATAATGCTGACTTGTGATGTCTTCGTGCAGACCTTTGGCATGAAAAACGTACGTGACGATATCTTCTAGACCCGCAGTCCTCTCGAAATCGAACACAACCCACTGACCGGTATTCTCTACACAGAAAAAAGGTGGTTCCGCCAAGAGACAGATCGCTCAACTACAGGCTCAAGCGCAGTCCAACAAGACTGCTGATGCGAAGAAGAAGGAAGCCGAGAAGCAGCGTCGTGAGGCTGAGAAGAAGGCCTCTGAGCAGGCTAAGAAGGAGGCTCTGGAGTTGTTCAAGCCTGTTCAGGTTCAGAAGGTTCCTTTCGGTGTTGATCCCAAGACTGTTCTTTGCGTTTTCTTCAAGCAGGGAAATTGTGAAAAGGGACGCAAGTGCAAGTTCAGTCACGATGCTAGCGTGGAGCGCAAGGCAGCGAAGAGGGATCTGTACACCGATTCTAGAGATGTGAAGGCGGCGGAGGAAGAGGCTAAGAAGAAGGATACTATTGATGACTGGGATGAGGAGAAGCTTCGCAAGGTCATTCTCAGCAAGCACGGCAACCCCAGAACCACTACGGACAAGGTCTGCAAATACTTCATTGAGGCAGTCGAGAACCAGAAGTACGGTTGGTTCTGGACTTGTCCCAATGGAGGTGACAAGTGCATGTACAAGCACAGTCTGCCACCTGGGTATGTTTCCGCTTTTCTATCTTATGCTGAGTCCCTGGCAGCGCTGACCAGATTTACAGTTTCGTTCTGAAGACGAAGGAGCAGAAGGCGGCCGAGAAGGCTCTCATGGACAAGTCCCCGCTCAACACCTTGACCCTGGAAGACTGGCTGGAAAGCGAACGACACAAGCTCACCGGCAACCTGACTCCTGTCAACCCGGAGACATTCGCCAAGTGGAAGAAGGAGCGTCTGGACAAGAAGGCGGCCGAGGAGCAAGCCCAGAAGGCCAAGGAAACTACTGGACGTACGCTATTCGAGAGTGGCAACTGGCGGGCGGAGGATGAGAGCGAGAGCGAGGACGAGGATGATGGAGTGTGGAACCTTGAAGCCCTGCGGCGCGAGACGGAAAAGATCCGCGAGAGGAAGGAAGAGGAACGCCTGGCGATCCTGTCGGGCAACCCAGTGCCGGTCTCGAACGAGGAAACGATTGCACAGGAAGGTGAAGGCTGAGTTCTGTGCGATCCCCCCAAGTCCGCAAGAAAACTTGGGCGAATGGGTTGCGGACCTCCCATACTGGAAACGGTGTCCCGGGCCGTTGTCCGGGCCCGGGATGTTGATCGGGTTGATGGATGGTAGATACCATGCTGGGGATCAAGGATCTCCCATGATCCCCGGCGTGTGTTGATGTCCGCGACTGGGTTTGATGGCTCTTGCGGTTAACGTGAACGGTTGGTCGTGTCGCGTTGGGTGCATTGCTTCAGGCGCCCTTGGATGGGTGCGACTGAGATGGATCCCACCGACATGGACTGGGAGGGCGAGGAAGGCAACGGCGAGGCCACCAGATGGACTGATGGACTGAGAGAGATCGACGGGGTCTGGGGCGTGGAGGTGAGGACTGACTCATGATTTGCGATGCCAGATTTGTACGTAAAACGTTCTTGATTTGAATGAGCCAGCATTGCCTTGAGCACGGTTTGTTGAGTAAGCCTGATGCTGTATCCATGGCACGATGTCCCTACTTCCTAGACTAGAATCTCACAAGTATGATCCTTGGCTGTCATCCAGCCAGAAAGAAAGAAACCTTGCTGTGCCAATGGTTTCAATGCACATTCCAGTTGCCCTCGGGTGTCTCACCCATGAATGCCACCTGCATGAGGGCCGCCACTCTTCCGGTTTCCTCACCGATCTCCGTTGGATCTTGGGCTACTGCAGACTATCGACGATCGACATCCCAGCTCTCTCCACAACGGGAAGAATCCATTCCTCCTGCCGGACTATAAGGTTGTGGTCCATGGCAAATCCATTGCCCCTCTCTGTCCACGGTCTTAGTGCTCATCCCCCGCCGCCATGCCCGGCATCATCTCCTTCACCGCTGTCCTGCTCTCGGGACTCCTGGCTCAGTCCCATCTCGTCGCAGCTGTCGGCCGGGCCTGCGACTCGGAGTCCCGTCCCTACTCGACCTGGATGACCGACAGCGTCATCGCCCGTCGAGATGCCATCCTAGACTCAAGCACGGAAGATGACGTCTCCATCGTCTTCAAAATCGCCCTGTTCGAGTCGACTGTCATCCGACTGAAAGAATACTACGATGCCGACTCCTGCGGCCAGGAGGACTGGCACAGCTACCTTTTAGAGGGTGCAGAAAGCCTCCTCCCCAGAGTAGTGAATGTCACCGCTGATATCAACGCTCCTTTGGACGTATTCGCAACCGGTGATGCCCTGTACCACCAGTGAGTCCAATTCCTTCATCCCCTCTTCCTCTCTTAACCCATAACCAACCCAAACCCATCTAGATACGACCGCAACTCCAACGAAACCTACAAACAAGTCCTCGATACTCTTCACGACGCGCTCAACGACAGGACCCGAAACTCAGAAGGTCAGACAACCCCACCTACCCCTCAACTCTCATACTCATCTGCTCAGACGGCTTCTGGTACTACAATGCCTACCCCAACCTAAGCTTCCTCGATGGAAGCTTCCCCCTCAGCTCCTTCTCCAGCCTCTGGAAGACCTACTTCTCACCAACCAACACCTCCATCGCCGACGACCTCATGAACAACCTCGACCTCTTCAAAGACCACTGCCACGACGACAGCAGCGGCCTCCTCTTCCACGGCTACGACGCCAGCAAATCCGCCTGGTGGGCCGACCCCACCACCGGCGCAAGCCCCTACGTCTGGGACCGCGCCCTAGGATGGTGGCACATGGCCCTGGTGGATCTTCTCGAACGCTCCGACAGGAACAACATCCTGAACGAGACCCAACGCGACGACGTGTACACGAAATACTGGAACCTTGCTAACACCATCATCAACGACGCCGACAACTCCACAGGCTGCTGGTGGCAGGTGATGTTGCACGGCGGCGAGAAAGGGAACTACATCGAATCCAGCGGTTCATCCATGTTCGTGTACTCGTTGCTCAAGGGCGCCAGATTGGGGTATCTGTCTGGATCGACGCCCAATGGAGTGGGCTATACCGATGCCGCGGATAAATGCTACAACTACCTCGTGGATAACTTCATCAAAGAGGAATCGGATGGCACGTTAGGTATGGATCAGACGGTCTCTGTGTGTGGATTGACGAATCCGACATATGAGGTATGTTTTTCCTCCCCCCTACCTTATAGTACCACAAGTATGAACCCATCACTAACACCCTCCACTGCATGAAGTACTATACCTCCCAACCCATCGACTACAACAGCGTGTACGGCACCGCACCATTTATCCTCGCAAGCTGGGAACACGAGATGTTCACAACGGGTTACTATACCTAAACCTATATCCCACATATACCATCAATAATATATAAAAATTAGTAATACACAACACAGCGCCAACTCCACTACTTCCTCCTCTTTACCTTTCTGTCCCTATTCCTAATCCTCGTATCTCGTAACTCGTACCTCGTACACCATAATAAACCTCTCCCATCATAAGTGAGACAATATCCCAATCCATCCCGTAAGTTAAGACATATATGCAAGGGCGCCCGCCCCCCCTCCAACCCGCCCCCAGCGGCTTCCCTGATTACAAACCAATCCCACTCATCGCACTCTACAGTACTATTGAAGTTTGCTCCATCTGAGTTTACCTAGGAGAGACAGCCTACCTAGTTTATTCTTCCATGGAGTTTACGCAAGTGAATGACTAAGTTGGCACGGAGTACGGAGTTCGTAGATCACGTATATATATCTAGATCATGATTTGATTAAATCGATTCAATTAATGTGGTAAGTGGGTGAGTGTTATTTTATCTTTATTCGAGGAGTAGACTATAGTAACTATGGTTTAAAATTGGGGTGTCATGAACTGTAAGGCATGTGGTGGTATTCAATTAACGTTCACTAGATGCCTAACCATTGGGGAAAGTCTATTACATGTGTATAGAATGACGATTGCGAGAAACAGGGGGAGAATTAGGTGATTAATGGTCAATATTAAACCAACAAATGAATACTACTCATGTCTATTGGGATTTGGATCCGAGCAATGAATAGAAAGGGATTTCTTTTACGTTCTGGAATCGGATATGGTTCACATCATGCAGTCAAGAAATAACAAGAAGTTTGTTTCCATAATCTAGGAGAATAGAACCATGGTGCTCTACCGGTTCTGAGTCCCAGTACCTCGTTCAAATCGTAACTGGCATTCCGGTCGTAAAGCCTTACCACATCAGTTCTTGAGCATCTCACGAGGAGAGGACAACACGTCCTCGAACCATTTGTACGATGGTGCCAGGCTGTGAGGGTAGCCCATGTGAGGGAGGCCGTGGTAGAATCTGGAGTAGTTAGCAGGGTTCAGAGCTCAGTAAGAGGTGGTGGGTTACGAACCTTCCCTCCTTGGGGCTTCCGTGGTTGAATAGCAGGAGGCAGTCTTCGATAGGGGTCACACCGTCATCCCGACCCTGTATAGCATGGTTAGCTCTGTATGGGAGGGCTGAAGAGACATCCATACGTTAAGAAGCAAGAGTCTGGTGCTGGGCTGGTCCAGGATGCCCGTCTCGAGAAGGGAGAACTTCTTTTGACCGTTCTTCTTGAACTCTTCCGGATCAGAGTAGCCGTACTTCTTGGCCCAGGCGGGAGTAAGCCTGTCGATCTAAGGTTAGCATTTGCTAGTTGAGTGGCTACCTGGGACACTTACAAGAATGGGTACTCGTGGTCGTCGACTCTGCTCAACCACTCAGGGTCCATGAAGTAATGGCAGCCCGGCCCGTGAGCGATAAGACCTGCAAATCGCTCACGGTGGGTGTGCGCAGCTCGAATAGCATAGAAACCACCGGCACTCAGACCCCAGCCAGCCACACGAGACATGTCGAACTCAGGACGAGTCGCCATGTAGTCGAGCACGGTGGACCAAAGACGATCCGCCGATTCGGGGTCACTGGGGTCCGCCGGGGAGTCCGCGGTACCTGGGATCTCACAGACAACCGTAGCCCACCCACGGTCGATAATCTCGTGGGTACGCTGGCTGTTGTCGGGGCGGTAACCATCCAGCCCAGTCATCAACAGCACAACAGGAACGGGGTTCTCCGCCGTCGCATGTTCCGGGACACGGACAAACAAGGGGACGTGGGCTCCATCAGCGCCCGACTTGTGCTTGTGCGGAATGATCACTTCCTGAATCGTGGGCTTCCAGAAAGATGCCGACTTCAGGTAAACCTTCTTTTGGCGGTTGAAGGACTCCTTCTTGATGTCGTCTTTGGTCGGATCGACATACGGGAATCGCGAAATCCGGTAAACAACCGCGGCTCTCCGGAGGAGATCGGAGGCCATCTCAGCATTGTTGTTGTTCAAGGCAGCAGAAGCCTTGTTCTCCAGTGCTTCAGCAATTGGGAAGAATGCCTGCGTGTAGGCATCGGTGTAGGCATCGTTGATGTTTTCCTATGGTATAACACGTTACTCCGGGGTCTGACGGGCAAACTGTGGAGCAAGACGGCTTACCTCGATAAGCTTCTGGAAAATAGGCCTAAAGTCCTCGATAGCACCGTCATGGAATGGGTAAACCGATTTCTCACACTAAGGTCCATGTTAGACGAGGGCCCCCTGACGGCTGGCCAACCACCGAGCAAGGGGTGGTGGTATCGGCCAGGAGGGAAAACCTACCGCGAATTTCCACTTCGTCTCCCAGAGGGCTTTGATGGAGCCCTGATGAGGGTAAACGGTGTTGAATTTCTCGCCGAGGATCCAGGGTGCCATTGTTTCGCGTGGTCGAGTGGTAGTCAAGCTAATGGGAAGAGGATGGAATATGGTACAATTCCAGCGGGGAAGCAGCACCGATGAACTCCTTTAAATGGGAATCGCCCCATGTAAGGTACTCCAGGAAAGTCTCCTGGTAGAGCGCACATGAGGTCTCTTCTGGCGCTTGTGACATCAGAACCACGATTGAGTGTGCTTAGGGCTGGTCACGCAGGGGGGATCGCCAATCTCGGCCAGCTTGGGAAATAGGTGTTTTAACGTCTGTCTCGGACATTCGCTACAGCTTAACACTAAAGTGTGTGCTAACAGAGGACTTGCGGTTATTCTCGCCTTAGGTGGTCTTGGTGAAACTCCCTTGCCTGAACCGTTCCATGTTGAAGAGTTTCGGTTGTAGCTGCTGTCGACTTCCTGCTAGGCATCCACGTTTAAGCCCCGAAGGAAAGGCGCCGCGAGGCTGGGGCGTCGTGGGGTATGTGTCCTGTGCGAACAAGGCTCAATGATATGTCCCTTATTGGGTTGGGTGGGTGTGGTGAATTTTGAGCCTACCAAGGGTTTAAAGTTGCCATTCTTGACGGAAGTGCTTTATGTTGAGAACATCGTGGTAGCCACAAAGCAGGTTATGCTTTTAGTGAACAGGGCATGGCGAACAATGAAGTTTTTTTATTCACAGAATGCCTTGCATCCAACCGATTCCAAGGCGGAAGGCGCATTCCAGAGTCTGTGGCCCAATCTGGATGGCCAAGATGCCTGTGAATCCGAGTTTTTTTTTTAAGTAATTCCTCTTTTTCTTCGGCTTTGTCTAGTTGTTGTTGCAGTTATGTCGAGCCCGTGACTGTCTAACAATTGTGTCCACAAAAGTCTATCTTTCTGAGAAAGAATTGAGTTTCGCAACTATGACCAACGGGATCAGACAGGTACCTGGCGGCATCAATGAATGGTCTGCCATCTGTTGCACTGTACACAGTGTCTTGACCCCTTCATAGTTGAGGCTGGGGCTACCAGGCATCAGTCTGCTCAGCTCGACACATCCACACAGACGTGCCAATGCTTTGGGAATCCATTCACCGGGAATCCCGTACCTCCGAACCAGGCAGGAATCTGCATCCCAGAGGCCCTGACTCGCGGGCGGTGCACTTTGATCGACTCCCTACTTCGCCATCTGTATCCCTTGAAGCAAGGACCGTTGCGTGCTCGCATTCTATGTCTTTGATGGAATGATTTCTTCCGAACGGACGACGAAACGCACGACTCTGGTCGGGTCGGCTCATTTGTAGGCTTGCTTTCCGGTCATGCAAGATATGTTTGTTTGGACTCAGGCCGAGACGGCGAGACTGGCAAGGTATCCTTCCATATCGCCAAGGTCTCTTTGCCTGTTGCTCCTCGGCTGAACTAACTTTTGTCTCTCGTTTATCAATTCCAAGGGGCTTTCGTACATACTTATTCCAAACCTTTCTCCAGCATTTGCCCTGTCAGTCCTCGTCCGCTTCTCGTGAATGTTCTACTCAGAGCAGCGGAAATGATCCGAACTCTCTTGACGCTCGGCCTGTACGGGGTCGTGCAACAGGCATTGGGTAAGAACGTGTACCTGGATTGGAATATAACGTGGGTCATCGCTGCACCTGATGGCTATGCGCGGCCGGTGATCGGCATTAACGGACAATGGCCCTGTCCTCAAATCGATGTCGATGTTGGCGACAACCTCATTGTCGATGTTTACAATGGCCTCGGCAACCAATCGACGGGGATCCACTGGCATGGCCTCCATCAGAATTATAACGGGTACATGGATGGGGTTCCAGGTGTTACCCAATGCGAGCTTCAACCGCAGCAGCGAATGCGCTACACGGTTCCGGTAGGTTGACCTACTTGCTTGAAGGGTATTGGTCACTGAATTGTCTGACATGCATCCAGATGAATCAAACCGGGACATATTGGTACCATTCTCACGAGCCCGGCCAGTATCCCGATGGACTGCGCGGTCCTATCATTGTGCACGACACCGTTCCTGCGCCATTTCACTATGACGAGGAAATGACCATCACCTTATCTGATTGGTATCATGTGCAGATGCCTCTACTAGTTGAAGACTTTGTCGTTCCAGGGGATCATGCCCCCTATGGAGGGCAAGAGCCGCTTCCTGACTCGGTCCTGTTCAATGACATGCACAACACCAGAATCAAGGTCAAGCCGAGCACAACCTACCTGATCCATGTCGTCTGCATGGGAAATTGGGCGGGTCACGCACTTGTCATTGACGACCATGACATGACCATTGTCCGTGCGGATGGCATCGAGGTGGAACCGCATTTCCTTCCACCGCAGTATCTGCGAATGACTGTCGGGCAGCGTGTCGACCTTCTTCTCACGACTAAGAATGACACCAGCAAAAACTATGCCATTTGGGATGGTCTCGACATTGACGAGATGTTCGTTCAGGAGTCGCGAAGCATGCCGGAAGGATACAACCCCAACGGCACCGCTTGGCTCATGTACAACGAAGACATGCCCTTCCCTCCGGCACCGGAAATTCACATTAACAACGCAAGCTTGGATTTCCTTGACGATGTGACCTTGATTCCGAGAGACCATCTTCCGTTGATCGACCCTATTCAGCACCAGTTCATCCTGGATGTCTATTCGACCACGGTGGATGGAAAGCCTGCCTACAGCATCAACAACATGACCTATAGTGCTCCAGATGTACCGACGCTGTACACGGCCATGAATGCCGATTCCGAAGAATGCATGGAGCCCTCGCTATATGGCGATGTGAACCCCTTTGTTGTCAACTACGGCGACGTCGTGGAGATTGTTCTTAACAACCATCACGACAACCTCCACCCATGGCATCTGCACGGCCATGACTTCCAGGTTGTCCAGCGGACGTATCCGTATGGTGGCTATTTCAACGGATATGGCAACGTCTCTGCCACACCAATGCGCCGCGATACAATCATGGTCGAGCCCGAGGGGCATTTCGTCATTAGATTCCGTGCAATGAATCCTGATAAGTATCCCCTTCCTACAGACTGCATTTCTTCCGGCTGACGATGATCCGATTTCACGCGTCTGGATGTTCCATTGCCATGTTGAATGGCACGTGGAGGTCCGTCTTATGGCGATTATCATTGAAGCGCCGGACCAGCTTCAGAACATGACAGTACCAGACGATCATCTCGCGATTTGCGGGAACAGCCAGCCTAGTCACTGGGCTCCGTTGCCGGGTCCCCTATGATGGGTTGACCAACTCGGCATCAGGTATGGATGCCTCGATTCCATATTGATGTACTTACTGATCGGGTCCAGGGACACGAAGTCATGCAAAGTCTGAATAGTGCCGGCCTTGGAGCCACCGCACTTCCTGTCATCGTGAGCATCTGGAGAGGCTGGACGCCTAGAAGAAACACGCTGGAGACGGGAGGATTTGACCATGGGAGAACTTCACATGGTTGGATATGCCTAGGATATCCGTCACGAAATAATCAGTGAAAAGTAATGTTACGACCAATAGACGAAAAGTTGTACCATCTGTGTTTTCTGAATAGGTTGCACGGCATGTAGCGTGCGAGACGAGTCGTATGGAGGTGTTAGTAGTATCGCAACTCGGTCACAGCCTACAGCGAGGCTTTTTCCTTCACCAATCCATTCTCCCTCATCAGGTTGAACACATCCTCTGCTATCCCCCAGGACAGCTCAAACCCACGCCCTCCAGCCCCATACGCATGAACGATAACTCCCCGGCCATCGCTCAACTTCTCTGCTTCGATCCTCATGCCGCCCTCCCGGGCAGGTCGTCGACCAACAATATCCCGAATCACATCAAACTTCCCTTCACTCCCCTCCTCAAAGGGAAACCACTTCGCAGCATTGTCCAGTAATTTAGCCCGTGTCTCCAACGACGGGTTCGGATCCCAATTATGCGGTTCTTTCGTGCCCCCAACAATCGTGCCACCACCCAGCGGACGGGGAATACAAAACGACCACGAGCCATCACCATTCTGTCGAGTAATAGTCACCGAGCAGGGGTTTCTCACGAGGCACGTTTGTCCTACCCAAGTCAGTCAGTCAGCATTAATCAACCCGCAACAGTATACCCAAAAGGAAAATGACAAGGAAATAAACTCACCCCTAATAACAAAAACCCCCTCATCACCCCCATCCCCAACCCCGTACAATTAACCACCGTCCTCACATCCTCCGCAAGATAAAACCCCTCCCTCAAATCCACAACGCTATATTCCATCGTCTCCCCACCCCTCAAAACAAACTGTCTCAGCAACCAAGCACAGTAAACCGGCGGATTCACCGCAAATGTGCTATACTTGACTCCCCATTTCACTCCCTCGGGGAGTTCCTCCCCCTGGAGTTGTTGGAACCCATCTAGATACCCGTACGCCGTTTGGATGTTCTCGGCGTTGAGGTACTCTGCTGGTGGGGACTCGAGGTATTCGATCCCGGGGAGGGATTGCACCCCCGAGCCGGGTTCTTGGGCTGCGAGGCGCGTGAAGTAAGTGTAGGTTCGTTGGGCTTGGGTTCCCTCTTGAGTGAGTTGGGGGTTGGAGGTGGGGATGGGGCGGAAGTGGGCGCCTGCCCAGGCGGAGGCGTAGTTTAGGGATTCGGGGCCGTGGGAGAAGTCCCGTGCGACTAGGAGGATGGTTTGGGTTGCGGGGAGGTGGGATTGCAGGTGTAGGGCTGTGGTTAGGCCGAGGATGCCGGCTCTATGGTTTGTTTGAGGGGTGGTTAGTGGTGGGATTGGGAATGGGGGAGGGGATGTACCCGATTACGACGATGGTTTCTTTTTCGGTCATTGTGAGGGTTGTGAGTATGTTGGGTAGTGTCAGGATGGATGAATGGATGGATTGTTTTGTTGACATGGGATTGAGGGGGTTGGTTGATAAGCGGTTTGGTTTCCCCGCACGAGTGGTTGATAGTTGGGTGACGGGTTGAGTCATACTTTGCGCGGTTTCTTTGATAGTGATTTAATGACTGTGGGTTTCTGGTTTAGTAGCTACTAGGATGCAAAGAGGATTGCGTGTAGAATTACCGGGGCAAGGATTGATTGGCTCCTTGCTCGTGCTTTCGGGGATAGATACGAATATGGCTATTAGCACCGTGAGCATGCGATTGAACGTCGTATCATTAAGCTGCTCTGTCAGAGCCTAGCTGCAATCAGGAAAGCTTTCCAGAGCCTGCTATCTATCTGCTAACTAAGCCCTCCGTTAATCTGCTCTCCTTCTGTCTCGCTTGGTCCATCCACTGCTTGCATGGACCACGGCAGTCATTGGAGCAATCTCTTTATCGCACTGGACCAGCCGAGAATCGACATGCACGTAAGCCAATCTGTAGCTGACCTGGCCTGCCAGGTGGTGTCGTCAACTCATGGACATTGCCTGCATGCGGTAGATCCTGGCAAACCATCGTTTGTGGGTGGAAGACGAACCGAACCCGCTGATATGCGGTGATTCGGGTATCTTCGTGAAATGTCGTGGAATGGCTTGGTATCGAACCTGTCCTCCACTATCTTTTGAAATCGACCAGAACAGATCGGGGGCGAGATGTCGTGTAGTGGCTTCATACCAAAACAGTCCTCCGTATCCGTTTAAATCGACCAGAACATATCGGGGTATCTAATCCAAAGCATCGGGCAACTTCTCGATCGTGAACTTTCCTCTTGCGACCTTCATGAGCGGCACACCAGGAATCTTCCGCAGCCGGCGGCACAGGTCTTGATCGTTGGTCGCCACAATGTAGATTCTATGCTTCGTTACCTAGAACGCTGTTAGCGCGCGACGTCACATTATGGGAGCGAAAACCACTCACCCGATCCACGATACAGTCATCGGCATACGTGCCCTTGTGAGAGCACTTGAGCCGAGCCCAGCGAGGGTCTTTGGCAACCCGAAGTGCCAGGCGGTACTTGTCACCCAGCTTTTCCAATTCCGCAATCGTGCAGTCGGAGAAAGTCGGGATACACTTCGCATACAGCCTATACCTGTCTTAGCATATATCCAAGTCCCATTCAGCGTGTTCAACTCACAGATCCATCATCGACGTAAGCATGTCCTGCTTGGCTCGGATAGCGTGGGAAACAAAGTTGGTATCGACCAGCACATGGTAGGGAGGGCCGAGGGCAGTGTTTGCGGCGAAGAACATGTTCGAGGGAGCTTGGGTGATTTGGCGAGTCAGTTGGTCCTCCTTGGGAGTCTCTTTCTTGGTGGCCGCCTTCTTGAGTCGCTCATCGTGGGCTTTGATGGTGCGCTTCATCTATAGGATCAATGAGATCAGTTCCCGGCTCTCGTGCTTGTCATCGGAATGTGCATACCTGCGCAAACTTGCGAGTCTTCTTTTGCACACCCATTTTAAAACAGATGCCTCGGTTGCTTGCCGGTTGTTGTAGGGAAAATCTGCGGGATATGGGGTAGCTATCACGTTGATACGATAATGCTGAACCCAGAAGATTTTGGAGATGCGGAAAATCAGATCACGGGCCGATATTTCGCCGGATAGCAAAGCAGTCCCTCCATCATGTGACCTACCCGTGACCGCTGTTCCAGTCGCACGGCGTCCCCGTCCGTCTAACTTGAAATGGCAGTGTCTTTATCTGGAGCCTGGAACCAGTGCCAGGGTCTGGCTGGCCAGCCAGCACGTTCTGCACTCGTTGGCTTCAGTAGAAGTAATCTGCTTCCAGCGGGACGATGTTTCATCGGGCCTGAATGCCACAATGCCATTGTGAGTGTCCAGATGGTTATCATTGTAGCACACTGTGTGCACCATCACTATCTCAGTATGTTGCAACCCGTCTGGCTAGCATGGTTAGAATGCCTACGACGCTTTCTTATCACATCGCGGAAGTGGCCCAGTCCCATCACCGTCCGAGCTCCTCGACCACCCCCGCAATTGTCTTACTCCCGGGGCCTCCCACTAGTCCTAAAGGATGCCCGTCACAGTGCTGCTTGTTGGTCACATCACATTGCATACACTTTCCGCAGCATTTGTGGAAGGATATTTTGGTCCACATCATTCTGGTGGTTCCCGGTGGAGTAATGAGAGTGATTGCAATCAGCACATTCTCGATATGTCTTAGCAGTGTGGCTAAAATTGTGGTCTCACCATCACGGTGACGGTTCATGTCAGTCCTGTCACTGTCAGATAAAATCGCCGAAGATAGTACAACCACCCAGAGCTCCGACAGGCAGAGTGGTAGAAAGGTGCATTATTCGTTGATATATGGGGTTGCCTGCAACATGTCACTATCTTTAATTTGGCCATTGCTAGTGGTATCACTCTAATAGTACATAGCGAGCTACGATTCGGGATATAGGTATGATGGCGAGGTTCTATCGGTGACCGCCAAGCTTGTCCCTTTTTTTCTCCAAGCCAAGGTCGCTCGCTCTCTACTTGAGGTACGCCATAAATAAAGATTGTAAATGTACTCCGTACTGGGCACGGACGCAGTGTCTTGTGTGCGTCCTGGAGCTGCCGACACCATCCCATCCTTCCCCTCCCAGAAGGTACCTATCAGGTACCCAGATCACTTTCGTAGACAGCGCCCCGAGGGATGTGATTCGAAGTTTCCTGGCACATCACCCAAGATGAGCCACAATCCTGCTGACCGCACGAGTCTGCGGTTGAGGGGAACTCTGGGTCATTGCCAGTGAGAGAGCGCATTTACGCGCCGGGCAGGTCACTTGAGGGCGAGGGACCCGCGGGTGCGGGCGATGATTGGCGCAACCGAGTGATGAGGCCTGCAGCGTGAAGAAACGCCCTCTGCAGTTGGGGGGCCAATCAGGGACGGGGAGTTGGCGGGAAAGGTCCCTGGCAGCCGCCGCTGGCCATGCAGAACTCCAGCCCCGCCCTGGCAACGGACGCATGCAATCATTGCAATGGCCATGTCCTACTACTCTCTCTAGATAGTACCTACTAGTAGTCTTCGCACTGGTGCAACAATTGGTGCTCGTCGCTTCACCCTCATTTTAGTTTCAAACTTTTTCCTCGCCAGGCCCGGCGCCTCATGCCCCGGGTGGCCTATCCTATACTCCCGGGCTAGTCCGCCTACGGCGTAACACGGCGATAGTTGCACTCATCTCGCAATGCCCCCTGGTCAGGCGCGAGAAGATCAACTGGCCGACTGCTTTGCACGCCGCTTTCCATATCCCGCTGGTGCATGCTTGTTGGTGTGCCGCTGCTGGAGCCACCGACAGCTCCTCATGCCGCTCGACGGGTCCTATCTGCCCTCGTCCGCTAATTAAGTCTTCGAACGCCTTCCCATCCCATCTCGACGGCATCCTGGCTCATCGAAGCGCCGTCCACTCCCCTTGGCGTTAGCTCTCGTTGCTTGATGGCTGGAGATTCCGATCGACTGTCGCCGTTGCCTTCGGAGACGTCTCAAATTGCATAGACACGCTTGACTGGAGAGGCTGGCGCCATTGTGAGATTAATAAGAATCTAAAAAAGCCAGAGCACGCCTGTCAACCCACTCTCGAAAGCCTGACCTTCGTGTGAGTGCAATTGTCTTCCTTTTTCCCTCCTGCTCCCCCTCCCCGCCTTCACCCTGGACTTCTCTTTTATCTCCCCCCTCCACAATTCTTGCCAGCAACGTGGTAGCCTGCGTAGTGCGCTGTCTTCCCTGTCGTTTCACTGCAGATTTCTTTGTCTTTCACTTGCATCCTTGTGCGTCCGTCTTCTTGTTCGGTTCCAATCTAGCGCCATCATTATTATCTCGCCCGCCGTATCCTGCGATATTCTTGCCGCTTCCTCACCACCCAACCCCCCCGACTCTGCTGATAAGGACCGTTTCTCCAGACAGCTCAACTGTTGTCGACAAACCGTCTGACTGCTGTGGATTCAAGCTTTTGATCAGATGTCTTTGGTGATCGCTTCCAAGTGTGTCTTCTGTGCTTGGTAGGCACCTGGAGCAGTGACGTGTTGACCGTACTCGGCGGGACTGTACTTGGTTGGTGCTCGCATTGTCCTTGTCTCGTTGTACGTGCCAATGGGAAAGTTCTCTTGAGGATTGTTTGTCTTGGCCACACCGAGTCTCTTGACCGTTGTCAGACATCTAAGAAGTGATCTCTCGCCCGGATTGGCACTTGACAAACGCATCTCCCAAGGAGATCCCGAACAGCATAAGGACTAGGAAGGAAGATAGTCCCAACACTTTGCTCAGCGATCTTTCTGGTGCGGTCAAAAGGATGGTTGAAATACCATGGAACAGAAACCCGGTTTCAGATTCACGACCATCAAGAATGAAGCCCGTGGCGCCCCCTATACCACCTCCGCCACCTCCGCCGCAGGTCTCTAATGCTCGGCTCGAGCCGTGTGCGTCAACTGCATCATTGTTTCTCTATGCTCAGGGCTCGGTGGTTGTATGCCTTCATCATGATACCTTGGCTCTCGAACGACGCTTCGAAAATCACCAAGCAGATGTTGAATTCATCTACGTGGATAATGTGAGTGAGCGGGGAGCAGGACGACTGGTGGTCAGTTACGATGTCAGCCAAACTGCGATCGTGTGGGATCTTTTCACTGGCAGCGTGCTTGCCAGGTTTGCATCCTTTGAACAGCTCAAGGTTGCCGCTTGGATGCGGAACGGGAATGTGGTCTTTGGTAAGCCTGTTAGATCTCTCTGCACCTCAAACTCAGGCTGACGCCAATTACAGGCAATGAAAAAGGTGATGTGATCATTTTCGAACCCTCTACCTCCGAACATGTCTCCTGTCGCACGATTTTCGATCCCATCACGGCTCTAGCTCCTGCCACGGATTGTCGGACATATGCTATTGGGTACGTATACCTGGGGTTGGGTAGAATAACCCCGAGAGGTCTAATCGTTTGGCTTAGATACCAGAATGGCTCCATTATGCTCGCCACGCTTCACCCAACATTCAGTATCTTGCATACGATGACCACCTCGCGAGGACCATCAGCGATCATGTCGTTAGCATGGCATGCATCATCATCTAAGCAAAAGTCCGATATGTTGGCCACGCTATCAGCAAATGGCGACTTGAGAGTCTGGAGTGTGGCGAAGCCTCCGGGGAAAGAGACGCCACGGGTGATAAGAGTCCTCAAGCGGTCTGATGGCTCTCCCGCATCGGAACCGAAGTGGATGGCATGGTCCAAAAACGGCCGAATCGTGCAATTTCTTGAAGGGTAAGCAGGTCATCATGATTACTCCTTGTGCTCGAGAAGCTAAACGTCTTCGATAGGGAAACGTGGGCTTGGGACGTCAGGACAAAACACGTCACGTACGAGCCAATTCCCACGATTGACAATCCTCGTGGCTTCGCCAACTATGGGCCAACTGCCACGCTCTTCACCCTTGGACCTCAGTACACCGTCCAACAATATGATGTAGATAGCCCTGCCATGGTTGCAAATGTCCAGCACGTCCCGGCCGGGTCTTTGCCAGCACCCATGGAACAGCCGAAATTACGCACCTTGCAGGATCCCCCCACCATGAGGGAATCAGGAGCCATGTCTAACCCCCGAAGAACGCCATTTGACATGAATGGAATTGAAACCGTCCGGCAACAGCGGGCCGATGTTGGTAGCCCTATTCCCAGGAGCCACGCCAATTCGGTTACAAATTCTGTCAGCTCCAAGGCGTCCTCGAATAATTATAGAATGCCATTCTCGCCACCCAGCAGGTCCGGTCAGACAACCACTTCTTTCTCATTGACGTCGGCATCCGGGAGAGAAACTCCACAGGCATCTGGTGCTTCCTATGCATACGCCTCGTCTGTTTCGATGTCGTCCACCAAAAGTTCCCGCGCCGGTTCACGGCTGAGAAATGAAGTGCAGCTTAGTCCAGCCGACAAGCCCGCTGACCTATTCCCGTTTACACGTGCCCGGTTGAATGACGTGCCTTATGGACACCATCAACCCCTTGATGAGTCTTGTCTTACCCCAGACGATCTACGTCGACAGATGTTGAGTGTTGTCTTTGGCCACGACGGGGATATTGAAGGATTGATTAGGGATGAACGTATGTTGCATGCCGCTCTTATTACGCATCTTAAGGTTCTTGCTGACCATTTCATCAGTCAGCAATCACCCCCCAGCCAGCCAAAGTGGTATCCTGCTTGCTCAATGGATCGGTGAATCTGATACAGACAACATGACATCTTTGATCAGCTCCGGAGCAGCCTCGACCACTGATTGGATGCTCCTGGCATTCAGTCAGATGTCCGGAGAATCACAGTCTAACAAGATTGGGCAGGCTTTGGTCCAGAAGTTGCTCGAAATTGGAGATTTACACACCGCAGCCACCATACTTCTCGGGTTAGGAGACAGAAACGACGCCATTGAAGTCTATGTTTCTCAGAACTACTATATGGAGGCCATTCTGATGACCTGTCTTGTGATGCCTACAGACTGGCAGCGGCAATCATATCTCGTGCGTCGGTGGGGAGAGCATGTGGTATCTCACTCTCAGCAACAGCTGGCAATTCGTTGTTTCATGTGTACGGGCGTCGAGCCCTCTGAGCCATGGACGTCTCCGGCCGCCCAGCAGGCCACTTCTTTCTCGGAAGTGATGACGAAGCGATCGCCAATGACATCCCCAGAGCCTCCATACCCTAACCCGGCGAGCCTTATGGTACCAGGTTCACAGCCTAAACCGGCTGCTAATGGCAGACCGCTGGCGAAGACACCAGCGCTCAAGCTCATTACTTCATTTGATTCTCAACCGAACAATCGGTTTAGATTTCCCGGCTTGAAATCCGATGACAGAACGCCCACAAATGCCCCTGGGGTTACGCCCATTGCAGAATCCGCCGTGATCGAATCTGCTCTGTCTCCAGGTGGATTTGGATCATACAAGCTGAATAACATCCAGAGCATCAACAATGCGATGAATACGCGGACGACTACCCCCGCCTTTAACCGGAAGCGTCTTCCATCGATCGGGGAGACACCAATTGACGTACACCCTCCTACATTCCCGAGTCAATCAGTACATCCTCCTACGTTTGCAAGCAATCCAGTCATGGACTACGGGTCAACGTCGGAAAATGACGAAGGTCAGCCGCCCCCCGAGCAAGACGGGAATGAAGCGGATGACGAGCAGCTTGGTCTGCTGTCGTCGGCACGCTATGAGCCGGACGAGTACAAACCAAGCCCCCAGACTGCGGTTCAGGCGACAGCGGACAAGTTTGCAACCATCAAGGGTCTTCCCTCTCCAGCCGCTGGGGTCTTTGAGGCACTCATGGAACGTTCAGACAGCCGGAATGGAACTCGAGATCGGAAGCCAGACGGCTTGCAACTGAATCTTGATCACGGCAACTCCTCCCAGACCGACCTGCAAGTCCAGTCCGATATGGCGGCCAGCTTCCGAAGCCCAGCATCAACGTTGAATAGCTTTAGCTCTGCAAGAAGCCCCAGCGTCAGTGGTCGCAGTATCGATCCCTATATTAGTAGCCTAGGGGAGGCGAACTACCATGCAAAGAAGTACCAGGCGCCTCGTGCCAACGGCCGAGGAAGGAGGAATACAGACGACTCGGTCAGTCAGACCTCGGCTCGGCGGTACCACTCTAGGAATGCATCACAAGAGACGCGTGGGCGACACGAAAGGAGGTATATCCCGCCTGCCAAGCGCTCGCCCTCTTCTCCTGTTCCTATGTCTCCGGAGGAGCTGGCTCAGATTAACGCCAATGCCGCCAAAAAACCCACCTCTCGGACACGGAGCGCTAGCAGGGTTCGCAAACCACGCTCTCGGAACTCCTCTGAGCGTCGTCAAAACCGTTCTGCCAGCCGAAACACGGCAACTCACCTGGGTACAGATAAGAATGGTGCTATTACCCGAGGGCGCAGCATGGACAGACAAGGGTCAAGTACCCGGTCCCCTTCATCCCCATTGCCTGGCTCCAATGCCGATGATGCGCTGAGGCTTGTCGCGAGTGATAGAGAACGGCTGCGCATCCGCCAGCGGAGTGGCAGTCGTCGTCCGGAGAAGGGATCCGGAGCCAAAGCTGAGGTATACTCGGAATCGAAGTGGACCAGAGCGCGCTCTCGCAGCCGTCAAGACGCTGAACCAAGAGCAAGCGCGGAAGATGCAACGGATGTCATCATCTCAAGCAATGTGCATGATGGCATCTACCTTACGGGTTATCCAAGTGCCAGGAACATGCCGGCAGAGACACCGCGTGAAGTGCCTGCTGCTGGCGTTCCACAGCTTAGCCTTGCGGAAAAGAAGAGGAAGGAGCTTGCTGCAGCCGAGCTTGAGGCACGACGCCTTTCGCTTGCACGGAATCCATCTGCGCCTAATATCCCATTCCCAGGAGAGCTGCAGCCCAGTCGCACCCCCTTGGAGAGTCCGCCATTTTCGGTTCATAGTTTTGCGCCACGTACTCCTGGTCGGAACCGGGCTGCGACAAACACCACCAAGGCCTCGCCAGAATACCCAAGCAGCTCGGACTCGAACTCGTCAAGGTCTGGTGTGCCATTGGGACTGCCTGCAACTCCGAAGGCCATGCGGCATCCGAAATACAACGGATACGAAGAAACTGCGCCCGTTCCTCCCGTGCCCGACAGCACCCTACTCAGTGATGCCAAGTATCAAGGTGATGCGGAGCGGATCGGTCGTTCCATGTCTGTTCCAGTTCCTGAGAGCCATCAGCCTGGTGCAGTGCCCACCGATCTCCCAATGCATCCGCGATTCAACCCTCACCTGCCGAGAAGTCGGTCCACCAGTCGAACGCGGAATAGGGCCCATCGGGACAGTGGTGGATATAGCTATGGGGGCTCCCCTGTGACCGTCAGCATCGAGGAGACCATTGAAAATGCAATGGGAGGACAACAGGCTGACCCTCCCATCCTGCCGGAGCTCCAGCATCTGAACCCACCGCCACCACCCCCTCCGCCAACCGCTCCTTTGGCCTCTCCACGTGAATCTTCGGGAACAATTGATATTGCCATTGATAACGAGGATTTTGGACGGTTACTTCCCCGCGCGATGACGGCAGCGCCGGCCTTTAACATGGAAGGCCACCCGGGTTTGGAACACCGCCGTATGTCGCTGGAGCACCGACGGGGGCGCAGCGTCAATGAGAGCTTGAGCAGCAAAATCCGCAATCTGGCTCGGATGGGTAGCACCAAGAGCACCGACTCGTGGGTTGCTTCTGATATAACACTGCCTTATGAGACTGTGATAGTCGACGGGCGCATCTAGCATGTTGCAAGTCAGACTTATGATGATGAAGATTGCTGTATCGAACGCAGCCCCTCCAGGGAGCCCTTCCGAGTCGCAAATCGGACTCATGATTGACGACATTTGATTCTTTCACTCCTTCACTCTATTTACTCACTGATTGTTTTCTTTCTTGTTCTTTCCTTCCGTTAGCAAGGCATCCTGGTAATGTTGATTGTTGGACTGTATACCCTGGCAACACTTGGCGATAATGATGGACTTTACCCAGTTACCAGAGGATCACCATAATGGCTTTCTTTCTATTCGTCCTCGTATCTAAACAAGGCCCTCGGGGGTAAGAAAAGTCGCTCTTGAAGTTACGAAGCGGTTGTCATATTGTGCGAATGCAATAATAATTGATCAATACTGTAGTAGCACGTGCCTTCCTCTTTGCCACCTGCCTCTCTCTATCCGAGTGTCATAAAGCACACACCGCCTCATCACCAGGTTTCCTTAAACCCACCCCCCTTGGAGCCGTATCTGGCTTTGCTTAGTGCTATCTGTTTGGATTCTGCATGGGGCATCGTTCGTGCTCAAGCCGCACCAGGCTTCGATTGGATCGCCGTGGATCTCTATCATGCAATACCACTATAGTAGATCTACCGCGGTGCCTGGTACATCCAAGCTTGTTGAAGAACTTAAGAAATTACATTTATGACTTCACCGACTGTTGGTCATACGCTCAGAGGGGAGTCTGCTAGCATTTACAAACCCATCTATCGAACAAGGGATATCTATCATACAAGGACACATCCAGATCAGTTCCATTTCCCCCACCAGGCACCATTCTTCTGCTGCGTGCCCTGGAGAACATCCGTCGACATCTTCCGCTCGTTGTCCAGCATCTTATCAAACTCGGCCTGCGCCTGCTCGCGCTCACTGCTTCTCCCATGGTCCCTATCTGGGACAGGATCCGACTGCACCGGCTTAGATACCGGCCTCTGCTGCGAGGCACCCCCATTATTCTGCCTCCGGATCCGGTCCCAAGCACTCTCCCCAGGGATCGAATCCCGATACGCTGGCGCCACAGGACTAGCATCATCCTCATCCTCCCAGAAAACACCCCCCTTGTCCTCACTAGGTTCAGGAACAGCCGGGGCACGAACCCGAGCAGCAGGAGGAAGAGTCCCAGCTCCATCCGGGCCAAACCATCTCGGTCTTGATCTCTGTTCCTCCACCTTCTTCATCTTCTCCTCCTCCTCTCGGCTCCCCCAAGTCGTCGTACTCGCCCCAAACTTCGTTGCCTCCTCATCCGACCCGGACCCCCCATACACAATATCCCTCTGTTGCACTTGCTCCTGCTCCTGCACTGGTATCTGCCCCTTCGGATAATTGCTCCGGTTCTCCCAAATCGCCGGCACGATCCCCGGCGCCACGCCCCTCACATCCGCCGTCTTGACGGCATTCTTATAATCCTCGAAAAACGTCTTCATCCTATCATCAGCCAAAGCCTTCATCAAACTCCTCATATTAATCCAGTGATTCCACATGAACTGGCCTAGCATCATCCACCACAACACACGGACTCCCCCAATGAACATCGCCCTCCTATACGCAACCGGATCCGCCGCTTTAAACCGATCCATGGCCAGATTGAATGCCTCCCGTGTAGGATTCTCCTCAAACCCTTTGAAGAGGTCCAGGTAGGTCGGGTGTTTCTTGACGATTTGAATATTCCGTACCACGCCGATGAGCATCCCAATCGGGACACCGAACACCTGGTGGTAGAGATGTCGGGTGCTTCGTTCAACTATGCAGTCGGTTTCGGGCTGTGTGAGGGGTCGTTGGACCATGGACATTTGTTTTTGGATGGTGAGGCGGGCGCGTTCGTGCGCGACTCGTGTCCAGGTGCGTTGGCTGCCCCAGCGGAGGTGGAGGGTTAGGAAGTCGGGCTTGTGGAATAGGGCGGGGTTTATGGCGCCAGGGTGGAAGGTGGTGAAGATGGGGGAGGGGTCATCGGGTGGTGAGTCGGTGGCATCGTTGGATGATGCCATTGTGGCGGTTGTGTTGTGGTTGTGGTTGTGGTAGTGTGGTGTTGGTGGAGTGAAGCTTTGATGGATGTAGATGAGTGGATGGAACGGGGATTTATGCAAATTAGTCATCGGGTACGGAGTAGTGTTGTGCATTAACTACTCCATATTTATTCCAAGTATAGCCATGACCATATCCTGAACCATTCTCTATTGAGTACTCTGAAATACGCAGAACAGCAATTGCATTCATTCATTCACAAATGACCTATCATATGCCAATCATCCCTCAATCCCCCTTCCCCGTTATACCTCCAGCTATCAATCCCCAGCCCACCACAGACCCCCATCTCCCTACCCCATCTACTTACTTACCAAGAAGACAACCTACCACCTCTCAACATACGGTCTCAAATCCAACTCGAACCCAAACGTAGTCCGCGGCTGCGTATGCAAATGCCAATACGCCTCGGCAATCTATTACCACCATTAGCACACCCCTATCACAACTACTCCCCTTCCCTTTCCCCCCCACTCCTCCCAAGAAAAAGAAAAAAAGATACTCACAGCCCCCGGATCCAACTTCGCATCCTCCTTCTCAAACACCCACCCCTTCGTCCTCGGAATATCAATCACCCCATCAATAATCACATGCGCGACATGAATCCCCTTGGGCCCGAACTCCCTGGCCAGTGATTGCGCCAACGCGCGCAACGCGAACTTCCCGCCGCGAACGAGGCGAAATTCGCCGACCCTTTCAGACTAGCCGTCGCGCCGGTAAAAATCAACGTAGGTGGGTATTTCGTTGCGGGTGCAGTTGCGTTCGTGTCGCTAGGGAAGAGAGGGAGGACTGCTTGGGCGAAGTTGAAGCCTCCTTTCCTATATCCATCAAGCATTCATACCGTAGTTAGAATAATCCTTCATCCTTTCAATAACACACAAATGTACTATCAGGGGGAAAAAAAAAAGGAAAAGAGAAGAGAATGATACCCCTGCCCCTCAAACCCCCCGACATACTCCTCCTCCGTTAACTCCAAAAACGGTTTTCTGATGAACCCGCCTCCCGAATTAAACACCGCTGCTGCGAGAGGCGCGTTCCCGAATTGGGATTTGATTTGCTCGAAGGTGGACCTCACGCCCTTGGAGTCGGATAGATCGGTGCTGATTCCTGTGGCTTGGCCGCCGGTGGAGTTGATTTCGTCGACTACGCTTTGGTAGTTTTGGGGGTTGCGGGCGAGGAGGATTACTGGGTAGGATTTTGCGAAGAGGCGGGCGATGGAGGAGCCCTGTTTATTGTTTAGTATTTGTTTTTGGTAGGGGGGGAGGGATGGATGTACAGTTCCGGGGCCGACGCCGGCGATGATGGCGAAGGGTTTGGTGGCCATTTTGGTTGTGTAGTGTTGATTTGATGTTGCAGAAGGTAAATTGGGTTATAAGGAGGATAAAGATAGCGTATGAAAGAAGGGAATACTTATAGTTCAGATAATCTCATGTCGTCATTTGGGTCGGGCTTCTTGTCATGCCGAGATTAGAAATCAGCGGGGGAAATGGGTCTTCTTAGCTTTAATGGGGGGTCAATTAGTCAGGACTGTTTTGAGATTATTATAGTGACTATATAGGTGTTCTAGGGGGCCATACTAGGGATATCCTCTGGTATCTATAGTGTATCATGTTTTTTAACTCAGTCACATGGGGTGGTGGATTGTCCGTCTGTCTGTGTCTGCCCCAGGCATCCATGGTCTAGCTTATCGATAAGCAGCTGATAAGATTTCTCAACCAGCTTTTTTTCTCTCCGCATCTCCATCTCCATCTCCATCTCTTCCTCATTCCTATCCCTCTATTTAATATACTACTCCGTCCACACCACCCTACCCAACGCACCAGCGGACACATCAACAATGTCCGAACTCCCCCTCTCCGACCTCTGCTCGATCTGGTCCGTCCCCATCCCCAACCCATCCTGCACCACACCACCCCAACCAACTAACTAACAAGAACAGCCACATCCAACCCCCCAAATACCGCTGTCCACGATGCAACACCCGAACATGCTCTCTCCCCTGCACACGTCGCCACAAACTCTGGTCCCAATGTTCCGGCATCCGCGACCCAGCGGCCTACCTCCGACGGAACGAACTTGCCACGGAAGCTGCCTTCGATCGAGACTTTAACTTCATTACCGGGATTGAGCGCTCGATTGAGCGGGCGGGACGCGACGCAGAGAATAGAGGGATTAATGTGGGCGAGAAGGCTGGGTATGTAGGGGATTTGGCGGTTGTGGGGTTGGATGGGGAGGTGCGGAGTGAGGCTCCTGGGAATGGGGGGAATGGGAATGGGAAGAGGAAGAGGGGGCAGGGTGGTGGTGGTGGTGGTGTGACAAAGGGGGAAATGGGGTTCATGAGACGGGTGGAGAGCGCGGGGGTCAAGGTTGTTAGAGCGCCAAAGGGGATGAGTCGGAATAGGAGTAATGGGTCGAGGTGGTTGGCTAAGTATGTTCCTTGCTTTTGTTCTTTGGTTGGGAGGGCATTGGCTGACGTGTGCAGGAACCAGTGTTTGATTTGGACGGTCGAGTGGATCATGGGCGATGGGGAGAAGAAGATGAGGAATTGTACCGAGACGTCGACTATTGCGGATTCTCATGATCGAGTGCTTCCTCGGCCAAAGGAGGATAATGCAGAGCAGACGCAGACGGGAGAGAAGCCAGAGCAGGAACTTGAGCCCTCTCCGGATGCAGCACAGGATCCAGCATCGACTACGGATAATACACCCCAGCCGACAAACGCGCCAGACATTCCAGACACTCAGCCAGAGACTACAGATACACTACAACCCACTCCGCACCGCGACGTCTATTTCTACCTCCATCGTCCGCGGACCACTACAAAGCAACCCGTTCTGATCCCCCTGTCCCCGAAAATGTCCATCACAGCCGCCCTACGTGGTCACACCGTCTTGGAGTTCCCTACAATCTACGCCCTGCCAGACTCGCCGGATACTCTACAGGCACAGGAAGACCCCAAGTATCTGCTCGAGGAAGACTACCTCCGCACGCACCAGTCTCCAGACGACACCAGCGAAGATGCCGCCGAAGAGGACACCCAATTACCCCCCGGTGCCATCGACCTAGGCGGCGTCGACGAAAAAAAGGTGCTGGAAGTGCTCCAGAAGGATCTGTTCGAACCTTCGGCCGCGGCATAGACAATCTATATGACTGCGGCAGCATGCAGTCATGACGGGATACTTGTACATTTACCTTTTGCTCATAATTCTAACCACAGAGCCGATGGAACGCTCATTACTTCCGCTTCTCTAGTTGTCACCGGATGACTCGACAGTCTGTAGGCAGCGAGGTCACGAACCGATGCGCATACGTAGCTACTCGGGGATCCGACCCGTTCGACTGGATCGAGCTCTGCTTGGTCAACCTCACGGTCAATTGTGCCCAATTCAATCCAAATGTATATACGCTAAACCCAAACAAATAACTCCATGGGGTATCACATGAACCTTATGCCAGAAACATCAGGACGCCATCCGATGCTTGTCGAATTGTCCCGGGTATCACGTCCGTAGATGGCTTGGAAGCCTAGATCAATGGCCATTGGCCTGTATATAAAAAATGTTGCTCACACGTGTCGGTGGCTTGAAAAGCCTATATCAAGCGGCTTCGGCTTGTATAACCGCTTGCGAACAGCGAACAGTGTCGCCTGAGCCCTCTGATACTAAGTAGACCGGTCCAGCGGCTCCGCAGCCTCGATTGATCGATGGCGCGACTAAGCCTGGCAGGGAATGACCTCGCAGCTAGTACCTAACCTCTGCGGTGCAGACGTTGGGCAGTCTCAGTGCGACATGGGAGAGATACACAACTGCAGTGTGTAGTTCTGATGGAAGAATGCCAACAGCCGATCAAGTCAGTGGGCTCGTAGCATCAGACGCGGTGTCTGGAAGCTCGTGGTCTTCCATCTTCTCGGCGTTACTCGAGGAAATAGGCACGATCTCAGTGGCGATCGTGTTCGGCAAGGTTGGCTCATCACCCTCAATGGCCTTGCCGTTGCGAGAGCTGGCTTTGGACTCCGTGGGCGACAGATTCGTCCGCTCTGAGCGATTGGACTTGAGCCGGATGCGGCCTCGCTCCAATGCCCGAAGCAATGTCCCGACTTCATCGGAAACAATCCCACGGAGCTTGCTCATAGTGTCATCCGACATGTCGGAGTGGGCATTCCAGCCAAGCTTGTCCGATTCTTCAGAAGTCAAAGACTTGGACTCCAGAGAGGGTCCAGTGACGAGTCTCTTCAACGTAGTCGGAGACATGGTTGGTGGGCGTGCCATTTTGACCGGCTTTCCCTTGGTGCTAGAGGTCGCGGAAACGACCTCTTCCTGCTGGCGCTTGGGTGGACGAGGTATGGCAGCATTCGGCGCTTCGCCCACTTCATTTCGAATCTTATAATATACCAGCCCCAGGGTTGCAGCCAAGGCCTGGTGTGCGGCTTCGGGATACAAGCGAACGGCTTCCGCTCGGCTCAGATTGGATGGATAGTCACTGGAATCGCTCGAGTCGCTATCGCTGGCAAACAGCGACTGCTCCTGATGCATACGGCCCCAGTACTCATATCCTCCAAGCTGATAGAATTCGGCCAGTTGCACCAACCGGTTAACTGATATTTGTTAGACGCTTCTTCATCCGGTGCACAGTATGCTGCACTTACTCCGACTTCGTTTTTTTAAACACCAGAACCGCCACACAGTGCGAGGGAAGTATTCGGGCCATTGTAACGATCCGGCATCTTCGACAACCGGAACAGGCGTGATCGGGGCATGTGTCGTATGGGCCAACGAGTTGAAACGGACCCGCTCGGAGTGCTTCATCCGGGCCTCAATGAGGGAGAACCGATTGAACACCGAAGTCAGATGTCGCGACGTTTCATGTTGTAGAGTGATCAGATCCGTGCGAAGTTGACTGATGGTCGCGTGGAGTTTGCTGATCTCCACGCGACATCCGCATACGTCGGTCTGCAGGTGCTCAATATCGGACTGAATCTGATCGACATTCTTGGACAAGCGGTCGACGTCGCTACGAAGGAAAACGGTCTCGTTGCCGTTCTGGCCGATGCTGGACTTGAGCTGGGAAATCCCGGACTTCAGCTGGTCGAAATCCGTCTTCAATGCCACCACGTTCAGGTCGATCCGGTTGGAGACGGAGCGGTTGGCTTCGAATTCGCGGCGGATGTGTTCGTCTTCGCGGTTGCGTCGGTCAACGTAGCCATCCTTTGTCAGCACGCTGGAGCGCAGCTCGAGCAAGCGGGAATCCAAGAGGGTCAGGCGGTCGTGAATGTGCGATAGGGTTGGGTCTGTGAGGGCCGGAGGAGTGCTTTCGTGGATGAGAGATAGCCTAGGGCTGGAGACGGGTATGGACATGCTCGACGTGCGAGAGAGACTGCGTTCGAGGGTGGTGGTCATGACGGGCGAAAGGGGGAGACGCGGTCGTTCGTTAAATAGGCGTGGTTGAGGAAATACAAACACTCATCGACGGGTTCAGATTGATATGACATACATTTTGTCGACGGGTTTGGGACGGTTCGAGGATGGTTGTGGGGGGGGTTGCGATGAGTTAGGTTGGGTGGTGGTGGATGGGAAAGACGATGGCTGGGCGTTGCAAGAGACAGACAGACGAGCGACGGGTGAGATTTGGATTCCAGGCAAAAAGCGGCCCCTCGCGGCCTGCGTGGCACCCAACCCGGAAGGCGCCTGACTACCGGCCGCCCACTTCGGTCCCACCAGCAGAACCCTGGCAGCATGATTCATTTGGTTGGATTATAATATCATGATATTCCGGCATCAGATCAGTTGTCTCCAGTTTCATTCATCCTGAATTTGTATAGTGTATATTTGCCCATTGGGGATGTTTTGGAGAGAGCCGGAGGTGACAATACACGATACGATCGGTGACAAAACCGTCTCACAGCAACTCGGCGGCTTGGCAGTCACACTGCATTCAGCTGACGCAAGGCAGCCAATCAATCTTGTTATGCGCTATCTCGCCACCCGTGTTGGAGAGGGGCCTCGCTCGTTGATTGGAGGCCACAAATAACCTCTGGCAAGGCCTTAGCGTCATCATGGGCAGGCTGGTTCTATATACCGTCTCGGTAAGATTGGATACACAACGAGAACAGAACAAAAGGCCTCATTCTCCACGGAGATGGATGCGCCTCGTTTGACATGGATCAAGTGCATTGCTGACTCGAGTAATCAGTGCCTCAATATCCAAGAAACACAGTATGCTCGGGACAACGGTGCAACTGGCATCCACATACTTTACTTACTCCGTAGTCGGCACGCCCTCCACATGCGAAGATGCTTCCTTTCAACTGGGCCCCTCGCTTGAGTGAAGCATCTGAGACGTCCAACGAATAGATGCTGCTGTGGGCTTCTGTTTGGAAGGAGTACCTGCTATTGGTGTCTTGGGCTACAGCAGTACAGCGTGGCACGGCCAGCTGTCAGAGGATGAGTGATGATTGCTCATTAGAGGGGCTATCTAGATGGCTCTCTCACCTTAGAACGAATGGCCGATCGTGGCATGGCTCTGTGATTTGCCTGAAAGCACATTCTGATCTTCGAATCGTTTCTGACATGTTTTGATCAGTTGCTGTCCTCTGTATCTACATGGTAGTAGTTCTTGCACTGCAATCTCATGCCCGCTTGTTCAAATCGTCAGAACGAAAAGCTGTTCACGAAGCCACAGGAGTAGCAGGGCTGATATTTTTACATATCGATCGCTGGGTACAACGGATACTATCCGTTGCATTATGTTTCGATGTGAGTTCCTTGGCAACCTGGACAGAATTTGTAGGTCAAAAATCAATCGGAATCTGTGTCTTCTTGTGATGAATCAAGGCAAGTAGCCAACTATGAAGACAATAAAATGTGTTGACGAACCTAGTAGATCCAAGTACTGGATTCCGAAGCAGAGATTAGCCAGATATCATGACTCTGTCCAGCGCAGCTATACCGAACTATATCATTGACCAACAAACACAAACAGCACCAGTTTCGCAACCATATCATAGACTCACACTTATTATCACTACCGTTACCCTCAAGCTTCCACCGACCTTTCCATGACCAAAATGATACACGAAAACGCTGGGGTGTCCAAAAGTGATTCTGGGGGACATCCATCGCCATACAAAGTGGGCCAGTTTGGATATTGTTCCAACAGCTAAGTTTCCTCTGTATCTAATACTACCAATCACTAACAGCTGACTGAATAACTCAGCAACCACCCCCAGTCTATAAATGAATCCAGCAAGCTCCTTTGCATGGAAGTGACCGCCATGACGCACCTTCCATGTCAACCGATCCCATCCACCCTCCATCACACACTCAATTGACCTCACAGCGCCCTCCAGACTCCCTCTTCACCCCTATTATTCATACCAAACCATCCATCCATATAATCAAGATGAAGCTCGTCTTTCACTTCCTCCTGCCTAGTCTCTCCCTCCTAGCCACCACCACAACCGCTCTATCCATACCACAACCACCCACAACCCAACCCACCAACAACAAATCCACCAACAACCCTCATTCTCTCTGTGACTGCTACCTCACCACCGGACCAGATCCAGGCTACTTCACACACTACAAATTCTGGGATTTCCGTAACGTTACCCTCCCACAAGGAATCGAGACCACGCAAACAAACCCCGCCAATCCCCACGACTCCTCCAACCTTCAAACCTACCCTCTTTCCAAATCCCCCTTCAACCGGGACTGGCATGCCCAGACTTGGAAGCGAGGCGCCACTCCCATCAGCCCCGTGCCCATGGTGAACACAGACCGCAACGTCTTCCTCCTCAAAGACCCATCCAGCTCATCAAGCAACCCGCGGTCGTCATCCCTTGTGCTCCGCACAACCCGTTTCGCAGATCATGCCTCCACCGCCGAAGTGGAAGGCTTGTTCGGTTACATCTATCACTGTTCGCTTCGGCTGCGACTGCGGATGATGTCGAGGGATGCCATTGTGCGGCAGGCAGCGGTTCCCAATACTGATATAGCCACTACTGCCGCGGAAGCTCGAAATTCAGTGCCCCGAGGAAGCTGTGCCGGTATCTTCACCTATCGTTCCGCGGTCTGCGAGTCGGATATTGAGATCCTGACGTCCGAGGATCCCCATACCGTTCATTATGCCAATCAGCCGGATTACGATCCTATCTCAGATACGCTCATTCCGGGAGCAAGTTCGATTGTTAATTTGTCGACGCCGTGGACGTCGTGGGCCACGCATCGCTTGGATTGGTTGCCTAATCTGTCGGCATGGTATGCCGATGGGCTGTTGCAGAGCAATAGTACTTACTCCATTCCGAACCGTCCGAGTATCGTTGCGATGAACCTCTGGAGTAATGGAGGTAATTGGTCTGGTGATATGAGAATCGGGGACAGTGTGTACATGGGCATTGAGTGGATCGAGCTGGTGTACAATGTCACCAAAGCCGATCAGGATCTTCCGATCAAGGACCACCCCGGACACAGGGATCATTATCGACGGCCGCTGGATCACACTTCGATGGGAGATGACAACTTGGCCCGACACAGTGCAGCAGAGGTTCCGCGTGCCCATATTGAGCCCCGGACAGGGAAGAAGAGTGGCGGATGCCAAAGACCCTGTTGGATTGACCAGTGGCAGCATGTGTGAGGTTTTGTCATCGTTGCTTTTGATCCGGTATCCTAGAGTCTCCTCCTAGTCTTATGCCACGAATCATAGTCTACTGTCGTTCTGTTACCAGACACCCCCGTAGCAGCACAGCAGTTGTAGATGGTCGATGGTCATGTCGCTCTCTCGATTCTTTGATCCCGTATCTCAGTCCAAGCTAGTCCTACGCTCGGAACCAGTCTACTGTTTTACCATTGGATCCATAATAGTGTAGTAGTAGTGATAGATTGTTACTCATGCAATTGCCTCGATACAAATCGTCTGGCTCAGTCGGCCCTGTACAGAAGAATAGAGGCAAGTAGATACATGCTCGATCCCAGTCATCCATCCCAACTCCCCGACTTCCCAATTCCCAATTCCCCGTTCCATGCTCCTTGCTCAATCCCAAAACAATCCATAAACATGCATGTCAGGAGCTTTAGCTCGACTGACGGGGTATCCAAACAAGACAATGCTCAACGCTGACAAGTTCACTCATACAAATGCAAGCCATGCCCCCTTGGCCCCTTCCCACGCTCTCTCCTGTGCCCCAAACAAACTCCCAACCCAGAATCCCAACCCAAAACCCAGAACCGAAACCCGCAAAGCAGGCACCCCCAAAGCGCAAACAGAACCCACAGACAGACACAGACACAAACACAAACATCAGGACAGGATGAGGTTTTTCCCTTTTTTACTTTGGTGGGTTTCCCCCTCTCCTTTTTCTTTTCTTTTCTTTTCTTTTCTTTTCTTTTTTTTTGGTTTTTTTTGGTTTGTTAAATACAAACCCACCCTTCTCCCCTCCCCTCCTCCTCCGCCGTCCCCGTCCCCTCACAGCAAGACTTGTCCGCCCAGGGCGGGGTCAAACTCCCCCTCCAGACCGCCGGCCATCAGCTCGGCCACTATCTTACGGCGCAGCAGGGGAGTATCTGCCGCACCGTAAGACAGTGGCTCCAAGCCGATGGCCACTGCCTTGGCGGTCGAGAGGAGGAAGACCCCGCAGTCCGAACCGTTGTCTTGCTGGGGGGACAGGGACGGCAATACCCGCCACTCCTCCTCGACATACTGGGGGCCCAGCTCGCCGCGGAGCCAGGTTTTGACCACCGCGATGTGGCGGCGAGACAGGGCCCCCAGTGAATCGAAGTGCTCGATCGAGCGCTCGACAGGTCGTACAACAACCAAGGTCCAGTGTTGGTTGTTGTGGACCGGGATGTAGACAGTGTCTACGTCGAGGAGGAGTGGCCCCCCAATCTTCGCCCGCTTCGCCCACCGCGCCACCGACTCGTACCCCTTATCACGTAGATTGGAAAAGAAAAAGGAGTTGAAGGCGTGGAAGCGTGGCTTGTCGTGCCGCCCGGCGTTGTGGTTTTTGCGGCGGAGGTAATCGACGATCAGCGCGAGGTATGAATTGATGATTTCGTCGTTCAACCAGTCGCCCTGGGTGTAGCACGTCGCGAGGTCTTTCTTCGTCAATGGGTCACCGGATAGGGTGGCGGCGACCTTTCGCGCGACGGGGACGCTCCTATTTTCCAAATGTTTAATACGCGCCTCCCATTCAGAAGAGAGGGGTCGTACAGCTGGTCCATCAGGTTTGACACGAGATGGTAGCTCCCTCTTCTTTTGTTCCTCTTCGATTTCTTTCCAGCGCGCGGCATACACAGACTCGGTTCGGCCGTCGGGGATGGGCTGTTGGACGGGATAGAATAGACGGACAGCTGAAACCGGTCTTCCAAGGGGGTATTCGAAAGGCTGAGACCACGGGTCAAGGCTAGGCTCGTCAAGCTCGGGCGCGGGCGGCACGTTTTCTTTCTGATCGGATCGCGTTTCGGTCTTCTTCGTTCTAGTGATTGTTCCGGTAGCTGAGCTATCGTTCGTAGTAGTGTCTTCGAGGTCAAGCGCTTCATTGAGATGTGGTGCCAAGTCAGGGTCCAGCTCAGTCCAGTCTCGTGTATCGTCGATGTACTCGGCCACCACAGGCTCGCGGAAGCAAACCTTGCGCTTGAACTTCGGCTTCTTCGGGACGCTGTGCGGCGAGGCATCAGTCGTCTGCTGAGGGCTCTTCGTTTCGTTGTCATATGCAATATCTGCTCGGGCCATGGCGTTGGCATTTTTCTTCGATTTGAGAAACTTCTTCGGTTCTTTTTCAACTGCAATAGGCGATGCGGCCTTCAAGGTGGTGTGCTCGTTCAGTTCCATAGATTTCTTCGTTTCAATTTGATCAGCTGCGGTAGGGGAACGAGACTCGAGATTCGCAAGCTGAGTCAACTTTGTAGATCCTTCGGATCCGGTTTTGTTCTCGACCATGGAAAGTTCATTCGGCTGCTGGTTCTGGGCGGAAGCTTCGCGTTCGCGCAATGCAATCAATTCGCCGCCGGCTCTTTTGATCTCTTCCTGGTCGCCAGACATGAGCGCCCTCCACACAGCAGAATTTTCCTTGGCACGCTTGGCACGCTCGGCACGTTTATCAGGTGAGAAGGGCAACCGCTTGCGAATACCAACAGGTCCGGCTTCTCTTGGCTTCGACTGTTTGGTAGGGGAGCGAGAAGCCCTGGAGGATCTTTCATGTTGGGCCGGATGATCGCGCCGCTTGGAAGCTTGTCTTTTCTTGGGAGATCCAGAAGCACTTGGCTTCCGAGATACGGAGTCACGAGGCTCCTTAGTAACGAGTTCATTTGACTGTTTGTGAAACTCGGTGGCGGGTGAGGACTCAGCCTTAGCAGGAAAGTCGGGAATATAAGACAAATCGGGGAAAGGAAGATTGATGGGTGGACTATTTCCTCTGGCTCTCAGTCGATGCTCGCGTCTCATACGCTGCTGCTGTTCTGGAGATAGACCACGAAATTTCACACGCGGCGGAGATCCACGAGGGGAAGGTGGTTGGCGACGTCCAGGCTGAGTGCGGCGCCGATGCCAGACTTCACACACGCGTCGTTTGGCGGCGCCAACAACAGTGACGGCAGTCCGGACTGCATGGGAGAACGACTGGGTAACCCCGGCGGGAACAGTAAAAACATTCTGGAAAGAGTTCTGCCAGGCTGTCCAGTAGGTGTGCCAGGGCGAAAGAGGCTCCTGTTGGATTTCCTGAATAACAGGTTCAATGGCCATGTTGTCTTCGACATCGGACAATTCCATGCTATCAGATGGCATCAAAGCACCGGACATCATTGCTATGACTGGACTTCCTGGGAGGGGGGTAACATTGAAAGAATCATGAGGCGGCACTGAGTCTGGCCATGCCCCAGGCATATAATGGGTGTTCAAGCTGCTCGAATAATCACGAGCGCCTTCAGTGACGTCCATTGGACACACTTTGTGAGAAAGGGGGCTATCGGGTTCAATCTTATCGAAGGTCGTAGGCACATTTGGCTGGGGCTCCTTTTGCTCAGGCGTGTCAATATCCATCGGAGATCCTGGCGGGAGTTCACTCTCAGCGGGGCTAGCAACATGTGCAAAGCTGTTTGGCTTAACGCAACGAAATTTAGAAAGGACGACATTGTCAACCTGCGGGACACTGTGCTGCACAGAAGCACTTTCATTATCCTCCAAAGGTCTCTTGCGGGGAAGAGTGGAATTGAGCGAGATGTGCGCAAGGCCAGAAGTCGCACGGGAGAACTCGGCGTCTGCAATCAAATTGCGAGTCAAATGGGGGGGGAGAGAAAAATTCGCAAAGCTCGAAGTGGTACGGAAGAGGTTCTTGTCTGTAGTAGACTTGCCTCGAAGAAGGCTGTTAGTGCCATTGGCATATCCAACGCGCGAGGGGCCAGTGAGGGGTCTGTTGCCCAGGGTCCAAGTGCTGCGGTCAAAGCCGGTAGATCGAAAGTTACTGGTACCCAGATTATTTTGCAAAAACGCCGGCTGCGAGACATACTTAGTCTCAGGTCGCGGGAGACGATAGCCGTTAGATTGGCCTTCAGCGCCAGTATAGGTCGAGCTGCGAGATTTCGGGGAGAATCGGTGGTCAGGTCGGATGAAGGGAGTACGGAGGGGGATGGACGAATTGACTTTGTTGCCTTGTCCATCCAATCTCACCGCAATCGGCTTGCCAGAAAGCTTCACCGAGCGGAGTTGATAGAGAGGAGAAACGGATTGCTCTGCGGGCTGCTTTTCGTTGTCAGACTCTGGGATATCCGGGGTACAATCCATGGGATCATCGGAGGGGTCGATGGCCTCGACACGCGTAGTGTCCGAGGTAAGCATGCTCACGTCCTGCATATCAAAGTTCTCCATGCTGGGTTGCTGGGTTGCAACAACGCCAGACATGGTGAAATAGAAGATTGGTAGAAAGGTGCTTTGTAGTAGACTTAGAATTGGTTTGGTCGCTGACGTGGAGAATTCGCAGAAGCTGCTATAACGCTCGACGTAAACGCGGGAAAGATGGGTGGTGAGGAAGAAGAGAAGAAGGAGAGGGAAGAGAAGAAGAAAGAAGAGAAGAAGACTGGCGACGAGGTGGGCGAGAGGGAAAGTGGGATCAAAACAAAGGCATTCACTGAGGGCCATGGGCGGCTGCCATGGTGCTGGTAAAGGTCGCGCTGGTCGCCGCAGTGAATTGGAGCTCCATGGGAAGGTGTGGGTGGGAGCGGCGGACGAGGGGGGAGGTAGGCGCAATGGAGGGGAGAAAGTGAGGCCGCCGGCGATGGGCACGTCGGAGAAGACGAAGGGACAAGAACAATAATGATGAACGATCCTCGGGAGCTTGGCTTCCACTATCCCCCATCGGGGGCATCACGTGCGGTGCACGCCTCAGTCTATTCCCCTTCTCCTCTGCTGGGGTTTCCCTCCAGCTGGAACGCCAATCCCAGAGAACTATGGCCCCGGGTGCAGGGCGCGCCATTGGCCATGGACTGTGTAACCCCTGGTCCCATGGACCAGTTCCATCCTATCCTCCGAGCATAATGTATATACCCCGTAACTACTCCGTACTCCGTACACTGCACACCTACAAGTACACGATATATCTAGAAAGGACCCATTTCTGAGAAATTCCAACATTTAAAACGATCATCAACGGTCTATGTACAAGAACGGCAGCTATGTTACAACAAGGACTTGTTGAGTCCAGCCCGCTGAACCGTAAAAACAAGGGGAAAAGGTTACAGAATCGAAACGGTCGGTGGCAGTCGGACCCATCCTGCTACTATGCCGCCAGCCCTATCCGATCGAAGAGTAGAGGCGCTCCCTCCATCACAATCCACGCAATTCCTAGCCCGACATCGTCAGCATCTATAGAACATACACCCACAGCACCTCGTGGACTCCGCGGGGATCACCTACCAGAATATACAACAAGCTTCGTGACTACTTCGACATCATACCGCACCCGGGGCCGTTTAATCTGCGAAAACACTTCCTTCTCGTCGGCCTCGATTCCCGAATCGAACTCGGGGAAGGGAACCGTGGAAGAGGTGTCTTGCGAGCCAACATCGACAGACGTCGCCAGACCAGGAGCACCGGTACCCATCATATTCTCGTACTCGTGTAGCTTGGATTGTTTTCGCGACAATTTAGGGGGATCGTGTTCCGGGACAGGCGAATTGTGACCACCAGCATCTGTAATAGGAGATGCTCGGTTACCCGTTGAAAGACTTTCCCGTCTGCGTTTCTCACGGTATGCCAAGGTCTCATAGGCATCGGCTTCCGATTGGGGGCCAATTGAAATGGCTCGCCGCCTGGGATGACGGATAGTGGTGATAATCGAGGGGATCTCTGAGAATCCCGGCAGCACTTCGTGATCCCTGAGCTGGGATGGGACTTTCGTGTATTGTCTGTTTTGTTCGGTACGTTAGTATGCCCATCGATCCCCCAATCTACACCCTCTCTCTTTCCTGACCAGTGGTACGATAGTAAGACTTACGAAGCGTTCGTGAAGAATCTCCGGGGAAGGATAAGACCCAGCTTCTCCAGGCCCCGGAAGACAGGCGGCAGAACTCGGAGTAGGAATGGTTTGGTGAGGGCTCGCCATGTGAAGAGCACCAGTACGCCAATGATGAGTCGCAAAGCCGTCTTCACCGCTCCTATGCGCTCGAATTCAAATGGGACTCTAGCTGGCACAGGCTCATCCAACCCCATACTTGACTTTGCAATATGCCAGTAAGCCACCTGTGCGCCAACCATCACACCTGCAAAAGCCACACTATCGTCGAAACAAGGACAATCGTCGGCAGGCTCCGGATGCACACGAACCAGCCCCAGGATCAACAGGACCACTAGTGTGACACCCTTCCCGGTTGCAGCCAGGACATACTCGTCAATAACGGGCCCAAACGTATACTGTAGATAGGCGAGAAAAGCCCCAAGAAGACAGCCCGTGATGACATCGGAAAACCCGTGCATTCCACAGTACAGGCGACCCAGAACTATCGATATGACGTAGAGGTACGTTATGGCTTGGAGAATGAAGTTGGCCTGAGGGCCCAGAGTCGCTTCGGGAGAGTTCAAGAGTGAGAGCGCATACACCGCAACCGAAACCGCATTGGTAGAGTGGGTCGAAGGAAACCCGTATTCTAACGCTGCGGAGCCGGACATTGTTATCCGTTGAAGAGGAGGGGACAGAGGCCGCGGTAGGCATAGCAAGTCTTTGATGAAGCCACTGAAGAATACCCCCGAAGCCAGAAGGTGCACCATCCTAAGAAGGTTAAGGTCGTTAGCCCTTCCATGGCCATGTAGATTTGCCTCCACGTTGTTGGTTCGTCTTGAATACCTACCCGCGTCCTAAGCTCGCATAGCCGCACCAGAAGAGGATCGGCAGAAAGACCATGAAAAAAGTATGTGTACCCAGATTGGCTGTGAAGGCAAAGTAGGAGTCGAGGGCCGGGGTGCGAATCCTCTCTTGGAACCAGGCTAGATATGGTGTCTCATATCGAATCAGCGGGAGAAGCTTTTGTCGTGGCCAGTATCGCCAGTAGGGAAGCTGGTTCCGGTCTGATGCGGACGATCACAGGTTGCCGTTAGCCTTGTAGAATAGTATGATCTCTGACGACAACCACCACGTACAATGATCAAGGCTTTTCAGCCCAGCATCCGGCTGGCCATTCTTCCCATTGCCCATCATGACGTTGTTTGTCCGGTGAAGGCAGCCGATTCAATTAGCGTGATGGCGTAGCTGCAACTTCCCCCATACGATTCCCAACAGATGGATGTATCAACGCGCCGAGGGGATCATTGAGGGATGGGCTGGTCGGAAGCAGGCAATGAAACTTGGGGCGTTCAGGGATTGTCGTCAAAAAGTAAAGAGAAACTCGAGGAGTAAATCACGGTGGACTAGGTCATGTTTGTCCGGCGTTATCGCGAAAAAGGTCATGATCTTGGCGGTCGATGCGGTCGTGGTTTGTTCAACCACTCAGCATTCGGGGAGCCGCTCGCGGCTGAGGTAAGAATTTAGTCAACTAAATGGCGGAACAAGCGAGTATGATTTGTAGACTGCGCTCAACGACCGTCCTTATCATGGTCCGTCGCACTCCGTAGTCCGTACAGCTATGACATCTCAGTATTTAGATGCTAGATTGAACAGTATACGAGCATGATACATGGAGTTGAATCTTCGTGTGAAGTGTACTGCTACGTATATCTACCAGTGCCTTCGTACTTCCATTGATTCAATCGTTCTGCAAGGAAACAAATGTGACATTCAGTGCCTGAGGAATGTTGCTGAAGTAAGGGCTTAGTCAACCGGGAGCATCGAGAAGAAGAGCAGCAACTACAAAATACTATTGTAGTGTTGTTTATCGGCAGAGTATTTCGCTATAGATAATCCACATTGAGAAGTATCGCCCGTTAATATAGTACTGGACTCGATTTATGGGTCGAGAGCAGAGAATAATCTACGTCAATTGGGGGAGTAGGCTATGAAAAGGATTAGACCCTGTCGGCCATCCAGAACCAGAACATCCTATGTTCCAGCTTGTCTAGCCCTACAACTCTAAATTAATAATACCTGAAGAAGTACAGAAACTATTTAATAAAAAAGAAGAAATCTGAGAAGCTTTCTGAAAGTTATAAAAAGATTAGTTAAAAAATATGAAAGATTTTTAATACTGTATAGAAAGTCTTTAAGAAAGATTATTTATAAGAAAAATTATTTAATCTATAATTAAATTATTCTTTAAAAAATTTAACTTTTACTTATCTTTATATATCTCAAGTAATTCTTAGACTTTTAAGTCTATTATAGTTTTAAATTTTTTCTTTTTAAGAATTATTTATCAGACTAGTATTAACTATATATTATATGTTACAGACCCCTGCTAGCCAGGTTACTAGCGGAGCGGACTCGTTAGGCAGAAAAGCGACGACAAGGCAAGTCTCGGACAGCCAGCAACTCTTATCGAGTAGAATCCCGGTCTGAGTAACGTCCGGAGCGGTGTTGTGTCACGTGATTATCTACCATCAGATCTACCATCAAAGATATACGCAAGGTATACTGGAATCCAGGATCGTGATTAGATCGACCCTCAATCTACCCTAAATGATATATGATATGGTATACAAAGAATAGGATATAAGGACACTCTTTTATATACTTAGCTAGTTCTGTTCTTCGTGCTCAATATAATCATCTTTAAGTAACCATATATTTGGAAAACTTAGTAACAACACCCGTCTGTACTTACTTACGGATAGCTGCACAGCACTATCTGGCCTTACTTCTCTTCTCTAGTTCAGGACCAGTCATCTTTAGATAGTCATCAGTCTGACACTACCTCGATTTAGTTCGAAGGTACGTATATGTTACAGACCCCTGCTAGCTGAACGACTAGTAAGGCGGGTACGTCAGGCAGAAGGCAACGCCCGGATGAACGACCACTCTTATCGGGTAAAGTCCCGAGCTGAGTCATCACGTGTCACATGTCACATGACCATGGTATACGGACAGGCATATGGTATACGACATACCATCATGGTCTATAACTACCAACTGGGTATACGGTAGACCCGATGGTATATGGAATGGTATACGGGGAATAGGATATATAATGACACTCCTTCACGTACTTAGTTAGTTCTGTTCTTCGTGCTCAATCCAATTGTCTTTAAGTAACCATACATTTTGGTAAAGCTTAGCGACAACACTCGTCCGCACTCACTTACAGATAGTTGCGCGGCACTATCTGGCCTTACTTCTCTTCTTCTGTTCAGGACCAGTCACCTCTTAGATAGTCATCAGCCTGACTTACCTTGATTCAGTTCACAGGTACGTATTGGAACGGGAGCTAAGCTAACAGGAACAGGGAGAAGCGATCCTAGGGTTTGACAGTATACCAGTGAAGCTAAGCTAACAGGAACAGGGAAGCGATCCTAGGGTTTGACATTATAATTATAATATATTAATAAATTTAGTAAGTTAATCTAGTGGTACTTCTTATAATAATATTATAAAATAATTAATTAAATAAATTAAAAAATTAATTTTCTAGAATATTTAAATACAGTATATCTTTTTTTAACAGGACTTTATAATGAATAATAAGATTTAAACTAGTCTTTAATAAATGAAATAATTTATTAATAATTAATTTTTATTTTTTTAAAATATTTACTATACTAATTCTTATACTAGTATTAAATATTCTTTTAGAAACTAGCTAAGATAAAGAAACTTAAATTATTAATCTTTATTAACTTTATGTTACGGACCCCTGCTAGCTGAACAACTAGTAAGGCGGGTATGTCAGGCAGAAGGCCACATCCAGACGGAAGGGGGCTCTTATCAAGGAGGATCCTGACCCGAACCGTCAGACAACACGGATCACGTGACTATGGTATACAGACAAGCATGTGGTATACAACATACCATCATGGTCTATGACTACCAAGTGGATATATGATAGACCCGATGGTATACAGAATAGTATACGAGGGATGGATATATAAGGACACTTCTTCACTATTTAGTTAGTTCTGTTCTTTATGCTCAATCAAATTATCTTTAAGTAACCATATATTTTGGTAAAGCTTAGTGATAACACTTGTCTGCACTTACTTACGGATAGCTGCGCGGCACTATCTGGCCTTACTTCTCTTCTCTTGTTCAGATCAATTCATCTTTAGATAGTCATCAACCTGACTATCTTTGATTCAGTTCACAAGGTACATATCGGAAACGGGAGCTAAGCTAACAGGAACAGGGAGAAGCGATCCTAGGGTTTGACATATTGAGTACCAGTCAGTACGAGTGTTACCCAGTGATAACCAGTCATTATATTAACTATATTGAATATATCGCGAGCGCCTCAGCAGCAGGGCTTAACAACCAAGGAACTGATGGACATGGTTAGTCAGTTACAAGAAAGCATCACTGCCTTAAAACAACAGAACCGGTTACTCAAAGGTTACTTATTAGTCAAATCTGTTAAGATCTGATTACCTGAGCTATTTGACGGCAAATAAGCGAGGCTCAGAGCTTTCTTGACCCAGTTAGATCTGTATCTTAACATAAATAAGAAAAAGCTCAAGAATAAGAAAAATAAGATCTTTTTTATATCCACTTATCTTACTAAAGCAGTATTTAATTAGTTTAAACTATACATCCGCGAGCGATAAGAAAAATCAGTAAATAATCAGGATAATAATATAAAGTAACTTTTCACTAGTTATACCAGATTTAAACAGTATCTTAAATAAATATTTAGAGATATTGATGCAGCACAGAATATTAAATAAAAATTATAATAACTTAAGTAGACAGGATTAGTATTCACATATGCTTTAAAATTTTAATAAGTTATTAGTTACTTAGACTAAGATAATAACACCTACATCTTATGATTTAAAGAAGAACTCAAGATAAAGATCTAAGAGAAGATTATTTAGTAAGAATAACTAGATATATTGATCAAGATAATCAAAGCAGTAGTTAAGATTAATAATAAATTATATAATTTCAATATAAAATAATAAAAGGATTAATAAACCAGTGAGTCTATATCTTGATATAATAATCAGCCAGGTTACTAAGCTAATAATAAAAGATCAGTATCATCTAGAAGCTTGGGATACAAAGATCCTTACGGACTAAAACTAATGGAGCTAGATATAGTACAGCATCAGATTTAACAGACTCAAGTATTTAAGAAGAAACTTAAACAGTATAAATAAGACTACTTATACTTTAGCTGCAGTAAAGCAAATCACTAGTTAAAGAACTGTAATCAGAAACAGCCTCAGAAGTAATTGAGGACTATAAATCAAGATCAAGATAGAGGAATCTATAATATTACCGCTATTTAGCATAAAGTTTAGATAGAATCTATAACACAGACACTAGATAACAAGAAATTATATATTATTTAACATAGTTAACTGTTAGAAAACAGAATGTATTATGATTAGTTAAGATAACAGACCACCACGGATAAGTTAATAATATTATTTAGTTAATAAAAAGATTAATAATTGTCTGTATCATTAGTTTGGACCATAAAAATTAATAATAATAATTATAAGTTAATTTCAAGAAATAATTATCCCAGTATAGTTTAAGATAAAGATAAACCATTGAATAAAGAGTATAGTATACTATTTGAAGGCTTTAAACCTAGTAAAAAAAAACTTAATAAGATATTTAATATCTCTAAAAAACCCTTATCAGAAATTAGTGAACTCTGTTTATCATAGTGAGATGAAGATAAAAAAAATCAGAAAAATAATTAAGAAAATATTGTTTATTAATTAAACCATATCTTAAAGAAGATCTTGGAGAATCTAGCATGATTCTGCCTAAAATTCAAGATAATCATACAGCATTGCCTATATTAGGATTTAAAATATTAAAAATCATGAAATAAGACTTGAAAATAATATTTATAAAGATATTCTTATTATCTAGAAGTTTGCTTAATATATGGATAAGATAATATAGACTATTATTACCAGTTATTAGAGATTAGCCAGAAGATAAATATTATAAAAACAGAGTCTTAATATAACAAACCATGTCTGTATATTTATTTTAAAGAAAGTAAAGATTATTAAAAATATAATAAACTCTCTTAACTTATATATTACACGAATATATACTTAATATATTATAATTAAAAATATATTATTAACTACTGACTTAAGATACTGGAAGTAGTTAGGATTAAGACAAGTTACTATCTATATAATATCTTTAATTATATATATAAAGAATACTAGAGACACTCTTATCATAGATTAATATATTAACTAGCATATTTTAATAATCAGTATATAATATACTACACGGTAAAGATAAAAGGCTCAAGATTTCTAAAAAGATATCTATAATAGTTAGAACCTAACTAGCCAGAACAGTAGTTAACAGCCATAAAGTTAGAAC